CTTAATAAGTAGTAAATTTAATAATTAAAATACTTTTTATAATTTAATATTAAAATTATATATTAAAAGAAATCTAAAAACGGAAAAGCAAATACTTTTAGCAAATAGTTAAACTATTAATAAAAGGTTCCACCTAAAACCTATACAATACTCTACAAAAACCTAAATAAAAGCCTAAATATAAAGTACTTAAAAGGGCAATTTATTATAAACTAACTAAAAAATAACCTACTAAAGTAATAAATTGTAATAGCCTATTAAATATAATTTGCTATAAACTAACTTAATTAAGTAAAACAAAGCTATAAAAATATCCTAAGTAATAAAAAAAAGTAGCTATAGGATATAAATAAAACCCTATTCTATAAGGGAAAATACTACCTTCCAGCAGCTTTTTAAAAAAAAGTTATTAAAAAACTTTATAAAGCACTAGTATATAGCTATTAAAGCATTTAAGCTATATACTTAAAGCTAAAATAATACTAAAACTTCCTTAATATAAAATAAAAAATAGCCTAAATTATTAATAAATGTAACCTTTATAATAAAAACAAGCTTATAAAATATAAGCTATATAGGCTATTATAACTATTACTAATACTAAATAAACTATAGAAATTAATTAGCTTAAACTTTATTATTAAACTTTCTTTATCTAAAAAACTAATAATAAAAGTTAGCTATAATAGCATTTTAGTTATAATAAACAAATTTATAAAATATATATACTTTATACTTTATAAAAAAGCTAGTATAATAAAAGAACTTACCTATATATTTCTTAAAATAATTGTTAGCTAATATAAGCTATTAAATAAAATTATATTTAACTAAAATAAACTATTTATATTAAACTTTTAATCCTTTTTAATAAAATAATTAAAAACTAAATATAAACTTTTAATAATAATATATTTATAAATAAATAAGTAAATAAAACAATTTAACTAAATATTAAAATAATATATATATTACTATATTAATTATTAGTAAAATAATTAAGTACTATTATTATTATTAATATAATTTATATATAATAGTGCAAATATATATACTACTAATATTTTATTATTCTATACTAATTATAAATTTAATCCAAACATTTATTAATACCTAATTTTTAATATAAAAGTACTATAAGCTATTAACTATATAAAATAAATTAAAAATATTTATAAAAAAATTATAGTAAACTTAAGATTTATTTAAAAATATATAATAAAATAAGTAAACTAATAAAAGTTAAAGGAACTAACTTTTAAAAAAGGAAATATAGTTTACCTACTTTATAAAAAATAAATTAAAACTAAGCAATTTAATAATAAACTTAATTTTAAAAAGATTAAACTATTTAAAGTTAAAAAAAAAATATTAAAAACAAACTATAAACTTATACTATTAAAAGGAATAAAAATTTACCTAATTTTTTATATTTCTATATTAAAACCTATATTAGCTAATACAATACTAGCTATTAGTATTAAGCTTAACAACTATAAACTAAAATATAAAGTAAAACATATTTTAAACTACTAAATATATAAGAGAATAATAAAATACTTAATTAAATAAAAGAATTATAATAATAAAAATAATTTATAAAAATTTATTTAAAACTTAATAAACTATTAAAAGGTATTTTAAATATACTACTAAATAACTAGCTAGAAAAATTTATATTAATAAACTTTATTATAAAACCTTAATCTATAATACTAAAACCCTTATTTTATTAAATATTAAAAACAGCTTTAAACTCTTTAATTACAACTTAGTTAATAGCCTTAATATAATCAGCCTCTTTAAACACATTTAAAGCAGCTAAACCTTTATTTACTAAACTAGCCCTATAATAAACTAAAAACTCCCTTTAATAATATAAATAATTTAAACAAACTATCGCCTTACTTACCTAACAATAAGCTTTATATAAAGCTTTTTAAGCCTTAAGCTTTTAAAAATATAACTTCTTTTCTTTTATAATAACCTAAAATACTAAAAAAATAGTTAAAAAAAAAAAAACAAAAAAATAAGGAAAACTAAAACTTATAAGTACTTATTAGCACTCTAAAGCTATTATACCTCTTACTTTATTTAATATAAGCAAAACAATAGAAAATACCCTTTATTATTTAATAAAACTACCCTTTTATAAAATAAAATAAATAAAGTATAATTTTAAAACTTAATAATTTAATAAATGTAAATAGTTAATTATATTAATCTAATTTCTTAAAATGCAGTTTTTTTATATATAATAATATAATTATTAGTAAAATAAATATAATAAATATATAAAAAGAAATAAGAGAAAAAAAAACTTATTTAGGTTTTTTAAAAATAAAGAAATAATAAAAAAGGGGAATAATATTATAAATATAATAGAAATAAAACTAAAAAAGTATTATTAATCCTTTAAAAGTGCAAATAAACCCTATAAGCTAGCAAAATAAGCTTAAAAGGATTTACTATATAATAAAAGCAAGTTATATAATAAAGTAAAAGGATAACTAAAATAATTAAAGCAACGCTTTACTCTAAATAATTTAAATAATTTAATACTCCTACTGCTCTAAATAAGTAACGCTTTAAATAAGCTGCTAAAAGTAATACTCCTATTACTCTAATTAAAAAGATAAACTATATAAATCATACTTATTACTAGTAAATAATATTAGCTTAAAATAGCTTTTTAGTAGTTAATTTAAATATTTACTTAGAATAGCTATAAAGCTTTTAATCCACTATTGTTATATATTACTTAAAATATTACCACTTTAAATATTCCCTAAATATAAACCCGCTTACTAGGTTTATCAGCCAGAAACCAGCTATAATTATTACATTTATAGTATTACTAAAATAGGCGTTTATTAGTAGGCGATATATTATTGCTATTACTGTAATAAGTTGGGTATGGAAATGTTTACTTATAACTTATGCCTTTTGATTTCTATTTATAATTAGGATTGCTTTGGTATTGTAGCTATATAGATAGATAATACCCTTTTAGTAGTTATTCCTGCCTTTTTGATGTTGGAAGAGGAGAAGATTTAGGAGGAATAGATTTGCTGTAAGCTAAAGATTAGATTTGCAGTTGATAACCCTCTTAACTTTAATAGTATAAAGATTATTATAGATCCTAATAAATCTATTAACCTTATTTAAAAGGGTTAAAGTGTAAAAATTAATTTAGTTGATATTAAGTTTTTAGACTATGTTTAGAAATACTTTGAATAATGTGTTTGTGGAGTATATTTAGCATTTATATATTAATTAGAAGCAGCTTTTAATCTGTTTATAGCTGTTTAGATTTGAGATCTGGATAATGCTGTATATATTAAACTTAATTGTTAGCTTTAATAGTAAGTATAAAACTTTAGCTGTAGATTATAATATATTCTTATTAACCTTACTTTAGCTAAATTTGTAGTTTTTATAGATAGTTCCTTTATAAATAACTAGGATTTTAGTTCTTAAATTAGCTTTTTAATTATTTTAGTTAATAAGAAGAGAGGTATTAATTTTATGGAGTGGGAGATAATTAGTAATATTTTGTACTAGTTTTTAATTAAGTATAAGAGAGTTATATAAAGTATACTTACTTTAGAGATTTATAGTATAGTTAATGGCTTTAATATAGGAATTGTACTTACTGCAATTCTTTAGTAGATTATAGCTTGCCTTAATACTCTTATAATACTGCTAATAATCTATATAGACTTGTACTTTTTTTATAAGTATTTTATTAAGTTAGGAATTATTAAAGAGAAGTGACTAATGATAGATATAATAGCACTTTAATAGTTATATAAGCGGCAAAAGATTTATAAGCTGTGCTAGATTAATAGTAATAATAACTTAGTAAATGTATTTACTAAAGTTAATTTAAATAAAGCATTTGAATGGTTTGTAACTATTAATAAGTTAATTATTAAAATTAAGGGCTATATAGATTAGGATTAATTAACTTAATAAAAGAAAAGACTATTAGAGGTGGAATTAATTTGTAATAATAAAGTATATTAGACTTAGGTAGTAAAACTTTAGATTAGTCTTATTACCCTTAAATTAGCTTATATTAATTAACAGTTTATACCTCCAAGCTACATTTCCTTAAATTTATCCTAAAAGTATACCTTATAGTAAGTTTTTATAGTATAGCTTATATATTAAGGGTTTAAATAATAAGGGTTATTATTATCCTATAGGCTAAATGCTATTTAATATTTAATAGGTATCTTTAGTTAGATTTTATAGTACTAATACTTATATACTAAAAGTTAATTAGTTAATTAATTAATTTTATATTTTTATTATTTACTACTATTTACTAAATTTACTAAATCTATTAAATCCGCTAATTATACTTTTTCTTTTTATTTTATTTTATTTTATTATTACTTAATATTTAGGATAAGGTTATATTAGTATTATTAGTTAGACTAGCTAGTGCTAGCTTAGCTTAAAGGTTTATTTTTATTTATTTATCCTTTAAACAGTAGAATTATAAGTTTATAAACTATTTTAAAATAAAGTTATTTATAAGGCAAAAGCAATTATTAGATATTAACTTAAAAAGCAATTTTAGTAATAAAGGTATTATAGTAATTTTTATTTAAACTTAATAAACCCGCTTATTTTAGAAACCCTTAGATAGATTTAGGGAAATTAAATACTTAGATTGTTTAAGCACTTAGTTAAAATATATAAGCAATTACTTTAATTATTAAGGTTTTAAGTTTAAGTTATATAAAAAATAGTTTTTAAAGGGGTTTTTAATGCCTATAGGTATATATATATACTTAATAAAAGACTACTAGTATATAAATTATAGCGTTAGTATTTGTAGCAAGCTGATTAGTCTATTAGGCCTATAGCTATAAGTAGGCCTTAGAGGGATGCAGCCTTTAGCTGCTTCCTATAACCAAGTAAGCAACCCACACCCAAATAAACACCAACATCCCCAAACACACATCGTATTCGAATACGTGACCTAGCTAACAGAAGAGGTACTTACAGTAAGCGGTAGCGAACAAGGTTGCAGGGATATTAACAAGAATAGCAATAGGGGCGTAACCCATGTAGGTGAAGGCCTCCCGGCCATAGAATATCAAGGCGACAAGCCTTGTGCCTAGGTCTCTTGCGAGGTTGGTACTAATTGTGATATCGGCGAATCCCCACACCATATTCCCGTAAGCGAGACCAATGATGAACGGTGCTGCGTATGGTGAAACGAAAGGCTATGAGCCGGTCAGTCATTGTTCCAAGCAAGGGTTTAGAAAGAGTCAAGAGACAGAGAGTTGCGCTCAGTCCGATTAGGACTTCAACAGCAAGTAGGGAGACTCTTCACGAATATAACTTACATTTGCTGGATCCAAACAGCTCCAGATTATAATTCCGATGAAAGAGTCGACAAAGAACTCTGTCATGAAGACCCATCCTAAATTTGTTTGATTTGGGTTAGGAAAGGAGCACAGGATCGAGGCTGGTGCTCCATTAGCAACCAGTGGTTTTCCAGCTGCCAGAAACTGCTCGTTTGCGAGTTGTATCTCAGGCCAGTACATTCCCATAAGAACCAACCCAGCTATGAAAGCGCCGAATATCTGGCTGAAGATATAATATGGCACCTTTTTCCACGGGAAGCCTTGCCAGAGCGCAAGAGCAATCGTGATAGCCGGGTTGAAATGGCCGCCGCTCGTTGATGCGCAAGTGATAATGGCAAAGGCAATGCCAACTGCGAACGCCCATCCGATCTGGAAGATACTGCCAAACGCTGTGACTCCGAGAGGGTTCTCTAGGTTCAATGTAAAAGATGCGATACTAGCGATACCCGGGAAGACATAAAAGAATGTCCCTGTGGCTTCCGCCATGCACTCCCTGAGCCATCGCGGTCGAGCATGTTCGAAGTCGAGAATGCGCTGTGAGACGGGTTTCCTCTGCACGACCTGGCGACTGACGTGACCGACGACAGCTTCTGTAACACCGATTTCAAGGTCGTTGGTCTGGAGGCGGTTGATATCCGACATTCTGAGGGACGAACGGTCAGAACCCCAACTCGAGAGTTGAAAGAGTGCTGGAGAATAGCGGTAACCGTTTTCTGGAAAAGTTCAAGTTAAATTGATTGTCACGGTCTCAAGCAAAGAATCAGACCCCCCTTTCTATGGATGAGATTGGGGGCAAGCACATATTGTAGGCGGCGGCGGCGGAGGGGCAACTCAAGGATGAGCATGCCGTCCTCGAACATCCGCAGCTCCGGCGTCATTGATCTTGAACAGGGCCAGGCAATACTTTGGTGGCACCAAGAAGCACGTACTGCTAATTGCTTACAGCACGGACAATAGGATGCGGTGTCCCTGGCCATTGTGGTTCATCCGGGAAAGGCTTGCCGCACTAGTGGCGACTGGGAACACACTTGTTGATGCCATCACAATGCCGAGGTTCCCTTCGACGCTACTACGACATCCCATTGGTCGTGACGCGGAAGGGCAAGGACTCGACCTGGGGTAATTCGTGGGGAACGAAGTTGGAAAGGGGCCAGAATCTGGGGAATTTGATGCTACCGAATGTAAAAGGACCGAGGATGGGTCAAGCCTCCCCGAACTAGGGCCATAGTTGAAGAAATATCCGTAAGGATACGCGCCTGAAACTCGGCACTGAGCACTGGTTCTAGATCGAGCATGACATTTTGACTCTTTTCTCGTTTCGCGGCTCAAATCTCAGTATGCAGGGCTGTCGAGAAACCGCGCCTGCAAGAACATCAACGTGCAAAGTAATGCTGCAGTAAATAAGGTTAGGAGTTCCAGTGACACCCCCACGGCAGCCACAGCAGCCAGTCTTTGTGGTTCCCGAAGGCCAAGGAAGCTTATACCCCTCGGAAGTCGGCACGAGGCCACTCCTGCGTTCCAAGAGACCGATTTCTTTCACTAGCTGGGGTTATGCCATCGTGCGGGGACCGAGAGCACGGCAGGAACTCTTCCCTGGACAAGTGGATTCAAGTAACTCAAATACTGCGCTAATGTGGATGTCCTGCTTGACATAGGATATTGATACGCCGTGAAATGACGGGTCACTTCGTTCTGTGAGACTGTTGATATGTAATTGTAATCTGTGATACCTTCATTTTAGGTTCATCGTTGTCAAATTTCGAGTGACACTGATTACGATGTGAGGCAGACAGACGGCCGGTTATTAGGTTAAGTCCGATGCAGCCGGGGACAAACACCGAGACTGTAAACATCATTTCGATGCAACCCCGCTTCGTTACTCTTTGGACCGGTTAAATAGTTGCGTCACTGTGTTTTGCGAAACTCGCTAGAAGTAGACAGACGGACTGAACCTTTCACAACCATCACCTCTCTAAACAACTCTCTCCCAGTCCACCATTCCATAAATCATGGCCCAGTTACCAGTACCTCCCAAGCTCAAGGAGAGTCTAGCGAATTCGAAATGCGAGTACCGCCAGCTTGGAAAGAGTGGCCTTCGCGTCTCGGTGCCAATTTTTGGCTGCATGAGCTTTGGTGATCCAAGGACTCTTCCGTGGGCGATTGGTGAGGCGGAGGTCAGTTTGTGAATGCCCGAACAACTAGGTCAATTCTGTTACTAATTGATTATTCAAGGCCCTGCCACTTCTGAAAAAGGCCTACGATGAGGGTTTGAATACATGGGACACCGCCAACGTCTACTCGAATGGGGTAAGCGAGGAAATCATTGGAAAGGCCCTGAAAAGCTTTGGCATTCCGCGACATAAGATTGTCATTCTCAGCAAATGCTACGGCGCCGTCGCAGAAGACCCCGAAGGCCGCTATGTTATGCAGAGGGACCTCTTCCAAGCGTCCAAGGACTACCAGAACCAGTTTGGTCTAGGGCGATCTGCCATATTCAACCAGGTCGAGGCTTCACTGAAGCGTCTCGACACTCCGTACATTGATCTGCTCCAAATCCACCGCTTTGATGCCACAGTACCAATCGAGGAGACCATGAAAGCCCTTCATGACCTTGTACAGAGCGGCAAGGTCCGTTATATCGGTGCCTCCAGCATGTGGGCATATCAGTTCGCGCAGCTTCAGTTTTGCGCTGAGAAAAATGGGTGGACGAAATTCATAAGTATGCAGGTGAGTAATTTGCAGACCCAGGCTGTATAAAGATCCCTTCACACCTCTTTTTTATTTGCTTCTGGTTTGGCTAATAATAATCGCAATAGAACCACTACAATCTTCTGTACCGTGAAGAAGAGCGTGAAATGAACAAATTCTGCGACGACACCGGTGTTGGTCTCATCCCATGGGCACCTTTGTGCCGTGGCCACCTTGCACGACGGCCCGACGAGTTCGGTTCAACAGAACGCAGCAAGGGGGAGAAAGCCAATTCAGAAATTCCTGAGACGGATTTGGCAATCATTAAGAGGGTCATTGAGACTGCGGAAAAGAAAGACTGGCCAATGGCGCATGTGTCCTTGGCTTGGATCAATGCCAAAGTCACCAGCCCAATCATTGGCTTCAGTAAGGTGGAGAGAATCGACCAGGCTGTCACAGCGAAAGGGAAGGTTCTGACCGAAGAGGAGGTCAAGTACTTAGAGGAGCTCTACGAGCCGAAGAAGATCTCGGGTCACACATGATTGTCAAATGCGGATGTCAAGCACTTACTACTGTCAAGAGAGGTTACAAAAAGGATATGGAGAAGAAAAGTCATTATGCAATAAAGACTGTGAAATTTTTAAGCTAGAGAAGTCTCTAAGAGTTGTTCTTCCTCTTCCTCTTACTCTTGAGAGTATATCGCCATACTACGGCTTCCTTCATCATGATAGGAGTGTTTGATTATAGGGCATCACCAGCGACGCCATCGCTTGCTCAGCTCCAGAGAGCTTTCGCCTGTTTTCTCTGGGTCCATGGGGTAACGCCTTGCAATGTCCCAGGTAGGACCTGGTTAGGCTATCAGTCTGCAGGTCTCTGGGCACGTAGAGCGTGATCTGAATACATGATGGGGCTTGACCAAATGCATTAGTGTTGACTTTACAAACTCGCATAGTCCCTGCGGAGCTCAGTCGACGTGCATGTCCTGTCAAGAGATTCAATCAATGCCGGAATTGAGTTCCAGATTTGGTTTGCCCTGATAAGAGTCAAGTCTGTGAAATAGCCAAGAGAAAGTTGACGGAAGTTGATCTTCTTCTGAGTTCAGATCATGTGCTACTTAAGTATGTCGGATTGGTAGCAGCTAATCTGCGTTCGTAAGGTGCTTACTTGCATGGCTCCGGATCCCATTGAAAGCTGGACGAAAGGGCCAGGCAAGAGGGGGCAGAAACAAAGCTGTTCTCATACTGGTAGGATGTGTTGTGTTCCATCAGGTTGCTCCTCTTACCTTGGCGATGCTATATAGCGTCATATCTACCTCTGAAAAATCCCGATGTCTCAGACCCTTCCGAGGTCTGACCTGGAGTTCCCCGCAGTTGAACACCTGCCTAAAGCAGAGGGTTCCTCAGGAACGAGGCGGTTGGGCAAGGTAAAGGTCACATCCCTGCTCACCATGACCCGAGGTGCCCGAGATACCTGGTACGTGCCTGGGTAGTCAAAGCTACGTGCTACTGAACCCTAAAGATGCGCCAATACTAAGCGGTGTCCAGCTGCAGGTGGGGGAGTAGTATCCAGAATCAGGACGAACAGTTATCGACACTACTTGCCTGCAGTGCAACCGCAGTGAGGCGTCCGCTTTGGACGAGAGGCCGGAATCTGCACAGGAACCATTGCACCGTAGTGGCTGATCCGTTGGATTAACATGAACTTGACGCCGAGACTGACGCGGTGAATCTAAGCGGAAGGGTGCGTGCATAGTCATGATGTATCCATATATCTAGCCCCCTGTGGGTTCAATGTTGCTCCCGCCGAACAAAGATTCTCGACAGCAACACCGATTCCTTCACACACATGAGGATTCTGAGAAGCTTTTAATTTTTGCTTCACTTTCACCTCCCAAGATGCTGTCATATCTCTCGGTAGTGCTGACTTTGGCATGCCTAGTGTCCCGGAGTCTAGCCTCTCCCACCTCTAGTAGACAATTTTCCACCGTCTCGAAGAAGCAGCAGGGCAGCGGCACGCTGGTAGCGCCCATCCCTCCACTCCAGGACCCGTGGTATACCGCCCCTGATGGTTTTGAGACCGCGAAACCAGGGGACATTTTACGAATTCGCGAGGCTCCAGGAAATCTTACTTCGCTCGCTAGCAACTGCTCCTCCGCGTACAACATTCTCTACCGGACGACCAACAGTCAATACAAGCCTGACTGGGCTGTAACCACCGTTTTTGTGCCTGTCACTGTCTCCCCGGCTCTTCTCTCGTATCAGATCCCATACGACTCGGCCTGGCTCGATGCGAGTCCTAGCTACGCTTTCTATACCACTGACGGTACTGACTCTCTCAGCGACATTAGCACGGGCCTGTCATCTGGCTGGTTTGTGAATGTTCCGGATTATGAAGGGCCATTTGCCAGTTTCACTGCCGGGGTCCAATCTGGACATGCAACTATCGATTCAATACGCGCTGCTTTCAATGCGCACGAAACGCTCGGGCTGGATAGTGGAGCGAGATTTGCCATGTGGGGCTACTCAGGTGGTGCTCTAGCAAGCGAGTGGGCGGCCGAACTGGCGGTTCAGTATGCGCCAGAGGTCAGTTCCCTGTCTTCAATCCACGCTTCATCTAACTTCCTTGGCCTCTTATCTTCCTAAGCGGACTGCATCGTGACTGGCATTGGGTAGAAGCAGGAGCCCTCGTCATCTGGAACCCTCCGCCCCTCGAATGGCGCCTGAGATTCTGGAAGCTCTTGTGAAAGCTGATTCCTGGCGCGTAACAGATGAACTTCAGTGGTGCTGCTCTCGGAGGCTTGACACCTAATGTGACGAGCGTTTTGTACACTATCAACAAGTCCAATGCAATTGGACTGGCTCCGGTAAGTTGACGTACCGGAGCGTAGTGCCCAACCTCTCAAATTACTTGCTGACATGATAATACGCATAGTCTTCTTTTTTGGGACTTTCTAGTCAATACCCTACGGAGAGAGAGTTTTTGCTCTCGAGACTGAAAACTGAGGGCCCTTTCAATGCAACCGGATTCTTAGCAGCGCTCAATTGTACGTACAGCTTGATACCAGCTGCGATGCTTCGCTGGATACACAATTTGCGCTCAATTCCATCGCGTGTAACTAACATAAATAGACACCGTGAGGCAGGCATCCGCAGTATATGCTTATCAGGACATTGGGGACTATTTCATCGGAGGCATCGCTGATATCACAAGTCCTTCGATAATAGGGATTATAGAAAAAGACGGGATCATGGGCTACCACGGGGTACCACAGATGCCCATATTTGCATACAAGGCTATCGAGGACGAGATCAGTGTTATTGCAGATACAGATGCTTTGGTGGATAGGTATTGCAACAGTAAGCCTCGAAAATCCAGCCTTGGCGATGTATGCGATTATCAAAGCAGTAATGCTGACATTTCACGTGGAGTCGGTGCCAACATCTTTTATCAACGTAACACCGCTGGTACTCACGGGCCGGAGAATAGCAACGGCCGCCCCAGGGCATTGCTTTGGCTCACTAGCGTTCTCGGTGGCACATATGCCCAAAACTATCCTGTTGCGGGCTGTAGCACTCAGAATGTGACTATAGACCTCACAAGCTCGACGGTCAAACGAAAGAGCCCCCGAAACGACCACGTTCGGTCCTGGATGGATGCTGCATGAAGCGTCATATATATATATATATATACTTCAAGCCTAGCACGAGTAGTTAGACACAAACAAAATGAAAAACCAACGCAATGTATTCTTTGCATCAACGTCCTTTGTGAAAGGTGCTAGTGAATGTCATTCCCCTATTTTTGTGCGAGGGTGAAAAGATTGAAGGGGCTTCTATAGTTGGGCTAAGCGCGAATCGCTTCACTATTGTAGGGTTACGAACCGCCTCGCTATCATCAGGGCAACTTGACAACCTGCTCAGACCAGATTGGAATAGTGAGGGTCAAAAGAATTGATTATGAAAGGCAGCTGTCTCGAACCAGGTATCAACGGTACTATTCTATTTACGTTTTGCAGAGTAGCTTCGCTCTTATGTCGACTCAGGACATGATGCATACCTTCACAAGTCCAAATTTAGTGGGAGCTAGCCTCACACGTTGCAGGGCTAGGTGCTGGAGTACTAGATATGCAAGAAGAAATGTTAAAAATGTTTAGCCAGGAATCTCCGAGTCCAAGACTCTGCTGCTGCGACTCAGGACCTACATACAAACTTGTGCCCACCGCATCGTCTACGGTATGCATGCCACACGAGCTACACGTGCGGAGGAGTGCGAACCTTTTCCCTGACTCATACGGAATAGAACGAAACTTCCGTCCGCTGCCGAGTTGGCGTCTCTTTTTGGAACCACAAAACCGGAAGATGTTATACTTGAGGTCGAGGAGCATATCAAAAGCAGATTGTACTGCAAGTCTCATGAAACCTGGATTCCGTATTGCTATGATATAGATAATTCCATGTCACACTGGCCATGTTACAACATATCCAGCCTGCACTATGCACAGAGACTCATTGACGCCACGACACTTTTGTTCTGTACCGTGTTTGATCAGCGAGAAGACCACGCATCTGGCAGACACGACAATGGACAATATTCAACTGACCGTGGGATTTTGACGGCTATCCGATGGCCGAAAGAAAACCCGTGATCATGAACGGATAGGAAAAGAAAGCAATGTTTTCGAAAATTAGAATTCCGAAAGAGAAAAAAAACCGCCATAGCCAGCACGAAACGAGGACACAGGCCTGCGGGCTTTCAAGAATCTGGCTGCTGCTCATAGAGACGAAGCACGCAAGATTTCTCGACTCAGCCCAGTAAAGCCCCGGACTCTTTGTGGGTTCCGGAATCAGGCAACTCGCCGTGCATGGGGCTGAGTTGAGATTTGTACGTAACTTGTTGCAAGATCGAAACCCTGCACATAGTCTTCTTGCATTAGACGTGTCCGAACGCGTGAGAAATATAGAGGGTTGAAAACTCTGGCGGCGGTGGCCCCACGGTCGATTTGCTGTCAACCTATAGCCACTTTTCTAGCCACAAGGATACTCTAGGGGATCCGCTGCACTTACAAGTCAAAATCCTGCGGTGAGAGGGCTATAGTACTACAGAGTTTCACATTCACCCCTTTTTAGCCGCATACACGACTGGCCATGTACTGACACGTCAGATGAGCTGAACTAAATCGCGGTTGAAATTGGTCCGCCTGAACCGTGCTCACCTTGCTCGCCAACGAACCTCAGCTGTGGATCTCCGGTGGAGTCAGAACGGACCCCTAAAATTCCTTTGCGGTGATCTTCTCGACACGTAAATAACTTTCGGGCTCGTGGGGAAAGAAGATTTGATTCTGTCGACATTGCCTGAATTCACCGTCAGCAGCCATGGCGTCGGAATCGGTAACCCTCTTGCAAAACGCTCCTGGTCTTCCGGACGTGCCAACTATCAAGGATGACGACACCTTCGCCGAGATCTCGAAGAAGCTAGCACTGTGAGTCGATCATTTTATGTCGTTCTTTGCGGTCAGGCACGGTGAAGGTCGAGCTGACTTGAACAACTCTAGCTACATCATTGAGGCTGTCGACTCACCTTTGAGCTGGGAAGACCTTCGTAGCAGCAAGCACCTCCAGCCACTTCAACCGCTTATTGACTACCTGGCCACGGAATGTCATCACAATGCCATCGTCGCCGCTCTGGTCGCCCTGAAGGGCCACTTCAAGGCCATCGAGTCTGATGATGACTGCGGCATCAACGAATCGCGTGGTTTTGCCAGCGAACTGGTGGCTTGGCAATTTGTTCTGACGCTGTCCAAGCAAGATGCTCTGGAATACTTGCTGTTTGAACTGCGCGATGACGACGAAGATGATGATTCCGATGATGAAGAAACTGGCCTCTTGTCTCACAGGAGTCGCCCTGCACACACCAACGGCCGAGTCGCTCACCTCATCAACGGGCATCGGAACAGCAATGGCAACGATGTGAATGGAGACGACAACAAGGCCAATAATGGCGAAGGCTTCTCTGAGCCGTTCATGAATCTCAATACTCTTGAGATCGCAGCCGTTTCCGGAGCCAAGAAGTTCCTCAGTCAGCGAGCTATCCAAGACATCGTGGATGGTATCTGGTACGGAAAGATTGTCTTCTGGAACAGGCTCAGGGTGAACGCTGTAAAGAAGCCGCGCTTCCACAGCAAGAACTCTGGGGACTACTGGTGCCGACTACGAGTACCTCGGTACATGAAGATATTCGAAATCTTCTTTTTCCTCTCTTTCCTGGGGCTGTTTTATATCGTGTCCCTGGAACGAGTCAAGGAGTATGTCACTGGATGGGAGGTCTTATTTTACGTCTTCGTTCTGGGTTTTGTCTTTGACGAACTGGACGATTTCGTTGAGTCTGGCATTTACTTCTACGCCACAGATATCTGGTCAATGTGGGATATTGGCATCGCACTAATCGGCATCGCTTTCTTTGTGCTACGTATGATCGGCTTGAGCACTGGTAGCGACACGACCATGGAATGGGCGTTCAACATCTTGGCGCTCCACTCGCTGCTTCTGACTCCGCGGATTTTCTCACTGGTCAGCCTGAGTCCTTACTATGGTAGTCTCTTGCCATGCTTGAAAGAGATGGGCAAGCAGTTCATCCGCTTCTTGGGATTTACGTTGATCATCTATCTTGGATTCTTCACCACCTTCATCATGCTAGCTCGGGGGCATTATCCGCTGGACGCGCTCTCCATTACCGTGCTAAAGGCTTTCTTCGGCGCGGGTGTTATTGGCTTTGACATAGCTAGACAAGTCTCGCCATACCTTGGACTACCGGTGATGATCGTCTTTGTGTGTTTGACCAACCAGCTTCTCATCACCTCCATGATGGCACACATTAGCAATAGTCTGCGTCAAGTACTCGACTCATCTCGCGAAGAATACCTTTATGTGTATTCAGTCTATGTCCTGGAAGCAGTCACTTCAGACAAGCTGACTTATTTCCAGGCTCCGTTCGTAAGTGTTACTCCCTGCTAACAAATACCACCGATTCACATCTAATGCTAAATATCTCCAGAATTTAATCCCAGTGGTCTTGTTCCGACCCCTTCTCTTTGTTGTCTCGGAGACGACAGCGCATAAGATACGCATAATCCTGCTCAAAGCAACCCACGTCCCCTTCATCGGTGCTATCTGGGTATTTGAGCGCTGGGAAGCCCTAGCCATGCAGCGTGAGGAGGCTGAACGGGCGGCAATGAGTTTCGGCTTCGATGCTCTCGATTCCGCAACAGGCACAAATCAAATTCGGCCGATCAAGGGAAAAACCAATACCGCGTCATCAAGCAAGAAACACAGCCTCACTAAGACTGGAAAACTGAAGGTGCCCGCAGCTCTGCTATCTCAAGCGTCTAAGAGGCCAACAAAGAAGACTGGGGCTTCCCAAGACACCAATGGAAGGGTCAAGACGACATCCACTACTGTTGCTGCGCCGCCAGCGTCTGCTTCGCCAGTGGCCGCAACGCCAGCATCAGCAAAGGGTCCTGCTGCTGAGACAGCGACAGGACCAGCCACACAGGCATTAAATACGGCTGACTTGGGCGAAATGATGCGCATGTTGAAGGAATTGAGCACCCAGGTTGAGGAAGTGAGAGCCGCGTTGGTGAAGCACGACCAGGGCCCATCCGATTAACGCATCAGCGGGCGAATTGAGACATTGGTGCAGCTCAAAATTTCATCTGCATGTTGTCCACAACTACCGAGGAGGAAAAGTCCACTCAGGTCATCATGCAATCCAAAATGGTTCCATGCTGGACAATCCGGTGCCATGCATAAACTGGAACTACAGTAGAAGACCAACCACTTGGTCCAGTCTCGCGGTATATCTAGGTTCGCAAACTGTCTATATGATGACGATTCTGTACTCGATGGAGATAAAACCTTCAATGTGACGACAGGGCCATAGCTAGGTAGACCATAGAAGACTAAGCACTTAGGCCCATCTCAAAGTTTGACATGCAAGACCATATATAGTGTTACCTGAAAAGTCTCATAGTAATTCAACCTCAATTACGCTCTCCACAGCTCCAGGATGTCGGAAAATCTGAAGGATTCCAAAACCAACTTCGCCCAACAGCTTTTCCCAACCCCTTTCAGTTCTCTCGAATCCAGACGTGAGGTTCATGAGCTGTAAGTCAAGCGTTGTCATTAGGCTTGTTGCTCCCTTGTTTGGTAATACGACCTCGTATATCAGAAGCTTCGAATAGCCCTTAAGCATCGCCGTCTTTATGTTCTGGAAGATCCGCTTGCACTCCCCGTCTGGCCAATCGTGCGGAACCGCATGCAGAAAGTAGGTCCTTGCACCCAGCAACGGTTGCGGTTGAAAGAAATCGTATGCCATTCTCTCAATTCTTGGGCTCAGTGCCGTTTTCGCATGGGTGGAAACTACCTCTGGTAGATCCTGCACAACTAATTTTGCCGAGGCTGGCAGGTTTGGGTGCTTCGCAAGGAACCGAGCAGTGTCAAGCCCGTGTGCTCCACCAATGTCCACAAAGAGAGCTGGCCCTGAACTAGACAGATCCGCGCCTTGAACAAGACCAGCTGTATTATAGACCTCGGTCCAATCCATTTTATGGTTAGCGAGGGCAGTCATTAGCCCAATAAAACTCCCACCGACTGAAGGGTTGCGTTGGCAGAGGTCAAAGAAGTCACTCCCGAATAGATCAGTATAATTATCAAATTTTGCCTTATCAAGAGGTTCTTGATAGCGATGCTTGGCGAGAAAACCTGCGAGGTTTACGCCGCAGGGAATAGTGTGATCCAGTCTGAATAATTGAGTTAGCAAGGTTTGCCTCGGAGCTAAAGAGATGTAGTATGTAGCAATTTTACATTGAACTCGGTTGCACATTCCAGATCCATTGTACGCGGTCTGGTATTACCTTCCAATGTCCAAGTAGCAAGACCACTTTGTCACCGGGTCAATGGTGTCACTGACCAACAAATAACATCTTACACTTCATGGTGATAATAAATCTCGAACTTACCCGCATTGTACAGAAAGACCGATGTTAGTGGTGTCCTTTCCTATGGCTTTCGCAAATGGACTGAGCTTCCACGTGTCGACTCCGGTCTCCTCCAGCACATTTGTTGCAGCAAGATGTCTCAAGAACCGGCCTTTGAAAATAAAAGATGAGACACATGGTTCAATGGTTAAGGGAAGAATTTGGACTGACGAAGGAGGTTTGGCTGCACTGGAACGTTACACATATCTATGACCCCGTCCAGAGTCTGAATATCTTCATTATTGTCATGTTTGGCGGCCCATGTGGACCATATACCGAGATCTTGACAAATTTGTAGTCCCGCTATGAGCACTGGCGTCTCAAATGATAGAGCCCATGATCTTTCGAATGGAGTTTCTATACGAGCCAAAAGCCGCCTTGCCGCCTCCTTTGCTTCGTAACGATCAGCGTTTGTATCAAACGACTGCCCTGAGATGGAGTCGAGCACTTCGACCACGTTGTGGGGCTTGGTATCCATTTAGATGGTGATGAGCTTGGACACTTCATCGAGAGAGTGCGGAGGAAAGATGATAGCCATAAAATCAGCATCAACTTGATCAAGGTAAGGTGCTTCCGCTCTTTCATATCCCTCAAATGCCAACCCACCAGGGTCAATACTCTCTGCCAGGCACTAACACCGGACAACGTTTGCGAAGCAGCGCGATATATGTGGATATCGCGTGACTTCTTCTCTCGGCATCCATAAATACTGACTTACAGTGGACCCTCCTGCTCCCAAGGGTCGAATAATGTTTTGACATGAATTGACATGAATATGACAGCTCTCCATCTCCACTTCCCTGCAGCGTATTCTCTTCACGCCAGGCCCAGTTCTGTCAGCCTCTGATTTAAGGGATCTGATTCATTGACTGGGATAGTCCTGCATGTGCGTGTACGCGTACCTGGATGACATCTTCGCTAACTCCTGCCCAACGCAACCAAGAACACGTTCACAGGACTCGAAGCGGCTACGCTCCGAACTCAAGAAGTGCTTGTGACTGGGCCAGTCTAGCCAACCCATGCCCTCACGCGAGGAAGTCCCGTTGTCATACTCGAATTTGGAAAGATCGCCAATGAGTAGCTCACGAAGACCCACGCGCACTGATTATGTGTAGCATCGAAGTGAGGGGTGTGCAGGCACAATGATAATTCCTATTGACATGAGAGGTTGTATTTGAAACTACATGGATCAAGAACAGGCGCCTTTACCGTGATCGACAGGCCGGATACTACCTCGTTGGTATGCCAGAGTGGGTACAAAGAGTAAGCACTATTCACTATGCTGTTCAAAAGATTGGCCAAGACCGTTGCTGACCATCAATTTTCGGCAGTCGCAATGAAGACATTCTGAAAACTATATTTCTTTTGCTTTTCACCACTGTCCTGAGCTCGTGAATTTGAAAAGTAAATGCCTAACGCCCAGTATGGATGTAGCAGTTCTTCACAACATGAGTCTCCTCCAAGCAGGTCTCGCTTTGGTGTCCTTGTCTGTACTCTTGTATCTGGTAACCGCAATCCATTCGTGGTATCGCCTTCGGCACATACCAGGGCCTTTCTTTGGTCGGTTCTCATATTTGTATCTGGCATATCTCCAACAAAGTGGTCGTCAGTACTACAGTAAGCAGCTTCCAGATTCAATTTTAGATTACCCCGGTGAAATCACCTGCTTTACCGGCAGTCTGCTTCACTGCTTGGATCGAAGCACTTTGTCAGACTGCAACTTTCGAGACTAGGCATGTGGTGGCTGCTTCGACATACTTTTGATCAAAGCTTTTCCCTCAGTGACTTGATTGCTAACCCCAAATGCCGCAGTCTACCGTGATGAGCTGACAAAGTTTGGACACTTGGTTCGCGTCGGCCCGAACGAGCTCACGACAGACGACCCCGATGTCCTCCGCAGATTAACCTCCGCCAGGGCCCAGTACACCCGAGATGCCTGGTACACTGGTGGTCGTTGGAACCCATATACGTACAGTATGTTCACAACGCTGGATACCAGAGCTCACGATGATATCAAGGCGAAGACTGCAATCGGTTACGGTGACAAGAACTCGGCATTGGAGCCGGGTGTTGATGCTCAGATCACATCTTTCGTGGGAGTTGTCCGAAATAAATACCTCAACGGCGCAAAGCTCCTTGACTTTGGGACGCTGACATCATATTTCACCATGGATGTTATCACGAAAGCCGGGTTCGGTGAAGCGTTCGGGTATCTTGAGAAAGAGGAAGATCTATTTGACTTCCTAGCCGGGGTCCGTGATAATTGTCAGTATATCCTTTATCCCGGTGCGGTTGCACGACCGCATTTTCCTTTTGAAGACTTTTTCAAAATGCGTCGACTTGAGCTTCGTAGCAGGTGACTAACGTAGAAAAGGGCAATTCATGGGTATCACATTAGACGTCCCTTGGCTTCGAGACATACTCTATTCGTCCGTTTTCCTCAAGCTGCTCGGTCCCAGGATGACAGACGAAAAGGGTTTGGGCAAACTTATGAAGTAAGTTGTTTCCTAGTTGCCCTCTGCACCTCAGGATAAGAATATTGACACCGAGTACCAGAGTAGGCCACGATGTTATAGAGAAGAGGATGGCGAAGCCGAAGAGCGCGCGCGTAGACGACATGCTGGTAAGTAATATGCCGACTGATGAGACCTATGAAGATGTTTCCAATGCTCTCAAGACAGCTGGATTCGACTAACGCTAAGTTTAGGGCTCCTTCTTATCCCACGGTCTCACCCAGGATCAGTGCGAGAACGAGGCTCTCTTCATGATCGTCGCTGGATCTGAGACCACAGCTTCCGTCATTCGCGTGACCGTTCTACACATTCTGTCCGCACCTATGGTGTACCACCGTCTCAAAAACGAAGTCAAGGAAGCAATCAAAGACGGTAGAGTCTCTCATCAACCTATCAAAATAGAAGAAGCGAAGCGTCTTCCCTATCTGCAGGCGGTGATATATGAAGGAATGCGTATGCGTTCACCTGCCCCAGGGTTGTACCCCAAGGTCGTACCAGCAGGAGGTGACACCCTTTGTGGCAAGTTTGTCCCTGAGGGAACGGCAATTGGCATGAATACCTCAGCGATGTTAGCAAGCACGAGACATTTTGGGGAGGATGCCAACCTGTTCCGTCCCGAAAGGTTTCTCGAGGTCGATGACACGAAGAGGTCTGAGATGCAGCGAAATGTGGAGTTGATCTTTGGAAACGGCCGTTGGATGTGTGCAGGAAGGCCGGTAGCGTTTATGGAGCTGAACAAAATCTTCTTCGAGGTAAGCACATTTGGATTGCGTGAGACAAGAAATCCGAGAGCAGGCTCTGCTCAATGCTAACATTTTTGGCAGTTATTCCGCAACTTTGACTTGCAACTAGCCCATCCAATGACGCCCTGGGACTCTGCTAGCTGGCCTGTCTGGGTCGACGAGAACATGGAATTGAAGGTCACGGAATCTGCGTAGAAGGTATCGGGATCAAATGACTCGAACTGCCAGCTTAGGCTCCTTGAACGACACGATTCTCCTTTTCTCATATTTTCCTAGCTCGACATCATCGTTCCTCTGGGCTTATTTCTGTCCAAGGTATTTAGGCCGGGAGGGATCTGATTTGAGTGGCCGTAAGGCACTAGTCAAGTGAGACGGCTATGGTAGTTCTGAGGTTGGTAGCAGAGATGAAGTGTGCAGTTTTAGCAGGCGCATGGTGTCGACTAAACAACCAAGGGCACCAATGAGAGAAAATATCTCATCAAGCGTGTATGTATTGAGGTAAATCATGGAGATAGCCTACACCTTAGGGATGGCTGCCAAAGTAATACGTGGCGGCGGAGTCGCAACTAATGTGCGCCTCTACACTTCCTCGCGCTCCGTGGTCAAGCTTGAACAGCACACCGTTCACCGTTTGCAACTTCCCTTAGCCCAAGAACAACGCGTCGAGGTGGAGAGAGGTTGGCAAAATTAATTATATCCATGGGGCACACTCATACCTTGGAGAGAGATGAGGCGGGTACGGAATAGTAAATGGAGTGGTTGTATCCATCCAATGTGTCAAGAGTCCCTGCGATGTTTGATTCTCCTTGGCGGAGAGGACGTGGTCACAGATCTCTTCCGTCGTCCTGATCCTTCTCTTCTCGTGGGCTGATTAGGCGCCTGCTGGACGACCTCATCTTCAGCATCGCCTGAGTCCTCTCCGTCCTCGTTACTGCTTGTTTTATCCCAATCCGACTGGGGTTTATCATCGAGGACCCTGCGCGAAATCTCTGCCATGAGCTTTTGATAGCCAAGGTCCTCTTCTTCGTCCTCCACCTCATCCAGGACCACAGCCATGGAATGAGGTGGCGAAGGCTTGACGGCCCTGAAATTATTTCTATGTACAATGGAGCCTACCGGCACTGAATGAAGGTCAGTTTCAAGATCTTCAAGCTCCCAGCCAGGCTGCAAAGGTAGAACGTATTGCGGCCTCCAAGATGGATCGTTCATGTTCGGCGGGTCAGACAAGACGTTCAGGTTGAGATGCACGGTTGGTCCGTCGCCCGGAGGTGAAAGGGCGATGACAGCCTGGGCTAGCTTGCTTGAAGGATCAGGTGCCGCTTCCAGGTCGTCGGCGACCTCCCACCATGTACCCTCGTCTTTGCGCATCTGGCTCCTCGTGCCGCGAGCCCTCGTCAACTGTCGCAGCTCCTGCACTATAAGTGGTAGTCGCTCGCGATTTGTTAGTATCGCTGAGAGAACCGGCCGTCGTGATTCATGAAGGTGATGTATATCAGGTAACCCGTGTTGGCTGGTATATGACGGGTCACGCCGGCGAAGCTGGGTTTCCAGGTTTTGGATTCGTAGCTTGACCGCGTTTAGTTGTTGTGCAGCTTCCGCGATGATGCTGATCTGCAGGTCAATGGGCATCCGTCCTATGTATTTGAGGTTCTCGGTGAAGGCATTCGATTCGCCGGGTGGCGTGAAATTATGTTTTCGCTGTAGGTGCGTGGTAAGCTGGTTAAGCACGAGATTGTCCGGCAACTGACCACAACCAGGCCACCAGCACGGAAATTGATTCAGCGGAACGCCAACGGCCGCCAGCTCTGCAGCATGGTGTCTTCTTTTATGCCTTAACATTGAATTCTGTGAGAGCTCGAGACCACAGAATACACAGGTGGCGACCAAATGCCGGCCATCGACATCTCCGGGGTGCAGTCTTGGACGGCCGACGCGTCGCCTGGCCTTAATGGTCCCTTCGGGGATTGGTGCTGGGGCTTGGTCATGCGCCACAGCGCGAAGGGAGCTCTTGGGGGGCGAATGCAAACCTCCAGATGCAACGGATGCATCTGGTGGTCTGACCGGGGGACTTGCATGGCTGAACTCTGAGCCTCTGCTTGAAGGGTGGCCGTATTGCCGTGCTGATGTGTTTGTTGTCGACACATCCGTAGGCCTCGTTTGTCGTGTCGCCTCCGAGAACTCTGTTACTGATTCCCGTGAACCTCCTGAGGTCTTGCTGACCTGGCCGGCTTGTTTCGTTCCCTCGTCAAGGAAGGCGCGAATTCGCTGCTGCTCGGCCAGTTGACCCCTGGCAAAAGCAAACGCGATCTCAGAATCCATCAGGCGACGCTGGCCAGCGGCAAACCCTTGAGCATAAGTTCCCTCCCTCTGTGCTGAAGACGCCTGGTGCTTAGCAGCCTTTGCTTGGATGCCCGCCTCAAATCCAGCCGAGTATCCTGAGTCGTAGGCTTCGTTCAGGAGTTCCTGCTGCCCAGCATTTTCGAACCGTCTGATACCTTCGAGTCCATTCATGTTCTCCGCCGCATATTGCTGACCGGTAACTGGACTGTGAATTGTGAGCAAGTTGGCCTTCTGGGGCCTAGTTTTAGGGGGGACGAACTCGGATGGTATCCCTGATGATGCACGTTTTACGAGCCAGAGCATCTTCCGATAGAGAGTGAGAGACGCAGGGTCTTGGCGATTACTAGATCACAAACATGTGTTAGGACCAACCCACTGTGAGACTTGACGAAGAGAGGGTATAAATCCATAAAACGTACTCGTCAGGGCTATTTGAACCATACATGAGCACATGCACAGCAGCCGAGGCAGCAAGCTCAACAAAGTCATCATAGGACCCTAGAGGTTGTTCCTTCCGGCGCCTCACATCTTTTGCGAATGCTTGAATCGCCTCATTATTGGGATGACTGTCAATCCTGCTACTTAGTATCCAAGGCCGTCGATCAAGAGTTACACCTGGGCGTGATAAACAAAAACAAGGGACAAGAAAGGGAAAAGAACGGGGCGGCGGGTACGGTACAGAGGGAGACCTGAACACGAACCCTTGATCAAGACCCTTCTCCTCTGCCAGCAGTTGTATGAAAGCGTTTCCGACAGCATCCTCAACAGATCTATTCGACTCTCAGGTCAACATGAGTGAACGGAAAACAAAGCCGTTGTGTGGATGTGGTCGCGGTCATGGTCTCACAGGGGGTTTGGCCCGTCGCCGTTTGACATTCTTTCAGCCTGACTCTGCATCATGCGCGCGGCAGGGCTCTACCAAACCCGAAGCATGCTCGAGACAATTCGTTGAAGAAAGATCAAATCCAGTCAAGCATCTATCTGGACTTCGACATCGGTCGATCGTGCATCTAGTCGAGGGCCTCAAGGATTTCGGACGTGAACAAAGACGAAGCACAGACGTTGGCGCCCCACCTCCCACGACCCATATGGGAAGCTTGTCCCAGCTGCAGGTGGGCGCTAGTGGGGATTCGTCTGGCAGCAAGGACGGACAAGCGAGGTTCGTTGGGGTGAGATCGTAAGGAACTAGCTGCAGTACCTGACTTTTAGGTACGTACTTCATATGTGCAATTCGATGGAGTGCGAAATTGTGAACAGGTGAATTGTTGAACTATAGGGGAAAATGCACCTACACCTTCTAAGCATAGTGCACAACTATAGCCTAGGGGAATCATGTAAAGCAGCTCAAGAGGTCACGCGAACGGAGAGCTTTCTCCTGCTCTGATTCATCCATTTCTCCGCCAGGACCCAGCGTGCCTATCGTCCAGGCCGGCAAGCTGTGGTGGAGGCTATTAACATCACCGTCATCTATCTAGGTACTCATACAGGACCGGGAGCGCTACTCTTGACTCCGTCCTCGTCCGAAAGAATTTCCTAAGACCACCGTTTCGTACAATAGATATGTGTGAACCCTCGGAACTCCTCGAAATTTCAGTCAGTCGTAGAAAGAATAGGAAACATAACCGCCCGGCATCTCTACTGAGGTCTTGAGTCCTTGATGTGCAGGTGCTTCGTCCACCGGGGTAGCTTTCTGTCCCGCTCGTACATGAAGCCGCAGTTGTTGCATAGAGTCTGTCGACTGGCGTTAGCATCTCCCAAGAAATAACAGAAATATCTCATCTTGGGATGGGTTTTTTCGAGAACTCACCCTTGGTCCATGGGGCCCATCACGAACGGCCCAAACACTGGTGCCCCATACTCTACAGTGGTAGCATCTCCATGTGAACCGCTCTTGTTCCGTCAGTGTGCCGCCACCGCCATAACCGCCACCGCCGCCGGCACCAACATCAGGTGTGAACCTGCCTCCCGGCGTGCTAGCCCTCCCCAGCGGGGACAGGCTCCTGAATCGCCGCTTCTTCTTGCTCCGCTCGCCGCGCCCCATCCGCTCCTCCTCCTGCTCGATCAGACCCGTGAAGCCAAAGCCAGCAGGCACACCGCCCATCATGCCGGTGTTGCTCGAGAACCGCGCCGTTTCGCGACGCAGTCGCCTTATCTGCCTCTCTCGGTCGCCCTCACGCTTCTCGATCTCCTCCTTGGACAGTGTCTCAATCTTAGGCTCCCACTCGTCCGCCAGATGCTCCGGGTCATACCGCCACCCAGCTCGCTCCCCTTGCGCCGTGATAGCTGCGTCATTTGGGAAGTCGCCGCTATTCATGGCGCTTGCGCCCACCCAGCCGGATATCACGCCGCCGGACTCGCAGGCTTCCTTCTTCAGACGTAGGACAGCCTCATAGATCGCGTGTGTCATCGCTGGAACCCATTCGCCAGTCAAGCCAAGATCAGCGCACGTCTGCTTGGAGAATGCTTCCGCAGTTCCTGCGGGGTGGAGGAGCGACCATTCAAACTTGTCTGTGTATAGCTGGTGCCCGAGGTTGATGCTCAAGTTGATGATGCACCGGTAGGTATCTTCAGGGTTGAGGTCGTCTGAGTCGGCTGTGACATGTTCCGCGGTCGCGGTGACCTGGGCGCTCGTCTCCTGCGTCGGTGCAGTCGTAGCTCCAAGGACTGGTGTCGACGTTCCGAGGGCCGAAGGCGTCGCAGGCAGGTGGGACAGACCGCTTCGAACAGGCGTATCAGGCCCGGTGGAGCCAGATGCCTTGAGCAGAGGGGTAGGTGGTATGCTGGTGCCATTTTGCCGAGGGCCTGATTCACTACTGCTGGCATGTGAGTGGAAAAGGGGATGTAGGGCGACGCCGGCGTATTCCTCAAGCTGGGTCCTAATTTGCTTGCTGATCTCGGCAATGGCCAGATTCCTGTTAGGTAGGTCGAGGTCTTGAACAAGAGTTGCCGCAAACTGATCCGTGGTCATCAGCGTCTCGTGCAGATTCCACAAGAACGTATCTCGGAGCTTGTATGGAATGGTCATCTCGCCCGACTTGTACTGCGGCGCCGTGTAGTCAATGCCTGGCATGTTGGGGGCCGGTGGAGGATGCGCCGGGAGAGGCGTGAAGGCTGGGATGTCGAGGTCGATGCGGATGGGGATGAGGGTCAGAGGTAGGCAGGATTGCGCGTAGTTCTGCATGTCGGAAAGGCCCTGCCTTGACTTGTTCATCCAGTCTCGGTATACGCCTTGCACCTCAACGGGCTCGTAGATCTCCTTGTCGAACTTGTCGCCGGGGTCGAGCTGGGCGCTGCTGTCTTCGCGACGCAGACTGCGCAGTCCGGTCGGCCGCCGTCGCGAGTTGTCGTCGTCGGAGACATCATAGTCGTAGCCGTCTTCTGCATAGTTGATGATTGTGGTTCCCCGCTTGGTAGTTCGAGATAGAGGGCCTGATGGTTGCGAGGAGGGAAGAACAGGCGTGAGGAGCGAATTCCTGTAGGCGCGCAGTCGGGGCGCATAGGTGGAGAAGAAAGCTTGGGGCTCCTCTCTCACCGAAGCCGACGACATTGTAACCGTGTGTTGAAGTAGGTCTTTGGGGGGATGCTGGAGGAACCTTGAAGAGGTGCTATCGCATGGGGACGGTCGCGAGCGCTGGCGCTACAAAGGGAGGTCGAGGACGAGGACAGAGAAATAGAGGGCTTCCGGGTCAGGCTGGGCCCGGCGGCGGGGCTGCAGCTTGCCGCAGAGCAATCAATTGGCACCAGATGTGGAGATGAACGGGTTGATCTAGGGAAGCAGGGAGTAAAAAGATAGCAGAGGTGGTTGTAGTGGGCGACAATGACGACGAGTGGATTACATGCGAACGATGGATGGATGGATTGTTCACTGCAGTTTTTTTGCTATCGCGTTGTCGACCAGCTGAGTCGCGCTCAAGCCAGCAGCCGCTAGAGGCTCCTCCAACAGCCAACAGCGGGGGGTCCTTGAGAGCGCACGGACCACATGTGCTTGTTCCTAAGCAGCCTATCTGGGTACCAAGGTACTTCCAAGATTGCTGGTAGTCTGGGGGCCACCGCACACAGCAGGCAGCGCAAGTTGTCCTACCTTGGTACAGTAGGAGAAGACACTTATAGATGGTGCCATTCGGTATTGTTCATAAACGACTTGAGGGTTGGTATCCAGGATAATAGAAGGAGGGCTCATCAGTGCATCATTCCGAATGAACCGCCGGTTGAGCCTTCTTGCGGCGTCTGGCCTGTCCAATCGTGTATTAAGTCAGGCCATTGTGTAATGCTCACACGGTTCCTGGACCGGCTTGGAGCACCTGTATATCGGACACTGTACGATCTCACAGCACTCCTTTGCATTAAGAAGCTAGAACACGTGGTCACTGAGCCCTAGGGACACATGGGAGGCGTTCCCTGTGTCCGTCGACTGAAGCACGCTCCGGAACATCACCGTCACAACTGCACTCAGAAACGATTGACCAGAACATCTGATTGGATTGGCATATGTGAGTTGACCTAAATGAAGTGTTCTCGAGATCGACCTGAATCCCGCATAGACCCGAATTTCGCTAGCTCTCAACACACATCACATTTCTACAGCTCCATCTCAGCCTCGGGCACAGCGTGTTCGGGTTTACCTGTAGCTTGGTTAGTAACACATCATATGGTCCCAGATACCTTATCCAGCCGTACTCTTCGCTTGCTTCCACTCCTCTACCCATGCCTTCACAAAGGCAACCTCCTGCGCCTGAGCATCCTTGACTGGAGCAGGAGGTAGGTCTGTTGTAGTCTGATTGGGAAACAGTCCGTTTTCGTCCCAATGGTGCACGCCATCCTTGATCAATATGAACGGCTCGCTCGTAGTGGACACCCTGTCTGGCAGGCCGATAGCATGAGGAGTCGCTTGTCTCCAGGGGTCTTTTTCGCCATCAACAATGGCCAATCGCGGGTATGAGATATTGAAACCTCCCCATTGGTTGATGCGCTCGACCTTCGAGGAGGTGGTGATGTTGAATGCCTCTTTGCAGATGATCGATGAGTAGTCGAGATCAATAAGGCGAGAAATGAGAGGGAGCTGGTCTTCTGGCACGCCCGAGCCGGTCTGAAGGTATCCCCACTCAAAACAGTATTGCCAAGGCCATGCCCTCCAAGTCTGTGTGATATCATCTTGCTTGTAGAAGCTGGAGTCATAATTGGTCACACACTCGTCCTGGCTCAACCCCCGGGACGCGCAACTGGCAACGACAGTACTGTTGATGTAGCCAATGTAGTTGAGCAGCCGGTTGGTAAGCGTGTCGACCTGGTCCTCATACCCTCCTGCCTTCAGGATCTCGACTGCCTCTGCCTTTCTTGACACTGTGGCATTGTAGACAATCGCATCACTAGATATGGTGTCGCAGTAGACTCCAAAGCTCGTGTCGTTCAAAGCCGGGTCCCAGTTGGTACTTTGCAAACCAGCAATACCTCCCTGGATGGAGCTCGCGAAGTCGTCGTCTCGGGTGACGTTGCCGAGCCCGAACACGTCCTTGACCCTCTGCACCCACTCCGTCCCGTTCTTGCCAATGAGGATGTTGTCCACGACGTTGGTCAGCTTCTGGGTCGTGGTCGCACAGTCACCTGGGGCAAAGAGCCTTGCTGCTTCGTAGTAGGCCCAATAATCATAGATAGCCTCGGTGACTCCGGAGCTCGAGATGGCTCCCCAATAGACGTCCGGGTAGAGCTTGCGGAGGAAAGCCACAAATGCTCCAGCATAAGACCCTCCATATGCGATGTAGGCGGTACTGGCTGACGTGAGGTCGAGATCCTCGAGCCCTGGGAACTTTATGTTCTGGGCAAAATAAGCCATGTCAGCCAGGGCCTGGTCCGTTGTGAGGAATCGCAGGCTCTCGATGCTTAGATCAGAAACCGGGAAGCTAGTGCCATAATAGCGATGTTCTAAAATGACTCCCAGCCCACCGGTGGCTTGGGCGAGTATGGATACGATGCCCTTCTGGAGGAATGGCAGGCGGCCAACACCGGAAGTTTCTCCGCTCTGTAGGACGATGACAGGCCCGCCTTGTTGATAGTGGCTCGCATCGAACCAATATCTCAGATTGAAAGTGTCATTGGTCTGGGATTGGCCCGAGTTAGCGACCCGGTGGTTGAGTTAGGTATAGAATCAGCAACTTACGTGTGGTTCATACAAACTATCATTATGAAAATGATCGATGGGCACCGAGAGGTTGTGAGCTGGGTACAATAGGCTCGGGTCCGTGTCGGCGGCAGCAGCAGCAATGGCAGGGGCGGCCTGGAAGCTGCTGTACTTGTCCTGCAGCAAAGCCTCGCCTGCTGCGATGTTTTCAAGCTCGCTGACAGAGAAGGCGGTGCGGAGACACTCGGCACCCGTTGCAAGAGCCAGTGCCCCGACAAGGAGGGTCTTGGTGGTAATCTTGCTCTCCATGTTGGCCGGTTCAAAGGCAAGACAGGCCGACAGACAGGCACACTCCCAGCTCGAGCGATCTTGACTTGCTCGGTGCGGAAGTTGCAAAAGGTGTTGATATACCTCTCAACAACAATTGGGGAGTGAGTAGGGAGGGGAACAGACAAACTCACCGAGTCTCTGATGCTGCTGCACACATGAGGAGGCGTGCAGTTGTGGTGTGTGCGTGTGCGTGTGTGTGATGGGCTGCAATCCCGGGACATCCAACGCGACCTCCGCCCGAGCCCAGTGCCGGTGATACTACGTCGCGATCGTATTCACGGCAACCAAAAAAGCATATCACAGCACCACCGCGTCAAAAGAGGACAGGATATGCAGGCGAGAGAGCCGGTGGCGGCCGTGTCTGGGCGGGATTGCTGGATGAGTCGGGCCTCTGGGTCGATATCGTGCTCGCGCCTATCCTTGATGGGGCAGGTGAGATGGCTCCCCCAGGCCCCCCACCCACTTGGCAGCTTGGGGGGAGCTCGAGCTCGAGCTCGAGCAGGCAGCAAACAGCACGTACCCACGGTAACGTCGAGCAGGCATGGCTGGTGTCCACGGACGCAGGTACACACAGGGGCATGGATGACTAACAGGGCAGCAGAGTCGGCAGCTGGCTGGACCCTGAAAGGCACCAGCTGCTAGCAGAAGTCGCCCGTTGTGCCGTTATACCCCCTAGCACGATATCTGTCAGTCTAAAAACAGCCGCTGCACAAATATAGCACAATGCATTGACAACCGGCAAAAGACTCCGAACACGATCGCGAAATTATTTCGCACACTGTTGAGCAAAAGCTGGAATCCAGGCTCAGTCATGCGCGATTTCAAGGACTACAATGTGTTGATCTCGCCCAGAATCGCTCGTCCACACCAGGTTGCTCGGCTCTGCAGCGTAAGCCCCCGCTTTTGGGATTCCACGAGCAGGGCTAGCGAAAGAAAGCTGCAGGTCACATACGAAGCATGCGCGTGGGAATCAATTGCTGGATGCAGCTTACGGGGATTATCACAAGAATAGACACTAATCAATCCCACCAATCCAGTTAAATTTCATAAAATCACATAACGTTCTACCATTGCGTTGACTGTCATGTGTTTTCTGATATGCTGAGGTTGGACAGGTGGACACCTGGGTAGAACAAGCCCGCAAGACTGCCGGTGGCGTGGGCTCATTCTAACCAATACCTACAGCTACCTGCCATCGCTTCCTCACGCTTTTAACTATAGGTCTTCATCCATTCAGCTCGTGACTTTGAAAGAAAGAGTTCGCATTTGTCTCTCTCGTCAGATCCAGTAGAATGAGTCCCTCCGATCCCGAATCAAGTAGGGACTCAGAGAATCGGCTCCCCAGCCTTGACCAGCTAGACGCAACGCACATGGTCACGTTTCGCAGTGCGTTGAAGAAAATATTGGTCATTGAGGTCGCATAGTCTGCATACTCAGACATCATCGATGGCCTGCCGACCAAAGACTCCTGGGGTGAAAATCACTGGTGGCAGTTGGGAATGGTTCACTTTATAGAGGAGGTGAGCCACGACGAGCTCTGTGCTGGCTCCCGTGAGAAGGCGAAAGTACTTCGTTTAGGTTTCGATTTGTATACGTTATCCTTTCCTACCAAAGTATGCCCCGCCCCAACAACAACAACAAAAAAACATTAACCTGGGAAGGAGGAGCAACACAGGACAAAATACTATTTGTTTAGCCCTCATGTGATCCCAGTGTCAAACTAGTAAAAGGAAGAGCTGACTCTAAAGGTGCTCCAAGACATTTCAGAATACACGCACAGGGACAAGAGACCTTTTTGGGGCCTTATTAAATCACTAGCAAGGTCCTGTCACCAGATCGCCGTTCTCCTATTTCAAATCGATCAAGGGATCCTTTCGCATTTTAACGTCCTCCGAGACTGGTCTGAGAGGAATGAGCCACCAAGCAGAAGCTCAAATCATCAGATTCACAGCGGAAGAAATTGGCCGGAGATTGCATATGAAGTAACGCTTCTCAACCTGCTGACAGCACGCAGACGCCGGGGGGCCGGTAGACGACAGAGACATCGCAGAGGCCGAGGTAGGGCAAATGCGTATTACTTCGTCTCCACCTAACTGGCTACGGGGTGGTGGCATCTGAACGCGCTGTCTCGAGTAGTTACAAAATCCTCATCGCAAGTATAATGAGATGCTGGGAAGCCACTGTGCCTGTTAGCAGTTCCGACAGCATCTACAGAAATGAGAGACCGGACAAGTGGAAATTAGTCAATAACGCCTGCCCAAGTAGTTAAATCTAACAATTGAATCTGTCTTTTTGTTATCTCAAGTTGTAGCGAGGTCTTTGTTTACCAGAGCTAGGACATTACACAGAATTTGTCCTTAATCCCTGGCATGACTCATCCTCCTTTCTCTCTTATTCTGAGCTGGTGAGTATTGGTGGGTGTCATTAGCATCAGTGAATATCGCCAACTAGACATCCTAAAAGGAGAAAGGAATGTGGACAAAAAGCAAGGCCAGCCCTCGTTTCTGACTTGGATATATAGAACTTTTTCCCCCCATTGACTGGGCTCTGCCACAGCATATCAAGTTGGAATTGCAGGGTGAGCCCGGGCACATTTAGACAGACTGTCAACCACCAGGCACTGGGAAGGCGATCCCCGAGATGCTGGTCGTGGTTATCGTCCAGGTGGCTCCTTTGGACATATCCAACATGCTCTCTTGTTTGTTCAGTCGGAGCTATGTGGACCATAAGAATCTCGTTAAGTTAAAGATCGCTGTGTCTGCGAATTTAAGAATCTCTCGAGTCGAACTCATCGCCTCAGAAATACCTGAATGCTGTAAAGCCGCTGCCTTCCAGCCGCTGCTGCTTGGCCTTTCGGGTCAACTACCACCGTGATCCCAGGGTGACCACCTGGCCATGACTCTCAAGCGTAATTGATTCTTGCAACGCTGAAACCAGCTGAACCGACTTGCCAGATTCCTGGCAAGACGAAACTCGGTAATCAATATGGAACCCATCTGAACTTTGGATCTAGAGTTTCTATCCGTCAATGTTCGCAGACATCCATCTCAACATCTCAATGACCGATCAGTCATCGATCAACCGGTTAATCCTGGTGTTCTATATATTCACCATCAATCTAGGGGAAACTTTAAGCAAAGCTTAGGGATGTCACTTCCATTGGCCCTGGACACACAAGCATCTTGGCATAGACTTTGCCTCCACTCCATGGGGCTGAAGGAGCCGCAAGCGGCTAAGGCTGGTCCACGCGACAGATTTCATGCCTAGAGCAAGAGTCATGACCCCTGTTAGCAAGGCTCAATTTAAAGCCCCTGCGTCTTACTTGTCCCTGTATCACCCCACTCGCAACGACCTGGAGGGTGAGGGCCTTCGCAAAGTCGGGAAGCGGGCGACCCGGCAATTAAATCACCGCGCGCCTGATCTCAACATCGAAGCCACCTGTAGTTCGGCAGAGACTCACGCCTACCGACCTTCAGATGGAAGGGCTACCAGCGTGGAAAGCAGAGGCCTCACCACCGTCTCAACTCCGGACTAAGCAGTCCTTAAGTGCTCGCTTGCGGAAGGCTTAGCGTCCCTTGCCAAGCACGGCCTCGCCGCCTCCAGGTCCTATTCGGCAATCTATCGTGACTTTTTTAGGCTCAACGTCGCGCCGGCCTGTTCCGCCAGGTTGGTGCTCGGTCTCCGTCCTCGCTTGGAGATGAACTCCCTGTTCTGGATACCACCCTGTCACAGCGACACATGGGGATTCCACACTGACTCGACATCTCCTACACCTCTCAATCCCCTGCCCTCGAAACTCTCTTTCTTTCCGGCCCGGAACCTTGCCCTCGTGGTGTCGATCTCTTTCCCAGGCTGGCCCGGATTGCTATCACTTTCAATTCTTCCCCTTCTCAGCCAGCTGATTTACGATCATTGCATCTGCGACTCTTCCTTCAAGCCAGCGTTGCGCGCTGGGTGCGCTTTGATATCGAGCCCAACCTCAGTCACTCCTTTTCTACGTGGCCGCAACTTAGAGTTGTTGATGGCTTGACGAATGAGCCTACCGCCTACGAACTATGAGGAACTGCAAAAGCTTGGCTTGAACAAGGACCAAGAACATTCATTCTCCGCCCCATCTCTGTCGACTGAAGCGCTCCTTGACGAAACATTCCCGCGAACATCGACAAAATGGAGGAGGACACTGCCAGGCACGGTCCCGGCTCAAGAAGTCAAGCCAAGACGCCGGAGATTTTTGTAGTAGACGAGGGCGCAGGAACCACGCACTGGGACCTGAATACGACACCGACGGAGACCACTGCGATGAATGGGGACAGTGCCAGCATGCACTTGGAAATGGAGACCAGGAGTGTGGAGGGAACCACAGTAATCGAACGTGGTCAATCGACACGGTCGACAACGGACATCGACCCCCCGAGACCCGCTGTCGTGATGGACAACCACTACAGCGACCTGCCGGAGGTGGTGGAAGCTATCCCGCCGTCCTGGGAACTGGGTGACAGCAAAATGCCAGTTATCACCGATGACGCAAGCGAGAAGATTGCTGCCATGGATGGACAAATACCAGCGTCGATGCTTTCGCCATCGCTGGCAGACCCGGTCCCAGCGTATCCCCACAGCCTCAGGTACCGGTCGTCAAATCTCAGCACTGTGCCCCTAACCAGTGATCGAAGCGTGCCGAGTTCACCATACTATGATCAAATGCAAATACAGGATGAGGAAGTGCGCGAGGTGAAAGTCTGCGGCATGGGAAGCCGGGTGTTCATGTGTGTGGCGATTGGTCTGCTGGTCTTCGTCCTGGTACTGCTTGCCACTGTCCTGGGCGTAACTTTGACCATGAAGGGACGACAATCGAGTAGTGATTCCTCAACACACGACATATTAACGATTTTAAATACATCGCAACTAGCTGCGGTGAACTGGACAGACACCACTGGTACTGCTCGATCGGCTGTGTTTTACCAAGACTCCGAAAGCACCATTCTGGTATCCCTCCGCGATTCAATTAGCAATAGTTGGTATTACAGCAACGTCACGCAGGCGGTAATGAATATGACGGGGGCCGACGCCTTGGACGTTCTCGCCGGAACACCGCTTGCAGCTGTTACCAACTCTTACCAGGTCAGCTTGTACTACTTGACGAACAACAACCACGTGGCGGAGATATGGGCCTCGGATATCATTGGCGAAGTATGGTACGCAGGAGAGCTGGGCACACGCCTTGCGCCTCAGGCCATGGAAGGATCTAAGCTTTCTGCATATTGGCAGATCTGCGAAAACTGTACCAACTCATTGTTCCTGACTTATCAGGAGCCGAGCGGCAGTATCCAACTTTGCAACCTCACCAACAATACCTGGTCATTTGCGGGTCCAATTGGCACCGAATTATCTACCAATGGGACGGGACTCGCACTACGCCCATTCACCGATAATGACGGCGCTGGTCGATATGGTACAATCGACAATGCATTAAGAGTCTACCACTTCGACACTTCAGGGAAGCTATTGGAGATCATGCAAGGGCCCGAAACAAACTTCACCTGGGTGGACGGCAGCTCCAGTAAGTCTACTCTGCAAAAGCAAGCGATACCGAGTTCTGAACTGACAAAATGTCCCAGGCACCGCGCTCAGCAGTGCTGCAGCGATGATCGACCCGAGCCCGGGACTAGCATCGACTTCATATGGTGACCACGGGTGGACGAACATGATCGTGATGTACCTCGCCTCGGACGGGACTTTGACGTCCAGTTACTGGAACGAGAGTGTCTGGACGCGCGGCACCCCTAATCTCAGCGGCGGTTCGTCGGGCTCGACCAACTTCACAGCGATAGCCACGGCGCAGAACAGGATGATCTACGGGTTGTCGAACGGGGGCATCTACGAGTACCGTTTCGACGATAGTGATCCGCTTAATTGGATTTTCACATCCGACGTGGCGACCAACTGACGTGTATATTTACTATCTATATGAGGCGAGGCGTTCACGGTCATGAGATTCCCAGGATTTGCGCTTAAACCATGATTGACTTTGTATCAATATTAGAAGTTTCTGTCACCCAATATACTTGATAGACATTTGACTGGACCGTGGCTTGATCAAGGGCAACAGTGACACATTGGAGAGCCAGGGTGACTGAATTACTGTATTTGACTACTTGAACTTGGATACATGTTCAGCTTGCACAAGTGCATGTGTCTAGCTTCTATGATGATGATATTGCGCCGCTCCTGATGCACTTTGATAGCTTTCCAATCAAATCCATTCGCTTTCTGCTATATCACAATGTGTCTTTGCGGCCAATTCTCTTCTACTTAGATGAGGTTGCCAGAGCAGTATCTATAAATAAGTGCTTCCCAAACAGTGGAGGCGGTCTCGATTTGTAAGGGTCACAAATAATAATGCCTCATCCCAAGCACAGAAACTCTTGGTTTCAACCAGAGTGATTCTGTTTCTCAGATCATCTTGTCATGTTCTGTTGCAAGTTTCAAGCACATTTGTCCCTACTTGGATCCCCAATCATTTCGTCTCCAATAGAGAGGTGTGCTCCTCACCCTATCTTAAACGTAAGGCCCGTCTATTGGCATAACGAGATCATGTGATGGCCACCTAGTGCCACAGCGAAGCTCCTCTGACAATCAGCACCAAGTGCCTTGATTTGAGCAGACTCTTTGTTCGTGTTTCTGTTTTGCCACAGCGTCCGCCAAGCTTTCGAAGGTGAAGACAAGCTGCAGGACATGTTTGCAGGTTCCCGAACCATTTTATTTTGTGGCTGATTCTGCGCTCTCAAAAATTCTGATCGTACATATATACCATAATGTGATTTTGATCCTCTCAAAATTTTACTGAAGATTGGTCAACATTTGGATAGTATATTGGGGCAACGGTGTGGACTCAGTGAACAAACGAGAGTGAAGCAGAGGAGCCCCCCAACCCCATTTTGGACTGCGCGGCAGTCCATCAAGAACAGTCCAAGGCGGATTCCGAAGAGACAGGCCAGGCAAGAGCAGCTTAACCAACGGAACTGTTATCGCCTTACAAATTTGAAAGTCAAATCATTAATTAGGAGGCCGACTGTGTAACTACATGCGCCCCGGCATTATCGTCGGAGGGGGCCGATGGCTTGTAGCTTATCAACATTGAACTAGCCGTGCCCAGGTGTACCACGAATAGCTTCCCCAACGTTTATAAAAGCCGCCTCTCCGCAGGCCACTCCTTTTCTCATCTCTCCAGTCAGAATGTCAGACGGAGGTCAGCAAGACATCCGGGACTTCCCAAAATCCCCGCCGCAAATTCACGTTCGCTCTCCACGGACCCGCGATATCAGTCCAAGATCAATATGGCGACGAAGTACGTTGAAAGGCAGATCCCAAAAGTGAGTGAAGTCCTTAAATACTTGTTGACCGCGGCTGGATCGGCAAATATTGGGAGGGCCGCACCTGTTGCTTTGCAGGCTACTAACATACTACAAGATCTCGCTGCGAGATTTCGATAGCAGGATAGATGAGATAACTACTGAGCTGTGTCACGCGTCGGAGAATGTCGGCTTTTTCTCGATAGTTGACCACGGCATCACCCAGACTGAGGTCGACAAGGCCTTCGCCACCTCCGAGGCCTTCTTTTCACTTGCGGATGATGTCAAGGCATCCGTAGCTTGGAACCCTCAAAACGTCGGTTGGGAGAAGAATTCCCAAATAAGACCATCCACAGGCGCACCAGATATGAAGGAGTCATATCAGATTCAGTTCGGTGAGAACATGCTCACTGGTGGGAAAGGTCCTGATGGCTTCACCAGCATGTGGATGAGCGACACTCACCTGCCCGGATTCAAAGACAACTGCCTGGAGTTCATGCACCGGGTCCAGCAGGTATCAAACAAATTGATGGTCTGTCTCGCTCGGAGCCTGGGATTCCCTGATAACTACTTTCTCGAGTCCCACGATCCATCAGATCCTAGGTGCCAGAATGTTCTCCGCCTGCTGCATTACTTCCCCACGCCGGAGTCGAACGACGGCCAGGTCTGGCACAGGGCGGGCGCGCACGCTGATTGGGGTCTGCTCACGCTCCTCTTCCAGCACGAAGGTCAGAGCGGTCTCGAGATCTGCCCCGGACGTGAGGCGGTGACCAAGTTCGCGCTCGGGGATACCTGGACCAAGGTTGAGTTTGAGCCAGGAGCAATAATCTGCAACATTGGGGACATGTTGATGCGCTGGTCTGACGATCGGTTCAAGTCGACATTCCACCGCGTGAAGGCGCCCACGGAGCCGGGCGACTATTACGGGGAGCGGTACTCGATTGCTTTCTTCAACCAACCCAGCAAGGACACACTCATTCAGGGGCCGAATAAGAAATATCCGGAGATAACGGGGCGGCAATTTATAGCAAACGCCATGAATACGCATTTCGCGGCTTTGAAGAAGCAAGTGGAGAATAAGGACGGACAGGTGGGCAAGACAACGACAACAGAGGGAGCACAGATTGTGAAGGCTACTGCTTGAGACGAGGAAAAGCATTTGTTTCGACGGGTTGAGATGGCCCTGAAGATTGTTGATATCAGGAAGGGCTACTATCTTCAACTTTCACAGACTTTGGGCTTTTAGCCTTTTGCCGACTTTGCCGAGTATGAAGCTAGCGGTTTCTGGGATCAGATTGAAGTTTAGTTTCAAAGATCAAAGGTCCGAATTATTGACCAAAACCAGTTTCATTTGCTCTTGTCTAGATCTGTAGGAGTAGCATTCTTAAGTCCATTGTCTTTACCCCGGCTATAAGCCCCTTGAGCCTTAAGCTGAGTATTCATTGACAACATTTATGCCTGATGGAAAATATGCATGCGTGATATTGCGGGGGTTTGTGACAAAGAAGCTCACATCTGTCGTCAGTGCCTTAAGAAGCCACTCACGTTGCATACATAAGTCATGTGTCATGTATTTTGATTCCCGTCAATGAGTCTGCAGGCAGCTTTTAAATAATTCGTTCTTTCGGACTAGCGTAGGCAATTTAGCTAGCAGCAAAGACCAATATAAAACAACCTATCTAGGAAGGGATAGCTTTGACGTGCACAGTTCTAAAAAGGCATTGAAAAGTTTCCGAAGTGCAATTCAGCGTGATCATACTAGGCTTTTAACGACATAATGCTTTCCTTACTCCTGCTTTTGTGCTGCCTGTGGGAAGTACATGCTGAGAAACAACGAGCCTGGTGACCGTAACAACGTCAATAAAGGTGAAGACAAGTTGACTCTCTTCCTGAGGGCACCGAATTAAAGACCGTACGTAACTTATAAAGAATCCCAAAGCCAAGACTCCAGGGCGGGTATTGTGGGTGTTCTCGGCGCCCAATGCTGCGTCGTCACCCAGCGGCTCACATTGGAACACCCATGGCAGTCTGAGCATCCCTGATTTTCATCTCCTGCTTCACTAACGTCTGTGATAGCTTAAACAGGCGGTCTCTCTCATCTCTGATTGCGGCCCTGACATGGGTTGCGGCATTGTGCATGCCATCCTGGATCTGGGTCTTGAGCACGGCCTCCAGGCTCTCCAGCCGCTTGGTGGACCTAGCCATCGCTGTGCGCACTTTGTTCAGGCTGTCCTGGCTGGCTTTCATCATCGCCGCCGAGGGTGCTGTTGAAGATGCAGTCGAAGGCGTTCCAATGACGGCGGAGGTGCCGCTGCTTGGTGGGGGCGCCATGCTCGGATTGGCAGTGAGGCTGGGGTCATGGGCGGCGGTGTCGCCTCCGTTGGCAGGCTCGGGAATGGCAGAGGGCCCTGTCATGCCCGCCATGGGCGTGTCGGGCGCGATGGGCCCATCCAGATCGAACGCGAAGGAGGGCTCGCTGCCGCTGCTGTTCAAGTAGGCCTCGCATTTGGTGAGATGGTTCTTCATGCGCTGGATGTTGTCGGCGCAAGCGTCCTTGTTGCAGTGGAGGCAGAAGGCGCGCTTCTGGGCGTGGGCCTCATCCTGGAGGCGACATTAGTCAAGCATGGACACTGTAGGGGATGCTAGCATCGATGGTGGGAGATGGTGGGAGGTAGTGTCAGGGGTGGGATAGCCATGTGAGGCATGGCTTGGGATCGATGCGGCGTTCAGAACGCTGTAGCTTTCGTCTGACGGCGAACGAGATGCATCGGTTGCAGCGAGAGAGACCAGGGTGCAGCCATCCAGACCAACTTACCTCGTAAGTTCGAAAATGTATCCTCGTATCGTTGTCCAGTTTTCGAGGCATGACTGTCGTATTTGATTCGCCTGCTTCTCTTCCCCTCTACAGCCTGCTGTCTCGCGGTGTTGTTGCTCTTCAGAGCCGAGAGAAGTGCACGTAAGTTGACGGCAGAGCGAACCCGGCGTTCAGAACGCCACCAAAATTTCTAAAGTTACGGAGGTCCGTACAGACCCTAACCCGGCCAGCATCGGCTTTTCAGCCGCACCCACCCGGTGCAGTCATCCTCCATCCTCATCTTCGACTTCCCAAGTGCTCATAGTTACTCTCGCACAGCCTGGGCTTATGACTTCAATAGGACTCATCTGGACCAGAGATTCTGCTGAATTCATGAAAAGACTTATTTGATATACCGTACATACGAGCCTAGCAGCATCGCTCAGGTGTGCGAGATTCCTCAAACTGGCTGCCTGGCTAGAGGCTCTCGAATCCCGTCGGTTCACCTATAAGTTCTTCGTCTCCTGGGGCTGGTATGCATAGGCTACATGGTTTGAATAAGACTGCTCCATTTAGTCTAGCTTTGTACGCCGCAAAAATCTCCTTCATTCCCACTCGACAACAAACACCCCGGTGATCCTTGAAAGCTAACAGGGTTGCAAGGAACTTGAGGTCCTAAGCGGTACCGTCAAGGAACTGTCCCAGTCCGGTGTCTCTACCAATCAATCACAATGATCGAGAAGAGTGCACATGTACCGGCTGTCCCATTTCCCCAAGAAGCCGAACTCGTGGAATGGGATCTGGTATGCAAGGATCCTCCAGCCGGACTCGATGAGAGCCTTCCCTGTGTCTTCATTGACCCCGACACTGACGAGCTCCTCCTCACTTCTCGGCACATGACTCTGTTTCTCAGAAAAGACCTCGACTTCTCAAGATTGAACGAGGCATACCCTTATCTATGGTGGAGCGGCCGCCAAGGTCCAGCCCGATCACTTCAGAGACAGGTGAGCAGTCTCGGGCGGACCGTCTGCTCTACGGAACGCGCAGACCTGCACCTTGTTTGGTGTCCAACCACTGCACGGCTGTTTCTCAGGCCATTGCCCGCATACATACTGTCGCATGCGTTTTGGACAGCCTATCTTCTTCCAGATCAGGATCTAGCTGCTTCAGCTCGTGGCCTTCTGCTTTCGTATGTCTGGCTTCTGCGGAGCGAGCAGGACTGGAGGATTGCACGTCAAAACCATCTTCTTCCACCGGAAGTGAGCTGGCCAAAATGGCGCTCTTTGGTGGAAGCGATGCTTGACATCCGCCAGTCTGGATGCATCGATGTCAACAGTCTAGCTGGCGTCCACAGGAGATTTCATTACGGGGGCTTGCGATTGAATCGTCTGGATCACATTCTTCGCTTCATGCCTCCTCACCGAGTCGGCGATCTACTCTGGGGCTATGGTGGAGTCAGGCATCCTACGTACAGCGACTTTTTCCAGAGACGGTTTCGTTGGATCGTCCTCGCTTTCGCTTTCTGCACTACCGTTCTTTCAGCTTTACAGGTCGCCTTGGCGACAGATATCCTCAGCACATCAGCAGCCGTACATAGGCTATCATGTGTCATCGCTGTGTGGTGTCTAGTAACTGTAGCTTTCATTATTCTTGTCGTGTCTGTGTTATATGTTGCACTGTTCTTATTTAATGTGGTCCACACATTAAGACACAAACGCTGGCAAGAGCAACGCCGGGCTGCGTGGGCTACCGGGACTGGATGAAGAGCATCCCGATTCAGTGATTCTCAATCGGTCTGCCCTTTCTCTCTCTCGAGCTAGGATCTGTTGGCGTGTGTGGTTGAGATGGTGCAAAAACTAATTTCTTTCAACACTTCGCTGCTTGCCCGGGCAGGGAGAATAATCGGCCAGCAGTACTGCGGTGTAAACATGGAGGATTACGTATCGCGATATGAAATTTCTGCAGCAGTATTTTGGTACCTGCTGCCGGTCCGAGAGCGCAATCCGGAGCTTGATATCTGTTTTGCAAGCCTTCTTGTCTCAACCATGAGAATTCACTATCAGGATTAGGTCCATGCATATCTACCAGTTCGGCGCTGGTGACTGTCCCCTCTTCTTTCTACCAAGAAATCTCCAAGCTTGAATAAAGGACTCTGAATGTGATCTCCCAACCGGATCACCTTCATCAAGATGCGCAGCCCCTCGGGCATTTATATCGCTTTCTCGTTCTGCCTCTCTTGCCAGTCCTCGTCTTCGTCTTACTTCTCTTTCCTTCATTCTTCCCCTTTCCTTTGCTGTTTGTGCTTCCAAGTCTCGTTCTCTACGTTTACTTTCAGCTTGCTCTAGTCGTCGCAACTCCCTTCTTTCCTCGCCCCTGTCTCGCAGTGCTTCTTCTCTCGCTTGCTCTGTGTCAGTACGCATGTAGTTTCTGCTCCCTGTAGGTTTCCGAGCAGCAGAATCGGTGCTACTTCGACGACTGCGATTCTGCTCCTGCAAGGTCCTGGAGCTATTTCTCCGGTGGGCTACAGTTTCGCTACTAGGCGGTGACAGGATCGACTCCGCACTTGCACGCCGTCGGCGAAGGATTGACTCTCTGTCTGTGTTGGATCGTATTGACTCGGAACTTTGGTTTCTTCGAAAAGGTGGGGAAAAAGGACTTTTCGAGGCTTCGACTGTACCAGAGAGTCGAGATGACTCCACGTTTTGTCTTTTCCACTTCAATTCCTGAGTGTGGTCCCAAAGAAATTCTTTCTCATAAAGGGGAACCCAACGCTTGATGATCAGAGTCGAGGGTTTTTCCTAAATCATTGGAAATTAGATGATTCAATGGCATGGTAATATCCCAAATCAAAACAAACTTACAAGATCTCGCATATAAGGAATGTCGTATCGCCGAAGCGTTCGCTCGCTGAGCCACCTGTCTGACATCCTGGTGATACTCGTCCGCACGCCCTCAATGACCATCGTCTCGCCTGTGTCATGGATTATTGCGTCAACCTCGCCTTCCTCCAGCCCCGCCTCCAAGAGTGATCCTTTTAGCGAATTTTGGTACCATTGGTCACTCTCCTCAACTTCATCTTGAGAAATGCTCTCAATACTGGGAGGTGGATTATCCTGGAAAATTTTGCGGACGGTATGTTTGCCCAGGCCGTATCTCCTCATGTTCCTCTTCAAGCGTTCCACGTGCTCCTTTCTCTTTGTCACGTCCTCCTTGAGTGAAAGCGAATTCAACTCGCTAGCAAGTTTCTCTTGAAATTTTTTTTCGAACTCTTCTTCCTTCAGGGCTGCCTCTTTCGCTGCCTCCTCGAGTTTCAATTCTTGCTTCGCTACAAGCCGCCGATATTGTTCAAGGTCTCCTGACGACTTTCTTCTGCTAGAACGTCTGTCGTCCGCCAGTTTCAATGCCGCCGTATAAAATCGAGCTACTTCTCCTGCCACGTCGAGGTAGTTTCCATCCTCAGGGGCAGCAAATTTATTAAGTCGGAAATGATCAGTGGCAAGGCCGATTGCCCGATTCGCCCCCAATTTCGCTGAAGTCTCATCAACAACGAATTGCTGCGTAAATGGATTAGCTAGTAATTTGAATATGGATGTGTTGTCTCCGTCGGTCACCTTTATGTCATCTCGGCCTATCATCTTGCCGAGGTTGGACTCCCTCTGTTCGAAGAAGCAGGTGATACGCATCTTTGCCCGAGCAGAGAGTTTGAGGAAGTCCTCGGACACGTCCAGCAGCTCGCCTCGCTCAGCTTTCATCGCGTCCAGCACGCCGGCTTCCATTGAAGGATAAAGTTCAGACTGTGCTGCGATGGCTGCGAGCAAAGCGCTTTGGGAGCTGAAAGCCCCAGTTCCCCGGTGCGGCGTACCTAGGAAGACGGCTCCAACTGCTGAGCTGAGGATGGCTTCTTCGATTTCCGATTCAGGATATAACTTCGCTGTGATGAGCGCCCTTTGTATCACTAGTCCTCCAAAACAATGTCCGATGAAAATCAGAGGTCGCATTGGGTCTTCTTCTCGTTCCCGTGCCAGAACGAGAAGAAGCTTGTCCGCGATTGTTGGCAGTCTTGTCCGAATAGCTTCTTTCCCGAGCCAGAGAGAATCGTATCCGAACCGAAGTATCCGAGCCTCTGGTGTCAAGCTTGGCAGCATTTGAGGATCGGAAAGCCAGTTGACTCCTGACTTGCTGTCTTTCCATGTGATCTCTGGTATGGCGCCTAGCCCATGTACTGCGACAATGTCTACTGCAGCATCGACCAATCCTGGATTCATCACCCTCAGTCCAAGCTGGGTGGCTGGCACTGAAGAGAGCTTCTTGTCCTTTTCCGTGGTCAGGGTTTTCAGCCTGTCTACCCGGGTCTGCCCTGGACCCTCCTGTTGTTTCTCCCAAGGCGCATCATTTCCTACATTTTCAGTGAGATATTTGCGGGCTCTTTCATTGCGCTCGTTGATGTCTTTCTCAATCCGACGTTTGTCGCTATCGAATGCAATACTATACACTCGGTCTGACAGAGATCCTCTTACCGGAAGAGTTGTATTCCAAGGCGGAGTGTTTGCGCTGATAGATTCGAAGTATCTAGAAGTATTTTCGGGCTTGGATCGTTTCATCGATTGCTCTCTCAGCTCCTCCGCTCTCGCCATGCGATCGTATTTTCGCCTTGCATCCTCGTCTGATAGTATTTCGTACGCCCATTGCACTCGTTCAAACTCAGGCCGTCTTTTGACTCTCTCGATTGGGTCGGGCGATCTGTCAGGATGAATTTTCAACAGCAATGTTCGATAGCTTTTCTTGATCTCCGTCTGCGTTGCGTCTTCATCTATACCAAGGATGTCATATGGGTCTTCCGGGAGGTTGTCCATAACCGCCGACTCTCAAACACTGTATCTTATTTCCCTTCGACTCCCCCGAGTATCATTTTGGTTATACTCGGCTTGCTTGTGTCAGAGACGAAAGAATTCTGAAGTCGACGTCACTGGGACACGCCGATCTGACAGAACATTGAAGGATCAGCTCATGCAGGCTAAGCCCACACAGCTGTCCAATACCAACCGACTATTCCCCAGGCAGCCAAACTCCATTCAGAGGCGCCACACTTTCGGTCGGATCCGACATCTTGCCCTGCTGCTCAGCACGTATTCTTGCACTTCTCTTGTGGGCACATAGACGGCTGGGGTCTGATGCTTGGAGGCAGTCCGATTTGCGCCGATTGACGCGGATTGATGCGGATCGATCATTTTATCGTTCTACAAACCTACAAGACTAAATAGTTTACTAATACCAATTTCTCAAGTGCCAATCAGTACAGGGATTTGTGAATTGACCCGTGATCAACAGTATTGATCAGTCTGTAGGTTATGTATACACATCTGCAATGTTTAGACCTGGATGAACACAGTTATCTGACCCAGCTTCCACTTTCCACAACAACGTTGCGGGACATGAATGAGAAAGTGTAGAAGATCCGATGGATCTACCACAATCTAGGGAAGATCATTTGGAAATTGGTCTAAACCAAGATTCGTATCCGTGGCTACAGCCTTGACCTGAGACATCACAAGTCGCGACAGGAATGCATACCTAAGAATGCCCCTAGCGAAGGGCACATCATTTTAATAGCAGATCATCAAAACATCTTGTCTTCCTAGGCTTTCCTTTGTCCCCCTCTTCGGTTGCTTTGCTTTGACTTGACAATTCTGACCAGCAGAATCAAGACCACGCACAATGCAGCTCGACATCTACTGGACGACGCTCTTGATCCTCCTTCCGACGGTCATCATCCTCACAGGCCGCAATTTCATACTCCGACCCTTTGCGCGGATCCAATCAAGATGGCAGAAGATCGAATCCAACGAGAAAGACGACGACCACTCACCGCAAGATGCTGACGAGGCAGGGCCAACATCCAGAGAAGACGACCTGAGAAAGTTCCACCACAGCTTTCTCAGCATCTACCTGCTTGTCATGTCCTCCGAATGGCTGTCCGGGCCGTACTTGTACGCCCTCCTACGCGACGACAGGAAACTCCCCGAATCGGTCGTGGTTGGGCTGTACGCCACCGCGTACACATCAGCTGCGATATCTGCGCTAGGTGTGGGTTTTCTTGCGGATCGGTACGGACGGCGCAAGGCATGCTTAGCTCAGTGCTTGATCCACTCTTGCGCTTGCCTGACGGTTGTGTTCGGGGGCGATTGTCTCCCTGTGTTGTTCCTCGGTCGGGTATTGGCGGGCACGGCGTTGACATTACTATGGACTGTTTTTGAAAGCTGGATGGTTACAGAGTGGAACGCGAGAGGATTAGACCAGAATGGTGTGGAAGGAGGGTATGGAGGTCTCAGCGAGATGTTTGGCGTGATGACTACGACGAATTGTATGGCTGCTATCGTAGGCGGGCTGTTTGGGCATTGCATGGTCTCGGCAATAGGTTCGAAGATATGGCCGTTTTGGGCTGGAATAGTGAGCGTTCACCGCATAGTGCTGGGTGTAACAGTTGACTGACTGCCTATTCTAGGTCCTTCAAGGCGTCGCGGCAGTCTTGATGCTGAAACGATGGGTAGGCACCTTTAATTCACGCGAGTGATGCACACACGAGCACTAACAATCCTATCAGAACGAGAACTTCGGCATGAAGCAACATCTCAGCCAGAACGATCAGGAGTGTGTTGTAACCGACAGCAGCGGCACCGGACGGCTCGGTGGTAAGTCAAACACTTGCTGCCTATGTGCCGGTGCTAACAGCAGAAATAGACGGCCGCATATGGGCTTTGACCTTTGTGACGTGCTGCTTCGAGGGCACGGCGTTCCTCGTGATCTTTCTTTGGCCGAGCGTCTTGCAGGGTGCTCACGAAGCAGCGTCTGCTGGTGCTACCTCCGTCGAGATCCCTTATGGTGTTATTTTCGGCTCATTTATGGCCGCGATGATCATTGGAGCGATCTTCTTCAGCGCCTCGTCGAAGTCGATGAAGACCCAGGCCGCTCCCGTCTGGCTCCTTCTCAGCGCCGTCACCCTGGCCAGTCTCAGCCTATGGCTGCTGGGCGTCCTCGAGGTTGAGATTCCCCTTTACTACGCGTTCTTGGCATTTGAGGTTGCAAATGGTATATACGTGCCCAGCATGGCGTATATGCGTGGGTTGGTCGTTGATAGCAAGAGCCGCGCTGGGATATACGGGCTGATGAAAATTCCCTTATTTGTTTTCGTGATTCTCGCGCTGGGAATCACGGCCGAGGGTAAGTGATTCACGTCGACAAAGAGGCAAATAACTGTTGACGAGCAAAAACAGGCAAACGTTTCCGGTGCTTTGTCTTTGCCTCTGCATCGATGTCCCTCTTACTAGCGGGTGTTGCGCTGCTGGTTGGGTTCTGGGGGAGCCTGGGCCGCTCAGATGGAGCTTCCTGTGGTCTGCAGAGAGAAGTCGAGCATGCAGGCGGCGAATTGGCAGGAGAGCATGGAGTGAATATAGGGGAGGGTGAAGCAAGTTTGAGCAAGAGGCTTGACGTCCCGTGACGGAGTACTCAGGCAAGAAGGGTATGATTGGATTTGTTTGTCATGATGTGACCTTCCTCCGAAGCAGCTCGGGTCTCCCGGGGTTTCGCTATCGGCCGTTGGCTATTTCTTCTTCCTCATCTTCCCATTCCCCGTTCGCCTCGGCCTGTTCATTCGTCCTGGCCTCCGCGTCGCCCTCGAGTCCCTCGCTGTCAAAGCCATCCTCGTCGTCCATGTAGTCGTAGGCATCACTTCCAAGGTCATCGAGGTCCATCTCATCAACATCATCTTCTTCGCCATCCTTCCCAGCTTTCTGTCCACGCTTCGCCTTGCGCTTCCTTTCAACGTTTTCCCGCTGCTCTTTCCTGCGGGCTTCTTTTTCTTGTCTGCGCTTCTCCCATACCTTCTCGAGCTCTTTGATTTCTTCTTTGGACTTGTTGATGTACTCATGCCACATGACCTTCCCGCCGCAGAGCCCCTCCTCCACTTTGGTCAGTCGTAACTTCATGCGCGGCCCCAGTTCGACAAGCTTGACTGCCCGTCGCTCCACCCTATCGTTAGACTCAGCTGGCTCATCCTCTTCTTCCTCCTCCTCCTCGGCGGCGGCGGCGGCGGCGGCAGCTCGTCTTGCCGCGACCTTCTTGCGCTTGTCAGCCTCAAGAACCTCTACCTCGGCATCTGTGTCGACTTCGCTCCCGCTGGTGGCATCGGTTGTGTATCCGTCACCGTTTTCACCCCCTATCATGTAATCTGCGATATCCTGGAGCTTGCTGAGATTGGGAAGCTTGCCCTTTCGGCTCTTGCTGTTCATTAACCTTTCAGCTGCATTCAACCTCTTGACGGCTTTGGAAACACCCGTGACCTTGGTCGTGATCGCATAGTGTCGGAAATTTATAATGTATGAGCCGTCGTCTTCTGAAGATCGTTCGCGGTTGAGAAGCAGCACTCTGCGGATCGACTTCAGGGGCGCAACCTGGGGGTTGATCGGTGGAAAGAGGCCGTGGAACACACTCGTGACAAGTGTTTCAAGGTGTCGAGGTATTTTGTCGGAGCCTTTGCCAGACTCACTGGTCAACGAGTTCATAACGAGCTATGAGAGAGTCAGCGCATTCCAACATTAACAGGTTGACGAAGTGGAGCGTACCAATGGTGGAGTGATATACTCTTTCCCACCACCCAAGGGGTGCTTCTGTGCCCGTTTGACATCTCTTGCCAGCGAGTATTTCTCGACTCGGAAGTTTAGTGTTGGGCCTTGAGGTGTGGTGGACACACGCAGATTTGTGTTTCCGGACGAGGACCTCGAGAAGAGCAGTAGGTGCGTGACACCCAGGGGGCCGCACATTGTAACATAGTCTCGAAGTTTGTTGGCCTTCCTCTCCTTCAGACGACTTGCCGTACCGGGCTCCATCACCTTGCGCACATCCGTGGCCAATTGGCTGATACTCGAGCCGACCTCGCCCGCACCGATCCGGATGACCATGCTCTTCGGATCATTCTTGTCGATCTTGCCTGCTGAGACAGGGGCGCCATTTTTGGCATTGGGATTTGCCGCAGCATGGGTTCTCTTCTTAGTTCTCTTCTTCGCCATTGTGCTCGGATGATGTGGTGGTGGTTGAGCCTTTGTAAGCTCGGAGATGGAAAGGTGCGTATGTTTTGCGTCCTGGAATTGACGAGGCAGGCTTCTAGCGACGCTGCGAGAAGGGCAATCTGCAGGGCTCACCCAGAAAAATTTCAAGTGGGGGCTCTTGGATAAGACTGATAAGAATCCCTGCTGCTGCATGCGCATCCAAAAAGGACGGGCCCATGGTGCACTTCAGCATGCACAACTGGGCAAAAATATCCCTGCTCTACTAGTTCGAATACAAGCATCAACCTAAGAAACACTAGCACCCCATAAAAAAGATCACTGTCTACATCTTTGGATGGATTGTCTGCCTTCTCCGGCAGACTCACTTACACCCCACTTCATACCCTGCGCCAACACCTTCCACACGAGCCTCACGAACTGCCTCGACGAGATCGTTCGATTTCCTGACCAAATCTTCCGAGGCAACAGCATTTGCTATACTGGGTTTTGGACACGAAATCATGGCGACCGAGAAGGTGGCCAAGCGACAGAAGGTCGCTCATGGATCTCCTCGCTCAGCCTCTCCATCGAGCGCATCCTCCTCGTCTTCGAGTGGCTCAGACAATGAAGAGGTCGCTGTCCAAGGTGAGGAGGTCACCAAGACCTTCAAGGATCTGGGCGTTGTCGACACCCTCGCCGAAGCATGCGCTGCCTTGAAATACGAGCGTCCCACCCAAATCCAAGCCGAGGCGATCCCCGTAGCCCTCCAGGGCAGAGACATAGTCGGCCTTGCGGAGACAGGCTCGGGCAAGACCGCTGCATTCGCACTGCCCATCTTGCAGACGCTCCTCGACAAACCGCAACCTCTATATTCCCTTGTTCTCGCCCCTACGCGCGAATTGGCCTTTCAGATCGGCAAGACGTTCGAGGCTTTGGGCGCAGTCATATCTTTACGAGTGTGTACTATCGTGGGAGGCATGGAGTTTACACCGCAGCAGATTGCACTAGGGAAGAAGCCACACATAATAGTTGCCACTCCTGGCCGAATTCTGGATCACATGGAGCGGACCAAGGGCTTCAGTCTGCGCGCCCTGAAGTACCTCGTGCTGGACGAAGCTGACAGGCTGCTGGAGCTCGAATTTGGTCCGGTCATCGAGGTGGGTACATCATCAGTGCCTTTCCTCAGACACTTGACTGACCTTTGCGACAGAAAATTCTCAAGTTCTTGCCCCGCGAGCGTAATACCTTCCTCTTCAGTGCGACCATGAGCTCAAAAGTCGAGAGTCTACAGCGTGCATCCCTTCGCGAGCCTGTACGGATCAGTGTCAAAGACACTAAGTATCAGACGGTCAAGACCCTGATTCAGAACTATATCTTTATTCCTCATATCCACAAGGACACTTACCTCGTCTATCTTCTGGCGAACGAGTTCACGGGACAATCAGCCGTCATCTTCACACGAACTGTCAACGAGACGCAACGACTTGCCATCCTTCTTCGTACACTAGGGCTTGGGGCCATCCCGCTGCATGGGCAGCTGAGTCAGTCGAACCGACTTGGTGCCCTGAACAAATTCAAGGCGGGCAACCGCAACATTCTTGTGGCGACAGATGTTGCGGCACGTGGTCTGGATATTCCAAATGTCGATCTCGTGGTAAACTACGACCTCCCCGGTGACAGCAAGACGTATGTTCACAGAGTCGGGCGAACGGCGCGTGCGGGCAAGAGCGGCCACGCCCTCAGTATTGTGACACAGGTGAGTCGCGTTTGGCTGCACTGGATGCCTTGATTGCTGAGTGATTGCTGACACATGCACAGTATGACGTTGAAGTGTTCAAGAGGATCGAAGCGGCTCTTGGTGAACAGCAGAGCGAGTATCCTACTGAAAAGGATGAAGTGTTTGTCTTCAAGGTCCGCGTCGAGGAAGCACAACGGCATGCGAGAAACGAGATGAAGAACCTCCACGCAGATCGAGACAGTGGAAAGAAGGGCGCTGTGTTGAAGGGACGGCACTGGCCAGGTCAAAGTGGAAAAGGTGGGAAGAGGCGCCGTGACGATATGGATGCTGAAGAGGGTTGATTGTCCTGCGAGTTCAGCTCTCGAAAGAGGTTATGCCGCTCTGTGGCGTTAATTGACTAGGTCATTCTTACAAGTCGATTCTGATTCACCTTGTAACATCAGAAATGTCTCGCCGCCGAAGCTCTGTCGGATTTGCCCGGGCGTGCTTGTCTCGCAAAAGTTGAAGCAGACTCGAGATCTTACCAAAGTGATCATGATGTACTCCGCACTATGTGGACGCTGCAGTCAGTAAGTGCTCGTCTGCTTTCAGACAGGCATCACTCACTACTCTCAATCCTCCGGACCTCACTTCTCAGCTATCCTAGGCTGACCCGCCGGTCGGCTCCCAGGCTCAGTCGCCCGGCCTCGCGCAGTAAAACAGAGTGAGCCATCACAAATGTAATTACTAACGATGCTGCGCCGTACCGTCGCCTCCAACGTTAGGCCTGCATCTCACCAACACATGTCGCAGGCCCCCTCGATTGGACAAATGTCGAGGCGGAGGGATGATTAGAATCTCCACACCATGGTTGTTCCCCACCAACTTTATATTTTCGGACATCCCACCCTCCAACAATGACGAATCCCGGCACTGAAAAAGCTTAGTGACATCGCAGAGCTGAGCAACATTTGGGCTGAACCGACTCCAGCTCGCTGCGGCGCAGCAACTAACATGCGTGTGATGCGGCACCACTTTGCAGTCAGCGCTACCGTATAGCGCTGGGCTCCTTCACCTGTGTTTGGTTGTTTTTCTGACTGTTGGTTATTTCTGGACCAGAGCCCTATTTCTGATGCGAGCCACTGTCCACTAGCCTTATAAAGGCTGGTTGCAATCGCTCTTGTATTGAGCATTTGTTCCTCTTATGGGTTCCACGTTCACACTTTCCCCATAGAAAACACTTTGTTGTTGTTCTTCCAGGACTTACACAACATCAGAAATCCAAACAGGCTTCTCTTTGTCAGCCCGGCATCAGCCACGTATCTGCACCAGGCAGACAAAATGGCCTTGTCGTCGCTGCTTCTCAATGTGGCCATAGGCCTTCTCATGGTCGTCTCCATCATCGAACTCTCCCTGGTCTCTGCTACCGTTGGCTTCCTCTCGCAACGAGCCAAAGGGACTTTCGACATCAAGACTGGCGATTCAACCTTTCCCATCTCCGGCGAACCTGCAAAACTCATCGTCGACCAAGGACATACCAGCAACGGTGCTTCAGGGACGGCCTTTATTGTTATCGGCTGCTGTGGCATCCTCGCCCTCTGGCTGCGTAGCCGCCCTAGCTACCACACCAAATCCTCCCGTGGGGCTCTTCAGCCGCGGGTGGTACAGGCTGTGGCTTGGTCTCAATATTCCAGCTCTCTTGTTGACATTGGGCGCCCTGGCTTTTACCTTCGCCGTGGCCAACGCTCACGACGGGCAGAGGATCGATCTCTCGGTGGCCGAGGGCCTCAATGGCAAGGCGTACTCATCTGAGACGTGGACACCACAGAGCTGGTTCGACGCTTTGTTGAAGCTGGACCTTGCAAGCCATACCGACAGGAACGACATTCAGCGAATTCACAGAATCGCCAGGGGATGGCAATATAATCTAATCCCATTCTTCATTGTGCAGCTCGCACAGACCGTCCTAGCTTACCTGGAAGCTGTGAGGAAGAGGAAGATTGACAAGCAGTACACTTATGGCGGTTACAAGAATAGTGTTGGGTATAGTGGGAAGTGAAGGAGTCTTACTGCTCCTTGTATCTGGCATCAGTTTACGGTTTCAGGCCGTCAGTAGATCGTGGCATTCCTCAAGTGGGCCCAAAAATAGAGATCTCACCACAAACTTTATTTGTCCTGGAATTTGCTTGATGTATCTCAGTGGTCTCTCTTGCCAACAGACAGCCCGGTGGCTAGACCTTGAAACAATGGGAAGGATGGAAACCCCATGATATTACCTACTAATCGAACGAAGAGACCTTCGCAGACACCATGGAGCTCCGACTTGTCGCACCGCAGTCAAGAGCTATTGGGAGAGTTCAGGCCTGGGGCCTTGGTAGCACGGCTAGAAGTGCTCACCAACGCCAGCCGTGTTTGATAGAGCACCTCGTGCACATCGACGCATTCGGTAAACGTAAAATATCATGCTGATTTCATCGCTGTCAACTTGCATTGAAAGGGAGCCAGCTTAAGGCACTGATGATTCCATCGTCTTTTGAACTCTCTATCTAGCCGCCAGGTACAGAGGTCGCGTTGTAGAATCATGGCACTTAATTTCTGGTTGAGATGCCTCGTCCTCGCTCGGTGTTCCAATTTCCACGCAACTCGGGGCCTGCCCTTTGAGTGATCGATAAAACTCCGTCTAAGCAGGGGGAACAATAGCATTCGCCATTGGTATTCGTCCAACAGAGCCCCCAGCCACAACTTTGCCTGGGGTATTGCCCGCTGCTGCTTTCGCGGCTGTCTTGTAGGCGTTCAGATCACCGGGTTTCCTAGAAAGAAATAAGTAACGTCAGATCACAGTTCGATCACGCCTGAACTTATATATGAGTTCTGTCACTTACCCATTGACAACCATTACCTGTCCCAGCTGACAATGTGGTCCTTGCGCACAATAAATATACATCGGATCTTTGTTTTGGACCATGACATCGAAAGCTCCGACCGTATCCGAATTATTGAGCATCGCTCCCGGGATGAAGCCCGAATGGATCGCTCCAGGAACAGTGTCTTGCAAGGGGGAACAAGGATTTGATGGCCCAGCCGACTGCGTCACCGTGTGGTTTGTGAGGAAGAACTGGAACTGCAACACGTCGCCAGGGTTGGCTTGCACTTCGTTCGGGGTGAAGATTAGGGACGTATTAACACTCATACTGCCGACGGCGATGGGAATGAGCCTTGGTTGCGTGTGTTCTTCTGCGTGAGAAGTCAGCAATAACACCGCTTGCTGTGACCCAAACCAGCACTGTTGTGGAAGTTTCCTTACGTCTCGGCAACGTAAAGGCCATCGACTGAATAGCGACAACCGCTAAACTGAAGAATTTTGGGCCCAACATGACGAATATTGAAGGCTTCCTGCTGCCAGATTTATTAATGCCTCGGGGGGGGGGGTCTCGATTCCTACCGAAGTAGACGCTGCACACACGAAAGGAGGGATCACTGATGGAGCAGTGCCAACACTTATACAAACTTCGCTGACCAGGCTGAGTGATGTTTCATAACCAGGCACCGAGGTTGTGTGGTGACGTAGAGCTTAGGAGCGAATTGTCAGATCACGACAGACATGCTATCACGCAGGCTCGGCCTGTGTCAAAAATTACTTGAAATGCACGCATAGGGCGAAGAGACTGGCTACATCCAACCGGATGCAAGCAAAAAGGATTGTGGAAACTGGCAGGAAACACATCTCAGGACCCGTTCACGTTTTCGCGAAGCACCGAGCCCGAAGGGGGCTGTGAACGTTGAAGCAATCACCGGGTTGCGATCGAGGTATCGATCCGTGACAAACAACATATAATTACTCAAATCGGATATTCCACGCCGTCGGACAACCGAGAAAAGCCCAACAGTACGGCTACTGTGTCGCGGGACTGACTCGTCTGATCTGTTGAGTTTCAAAACAAGCTGCGGACGTTCCCCAGTTGCATCCGGTCGTCCTCTTGGAAGTTTTCATCCCCCAAGAACCTGTCAAGCATTACCAAGCAATTCGACCTCGCTATGAGATGACAAAAACTTCGTTCAGTCCATGTTTCGAGAGATCTGATGGCATTACATGCTAGCTCCAAATGCGACCACTAGCCTACGGCGAGGCAGGGCAGCCACGTAAAATCCACGAGGAGTGCAGCGTACCAATGTGAGAGGCTCCTAGTTAAACAACCCCTTCCCTTCGACTCAACTTGAGTGAACTCTTCTTGACCATATTCGGCTTCGGTGAACTGGTCATGTGATGATCAATCACAACTAACAATCTCAAAGTCGTTGGAAATCGTGTTCTAATACGCAGATAAAACATCGCTCCCCCTTTGAACGACTTTTAGCACATACAGCGGCCAATATCTTGATGCTGCTCGCATGAACAGTTTATGTAAGCTTACAGAAATACTAATAGGGCTTTGAATTCCAACAAAAAAAAAACTTGTCAAGGGGTCATGTTTCAAGAACACCTCGATAGGGGGTGGGAATGCTGTTATAGCTGGTCGCTTTTTAAGCTGATCCGGCCTCCCATTGTGTCATGTATAGATATACGTCCAAGCCACAACATCTGCCTAAAATAGTCTGAAATTCAAGTTCAAGACATGAATTTGTTGTTTTGTAGGCAATTCACATGATTCATGTCAAGCTTCGTAGCAGCGTTAGAAGTCGTTGTAAGGTTCCCGCTGGCATTTGTTGGCATCTAGGTACGGCTAGACCAAGATGAGTCGAGTGATAAATCGCGTGTTAACAAACTTTTTATACCGTTCGACAAAATTCTGGATATGGACGTTCATAAGCATGTCTTGGACTGGCAGAGCTGCTGCACAGAGGTGATGATGAGGTTTGCAAAGGCTGATGTGGATCAGGGCTCAAGTGAGCGTCAGCCTTGTTAAGCTTGCCTTTTTCTTGTTTTTGTTTGCGAGTTAGGATCTCATGGAAGTCGCCATCTTCTCTCAAGTACCAGCACCTTCTAAAACTACCTGATATGGGTCCCCCAAATCTTGCCACAGACGAGACCTCAACTTGAGCGTCGGTCACGCCCAAACATCCCGACACCACTCTTTGGTCGCTGGAGTTCTCATCAAGCCATACTCTCTCTTATTGGTGACTTCATCTACCAAAGATGCCTTCATTCAATGGCTCGTCACCTTGTTACCACCCAAAAGCCTTGTTTCACAAATCGACCCCCTTGAGCATTTCAGTCCCTGCCCGACTTGAATTCATTCCAGATCATTCGCTTACCGGTGACTCAAGGCAGTAAAAAGTCCATCTGACCTGCGCCTTCTCTCAAGGCTCACTGATCACTTCTTCAGGTAGTAGAGACTGGTCTCCAACTCAATCAAGGCCTGTGAAAGAGTTTTCAAGGCTAGTAGTACGGTCGCTGCTCTGACGACAATCACACCTCTCCCAGCTTCCGTGATAACAGATGAGAAATACTCAGCATGGGTGTGAAGACGAGACCTTGGCCTCGTGCTTCAGTCAAAAACTCAAGCAAGCGTTAAAGCTCCCGCAGCAGACCCCAGATCGCCAGGCCACAGATGATCAACGATCAGCAGGCAAACATGTCGTTCGCCTCAAATATGCCCCAAGCGTCAGAATTGCAAGCCGCTTTTCAAGCTTTTCGACCGTGGTGGAATGGCGTATGGACATCGTAGCATCCTCCGTCGATGTCATCATGCAACTACTCTTCGCCTTGCTTCGAGCCCGCCTGGGATGCCCTCGAATCAATGAGCCAACAAGGATGCTTTGCGTATTGACAAAGTCATTTCGGTAAGTGTTGTCATTGAAGATCTGTGTCTGATGTACCTATCATCTTCCCATGCCTTACTTCTGATCATCTCAGCTATGCTGGCAGCTCGGAAGACAAACTTCTGAAATTATTGCTTTCTTAATGATTCGAATGCTAAACATGATACTACAGTATATCAATGGTGTTGATCGCCTTCTTTCTGAGTACGATATCTACAAGACTCTGGCATTTCTTATTCACCATGCCATCCGAACTCTGCCTAGGGAGGCCAAGATGCCTACCTCAATCGTCCCTGATGCAGTATTCCTTCAGGCATTCAGCTGCATCAGAAGGCTAGAACTCTATGATTCATTCACCGTCTTCGAAAACCTCATTTTTACTAGCGGCATCAAGTAGGGCGGCCAAGGTCGACTCTGCAAGGTCAGCAATGGTCCCAGCCGGGTGACCCGAATCGGGGTCCCAGCGCATGCTCCGACTCCCGTTACCAAGACCATCTAGGTTGAACCCCCACCCCCTCTTCAGTAACACCCATGTGAAAGGCAGCAACCATGTTCACTTTGTCAGTGGACTAACTTCTCGACATGTATGCTGCTGTTGCATGCACTTTTATTACCAAATGGCCTTCTACGCCTGATCTGAGACAGCCTGGATCAAATCATGGGATGATAAATCGCTGGTTTCGGTGCAGAGCCAGGCTCATTCACATTTCGAGGTCAAACGAGTGTCCAGCAGAATGTGTGCAGGGAAGAGTAGAGGTACGGAGCTGGGCCTCTAGACAGTCCTACTTTAGAGTGAGGCTTGACTTGATGAGACTGCCCACAAGAAATCAGTCATTGTTGATTATCCATTGATAATGCATGTTACAGATCAAGTTCTGCAACAAAGACGTTCCTGCGTCCCTATTTGCCGCGGGGAATAATTTGACTCCGTGTGTCTCCAGGCACTCTCCTGCCTGGGGAAGCATTGCTACTGACGTCAAGGGCTCTCTGTTCGGCCTGCAGTTTATCAAATGACCTACAGATGCATGTATTGACAGATTAAAGCGGGGTGTATACCTGTTGTTTGGATAAATTCTCATATATTTCACGTTGATCGTCAGACGGGAATACCTCTTTCAGACACATGTAGGTTCCGATTGAGACAATCAAATGGTGTGGGGGGTCGTACTGCAGGTGAACAACACAGCGGCACCTTTCTACCGCGTCTCTTATGCATCGGGATTCATTCAAATTCTTACATGGCATGCTTTCACCCAGCCAGTCAAATTGAAGTGAGGGTTTTTGGACACCACTTGCCGGACCGTAAAGATATCTTGATGATGTTATATAGGTACGAATCCCATTGATGTCCTCTGGTTGCTAGCCTTCTCACAAACAAATCAAGTGACGACTCCCTGTGTCGAAAAGCGACTGGTGCTCCACAAAGGAGATTCGTGCGCATACAAGATCCGAAGCATCCAGCAGTGCCTTTCTGTACCGGATGAGATATAGTCAAATATGGATCGAATTGGTATCGAAACAATTACATCACAGTTCTCCCTGTTCATTGGCAGTGTCATATTCTTGTGGCTCTCGGTTTCAACACTCACCGCCTGGTATCGACTACGGCATATACCAGGGCCCTGGATTGCTTCCATCTCAAATCTATGGATTATCAAAGCCTCTACTAGCAAGAAACTAGCTGAAGTCTTCGAAAAGGCTGGAGAGAAATACGGCCCACTTGTAAGGATCGGGCCAAACCAGATCCTAACATCTGATGCCGACTTCCTGCGAAGAACGTCGGCTGCGCGAGGAACCTACAACAAGAGCCAGTGGTACAACGCTTTCAGATGTATGATTTTCTCGTTTCTTGACTCTGTTGTTACATAAATATCCATCTCATGCTCTCTTGGGAACGGTCCTCTCAAGAGGCAAAGTCCACCACAAAGAGAATGAGCTGTCTCAAGAGTATGGATTTACCAATTCAATAATCATGACAACCAGTAGCGAGGAGATTTTCTGTTTCAAAGGACACTTCTGCAAAATGACTGACGAGAAACTTCATCAGGGCAACCGTACATGGATAGCGTGTTCACCCTGCAAGACTACGTGAGTCATGACAAGAGAAAGGAACAAATATCCATCGCCTATAATATCACCGGTCGGGAGGTCGACCTCATCGAGCCAAGCATCGACGAGCAAGTGCTGGCGATGGTGGATACACTGCGAACAAGATATCTGCCCGAACATGAGAAATGCAACCCTCCACTGCTCGACTTCAGCGACTTCTCCTCGTTTCTGACTATGGATGTGATTACCCGGGCGGCCTTTGGAGAGGAATTTGGACATCTGAGAACCAATTCAGATGTCACCGGCTTTCTTGCTGATTTACGACAACTCTGGCCTATGGTTGCCTGTAAGTAGTGTTCGAATGCAATTTAAACCCTCTAGAGAGGAAAACTCCCCAAATCCGTGGTCATCTTCACTGTTTGCTCTGAAGCCTCTGTCAGGCTACAGACTCTGGGACGGACATTGGGTTATGCAGCAGTGTACCTCATCCTTCTTTTTCTCTTTTCTTTTTTCTTTTAAACCAAAACTCTCACTCAGTACTTTATTTGCTAACTCCGAACGCTGTAGTGGTGAACGAGACCCCTTTTCTTCGCAGCTTCTTCTACTCGAAGACGTACCTCAAGCTTTTTGGGCCCAATATCACAGACAAGACTGGCATCGGAAAGCTCATGTCGTAAGTGTGCTTGCGATTGTACAGTCAGTCAGTGCTGACGACCTATCACAGAGGTGTCGTGAGGATTGTCCATCAGCGGTACGCTAAACCAGAAACTCAAGTGCGGAATGACATGCTGGTGGGTCACTGCATACATTCTTGATAAGCACGATCTTGAACTGACAGCAATCAACAGGGATCCTGGATAGAGCATGGACTCACTCAACAAGAGAGCGAGGCCGAAGGAATGTTATCTATCATTGCTGGCTCCGAAACCACTGCCTCGGTCTTAAGAATCACCTTCTTGTGTCTGTTGTCAAGCCCACCAGTCTATTACAAATTGAAAGCTGTGGTGAAGGAAGCTGTCAAGAGCGGTACTGTGTCCGAGCCAATTTCCTATGGAGAGGCAAAAGAGATACCGTATCTGAGAGTAAGTCTCCTTTCACAGTTCCCAAGAAGCAAGAATATCAGAAGGTCCTGACCGAGGCGCAACAGGCTGTGGTATATGAAGGCATGCGCATGCGACCAGGGAATGTGGGTGCCTTCCCAAAGGTAGTGCCACCCGAGGGAGAGGTAGTCCAGGGAAAGTTCATACCTGGCGGCACGATCATCGCAATGAATGTACCCTACATGCTCCGATCTCCAGAATTGTTTGGCCCTGACACTGGCCTCTTTCGTCCTGAACGATGGATGGAGGTTTCAGAAGATGAACAGGCCGATATGGAACGCCAGGTTGAGATGATGTTCGGATCCGGGAGGTGGATATGTGCGGGTAAGCCCATTGCTTTTATGGAGCTATTTAAAACCTTTTTTGAGGTAAGTCATGACCCCTTACATCCGTCAGTCCGAACACGTCGTTTCTATCTACCGGGTTGCTGAACTCTTACGTCCTTTGACAGTTGTTCCGTCACTTTGATTTCGCTGTCGCTTATCCATCTAAACCTTGGAATTCAAGTTGCTACAATGTCTTCGTCGAAGACAACATGTGGGTTCGGGTGACAGAGGGAGCCTAGGTTATGATTAGAAGGGATGATGATGCTTAGAGTGCACGAGACGGCCAAATTCGGAGATTTTTGCGCATCTTTTCAACTTACCACTGGCTTCTCTGGGGCTTTGCGTTCAACACAGTGTGCGCTCTCATTATGATCCAAAAGGACGCACTGCACTTAGCAGTCAGACTGCTGAGTTGCAAATTTGCCACATTATCAGGTCACTGTTTTCTTTCATGGTTCTCATGTTATCGTTGTTGGAAGTGAAAGAGATGATACTACACGAACCCTGTGATGCCATAGAACTTAACCAATGTTTCAACTTCTGTCAGCGCTATCTGATTTACCCTTGATATCTATCCCATAGCAGGCCAAATCTAGCAACGTGTGCACGGAATCATGTGTTGATGCTGAGACACTTCCATTATAGCACGACAATAATCAGGGTCTAAAGTATTGAAAGAGGCATATTTTCATAATGGCAGGCATGATTCTTGTTGGGAAGCCCGGCGTTATAATGAGCTAGTGGCAGATTTGAATAACATCATGCAGCGCATGTAGTCGATGAAATGCAGTGGATGGATTCGTGTTCTGAGCCTGTTCAACATTTCATTATCAAATGACAGAATGCAGTCACGAGATTGGAGCTGTCTGGATTTTGCACTTGTTCTCCGCGAGGGTATATTCATATTGTGAATTACTAATCAGTAGGACCGTGCTGTTTCTTCGAGAGTCTTCCAACAAAAAGACACATGTTGTTTAAACCTCAGCGAATGCAGTCAAGCCGGCAAAATTATGGGCACGGAACAGTGATAATATCCCCAGGGAAAATGACGTCCTTATTGGCGATGCCGCTGGCTGCAGCCAGAGTGTCGGCGTCGCTGCCAAAGTCCGCGGCGACTACAGTATTCATGTCAGTCAAATAGCCGCCCAAAACACAATTCAAAAGTAAGGAGTTGGCATCACTCACTGTCATTCAACGTGTCTCCTGAGACGACCTGGTACCATCCACTACCGGCGTGGTTTGGGTCGTGGCGGCATCCTCTCTTGGCAACAGCAGAGGCTGCAAGAGCGAGGACAGAGAGGGTGATGAAAGAACGCATTTCGGGTGATGATGTGGGTGTGGGTGTATTACAAAAATTATGTATCTTAGAGAGGACTTTTGAGGTGCATGGCTATTTGTCCCGATGGCAGTGCCGATCAAGGGCTTTAAGTACTGGTTCAACATGCTTCTAACATATCATGATCTGGGGTAACTCAATATGCCACGCTATTTCGATGCTACGCAATATCCTGGCCTTTCGTGCCTGTGGAATCGTCCTTCACTCTGGATATACAAATGTCTCCACTCGTGCCTAATCCTCCCAATCGGCACGAATGCTGCGAGCGGTCAACTGACTCAAAAGCCTCTTTAATTCAACGCAATCGTGAGATTTAAATGAATCCAAGCTGAAAGGAAATGAAATCGATCTTGGGGTGTTATCGAAGCGCCTTCTTGCTGGGTCAGCCGTCGTCGATGGCAAAAGGGCTTTCGCTGCACGAACCGCACAATAATGTGTTCTTCAATCTTTTTTTCTCTCCTGAAAAAACAAAAGAAAAAACCAGAAGAGATAGAAAAGAGAAATACCTCCTGAAATGGACTCTATCTCTTTGTTTGGTATAGTGCTCCATCTTTTACAGGCTTGCCCTTCTCAGTGCTTCAACACTTAATATGCTGCAACTCTGCGGAAGAACCGGGAAGACCTGGGAAGCGGATTACTCGCGCGCTTCCCGGCAGTCTCTATGACTGCAATTACACCAGTTGCGATTCTGCTTGGTGGAGTATGGATGGAGCCTGCGTGGAGCCTTTCGCTGAAGGAAGCTAGTCCTTCCATCCAGATGAGTCGCGCAAATGACCTTAGAACGTCGGCGTTGCCCGCAGCTGTTTTAGAGTCAAAGTTTCTTGGTCCCATTACTACAGTAACCTGATGCGCTGTGAAACACACTCGGTGAAGAGTCCATTCCGCTGTAAATGGTATAAAGAACAACCTGCTCGTCATATCAAGCCTCAAACGGTGAACAGCCACTCCTCGTCTTCGTATGAACTCCATTCATTCCCCCAACCCAAGCTGAGGGCATATGACATGGTTTTCGGCAAGCAATTTGTGGCAGTTGGTCTGAGTATACTTATAAAAGCACGACTACATCTGCGGCCCTTTGCCATCATTTTCAGTGACCCAATGGGCTCAAAATCGAAACGCACGAGACCCTGGTTCCGCTATCCCGAGTCTAGGTGATAAGACAGGCATGCATTACCGAGCTGACTTTGGCGGAAGGAGAAATCTGTGGGTATCTCATCCCGGAAGCGCTACCCATTATGAAATGACTGCCTTCCAGATGAACCCATACGCCCACATGAGCAGGCTGAGAGTTGAATTAAAACTGCCCATATTCAATTTGGGTTGGGGGTGAATTGGCCATGACCTACCGAAGGCAGGGGCCTGTCATTTCGAAGGGAGGGCTCCATGGTAACACACTGAAGTAGACTTTCATACATTCAGTTTTAGACTTTTGCAACCTGGCACAGCACATGGACAAAGGTCAGCTTCTCTGCCCCCTGCCTAAACCAGAGGTAGCACTTGCCCGGATACCCGTGGCTGTAAATCTTACTCGCATACTTCTAGAATATGCAGGCTACCTAGATGTTGGATTTCGACCTAGCCGCTTGATCCCGAACATTCGCATGTTTGCAGTAGATTTTGCGTGTCAACTAACGTGATACTACTTTGCTCGAGTGTGACACACGAGGGTAAAGACCGCTTTGAGGACGCTGAGCTCCTTTCACCAGAGCGAGGCCTGTATAAGTTATCTTGGAATGAATGGGTGAAGCTGAATCTCTCCTACGCAAGACGGATCGCAATGCGAGTGGGGTATAAAGCAAGTGGTTTTCGTGGCTCCCGTAGAATCCACAAGTAAATACTGTGGGATTCTGACGGCACCTACGGGGCCATGTTATCAATTTTGAGGTCAAAAAAGAAATATATTAAAAAACCGTCAATCTTCTATAGTCCGCCAATGCTGCTTTTCAGCCCCCTCTAGACAAGCTCCAGTGTCTCCACGTGTGTGTTGTACAATGGCACGGCGGCTATTGCTTTGGATCGAAGCGTGTTCTGGGCAGATCATCCATGTCCTATGGGCCTGGATCTTTCGAGTGTGACTGCCCTACTCATTTCCAGTTTTCTTTGTGGGTCCTTATGCCTTGTAGTTGAAAGACACAGCCGCATCTTCATATCATTGTCTCCATCGGCGATTGACAGGGGAATTACTAGGTGAGAACACACGTGCGCCGAATGAGTGCCTAAGTAACTTTTGACAGCTTGATGTGTATCATGCATTCCCCGAGATGGAATAAGGCTCTCAAAGAGCTGGAGCCATCATAGTATGACCTGGCCGATCCAAGTCTTGGTTCAATGAATCAACAAACACGATCAACACATGGTATCCGAGTCCCAGCAGGGTTTGGACTCTCTCCCCGACACCTGGATGCCCAGGATGACGGGATGACGTTGCCAGGGTTAGGGGAGTTCCTGTAGCTTGGGGCGTGAGAAAAGGGCAGGAATGGGATTTGGCATGTGGGTCCTTTCCGAGGTGATGATTGGGCTTGACCGGGAAGAGAAGGAGATCAGTCCTTGTGGGGGCGAGTCTGCACTAACTTGACCTTGATTTTCGTCCCTGGAACTGGGCACTGCATCCAAGCCTCTCCACTCCCGCTCCCCACGACGTTCGTTGCCATTGCCATTGCCGTTGCTGTTGCTGTCTGTTTGCAACTCGATTCTCATTGAATTGAGTCCCGTCTCTCGTTTCGTTCCATTTTTTTGGCCAAGTTTGGAATCGGAGGCTGCCTCGGCCGCGGAGATTGGCACGGGTCAGACTCGGACTCCTTGACCTGGACAGCGAAATCTCGCATCGGACATTAAACAGCCAGCACTGGCCAAGTCAGTCTGACGCGACGCCCCGACGTTCCGGACACAGATCGAGGTGTTCTCAGACCACGACTGTCGCCTCCAGAGACCGCCCCGCCTTGTCCTATCTTTTTTGGATTGAAGACATGAGTGCGACACGCCCCAGCATCTCCAACGCGCTATGAGAGTCCTCAATGGCGGCGCTGGTGCAACTGATGCTCGCAGCACCAGCGAGAAGGACCTGAGTCAACGGCCCCGGCCCTCACACCACTCCGCCCGGGCACCAGACCCAGCTGCACAACGACCTCAGAGGCAGCTCTTGCCCTCGCACCAGGTCAAGTCCTTCATCCGCCGGTGCTACCATAGCCTCGTTGTTGAGACCATCCTCCGCCAGAAACCCCTCGCCCCGTCCGCCAACGGCCGCCAGATCCCGCTTGATCCGGCCCGGTCGTCTCACCTTGTCGATGAGCGTCGTGGCCATGCTTTCCTCTCAAACGCCATTCGCACATCTCGCTACAGTGTCTTCAACTTCTTCCCCAAGCAGCTTTTCTTCCAGTTCAGCCGCCTGGGCAACTTCTATTTTCTCTGCGTGGGAATCCCTCAGACCATCCCGGGCATTAGTACTACCGGAAACGTGACCACCATCTTACCTCTTCTCTTTTTCGTACTGCTCACCATCGCCAAAGAGGGATACGATGATTATAAGAGGCACCGACTGGATAATGTCGAGAATGCTCAGCCCGTCACTGCCCTGCGACGCGCAGCTGAGAATTCGGCGACGGACACGCCAGGCGGCCGGCCGTGGCTACGGACGGCTTCTTGGCTCAGGCGACTACACGCCAAGCAGCCTGACGGCCCTGCTTCCAGCACCTCTGAAGTAGTCGACGGCTTTCAGTGGACAAGGACCCAATGGAGTCATCTGAGGGTCGGCGACGTCGTCAAGCTATCTAGGGATGACGAGGTCCCTGCAGATATCGTCCTCCTCCACGCCGACGGTGAGAATGGGTTGGCATATGTTGAGACCATGGCCTTGGACGGCGAAACCAATCTCAAAAGCAAGCAAGTCTTGCCCGAGTTCGAACGCTGCGACACGATCCGAGGTATCCTGGAATGCCAAGCCGAGTTCATCACTGAGGACCCCAATGCCGATCTTTACAACTTCAACGGCAGGGTCGCCATCAACGGAAAGACGGTCCCCCTCACGCTGAGCGAGGTTGTTTACCGTGGAAGCGTTCTTCGGAACACTCCATGTGCTGTTGGCCTGGTGGTTAACACGGGCGAGGAGTCTAAAATACGCATGAATGCGAATCGGCATCCCAAGGCAAAAAAGCCCGCGCTCGAGGCAGTCTACAACCGGGTGGTCCTTAGCTTGGTCTTCTACGTCATCTGTCTGACAATGGGCTGCTCTATTGGCTATTTGCTATGGCAGAGGCGCAGCGAGAAGTCTGCTTGGTACGTCAATGGACAACGGGTGGCGGCTGAAGAAATCATTATTGGATATGCAATAATGTTTAACAACGTAATTCCGCTGGCACTGTACGTGAGCTTGGAAATTGTCAAGATTGGGCAGATGCTGATGCTCAACGGCGATATTGGCATGTACGACGCCGTGTCGGATACACCAGCAAGATGTAACACAAACACGATATTGGAGAATTTGGGCCAGGTCGGGTACATCTTCTCGGACAAAACTGGAACCTTGACCGAGAACATCATGAAGTTCAGGAAAATGACGATCGCTGGGACAGCCTGGCTGCATGAGATGGACCTCAGCGCAGAGCGGGCTGTCGACACCAATGCCAGCGATAACTGGGAGACGAAGCCTATTAAAGCTCAATCTCTGGCCATCGGGCACGATATCTCTCAGATTGTGGTCGAGCCAGATAAAGTTGAGGAATTAACTGCGACTCAAACAACAAGTTGCCGGTCAGAGTCTCAATCGCAGTCGGCCCGCCCACAACTTCCACACTCGGATTTCACAACAGAAGAGCTGCTCGATTTCATTCGCGCCAGACCAAATTCCGCGTTTGCCAGAAAAGCTACGCAGTATATTCTTGCGATGGCTCTTTGCCACACATGTCTTCCTGAGCTGAAGAATGGCGAGATTGAGTACCAAGCCTCCTCGCCAGACGAGCTTGCTCTCGTTCAAGCGGCTCAGCAACTAGGATTCACAGTTGTGCAGCGTTCCTCGCAACAGATCACCTTAAGGGTATCTAGTGGTGGATCAGAGACTATGCGAGTATATGAAATACTCGATGTGATTGAGTTCAGCAGTAAACGGAAAAGGATGTCCGTTGTCCTTCGATGTCCTGATGGGAGGATATGGCTGATTTCGAAAGGCGCCGACTCGATGATTATACCACGTCTGAAAACGGCCCATATTGCCTTACAAAAGGCGCATGAGGTTCGACAAAGCGCAGAGATGGAGCGTGCGTTGCAGAGGAAGAGCCTTCACCAAGAACCACGGAATTCTTTTGGAGGCCGTCCGAGCTTGACCATTCGTCGAAGTATCGGAGTAAATCGACAAGTCAACGCAGGCTCGTCCAGCCTGCGTCCGCCAATATATGGCAGGAGCAAATCATTCGAGATTAGTAATGTGTATAGAAGCTCTGTCGATCGTTCCCGTCCATCACTCAATAGAGGGGTGTCTCTGGACGTCACATCTTCTTTGGCACTCCACTCGCGATCCGCCGCAGGTCGACAACAAGACAAATTCGCTTTTCTGGACGACCCCTCCATCAGCGACGAGGCGACTATCTTCGCGCGCTCCTTTAAGCTACTCGACGATTTCGCAACAGAGGGCTTGCGAACCCTCCTCTACGCACATAAATACATTACTGAAGCAGACTACAAAGCTTGGAAAGATGTATTTCATGCGGCGGAGACAAGCCTGGTCGACAGACAGAACCGCATTGAGGAAGCGGGTGATCTCATCGAGCAGAATATGGACCTTGTTGGCGCGTCTGCTATTGAAGACAAGCTTCAAAAAGGCGTCCCCGAGACGATTGACAAACTTCGTCGGGCTAATATCAAGATCTGGATGTTGACTGGTGACAAACGTGAAACTGCCATCAACATCGCACACTCGGCGCGGATATGTCTCCCAGAATCCGAGGTCTACGTACTCGACGCAACACAAGGCGATCTCAAGGCACAGATGCTGAATATAATGGACGACCTAGGAATTTCTGACGGGATTTCTACAACCGCATCGCGCGATCATACCGTTGTCGTAATTGATGGGCACACGCTCGGCTGTATTGAGACACCGACCGATCCAAGCGACACACAGCTGAAAGATCTTCTCTTCGCCATGATTCCACACATTGACAGTGTCATTTGCTGCCGAGCCTCTCCGGCTCAGAAAGCCTTCATCGTGCGGGCGACTCGCAAGACTATCTCTTCCAAACGCCCTGTCACGTCCCCAACTCTGACCCTCGCCATCGGCGACGGCGCCAACGACCTCGCGATGATCGCCGAAGCACACGTCGGTATTGGTGTCTCAGGCCACGAAGGGCTTCAGGCTGCGCGGGTAGCAGACTACTCTATCGCTCAGTTCCGGTTCCTTCAACGCCTCCTTCTTGTTCATGGTAGATGGAACTACGTCCGCACGGCCAAGTTCGTGCTGTGGACTTTCTGGAAAGAGATGTTCTTCTACATGCCGCAAGAAATTTTCACACGGTTTACTGGGTATACGGGCACGTCTCTCTATGAGAGCTGGAGCTTGACCGTGCTGAATGTGCTCTTCACTAGTCTAGCCACAATTGTGCCCGGAGTTTGGGAGCAGGACTTGAGCCAAGAGACTTTGCTTGCCGTGCCGGAGCTTTACGTATATGGACAACGTAGAGAGGCACTCAATCTGTCGCGCTACCTCGGATGGATGATTGGTGCAGCAGTTGAGGGTGTTTTAACGTTCTTTGGTTGCTGGGCCGGCTATGGCTATTTTGGCCAGACCGGAGGGCTGAGAGATCAGGGACTATTTGCGTTGGGCGATTTAGTTTTCACGGTATGCATCGTGTGGACGAACTGGAAGTTGTTGTAAGTATTCTCGGCTCGTATCTGTTCCCCCATCTACGCTTAAAGATGCATCTGGGTCGCAGGATGACTGACTTGATATTTGACAGGATCATCGAGACACATTTCAAATCCTATGTCGTTCTAAGCGCCTTCCTTATTACTGTCGGCGGTTGGTGGATCTGGCAAGCGTTCCTTGCTGGAGTTTACGCTCAACAGCCCTCGCCTTATAATGTCCGTAATGGCTTTTTCGGTACATTTGGGAAGGATCCTGGATGGTGGGTCACACTTGTGCTTGTACTGATTGTCCTCTTTGTCCTGGAATTGGGCTTCAAGATGGCGAAACGTACGCTTACCATCATGGGGCTGTGGAAGTGGGGACGAGGCTGGTGGAAGAGGCTTAAGACTTGGAAGAAAGTCCGCAAGGAAGATTGGATGGAGAGTCATTTAGAGAACTGGGACCTAGGCCTATGGCAGGAAATGGAGAAGGACCCTCTGGTAACGAAGAGGTTGAGAAGCATGCTGCAGGCTGAGGAGAGCGGCGAGGGAGCTATCGATACTGATCAGGGAGTGGAAGAGCTTGTGTTAGAGGAAGAACGCCGTGCATGAAGGTCGATTCGGGCATGTTCTGGCATTGATGATACCCAAGGAGAACATAGTATTGGGGGGCTGGTTGGATTTGCGGTTTTGAGCCTACCTTTGACGTATCTACAGTTGGCAGGCTCATCTTGGAATAATGATATCAAGTTTTCATCGGCAGTAGGGCGTTTCAGGCCGCTTCTTCTTACGGAAGAAAACATGCTTCGGGTGCCTGGCTTTCTGCCTGCTTTTTTCGAAATTAACCAAAACATTTACAAGCCTCAAAGTCGATCCAGTCAACCAAAACACCCAACTTTTCCAAGTACTGTACGTTCGACTTCCTTCCCTGTCCCCTTTTTCTCAGTTGCCGTACGCTTTGAAACCCCTCTCTTTTTAAGCAATCAAAGAAGACCTTCCAATTTTCTGCTCTTTTCTTGCCATTGCCACTCTTTCTACACATCAGCACCCATCTACTTGCCGCCTCTGACAGCCTTATCTCTAGGCCGTATCTCGGTTTCTTCTGCGCCCAGGTGAACCCTTTCCAAGATCAACAACTCCCGCTTGTGTGCGTGCCAGTATCTCGTTGTTCCCAACAGACCTGTAAAAGCGACTTTCGACTTATCCACAAAGCTCATTGTAAGCTCAGCCACACTTGCTAGTGAGACCACCTTTTGGAAGCTGTCTGGATTGACTGATCTGTGTTTCTAGGCAACTGCTTTCACAGCACAACGAGTTTCCCTAACATTCTCCGATTCACTGTTCCTTTCACCAACTTCTGCCCCACGACTATCTTTGACATTCACGCTTGCTAGCACTTGCGCTTTTCAATAAGGTCAAACACCATTTGTGAGATTACGAGCCACACGTTCTGGCCGAAAAGCTCGCCATTTCTGAACCTTCTGCTCTGTCAGAGTGTTCCTGTACTTCGGCGGCCTTACTGAATGTTATTCTTCGCATTTTCTCCTCCTCAACATCAGTCAGCATGCGACCACATGCTGACCATTCGAGTGGGCTCCGAGCTCGAGGCTCCGCGAGCTACCCCATTACTGTATCAGATGACTCGGGTAGGGAAGCCTATGCTCGAGTTCAGAATCTCCGACGACAGGTAATCGCACAAGCACAAAACCGCGTTGTTGTCCATCTCGACGAGGATCCGACTTTGGAGGGAGATCACGAGCAGCATGTCGAGGAGGCTGAGGCTGCTGTTCTTCAGGAATATGAAGTAATCGATCTCACGGAAGATGGCTACCTTGGCCAGCAAACCGAGAGACAGAACAGCCGAGGCCGTTATCGGTACAGACGCTCTGAACCGAACGCTTCCCTTGGATTAAAACATAGATCAAGCTCGATCTGCAAAGTCAGAGATGTCGATTTAAAGGTCAATTCCTGTGTTGAGCTTCGTGAGCCTATTGGCAAGTGGGAGGTATGCATGCCCCTCTATAACTGTTAACAAAGGGGTTTATTGACCGCTTTCGAATAGGTTCAGTTTTTGGAAGTCAAATCAATCTGCACTTCTGGGACTGACGGACAGGTCACCATCCTCGGCCTTGGCTACGCCCGTAACCGCAACCTGCGCGGAGCGCTTGAGAACAAGAGAAACGAGGTCTGCCAGATTATTGAGGTTGATGCTGACGATCAGCGTCCCGACGAAACCCAAGCCCTGGTTGAAGTCAGCCTCCAGCAGATCTTACAAGTTAGGACTCTTCACAAGACAAATGCAATTTATCCTCAACACCGATATGGCGATGACCCACGTTGGAACAGCAAGACGTCATTGGAACGAGAAAGACAGGGGCCTTTAACTTGCCGCTGGAGGTACCGTGTTCAGTACCGAGATGCTCGTTTTCGAAGATATGGCAAACCTGATGCTTGGGTCCTTGTGAGGATGATGGAGGCAGAGGTCGACCAACGATTCGCATGTTCTGATAAAGAGATCAGAGCAGCTTGGCGGGGCAGAACAAGCCTTGGTGGCTCTTACAAACCTGATGTTATCCAACTGGATGGGCTTGGAGTCCCTATGGCTAGGAGCGACCGGCAATATACGTTTGCCGACTTATTTTGTGGTGCGGGAGGTGCCTCTCGTGGTGCTGTCATGGTTGGATTGAAGGTAAGTCTTCCTTCTCTTTTTTGGGCTTCATCGTTTTCGGGCAAAAGGTTTGAGAATGATTTCTTCGGGCTTTTCTGACTTGTTGTTAGCTTTCTTTTGGTGTTGATCACTGGCCCGTCGCTTGTGAAACATGGCGACGCAACTTCCCAGGTATTCGTCTATATGAACAGGATGCGACGGATTTTATCCACAACCTAGGAGTCGACTACCGGTCTCATCCCATCGACATTCTTCATCTTTCACCGCCCTGTCAGTTCTGGTCGCCTCTTGCATACCCATGGGCTGGACGAAATAACGAAGAGAACATGGCGATTCTCTTTTCCTGCCCCGAGCTCATCAAGAAGCTTCGCCCACGGCTCTTTACCCTTGAGCAGACCTTTGGTCTCACACACGCAGCACATGCAGAGTTTCTCAATGCCCTCATTCAAGGCTTTACAAGCCACGGGTATTCCGTCCAGTGGTAAATACATCCTCAGTTTACCATTGGTTCAATTAATTAAATTAACATGTTCTTTAGGAAGATCGTCTCTCTTGTTGACTATGGCCTACCACAGACTCGAAAGCGGCTGATCATGATTGGTGCCTGTCCAGGAGAACAATTGCCTCCGTGGCCTCCCGCGACTCACAGCGCCACACCGGTCGGAGGGCAGAAGCCTTTCGTCACCGAAGCTCAGGCTATCCAGAATCTGAACCGCCGCAGAGTGTCTTTACATGATGTAACCACAGCTCTTGTTCGCAACTCGCCACCCAGGGATGGAAACTCACCATTCAGCAAAACTATAACTTGCTCCGGTACACAGGGTGCTTACCATTTCAGCGGCCTCAGGGACTACACCCTGCGCGAGATTGCATGTCTCCAGGGGTTTCCTGTTTCGCATGAATTCCAAGGAACAAAGACTGCCATCAAGAAACAAATCGGCAATGCATTTCCTTCCTGTGTCGTGAAGGTGATCTACGAACATCTTCGAGATTGGCTGAAGCGAGTGGATGGCGTCCAGGGAGTGTCCGCACATGCCATACGCCCAGTCCCACGGGCTGTGGAACTGTTACCCCATCGTCGTCGAAGCATTCCAGCGGTCTTACCTATCGCCCCTCGGCACCAGCTAAATGGTGGCCTCGATGAGAATGAAGCATTGGAGTTGGCCTTGCAGGAGAGCAAGCGTGGGCCTTATCCACCCGCCGGAACTGGCGTGATTGAGCTCTCGGACGACGAAGATCAGCAAGACTTGACTGTCTCAACAGTGGTTGCCCCGCTCCTGGAGCGCATGAGCATCGGACCTAAGGCTGTGTCTGTTGCTGCTTCTCGAAGTAGATCGCGAAGTGTTACGCTTGGTTTCAGCCCCAGTCCCGAACCGCTCCCACATTGTCGCGCAGCCTCGCAAAAGCGCAGTCTTGACTCGATGCAGGATGGGGAGGTTGGTAATATGGACGGAGCATCTCCCCCAAAGCGCGAGCGCACAGTCGAAGCCGGGGATGAAAGGGATGGATTTGTTACTGTCAACAGAGCCCCAAGCAGGCTACCTCAGTATGCCAGCATTCGGGATACGGATGGTGCCGACGATTACGTTCTCGTCGGTGAGTTGAAGAGGGCTGGCATTCAAGGCTCGCAAACCGACGCCTCGATGCTAGGAAAGGGGTCTTCATCTTCTCGAGGAGTTACGACAGAGCTGTCTAAGCCCAGTCAGTCGTTATTCGGCGGACTAATCACTCTTGATCGGACCAGCGCGTGCGGTGACGAGACGTGGCTGTTCTGAGATGCAATTAGTTGAGGCATTCAAATTTGCTGGGGAAGTGTGGCGAAGCATTGTTGAGGGAGACGGTTGTCTTCACGCTGCTGATTCGCCAGCCATTGCCATCAATTGCAGTTGTTGGTGTTGCCTTTGTCGTTGCCCTCGTCAAACTTCGGTGTCAGTACTCTCTATCTTTGAGTGCAGGTGGAGAATACCTCCTTGGAAGGTAGCATTCGTCTGATTATCGTCCGGTTGTAACTTCTTCGTACAGCCTTACCAGAGCTTCGAGCCGTCGGTTCGCTGCGCACCATATTCTTGGGCACTTGTCTAACAAAGCTTGCGCCATAGAGGTAGATTTCTCTAACTGAAATTCGAAAGTTGTAAAATTTTCCAGGTATGCTTGCGCAATGTGCTATTATGTGCGACGATCACTGGCGTCGGCGCTTCTAGTGACGCCCTTCGAGAGCTTGGAAATAAGTTTCCGTATCGGTATCACTGCGGTGTCCATCTCGTAAGGCGCCGGCCCTTAGTATGCTGGGTCGTTCGTCGAGCTTTTGCGTGCCTTTGGTGCGGCATTTTTATGCTCAGATTCCATCCCATGCAACTAGGAGGTTCTTAGTCTTTCTGGTGCAAACTCTGGGACGCTTGGAAGTCAGCTCGGTGCCGAGAATTTGAAAAGATTCTTTTGCTCAAATCAGAGTGCCGATGACTCAAACGCAAAATCTGTAACTGGCGCCATCTCTGGTTGTTTTTGAGGCAGTCAGACACCACCATCGCAAGTAAATCCGGGCTAATAGAGGCGATAAATTAGGAATAGAGTAATCGTTCTAAATCAGGACTATACACCAGCATAGCACATTGGAAGACAGCCAAGTTGGAAGCACTCTCATGATTACACGATATGGGCCGCCAGTCGCGCTACTACGACCTGGGCGTAGTGAAGAGGTGAACTGGCAGCGCGCATTAACTTGACTTTATCTGGTATAAGCTGGGATCCAATGACCATTCTGCTGGGGCTTCTCGAAACGTGGCCCTGAGTCGCCATGACACAGATCTTCTCGCCAGCCAAGGTCGATTCCGCGTCGGCAAAATGAGAAGCCTTCTTGGGCTTCTGCATTCACCAATAAGGTACAAGAAATTTCAGCCACATTTCTAGGGGTGGCTATTATTGCAGTACTCCTGGCCTAATAGTTTGGGCCGGCCAAGAACGGGCCAGACATCTGAAGGTATGACTTGGCGAAACGTAACGAGCAGTTCCGGCCCTGTCTGGATTGCTCCTATAAAAGAGAAAAAGCTTGAACTATAGCAAGAAATCAAGCCTCGACCTGTGGCTTGTTTGAGGGACTGAGAGACTGACTAACTTGACTTTGGCTAGTTGACCGATCTCCCGGAATCATGAATGCGGCGGCTAGGCCGCCTCGGGTAGAGGCCTCGGCAACATGGCCCGCGAGGGCCTCGACCACCTGGGCGGGCTGCTAGAACATTTGAAGAAGACTAAGGACGCCCGTAATGGCTCTGAAAATAACATCTCACACGCCTGGTTGAGGCCCCTTGACTCAATGGTCTGGACATAGCGGGAAGTCAAATAGATAACTCGACCAAGCACGCTTGAGCCAGCTTGCGCGAATGGACGTGGGAACAACCAGTCATACCATCAGGACTGAGTATACGGGAGGCAAAAGAATCGATCGCTTAAGGCAGAGCTTGGCTCGGATACCCAGCAGCTCATGTGCATCAGGTTTGCGGAGGCGTGACTCGGCCCAGGGCCCGAAGCAGATAATCAATCCGGGTATCAACCAGAGATGAAGCGGGCAAGAGTCGGAACGCTTTGGTATTGGTCCCGATAAGACGGACGGCTTTTCAAAAAATGACCGCCGCTGTTGACGAGCTCGCGTGGGGTTCACGCTAGAAGAGCTGCGTTGCCACGGTGAGGCAGGCCGGCGAACAGATGAAGCAGTACCGGCCTCCACTGGCCCGACCCCGGGATACGCAAGCCTTTCGACAGATCTCTTGGTTAGCCTTGAAATATGGGCCCCGGGGTCCGCTACCACACAGCAAAAGGGACGGCAGAGAGCAGTGTTGCATGCAAGCAGGCAGCGTGGGCGTGTTTAGGAAGAGTCGCACAGAGCCTCTTGGCAGCGTCTCAGCCGGGGGGCACGACGACAGCGAGGATTCCAACCAATACTAACCCAAAGAGCTCCCGGAAAAGCGAGGCGCTTTGGACTTTTCCAGACAGTCTTCCCCACAAATAGCTCCCCAAGCAGCGAGAGCCAAGTCCGTACAAACATGCAACGCGTCTCAGAAGCTTTTCTTGGCGACTTGGCCGTCAAAGACCAGACGCCAAGTCGTGAACCAGCCATGCGGCGACAGAGCTCAACAACGTTCAGTCCTTGCTGGCAATTTGCTGGAAATCGACCGTGAGTCTTGCCACCATGCCCGTCCTGGGTATGCCCTCCTGCTCTTGGGTTCGTTTCGAGCCGTTTCAACCTGTCGTTCTACCATCACCGACCTGTCACATCCCATCTTGCCCTAGGCCAGCGTCGATCACCGCCAAGAGATCAAGAATAGGTCCTGAGGGCGCACCATGTTGACGTCTCATACACGCTGCTTACTTGGCTGCCGGAGCGCAAGCAAGCCGTGCGGTCCCATTCGACACCTTCACGGGGCCTGGAAGCCCGTCGATAGTGGACAAGAAGACCGATCCGAGTCAAGGCCTCTCTAGGTCCTCGTGGATAAAACTCTATGTCGTCCCAACTTTGTTCTCACGAATGAACTTCTCTTCAACCACTCGAGCTGCGCTCTTCTTACTCAGTCATTCTCTTCTTGATCTAGATCTGGTATCGCCCTACTCTCTTAACCACAAAACTTTCTTTTAATATCGCTCCACCCTCCCCCATTTATTCCAACATTCTTTGGTTCTACCAAGCCAGTTGATCCACAGTCATCCAGACCGCACTTCTCCGTCGTGATACCCACTTCCAATTCCATCAAAGCCAAAATGAAGTACAGCTTCGTCGCCTTCCTCGCCGCCTCGGCCAGTGCGGCCCCTCTTAACATCAACCTGGGCGCTTATTCTCCCGCCTTGGTGGTCGGTGATGGTGAAATTTCTTTCGCCGGAGCCCAAGGAGCAGAGGGTCTTGTGAACACCCTTCAAGGCGCAGCAGCCGCCAGCAACGGAGCCGTTGCCCAAGGCCAGGCCGTTGCCCCCGCCGCCGCCGCCCCCGCCGGCGAGGGTCTCCAGCAGGCCTCGGTTATCAACGAGCCGGTAAGGTCCCGCTCTCTTGGTATGTTACCCTTAACTGCGATCACTAATTCATGTTTTCTCCAAACTAACAGGCGTCTCTTCCAATTCCAGGCGTAACCAAGGAGCTTGACCCCCGTCAGGAGGCCGAGGATGAGGAGGATGAGGACGAGGTAGCCGAGCTTGAGGCTAGGGAGGACGGTGCTCAAGAAGGTGGCCTGATGAAGCGCCAGAACGGCTTCGACCGAGCCCTGACATACGCCGAGGCCGCTCTCCAGAAGGGCCCCAAGATCCAGCTCGGAACTCCAGCGGCCGGCGTCGGTATCATCGTCGACAACAACCAGCAGGCCGCCGGAGCTGTCACACCGGCCGAGTAATCGTCTTCTATGGCGACTTTTATTCTCGAATACCCTAATTACTCATGTGCCACGATGGAATGGAAGGATCTATGGAGCACGAGGAGTGCTTTTGGACTTCAAAGATGGGATCATGCGCGGAGTGGTCGGCAGGATGGGCTGGGTGGAGGTTGACTGGTCTTCACGATAATACCTCGTCGGGTTCTCGTGGTGTAAAGCATAAGCGGCAACTTTGTTAATCGCGACCTGATATTCCCTATTTTTCTTTTATTTTTAGACCCGCCTTAATTTGGCCGCAAGTTATGATAGAGTCAAAACGCATTTATGGGTTAATCCAAAACTTTTGTTCACAATTTTCCATGGGAAACCAGCCTTACCAACTTGGACGAGGGAATGATTCTTGGAATTGATCACTACTCAACACATCAGGCTCTTCCTTGCCTGCTTATCTAGCACGTGGGACATTGTGTCAGACACCTGTTTCACCTCCCTCGCCATCAGATGCTTCATATGAGCCTTGGCGAGCCGGAGGAAAACAGAGGAAACACATATCACGCGAAGTTTGGCGTTTCAACACCTCGTAAGCGGGCTAATGTGATTTCGAAATGATCGGTTGGGCCAGGCAGCAGGTCTTGTTCTCAGCTACGAAAATATTTCTGTAACTCTCGTACAATTGGGGCCGAGATAATTTGATAGTCAGTGTAGGGTTCTGCAATTCGAGCGAGGAACGCTGGAACGAACTTCTACGGTTCGAGCAAGCGACGTTTGCATGATGAGAAACTAGATAAGGAGTCAGCTCTTTGTTAGAACACACAAAGCCATTGGAGCACTACCATGAGATTGAGTATCTGCGACATGAGAGAGGTAGCTGGCATTGCGTGATACACTGGCTGCCCTGTATAATAACAATATAGACTGAAGTTTCAGCAGACTTTCCACATTGATATTATGTCAGCAGATTTCAATAGCCGGTATCCTAAATTTTCTCGAGTCCAGATTACCTTTTTATATTGTGATGCGCGAGCACATCGGCCACGTCAATTCCACTCTACCTGGGTAGTACAGAATGGTGATTCGGCCATTGGCTCCTTGCCATTGTGCGCGCGTGTGAGCGTCAGAGAGGGAATGCTTTTTTGTACGCAAATGCTTTTTAATACCGCCATCAGGGTCATCTTCTTTGCGGTCAGCTTCATACTACCAACAAAACGCCAGCCCTAAATCTGTCTTTTCACCATTTCAATTCACCATCAGGTTGAGACTAGGTTGAGTCTCAGAACCAGACCCTGCCTGGGGCGAATCTGTCAAAATAAGCATAACACGGGATCGTCCTGAACTTTGTGCAGATGTGAATCAATTTGGATGATTCCTCTTGAAGCAGGGCCCCTGACCCAGTCGTCGGGTATGAGAAACGTTTTCTCCCAGGAGTCTAAATAAATAAATGAAGGTTTGTGAATACTTAAAGCACTGGTTGAGTAGTATTCGGGGGTGATTCAAGTCCGTGTCAGGGCTCCTTGGTAAAGACTATGCACTGCCCTGAGTCATAAATAATTGGATTGTGTATTCGGGCGGTCATTTGTATTTGCGGTGCCCTTCAGCTCCCCGAGACTCCGGCATAGACTCCGAGTACTATGAAAAACTGTCAACAGAGCACTTGTATCTTGTTGGAGTGGTGTTCAACCAACAAATGTACCTAGGCTACGCCTCTACTACTCTACAAAGCGGCCTTGTCCTGATAGCTTGGAAGGAGCCGTCCAGGTGCAATTTCCACCCCACACAGAGCGTGAAAACTCCAGATGACATGTTCTGAGTTTCCTGTCGCACGGATATACAATGTCTCTTAGGAGGGTTGTACTTGAACGTTGTAGTGCAGCCCTTCAATAATCAATGTCTGACTTGGCACACGGCAACGCAACCATATATCAAAGGCCGCGTAGATACTAAGTATTCTCCTTGAACATATACTTGTGAATCTGTTCTGTCGCTCAGGCGGTCACATCTCCGAGGAATCCTTTGCTCGTTTGCTGGGTTTGTATGGATGGCCTCCACAATGATTGCAACCTTCGGCTCTTGTGATTCTTGGGACTGCGATTTTGTAAGCACATCAAATGGTTTACTAATGTTTGAGCACAGTCACTCGGGCGAGTCAACTACCAAACATTGTTCGGTGATGCAACAAAGGCACCGTAGAATTCGATGAACTCCACCTGGCTTTCATTGGGTTTCTTCTTACGATATAGATTGCTCAGGCCACTGCTTATTTCATTCAGTACTACACAACAGGCGAGCATACGTAGCCTACCATTTCGGTACATTCCTCCGCGTCGCGTGCAGACTCATCTTGTTCGTAGGAGCCCCAATTCTGGTGCCACTGGTCGGCTATGCGGCGGTTGCATTCGGAACTTTCGGGCGACTCTGACAAAGCCGAGCTGGTCGTTGTACCTGATTTCCAGGGCCAACGATCAGGTCGAACCCCATTTTGGCTGTCAAAATTATCGACAGTCTTCAAGGGCGGAGTAGGGAGGTATCCGCGGAGGCCACCTGCACAGTATCTGCGACGCACAAGCTTCCGTCTGTTGCAAGGTTTCCCTTTTTCTTGCGTCTCCATTTCTCGGTCACACGCCATGGGAACCCATGGTGCGGGTGTCGCCTTGCAGATCGACGCGTAAGCCCGCGAGGGATCAGATCCGCACCTAGACTGAGAATTGACTTTGAAATCTGTCCCGTGAACAGCGACCGTTGGGTCACTCCATAGATCCGCGATTAGATCGTGGGAATAAGGGGACCGTGTAGCCGATGCAACCCTGGCACATGCATGCACATACTTTCCCACGCGACTTGGCAATGCATTGTAGACTTCACTATTGGAAACATTTAATTGGCAACAACGTGAAGCTTCCCCTTTTCTTAGCTTTCCGGGACATCCCCTCGGGTCCGACCCAAGACATGCCGTTCGAACGTTGCTGACATCCTGCTGGCTCATCGCTGTAGCTCACAATGGCATAACAAAGCGCCTCATAGCCACACTGGTCAATACGCGGAAAGCGACGCTGTCGTACATCGAAAAGTAAGTCGTAGCAAAGCGGCATGTTTCAAAAATAACATATACGAGGTTGGCTGATCTGTGAAAATGGCTTCCCCGGGCCCATGTTCCTTGTGCATAGTCATAGTTGAATATGCCGATGTCGACCAGGGACGAAAAGCCCGACCGATGTTTCTGGAAAAGTCCGTTCTCCATATGGCCTGGTTGGCCGGTGCGGAAGCAACCGCAAAAACTAAACCTTCGTGTATAGCTCTAACCCAAACCGTAAACCACCCCACGATGGCGAGGATGTGGAGGGTTGCTGCGATCAGTGATGATGCATGTTGATGTGGGTAGGGGCATCTATTTGCTGCCGCAGGCATCTTCTACCGTCTCACAGGTCATGGATAGGCATCCAATCTTGGAGTTTTACTGAATCTTGCGCACACCGACATCAACCGATTGGAAATGTGGGTCTCAATACGTCTGCATACGCGTATGGCTCTGCAAGGCACAGACGATCAATCATTTGATTGACACACTAGCTGTTAAAGACTTGTATACAGGCCAGGCTGATGAACGCACTACTTTTGCAAGCTGCTGCAACGGGTGCGAGACAGGAAATGCGCGCTCTAATCTGTCGACAACGTCGTCTGGTCTGGTACGATTTTCTCTCTATTGAAGTGTTGCATTACCGTATCGAGCTTAAACAACATCTTGGGCGCCGAGTGTCGGACAGCCGACGGCCGATCAAGCGAAGTAAACGTGACATTTAATGCAACGACAAAAGATAAAAGATCCCAAGCTTCCAGTCAACCCGGATCAAGGTTCCAAAAAAAATCGCTATCCGAAATCTAGGAAACACATGTTGGCAGAGCCGCAACCCCCGACTGGGGGCATGATACTATCGAAAGTCTATTCCCAGCACACAGCTCAGACTCGTGCTATGCCGACCCAGTTTCCTCACAGACTTCATCCCATGTTAAGTCCGTTCATCTGGACGGGATCATGCAGTGTAGTATTGTACGGTATGACTCTTACTCGTGGACAAGGGGCTCTTGCATGCGGCGGGCACAGGGCGTAGAGTGACGCTGTAGGTTTACGAGCTCAGTATGCATTGTTGACCCACCGCAGGCCTCACATAGCCTCCTTCTGGATCTATGCCTCCTGATCTCTTGGCTCCCGTGGGTCCCGACTTTCCTGGCTTAGGCATCCCGAGCCATCAGGGCAACACGAGGGCCCTTTGACCCACGTTTGACCCCCAATGCTTTGGCCGCTCTAGTTGTGGAGCATACCAAGGTACATATCAGGGTCCTCATGCATGGGCATGTGCCTTCTTCACATTTAGAACATCGGACATCGAGGATGCACGGCTCCGAGGACTGAACAAACCTGAAATGGGCTGAAGAAGGCAGAAGATGGTGTATACGCTCTTGGCATCGGGTTGTCGGCCACTGTGAGGTGATGCATCTCCGAGAGAAAAGGGGCAGCATAGTTGTCACGAGCATCATTCTCACAGAGAGGTGGGCTATGTTCTGCTGCTAGGTCTAAAATCCTACAGTAGCTGGCAATGGCACTTCAGAGCTTCACCATAGTGGTGAAGGCTGATACTATAAAACAGATGGCTCCCACTGAAGTGAGGTGTTTCCAAACCTCGATGTTCATCCGCTCTCTACCCTCACTTTTGGTGCCCAGGCAACACACATTCTCTACACAGCTTTTATTTGTCCTTTTACCAACATGAAGTCTTCACTTCTATCGCTCCTGGCTGCTGCCCCGAGCACAATGACCATGACTCTACCTTCACTTCAAGATTTGTCTTCTGGTTTAATGCCTAGACAAACCTCTTGCCAAAACACTGCTACATCACGTAGCTGTTGGGGGAACTACTCAGTCGACACCAACTAGTAAGCAGTTCTCCCATATAATTCTGAGTCCAGGGAGAAATATCTGCTGTATTCATGATCTGTTTCATTGTTTGCCTTGAGGCCTGTTGCAAGATTGCAGCATTTGGGACACGCAATGTGAACATAATGATATATTTCGACCTTTGTTTGAGTGAAACATCTTCCTCGGTACTCTGGTTGCTTATTCTGAATACTACAGCTATGATGTGTTCCCAGATACTGGGGTCACGCGAGAATACTACCTCTCCATTGAAGAGGGCCCTTGTGCCCCAGATGGGTACAATACGACGTGTCAGACCATCAATGGCACTATGCCCGGGCCTCTTATCATTGTAAGATATCGATATCACTGAGATCGCACTCAATGAAACTCTACTAATCAGAATACAGGCAGATTGGGGGGACCGGCTAAACATACATGTTACTAACAACCTTCCCGTCAATGGAACCGCGATCCATTGGCATGGCATTCGTCAGCTCAACTCCGTTGCTGCGGATGGTGTTCCAGGTATCACGCAGTGTCCTATCGCTCCTGGAACCTCCCTCACATACAGCTTCCACTTGACGCAGTACGGCTCAACCTGGTACCACAGCCATCTGTCGTTGCAATATGGCTTAGGCCTCTTTGGCCCCATGATCATCAATGGACCAGCAACGGCAGACTACGATGAGGACCTCGGAGCACTGTTCCTCCAGGATTGGGGACACAAAACAGCCTTTGCGCTCTGGGACACAGCAAAGCAAGGAGCCCCGCCGACCATGGAGAATGGTCTTATAAATGGGTAAGAATTCCTTGAACGACTCGATAAATTCAAAGATGTATTACAAGCTCTATTGAATAGAGTTTTCCCGAGTTTAGAATGTTTATTAACAAGTCCACCTAAATCATAGTACCAACACATACACGTGTACATCCACAGACAGCTGCACAGGCACAATCGGGAAGAAGTTTGAGACTGTGTTCCAAGCAGGAAAGAAATACCGTATACGGCTTGTCAACGTTGCCACTGATGGGCATTTCCAATTCAGCATCGACGGCCACTCGCTCACCGTAATAGCTAACGACCTCGTGCCCATCCGGCCATATACCGCTGATTCCGTTCTCCTGACTATGGGACAGCGGTACGATGTTATCGTTGAGGCGAATGCAACCCCAGGTGATTACTGGCTCCGAGGCAAATGGGTCGACGCATGCATGACGAACGGCAACTCCGACGGCATAACAGGCATCGTGCGCTACGATAATAGCAGCACGGCGTCCCCAACCAGCAACTCCACTGTGACCACGGCCTCCAGCTGCGAGGATGAGCCATACACCAGCCTCGTGCCGCATGTGGCCATGGACGTTGGCGCAGTGACACAAACGGCCACGGAGAACCTGAACTTCAAGTTCGACACGTACTTCAAGTGGACGCTCAACGACTCCACCCTGCTGCTCGACTGGGCGAGCCCGACGCTCCCCAACGTCTTGGCCGGGAACAACACCTTCCCGGCCGACTACAACGTCGTCTCAGTCAACGGGACCTCCTCGGACTGGGCTATGCTCGTGATCCAGGACAAGACCGGCTTCGGCCTCTTCCACCCGATCCACCTTCACGGCCACGACTTCTGGATCGTCGCCCAAGCTGCTGGAACGTTTGACCCGGCTACGACGAATCTCACTACCACCAATCCGCCTCGTCGCGACGTCGCGACCCTCCCTGGCAATGGTGTAAGTAAGATTTCATGAGATGTCTAGTCCATCTAAGCTCCCCAAGTTTCGAGGTATTTTTGGGGGCCTTGAGTCCACAAGACTGCCTTAAATCCGCTCGAATTGCTGTGATTAGATCCACTGAACGGCTGTTTGCTAACAAAGAAGATAACAGTATCTCGCTATAGCTTTCAAGCTGGATAACCCAGGCACTTGGTTGGCGCACTGCCACATCGCATGGCACGCGTCCGGTGGATTCGCGCTCGAGTTCGTGGAGCGGGAGGGCGAGATCACCGGAAACTTGCGAAACGGAGACCAGGCCACTTTACAGAACACGTGCCAGGCATGGGGTGCGTTCAACCAGGTCGTTCGGCAGGACGATTCGGGAATTTGAGGACCTGGGACGGTGCGGATGAGTTCGTTGTGCCCAGTCGACCTTTTAAAGGCGCCACGCTCTTTTGTTTAGTGTTCTTTCGTTGCATCAGCTTGTCAGCAGCATCTTCATTTTTACTGTATTATGTTTCTTTGCAGGGAGCTATCAACAGGTCATGAGGGGAAGTTCAACTTTTCATTCCCTGTAGTGACACAACTCTTTTTCATATGTAAGTATGTATTAAATGATATTTTCCAAATCTAACACGGTAGCTTGATATTGAGGGGCAGCAAAGTCTGGTCTTGCTGAGTGCACTATATTTCCCTTTCTTTCCATTACTCCTTCAAGACATGTTGGAACTGTGGCCAGTCGGGCCTGACTCGGCGTAGTCTGTTGTTACAAATGCCTACTTCTGTTAGCAACTGCGACACAATGAACAATAAAGCTTCAAAAAAAAATTCATGAATGCCAATCACTTACTCGGTCGACCTCAGGTAGACCCTCAAGGCAATATTGAAGTGTTTCCGCTATATCATGGGATCTCATAAGCGGAGTGCGGTGATCCAATAAAATGTCGACCTCAACCCAGACACCATCGCCTGCATGATAAGCCTGCAGATTTTTAAAGCCGTCCACGATCGGCGCGAATCGCCAGGCGAGGAATATGAGCTTCCGAAATAACTTGTCGTCGACCGCAGAGCCGCTCAACCGCGTAACCTGTTGTGCGTTAGTCACCTGCTTTGGAGCCCGAAACGATGTTTTGTGAAAGATTCTAATGAAAGACAGATAGGCAACTGTAGTGGGAGAAGGGGAAAGACGCACGTTCTCCAGGGCAGTTCCAGCCCAATCCCAAATAATGAAGAGAGATAGAATAGAGGCACCAGTGGGATCAAGCCACCAGACATCGACTTGCTTTCCTATCAGGGGAAACAAGAGCGACAGGATGTTGAAATAGACATCCGTCTTACAGTCCTGGGCCAAGGCCTGGACCTGTGTCGTTTTAACCTTGATGCATCCGAACCAGATTATTCCCTTTATGACAATCGTTGCAACCATAGCAGCCATTGCTAATACCCCGAGATCGACGGTCGTGTGGTCTCCTGAAGGCATGAGCTTCTCTACAGACTCCTGTAAGATCTGTGCGAATGACAAGATCATAAAGATGGAGAAAACGAGGATGCCAAGTGGTTCGAGCCTTCTGCGGCCGACAGGGAACCGACGCTGAAGGGCAGTCAGACGCCACTGCACAAGGCGGTTGGTGGTCCAGACAATGATCGTACAAAGTAAGTCCAGGGCGCTATCTACACTGGGGACAGAGTTAGCGATCAACACACCGGAACACCAAACTTTACTTGAAAAAAGACCGAAGCAAGCCACCATATACACATTTCCAATCTCAAAAGCTGCAGACTGGCAAGGTCTTCAAAGCAAGCAGTGAAAGAAACCATGAATATGGCATATGTTTCTCCCCGGAGAAGTTAAGGCTGTAGCCGAAAGTTGCTTACGTTGAAGCGATGAGCGACAGCGACGACGAGAAGAAGCAAGCCGTCACTTTGGCAGCCAGCAGTAAGACATTGGCTACTACATTCACCTGGAGTGGTGTGTCAGTGAGGCAATCTCATGGAAGAAGTGAGGAGACTCACATTAATGGCCCTTCGGGCATTTCTTGCAGCTTTTCTGCGCTGGTCGATTTGGTTCTGTGGGAGGAACGCCTCCACGTCTTCGTTCTGCATCTGCAGATTACCGGCGTGCTCGCGATGACCATCGTGGTCCCTGTCCGGGTCGAAAGACTCGAGGATGTCATCTGCGATGCTGCGGACGACCGAGTCGACCTCGAGCCAGTCATCCAGGGTCTCGTTCTGGCCTTCGTAGAAATGCCTGATGCTCTTGTCTTTGATAGACTTGAGCTGGTCTTCTGTCTTCCTGAACTTCTCCAGCTCGTCGGCCTGGACCGAATCTATGAGCTTGTGCTTGAGCTGATTCCTCCTCTCGTCTTCCAAGGCGTGGTTCGCACCGTCCTGGAAGCGGAATATTGCAGGTTTTGGCCTGAACGGATTTCCATGGTCCCTGTGGGTGCTGGAGCCCGTGCTGGTGCTCACGCTGGAGCTCGTGCTGGGTTTTCCGGTCGCAAAGGCATTCAGACCATGTCTCCCAACCATTTCGATCTTGATCCAGGTCTGTCTAGCTGAGCAGGGCGAGGGCGAAGGTGTGCGTAGGGATGATACGTCTTGGCAATGGGTGCCAGCTAAGCTTTTTGTGCTAGGAAGCAGGACTGAAGTCCGGCTGATATAGCAACCATGAGAACAAGAGTGGCCTCTGGGTGGAGATCATTACGAAAAACAAGGTGAGCTCAGGCGAGGTCCAGCTGGTGGTTGATGATGCTGCTGATGAGGTCATGCTTCCCGGCCTGGAAACGGCTGCTGCAGCGCTCGGCACAGACGGCGCATACCCCTGCCAAGGTCCCAGATTACGGTACGGTAGCAGCAGTTGACGGCCGTCCTGACATGCTTGACTCTCGAATTGGAGCTTACTGTGTAGTGCTTGGTGCCTACGGGTATGCAGCAGACTGACCCGTCCGTCCATCTGCAGAGGACCAGGGGCTGGCTCCCGGAAGCTTATTTCTTGCCGACGCCTCTCTCGGTGAGAGCTGCAATTCCGTTCCCTGCGCTCATCATGAGATGAGATGAATTCAATTGAATTAAGCACACGCTGTCTCAAAGCTTGCCTGTGGGCGATAAGGTTTGATGGGCGCACATGTTTTGTTTGTGAGCTGTAAACGGTGGGTGCTGGTGACGTCAATGTGGTCCTTCAGCTGCCAACGGCAAGACTCAATCCATCTCCGTTTGCTCTCCTGCGGTGAGATTTACTATGCATGCAGCACAGAGCATACTGCACCTCAACACGTGCAGATTCCAGAGGTGGCCCATGCTGCCTACCAAAGGGGGGACTGGTGTGTCCATGTTGCTGCTTTGGTTGTCAGGCAGAGAACAGCGGCAAAATGCACTTTCATTCACTTGTGTTCAATTCAGCCGGCTCGTGCCCATATTCAATCCCAACCATCCTATCTCATCTCGTCTCCTGTCTCCTCGTCTCCTGTCTCCTCGTCTCCTCGTCTCCTGGCCCGCAGACCAGAAACACAGAACCACGTTGCTTCTTATGAATTTGGCCAAAACTTACACTCAACATCGTACCATTCATCGCTTCTATTCTCGTCCAACCGGGATGCTTGCCTCGGGGCAGGCCAGCCCCTGAGAGCAGAGCCGGGGGCCACTGGGGGCTCGTCCGAGCAGGGGTCTTCAAGGTGTTACTGCATAGCATAGCACGGCACGGCACAGCGTTCTGCGCCCCGTTTCCCACTTTTCGATGGCGAAGGACTAGGACTGCCAGCCATGCGCGATAAGGAGAATCAAATCAAATCAATCAACACCACCAAACTCCAAGCTAAACGCGTCCAAGCCGAGCCAAGCAAATCCTCGTGCAAAGCTTTGCCTGCTTCAGCTTGCACAGTCCCTCCCAAATCTCCCTCCCGCCTGCTACATCGCATCCCTCTGCATTTGCATTTGTGTCTGCACCTGCATTTGCTTCTGGTCTCGTGCTACATTGGCCTCCGTCCGCCGGCTGTTCCGCCACCAACGATGCAGACATAGCAGCGGTGAAGCATCCAAGATGCGGTTGACCAGGAGACTGTTGGCCGTCGTTGCTTTCTTGGCCCTCATTGTCGTCTTGGTCCGATATCGCCGGAGCGTCGAGCACACAATCGAGGAGGCCATCCAAGAAGTCTCGGCCGAGTGGAAGGCCGCCGACGAAGAGGCCAAAGCCAAGAATCGCGAGCTGCCCCAAGTCATCCTGCCAATTGAAAAGTCCGACGAAGAGAAGAAGGCCTCCATCGCACAGGCTGTCGAAGAGAAGGCCCACGGCGTCGACAAGCCCTCCTCCGACCCGGCTCCAGATACGAATCAGGCCGACGCGAAGCACTCGGTGGGATCGCCGTCAGTTGGAGGCAGCAAGGGCGACCATGATACAATACACCAGGCTATTGGAGACACAAAAGACATTGAGGCATTCTGGGCGAAATGGAGCCGTGCCATCTATGAATCACGTCCAAAGGTGCCAAAGATAGCCCTGGGCGGCCGCGCACACACACAAAAGCCCAAGGAAGGGCAGGTATCACGGGAGCCATACCGAGATCACCTTCGCAATGCTGAAGAGGACATTGACATCCTGCGTCTGTTGCACAGGAAGTTCGTCAGTGGGCTGGAGAAAGAGTTCGGGAATCATACAATCGACGGCGAGCAACAAGAGAGGCAATGGGAGGGCTCGGGCATTTTCAAGGGAAAGGGAGTCGTCATGGTTGGCGGAGGCGAGTACTTTGGCCCGGCCATCATTAGCATTCACATGCTGCGTCGTACGGGCAGCAATCTCCCAGTTGAGGTCTTTGTGCCCGACGAGAGCGAGTACGAGGAGGCGCTGTGCAAGAATTATCTAAAGAAGTTGGGTGCCCATTGTGTGGTGCTCTCACGCATACTCGACAAGAGCAAGATTAAGGTCAGCCAGAAGGACGACGCAGAGCTGAAGATTACGCACTACCAGCTTAAGTCGCTGGCTCTACTGCTTTCCTCCTACTCCGAGGTGCTTCTCTTGGATAGCGATAGCATCCCCGTCCTCGACCCTCTCCTCAACATTTTCGAAACCGAACCTTACAAGTCGAAAGGCATGGTTATTTGGCCCGACTACTGGCGCTCGACCGAGAGCCCCAGATATTGGCAGATAGCTGGCAAACCAGACTTTCCATCATTTCTGCCGGCGACGGCGAGTGAGGCCGGCCAGCTGGCTGTCAACAAGGCCACTCACCTGGCACCTCTTCTCCTGGCGACGTATTACAACATATTTGGCCCCGACTACTATTATCCACTCTTGTCCCAGGGCGCGCTCGGACAAGGTGACAAGGAGACATTCCTCGCAGCCGCGGTTGCCCTCAATGCCACATATTATAGGATAAAGACACCAGCCGCATCCCTCGGCCGACATGACGGTCGTACGCAGAAGGGAACTGCAATGGTGCAACATCTTCCCTCGGACGACCTCAAACATGAGTCCACGGGCCATGAGTCCATCCGCCCGATGTTCCTGCATTCCAACACGCCCAAAATGAATGCAGGCCACCTGGTCGATGAGGGCGACCTTCTGGCAGCCGATGGAGAAACGAGACTCCGATTGCTGGGCTCGAAAGATGAGCTGGTGAAGAGATTCGGGTTCGACGTGGAGCAGAGTATCTGGGACCTGATGGTCCAAACGGGATGCGAGCTTCAGGACATCATACAAGAGTGGAAGGGCAGGGAGAGGATGTGTGAGAGGCTCACGGAACACTATAAAAAGGTCTTTGGGCCATGACGTGGGATTTTCATTCCATGACACAATGACACGAAGACACGGCATACAGGACACCTCGAAGATGTCCACCGTACGACGGAGTTGTGAGATGACTATGGGCCTTACTACCTTACTCAAGAGGATCGATGTACACGGGGCTTGATATAATGACACGTGCCTTGATACTCGATTCGATTCTTCTGGATGTACAGTATTTAGCATGAAGCACCTACGAATTGACAAACGAGATTTCCGACCTGCAAGCAAAGACCGCAGCAGTTGTTCATGATCACCAGAATTCGCGCGAGGAGCTTGGACTAAACAGGCACATCTCAGCCACAATTTCTTACCGCCCTTCCTCAACTACGGTGCGGTGGTCAGAACGCAAAACTGAGAGGAGTTTTCAGCTGGCACAGCGCGCCATTTAACAGCAGGTTCCACCTACCTCGTGTCATGGTCCGCCAGCACCAATCACCTGCTGTGCTGCGCATCCTCCTTGTGCCGGGAGTCAGCAATTCACGCGTTGTCCGCTTTCTAGAACCCGCCCCAGGCCCCCAGAGCACGTTCCCCCCCACCCCGTCCACCCCCGAGCGAGCGACAAAGGACCATCCCCCCTGGGCGCGCCGACGCTCTGGAGCCTTGGCTCGAAAAAAGCTTGGCACAGCCCTGGAGGAACCGATCGACGCCCGGGATCTTGGGGGCCTCAGTAGTGAGGATTCAAATTAGGCTTGCCGCTCCATTGCTCAAAATAACTCTTTATTGCGCCATACCACTCTAAGTCTGGCGAGTCACGAGAGACACGAAAGGTGGTCATCAAAAGATTTTAGGGATCAAAATACGCTTGTTATCGCTCCGGTGCTTCTAACTCGATCGAGCGAGGGTATCCGCAACAAACAAAAGGAAAAGAAAGATGATGAAGAAACAAAGTACGAGGAAGGCCTTTTTTTTCCCCTGCACACAAACGCCGCCCTCAAAATTGAGTCCACCAATCCTGGGGGGTATGATAGAGTAGAACCGACCAGCCCGGAACGCCTCGCTTGTTTCAAGGTCAACCCAGACGAATGCAACGTGCGCGAAACATGAACCACCACCCTTCCCGCTCCCCCTCATCTCACCATCTCCGCCGGTGGTGTTCCCGCCTCCGTGGAGCTTTTTCCCCAACTCTAAACACAAATCAACACAACCCAGCCCAGCCCAAGCCCCACGCTAGTCATGAACCAACCCGAGCTTCATCAAACAGAGTTAAATGAGCCCCCGTCGATCCGTTACTGCGGCGCCGTGATCATGCCCTTGTTGCTGGCCTCCACCAGAGCCAGGTACCAGCGGTTGGCCATCATGGCGTAGCCGACGTCGTTGGGATGCGTGATGTCGGCCATGGTGGTCATGTTGGGACCGCCGACCGCGGCGGTCATCTCGGCGAGCACGACCTTCTTGCCGCTGCCCTGCAGGTCCGCCGCAACCGCGCGGAACTGGTCGTTGGCGACAAGCACGCGGGCCTGCGTCTTGTCGACCTTGTTGTTGATCAGCGTGGACATGACAACTGTAGCGTTGGGGCTCCACTCCAGCAGATCCTCGACCATCATGCGCATGCGCGTGCCGACGGTGTAGTTCGCGTTGGCGGTCAGCTCGGGCGCGACGGTCGAGTTCTGGGTCGTGTTGTTCATGTTGAAGTTCTGCACGCAGTCGTTGGTGCCCACGTTGAGGAGGATCACGTTCGGCAGGTCCTGGGGCACCGAGGCCTGCGCCTTGGGCAGCACCTGGTCGATCCGCAGGCCCGGCCAGCCCTCCACCGCGTTCTCCTCCATGGTCCCGTGCTGCCGCGAGCCGACGTACTCGACGTGCTTGCTGCCGCCCTTGTTGAGGAGCAGCATCAGCTCGTCCCTGTAGCCGTTGCCGTCGGATGAGCGGAAGCCGTAGGTGATTGAGGCGCCCAGCGGCATGATCCTGAGCTTGATGTTGTTGGCGATGGGCTGAGTGGCGGGTGGGTTTATAAGAGTAGGCCTGTCTACGTCCTTGTGGCCTGTTTGTAGTGTGAGCGGCACGGCGATGGCTAGCAGGCGCGGAAAAGACAAGTATCAGCCTCTGGGCAGTTTTGAGGATAATGAAGAGGGTAGTCACCTGGGACAAGGGCCACGATGGTCAGCACAAAGCTGACGATGGCGAAAACCCTCATTCTGCGGGTCCAGTTCTTTGGGTTGAGTCTTGAGAAGAATGATGCTTTCGTCGGCCTGGCAGGAACTGTGGGTTTGCTAAAGTCTCGACTATATGAGCTGCTCGATGCTGAGCTAGACGAGGCGGCGTCGTCCAAGGGCCCTGATGGCTCGCGTTGGTGTTGGTACCGGTTTTGTTGGCCTGGTAGCCCCGCGGTGACTCCCTCGTGGGAGTCCATGTTTTTTGAGGGCATCGTGAAGTGCGTTTTGAATTGGAACGAGTGCACAAGTGAATGTCAGTCACCTTCACTTGTGAGAAAGTGAGTGAGCCTCTGGACGAGGTGACCAGGCGAACAGAACTTGGACTGAGTAACAGGAGGAGGTGAGTCGTTGCAGTTCAAACAAGAGGAAGAGAATAACATGTATATGGCAAGTAAGTATATAAGTAAGGTCTCATCAAAACGTCAAGGTCCCATAGACGAGATGCCAAGGAAAACGAGACCCTGGGGGTGGGAGGCGAGCATGGTCTTAAAGGTCGATGACATGGCGGGACGGGACGGAGTAGAAGGGTGCAGCAAGCGGTGGGTGGGTGGGTGTGCAGGACAAGGTACGCAGGGTAGACCACGGTACGGAGTTGTGTAACTAGTACGTCCAGGATGGTCCAGGCAGGGCGGGAAGAGGAGCAGAAGGGAGCAGCAGACTAGAACAAGAGGTGGGTCGCGCGTTGGAATCTGTCACGCACGGCATGCTCGCTCGCACGCACGCACGCACATGCACATGGGCTTGCACATAGGAACATTGCGTGCCGTGTGCCGCCGGGCGTCCAGCACCAAAGGGGGCAAAGATGCAAAACGTGGTGGGTATTAAGCTCTCGTAGCTCGACGTGGGATGAACGCGCCGAGGAGGAGGAGCAGGAGCTGGAGCTGGCTCAAGGGCAGTTGAGCCAAGGGCCCAAGGGGCAGGGTCCCTGGGCCGCTGGGCAGCCGCATGTACTGTGTCTGCAGTGTGTATGCAGCTATTGCATGGTCTAGCAGACTAGTAGGAATGGGGCAAGGGACGGGCTGGGCTGGCTGGAAGGGGAGAGAAGGAAAAGGTCAGAGTAGCACTGGCTCTAGGCTGCTGCATTGGCTTTCCCTCGTCCCTCGTCCCTCGTCCCATTTTGATCCATCCTAACCCATATTTGGCCTCAAGTTTATTCGCATGCAGCAGATTCGTTTCGTGAATGGACGGTCGCTGGCGACAGTGAGAAATATACCCGCTGAGCCCTGCTCAGGCGCCATTCGCTTCGTGCTGACTACAGCTTACATTCGGGGTCCAGCTCCTGAGCCCAGCCTAGTCCAGTCCTGCAATAATGGTCAGAGAGGTATCGTGAGGCTGAGCGTGTTGTCGTTGTGGTCCTGGTCGCCGTCGTATTCGAAAGATGGAGCAGAATGCGGTCTGGCGCCCATCACCGTCACCATGACCGTCACCGCCGCCGGCACGCAAGGCAAGAAAGTCTATGACATTACGTCCCATGGCACGTGCTGAAAGGCTATCTGCACCAACAAGGACAGAAGCTCGATAGATGACTTCACCTTCGGACAGACTCCCGTCGGCAAGTCGATCTGCCGTCACAACCGTAGCGGCCAGCAGGGTGATAGGTGATAGAGGGGGGAAAACGCGCAAGCTGGCGATGTCAGAGTCTCCACAGAAATTGGAACGACGCTGTGTTGTCAAAATGATGACCTCAAAAAGCAAGGAGCCAGAGAGCCGGGCTGCTTGGCTGCTTGGCTGCTAGGTGCCATGCTGCCCAGCTACTGTGATCTGCAGCGCAGCCCATGCGATGAGCTTGGCCTGTTCCTGGAGCGAGCGCCCTCTAACCCTCTCGATTGGGGTCGGGATCGTCAGCGGCTGGCGCCATCCAGATGCCAGCTTGGGCGAATCAGCATGGTGTGATGTGATTGATGCATGTCTTGCATTTCTTTCGACTCGATTGATGGGACCCGACCAGTCCGACTCGACTCGCGAAGACCTCGGTCGCCCTCGCTAGCTTCGTCGACGACTGCTGTGAAACTGTCTCGATGCAGTCTTGAGGCTGGAACGGACCGCAATGTGTCTGGTGCAGTCTCTGCTGGGCGAGTCTGGTTCTGGTCTCGTTCAAACTCCACTGCGTTCCCACTTTCCACCATCCACCTCCCCTCCTCTCCCCCCACCCCTTCTTCTGTATCCTGAGTGTCATAATTGGCTGCCACCTGCCCCGGAGACAAGCTGGCAGCTCTTTTGCACTGAGCATGGCCGTCCCTGTACGCCGATCGTGTCTCGAAACCTGACTTGGAATTCTAGCCTGTTGAAAGCCGTCATCACCCTTCTGCCCCTCAATCTTAAACACCGACTATGAAGATCCGAACAAGACACGGCAGATACGGAAAGCTTAAGCTAAGCCCCAGGTGTGGCCTGTGTGTTCAACGTCGGTCGATTTAGGCTCGCCCATGTTTCGTTCCCTGCGGCCCACCCACGCCATTGATCTCCACCGGCCTAGGACTTGGCACAGATCTGACACTGTCACCCCTGGACGAAACGTTTCCCAAGGGGCAACATTTGCCGATGTGCAGTGTTCCTCAGAGGAACCTCACCATACTTCATGCCAAAGCGAGCTGCTGGTGACACGGTCGGAATCTGTAATTGCAGCCGATGCTCGCCCGGCTGCAAGTGGGTTTCTCAAATTGGATGGATCGGTTTCCTTGGCACCAAACCAATCGCGCTTGGCTCTTCCTGGCAAACATCTGTCACAACTAACAAGTCGAAGGCATCTCTAAGGTGGCATCGAGCCACTTGTAAATGTCACATAGTCTTGATGTATCCGACCAGTATGCCTGTGAATATAGAATCTCCTATTGCCGAGCTGAAATTGTGCACCACCTAGGTAGGTATACCGGCCGAAGAGCATCAGATAATCCCAGCCTTAATCGTTATGCACATTCGGATCCTGGCATCTTCATCACTTCGGCCTGGTGTCGCAGCTCGAGCACGGGTGGTCCCTGAAGGATGGAAAGTAGATGTCGTAGAGACATGAACTCAGCAACGGGACACGTGCAAAGCAAGGCTGATGCGAACCACGGGCGGGAGAAGGGACGAAATTTTCCATGAGCTCTAAGACTGGGACATTGTCGCACGGCATTGGGTTGGCCAACCTGGGGCTGGAGGATGGTGTGCCTAACTTGGACGAGTTTCGTCTGAGGATGACAATGCACTCGCCACCACTTTCCAAACTCTAGTCACAGCCCAGCCTCTAGAGTCTCCCACAGAATCCCCTGGGAATCATGACTTTGGGTCATACTCGAACTGATGAGAGGTTCGAGTGCAGATGATGGCCTCGATACTACGCTTGAGATTAGCGAGACCGAGTTTGCCTTCAGTATCTTAGGAGGAGAACGATATTGTCTCTCTCTCGCTTCATTTCGCAGTAGCCTCTGAAACAACCGCTTGATGGCCTGTTCCCGAGGTTATCACACAGGGCTAGATTGAGTTTAAGCCGCTGGTGCCGTGTCGATCTATCGGGCCAGCCCAGTATGTCCGCAGAACCAAATGGCTTGCAAATGCTACTGCATGACCAAGTCCACCTCGGAAGTGAAAAGTAATACCACGGCCGCGTTTGAAAGTGTCGTATTGGACCAGGAATGCGTCATCTTAAGTCAATGCCACTTGCGGAGGGAATCACGATATTTTTTGTTGGGACGATGACTTGTACGACAAACAGTCTCCCGTGCTTCATCAATCAATGCGCACCCGGTAGCCACTTATGTTTGCGTGTGAGTTTTACTTGAAGTCTCCGGTGCTTGGAAAAGGGGACAGTCTCATTTCCAACAGTCAAGTCCTACTGCCATTGTGCTTTTCTTGTGCGCCTTTGACATTTCCTTCCATCGTGCCAATTTCGATTAATTATCGCGCAACCCCAGAAGACAAGGTTAATATCCACGCCTGTGAAGTTCTCGGGAGATGCTCAAGTATTCTGCGGAGTGACACTGATGATTTGCCTTTTCCATTGTCCTTTTTCGGCTAGCACTGATGTTTCTAGGATTGATGAAGGCTTTATGAACCATTTAGCCACCGCCTTCAGCTCCGGCAGTCACCTGTCATACAAGACAGTTTTCGAAGGGGAAAAGGAAAAAAACAGGGAAGAACGCGTCACTGGTAATGATGGAAATGAAAGACATGGCCACTCACTCTTCTACTGCTCCCGATTCGGCTTCAGAACACATTCGTCCTCTCGTTCTAACTACGCTGCCTCAGCATCGCTGCTGACGTGATGGCCTTTCAGAGTCTGAAAATCGCTTGAACTGCATGCTGACCTGCGTCCTCCTGTTCGTGTGGCCAATGAACTCGTGCTTGATCGTTGTTCGCCGGAGGTAATTCCTGTTGGCAGACAAACCTTGGCCACGGAATTGAATTAGAGCGCCCCGCAACATCATGAAGACCTTACGCTCTCATAAACTATACGGCATAGCGCCCAACAAGGCTTGGGGTTTCTGCTCTTCTGCAGCCTGCAGTGACACCTCAAGGTTTGCCATGTACCGAATACTCGGAAGAGCCCACCCAATTTGCTAACCAACAAGTTGTTTTGCGACAGACATGAAATTACTCTGTAGCAGATCATCCCATGATTGATAAGGCTATCATATAGGACGCTATTTTATAAGAGATTATGTCACAAGAGCTTGTCTCACAGGATGTCGCCTCATACCTAGGTAGGAGGTCATCCTCCCACAAGAGATTATCCCATAGTGGATTATCTCATAGCAGATTATACCGCAACAGAATAATATCCCGCAGGAAGTTATCCTACAGGACATTCTACTTTTCAAGTTTTACCCGAGTGTTTGAGATCTCCATGAGCCGTCGATGCACCGCTCGGTGTCTTCCGGGGAATATGAAATTGGCGGCTTTTGGTTCAGCGGCATGAAGCGGGTGCGAAACTGGTGATACACAGACCCACCATGATTCCATCGAGAGCCATGTCTAAGAAGATAATGATTGAAGCCAGCGTAGATATTGTGGCTGTAAAATGAAATATTTTGTGCATAACACTCAAAGCAGGCATCCGTAGCCGAATTGAAATTGGACAAACTGTACAGTGTTCTTGAGCACAGTCAGGCCCGGAAGCGTCTTGTCGATGCCGTTTGCCCACTGCGAGCATCTTAGCTGATTCAAAGTCGACCCCTGTGAGGTCGCAGCGTATTTAGGTAGGTAGCACATATAAAAGAAAAAAGAGTAATTTGGAGCAGGGTCCAGCGCATATGCAACCGTTTCATAGAACCTGGACGGCACAAGTCCACTCACATTGATTTATCCTCAATCATAAATAAGATTGATGCCTGTCACATAGACGTTGTCTGCCAAGAAAACTTTTCGTGCCTCGTGAGATTTATGACAGCCACATAAGGATACCACCAAAGGTGAATAGCCGTTCATCAACATCTCACTAGTCTGCGAGTTGAGATCACGAAGACCCATATATGCCACTCCCTATAGACTTGCATGTGTCACAGTTGACAATGGAAGGCAGTATACCTGGTCCATCGGAGCGAATTCTCTGGTCAAGCACATACCTAGCTAATTGGCATAGGCGCCATAGCTAGTGCTCTCGACCAGGGACCGGCCAAAAACTGCGAGCTAGCTAGCGGCTGGATGGAATATCGTTATACTACTAGAAATGCGCATCTCGTTTATACGAGCTGCTGGGCCCCGTTGAGTTGATGCTAGCTACACATGTCCTTCTTCTCTGCCTTATTATGCGTATCAGAAGATTTCACTCCGATTCACCCTTCGCCAGCGTCTGCGCCTATTCAGAACCTAGCTACCCAATGACTGACTTCCTCCCTCATCATCATCCCACCTCTTAAAGATATGTTTCTTGCCGCAGCTTCGTCAATGGTAATGTTCAAGGTCATCGCCATGCTCGCTGGGTCCAGAGCGGAGAATCGTAAGGGGCAGATAGGCTATCTGGATCCGTCCGACGGGTCCACATATCAGTGTGTACAATGTAAGTTTCCCAGAACCAAAGAGCATTGAAAGAGTTACAGATTCACACCAAGCAAATTATTTTGGAGAGCTTGGTGATGTTTGTTCTTTTTTTCTAGTTTAGATTGCTACTAGTAGACAGCCATACCGGCAGTTTTCCAAGTGACAAACACGACATAACAGTCATGAGTCTGGCCCTCTACTTCGATAGAGTCAACACACCAGGCCTGTATGGCAAAAGGCCATAGTCTCCCGAGGAGCTAGGCGACCGCCCCTGGTACAGAAGCTGTAGGTTGCACGGGTCGATGGTCATGGTCTGGTCCGGGTTGCTGCGGATCAGGTCGCCGTGGCTAATATCGTTCGTCCATGTGGCGCCGCTGTTTGCCTTCCCGGCGAACGGAGCGCTCTCGCTCGTGGCCTGGGCAGTCCATGAGCCACCGAGGCTGGTAGCCGTGTAAGAGCGGAAGTAGCGCCCATTGGCACCGATAGATTCGACAATCATGAGATACTGGCTGCTCGAGACGGTGTAGACCTGGACCGCCTCGAAGAGGTTGTTGGTCGTGTCACTCAGGACTACCGTCGATGCCGTGCCGAAGCTGCCTGGGAAGTTGCCAATAGGCATACTGGCGCGGTAGATCTTGCCGTTGTCCCCAGCGAAGAACAAGTACATGTTGGAGCTGTCGCCGATGACCGTCTGATCGATGGCGCCTGTGCTGGAACCCGAAATGGTGCCTGTGAATAGCGGCTGGGCCGAGGACCATCCGTTCGCGTTGGTAGGGTCGCTCGACGTCCGGTAGGAGAACGTCGTCGGCCCCCACTGATGAGCGAGCACCCAGATGCTCTTCGGGGCGAAGTAGAAGATTGTCGGTGCAACCGCGCCCGAAGACATGGTGTTCTGACTCGCAGAGGTCATGTCAGCCCAATTGGTGAAAGTACCAAAGTTCATGGAGCCCCAAGTCGATCCAGTATCGTGGTATGTCCCGTAGACAAGATGCTTGCCATTGTAGACGACGTGGGTAAAATCCTTGAGCGAGGCCCATCCCGACTTAGGGGTTGCTAAAGCACTCGTCGATGTCCACTTGTATGTCGATGGAAGAGTGCAGGCTTGAGGAGCAGCAACCGTCATCGAAGCCAGCAGGCCCCCAATAATTGTCCCTGAAAATCTCATCCTGACGATGTTCGATTCTGTTCACGAGGCAGGGCACGAGCGAGGGAAATGCAAAAGTTCGAGGTGATGATTTCCGAAGTAAGCATCGTTGGATGATGACTCTGTCTTTTGTATTCCACAGCCATAGTTGAATTCCATAGACCGAAGCACATCGGCGCCCTACAATATAAACGGCGGGGCTGGCCTCTCCGCGCCGCGAGTCACATTCGAAATTGACGGACGATTCTTCCGTCAATACGGGACCAGCAGCGAATTTAACCAAAACATCCTCCCGTAGCACGGACGAAAGTTGTGCTAAGCGCGCCCAGAATGCTACCGCGGGGGATTGGGCCCATAATCTTAGTGCAAGTGTATAGCCGCCCCTTTAATGCCACGCCTAAAGGAAGCTTTTCTATAGGTACGCGTATGGAAGTCTGCGGAGAATTGACCTGGGTCCCAGTGATAGGGATGGCAAAAGGGGTTGCATTTTGTCTGTCACATTATGCGAGACGGGCCGTGATTATTTTCCTAGGACCCTGCTGCGCAACACATGAAAGATCCTTGCCGCACCAATCCTGGGAGTCTTCGTCCTAGTCATCCCAACTTTCTCGGGCGTCTGATGCCTGCCTTATCCAAATTGGGGTTCAAGCCTCTCGCATCCTTGGAAAACTCACCGAAAGAGTATCGAAACCCACCGTTGGCTGCAAATGCTCAGGGGAAATGCCGGGGTCAGGTGCCATCGCATCCGGTACTTGTGGTGCTAGAGAACGTACGGGTGATCATCTCTTGTCCTTCCTTTTTCTTCTTTCGGTAATGGCATGGTAGCGACCGAAATGCTCCGATCTGTCATCCGCATCAAAGGACAGGCGAGAGGCACCTCCCTGGTGTTGAACCGCTAATGTGGGCTTCCATTTTCTACCACCAAGGACAACCCATGTTTAGAAAACCTTGTGTGGGAATATCGCTGAAGGTTCAAAGGTAATTCGGTGGATAAGTCGTACAGGCTTCTTCCGAGCTATAATTGATACCAAATTCGTACTCGACTACAACAACGGTCCTCAGTGGGGTGTCCGGAACCGTGGCGGCCGGGACTAACAGACTAGCACCTCCGCCTCGGCTTGCACCCGAGCACCCGAGCTACCCGAGCCTCTGAATCTTATTCACCCCTTGCAACAGACAAGCTGCACCCTCTAACTCAGGTATAGCGGTTCCACCTGAACGTGAAGACCTCAGAAAACAAATTTCGGTCCATAACCATGGCTCTGTACTTGAATTATTCCGAGACTTGGCAATCAAACTACAGCGTCGCAGGTCCTGTAATAGAATTGGAAGGACCGGCTAGGGCGAGGGGCGACAGCACCGGTAAATGCTGCCGAGTCCCAGATGTTCAACGTCCAGAGACTAGGGATGAAAAACTTGAACCAGATGTGTTTGATCCATTGGGGGTTGTTCTAAGCTTTGGTACTGGCCAGTCTTGCATCGGGGCCGTTATAATTGAATCAGAGATTGTGCGCCTCTTCTCTTAGGAGAATACGAGCCTAAGCTCGGGTGTCCGCTTCGCAGCCACAATGTCTCTGAACAATTCAAAGGAAACAGGGCAAATGTAAGAAAACCTCCTATGGAATAAGCTGATATAGAATAAAATCACATAAGATAGCCTGCTATAGTATGACCTGCTATAGGATAAGCTTTTATAAGGTAACCTTCTAGAGGACAATTTCCTTTAGGATAATCAGCTATAGGATAGTCTCTTGTACGATAAATCTGAATAGGGATGTAAGCCCCGGGGAGCTCCGTAATAATGTATTGCCATTTTTGAAAGTGTAGCGGTGTTGTTCCAATAGTGTATGGGATTCAAAGGCACGCGAGCTGTCCAGGCAGGCGAGTTTACCACAGGCGCAGGCAGGGCTCAGTCAATGTCATTCTAAGCTCACCCCTTCCTCAGGTTAGAGCTGCCAAATTTTAGCATGATACTCACATTAAGTTTTAGGGTGAATGGTGATGAGGAGTGACTATGCTGATAGGAGTGCACTAAATCCGTGAGAAAGGGGAATAGCATATCAACTTGGAAGGCACGTAGCTAAGAAGGTGCGAGGTCGGAAAGCCACCGTATTGGAAGAAGTAAAGCACAACCCTTAACCGTCGGGCTTATAAGTTACGCTCTCATATAGCCAATACTATAGCAAAATTTGTGTAACATTTAGTTTAATTAATTCTTTGAATGTGATTCTGTGTTATCAAGTTGTTTGGATAAAAGTTCGTCCCGCTTAGCGTTTCCGTTAGGATCATAATTATAATGCTACCGTTTCACACCGTATCAGTTCTCACACCGTAGTCGGATATGGTGTAATGGTTAACATCGGTGACTCTCACTCACCAGCTCGGGGTTCGATTCCCCGTATCCGAGAACGTTTCCTATTTTGCCAATTTTGTCTATATTTTATATCCCAAGCACTTTTCAATAGACATTCAAATTTTACAAGCCGCAAAAAAGATTACAAAACATTATTAAAAAAAAAAAAATTCAGCATTGAATATCTTGTAATATTTTTGTTGGGGGGGGGGGGGGTTTAAAAAAAAAATTGTTCTGGCTCCAAAATGACGAGTATGATGGCTAATGCTCCGTCACATCAAGAGCGTTTTAAAATCCAACAAAGGAGCAAGATGTCTCTCAACAGAGAGCAAGACGAATCCTATTATAGAATTTCTTCCACACTATTCTTCCGCAGGTTTCAGAGCCTCTGGTCAAGGCTTGTTCAAATCATCCAGCGTCAATTTTTCCGAGATTGAACAGGAAAGGGCCTAGGCTTCGCAAGCCTGACTTTCGAGGAGGCTGTAACAGATAGTGATGTGAGGACAGATCAACCGTGTTAATCACCGAGTCCTGCACTTGCGGGTTCTCTAAAGGTACGGTTACCATTATCGGTGATCCGTCACCCGGTGCAGCTCCAATGCGGGATAGGTTGACTGGCTGGTCTCTCGACCAAGTGTTATCTATACACATCTACTCCAGCATCCTGGAATCAAGAGAAAGGGCTGTGGCTTCCCTCAAGATGGTGAAGTTGTCTCTTAATTAGACAGCGAGTCCGTGGCCAAATCCAGCATCGCGAGCGGATGTGGCGCCTTCTAGACATTCCCACCAAGGTACGTTCTTCAAGGACCTCATTTGAGAACATTGTTGTCTGTCGCCTCTACCACGTTTGTCTCTGCTCGTCCGGCAAACATTCTTCTCTGGGCCCCGATATCCAGCCTCTACTAGCCCCGGTCTCGTCGTCGGCGATATTCCATTCAGCCTCACAATGACGCTTAGACGATTTAGATCCTCGGCTTAGGCCCCAAATAGAAGACATTGCTTTCGGGGTCTCCTTTGTCATCCCGCTTAATGTCAACGTACCCAGACTTCCCAATCTGCTCCTCGACATCAGATGCCAGCTCCTGCAGCGTCCGTTTATCGCCATGGTTGGCAACGAATCGATGAGTATTGTCTTTCAGACGGGCGATGATGAAAGCAATTTCTGGATTACCATCCCTGTCGAACTGTACGGTGTATGTCTCGATGATGGCTTCTCCCTGAGCAAATGGCTCGACCTGGGCCGGAGCCCCTACGATGGCGGCAGAAGAGCCACGGCTGTCTGGATACGGCGATCCTTTTGTTCGCGGCTCTGAGGACAAACATAGAGCGTGCTGATACGACAGCACCCCACCGTTGGCGAGTATGAGTCCGTTCCTAGCTTTCCCGTCGCGCAGTTGTCGGGACATCTCAGTGATGGCGTGCATAGAATAGTTGTTGCCGGCCCCACCGAATGATGTGAGACCTCCTAGAAGCGTCAAAGGCTTAGTGCTGTTGAGGATCGGAAGGCCTAGATGTTGGCAGGCCAGCTTCGGGACTATCGGGAAGCATCTGCAAAGACAAAAGTTAGACAGGGTCTCGCCTTTCCTTGAGTCCCTGATGCTCACGAGTACAGATCCAGAATATCGATATTCGCAGTCGTGATTCCTGATCGTGAAAGGCACTCATCCAAAGAGATTGATATCGCTTCACTGCGATGGAAGTTGGGTCGCTCCCAGAAGCGCTCCTTCTCCTTCCTCCCAGCGCCGCCCAAAGGATAAACCCATTTGTCCTCCGGTACACCAAGCTCCCTAGCATTTTCCGTCGATGTCAAGACGACGGCCGCGGCGAGATTGACGGTGTTGAAGGCATTCATGAGGAGATGATCTGGGTACGAGATCAGTAAATTTTCTCGCAAGCAACCGCAACATCGGGAACGAACATGGCGAACAAATCATGCGGTTCCTTTTCGACACAACCCCTATCTCCTCCTTCGTCGCAGGGGGGTTTCCATAATTCCATGAATACTGGTTCCTTGCAGCGACTTGTGCAAACTCTGCGTACAGGGCGGCAGATTCGTCGTTGTTTTCCTTCATTGTCTGGCCACGGTGCGCCCTGAAACCGTTCTCGTAGAGTGGATATATATGGATTGGTGCACCAATAGAGTGTATTCCACCAATGTCTGGGCTAAGTCAGCAGACATCAATCATTGCACTAGAAGTCTAGGGCCCTTTTAACGAACCTTCACCAAGATCCATGGTTGATGGCGAGAACACTTCATCCACTGATGTCGCTGGCTTAGTCCAGCCCGGTGGCTCGGCTTGACCAGCTTTCGCACATGCAGTCACTGAGACATGGCGTTACCATCAGTCACGATATCGCACGGTGCGCATGGACTTTTGCAGTGAGTTCCGGTCTTGCAGAGGATCGTGACAGGATGAATTCCAAAGCCTACACCCCAGGTAAATGCAAGTGCTCACTCACCAGAAGCCAGCGCCTCGCCTCCAGTCACAACAGCCACTTTGCTCTCGCCCCTGGCTATACGTCCCGCTGCCTCGTCCACCAGCTTCGCCGGTTCATTTCCTCCGTGCTCCGTGTACCGCGTCCACGCGGGTCTCTCGTCGAGCCCCAGCCACTTCCCGAGCAGGCCAGGGAGGTCGGCGTATGGCCAGGTCCACGTCCTGACGACATCAATGCTGTCGATCTGTGATGCGACTGGTGCAAGAGATGCGAGACCTGTGTCATTTATCGCGTGTGAGATTGCCTCGAACATCAGTGTGGCGGGCTCCTTGTGGACATGAGACTTGTTTTTGACGTCTGCGACGCCTATGATCACAGGTGTGAAAGCCATGCCCAGGACAGGTCTGGCCACGGCCTAATGGGCTGCAGCTCTCAGAAAGTACTGTAGGAGTTCTCATTGATGTTCACCATCGTGAAATCTGCATGGCCGCGTGAGAACTGTCACCACCTGGGCAAGTCACATGGCGAAGCCGAGGCCTGCGGCGTTCAGGTGGTGCCAGGGTGCGGAGCCGATGTGGGGGGCCGAATTAGCGAACAGCCGCCTACTCTCACCCACCCCCCACCTATGTTAGGGTCTGACCCTGACTGTGGACGTCAGTAGTCCCGTCTTGCGAGCTCCAGCCGTCTGCGATAATGAGCACGACCAGGCCGCAATCAACCCAATTTTCCACGAGCGAAGACGAAGCTGGAGCCGATTCCTTCATTACTGAGAGACAGTCTACAATGGCACGCTCGACGCGTCTGGTGCAGGACCCGCCAAGACCTGAGGCTGAAGCCGTTTCTCTAGCCTCTGCAGGCCTTGTCAATGACGCATTCAAGGCTGCTTGCACTCTATACTCTGACGCTGACCTCACCTTGCACCATCACGGATAGGAACAAGACCGTTGTCTGAAGGCTAGGCAATCCGATCGTGTCCAAGCCCGCCTAGGACAAAGCCCACCGCTGAAGTCTGGACCGACAATCGACTCCCGGCCGCGGAATCAACGATCAATCGGCCGATTCACAGGCCCTGTTCGTCATGACTTTCCCGTCTCAACATCGTCCTGGTGCAACAGTAGCAATGATCGACAGGAACCAAATTGATCGAATGGCTTGTCTTTACCTTGTCTGTGTAGTGCGTGCCTGCAATTCGGGACAGGCCCAGGCCGTGCTATCATGTAGGCATCGTCTCCGTGCGGCTCACGATGATGTACTAGACTCGCCGGCGCAGGACACAGGAGTCGTCGGCGTCATGACCGACAAAGCCCAGTCGTCCAGAAACTGATCGAGTCGATTCACCAGCGTAATTGGTCGTTAAGCTGAAGTTGGTGAAGTCTGTATGTCGAGCATATAAGGCTGGGAGGAATCCCCGGATTCTCGCTGGAGACTCGCCACACGATCAACGTCATAAACCCACTCCATCAGATCAACATCCAAGACATCCCCACGAGAACCGCATTTTCGGACCACAATTCCAGTCACAAACCCACGTGCGCCTAGACACTAAACCTTAAGTTAACATCACCATGTCTTCCAACCAGAACGACGAGACCTACAACGACTACAAGACCGAGGGTGGTGAGATCCCTGTCCAAGATGACAGCGCCCCCGTCGAGGAGGGTGTCGATGCTGCGACCGCCGACTCGGACGCTCAGCTCGGTACGTATTGCACCCAAGAAGCACACCCTTGGCCATTATTACTCATAGTTGAAAACTAGAGCGTGATGACAACGAGGCTATCGACAAGTCCAACATTGTCGATGGTCGTACCCGCGGCGCCAAGCCAGAGGCTGGCTCCTACCGTGAGCCTGGTGATGGCGAGGGATTGCCAGCATAGGTGAACAACACCGGAGAGGCTGGATGCGGTAGACTGGCATCTGTATCCATAGTAGCGATTGAATAGACTTTGGATGCTGAATGGAAGTCTTGTTTCACTTATACCATGTTTCCACCATGTTTCCACTCCACGGATATATCAGATGCACTGCATCAACCACATGTGCACGACGAGTCGCGGTAAGTCTTTTGCCCACAGGCAGATATACAGCCCAACGGTATCGCAACTCATATTCGGCACCTTCTACCCCGGGCTGAGCGCATCGATTCCTGTCTATCATCCAGTTTGTCCCGCCATCTAACACTAGTGCACCCAACTCCACGGCGAACCCCGGAAGTTGGCCGAGTAGGATGCAGGCAGCGCCGTGCCGACGGGTCTCAGAAGCTGGTCATGACGGGGAAGACTAAGGAAAAGCCATGAACCGATGCTGACGTCACGCCGGGAAGTCAAATGCTTGTTAGGCTGGGCGATGCTTCTTTAATCTTCCGCCGCGGTGTGCCGAGGCTCAGGATTTTTGCTTGTTTTTTTTGCCTTTTTGCGAAGGACGCGGGTAGGACGAGTCAACTAGAAGCTGCTTGGCGACCGGACGGCGACAAATAGAGTTCACCGCTTTTAATATGCAACGAAGCTTAGACGCATCTTATCTAAAGCGGAGATATAAAAGCGGAAACCGGCCGTGAAGCGGCTCCATTCTTGCACAAGAACTTGGCAGGTGGTTCGTGTGTTGAATCTTATTGACCGACAAGACAGGGTCAATGTTGACAACAGAAGATGAAACGCCCGGCCACACATGTGCAATTCTCCAGCTTTGCCATCTACCAAGGTTTCTTTGATATGTTGCACGCCTATTCAGGGTTTGGCTCCCCGTTGCCAACTTCATGTCGTCTTTGAAGCGAGGTTTTGTCTTGCTGATGGTAGTGTTGTCAGAGTCGTCAAATCAGTCTGTACCACCATCAAGGCCGGTGTCTGACACTGGCATACAGGTTCACAGCAGCCGGGACCCCATCAGGACCCTGGAAGACACAACCCGATAACCTTGATTAAAGGAGCTTCCCTGTTAGCAGCGGGCGTCTCGTCCCAGATCTCGGAAAGATCTGCGTCGGCAGCCATGGTCAGGCCCGCGCGTCCAACGCCCGCGGCGGAACCGCGGGGGCGTCTGGGATTCGGCTTGATCAATGACTGGGCCGGGTTGCCTCTTCTGATTCAAGAACGATGGCAACTGCTATCAGAGGCCGTGTGGAGCACCCAGGGCGCGGACATAAGGGGAGTGTCCATAAATATACCCACCGGCTCGTCCTGTGGGAGTCGTGGTAAGGTCTGGAGGCTCTCGCATGGGCGCTGGGATCCGTCCTTGTGCAGGTGGGCTGCAGAGAGATGGGGATTCTCCAGCGATTGCGAATCTGAGAATTCCACTCCGCATTCGTTGATTGATCGGCGGGCACTTGGGTCGCTTGCACGAGTCAACAGGGACCAAGTTTGCTGCATCCCCATGGCACCAAGAAAACTGGCTCGCATGTGTCCCACAAAATCCCCATGGCACAGAACAGCGCTAAGAAGCCAGTGCTGTGCGTGCAGGGTCGCATTCGATGTTGGTTGGGCTGGACGATTTTCCAACGGCAGATGCCACGAGGTGGAAGTGCACGCAGTCCTCCTGTCCTTTGCACAACAGACACACAGACACACAGGCACGAAGCCACAACAACACCACGGGCAAGGGTCATCCCCGGATCTCAAATTGCCCTGGTGTCGCATTAGTTGAAGCACTTGATGATTGTGGAAAATTCTGTAAAGTTTCTGTCACGTAAAACAGGCCAGTGCCAGCGCCAGGGGGACGAGCAGGTGCAGCAGAAATTAGGACGTCAGGCCGAAAGAAGACAAAACTCCCGGGCATGCAGTCGAACGAGAAGAGGCTTCAGGCCGATCTTGGCCAAAGCGGGGAAGCCGAGCCGTCTCTTGGCCCCAGACAGGCGACAGTGATTTGGCCGAGCAGGTCTTGAAACCTTGAACGACGCCCACACGATGACCTCATGCCGTCGCACGCCCGCAGTCGCCTCTCAGCCATCGCCAACCCCATCTCACCAGTGCCTCCAGTGCCTCCAGTTGCCTCCAGTTGCCTCCCCCTCGCAAGAGCCGGTGGAGCCCGGGCGCCTCAACCGCACGCGATCCGCCCATCCCTCCCGCCTTGGCCTATCAGAGCCTCAACCGGGCCACGTCTTCGCAGGAGGCCGACAGCATCGTGCGCAATGCGCAAGCTGTCAGCATGCAGCGACCGGGATCCTCACATACCATACAGTCAGAGTACAGTGCTGTGGTGTAGTGTAGTGTACTGTTGTTACTCACCCACCCGCTGCATGAGTCGACCAAAACAACGCTGCGCCTGCTAGGCCCCACGGGACTGCAATAACACCGTTGCACTCGCAGGAGATTGTCGGTCAGATATTCAGGGACCTCTCTGCTACCGCCGCCTATCAGCTCCGCCCGAGCTTGGGCGAAGTGGATCGGCATCGGCAGCATCTGCCTCCTCCCCCAGCCTGGCCTCGCTACTCGTGACCGACCATACCCGAGGTTGGCGTTTTCCCTCGACGTCTCCGATGGGACACCACCCCCCCGGATGGCCGATGGGTCCCCCGATGGGACCTGACGGGGGCTAGCAGCAACTGATGGGACGGATGGATGGATGCATGGGACGGTACGTGGGCGCCAGACGTTGCATTCGCTGCGATACAAATATAAGATGTCCTGCCCTCGTGCTACCCTGACCCGCGATGGTGGTGCCTTCCCTTAACCCCTCATCGACGTGTGAGCCTCTCTCCTCCTTAGTTTCCCTGAGGTCCCTCGAGTCTGTCTGTCCCCCAGTCTGCAGACCGACTGTGTTGTTGAAGATCACATTGTCAAGAGTATTGCCCACCTCCTCTTCAACACCACCCTCCCAAAGGGTGAAGAATCGACAACATGGCGCCTCCCAAGTTTCTCGGCCTGTCAGGGCGGCCACTCTCCCTCCTCGTGTCTACCATCGCGACCACGGGTTTCCTGCTGTTCGGATATGATCAAGGGTTAGTTAGTCCAGAGGTTATTGCGCCTCTCGCCGCCGGCTTATGAAAAGTAATGCTAACATGCGCCATGCTGCAGTGTCATGAGCGGTATCATCACCGCAGTCCCTTTCAATGACATGTTCACGCCAACCAAGAACAACAGTACCATGCAAGGGTTCACCACCGCCATCTACGAGATTGGATGTCTGTTTGGTGCCATGTTCGTGCTCGGAGTCGGCGATCTGCTCGGTCGTCGCCGCGTTATCATCGTGGGCGGTCTCGTCATGGCCGTCGGTGTGATCATTCAGATCACTTCTATGCACACCAGTTCTTCCCCGTTCGCGCAGTTCATCGTCGGCCGTATCGTCATGGGTGTCGGCAACGGCATGAACACGTCCACCATCCCCACGTACCAGGCCGAGTGTTCCCGCACCACCAACCGTGGGCTGCTCATCTGTATCGAGGGCGGTGTCATCGCGTTCGGCACCTGTATAGCTTACTGGATCGACTACGGCGCAAGCTACGGGCCGGACGACCTGACCTGGCGCTTCCCCATCGCCTTCCAGATCGTCTTTGCGCTCATCATCTCCATCCCCATGTGGTTCCTGCCCGAGTCCCCGCGTTGGCTGCTGACCCACGAGCGCTACGAGGAGGCCGACATCGTTATTGCCGCGCTTCGTGGCTACGAGCTGGAAAGCACCGAGACGGCACTCGAGCGCGATGTCATTGTCGACTCGATCCGCGCTTCAGGTGGTTTCTCCAAGTCGACGCCCTACAGCACGCTCTTCACCAATGGCAAGACACAGCACTTCCGAAGGATGCTGCTTGGCGCGTCGTCGCAGCTCATGCAGCAGATTGGCGGGTGCAACGCTGTCATCTACTACTTCCCTATTCTCTTCGAGGAGTCCATTATGCCCGGTAACCGGAATCTGTCTCTCATCCTCGGTGGTGTTAACATGATCGTGTACTCCATCTTCGCCACTGTGTCCTGGTTCATCATCGAGCGCGTGGGACGCAGAAAGCTGTTCTTGTACGGCACTATCGGTCAGATGACCTCGATGATCATCACCTTCGCCTGCCTGATCCCAGGCACTCAAACTGCGGCCAAGGGCGCCGCCGTGGGCCTGTTCACGTACATCGCCAGCTTTGGCGCCAGTTGGCTGCCCCTGCCGTGGCTGTACCCGGCCGAGGTCAACCCCATCAAGACGCGCGCCAAGGCCAACGCGGTGTCGACCTGCACCAACTGGCTGTTCAACTTCCTGATCGTGATGGTGACGCCCATCATGATCTCCAACATCGGCTGGGGCACGTATCTCTTCTTCGCGGTGGTCAACGCCTGCTTCCTGCCCGTCATCTGGTTCTTCTACCCGGAGACGGCGCGCCGTTCGCTCGAGGAGATCGACATCATCTTCGCCAAGGGCAGCGTCGAGAACATGTCGTACGTCAAGGCCGCCGAGCAGCTGCCCTACCTGACCGACGAGGAGGTCGAGCGCGAGGCCATGCGCTACGGCCTCATCGAGACCGTCGACCGCGTCCACCAGGCGCACCACCTCGCCGACCCCGAGAAGACCGCTGCCGGCCGCAAGTCGTCCGATTCGGAGAAGGCGTACGCCGTGCAGAACCGGAGCGGCAACAGCTCCGACGACGCCGATGCCGCCGCGAGCGGCGTCAGCACTCACTAATTAGAGGCGCGTCGGTGACGCGGCTGGTGATATGAAAAGAAGTGGAGGAAGCAAGATGGGTCGAGAGTCACTGATACACGACTGCTTGATGATATTGAGTGTCAGGCACGTGAGAGGAGGTTGATTTCAGTCGACCTTTGTGACCTGTGGCGGTGATTTGTCTTGCGTAATAATTTTCTTAGATACCCGGTCGTCACCTCACCAAGGGACGATCTTTTGACATTAGATCGGAGACCGTGAATAGACGGGTGTATACAAACGATCTCCTGATTAAAAAGCGCTGTAAATATGCCGTTGTGGTGATGCTCATGTCGTTGTGTTGCATGTCCTCCTATGCACCAAATGCAAGTGCCCTCCGTTCCGCCCGCCTCGGCGCTCCATAATGCCCTGGGCCATTTCCAAAACTCCCCTGACTCCTTGTTCCATTAAGAGCTTCATCCATATATAAAGCGTGCCCCCATGAAATCAAAACCCATAATGCAAGAATCTTTCTGCTGTTTCCGGTGCTGGAAAAAGGCTAATATTCCCAATCCCGATACCGTGGCCGGCCTCGGAAGTCATCCGGGTCAGGCCTGCGGCGGAAGAGACCGTTGGCGCGATGCCTGAGCCAATGCAGCTTGGCGACGAACACATCCTCCTCGACGAAAGCCTTAGCGCGGCGAAGTGTGTCAGCCCAGAGAAAACTCATCTACCCAGCATAAACTGGCTGATAGAGAAAGGACAGGGTTTTGTGGGGTAGACAAACCGAGGTGTAGTGATTTGAGTAGATGGCCTCGGATGTGCCTAGAGGCGGCCTGTGGGCTGCGCGGATGTTGTTTACATACAGTCTGCCGAAGTGCTGCATGCGGTTGTCCAGCGCGACCGGGACTACGGAGCGCGAGTGCGGCATGTTGATTTGTTATTGCTTTGCTGCTGTGTTATCTTTTTTCTGCCCAAGTCTCACAGAGAGGCGGGGGAAGAGGTAAGGCGAGAGAGAAATCCAGCAGGCAGAACAGAGCAGAATACAACAGATGCAATCAAGAGGTCCAGATTCATGCGGGATCGCTACTTTTCAATATTTGATTTCTCCATCGTGTCATTCATGCAGGTACGGGAATTGTTGAGGGATGTCATTTGATGTTATGTTGTGGGTTAATTTCCCGTCACCGCTCCCATTCTGTGCCTCACCTTGGGACACCACCCCCCTGGACCCGCGGTAGACCGCCTGATGCGCCTCACACGATGCACCGTACGACAAGGGGCTGTCGACCGCGGCCAACCTAGCTCATTCATGCCCAGCACAGGGCCGAAACAATAGGGCTGCATCGCGGGGCAGAGGCGGTCAGCAGGGCTTGGGGCAAAGGCTGAACGTTGCCTTGACAAGGGCGAGGGACAGAATTAACTGCGCAGTGAGTGAGTTAAGAGGAGCACTTGGGCTGGATTTGGTTCAACTGTTGTGAGGTTGTCTTGACTGAGTTTGATGGCAGCATGTCAGCCAACTGCGGTGCTCGGTCCCCTGACGAGCCATCCGATCTCACAGTAGCTCCGTCGCTCCCCCTCCAGGGCCCTGGGAGGTTGCAGCCAACGAGATCACGTCGGCGATTTCTGGGGGGCGGCACGGGCGGCTGACACCCCCCTCCTCACACAAACGAGACCCGATAGCGTTTTTTTTTACCCCAGATCTAGACATGGCTGCTGGATGATGGACCCTGAGCCCCAGTCCAGTTGTGGAAGCCCCGCACACGACCGCTGGGTATCATGCGTGTGTGCTATCGACAGCCTTTTGATAGCATGTAAAGAAATGATATGGTCGCGTGCACACTTCGTCCTTTTTCTGCAGTGCAAATCTGGCTTGCTTGCATCAACACCCGAGTTTCAACCTCAGCATCTTAAAGGCGACACCAGATGAGCTGGACGCACACATGATGGGGATGTCTCACCAGGAAAATGGACCACGGTCGAGCTGCTTTTGCATGTGTGCCAGGGCCGTCAGCTGTCCATGCCACCAACAGAGCTGAGCAAACACTTACCATGAGTGGGAGCTAGGGGCTGTCATATGTCACACACATGCGATACGATCTGGCAATGGGGATATTTATTAGACAGCCGCCAGCTGACACATTCTGAACTACATCATTGCTCTTCCTGATCTGGTCGACGTGCTAGACTCTCCACAGATGGTAAAACTCGTCTTTTGAACATCTTAGATTGAAGAAAACCATACATACGATTTACATGCTTTGACTTCTGATTGTCGTGGCCCTGGACTCGATTCTCCCAACCCAGGTAGCTTGAACCAGCCAACTGGAAATTTCCTTCCCACTTGCGATAACAATGCCCAAAAGGATCAGTTTCAAATGCGAGTAGGTGGAGATAAGAAGCTGCGGACTTTGCACCATGCTTCCGCCTCGATAGATTATCTGCGTCGGCACAGGGCGCGGTAGAATTAAACGACAATGCAAGTAGAAGACAAACGGAAAGTCGTTGTTTTGGTTGGCTAAAGGTGTGAAATGACTGGCTTCTGCAAAGTTCTGGAAACTGGAATGTCCAAAACCCAGGCCAACTTTGAAGCCAAACAGAATAAGTAGTTGAATGATGCATACCTCTGTAGGCATCTGAAAATCTCTACAGCTAAAGTATTCAAGGCTATGGTGACGTAAAATGACAAGGACGTTTTATGGCTTTCAATGACTTTTTCAAGACCTAACAGAAGGTTGCCCCTCGGGTGGAAAATGTGGAAATGCGTCGCTCCACCCTCTGATAGAGGTTTAAGCCGGGAGGAAAGTAACTCCTAAGCTCAAGTTCAAGTACGAGGCACGAACACTCAGACCTGATTACTAGTATCTGACTCCCTTGGTGTTCAGACTTTGAGCAAGGGACACATGTTTGCACACAGAGAGGAAAATAACTAGCTGGCTAATGTAAAAATGATCAATATGTAACTTTCAAGTGAAACCCGTGCAATACTGCGCTTTTTCCGCTGCCCGTAGCCATTTAGCAGCAATTTACATGTCAGTGGTCATCATTTTCAGACCATTTTGATCACGAGTCTAGGACTTTCCATTCAATTCTACCTGGCACTACAATTCAAGCGCACACAAATTCAATTGCTTTTCTCCATTCACTCATGAAATCCCAGGACCCTGTCTTCTCATTGGACGACTAAAAACCGATGGAAATATTCTAGCCATTCAGGTTCGCAAAAACACTGCAAATATTCTCTGACTCTACAAGACTCTGTCCTCTCATTGGCTAGCTCAAAGACGATGGAAATATTCTGATCATTCAGGTTCGCAAGACACAGTGAATATTTCCCAATTCTTCGTCATCAGTTGAGGACCCGTGTGGGCTTGGAAAGTATATAAACCCAGCTCCCCCTTCTTCACCCATCGCCTCTGACTTCCCTTCCCTCCAACCCAACCAAAAAGTATTTAAACCCATCTCCCCCTTCTTCATCCATCGCCTCTGACTTCCCTTCCCTCCAACCCAACCAGAAAGTATTCAAACCCAGCTCCCCCTTCTTCGTTCCTCGCCTCTGATTTTTCTTTCCCTCCAACCCAACCCAGCCCAGGCATCCATCAACGCCAGCAGCACCATCTACAACGGCCAAGTAAGTCCCTTCGCCTAACACGCCCCTTCCTATCCCTTGACTCTTGTTTTCTCCCCTGCCACCCTAATCATCACTTCCACCCCACTGCTATCAACTTTTACTTCGCAACGTATCGTGCTTTCACCTACCCCACACTTCTGTCCCTCCTTTCTCTTACACAGTCGCTCCCTCCGTTTGATAAATTCTTTCACCATTCCATTCCTCTCTCCCACAACACTTACCCACATCACCAACACCTCGTTCTTGTCCTTTCTTTACACTCCACTCCAGAACACGACGACAGCTAGGTCCGACAATGGCGGAGGACACAAGGGGGGGTGGGATATCAATGCTTCCAGCTTGCAGCTGCTGGCGAAACAAAAGCAGGCATCAGAGGCAGGCAGGAAGGAAGCCACTCGACGCCTTTCACGGCTAGCTCAGTTGCGACTCTGGGCTGGGAAGAAGCCTGGGTGTCTCGTGCACCTTTGGTGGGGAAATTGACGTGAGCCCTGTCGAGCAGCGGCGAGGGCACAACTCGTTTTTCCGCTTTCGATTCATTCATCCCCCGAGGACCCAGGCAACGAAGGCAGGCAGGGAGGAAGCCATCCGACGCCTTCATCGCGGGTAGCCCAGCACTGCTCTGGGCTGGGAAGAAGCCTTAGGTTGTCTTGCACACCTTTGGTGGGGAAACTGACGTGAGCCCTGTCGAGCAGTGGCGAGGGTACGATTTATTTTTCCGCTTCCGATTTATTCGATCCCCCGACGATTCAGGCAACGAAGGCAGGCAGGGAGGAAGCCATCCGACGCTTTCACCGCGGGTAGTCCAGTTGCGGCTCTGGGCTGGGAAGAAGCCTTAGGTTGTCTTGCACACCTTTGGTGGGGAAATTGATGTAAGCCCTGTCGAGCAGTGGCGAGGGCGCAATTCTTTTCGTCCCATTTATTCCATCCCCGAGAATCCAGACAACAAAGGCAGGCAGGGAGGAAGCCGTTCGACGCCTTCGTCGTGGGTAGCCCAGTTGCAGCTCTGGAGCTGGGAAGAAGCCTTAGGCTGTCTTGCACACCTTTGGTGGGGAACCTGATGCAAGCCCTGTGAGCAGTGGCGAGGGAGCCGAATTACGACGACTGAATGGGCTGCGACTTCTAGCTCAAGAGCGAATGATGCCTCGTCGACCGCCCATCGGGGTTCCAACACGCACGAGGCAACAGGTGGACAGTGGTGGAAAAAGTTTACAGAGACTCAGAAATTGGCCTGTTGCTCCGATGCCTTTGGCAATGCTGACGGATCTTTTTTCTCCCATCCGTTGTCAGGTATCGCTTGGAAGCCAGGAGGGTTCACCCCCTCCACGACGCTGCTTTGTCAACATGGTCCAATACAATGCTTTTTTCATTGCGCTCATGGGTTCACTCGTGACGTGAGGAAGAAACTTTCCCCAAGACCATGCTCATGGGTCCATTGATGGATAACTTAAGTAAAATATGTTTGGTCAACGGACATCCAGGTTCTTGGAGCACGTGGTCCACTATTTACTAGGTGCGCACACATACATGGCAAAAACTTTGCTACAATTTACTCGGGCAAACATCAAAGATAATAGCACTGCTTGTAAGGCGGCAGGGCTGCAGGGTTTTTCTTTCATTGTTTTTCTTAATACCTTAGTCCCACACATTTTACTATGCACCTGATCGCCTCTAACCAAAAGAAAGATGAGACGCCCCCATAGAGGAGAGGAGAATTCCCCGGTAGGTCTACCCCACACTCTTTACAGAAGTTACTCAGCCTCTATGGATTCGGTATCAAACTGAAGTCTAGGCCCCTCTACTTCAATTGTGGCTCGATCTTTGGACTACCGAGCCTGCTTCTTCTTCAGAAGCTTTATCTTTGGCCTTTTCACTTTTGCGTCCCACGCAGCATCATACTCTTGTGGGAACTATGACGAATGGGCTGGCCGCCCCCTGTTGCTATCTCTCCGCGACGTCTTTCTACATGTTTGAACAACTCGTCTGCTTGGCGCGAGCTATATCTTCCACTGATCGTCGTATACGTATGGCATGGTTCTCTCAGCGACGGTGATCTGCACTGCGAACGTGGTAGGATAGTGCGTCTGCACCTGCGTGGAGTCCAGGCTGGTCGCAGTTGAGTTGTCCTGCAAGTCCTGCAAGTCCTGCATTCTCAGCCAGAGGCGAAGCGTTGCCAGAGATCGCTCAAATTGAGAGCATGGGGAGATGCCGTGGTGGACTGCGGATGGGAGGACGGCCCAGCAACTTTGAGCTGCTGAGCTGCTGAGCTGTTCAACGGTAAGATGACCGGGTCTTGGACATGTCTCGAGTCAGCTGATTGCCGGCCAACTTTGCTGGTCGAATACGATGCTGAGTGCACACAGAGTGAATGGTGATCTGAGACGGTGTGACAACGTTCCTAGGTTGCTAGGGCTGAGATGCTGAAGATAGCAAAGCAGCTAACAGAATAGGGGTTGGCTATGCTGTGTGCCTGTTAGTGAAGGAGTGACCCGATTCACGATGTACCTAGATTGGAACCTTAGTCAGGGCCACCTCAGTGCTACCTCTATGCCACTGCGGACGCAGACTCCGACAATACTTGGTATCGTATGGGCAGCTGACACAGACAGAACAACACGGTTCAGAAAGATGACACGAAGGGTGGCATCGCATATTCTGGACCGCTCTCAGGCGACAGCCGAATCGTTCGCCTATTTTTTTTTTCTTTCACGATTTTTTCCGCCTCCCGGCGCGCTAAACCCTCTCTCCTGGCGTGGCGCGCTACACAAAGGACCTAGCGAAGACGAGATGCCAAGGAGACACTTGAGGCTGCTTTGAGCTTAGCCTCACGAAGGATTCAGTACTCAGCCAACCAGCTCTGCAGGCAACCACCGGCTAATTTTATTCTCGATGCCGCCGCATGGGCGAATCTGCCGTCTACTGTGGTACACAGCAAATGCATAGCAGGCAGCCAAAACCAGGACAGGGCAGGGCATGGCAGAAGGAGTCAGGAGGAACAATGGGGCAACGTTGGACACTTGAAGTCATTCCCAGGCCCCATCTTCGTGACGATCGTTTTCTTTCCTCTCCCCATCGTCAGCTTCTTACTTATTTTGGTGAGACAGTCCCTCGTTCAAAGTCTTAACTCAGCCTCTGGTTGACCACATTCGCTTTGTTTTGTGCCTGCGTCCTGGTATAATTGTTCACCACACGCATACTCTTCTCAGCCTACAACACCACACCTCACCTCGCCTCACTTTCCAGCGTCTATCTCTGTTCGTTTCACCAACCATGGACAACTCAACAAGCACGCAGCCCAGCGGCCCCGAGAAGCCTGCTGCCGCACGCTTCAGCACGCCTCACGAAGCCGTCAACAACCAGCCCGCTCCGCAACAGTTCCAGCCCATGGAGCTGCCAAAACCCGAGCCATTCAAGACCAGCAAGCCGTTCGCCGTCGCCAAGCTGGTGCTGGGTTCCTTCAACCTTGTATTCGCCATCGTAGCCCTCGGCCTGACGCTCGGCCTCGTCACGACATCTTATTCTCTCGACTCTTTCATCGGCGTGATCATTTGCTTATCCCTTGTACGTACCCGTTCCGGCCTCTACCCTCACAGCATGGTCGAACCGGAAGCAGGAACCTCGAATGCTAACGAATACCACAGGCCGTCGCATCCATCATCTGGCAGCTGGCTGAGCACATCACCCTCGCCGTGCGCCGCAGCTGGCGCTCGATCCACCCGGGCGCACACGTGGGCGTGCACCTCGTGCTGTGGGTCCTGGCCATCCTCATCGTGCCCTCGCTGTGCCTGAGCCTCGTCTACGAGCTGAGGGACTACACCATCGACAGCGAGTGCGAGGAAAACAACACGGGCTACTACAGCTCCTCGAACTTCTACTGCGACTACTACAGCTTCCCCTCGCAGGCCGCCGCCAACAAGTACTTCCAGATGATGGAGGCCCTGACGGCCTTCAGCGTGTTCCTGCTCATCTCGCACTTCACCCTCTTCGTCATGGCCTGCGTCGAGACGGACCGCAGGAGGAAGTACGGCAAGAAGACAAAGGTCGTGTACCTCGTCGCCGCGCCGGGGCCGACTGACGGGCGCATGTACTACACGCCCCTCTCCCAGGGGAACAGGACGTCGGTCCTCGCGCCCCAGCCTGCCCACCACCAGGGTAATGCCGATCCTGGAGCTCACGGCTATTACGCCCCGCCCTCTGGAGTGGCTCCGGGGACGGCGGCATAGAGACAGAGGGGCAGGCAGGGCTGATGGGATTGTATTGATGGGGAACTGATAGACTCTTAATGACTGTGGTTGTGGATTGAATGAGCCTTTGGATGGAACGATGACGGGGCTTATTACATAATTTGTAATGATAAATGATACCCTTTTAGACTAATTCACAGAATCGAGAATCTTTACCTCGTACCCCATATGGTCACTGTGAGCATCAGCAGAAGAAGCCTGAAATTCTCTCCAAAATTTTCAACAACTTATGATATTGCAGACAACCCTGAATCTAGCGATGGCACCACACGGACTTTTGCGAAGTAAAAGCGCTTCACCCCTGGTTATTGGGTGGTGCTAGCTGATCCTTAGGAATAGTGACTGTGCTCATCAACTTGCTGTTGCAGAGTACGGGGAAATGATAATTGACGGAGTCGCTGTTAAGCCGAGCAGGAATATAGTGTTGACGTCGTCAGACCAATGTGGCCTATTTTGATGACTCGCAAGGCCAGTCAAAGTGATTCATATATATATACACGGTAGGTGCTGAGAACGCAACCGGCAGATAGGTAACGCTTCTTGCCAACGCTGTACCTAGGACATAGATATCACCATTCACATTATCACGCAATGAAGAAAAGCCAAGGAATATAGAGAATAATGTTTTCAAAAACCATGCCAATTTTATCTGTCTATTAGAATTTGGGTATCGACTCCGATTGTGGAAGACATGGCCGACAGAAATCATATCATGCCAGATGACACATCCACACCGTCTTAACCAACCAAACGCAAGGATGAATTCAACGCTTCGCTAACCAAATTGTTAACGACCACCTGCTTGTCTCCCGTCATGCTTGTCGACGCGTGCCGCTTAGAGGAGGGCAAAGGCGGCGGCAATGAAAGCGACGGCGGCGAAGGCAGATGAGCCCAGCTTGGCAGCCGAGGCACCGCTGGCCGCGACGCTGGAAGACGAGGACGAGTCGGCGGAGTCCGAGCTAGAGGAAGATCCAGAGCCGGAGCCAGAGCCAGATGAAGATCCGGTGGATGTCGCGCTGGTGCCGGTGGCAGACGAGGTTCCGTTAGAGCTGGACGTGCCGGTGGCAGTGGCAGAGGCCGCGGAGGAGCTGGAGCTGGACTTGGAAACGGCAGGGCAGGTGAGGTTGAAGAGAGGGGTGGTGTTCAGATCCTTGGTGATGGCAAAGGACATCTCGTTGGTCTGGGAGTCGTCGACCAGGTTGTACCAGAAGGTGGGGACCTTGCCGAACAGCTTCGCACAGCCGACCTCGTCCCAGAACTGCTTGGCGTTCTCGACGCTGGGAACAGCCTGGTCCCAGTCGGGACCCTCGTAAGGCCAGCCAGTCTCGGTAACCCAGACGTCCTTGCCTCCGGAGACTCCCACAACGGCATCGTATGCCTTCTCGAAGAGGGAGGCGGCGTTGTCGATGGTGTTGTCATCACCATTCTGGTAGTAGGGGTACTCGTCAACTCCGAGCCAGTCGACAGCGTCGATGACGGCAGAGTTGGAGCCGTTGGTCCAGGCGTCCCAGGTGTCGACGTGACCGATCTTGAAGTTGTACTTGGAGAACTCGCTCTTGAACTCCTTGATGAACTTGACGATGACATCGGGGTTGGCGCCAATGCCTGCATCGTTCTTGACGCCAGTGGCGCTAGCACGGTAGAGATCCTCAGAGCCAATGGAGACACCGACGATGAGGTTGGCGAGGTCGTCGCCGTGGGCGGACAGGCCAGCCTTCAGGGCGTTGATCTCGTTATCGATGCTGTCGGTGCCGGAGGTCCAGATACCGAGCAGGAGGGAGGTGTTGGTGGCAATGGCGGCCGGGAAGGCCTCGATGGGGTCGGCAGTGGAAGCGCCCTGGATGTTGGTGTAGAGACGGACGGCGTTGAAGTCACCGGGGGCGCCGACGAGGTTCTGGGCGGTCTTCATCTCAGACTCGAAGTCGCTCTGGACCTTGGCGGCACCGGAGCCGTGGGTGGAGCCGGAGTTGAAGCCAAGGTAGTTGGCGGCAGAGGCGCCGGCCACGAAGGCGGATGTGGTGAGGAGCTTGGACTGCATGGTGAATGATTTTGCGGGTGTGAGGGGGTGCTGAAGAGCAGTTGTTTGTTCTGAAAGAGCAAAGGGTGAATGAATAAAAGAATGTCAACGAAGAGAGAGAGACCGGCAAGTCGTACGAAGGAAGGAATGGACTTCGACGGCTGGTGGTTGGTGATGACGGTGGTGGTGGTGAGTTGGTGGTGAAGGTGAAAGAATAAAGTCGTGGAGCCAGTCACAGCTGGGAATGTATGGGATGGAATTCAATTCTATGCAGCCCAGAGGCCTCGCCCCTGCTCCTCAAAGTTCCAGGGTCTGAGGGCCCCCAATGTTGCAGTGGGCAGGGATGCTATTGGCGAACCCCTGAATTCGGACGTGGGTGGGCCCTGGCAGGGTTGCGATACGAAATGCTGTGCTGAACTTCTTGCCTGGCACTGGCTGACTGCGAAATTGCGATACGCGAGGGCACCAGAGAGACGAGCGCGAACAGGATCCTCGGGCTCAACCATGCGACAAGCTTATATCTCATATGGGACCTTGGCTCATTATATAGATCCACGTGTATTGGCAGCTTGGAGATCCTCCTCTGCTTGTTGTTTGTTGGCCCATCCAGGTCCGGCGCGGTGCTGTCAAAACGTTTCGTTTCATCTTATGCCGCCCCTTGGGACGGATCGCCTTTGACCACCCGCCACCTCGGCACCCTCGACCAACAACAGAGGACCACCAAGGCTGGCTCGAAAGGTCGTCGGTTGAGAGCTGAATTGGCTTGAAACTCGATGGGTCGACTGCAGGCCACGCCGAGGTGGGCCTCTGGGGGGAATTAAGCTTGGCACCTAGCAATCTCGCCCCTTATATTGCGGGTCGTGTGTTAGTAGGGCTGCATCGCCCCCAGACCAGATGCTGTGAACCCCCCTCAGCACGGTCTGAAGCAGGCCTGCCAGGCCAAGCAGTTGCCAGCCCAGGTCGGGTCACCCAGGCCGAGTTCATCTCCTCCAAACAACCACTGTATGCGGCCAGCCATAGACAATATCCGACATTTGAGGTAACGCACGAATGGGCTGTCGAATGATGGTCACCATCTGCTAGTCGCTAGTCGCCCGTGTACGTGCATTGGCTGGAAGAAACCGCTCTCATAAGCATGTACTGCTGGGCAGGTCCTCAACCTCCGACCGCCTGTCAGCACCTAGGGTACAAAAACACCGATGTCTAACGCATTGCAGACCCAAGTGCCTTCTGTTCAGCCTGCAGATCAAATCCAGCTCAAGTTACTGTGGACGAGCGGTCCGAATTTGCGAGTACATCGCTGTCTATACTGGCTGATGTGCTGACCAGCCGGTGTCCACCACTCAGCAGCAGCTATGGACGGCGAAGTTTTAGTGAGAGGACGTCGCTTTTGCTCCATGGGCCTGTTCGCTATGCCTGGGCGACTCGTGATATATCTGTGTGCCCTGCGTCCCTCGTGACACAGAAGTCATTGCCTCCCTCGCTCTCTCCTTGCCTTCATTTGAGAGGCACCGAGTTGTTGTACGGAAGAGACTGGCTGGGTGTTCTGCTACTGCCGTGTCTATAATAAGAGATTCCACTTGAGCAAATAATCTTTCAAGTGGCTCTCGATGACGAGTAGTACCATAGCTCGCATATCGAAACTCGATTAGGGTGTCTGACCGAGTCTACACATGAGGCTGGCATATACTAAAGTATTGCTATCATCCCGAAGACTGACCAATACTTGAAAAGTAGTGCTCTTAGTACTGCCTTGCTCTTCGTTTTGAACCTAACTGACAGGAGGAACAATGGTGTGATGTTATTGTACTCGTCAATATGGTCAAATACAACCAAAATCACCCGGATATACCAAGATATAGAAAGAAATCTCCAGCAAGAGCATGCCCTCTAATTACCAGGAAAGCATCCACACGGAGATCTGGTCAGGGTGAAGCATGGATAAAGCCTGCCAGGCAGGAACTCGAGAACAAAGAAAAACCCACAATCTCTACCGCCTCATCACAACAGCTGTCAGATATTGGCCTCAGTGCAGTGTCCGGCCTTGCAGCCCTCGCATAGCTCACTCTGGTGCGGACCCTTGCTGTCACCCAAGTACGTCGGCAGTGCCATCTTCACGCCGCACCACTTCTTGATCCGATACGCGACCCTGTCCGCGTACGAGCCGCCGTGTTCCAGGAATAAGTCGCCGAGGGCCTTGCAGGAGAGACACCGCTGCTTGTATACGCGCGCGTTGTATTCTGCACCCGGGTACATACGGATCGTAATCGCGATCTTCTTGCTGCTCCAGCCCGTGCAGCTGCATGAGCTGTTGCGGCAGACGAAGCGGCCCATGATGTTCGTATCGTACTCCTTGATGCAGCCCTTCGGGTCGTCTTCGTCGTGGAAGCCGAAGTACAGGTCGTCTTCCTCGAGGAGGGCGGAGACGTCGTCGTGTAGAGAGGGAAAGGTGCAGTACTTTTCCTCCGACCTCCGTGGCCTTCTTCTGGGTGGCATATTCGGTGGTATGGTATGGCTGGGGGGGGGGGGTTGCTTCGGGGTAGCAGCCTCGAGGTGACGGGTTCTGTCAGCGCGAATGAGGTTAAATGAAGACTGAGTTGGTGATCTTCAAGAGGATCTTGTGAAAATCTCGATTGATTGAGGAGCGTGAAGCTAGTTAAACAGGATCTTGTAGAGTGGGAAGGAGAGGGGGTGTTTTCTCTGTAGGTAGGCCTCCTGCATGCAATAGCTGTCTATGTCTCGCACATCACCTTGCGATAGTAGTGTCTCGCATATCCCTAACGTAGTCGAGGCCCGCACAATACAGACCTGGCCACTACCGGCTCGCTTGGATTTAAGAAAAACTGGGGGAACCATCAAAACGGCTATGTAGGCACCTATTACACAAGGAGACATGAGCCCGAATTCCATCTAGCGAGCGAATGCTGCGATGAGAGTGCCAAGTGTAGAAGACAGAGAACGCATGTGTTGGCCCGGTCTCCGAGGAGGCCACATCACCCCGTACAGATTCTGATGTCGATGTGCAAAAGAGATTGACAGGATTCGCAACTCGCAGATCTTTAAAGACAGAACAGTCATCAAGTACGTCCAACCCTGGACGGCGCCGGCTGACAACACAAGATCGCTGAGGGATCGATACTTTTCCAAGAACGCCGATCGCCCAACTCCGATAAAATGCTGTTCAATAGAACTAAGCTAGGTGGATGAGAAACCGATCAGTGAGGTACTGGCTGTCCGTCTCCCAAGACGGCTATTCCCTTTGTAAGACAACCATCAGACCCATTATTCCCAACATTGCCGTCTTCATCCAGGGGTTTTCGGATAGCATGATTGTCACGTATCCGACAAACGGTATGTATCCCACTGTTTCAGATGTCAGTCACCACAGAGCGAACATGCTGGACCAGGGCTACAAAACATACCAACACTGCCGATGATATCTTGCCTCTCCAGGTAGTCCTGCCCTTTTGCGTCTGCCCAAGTTTGTCAGCCGCCGTCTGTTCTGTCGTGGCACGTAGGGAAGCACATACAAAGCTCAGTGTCATCGGCTTGGTTGTTGTCACCCTTCGTCAGTAGTCGGGCATGCTCTCTGGAAGAACAGCGTTAGCAGGATCCCTCCCCTGGTGCACACTACAGCTACTGCCACCCATAAACACTATCTTCAAGGACAGCATACCCTGTGCCAAATTTGCGCACAACACGGTGGACGATAGGGATGTCCTTGTCCCTCACGTTGTAGACCACGACCTCGCCGACATCCGTCTCTTGGATTATGTTCCGATTCCCTGTTGAAATTGAACAGTCAGCCCTGCACATCGCCTACTTTATTCCTCGGGAATGGGCCGAGTCCGGATGGGAAGCTCGAGGGCGGCCGTACAGAGGAAGAGAAGGTCGCCACGCTGGAACGCCGGTTCCATGGATCCAGACAAGACAACAACGATGGGAGAGGGCGAGTCGGTGACAACGGAGAGGCTGAGCACAATGGTTAGCTTGTGTTCACGAAAAGCCGAGGTGAGGCATCATAATCGCACCCTTTCCACATCATGAAGGCCGTCGACAATATCAGACCTGGTTCCGGCGCATGTCAGTGTCGCGACCAGGGCAAGCTTGGGGCGGCAGGGCTGTACCAAAGTTCAGTATTTGGGCGGCGAGTTGCCGCGGGTTTCCGAGGACGGAAAGCATGATGCTCTGATATGCGGTGTTGTCGTTTCTGTCTCAAGTGCTATTGCATAGTACAGAAGTGTCGGGTTCCCGGTGGACGAAATAACAAAAGGCTGCTGCTGATGATAGTCGCAAATGTGGCCCAAGAAGTCGAGAGGTGGCCTGTGGGGAGCTTCACAAGCTGTCCTCAAACTGCGGGTACGTACCAGGCATGCGGGCAGGCCAGGTAGACTACGTGGGTACCTCGGTACCTGCCGTAGCGACGTACAGACCAGCTGCAAGCTGCAGCTGAGGACCTTGCTGATGTGGGGACCAGCTTCAGGAACGACACCTCCACATCTTTTCAACCCAGTCATTTCAACACGATGAGGTGTGACGAGCGATGTTATTCTCCCACCCACGAATTTAAAGCTGCACCTGGGAGTGGCCGATGCCAGACAAGAGCCTCTCCACGCCTGCAAACAGAATCATGCACTGAGATCGAGACATTGTTCCACAATGGTCTTGCACCTTTCGATTTCCTCCTGTTCTTGTGGAATGATGCCGCCATGACACGTGCCTGTTGTCCTCGACGTTGTTGGATCGTTATCGAACAACAACTGTTGTAAACTCACAGCTGTGCTTTCTCTGAGTTGATAGAGTCTTCGAGGTCTATTGACCTGACCAGTTGGGAAAATTGGCAAGTGATGGGTGAGCAAAGTGGCTTCCATCCTCATGGTCTTACCACCTTGCAGCTTTGCCAGGCACTTGACTTTTTCGGTGATCAAAACGACAAAGGAAAGGACTGCCAGCCATCATGTGGAGTTTCCTGCCAATTCTGAGGCTCCTGGAGCCGCCCAAGGTTTCCATGCCTTAGGAAACCGCAAGGTAGAACATGCGCCTGGCTCTAGGAGGTGCATCTCGTCATCAGAGACAGCTTCCCAAATGTGCCGTTCTCTTCCTTCTCCAAGTGCAGGAACAGCACAGTGCAGCCTGCTCCTACCGAGGAAGGTGCCTCTCTTTTGTTGACTGACCTCGCTGTTCGAGTCTTCTTGGGTTCTCGTCGAACTTTCTTCCCTTCTGCTCTCTAAGGCGCCCCCCTTGCTGACCTTCATCTGTTCCACCCTACCGAGTATATCCCAAGTTTTTATGTAAACATTGATTTGACCTCAGGTCAGCCTACAATCCTGGAAAGACAACGCGACAACACCCACGAACCGGTTCCGCATCCTCCTTCCCGGTACTTTTCCTTCCCAGACTTCCAAGCAAGCGGCCGCACAATGGAACGCCAGCCTTTGCTTTCACAGGTCGGCAACCTTGTCGGCAGGGGCCAGGACGACGAGGAAGGCCAGGCGGCTGGTGGTGATCACGTATGTATCTTGACTGCAGCTTCTCCCGGCAGCACTTCTGAATATTGTCCACTGTGACAGTCTGCTGACATGTTTTAGCCTATCTTCCTTCGTGCTGCTCATTCGCCATGGAGGCCCCTCAACCAGAATGCCTTGGGCTACATCCGGGCTGCTCTCGTGGCCTACTTGATCGCAACAGCCGGCATGCTGATCGACTACGAGACCAAACATCGGGAGAGCGAAGACACAAAATGGCGTATTCCTTTCCAGTTCTCCGCTGTCACCTGGCTCCTACTGATCATTTATCATATCATTGTCTTTGTAAGTGCGAGTGCGCTGCCACCTGCCTGGACAGATTCGGCTGACATCTCGTCCCAGTCCTGGACCATCACCCACATGCACTGGCCCGACATTGATGAGAATGATACCCGCTGGGAGTCGCGACTACTCCGCTTCATGTCGCCCCCTGAACAGACTGCCGATGATCGCCGCCACATCTACTTCAGCCTGTTCCATGTTGTCACCCATGTGTTTGCCCTCATAAATGTCATTGTGTACTGGACGATCCAGGTACCCAACGGCCGTGCTCACTTGCCATCTCCCGGAGAGGGCGGCGGCGATGGAGGTGACGGTGACGATAATGGTAACGCCTTTCTTATCTATGGATACGGCGACAGCAAGAATCCCTTCAAGGATATCTACTCCCAAGGCTGGTTCCCCATATACTGTCTGTTCAATCTCTATGTCTTCCCGGCTATTGAGGTCGTGATCGAGTCAGTTGTTTTGAACAGCATGAGACGACCTGAGGTAGGCATGGATTCTGCTAAACACCTTCGACCGCGATGACTGACCTTTGCTACAGCCCGTCCCGACCCACCTATTCACCAGCATGGGATTTGCTGCATTGTATCTAGTATACGCGGCGATCGGCGCGAAAGTCACCGGCCACAATGCCTTCTTCTGGCTGGATGAGTCGATCGTCGGCAGCAAAGAAAAGGTGACAGCATACTGCGCTGGCTTCATTGCCCTGGCAGCTGCATGTAAGTGCGCCTATGGATGCGATACTCGGTCATATTGGGCATCAGCACCAGCTCCTCACTAACCTGCCGACAGCTTTTGCCACGCTTTATGGTCTGGTCGGCATGCGCGAAAGTGTCTCTGACCGTCTGCATTCGCGATAATTTGTCACCAGACACGACGCGCTGCGAGTCACAGTAGTATTGGGCTTCCTCAGCGCCGGGCCAAATGGGCACGCAGATAGATGGGTAATGCATGTTGTCTCTTCATTCGTGGCAGACGGGAGTTAATGGTGGCGATGTTTCCTCGATGGGTTTTGGTTGATTGACCACAGGTTTACCTGAAATATGCTTCTTGTATCAAGACCGCGCAGTACAGATTGACAATACATGCGCCTTACCTATGAGTGTATTTGCAGACACAGCTTGTCTCGATTGTTCTTCGCAGTTTGGTCTGGCATTCATCATACAGTACTTGCCACAGAGCTGCCGCCACAATGCAGAACGTGCGGCACCCCTGAATCCAGCCACCACATTGTCTTAGAAGAGGTTCCTTCTCTCGGCAGCTAGTGAACAGGGCGAGACACACTCCACCCACCCTCAAAGTACCGTTCAGGGACTCCCGCCAACCCCCGCCTTGACAGGTGGCAGCCCAAGATAAGCGTCAATCCAGCCAGTCGGAACCGAGACAGGGCATCCCTTGCTCCCAAGTCCGAGCTTGTGAGGATGGGAAAGGCAAATCAGGATTCTCAACTCTCATTTGAGAGCAGCGAGCCAAGCACCCCCTTGTTAGGGCGTTTGTGAATGGCAGTGAATTCGCCGGGCATCTTCTGCATCCGCCCACAAGGGGAAATGGGGCAAGTCGCGATGCTCGCCCATCTTGAAATGGGTTTACCAGCAGACTTCTCGAGTCCTACGGGCGATGGAATGTTCGACCCCAAGATCGAGAATATGGAATACTACAATGACCAGGGACCACCGCTGGGAATCGGGCTGTGCCCCAAAAGTCCTACTGGGCTGTAATCACGTCCACTGCATTTAGCTCTGCGTAACCTTGATACCTGAACTTCATGCCCATCGGCCTGCGGAACGGTCTGGCGGCTATTCTGAAAAGCACCATTCACCCGGCCCTGGCTCTCTATTCGTCGCACTGCTGATGTGAGAACCTTCTTGCGACTTCGATGTGCTTCGTTCACATCTCTTTCTGTGCCTGTGGCAGTCATACAGCTCACATGCCCAGCGATAAGGCGCACAATGTTTGACGCTGCATCCCTGGGGAGACGCACTGTCACTCGCACGTGCTGTCAGCCCAATGCACGGCAACGCCAATTCGATGGCACCGCGTCGCGTCATTGAGAGCGTTCACCAGCCAACATCAGAGCGATGATGCCTGCACGTCGGTCATCAATCAGTCGACTCACCTCCATGTGCAGACAGTTAACACGTCGTCTTTGGGTTTCCTCGGGCTTCAACGTCGTAGGCCTCGAGTGAGGCTGGGCTGCGACGGTGACGGGAGGACTCCAAAGCCAACTCTATAAAAAGGATGGCAGGGCGGGCTGGGAATCCACCCTGCCCTCTGATGACGGCACGCTGTTTTGGCGATCCCACCTTGATCCCACCTTGTTTTCCGGGGCACAGGTTAGCTTAGAGCTTCACTACTGCATCTTGACCTTGGCACTGCACTCGGTTTCTCAAACCCCCAGATCCCAATTGATTCGACGGTTGATCTGAGAGGCTGCAGCCATTTGCAGGCAACCAAGCCGCGTTGCTGCATAAATATCCCCGTCAACCACCCATACCTTTCCAAATCTTTCTCCTCTTTCTTCTCCCTCCCCCCCACCACGAACACACAGGGCGCCAAGTGCATATAGGATATCTACTGAGCTGGACAATCGTTACGTGCAACCAGTGGTATTTCTTCACGGGCCCTCTCGTCAATCTTTTGTGTGTCAGCGTTTGCTTTTGTTTTCCCCAACTCTCGTTCCGTCGTTCTTTCGATCGCGGGAGTTTCTTATCTGGTTTTCGTTCGTCTCGTCACTCTCTTGGTACCGAATCACCCGAAGGACAAGGCAGCAACACCGCGGAATCCGCCACAGTGCTTTTCCCGTTCTGTTCGTTTTTGTCTTTCCGCCGTCCCGTGCGACTCGAATCCGCGTGCTCTTCGCAAGTCAGCTTTCCAAAGAAACTTGAACAGGCGAGGCTACAACACGAACGAAAGTTGGAGCTCCGCCGCCGAAGAGTCAAGGTCAAAACACCCGCCGACGACCGATACTACGTCACCACAACCAAGATGTTCAAGCGCTTGAGGTCCAACACCAACACCCAGCAAGCTGGTGCGGCAATGGATTCTCAGCACCGTGTGGACAAGTCGGCGAGGTTGGCCCGGAAGGGCACGAATGCGGGTTCCGTACGGGATCCTACCAAGTTGTCGAAACTGCAGCGGTCGCTTACCGAACGCGAGGCCTCCGGGTCGGCTTCACGATTGAAGGCCGACTCGGCCAAAGCACAAGATGCCTCCAAGGCAAACCTCGCGCCCTCACCTATCGTCACTTTGACCATCGGCAGGGAGGGGCGACTATTCGCGGCTCACGAGGACGTCCTCCTGCAAAGCCCGTTCTTCGAACAGGCCCTGAAGGGCGGATACCTCGAGCAGTCGTACGCGCAGTCCAGGAGAATCGCGCTCCCGGATGAGGAGCCGGAGGTCTTCTCGGCGGTCCTCGAATACCTCTACAAGGGTGACTACTACCCGCGGCTGCTGCACAACAAGCACCGCAACTCTTGGGAGCTCGAGGACAGCGTTCCTTCGCGCCGAGGGGGCACACCAAACGCATCCCCCAAAATCAACTCAGAAAATACCTACGGAGGTGGCCGCGCAGCATCATCACCATATCAACCTGCGGCTGTCGAGGCTACCCTCTTCTTGCCGTCAGTGGGCCATCATCTCCTTCGGGACACCGTGGTCTACTGTGCGGCCGAGCGGTACGGGCTGGAAGAGCTGAAGCGGCTGGCGCTGCGGAAGCAAGGGCTTCAGTCTGGTATTGACGTGGGCACCATCCTGCGGTCAGCCCAGTACTGCTATGCCCACACCCCGGACTCGGACAGCCGCCTGCGCGCCCACTACCTGGCACTGATCATCCGGTGCCGCAAGACCTTCAAGAGGTCGGGCACCTTGCAGGCCGAGATGGAGAAGGGAGGAGAGGGCAGCAAACTGTACTTTGACTTGTTTGTCGCGATGTGCAACCACCTCGACGACGTCATCGAGGCGGGGAACAAGGGCTCGCCGCGGACTATTTGAGGGCAACACCACTCCGCCCAGGAGGGTTCCCGAGGAGAAGTCTGTCAGGCTTGTCCGGGTCGACATACGAAGACCTCGCGATGAGCAGGTGGATCCGAATCCCAATTTCTTCCTACGGGCGTTCCGTCGGCGTTTCCACTATTAAAGACAAGAGAATGATACACTATGCGAGGTTCCTGATTCTGCAGCTATGGAGGGAGTCTGCTTTTGAGGAACACATGGGATACACGCTTGGGTATCTGGTTTTCTTTTCAGTTTGGGAACCTGCTCTGCTCTACTCCACGATTTTTGATCTGATCCGGCATTTTCAGAGGCGTTCTTTGCTTTTATCCTCCCCCATGGTCGAAAACTCACATCAAGTTTGGAACACGCGGCCATTTGGGAGATGCTAGATTTGTTTCTGCTTCTTCACTTCTCTATGGAGGTTGGCCGATCTCACCAATTTTGATTTTGAATTTTTACCAAGGGGAACATGAGGAAGGGACAGGGTTCGCTTCGTTAATGCCATCCTGCCCGGGAAAGATCGGGACGATGATCTTGGACAAGACACTGCGGGATCCCACAAGAACACCTACTCCGAGTGGCCCGTCTCCTTTCTGCATTCGTTCCCCTTGCTTACGATTGTTGATGCCTTGCGTGTTTCATTAAGCGCTGATATTTTTTTTTTGGAACAATTGGATCTTGGGACAGGGTTTTGATTTTTCTCTTTAACGCATGGCGAGCCGGCGTTCAGAGGATATCTCGAAGCGAGCGTTGTTTTGATTTTTTCACGGGCAGTTTTCCGCTCCTCAACACGGATCAACAACAACCACCCACCCCGATCCATCTTTTACACACCACACACACACCTGGAGTTTGTGTTACGCGATTGTTTATCTCTCAGCTCAATGATTTTTCTTGGTTTTGCCATTCATGTTCGGGAAAGTTTCTGCGGGTTCTTGTTTCTCATGCGGACTCTTTAACTAGACTGTCTCATCGTGGAAAAGATCCCTGCTTCTTCCAGAACGGCGGCCGGAAAGGAGACAAAACACAACAAATCATCCAGAATGCTTTACACCGGTACAACAGCACAACTCGGCCAGCCCGAGCTGCCTGCTGTGACCTGACTGTCTCTTCCGTCTGCCGACATCGCATCTCACAGCAACAAAGAACCAAATTGTTACAACGACGACCTTTCGACAAGGCCTTGATTACTTTTCCTTTGTCAAATGATCAGGGGAAGAAGCTGGAGGGCTGAGGAGGAGAAAGTTATGAGATGAACTTGATGGAGCAGCGATTCTTTTTTCGATTCTGTACCTGAACGTGTGTGGCCTGCAACTTGGTGTTTAAACCCTTGCGCGTTGTTTAGCAGAGCTTTGGCGTGTCTTTCGCTGCTTTACGACTGACGAAGTTCGATGATGATACCAACATTCCTTCGTGTACTGTATGATGTCTATGTATTCTACTTCGGGCTATTTGCGCTCGCGCCTTTGGCTCTGCTTAGATAGCAACGCGCCCTCTTGAGGGGGCCTTGGTAATGGGAGATCCGGCCACCTCCAAAACTTGTCCATGACCATAATTCATTCCTGGTGTTCGTGATATGCTGGCGGCTGACACGGGTGACTTGCCTAAACGCATGGCCGCCTTGTCCCGATATTTGACCCCGAAGCTGGTCATCAGTAATCCGTTCATTCTCCTTGGATGTCACACGTTGCTGACTTTCGTTCTGCTTGTGTGTCAAGTGAAATGCGATGTCTTATTCTGTATCTACTTTTCACCAGCTCCGGCTACACATGTACCTAGGTATTACTCTTGTATCAATGAGACTGTGTCCAATTGTGTGGTCTTCTGGTAGGAGGAACGTTGACCAGCTCAGCGTCTTTCTCCGAGTCTGGCTCTGCCATGAGCAGTCAGGGAAGGAGGCGATCAGGCTGGCAGTTCACCATCCTACTTCTTCGTATCACATTTCAATCCTCACTCCTGCAAAGTCTAATGTGGCTTGTCAGAGCTGTGCACCTTCCGTCTGGTATCCTTAATCTCCCTGGTGAAAGCGTCCTTCTAGGTCCACTGCACATCGAAATCCTTGAACTCAACCACAAGATCTCCGGCTTCCTTGGCTGGCCGGCAGGCATACGCTTCAACACTGATCTCCCACTTCTCTGGGTCGCCGTGGCCGAACACCCAACACACCTCCCTCAATGGGACCTTCTCCCCGTCTACGACCTGGTAGATCCAGAAGCTCTTCCCGAGGACGTCTTGCCCGTTCTCCACAAGCACCGTGACCCAGTCACCCTCCTTGCCTTTGACGACGTCGGCGAGACTCCAGTCAGCCCATGAGTCACAAGCTACAGTCGCAGCCTTGGGCACGCCGTTGTAATACTCGACGCCTGTCTTGAGCCACTTGGGAGGGGAGTCGCCGGATAGAGGACCACTTGCCCCTGAGGACTTGAAGGACAGCACGAGGCCGGCTTGATCGTACTGCTCCTTGGGGTAGAGCAGGAAAGACACACGGGCCGACTTGAAGGACGACAATGGCGCTGTGGTCTTGCTGCCAGCATCAGCACCTCGAGGGGCTGGGACAAATCAATCAGTTGTAATTCGCTTCATCGATGAGAAGTGACTGGGAACAGGCGTACCAGTGAACACGTCTGTTGAAGGCGGCTTCCTCCAAATATCGGTGTCAGGCGATGCTTTGATCGTGAAGGAAGACATTGTGAGCTCAAGATTCCGTTTTGATTAGCTGGATGTTCTGTAATCTGACTGTGTTGCTGTGTCCGTTGCACGAGGTGTAGGTGTCTTCTTGTAATCATGAACTGAATGGCGGGGTAAGAAACTAAGCGCTGGACTTGGACACCAGCGTTGGTGCAATGTCATGCCGAGCTGTGGGCCTTGGTTGATCCTTTGCACTCAAACGTCCACGATGCTTACTCTCTCTCTCTACTTGGATTCTCTCCTGTTTACGTTTCTTATTCACTCAAAAGGACAGGTGGATTTCCTTTATTGGGCCATACGTACGGCGCAATTATCGGTCTCTTGGCGTTCGTGAATGTAACAGTGCAATATTGATGACTGCATCTAGCTACCACCTGAATCGTCTCCTCAATCTAATGCTCAACTGGCATGTCATTGTGTTAGTCCAATCGAATGCATGGACCGGCGATAGTGCAACATCGGAATTCCATCATAGGCACCAGAACTTTGACCAGGCCACTGTTAGATGCGATTTCCCACCTCTCAACCACATCACCTCTTTCTATGCAGTCCAATTAACGTGCAGAAAGACGATGAGGACCCTCGAAGAATCGAGCCCGCAAACGATTGACTTGACACCTAACCTCTCCCACAGGCAGTCATTCATTCCATCCACTGCTTGGTGGTCCAGCATCTGTCGATTTTCAAGATGTATAAAACGATTGTATAAGAGCCGCAAGACTCCTTCGTCTCAGACAAAAACAGATATTGCCTTCTGATATTTTCAGTCACCGTTAATTGGGTGTTGGCGTCGTTGTCGGTAGAAAGTGATGAGCTTAGTCCGTTATTGGGCCAACCTCCTGATTCAAACCCAGACTACCTCAAACAAGTCTCCACCAAGAGTTGTCATGCCGGTGACCAACGACAAGAAACATCCAGCGTGACCCTTCTCCAACTCAGTTGCTCCATTCCCGCCACACATGCCAGTCTGTGGGTTTTGCTTTCACAAGCGAGCCACCTCTTGGTCTCGCTTGATATGGTCTATCTCATCTCTGAGAGCTCGTCTGTCATCATCGAAACCCGCAGTGACCGGACTTATGAAGTCTTGTGTTGTCAAACGCCAACCAGGATTTCTTGCGAGATCAAAGTCCGGGTTGGCACCGAGCTTCAAGAGCCTCAAGGCAAAAGCCCAGTCGCTCTGCGCGCAGGCCATCGAGAAGAGGGTCCATTGATTTCCATCAACATCGTATTCAAGGTTGATATAGGCGCCGAATTTCAGTGCCAGTTCTATGAGCGCCTCGTCTCGCATACAGTAGGCAAGGTGCAAAGGGGTGATGCCACCTCGGCCTTTGGCATTGATTTCGACCATGTTGGTTCCCTGAAGCCCATATATCAAGGACTCGATAATGGACTTGCGCTTGTGGGCGAAGGCAGTGTGGAGTACGGTGCAAGGACCGTCCTCGACACGACAGATTTGCTGAGTATTGGCACTGTGGGAAATGAGCAGCTGGACGATACTGCTATGGTTGTAATGAACAGCCAGGTGCAGTGCTGTCCACTCCGGCCGTTCCAGGGTTGATGCTACCAGTGGCCGAATCCTCCACATGCCCCTGGAAATTTGCAGCTCGTTGTCACAACCACACAAGTCGCGCGCTGGAATCTCTGTATCAGCTCCGTTTTTGAGCAGCCAATCAACCGCTTTAGCACGGCCTCTTCGAGCAGCCAACGTCAAGGGAGTGTATTTGAACTTCCTCGGTGCCTCTGGGCGGCTCCGCGGTCGGGTTGCAGGTATGAAAGTTAAAGGCAAAGGAGCCAGAAACGCGGCGGCGTAGTATGATCCAGCTTGAGCCGCAGTCAGGGGGCCCGCAGGAACTGAGACCGTAGGCATTGTACTGGCAGGAAATGTAGTCGGCGGTGTTGTAATGGCAGGCATCGTAATTGGAGTGACTGAAGTCGCAGGTGCGTAGTTTGCATCAACCTGGTCAGAAGAGGAAACGTTCGACAAACGGTCGTCCCATTGACTGGTGCTATCGTCTTCGTAGAACGAGAGGGACCTTGCAGCGCTCGTTTGGAGTTCTGCATGTGGATTCCAATTGCGGAGATGCTCGACCCATTGGTATGGCGAGGGCTCGTCTAGATGCATCGAAGCGTCCACATTGTTGATGTCGGCTCCGTTTCTAATCAGAAGGGCCAGGGTATTGGTACTCTGTTTTATGGTAGCCCAGAGAACTGTGTAATTCTTTTATCAGTGTGTGTTCAAAGATGACCAGTAGAGGGCAACTGATGTCCGTATAACGGAAGAGCTTACGGGCATTTGCGTTCTCTTCCCTGATATTCTTCTTGTAGAGGACCGAAATGACTGTGTCAGTGTATCGTGAACTCGTGCGTGCGAAAGCAGCGAGATCTCTGGTCGACAGGCAGGAGTCCTCGGCGATGTGCAGCAGGATCTCAGCTGGCAGTTTGGCCAGGTAATCTGGACCTTGAGTGTCACCAGAAACTACAGCAGCTGATGTTTGGATTGTCGAAGGTTTGTATGGATCTGCCCACTCATCTCTGGTCCTCTTCTTGCGAAGTATGGGGATCACCATTGCCGCATAGTGCGAGCTCGTCATGGTTAAAGAAGCAAGATCCTTAGGTGACAGGCAGTCCTTGGCAATTTGATCAAGTAGTTTCGCTGGCAGCCGCGCCAGATGGTCCACAGTGTCGGCCATGACTGTAATTTATTCGAATTTTGGTGGCGTCGAGTCGACCGACGGGGAGATTGAAGGTTCCCTTCACTTTCGTGTATGGTTGTGGGGTGAGATCGTGTCGGGGCCAACACTAAAAGGGTTTGTCTTCGTGGTTGTCAGAAGCTTCTAAGTAAATGATGAGACTGCTTGTTTTGAATTGGTCAGTTTGCAGGTGAACTGTTTGCGCACGACATGTGTAATTGACTTACTTGTAGGTTACGATGTGACTTAGTCCTCCAGAGGATTACACAACGCGTGCCACAGTCATCGATCTCTTTCTAATTAGTAGATGCAGAGAGGTGCTCCTGTTCCAAGGATTAGGAAGATTTAAAATCAAAAAGTGAAGTGGAGACGGTTTTACGTTGGGGTTGTTAATTCGCTCGTAATTCAAAGGTTTGAGGCGACAGACAGGGGCAGGTCGAGCGGGTTCGCAGAAGCACCCAAGCTGTGAATGACTGACTTACAAATGAAGAGCTACCTCAGAGCTAAGTTCGAAAAACAAAGCACAAGTAAGTCACAGTCTGTATGTGCCCAAACAGATGTCACGTAGGCATTTGCGGGCAATTAAAATGTCCCGCCAGATTTCCTTACCATCTGCTTGCCGCCCTCCAATGCCACAGCATCTTTTCTTCCAGCTCCAATGAAAGCCACCAATGATTCCCTACATTCTACTGAATATTTTGCCCAGACTGACTATCCTCTCTGTCGCCCACTGAGCGGCTTAACATGCGGTCTGGAGCACGATACAAAAAAAGACATGTGCGGTAAAATCATCGGTGGGCCTGAAGGTTTTTCTTGTATTTCTCCTGTAGACCCGGCAGCAGAAGCTTTACTTTTTGAATACTAGAAAATAAGTCAAGCCTTTGCATTGAGAATTGTTGACAGTTTCTGTGGTTTGATGTTTCGACTTGCTGCTGATCAGAACATGAGCACATCGGAATATTGAAGCATTTCGATATCCATCTTTGCCAGTCCAGGTCATATCTTCTCTCATTAAGATGACTTTACCGAAAGCCTAGTCTCTTCACGCAGCTGTCTAGCCCCCCTTGATGTATATACGGCATGTTCGCAAGTAAAGCTCAACTGTCAATTCAAATTTGCCAGCCAAAACATGTCAAACAATGTATGGAAAGACACACATTCGCTCACGACTCTATACCAGCGCATATAGCCCACCATGTGTAGGTAGGGAATTTCTGTTGTTGTCACAATCACGGACTCCGCCTGTGATTCAAGGAAAATCATGCAAGACCTCTCTCGGCTTCACCATGTCTTGAAGGAGCAGTTCTGTGTCCTCCGATGTCTTTGGCTTACGGCGCCACGCCGGTGATGGATACACTGATCCCTGCGACGAGGAAGCCACCACACGGAAATATTCCATGCCATCGGAATCTTGACCTGGGTTGGCGGTCTGATAGGCCAGGGCTTTGAGCAAGTGACGGATGCCTGCCGCAATGGCTGCGCCGAGGGTAGGACCAATAAAATAGATCCAGAACTCCGATACGTAGTTGTTGTTGACCACCGCGGGTCCGAGTGTGCGTGCTGGATTTACGGAGGCGCCGCTGACGTTTATCCCTGCACGTTCACAGCTGTCAGCCTCATCCGATGCCAGATTTTTTAAGACCCTTTTTAACGCACTTACCGACAAGGTGGATGATCGTTAGAGCGACACCTATAGCAAGGGGCGCCATAAATGTGGTTCGACTCTTTTCAACGGCAAGCATCAAGATAGTGATCATCAATTCCGCTGTGAGAAACATTTCCATCAAGAAGCCTCCGCCTGTGCTGATGCCCTCACCGACGGAGTTCTCAGCCTTGAGTGGTCCTGGAAGGATGCCCGCAACAAGGCCGGCTGCCGTAATGCCCCCGAGAAACTGGACCGGTATAACACAGACAAGCCGGACCCAGTTAAACGCGCCTGACAACCATAAGCCGAAGGCAATCTGTCGCTGGTGTTAGCGACAGAAGGTGAGAATGGCCCAAGAAGTCTGACAATACTCACCGATGGGTTGAACATTCCGCCACTAACTCTGTAGAAAATCCAAACATTGGCAGCAAGGCTGAGCCCAAATACGGCGGATATGTACGAGATCTGTAGCAAGCTGGGCCCAGCAGGCGCGCCAGCCGCCCCAATGGACGCACGCAGGGTAATGTCTTGCTTCTCATTCGCCGTCTGCGCCGCGATATATCCGAAGAAGAGAAACATGGTCGTGCCGAGATATTCCCCTATCATAGCCACGAGATGACCCCTGACAGCGTCGTTCAGCGACATGAACATCTGTTTCGGCCTTTGGACACCGGCGCGGAGCTCGGTCGGCTCGAGCATCACCGGCTGCTTAATGATGAGAGGCGGGCTTCCATCGTCCCCTCCTCGGTGCATCTCAATGTGAGCCTTTGGAATGGATGCCATTTTGTTGTAGGTGCGACGTGGCGGGTCTTTCTCGAAGAGAATGGAACCGGATGATGACAGTCCCTGTATGCGAACTTTTGCGGGCATTGTGATGCTATCTTTCGATTTATAAGACTTGTAGGTAGGTCTTTATTGTACATTTCTAAGCCTCGAGATGGTTCCCCGAGATGTTGCCTAGATGAGGATCAAACCACTTCTATGCTCCTGAAAAGCCAACTAGGCCAAGGCGACGTCCAGCCGCAGGTTTAGCTTTGAGGTTCCAAAGTTCCGACATGAAAGGTAAATCACGCGCCAGCGCGGATCTCCATCCCTCAGGAATCCATCTGAGCTCTTGACATGATCCGATCTCTTCGTCATCCGATACAGGAGGAAGGTAGCTTTCAAGTTGAAAGCCTAACTGGAGAGTTGCTATCAGGCGAAGGGATGAAACGGCATCGAAGTAGCTCGTCGGTTTATTTGTGATGGTGACCCGTCATGCAAGACGTCTGAGAGCTCAATGGAAGGCGAAGATGGCCCCCTTGGCTGCAGATACTTCGGCCCAGACGTTGCAGTGTTGTGGGTGTCATTGTCAGGCATTGCCGCCCATCCTTCGTCTAGGCTCAAGCACATCGCACTGATACATGAAGCAGTATCTGGGACACGTTCCTAGATGGGCCTTCACCCCTGTTCAGTATACCGGAGAAAATTTAAGCTTCCCGCACCGAAGATTGACGTGCTTGGTGACCAAGTTCGTGCTAAATATCCCACATGTAAGATCAACAGAGTCGAAGGAACTCAAACCTTGCTGCAGAGTCTCCGTGGTATCTAGCATGTGATTGACTGCCAACATGAAGCAAGAGAGCGTGGCTTGATACGATGCCCATAGAGATCTTGGACGAGAAAAGAAAGTCTTGCTGAATTTGAGATTTGAAATTGCGACCACAAGTTGTCCAGTCGCAAGATTTGGACAGCCATATCTATTCAATATGCGACTTACCATGGCAGTGATGAGCATGAAGACGAACGCTTTTGAGAGGAAAAATATTGCAGCATTTTTATGTTAGCAGAGTCCTCAGCAGTCTCGTGACATTGTCTTTTGATAATCAGCTCTACGGTTCAACACCAGGTATGAAGGTAACTTACCAGGCTCTTGCGAAGCAGCGATCAGGCCGTAGAGGTCTCAACAAGATCCAGACCCACTGTGCGAAACCTATTGCGCTTCAGATATAGCGAGGCTGCTAATAGAATGTGACATTGGGGATCATTAAAGTTTGACCGGGCTGAACTATCACTAAGAAAAAGAGACTCGCGATCTTCAAGCAAGTCTTGGCCGACTTAAAAAGTGGACCTGGAACATCGGCTCATTCCGAGTGCCAAACGGCACCTAAGGCGAAGGCAAGTGGGCGGAAAACGACAGTGTCGTTGCCCAGCCGGGCTTTACTGCGTACATGCCTGAGTACATTCAATTTCCTCAAGCTGTGCGGCTGTTTCAGGGGCGAGGGCCTTTCATCGGCGTTTAAGTCGCGTTTTCATTCATAAGGTTTTCGAGCGACAAGCACCGAGATCCGAGACGCCGGCCTTCCCCATGTGTAGAATTCCAGGTGCGTTCCAAACGCTGTCGTGAAAGCCTGCCTAATTTAGACCTCTGGACCGATGAGTCGTCAAAGTGCAATATGTAGACATTAACAGCGGGATTGTTCGATCAAAAGCAGCTTCTTCATGCCAGCTGCTTGGACTTTTGTGACGCAGAACCCCTGGTAGAAATGTATCTGGGCAGAATTGCGAACTTGGTACCGCTCGCTTGCCCTCTGATTCGCATCCAAAATTAATAATACCTCTTTTAGCATTCATGGAGCTGGACCCCTTGGCAAAGCGGCAAAGTTTTAAGGGTGTTGGGCACCTGGACTAGGACTTAATTTGTCGAGTGGCATTGGCTCAATTCAAGAACAAAACTAGCCAAAACCTTGGAGTGTTGGCATTTTCGACTCTGAAAACACGCCACGCGAGTTTGTTAAGCCGGCGTGCGAATTCCGGTTCAAGGAAGTCAGACAACACTCGATGGCCGTTTCAGCATGCTGAAGTGATCGTGTGTGTGCTTGACCATCCAGTGCCAACATATTTTCAAGGTCACCGGTCTTCCTATTCAGCGTGCAGTTTCTTGAATAACCGTGCGAGACATACGTGGCTCGAAATGCAGTGATTAAGTAGTATAGGTAGGTGCTCAAGGAAAATAGGGTGTACTGTGTACAGATAAAACCTCCAGCAAACCAAAATGTGCACAACGCAGGTTCTCGTCCGAAGTTGGGGAACATTACTCACATCAATTGTTCAACGGTACTTTGGTCCGATGTTTTCACGCGTCTTTCGTCACTGTGTACCTGGTCTGCAAGCACATAGAGTTTTCAAAGCAGTGCAGAAAATGATTGGACCTTTTCTAAGACTTCTAGCTATCTCGTAGGGATGTTGGGCAACACGGCAATGCCAAAATAGGAGCCGTGTCGTCACGAAGGGGCAGCGAGCTGATTGCCATGGGTCAAGCCGCAGAATGGCTGTGAACTGTATGGATCGACAGGAAAGGTCAGAAGGAAGCGAGAGACAATGTCGGTTCTCGCGAGCATGGAAAAGCCGCTTGTCTTTGCGAGTAGCAACACTCGGAAGAAAAAGAAGAAAAGGACTGATTTGTCAAGTAGTAGATTTCAAAAACGTACCTCAGTAATTATTTGGAATCACCAGTGCCCAGTTGAAAGTGTTCTACCCAAGTAGGGGGAATCAGCGACAAGGTGAGATAGCACAAGATCGGTGGGATACTTGGGGGAACAATTTCGATAGACTTAAATTTAGATCATCGTAAAGTCGGAGGGATGGATTTTGTGGATGAGGTCCCTGGTAGAGTGCAAGGGACGGCGAGTACTGTGTGTGGTATTTGGCTGAGAAACGGGGGCTCGGTTGCTGCTCGAGTCTTTTTATCTTCTGCCTTTTTTTTTGTGGCAGCAAGCTGTGCTCGAACCCGTCGCCTGTCGTGTCTGTTTCTGTTTTCAACAGGTGCAGGCTCCGGCCCCGCCTGACTAAGCGAGATCGCCCGCAGAGAAATGCTTGTGGGCCCGTGCGTGGGGCCCCGCTCTGGCCCACGCCGACTTGCAATTTTCCCCAATTTGCACGCTGAATTTTCCCATTGAACCAGCCGACAAAATCCAACACGCGCGGCTCACAATTTCGCCGACGCAACACCCAACTCGCGTCAACAGCAGTCCCATCCACCATCCACCATCTACACCCATCGCCCAATGGCATCACACCCCTCCTGGGATACTTTCACTTGTTGCCCTCTCCGTCTCTTGACTTGAGTTCTATTGAAGCGTACGGGGATACAGACTACTGCCGACCCCAGTCTCACCGTCGTCCCTCGGCGGGTGACTCAACACCTCACCTCGCCTCACCTCATCCATTTGCCTTCTCTTGCCCTCGGCACCGGGCCTCATCTTTTCGGCCAGCAAGGCGACTCACATCCTTGCTTGTGCCTCAAATCAACCAAATCGCTACTGTTTGCTTCTACTTGGTCATCAAGCTCGCAGACTCTTGTCGGCTGGCCATGTCGTCTATGGTCAAAAACCCCCGCAAGGCGCCGGCCGCCAAACCCAAGGTCTCGCGCCCCAACCCTGCTCGAGCAATTAACGACCGAGACCACCGGCGCAAGCAGATTGCCGAGTACAACGCCAGCAGGGCCTCTTCTTCTGCCGGCTCTCCGCCTCCTACCAATGCTCGCTCGCAGTGTCCCAACCCAAAGTGCTCAGCCCCCAATGTCGTCGACGGAACCTGCCAGTCTTGCGGTGCGGTCATCGACGACAGCAACATCGTCGCCGACGTTCAGTTCGGGGAGGCTTCCAACGGCCAAGCAATCGCTTTCGGTGTCACCGTCGGACACGACCAGGCAGGTCCCCGCCTTGGTGGCCCTGGCTTTGGGCCTCGCCGGGCTGCAGGCGGCGGCGAGGGGGAGAATCGCATCAAGTCAATTCTTGAGGGCCGCGATCTTATTATCGGCCTGCTCAACCGCCTTGACCTGGGCCAAGTCGAGGGCCAGCTTTACCTTTCGGCCTTCAACAAGTTCAAGGAAGTCCTGGGTCGAAACTTTTGTCAGGGGCGAAGTGTGGCTAGGGTTGCCAGTGTCTGCGTGTATTGGGCTATCCGCAAAGAGCGCAACACCCCGGTCATGCTCATTGACATTGCCGATGTAGTCAAGATGGACGTGTTCCTGCTCGGCCGCACCTTCAAGAAGATGCTCCACATGCTCTACGGCGGTGACGAGGCCAACTACCCATTCGAGCCCATGGTTCCCGAAGACATCATCAGGCGCCTTGCCAGCCGCCTCGAGTTCTACGGCGACACCGAGACCATCCAGGCAGCTGCTGTGCGGATTGTACAGAGAATGGACCGCGACTGGATGATGCTTGGCCGCAAACCCGCCGGAATCTGCGGATCAGCCCTCATCCTTGCTGCCAGAATGTTCAACTACCGTCGAACCCCTCTCGAGGTTTCCTTCGTTGCAAAGGTCACGACGGCTACCCTAAAGCTCCGTCTCGATGAGTTCGCTAGGCTCGAGGCCGCGCAGATGCGCATCAGTGACTTCATGAAGGGAGAATTCCCTGGTCAACAGAAGTCTCACGACCCCCCAGCATTCTACCGCCAGACCAAGGAGTACCAGGAGGAGATGGAAAGGAAGAGGAATAAACCTGGTCGCAAGCGCAAGCGACAAATTATTGACGAAGAGACTGGCGAACCCCTGGTGCCTGGCAAGAGACAACGGGAAGACGGCCAGCCGGAGTCTGGTTCCTCTTCTCAAGACGACGGTACTCCGCCCGCCCCATCTGAGCAATCGCGGACTGACGCCGACGGATTTGTTATTCCTGCACTGCCTCAACGTCAACTTGTCAGCCCCCCAAGTCAAGGCACTCAAGGCCTGACGGAGGATGACATTAGTGAGGCCGTGCCTACAGATGAGCAGGACGAAGTGGACGCGCTTGCATCCAAGTACGGCGACGTTCCTTTGCCTGAATTAAATACCGGGAATGGCGAGCCAGGCGGCTCCGGAACACAGATCTCAGCTGTGGCTCCTGGGGCCAAGAGTCACCGAAACCGCCTGCAAGGAAGTGCCCTGCGTAATCCAGCCCTGTTCCATGAGAGCGAGGAGTGGACTGAGGATGAGAACAAGATGGCCGAGGAGATGCTCAGCAACATTAGGGACATCAACTCCAAGGTCTGGGCCGCTGCGGCAGACCTGGCCGGATTGCGCACCCAAGAGCTGATGGATGAGCTCGAAAACATGCGGCCGGCCAATTACCAGCAGAACCAGCTGCTCGACGCGCCGGAGGTCACAGAGGACGAATTCGCTGACGACCCGGAAGTGCTCAACTGCTTGCTGAATGAAGATGAGCGCAAGATCAAGGAGCAGCTGTGGCTTAACGAGAACAAGGACTGGCTGCGTCTCCAGCAGGAGAAGGAGTTCAAGAAGAAGATGGCGCCGGTCAAGAAGCCGCGCAAGCAACACACGCGCAAGCCACGCATTGGAGAGGGCCAAGCCACACCCGCGAGTTCGGCAGAGGAGGCGGCTCAAGAAACGGCCAACCGGCGCGGAATCTCAACCAAGATCAACTACGCCGCCCTTACCAACATGGACCGCAAGGGTCCAGGATCGTTGATTGGCAGCGAAATCACAAGTCAGCAGACCAGCCGCGCTGGCAGCGCCGAGCTTTCTGATTCGGACAGCGACGACGATGACTTCGGCCTTGGCGACACCCAGGGTGATGAGAACGAAGAGGGAGAGCAGTACGATGCCGAGGACTTCGGGGATGATGACTAGTGGTTATTGAAAGAGGGATGGTCGAGTGGAGGCATTCCACACGTGAGGCACGGACAGCAGACCACCCTGCTTGCGAGCATGCTTGTCAGTATTCAAGATACCCATAGAAGTCTGCCAACCCAGACCGCATACCAGTAGAGTTGGCAGAAGTAGGAAATTACTTTAGGATTGAAAAGCACGGCTAAAGCAAGTGGCCGGAATCCAAGCTGAGCAAAGTACTTGTCGCGCCCGTCGTGCCCTGATGTGTTGTGATGGATAGACGGATGACGGCGGCTACGCTCGGCCCTTGGCTCGTTAAACCCAGATGAGGAAGCGATCGGGACATACCGACCAGACATACCCAGAACTCATCTTACCCCATGGGGGCTACGGGGCCCTCGATGGCATTGGATCCCAAGGTTTCGGCTAGCATCAAACCTCGTGCTCGCCTGGCTGCGCCATTGGATGCGAGATGGGGGGATGGTCGAGCGCTACTGGCATCAAGGTCACGATGTCACGATGTCACGAAGTCACGAAGCTGCAGGCGTTGGTCCCAGGATGTGCCGCGGCTGGCCTGCTTATTAAGTGCTAATCCATGCCAGTGGCCGCAGCGACGATCACCAGTGCTAAGCTCCGCCCAGGCACGAAAGCTGTCGACCAGGGAAAGCTTGGGAATACGAAGCAAGGTACAGACTACACGAGAAGAGGAGGATGTTCCCTGCGTTCGGCCGAGAACTGTGCTAGACACCACGTCGGCTGATCGGTGACCGTATCTGGAAGGAATAACCACGAGAATTCAGCCTGAGTTGGAACTACGAATACTGCTTGTCGACGATGTAACCATGTCTTGCTGCAACAATGTGCTGACCGCGATGCTGCCGGCCTCCCACACCCTCGGATAGCCCGGTGGCTGCATCCTTGGACTTACCACTGCGTATGACACTCAGGTCGGTTGTGGTTGGACGGCGTCTATGTCTCTTATCTTTGAAACAGGCCAGAAGAAGGAACATTTAATTCAGCCGAGTCAGGCCCCGAGATCTTCAGAGAGATAGAGAGGATTCAGGAAAGATTTCTCATCTTCAGTTCGGACGAGGACGGGACTGTTTCTTGGCGTTCTCTTTTGTGTACGACGAGCCAGCCAAAAAGATCATGAGAGAAAGCAGGACGGCTGGGTGGGCCGGTACTTGGAGAAACAAGCCTTGTTGGCAGGGGGGTGGCGGGTAGGGCCAGGGCCGAAGTGGATTCTATTACGGGAAGTTTTCATCTCCCATGGCGGCGTCCATTTTATTTCCGGATTGCCATTACACACCAAATGACTCGCCATGCCAAGTCGCTCACCGCAGAGCCGCATGCGCCGCCCGACGTCACCTTTGCCCCTGCAACCAGTCAGCTAACTCTTTCATAAGAGTTTGCCCTCGGGTCCACCGTGTTACGAGCAAATATCCACCTCATGCGTCCAAATTGACCTGCTGGTACCTGGCTGATCCCTCAACTGCTCGCCGTTGAAGACGGGAGAAGTCGGCCAATATCTTGCACAAGCTGCAACCCACGCACAATTTTGCATGAACGCTTGCCAGTGCGACTGGCTCGTGCCCTTGCATCTTCACGAGCCAAGTACTTCTGACAAGATCTTAGATCTAAAGTTTTCTCCCAATCCGTGCTTATCTCCCCCACGCGGGGCGCTCCTGGTCCTTGTCATGGTCCTGGTGCTCCGGGTCGGGGCTGTTCAGGGTCCAAAATGGCCAGAATGGCGAGACGCATAGAGCACCCCATCTGGTCCATCTGGGCCGTCCGCCCAGCCGCCCCAGCAGCGACCTGTTCCTCACCTCCCGTGGGAGTGATCGTCTCTCGCCATGTGCGTCATGCATGCCAGCTGACCCCATCGGGGCTGCAGTTGGGCTAGGAGCGCTCGCTCATTTTTGCTGCACGAGTCGGATGCGCCTCGGCGCCTCTTCGCTTGTCGGCATTTTTTGCCAAATACGCTATTCGCGCTACCGGGACAGAGTACAACGGTACCAACCTGCCGAGGCGTTGTCCGTTCTATGTAGTTCTCCCGTCAAACTGGTAGTGCCGGTACATACGGTATGGATCATGCTGGCAGGTCAGGTGGTCAGGTTCTAACCTCGGAATTCTCCATGGATAGATACAAGGACTGCCGTTCCTGGAGGCCCGGTCCAGTCCATTCCAGCCATGCCCTGCCATCCAGCCAGCAAGCGCGACCGGGTATGGCAGGGCATGGCATGGCACGGCACGGGAGGACAGAACAGAACAGGACACGACCGGGGCATGGGGAGGCGGATAGATGCTGACGAGTTACTTACACGTCCTGTTCGGACTACAACCGTTGATCGGTCGACTCAAGTCTCCTCTCATGATAAGCTTGACCCTCATTCATATTTAGTCCTGCCTGCTCCCTCGAGCACTTTTGCCACCGCTTTTCTCCCTTTTTCTTTCCCATCTCTGTGACCTCGGCAGGAGTCAAAAAGGCCAGCCCTCCCCATCTCTTAAATCCGGTCCGGAGCTTCAACGCCGACAAGGGACGTCATCGCCGCGTCCTCCCCGTGGCCACTTTGAAAAATTAACCTCGGCGGCCCGATTTCACGCGAGCCGATCAGACCAGACCGTATCAGAACAGACAAGCAAAACTTCTCTGTGAACGTCCAGGTCTCGTGACTGATTACCGACTGCCAGCTGTGCATCAACTACACAAAGCTGCAGAGTCTGACCCTCCACCTCTGGCCTCCCCTCGCAAGCTGTCGACGATTTCCCAACGACTCGGCTCCACACCCCAAGATGGCCGACTACAACATCACAGCCGCTCACGAAGTGGACTCCACCGACAAGAAGGCCGAAAAGACAGTCAGCGCCAATGAGAGCCAACAAGGCTCAGGCTCTGGCATGTTTGGCCAGACAGAGGTCGGCGAGGTGACGGACTGGAACGACCTGGAGAAGCGCAAAGCCGCAGAGGGCCACGCAAATTTCCACCGGCTGGGCTGGAAACGACTGACCGTCGTGCTCATCGTCGAGGCCATCGCTCTTGGTTCCCTGTCGATTCCCTCGGCCTTCGCGTCCCTGGGTATGGTTGCTGGTGTCATTCTCTGCGTCTCGCTCGGTTTCATCGCCATCTACACCTCGTATGTTGTTGGCCAGGTCAAGCTCGCGTTCCCGCATATCACCCATTACGCCGATGCCGGTCAGCTTCTCATGGGCAAGTTCGGCTACGAGCTTGTTGGTGTCATGTTTGCGCTCCAGCTCATCTTCCTGGTTGGTTCGCACAGTTTGACGGGAGCTATCGCGTTCGGAAACATCACCGACAACGGTGCCTGCTCCCTCGTCTTCGGTATCGTGTCAGCTATCATCCTGCTTCTGCTGGCCCTCCCGCCCTCGTTCGCTGAGGTTGCCATTTTGGGATACATCGACTTCGTGTCCATCATTCTTGCCATAGGAATCACTATTATCGGAACCGGCGTACAGCAGAGCCAGGGCATGATCCCTGAATCGGACTGGTCGGCGTGGCCCAAGGAAGGATTGACATTCGTCGAGGCCTTTATCGCTGTTGGCAATATCATCTTTGCCTACTCATTCGCCGTCTGCCAATTCTCATTTATGGACGAGATGCACACTCCTAAGGACTTCGTCAAGTCCATCTGGTGGCTCGGCATGATCGAGATCGTCATCTACACTGTCACCGGCGCTCTGATTTACGTCTTTGTCGGCCAATCCGTCAAATCGCCCGCTCTGCTCTCCGCCGGCGACCTGCTGTCCAAGATTGCATTCGGCGTAGCCCTGCCCGTCATCTTCATCTCGGGCTCCATCAACGGTACCACCGCGGGACGATACATCCACGCCCGTATGTACAAGGACTCCGTCATCCGGTTCATCAACACCAAGATGGGGTGGATCACGTGGATCGTTCTCATCGCCATTATCACCTTCATTGCGTGGGTCATTGCCGAGGCGATCCCGTTCTTCAGCGACCTGCTGTCCATCTGCTCCTGCCTGTTCATCAGTGGTTTCACGTTCTACTTCCCTGCGTGGATGTGGTTCAAGCTCATCAAGAAGGGCAAGTGGTACAGCAAGGAGAACCTGCTGCTCGCGATTTCCAACGCGATCATCTTCGTCATCGGTATGATTATCCTCGTTGCTGGCACCTACTCCAGTGTTCAGGATATCGTAAGTTGTCTCCCTACTCCTATCGGCCTTCGAGGTTTGGTGCTAACCTCGCATTTAGATCGACCAATACCGAGCTGGAACTGTCCGTGGCGCTTTCACATGCAGCCCCTTGGCTTAGATGGAGATAAGACGAGCCAGACCATATACCCACCAGGCCAAAGGAAAATGACAAAGGTCCGACTTTTGTCATTATCAGCCTGGGGTCATGCTGTTTTGCACCACCAATCTGGGGCAATCAAATGTATATACAATGAGTTGAATGAATTAAATGATCATCAAAATACTTCACAACTTTGTGTGCGCGTGCTTTATCTTGTGTGACTGGCTTAGATAAATATATGAGGTAATCCTTGCTTAGCGGGTAGGAATTGTGCTTTCATTGTTCAGCTGTCTCTACCCTGCTTGTCACTTCGCCTATATTTTGGCCAAGGTGAAGCTGTTCGGTAGGAGTTTCGCAACAGCCATTTCATCGTTGCATTATAGCTGCTCACAGTCAGCGGGGGACTTATTTCCTGAACCAGATCTGGAAATCTGGGATATGCACGGTACGTACTAGTAATATCAAAGGTGAGACTCAAGCTGTGTGTCATTAACAGTCTGGCAGCAACCACGGCAACTCTCACTCAATAGACAAATCGTGCGGCGAGTAGCCGTATTATCTGACGGACTCGCAGCACAAAGAGATTTCGCGGGACATAACCCTGATCTGTAGGTTTTGAACGACAGTCTTACTGTGTTGTGAATCTTGATTTGATAGATTTCATGATTCATCATGTTGCGAACAGACCACAGAGAAAGTGATATTGTCACGAGTAGCTGTCATCAATACGTCAACTGAAGTTAAGTCTGCGCTACCTTCTATCCAAAGGGAAGCCCTAGGGGCCGTAGGGTCCAAAGTAAATAAAGGCTTGGTGGGCTGTGATCGCTTATGTAAGCAATTGCCTGCCGGCTGCGCTTCACTCACGTACGCACCCTCTCAGACATAACAATCATCACTCACGACAATAATAGGTATTCTTGTTCTGCAGACTAATTGAAGTTTATCTTTGGCTAATTTCGTTTTGATTTGATAGGGGCGGTTGACAATATAAATTGTAAAAGACAGGTATATAGGTGGATGTTCTTGAGCCGCCGGGCAGAAAAGCTGATCAGCTACTGCACCATGTAAGATTTTAAGCACTAAATAATAAGCATCTAAAATATCTATCCATTCATTTTCGTTATAAGAAATATTCAAAAAAAAAATCTAGACTTATAATCGAGGCAAAAATATATAATAAGCTCTGTGAAACTACTAATAAAATACATTAACACACAGATAACCAGTTATATAAATTAATAAATTTATACCGGTAATGCAGAAAGTATTTCAACATATATGATTTTCTCATATATTTGAAAGGTCAGGGAATCAGTTTAATTATCCAATCTTGGCACCAAACGATTATCAAGTTTTGAACTTTCCACTTTTCACGTGGCTGTATTCTCAGTGTTCAAGATTTTGTCTCGTTCTTGTTGTTCCTCTTAAGCAATATCTGTTAATTTACCTTCCTCGTGACAAAAATGGTGTTAATTATAAGGAGTTCATAGGTTATATACTTATCCTTGCATTTAATTGCATCCCGGGTTGTAATATCATTACCGCCGCCGTTCTACATTAGGCTTTTTGTCTACCTTCCATGTTGTCCTCACTTCGAAGGCTCTATTACTGCACGTGGCAGAGCCAGGCAAGCAGAAAGCCAATTGCAAGGGCGCTCTTGGTCCCCTGCAACCTATTGCTAGTCACACCCTCTCTTGGCTGCCACTCTGCGGACTGACTGAAATTAAGTGGCTGCACAGCCCAGTGGCTTGAATCCAGAAATATGCAGACATCTCTACTAAGACTGACCGGGGGCGGACCTAGCCTATAATACAAGGTTGTCAAGAACAATGGCCAGCATGCTTGCTGCTGTGTGACTACACAGCCGACTTTGGTTCTACCTCTAGAATTGTCAGCCGCTGTACACAGCCATTGTGGAATAAGACCACCTAGAAAGTCACAGTAAGCGTGAAATTTTGTGAGTTCAGAATCAGAGTCAAGCATTTATATAACTGAAGTGAAACATTTTCACTCGCTGTTGCTGAATGCATTAAGCCCATTCATCAGATTACATGCTAAGTACTTACGCAGGTAGACACCAACAGCCTGTGTTGAAGCTCAGTTATTCACATACCGGTAAGAGAGCCACATCTCTGCCGGAATGGATCCATTGACATCATTCAGCCTGGCTGCCTCGATTGTTCAATTTGTCAACTTTGCGACATCACTCATTAATCAGACATACAAAATCCATGCCTCTGCGGCTGGATCAACAGATCGAGCCCAAGAGCTAGAGGAACAATATTACATCTTGCTTCAGTTCAGCTCGAGGCTGGACAACAAATCGTCATTATGCGTATCTGGTGGACAATTCCATCAGGATATCGAGCAAGACATAACATCACTGGCTCAATTGAGAATTGTGTGTAAGGAGCATTGTCAGACGCTACTGGACATTGTATCCGGGCTAAAACTGGAGAATGGCAATGGACGGCTGTTCCGGAGTTTTCGAATAGCATGCAAGGCTCTACGCAAAGAGAAACGCATTGCGGAGCTTGAAGTCAGCTTGCATTCACTTCAGACACAAATGACCTTCCACTTATGTGATATTGCCCGGTAAGTGACCCAAGACATATATTGCTCTGTAAGAGGCTGATAATACCTTTTTAGCCATTTTCATGAAGAACATGCTTTTGTGTTGGCTGGTTTACGGAGACAGGCTTATGCGCTGGAAATCGATCTATCCAAAAGGCTTGACCACCTAGCGGACATGCTGAGCGCAATTCAACGCGCGGTTACCGAGAAAGACCAAACCAATATGGCTTTGTCACTTTCAGAGGTTGAAGATCTGAAAAAAGAATTCGAAAAGCTTTCTATAACAGAGACGGGCTTGTCTAGAGATCTCCATGTGGTGCGGAGCTTGACGTTCGAAAACCATGTCGATCGGTATCATGCCATAACCGAAGCCCACCTCAAGACTTTTGGATGGATTTTCGATCCTAAGCACACCAGGAGCGAGGGGCTTCGGCTTTCAAAGTGGCTACGGGAAGGCGAGGGTGTCTTCTGGGTTTCAGGCAAGCCTGGCTCTGGAAAGTCAACTCTCATGAAATTCATCGCCGATAATACCCAGACACAACGAGAGCTATCAAGGTGGGCTGACTCTCAGAGTAGGGTCGTCACATCTAGCCACTACTTCTGGTGGACAGGAACTCGTCTACAAAAGTCCCAGGAAGGCTTGCTTCGGGTGCTGCTCTACGGTATCTTCCGAAAGTGTCCCGAACTGATTCAAAGCGCTTGTCGGGAGGAATGGGAGGAAGCCATTTCATTTGGTCAGTTGGATACTCAGAGTGCCCAAATTTGGACATACGAAAGACTCCGGGCTATCATTGAATCTCTTGCCAGACAACCACCTCTTAACACGAAGTTTTGCTTTTTCATTGATGGCCTGGATGAGTATGAGGGGGATCATCTGGATATCTGCAAAATCCTCAAAGATTTAGCAGGTTCACCAAGCGTCAAGATGTGTGTGTCAAGTCGACCATGGAATCAGTTTCAGCTGGCATTTGGCGACAGTGACCAGAAGATCATGGTACACGACTTGACAATAGACGACATCAGAGGTTACACGAGAAGTAGACTCTCTGAGCACCCAGAATGGAGCATGATATACGGACAGCGAAGGAGCGCTCAGGCCAAGGAGCTTACAGAGCTGATCGTACAGAGAGCCGAGGGTGTCTTTCTGTGGGTATTCCTTGTTACTCAACTTCTCCGCGAGGGATTGAGTAACAGCGATAGCATGAGAGACCTCTGTCGGCGAGTCGAGAATTTCCCTCCAGATCTTGAGCGCTTCTTCATCCAAATGCTTGAATCCGTTGACGGATTTTATCATCAAAAAATGTCAACAGCACTACAACTGGCCCTGGTGGCGGAGAATCCAATGAATCTCTCGGTCTACGCCTTTCACGAAGAAGAATACGACAATCCAGACTACGCTCTAGATATGAAGGTCAAGTGCTTCAGCGAGATAGAGGTGAAAAAGCAGCATCAAACTGTCGAACGCCGCCTCAATGGATGGTGCAAGGGTTTGCTTGAAGTCCACGGTCGTGAAGTCCATTTTCTGCACAGGACCGTGGCTGATTTCCTGAGAACTGGAGAAATGGTGGAATTTCTGAAAAAGAAGGCGCCTGCTAATTTCGACACCAGCCTGTCTGTCTTAAAAGCCTACACAGCCTGGATCAAGAGTGGGAACTTTCCGAATCTCGCACGTGGATCACATGAGGGTGCAGAGGACCTCCAGGACGAGTTATCTTTAGGACCATACGAGACTACCACCAGAACACTTCAAAAGGTCTACAATCGCTATTATACTGTCACTGATTCGGAAAATTACAACCCGATTGAGATACAGACACTCACAGGCGAAGCTTTGCTCGCGGCCTCGAGAATTGAGAGGTCTCTTCGTTGTCACTCCATCAGCCACCAAGCCATGTTTGTCCACATTGACGCGATCGATACGACTATTCAAGAATTGGAAAGCCATGTCCTTAGCCCTTATAGCAATAGGCCGCAAGCCGTACTCATGAATTTCAGAACGAACATACTCCAGAGCGCCTTGGCTTTATATCTAGACAGAACACTGTCGCGCGATCCGACCTATTTCCACGGTCTGCAAAAACCTGCACTGTCAATACTTCTGGACGCATTTATTGCTCCAGAAGATTCGCAAAGCGATGGATTGGATATTAGGAGCGATCTTTGGCCAACAGAGATTTGTGCGACGCTCCGATGCCTCCTGGAAAAAGGACACGGTCCAAATGGGATAGATGAGAACTCCGACACGCCATTCAAGAAACTCTCTTCTCTCGCTTTGCCTTGGAATGGAGGTCCTTGGAAGACTTGTACAGCACCAATTTTCCGTCAGAGACTCTTCTCCCTATTTCTTGGATTTGGCGCCGACCCCATTGTACTGATAAAAAGAGACGGAATCCTTTACTCAACTCCCTGGTTCGACTTTCTCATGGCAGCTTTTCGTGTCCCGTGTGAGCCTTCGGAAGAGGATGCGTATCTGAGTGAGCTTGACGCATTCCTTAAGAAGGATGATCTCGCATTGCAGGTCCCAATGCAATCTTCATCCACGTGTCCGCTCGAGGTATTCTTCCTGCAGATGTCTAATTTCAAAGAGAGTCGCGGCTCTGTAAGCCACATAGGAAGTGCTCGTCTTTTGGGAAAGGTATCATCGAGGCTATTACGGCGAATGCACGATGAACACATTGAGGTGAAGTCTGCTTATCGGAGCCTTCAGAGGTCACTTCCAGCAGCCTTGTATCATAGTATAAAACTTGAGCATGACGCTTTCGTGATAGCTGAGCGAAGGAAGACGAAGAAGAAAAGGGACAGAAAGCTAAATACATGGAGAAGGCAGAACGGAAACGGAAATGGATGGGTCGCTTATGGGAGACGAGTAGGCAATTCAGCTAAGCCTCGGCGCAACAAAGAAGTTTAATACGCAATAATAAATTTTCTCTTTCTCTCTCTCTCTTTGGGTTTTACCAATAATTAATAGCTTTTAATATCAGTCGAGACTAATAAAGTTCTCATACAATATTGCTACACAGAAACCAGATTATCAATGATAGTGAAGTCTTTTATTTGGCAGAGTTTTAATGAAATTCAAATTCGCCTGTTTGCCGAGAAGCAAGAAAGACTGTTCTTCTATGACTGCCCTTGGTGGTGCTGAGGATAGGGCCGAATAGATGAATCGATGCAATCAATAGTCACACATCCACCAAGTAATGTTGTGCAGGATTTATTTCCAACAAACGGTCTCCCTAAGTCATACAGATATTCAATCGTATCCTACTGCTACCTAAAAATCACATCAATTTAACATCAGCCGACAGTCCCGAGCTGTGCATCGTCCTGCTCGACGAGCGAAGTGCAATGACTTTCAACTGCCATTGTTGTAAGCGACAGTATATATCCTTCGAACATCTAATGGTCTTAAAAAGTGGAGACTGCGCAGCAATGCTATCGCTCTTGATACAGCTCATTCTTTATCGAAATGAAACCTTACAGCGAAGTCTGAACGGGGGAAGAAATAAGTCGTCCTTGAAGCAGCTTGTAAGGAGGACCAATGTGACCCCAAAAATAGGCCCCGCTGCACGCATATAAGCGCCCGCCGAGAGCATGGGGCCTGGCATTATCTAGGCACACACAGTGTCGCAACCGCCCAGGCCGGGCTCTGCAGCTGTGCCGCATCCCAACATTAGGCTGTCCTATCACAACCACCATGGAATGATGTTGGTGAATTGCCCTCGCATTTGATTAGCCCTCGAGTCGCTGAGTGACGCTCTTGAACCCTTTGGATGCGCACACCTACAACCACCCAGCCACATGCTTCAAGCGGCGGGGTTCTGCCGACCAACTTGCCTCCTCCATTTACTGGACGTTAACAACTCTTAACTTTCTAGATTTACCTGAACAAAACATTGACATGGATGACATTCACCACCACGGTGGCCGGCGACCCGCTAGGACTCCGCAAGGAGAGGTCAACGATTTCTGGTCAAGCTTCTCACGCAAACGACCAAGTAAAGTAACATCCATCTTTCCCCGTTTGCTATATGCCAGCCTGCTCCCACGCCATGATGACCCCCGTGGTGCATCGTCGGCACGCAATGCAGCCGAAAGCTACGACATCGCAGCCAAGGAGTGCCGCGAAATGGTCAAGCGGATCAGGGAGGAGTGCGAGCGGACGAACGAGAAATTCACGGATCCGGATTTCGATATCGAGTCCGACTTCGAGACCAAGAACAATTGTCTCTTTGGACTGCATCCACCCCGCCCGCCCCCACCTCCTCCCGATAACATGACTGTTACCAGCATTGCCAGAAGCATCTCCAGCAACAGCTCACATCCGGGGTCAGTTCATCGCCTGGATTGGATCTTCAGGAATCCCCAATTCACTGTCAATGGGTACTCGCACACAGATGTTCAACAAGGAATCGGCGGGGACTGCTGGTGGCTAGCAGCTATCTCAACAATTGCCCACCGGAGGGACCTCATGGATAGGATCTGCGTCGCTCGAGATGAGGAGTGTGGGGTTTATGGATTTGTCTTCCAGCGTGACGGAGAGTGGATTTCCGTGATTGTCGACGACAATCTATATCTCTCTTCAGAAGACTTCCGAGATTTGCATCCCGAAGACTTCGACCCCGATGGTTCAAAGGCTGCAAAATTTAAGATGTTGAACCAGAGAGGGTCGGAAGCGCTATTCTTTAGTCGCTGCACTGAGGAGAACGAGACATGGCTGCCACTGCTGGAGAAGGCTTATGCAAAAGCTCACAACGATTATGAGGCAATCGATGGGGGCTACGTTGGAGATGGTGTAGAGGATATGACCGGAGGTGTCACTACACCCATTGCTACTAACAAAGTACTGAGAAAAGATAGGCTGTGGAAAGAGTTGAGCGGCTCTGATGGACAATTTGTGTTCGGTATATCTGCTCATTCGCGCTTTGGAAGGGTGGAGGCAGACTCAGGAGTGACTCTTGGCCATGCTTACACAATACTTCGAGCTGTAGAAGAGGATACCGAAGACGGGAAGAGCTCGGTGCGCTTGGTCAAGATTAGGTACATGCTAGCATTTCCCAAGGACTTCCAATCTTCAAATTTGCTAACTTCCTCAGGAACCCCTGGGGTAAAAGAGATGTCAGAGGCAGAGAAGGCGAGTGGAATGGGAGGTGGTCGGATGGCTCTGAGGAGTGGACGCCATACTGGATGGCAAAACTCGACCACAGGTTCAAGAATGACGGGATTTTTTGGATGGAATACAGTGACATGCTCGCAACATTCAAGTACATATACCGCACACGCTTGTTCGACGAGAATTGGACGGTCATCCAACAGTGGGCCAGCTGCAGCGTCTCGTGGGTCACGGGCTACTTACGAACGAAATTCATACTTGACGTCAAGAAGGCTGGTATGGTTGTGATTGTGTTAGCGCAAGTGAGTTGCGGCTATTCATGTCGACCCTCGCAAGACTGGGCATGGCTTATGCGGCACCAGATGCTAACTCGAAGTCTAGTTAGATGAACGGTATTTCAAAGGGTTGGAAGGCCAGTACAAATTCAGTCTGCATTTCATCGTACAAAAGCAGGGAAGTCAAATCGGGGATTACATCTGCCGAGTGCGCCCAGTCCCCGGAGGAGACCACCGATCTATCAGTTGCGAAATAGAAAATCTCGAAGAAGGGCAGTACGAGGTTATACCACAGATAACCGCGGTTCGATTCAAGCAAGAGCAAACTGTCGAGTACTTAGTACCCCGATATGCGAACACGAACCCACAGAAGCTTAGGCAAGTTGGGCTACAATACGATCTTGCTCATGCAAAGGGAGGCATGTAAGTCCATTCAAAATTTCCTCAACTCTGAATTACACGAGACGGTCGGCCCGTGCGGCTTTTAGAGGACTGGTTTCAGTCCGTGGAATCGTCTTCCAGCTGTCGGTGTTCGATACCCATTGAGCCTTTGCTAAACCCATGATTTATAGTCCTGATGAAGACATGAAAATCGAGCAAAAGAATCCCAAGTTGAAGAAAAAGCTTTTCAAAAAGTCACGTCATCCCCATATTCGGGGAAGATTAGTAGAGTTTGAACTTGATGTCATGTCGCAACAAGAGCAGACGCCTAGCGAGCGGAGTGACACCAGGTTGGAGGAGAAAGACCAGTTTGACGAGTTCCAGGATGCAACGGAAGGCCCCACGGCTGACACCAAACCTTCATTTGAATGCCGAGAACACGACGGGAACGAACATCCCAGAGATTGCTCTAGGGAGAAGCTCGCGATGCAAAATGGCGAACAACAACAGGGCCATGAGTCAGATGGGCCCGAAAAGAGAGGGGAAAACCTTCCGACGAATTCGAATGAAGCTGGAACAGTAGTCGAAGATGACAAAAACCTAAGCACCAACGAGCACTTCGATGTACACTCCGCTGATGAGTCTTCAGACTCTGACAGTGCAGGCAATGATGACCGACGGTGGAACGCTGTCTGTATCGCTTGTCTCCGAGTCTACTCCAGAGATCCAGAATTGACTATCACCCTGGTAAGCCCGGATGACAGGCAAGGATCGTCAAATTTAGTCAGGGGTCAGGAGCCCGCTGGAGCAACAATGTAGAGACCTGTTAAGTGCAGAGGTCAGTGCCTTGAATGGCTGCTGGAAACTTTTGACCATAATTTGACAGCTGTGGATTCATATGTATGCCCGTAGGGAGTGGAGAGGTCTTCTCATTGTTTTCAGAAGTATGAGAAGATAGGCTCACGACATATTAGACTGAGCATTGGTCAATCCCGAATAATGAGGAGGAATGGAGAAAGGCCAATTTATAATGAATGGCGGTTAATTAGGATTTATGTTCCCTTCGTCGCAGCACATCTCCTCCATTGAGCGATTGCTGCATTGCGATATTTATAACGCTCATACACGTTTGAACATGTGAACCTGGAATCTCATGTTTTCCAGGCTGACCGGATACTTCAAATCCTCTTCCAGTCGGTACCACATGCTGTCCTCATCAATAACCTTTTGCCATGCACCAGTCGCCTCCTCGCTTACATCCTCCTCATTCTCAGTATTCTTCCTCGGTTTTGGCAGAAGAGCATAATCCAGCAGCCAGCTCATGGGATATTTCTTTTTCTGCTCCCCTTCTTTGACACCGCCAATCGCTGTCTCAGAGTAAGATCCAGGACTGTCCACCACCAAGAGCAAACTTCCCTTAGGAGCAGCTTCTGTTACCTTCAGCAGAAAAGCGGTGGTTCGTGGCATTGAAGCTGTGTAGAGCTCGTTCAGAGTAAAGAAAAGGGTGAGAAGCGCCGGATCAGGTCCGATGACTGCGCGGAGGTCCTCGTTACTGCAGCCCAGTATATCGGTGCGTGTGAAGGTATGCTTGATAGCTTTGGGCGAGAGGAACGAAGCATTTGTGGCGCGAGCTGATGCGCTTGCATACTTAGAAAGAGTCGGAGGTGTCTTGAGACATGTATGCAGCTTGGAGAGCACAGACGCCCAGTCCGCTGTGTCGATAAGGTTTAATTCGAGAAGCGTCGGCGAAGAATCAGCCTCTGAGATTGACAAGCCCTGCAAGTCTTTTGAGATATCCTCAGACAGTGATTGTGGTCTACCGCCTGCGTCTGAGAGCCGTAGATGACGTAAAAGAGCTGACAAGGCCATAATTTCAGCTGCACCACCTCCGAAACATATCACCCTGGCTGGTTTCTGTTCATTACCGCCGGCCACCAGTTGCTGAATGCAAGCGTCGTCAGCTCTCTCCTCACAGATCCAAGCCAACAGCTGCGCGTATCCCAGGGCACGACTAGGGCTCCAACGAATTGCGTATGCCTCCAGGAACTCAGCTCTTCCAAAAGCTGTATCAAAGTCTCTCCTGAAAAGTGCATCCTTGATCTCCTGTAGCGTTGGCTTCAGCGCCTCGAAGTCATTGGATGCAGGAAAGGTGGTGCGGAAGACGTCGAGAACCAGCTGCTCGAGCTCGACAGGAAGGGCATGATTCAACTTGGGTGGTTCTGCGGATGTGAGCCCTGAGTCTGCAGCCTGTCGGCTTTTCTTCTTTTTGTGAATATAACCAGGTCCCTTCCAGCCTGGAATCCCGGGAGTTATCCGTGCTGGCGCCTTAGACGCACCGCTGTCTGGAGGCTTTCCGTGTTTTGGCTGCGATTTTTCCTTGCGATCGTATTTTCCCATTGTTGCTTAGTCCATGAAGATCTTCCACCTTGGTTGTTTGTGATTGGAGTGATTTTGGCTCAGTTTCTTCAGGACTCGATCGATTTTGATGTCGATGATATCTGAGATCGATTGTGGCATCAAATGAATTTTTCCCGCTCAGTTGTCTCACCATTCAGACCACCATGCTTAGTAAGCGAAGAACAAGGCATAGTACAAGTAGATAAGGTCGGAAAACAAACACCATCTATGCATTTCCAGTGGTTCGATTTGATAACGAAGGTGTCTTCAAAAATTGCACAAAAGAATAGCTACATGCCTAATGTCAATATCTGAGCTTACTAGCACGCGATGTCGAGACCTAGCGAATATCCATAGCACCTGCGAAGATTTACCACATCAATATACCTGGGCATCGAGATTTTCGGCAGTATTGCATATCTCATTCTATGGAGACCTAATCTCGCGTCTGTTACGGTTTCCAGTGTGAGACCCAATTATATCTTTCGACCTTTTGATTATTGAGTTGTTTGGTCTTGAAGATGATCTTAATAAAGCAGTAGAACCTGACGGACCAGGCTTGTCATCCAGCACTCAACTTTGTCTGTCAGAGGCGCGTCAAGTCCAGGACCGTAGAATTTCGTGCTCTCGAGCGTGATCATGGTCGATGGAACGGTAAAGGTTGTTTCATCACGATGCGTGAGTCTCGAAGAATCCCTTGATATCTGTGACTGGAGAAGCACATGACCTTGGGCACATGTATTCATTAAATCGGTCTCCAATATCAAGGATATATGTTCACCAATGTAAGAACCTCGGAAACCTGACTGAGATGACTTGAATAACCTATGACCAGCCTCAATGACGCTGCACACCCCCAGAAGGCGGTACGAAGGACGGTATCCGCTATGGAGAAGTCTTGTATTCGGACCTCTATGAGCCAGGGCCCTTCAATCGTAAGAAAGCAAATCGGGCATGGCACTCACACTATTTCTACAGTCATCCTGGCCGTAGTCTCTGCTGAGATGTGAAACGCAACTCAACTTAATGATTCACAAAAGCCTCGAGTGAGCAAGATCATGTGCTCTTACAAAATATATATGCTGTAATAATGTAAACCATTGGTTTGCTAGTGAATTTCAAATTTCATCTCATTCCCAGAAAGCTTAATCTCGCAAAACCCTACAAAACTTTAGACAAGATGCCAGCAGAGAAGTTTCTCCTGAGTGATTCGCATCTCGGTGACACAAGGGTAAATTGTTCAAAGTACTGGAGTAAGTATCAACAGCCAGCACTGACATCTTCATCATTACTTTGCCCTCTTTAAACACGCTCAAAAAAGGGAGGTTTCGGCTCATGTAGCGTGGTACAAACGAGGCAGGGTACCAATCGTACCATAATTATGATGGATAAGCTAACATAGATTTCATCCAGATAACAAGACAATTATGAAATGGGCAGAAGAAGTGCCAACAACGTCTATGGGTGAGGACCCTACACTCGAGGATGTGTCGCCACTTTTCAGGGCGACAGAGCCTGGTGATTTCCAGCATGCCATATCCCAGAACGGCGAGCAGGCTCATTCTATCAGGAAACGCGGATCCCATGCTGATTTACGAGCAGAATACGAGCTGGGCGCAAACAACCACAAGGGATGCAATCCATGCTGATGATTTTGATATGGCAGTACACCATTTCACTTCATAATCCCAGAGACATGGGGTAGCACGCAACACATGTTCGCATTTTGTCATGAGAGGCTGTTGTAATACTAAGCAAATTAATCTTCAGTTTATCTAGAATCAATTAAATATTAAAAATGAGTTACTGAATACTTAAGTAATGAACCTGTATCGCTTCCTGACTCTTTCCCCTTCATATCAGAACCCGTGTTATCTTTACGCGCTGTGGTGCTGGGCGTAAAACTCACCCCCCCCCCTGTAATTCAAAATATCTAGCACTGGGGAAATTTGAGCATGAAGACATGCTAAATGCTTTGCGTCGTATGTGAGCTATAATTTTGCTCTCTTCATCAGGACTGTCTTGTGCTGTAAAACCCCGTGGGATCTAACTCATTAGCTTCAAACTGATACAGTATCACAGTTCCGTAGACAATTCATCAAATTGTGAGAATGAATATTCTTTTCTGTCCAGTCGGACACCGCCACGAGCATTGGTTTGAGTTCGCTGTTAAAATTCAGTTTAGTCAATGCAGATTTCTTGTCGGCTGGCAGATGACAAAAAAAGCCGCGATTGTAGATGTCACAAATGTGAGGTTCTTCGATGAAGCGGCAATATTTGGCGAGTCGCTGCTCTAGGACAATGACGAGTTCCCCTTTCATAAAATAGCCAGGCTTTCTGCCTCACGGGCATGAATCATGTCCAACCAATTGTTTCTTGATGAGGAAATACATCTTTCTTGAAGCACAAATCGGTACAGGCCAGTAACGTATGTCTGCTCGAGGAATTACCATTGACTCAAACTTTGAAATAAGTGCCAAATCAGGCCACAACATTGATGCGAATGGGGTGGTGCTCGCAGAGAATCATCTACTAAAACACACAGCGTGTGCGGATCACGAAAACGCTAGCAGACCTTCTTCCAAAGCCAGAGGTCATGCAAAGATTAGAGTATATGTCGTCTGGCCCGAGCCAGACTCGGCAATCACCGCAACAGCGCCTGCGGCTCGCGCTATTGACGGACAATGACCTCGATGAGAATAGTGAACTTCTTGGCTGCCTCCGCCTCAGGGGATGGCAAGCCCACTAGAAGATGCTGAAAGGCAGTGGGCACGATCACGAGGGTTGAATTGTGTAGACTGCAGCGCATTCAGTACTGTCTCGGGCCTAGGCTGTGATAAGACACTTGGCATTCGCAAAATGGTGTTGGTGGGGAGGATGCGTGCCCAGACGGTGTCTGCATGCGCGGTTGGCTCATCAAAGAATGGAGGGGGATAATGGCTTAGACGGATACAGTTTGGGGCGAGTAAAGAGATCGCGGATTGATCCTAAGTTACTGCTTGCGTTAATTATCGCGGGCTTGGAGACCCACATCTGAATTGATACTAGATCACGCCGAGTCGCCCAGCTGCAATGCTCACAGGTCCAGGAGAATATCGGTGAGGTCCGTCAGCCTCGCGATATCTAGAGCATCCTGATACAGAACCAGTGGGGCATCCATCACTATCTTGGCACCGGAGCCGTCAAATTAAGCTTCTATTTTCGCCTGGTCGTTTTCCGGCATCCTCTTCTCCTTCTGGCCAAGTCCCTCTAGTGATTGGCGGTTCGCTTCTCCCTGCAACGTCGATCTGCCGGCGCCGTTTGCTCCAATCAATGCTCGGAATGTGGCCATTCCGCCGACGACCCGCGACGGCGGACATCTTCGGTCTCCTATTCGGAATCTCACTGCCAAAATTCTTGGCAGAGCTTGTATGGATCGAGAAGGTAGCATTGAAGGGACCACTTTCGACCCTGTTGACTCGCGCTGATAAGAGCTATCTAAATGCCACACATTCGCTCACGTGTATGAATGGGCGGGATGTCTTTGGCTATTGTCCTTCCCGTCTCGGATTTAGGACCCGGCCGGTTGTTACGTTCCTAAAGCGTAGCAAATTACTGGCGTGGCTCTGGGAGCGGGAAATGAGGGAGGAGTTCCTGTATCCAGCTTGAGACGGACTTAGTAGATCTCGAATTGAAGCATAAGTAGAGGCGTTGGGAAGCTCATCACGAACGGAATGTTGGATACTCCCTCCAGCCTCGCTCGTTCGTCGTTCTACATCCAAGTGGGTATCTGAAGCACCGAGGTCAGCTTCTGAAGATAGCATTTTGAGGCGCTGAATCAAAGCTGCAACCATGGTCAGTCTAAAGAGCCAAACGAAGACAGAAGACAGAAGACAAAGGCAACTAACAAATGTCCCTGATAGCTTCAAGGTCTGTTCCTCGCGGCGTTGTCCGCTTCTGCCGCCTTTGCAGCGGTGATCCCAACCGTCGAGCCCGTGGTGGATCTTGTTGCCGAGCCCGTGGCCGTGGCTGGGGTCGAGGCGCGTGATACCTGCGTCTATACCTGTGGTTCAGTGTGTTATTGGGTAAGCAGCTGGAATTCAAATTATGATTTGATCGATCGTCGCTAACCCTACCTTTGTTTAGCAAGTGGACATTGACGAGGCACTGGCTGAGGGCTACAAGGACTACAAGGCGGGCTCCGCCCCAGGTATGTCAATTAACTTCTCCAGTCACGGGAGACCCCCCGAAATTAGAGGATCAGACAGCTCACAATCAATCCGCAGGTGGTTATCCTCACCAGTACAATAATTACGAAGGGTTCAGCTTTCCGACCGCGGCGCCATGGTGTAAGTATAAGCCTTCTCTCGCTGCAGTTGCCCATCCGTTTTCTATTAGATCCTCCCAGTATGCATTGTTCCGGGTTCCGTAGTAGGTAACTAACATATGGCAGATGAGTTCCCAATCCTTTCAACGTACAAGGTCTACACAGGCGGTTCTCCTGGCGCGGATCGGATTGTTTTCGACACGAAGGGAAACTTTGATGCATTGATCACCCACACTGGTGCATCTGGCAATGACTTTGTTGCCTGCAAGAAGGCTTAGATGCATTTAGTACTTAAGTACTCATCAAAAGCTTTTGAATCACTTCTCCCCATCGCGAGATGGCCCTTGACTTCTGGCCCTGTATAATATGTTGTTCCAAGTTTGTGTGCCTCTCGCCACCAGGCATATTTTGACACCATGCGTAAGGCACTTTGCACATTTTGTCGGTCTCAGCCTCCCGCGAAGATGTAACTCACCTCGCGGACTCCCTTGTGGAACTCGAGCCAGTCTTTCACAGTTTAGTATTTTCGTGGCCGAATCAGATGGCACTGGGTCAACCAGGGACTGTAATGCAACCCTGCCCAAACACGCAACTGGCCGATGATACCTGCCAATGTGGGTGTGGATTTGCTGACATATGCTTTGCACTTTGAGTCCCTATCACAATTCTTGTCACCATGGTATGACTTCGTTTTGCTGAATCTACAGAGTCATAATTCAGCGTGATACTCTTCAGCAATTCTTTTGCTATTCTGTGCAGTGGTCACGCAGTGACTCAGACTCCCCATGTCAAATCTGACCCCCCTATGGAGCCGGAGGTTTGAAACTGAACGTATTTACAATGAGCTTATGGAGCCCGACACACCTACATACGTGATAAGTCGGGTGCCAGGGCTCTGGTAGTCCACCAGGACCTCTCAAGGGTTTGGCAATCTGCGTGTTATGGTTTGTCCTGCTTCGATATCGAGGCGCTGCAGGAGGAGTTGATTGCGTGTCAAAATCAAGCAGAGAACCAGGATCTTGACGTTTGATCGGAATAGCTCATCAGCGTGCTATACTCCACAATTCGGCAGTATTAGGCGCCGAATGCAATTGGACGCGGAAAGGAAGTCAGCCTTGACTGTTGGTTTGCGCATTCCTGCCAGGCCAAGGGAGGGCCATTCAGCCAGGTCGCGATGGTCACCTTGTGGCAACATTACTAGGGCTTTCTAGGACGCCTCGCCGCTGCATCTATTCCTCATGCGTATGCTCGCTCATCTGAGCCCAGATAACTCTTCACCATCGTACCCGACTTTGTGATCAATGCGGATCGAGGACACACAAGTATCTGGACCTTGCTCTCTAAGTCTTGCCTTTTTGCATGGCGTTCAGTGTGCATCTCGCGCCCAGGACTGCCTACGAGTCGAGGACAGACGTCTGGATATAGCTCAACCACGACATATGCATCGCGCGGCGGAGGAAAAGCGGAAAGACAACCGACAGGCGTTGGTCCGAGTCTTTGCTTTTGTTGGTACCCCTTCCAGCATGAGGTTGAGACACAAGTTAATTCTGCCCTGCCGAGGATTCTGGAGGTCATTCCATGAATATTATATATGTGTCCATCCCACAGCTCCCTAAAAATCTTTACATCATGGCACCGGCATCTAGCCGACATGCACTGCGGAAATGCCTTCACAGTCCCCTGTCCTGCGAGTCGGCGCCACTCTTGCCGCGCTTCTCATCTCAGGTTTCTTAATTCGAAAGGTTTTTTTTGTGCCTGCGCAGCCTAAACCACGAGCAAAATCCAAAGAGAAAGGCTGCAAAACACGGGGTCGAAAACTTGGGGTGATTCCAGGAAATGACTCCTGCGATGGCTCTCCCGGGCCGCAGCCGAATGACGCCAGGCTAAGAGCGGCGGAAGCTGCCCAGGTATGAGCTCACGATGACATCTCCCAAAGGCTCACCGCATCGAACTTGTCTAACATATGCCAGGCGAGAGCCACAACCTCAAATAGGCGAGCTCCAGGTGCGCTGGGCAGGCTATTACAACAGCAAAGACGGCAGACTATAAGTGAGATAATGAGGCAGCAGGCGAGGGACGAGAGAAGGCGGAGAGAGTTTACAGCAGCCGGCGAGGAATGGTCTTAGACGGAAGCCGTTTGTTCAGAAATGCTGCTTGCTCGCCTACCATGCCAGCAATTGGTCCAGTTGCAGCCACTGTGTTATGAATGTATCATCGAAGCTGGCAAAGGCGTTGAACCACGGGTCATAGTGTACCAAGATCGGCCGACCCAATCAAGAAAAAATATATCCATGTCAGACAGGCAGTGTTGAGAACTAGCTTGAGCTGAACACCTGAACTATCATGGTTAAATGAAGACACCCCGAGGCGGCTGAATTAAGATGGACGTGCAGGGGCAAACCAGTGCCCTGCGACTCACCCGCACCAATGACAGAGGATTCCATCCTCATGACGTCTGGTGGGTCTCAGAGGCTGCCCCACGGCGGGGTTGTATCCCACGCGTCGACCTTCCTAGTGATCGCCTGGTTGCCAGGCAGGCCGCGCTGCTGGGACAGGCACTGGCACCCGTTGTGAGAACTCGCCCGGCTTTGCAGATCACCGATCGCTTAATGGCCTCCCAGCTTTGAAATCGAAAGCCCCTTACCTAATAATGTCTTTGCCAATGGTTCGGTCCGATAACCGCGGCGGAGCTATTGCGTTTGATGTTCTTCTTATCGTAATGTTCTGGTCCCGTAGTGTAGTCTGGCACTGGTGGGGGGTCGTCCACCAAGTCTCATAAATACCTGTTCTTCCGCTCACTCAACTCTAGCCCTCGTTGAACTTCTTCATCTCTCCCTCACTTTCACGATACCCAGACGTCAAAGCACTCACTGAATGTCAAGAATCATGGCTGCCGTCAAGAACACCACGTGAGTGCCCCTCCTCCTTCTTTCACTCCATGTTTTGCTAATACACCACCAGCAAGACCTACACCCTGAACACGGGTGCCCAGATCCCAGCTCTCGGCCTTGGGACGTGGCAATCCAAGCCAAATGAGGTGAAGAACGCTGTTGAGGCAGCCCTCAAGGCGGGCTACCGACACATCGACACGGCATTCGCCTATGGCAACGAGAAGGAAGTCGGTGACGGCATCAAGGCCTCGGGCGTGCCCCGCTCCGAGATCTGGCTTACGACGAAGCTGGACAACCCATGGCACAAGCGCGTCACAGAGGGTTTCAACAAGTCCCTCGAGAACCTGCAGACCGACTACCTGGACCTGTATCTGATGCACTGGCCCAGCTCCACAGACCCTGACGACCTGAAGAAGCACTACCCGGACTGGAACTTTGTTGACACGTGGAGGGAGTTGCAAAAGCTGCTGGATACGGGAAAGGTGAAGAACATCGGCGTATCCAACTTCGACATCACAAATATGGAGAAGCTGCTCAATGCCGAGAGCACAAAGATCACGCCCGCTGTCAACCAGATCGAGCTGCATCCTTGCAACCCCTCACCCAAGCTCATCGAGTACCTCAAGACCAAGAACATCCACCCCTCTGCCTATTCGCCACTCGGCAGCACCGACTCGCCTCTTGGCAAGAATGAGGCCCTCCTGTCTATCGCCAAGGCCAAGGGCAAGTCGCCGCAGCAGGTGCTGCTCGTTTGGGGTCTCCAGAAGGGCTTCTCCGTCCTGCCCAAGAGTGTCACTGAGTCGCGCATCAAGGCCAACAGGGAGCTGGACGGTTGGAGCTTGACTGATGAGGAGGTCGCCGCTTTGGACGGCATCCAAGACAGGTTCAAGGTCTGCGGTGACGCCTGGTTGCCAATTAGGGTATTCCACGGGGATGACGAGTAGATGTTGTTAGACGATATATCAGATAGAAAGGAATACATCTGCAAAGATCAGTGACGAAAGTTTACTGGAAAAGCATCACCCGTACACCCAGTAGCGTTGTCCGAATGTTCCTAAACGATGTAACCAACGGTTGTATTTCCAATATCATTCTAGGTGCTGCAAAATGCTTGCGAAACTCAAGTCTATCTCTTGCTCTGCCGTCCACCCAACAAGAGCCGGTGTCCATAACGTTCACAGACGATTCTGTCCATGTTTGGCGGAACCAATCTCACTAGAGAATCATGCAACACAAAATGCGTGCCTTTATGGTGGGCACGAAGTCCTTTCCTGCGCAACTGCTTTTGTGCCGCCCCTTCAGACGCCCGCAGAAGTATGCGCACACTGCTGGTTCCGGGAAAGGACCTGACAAGTCTTTGCAAGTTGAATTTGGCCGACTGTCCATGGCGTATAGTTGGTCGCCAGAACTGAGCACGAAACGCAGTCCTATACCGCCGTTGGGCTCACACCCAGCTGCTTGTCCGGGTCTTCATATTAAGAGCCACGGACATTCTATTGTGTTATGATGTCCACCTTCTGACTCTGCCACCACAACATCAACCTGAGTCAGATGCCGAAGGTTGGTAGATAGTCCTTCATTGAATTAGCGCAAAGAACCATCCCAAATCAAAGCACCGCAGGTGGCACTCACGGCGCCGTTGCATCACGGCTGATTCAGCTCTGGGGCTCAGTCGAAATCCTCTCGTCTATAGACCAAAGGGCTGCGCGCCCTTTGTGTAGCTGCTCAAAGCTTCTCTTTCACTGCCGACTGGACTTCTTCCCTCAAGACCCTCGCCACCTCTGCCCTGACACTGTCCGCGAGCTGCTCGCCGTCCTCGGCGTCAAGGTCGCTCCTCTGGCCGCGGCCAAACATGGTGAACTTCTCACTCCAGCGGCCCTGCGCCCTGATCTCGGGCCGCGGGATAATATGGTAGTGCATGTGTGGAACCACCTGCGCGGCGGCGGCGCCGTTGTTCTGCACGACGTTCCAGTCGTCCACGCCAGTGGCCCTGCTCAGGGCCGCGGAGAGAACGCGGAGGTAGTAGCCCAGCTCGCGGGCCTCGTGGGGCGTGGTGCCGGTGAGCTTCGGGGAGTGCCTGCGGGGGCATAGCAGCAGGTGGCCTCGGGATAGGGGCATAATGTCGAGAAACGCGATCACGTGTGGCGTCGAGAGCAGGACGTAGGTCTCGGGATTTGGGTCTGCCTTGGTGGTGGAGAGGATGGACGAGTCGGCTGCCGGGGGCGCGGTCGGGTCGTAGGGCTTGTAGAGAGCTGCTATGCGACAGAACGGGCAATTGGCAGCGCTGTCTTCGTCTACCGCTGGTGTCGATGCTGGATTCGAAGGCCCAGGTCTGTCGAAAGCTGTGTTTGGCACATGAGGCGCCATCGTGCCCGCCCTGAGCCCGGCTTGGACGTAGATCTTTGTGATTGGGATACAAGGGTCCGTCCGGACTTGACACAGCTAAAATATCAGGTAGTTATCATGAAGTAGCTTCACAGCTCGAGCTCCCAGAGCCAGGCCCAGGGAGTCTAGTAAATGTTCTGCCGGCTAGAGGCTGGTCAAGCAGACTCGCAGCGGCAGCACGTCATGAACCTTGCAGGTTCCTGGAATTAAGCCTCGGCTCGTGCCCACGCCCCTGTCGCAACGGTCAAAGGGGCGCTGCGGCAGGCAACTAGAATTCTGCCGGTGTCGATCCCGACCGCCAATTTTCTCAGTGTCTAGGCCTCAACTTTCACTGATAGCTTCTTCTCATCTTGGTGACATCCATACATCAGCCAATACCCCGCCACAAAACCTGCCGTCGCTCCCTCTTCCGTGTCATCAGCCGCGCCGTATCTCTTCTAGTCGATAGTGCTCTCCAAACCCATCCTGTACTCTTCGACATGTCTCGCGAAGGCTACACCGTCCCAACCGGCTCGCCAGGCGGCAGCTTCGGCGGCGCTGCCCTGGCCGCGAAACCAACCAGTGCTTTCAACCCGGATTTCCGCGAGGACAACATCCAAATGAAGTACCTTTGCGGCGACTGCGGCTCCTCGACCCACCTCAAGAAGGCCGACCCTATCCGGTGCAAGGACTGCGGATGTCGTGTGCTCTACAAGGAACGGACAAAGAGGTGAGTCAGGTCGGGTATGCCGAGGGGAGACAGGTTTGGCTGATACCGATGAAATCCAGAATGATCCAGTTCGAGGCCCGGTAGAGACAACTTTCAAATATCATTGGCAATGAAGCAGTGCCTGGCGTGAAATCTGCGGGCGGAACGGCGCGATGTACGGACGAGTCGTAGTCTGCGGCCTGGCGAGAAATGAGGGGCCATCGAGAGCCATTGGGACGGGCAAGGGTGGCCTGCGGAACATTGTGGTGTTGACTGTACAGAGCATGGGAACCAAAAAGACAGCCGCCGACACCGCTGAAACGGATGGAGCATTTGATCAACATCATGTGGAGTTGAGGAGTAAATGACTTGCGAATGAATTTCTAGACAATGTCTGATGGTATCAAGACCCTACACCGAACGCCACACAGATGCCGACTCTTGTCCCTGAGTAGACCGGCTCTGAACATGCAATTTTGATAACCATACTCGCCCGGAGGGTACGGGCACGAATACCGAAGAAACCATTGAACATGCCAACGGCTAGCCTTGTTTCTGCTGTTGGTGTAGAAACTTTGCAAAGCTGGCCTCCTGACTTAGTGTTTCTTCGCCGCCCTCCATTGCCGACTCATACCTCGCCTGCAAGCCCGCGCGGTCTGTCTCGTCGTCGTCGTAATCTTCCGAGTCCTGATCGCTGACAACATCGATATCGCCGTCCCCATCCTTCTTTTCGTCTGTAGCAAGACCAGCCATAGACATGCCCTTCATCATCTTGTCAAGCTCCTTCTCTCTTGTCGCCCGCTTCGCATCTTCCCTCTCCTTCCTCTTCTTCTCCAACTCCGGTTGGTAGTCCCTCTTGAACTCCTCAGCCTTCTCGGCTACCGCCTCGAAAAAGTCGTTGACACCGGCGCCTGTCATGCTGCTCACACCGACTACACTAAGGTGCGCATAGAATTCTTCCAGCATCAGACTCATGCTGTTCAGCAGACTTCCCATGTACCCGCTGCCCCCACCTTCGCCGCCTTCTGCCCCGCCGAATGCGTTGCTATTCTCATCATCTTGGAGCGCAGCCTGGAATGCCTCGAAATCCGTCATCCATTCCTTGGCGAAGCTGGCGTCTTTGACATCGGTCTTGTTGAAGACGAGGATCATGGGAAGCTTGGTCTTGTAGAGGATACTGCAGGCGTAGAGCATGTTGCTCATGAAGGTCGACGTCGAGCTTGTCCGCGGCGTGTCGATTATGTATGCTATGACGGTAGGGAAGCTCGAGGCCAGACTCTCGAGCAAGATCGTCCCCGATGCGGACCACACGAAGACTTCGATCTGACCTGGCGTATCGACCAGAATGTTGTGGATCGGCTTCCGATTCGGGTTGGCGGGATCGGGCTGTGTGCGTTTCTCGAGGAGGCCGAGGATCTGATCTACCTTTGTCGCAAAGAGGTTAAGGGACGTGAGAATGCCACCGTTTGGGCCCAGGTTGTACTGCTTCATCACCTCCTTGTAGTTGACGCTGTCTCGGATGTCGATGTTGCTGTCGAAAGGGACGTTCAGGACGGCTGGATCGAGGTTGATCACGTATGGCGGGTCCTTCTGTCCGTGGAGGTGGGCGTTGATGCGTTGCATGAAGGTCGTCTTGCCCGACCCGGCCATGCCGACGCATACAATAGCGACGGGCTGCTGCCCATTCTCAGCACCGGGCTGGCTGTTTGATGCCGTCGAAGCAGATGCCATTGTCTTTCGGCTGGCCTTGAAAGGGCAGTGATCCAAGCTTTGGCAAACGGGTGTTGCTTGTTGGGAAGGGAAAGCGAACTCACATGAAAAGTTTCCCCAGTGTCTGCGGGGCAGCATCGATGTCACTGTGGGGAGCCACGCTCCAGTTGCCTGCCGCTAACACATTAAGCCCTGCAGCCACTTCAATTCTGGAGCTACCCTGGAGAGGGTTTGGGGAGCATCACGTCACATAGCCTCAACGCTGGAAATATCTCTCTTCCCCGAGGTGCTTCTCTGAAGCTCTTGGCCATCCAGTCCACGTTGTTCAGAGCATCACTAGACCATCGGCCTTCCTCTAGTCCCGTTCTTCTCCTGCAATGGACGGACTTGACGATTTCGAGAAGCAGCTTGCTGCTGAGAAGGCCGAAAGAGAACGAGCAGAAGAGCGTGCGGAGAGACGGGAAAAGAAACATAGGCATCGCCACCATCATCGACGCTCGAGATCGCCAGACAGGCGTGACCGTGATCGAGACGACAGAGACGACAGGGAGAGGGCCAAAGACAGAGACGGCCATAGAAGCAGGCACCATCGCTCTCGGGAGCACGATTCAGATGATGGTCACCGACATAAGCGGTCTCGACACTCGAAACGAGACGACGACGGCGACTCTGGGAGGCACCGACACAGACACAGGGACAGAGAGCCGGCTGGAAATGAAGAGCCAGACTTTATTGCATCTACAGATGCTAAAGAGAAGCTTCCCATACCAGACGAAGAGCTACCCCGAGACGAAGCCACGCCTCTCGAGAGGGACTCCTGGATGACCGGCGCAATAGACATCGACTACATCCATCGCGGCAAGAAGGAGAAGACGCCGCCTCCGAAGCAGGTTCCGGAGCGTGTAATCCACCATAGAGAGTTGAACACAGGCCTGGGAGATGGCAGTAATGCTTCAGCGAATTCCCGGGACGAAACCACGAGCGAGGTGGACTATACATTCGGCGATGAGGGTTCTTCGTGGCGAATGACAAAACTGAACGCAGTCTACAGGGTAGCAGAACAGACTGGCCGTTTGGTGGACGAAGTGGGCGAGGAGCGTTTCGGAAACCTGAAGGAATTCGATGATGCGCGGGAGGAGAAGACTGAGATGGATAGACGCAAAGTCTATGGAGAGGGCTACAAGGGCGCAGAGAAGCCTACTGGGGGGTTGTATCGAGAGCGCATGGCCAGAACCCGTCCGCCACCGCAAGAAGAAGCCATTGGCCCAGACGACGAGCCAGAGCAAGGGATTGTCATGGAGGATGCCGTTCCTCCTGTCGACCAGACAACCCTCAACCGCATGCGCGCACAAGTAATGAAGGCAAAACTACGAAAGGCGCCGGACGCTGCAAAACTCGAAGAGGAGTACAATGCGGCCTTGGCTCGCTTCAACGGTACAGCTAGTGGGGACAAGGCCGTGGTACTGGACGCGACTCACAGTCGAATGCTCGCTGGAACCAGAAATGAAGTGAAGGCAATTGACAACAAGCGCGGACGAGAGCGTGGCACGGTTGAGGCGAACGAGGATATGAGCATCGATGATATGGTCCGCGAAGAGCGGCGCACCAGGGGCCAAGCAGGCGGCGAGGGCGTCCGACTTGCAGAGCGCATTGCCAAAGATGCTAAGTTCGACGACGACTTGGAGTATCTTGACGAAAACGCCGAAAAGCTCGCCAAGCGCGTGCACAAGTCTGAAATTAACCTCAAGAACATGGCAGTGAGCGAGTATCAGAAGATGAACAAAGTCCTTGAGACTTGCCCACTATGCCACCATGAAGACCGGCAGCCACCTCAGGATTTGCCTATTGCACCCATACTTGCACTTGGAACGCGCGTGTACCTGACGCTGGCCACCGAGCCAGAGCTGAAGGGCGCTGAAGGCGGGGCCGTCGTCGTGCCCATTAGCCACCGGACAAATCTTCTGGAATGCGATGATGATGAGTGGGAGGAGATGCGCAACTTCATGAAGAGCCTCACGAGGCTGTACCATGAGCAAGGCCGTGAGGTGCTCTTCTACGAGAACGCCGCCGCCCCTCATCGCCGACTACACGCCGCACTCGTTGCAGTTCCCATCCCGTGGGACCTTGGCGATACAGCGCCTGCTTTCTTCCGCGAGGCTGTGCTCTCAACGGAGGAGGAGTGGAGCCAGCACAAGAAGCTCATAGACACCGGCAAGAAGGCAAGGGAGGGGGCTGGCAAGCTCGCGTTCCGGAGGAGCATAGCCAAGGAGATGCCGTACTTCCACGTGTGGTTCACCATCGACGGCGGGTTGGGACACATTGTAGAAGACTCTTCGAGATGGCCCAAGGGTGATTTATTCGCCAGGGAAATCATTGGCGGTATGCTGGACTGTGAGCCGGATAACATCAAGAAGCAAGGGAGATGGAGTCGAGGTGATCCGCGAGCCGACGGCTTCAAGAAGAGATGGCGGAAGTTTGACTGGACCAGAGCTTTGACAGAGGGTCAGTAAGGAGGATCTCATGATACTGTCGTCTCGCTTGTTCGAGAAGCATGTGCCTGTTTCATCGATGTTGCCGTGCGGCGTGAAACATCGCACTGGCTGGCTTGATACATTTTAGGAGCCCTTTTTGCCAAGTAATTATATATGAGCGTAGGAAACCCGACAATCACGGGTTGAAAAGCCTTTAGCGCACCTCGCGATAGGAGAGCTAATTGATGGGTGTGCGGCGGGTCATGATCCTCCTCGTTGCCTAGAGAGACGCCGATGGAGTCCATCCGGCAGCTTGAACCCCATTGTAGCAACATATCAGGAATCAATGCAATATTGGGGCAAAAAAAAGTAGTCTATTATCACAACGGCCGTTGGAAGACGCAGGCATATGGAGGGGTCGGTAAGTACACAGGCGGCCCAGATAAGGCTTGCCTAGATAGTAGCACTGTAATCGTGCAAATTCATCATCGATTCTCACCAACTTGAGGCGTAGGGCCAGAAATCAAACAACGACACAGTTGACAACATCCAGGTGACGTCTTGCACGAAGAAGACAACTAGGCGAATAGATCGCTCAAATATTGTCTACAAAAACTCAATCAGCCTCGGTGATGTCCCTGGTCTTCCTCTCTCACTACACAGTACAAGAAAATGCCAGTGACTGTTGACTCGCGGCTTCTGCATCTTGTCGATCGGTGTGTCATGGGACAGCAAACTCATCACCGCCCTCGACAGCGTGGCTGGCTCACTTTGATACCTGACGGAACTGCTTCTTACGGCATGGAGGCATATCAGGGATCCAATCTAAGGCCCTGCCGTGGGGCATCGGATAAGATATGGGCCTTCAGTCACATAGAGTCCTGGAGATTTCCTGTTTGTGACTATGGCTTCTAAGTGGATCTTGCCGCGGATGCAACGAAACAGCGTCGCCTCTAGGACCTCGCCAAGCTAGCAGCCGGCAGCAATGGTAGCCGACGCGAGTCAGAGTCTTTTGTATAAACGTGGTAAAAGTCCCAGCCATTCCACGTGAAAAAGCGCTCAAAAACGATGCTGTAGAGATTCGTCTTTGGAAACATAGGGACAAAATGAAGGACGGCAAATTCGAACACGATGTCACCGGTTAGGAACCCACATCACATTGTGTATAGAGGCGGGCAGCTGACACAATCGATCACGAGCAGCGGCGTCTTCAAAGACCAAGGTGTTCGACCTGCTTTCCTTGAAGGGCCGGACAGCTATCGTCTCGGGTGCCGGCGCAGGTATCGGTTTGGGCGTTGCTCACGCATACGCCGAAGCGGGCGCGAATGTGATAATCTGGTACAATAGCAACGCAAAGGCGCTAGAGCGCGCAAAAGAAATCGAGGCCGAGTACGGCGTTAAATGTAAGTCATTGTGATTGCATATACGAATGAGCTTTCAAATGTTTGCCCCATAAATTCTCGGGCCTGGAGTAGCTGACGTTGCCACAGGTCGCGCATATCAAGTGAATGTCACGTCCGCCGAGGATGTCGAGGCAGCTGTGAATTCCCAGATCAAAGAGTTTAACAATCGCCTCGATGTCTTCGTGGCCAACGCAGGCATTCCATGGACACAGGGTCCCGCCATTGACGGAGAGCTCGAACACTATCACAAAGTCGTAGCCAATGATCTCGACAGCGTCTTCTATTGCGCGCGCACATGCGGCAAGATCTGGAAGAGACAAAAAGAGACGGGCCTCGACTTGGCGGGCAAGAAGCTGGAGGACTTCAATGGCGGCAGCTTCATTGCTACTGCGTCCATGTCTGGCCATATTGTAAACGTTCCCCAATTGCAAGCAGCGTATAATGCGGCCAAGGCTGGTGCCAGCCATATGTGTCAGTTATTCGGCCCCTCATCCCTGGATATCGAAGGGAACACATTGTCTAACGGAGGTTTGGGGTCTAGGCAAATCATTTGCTGTTGAATGGGTTGGCTTTGCCCGCGCCAATGCAGTCTCACCAGGTTACATTGCTACAGAGATCTCAACATTCGTGTCTGAAAACACTAAGAACGTTTGGAAAGACAAGATTCCCATGGGGTAAGTTGCTCAAAGTTATTTTTTGAGTTGTCAGCAAGAGACCAGCTAGTTGCTAACATGTTTCCTTGCTCTTAGCCGAGAGGGCCAGGTCCATGAGCTGAAAGGGGCCTACTTATTCCTCGCCTCGGATGCGGCTTCATACACAACGGGAACAGATATCATTGTGGATGGTGGTTACTGCTTGCCGTAAATAATCCTTGACAAGTATTATAGTAGACACTGCCGTCGCTTTAAGCCGGAAAAACAAAAGATCGCCTTCGGCTCCAACATGAACGCAGCAACACGCGGACAAATTGTTCATGCAAAATATTTTGTTGGACCACCCTAATTTCCGCACACAGACAGTAGACAGAAGAAAAGACCCAAGCCAAAGCTCCGGGTAAAGCTGTCGAACGGGAATATACTGTGAGCCACATTCGAGTCGCGATTGGCTCTTTCGAAGTTGAGGGGAACGTTTAATGTGGAGTGGAGTCCTAGGACGTCTTTCGACTGCACAGCTTCACTTTCAAATTCTAAGTCCTTACCCAGATACGCACGACACTGCAACCACTTCCTTGGCAAACTATCCGGTTCTACTATCCCGATGCGAGTTTATGCTTCTTTGAAGTTCAGGAAATGGTCAGGGGGTTTGACTCACTAATTTGGTGCTCCATTTTGTCTGGTAGCGAGCCTCTCACGCCTAGTTCAAACAGCTGAGAGGAATCAGACGATGTGATTTCTTCAACCTGCCACCTTAAAGCAACACGGCAGTGCAATCTGGCAAGTTTAGTATTCTAGGTGCACCTTTCTAATTTTGGAACAAATGATAACGGGGTTTGCTTCCTGCACGTTGAATGCCGCATATTATGCACTCTCACAGCTAATATGTCTAAGTTCACAATGAGGAACCAATCACACTACTTGCGTGTTCACGGACCATTAAAACACTTGACCAAGCCTCTTGGGTCAGGTGATAATCCGGGACTCAGGAAGGTTTTCCTGTCGATCTGGTGTTAGAATCGGCGACGCCAATACCATGCAGTGCTGTCAGAACTGAATTGGAGTGGCTCCCAACATGGGCTTAGACGGCCTAGATTTAGCTTTCTCCCGTCGGCTAGCTGCACATACTGTGAAACTAGCGATAGGGCTTTATTTGCCCCGTAAGGTGATTAGACTACGGCGTCTTCCGGCAGTAATGGGGTGACCATCAATTTAGATGTTTGACCAAACGCTTCTCCTCAAAGAACTTCGGATGACATCTGGGGGGTTTGCGACTGTCGCGCGCGCTGTGACTCTGTGGACATGAGTCGTGGATGGCAAAGCGACCTGTCAATGAAACCCCAGCAATCAGATGGATCGCGCAAGAGCGCACAACGGCAGATGCTTCCCCGGCAGTCCGGTAGAATCCAGATCTACGGGAGAGCCCGATTGGCTGCCCCAGATATATCATGAACCAGTCGTACGTGCATTTCAGCCGCATGATTGAGGCCTCAACGGTGGATACCTTGAGCTTGAGGTGTTCCTCTGGCTCGCGAATCCGATTGGCAACCGTCAAGCGAAACGAGAATAAGCTTCCAGCCCGCTGCTGCCGTGCGGGACAAGCTAGCCAGTCCTGGGAAGAGGAACGGGCTAGAACAGCTCGACGAGTTCGTCCACAGTAGTTCAGTAGGGCGAGGCAGAGCACTACTGTCTGTCAGGAGGTGTTTGGGTGTTCGTCCGATCCAGTGCACGAACGGTTCAAAGAGTTACACTGCCTCTATGAAAGCACAAAGCGTAGCTTACATCAAGTGCTGTCAGTAAGCTTTGCGAGCCACCCTGCGCATGATGCGAAGTACAGAAGATCGTAGAAGACCGTTCCATCCAACTTTGGCTAGATTTCGCCTCATCTTGGGAGAAGATTCCGAGAGTCAGCTTTGGCGATATCTGCTTCATCCCACCTCCACAGCCTGCAACACAGCCTACAACTACCTCTAGCACCGGCGAAATGGCGGAAGATAGACCGGAGAATAGTAGCGACAGCTGTATTCCTACCTCTGCACTGCCGAGGGATCACAGAACCAGATATCGTCGTTCGGCTGTGTAGAGTCCACGATGAAGTGTATAAAGAGGGCCATGTTTTCCTCCATATCTTCGTTTGAACAACATCATCGCATCAAGCCTCATCAACAGCATTACCCCAATAATACAGCCTCTTCAACACTCACTCCTATTTCCAAGATCTTTCTTTACCAAAACTTTCACCATGAAGTTCACCCTCTCCTTCGTTGCCCAGCTGGCTCTGTGTGCCTCTGCCTTGGCCGCTCCAGCTCCTCAAGCCAGCAGCGCTCCTACTCCTCCAAACGCCAACATTCCCGCCTCCACGACTGTTGATCTAACCGGCCAGAAGGTAATTCAGGCCTTTCAGAACGCTTTCCACTCTATCATGGTTGCTGATTATATTGTCGCTTAGGGCACGGATGGCAAATTCACCGTTGCGCCTGCTCCTGAGGACCAGACTTCCGAGGCCCTCCAGAAGCGAGTGGCACCTGTTGTGGTCGTAGCTGGTATCGCCGCTGTCAAGGGCGCGGCTATCCTCACTAAGATCGCTGTTGAGATCGGGGCCGATACTATTAAGGACCTCGGCAAATGGAACCAGGCCCGTGAGGAATTCTCCAAGAAGACCACGGCCGAGATGTGGGCTCGCAACCCGGACTACCAGAAGTACCCGGCTGCCGTTTGCTACAACAAGGGATACAAGCTGAAGGATCCTGCCGGTACGACTGGGTTGGTGTCAGCGAAACTGACCCTGGGGCAGCTGAACACTGAGTGAGTGATTTCATGGCCCAATCCCACAACTGACCTGCGCCCCCTTTCACTTTTTTTGGTATTGTGTCGGTAGAGACTAATGCGCTCTTCCCAGTTACGACTGCATGTATATGACTGCGAACAACCAGTTCTACACTCAGGGTGAGGGTGGCTTCATCAACGTAAGTGAAATTCCCCAACTGTATCGCGCCCGTGACAGCGAAAGCTAACCACGCCTACCTATAGCTGAGCTACACCTACAGCAGCCGCTGCACCTTTGACAAGGGTACCGGTGATCTGACCTGCGGTGCTTAGAGGCTCTTTGGGCCTGACTTCGGCCCCTCTGGAAGCACTGGAGACTAAAAAATGGATAGGAGGCAATTTGGTTGAGCGGGAAGTCGGACTTAGGCTGATTGCCTTTGTGGATAATAGGAGACTGGAGTAGTTGTATTAGGGCACGCGTTTGATTTATAGACTGCTATTAATCTTTAATGATATCCATTCGTTTAGACCTGAAGAGTTTTTTTCTTTCTACAAATGCATCAGCCACTTGACACAAAAATCGTGTTCGCATATCTGTTGCAGACCATTTACCGCTTTTCATAAAATCTAGAGCCTAGGTAGCCGTACTTACTTCCCACTCCTCCCTCCCAGTGGGCGCCTGTTGGCCTCGTTGACGGGTGTTTGCGTCCCGTGCCAAGGACGACATCTAGGTAGAGAAGAGGAAGGAGGAGGAGGAGGTCTACGAGAACTAGCGAACTTTGCCACCAGACCTGGTTGGCGAGGTTGTTGACGGACCGTACATGGTACGAGTACTGTGAGCCGATGGAGATGATCAGTGTCCCGGCGCTGGTCATGGCAGGACGGCGGTCTGAGTGATTCCCGCTGGAGGGCATGCTTGAGACGATGAGAAAGGCTAAGAAGAATAGGCCTGAACTGAGCACAGACTGTTTTATGAGGCGCCCGAGAAGTTTAACAAAGAGATTGGGGAATTTGTTGAACTGTGTATCCGTTGAGATGATTTAGTGGGGTGTGGACAGACCTCAAGAGTATGCACAAGTGGGAATAAAATGAACGAAAAGTTTGTGTACCTGGCCAAGGTCTTCAATTATGGTGTAAATGGAACTATATGCACGTGGTATGCTAAGAATGGAAGTCCGTAAAAACGCAAATGCTCCTGAGAATGGTGCCCCAACCGTGTTGATGTTCATTTCTATAATGTCGCATCCTCTATATGCAGTCGAGTTTACTATACCACTCAGGGAAACAATTCCTTAAGCTTCTTAGTAGATGGGAAGAAGCTGGACATCAGCGCAAGAAGCAAGCGTCCTCTGCCCAGCCTGCTTGAAGCTCAAGACTACAGCGCCATCTCTCGGGCAAGCCATCCACGCTCCGCCAAGGTACTGAAGTCCAGCAGAAGTGACTGAGACACCGGTGGTGCTGGCTGAGCACTGCAGCTCCACCACGTTGGAGCTGGGCACCGTCGCGGTGCCTCCAGGGGTGACAATCATGCCGGCGCCGGGCGAGGAGTCATCGGAGAAGTGGTTGACGCCGACTATCTCGCCGGTCGTATAGAAGGTGGCGCCCTCGCCGGCGGGTGCGAAGACGATATTGGCCTGGCAGTCGGCGTTGGACACGTAGGTAAGTTCCTGGCCCTGAAGGGAGGGGTTAAGATCCAGGCCGGTGACCGTGGCGGACAGACGGAAGGCATCAGGGATCGAGGTGCTCCTGACGGGGATGCTAGCGGCCGTGGCCGCGGCGGCGAGGATAGTTGCCTGGAGGAGGGTTTGCATGACCATATTGAAGGTGTTTTGTTGTTGAGAGTTGTCAAGTAGTAGGGATGGTAATGAGATGTTGACGAGATTGGTGTATTTGGGTGAGTTGATTCGATGAAGACAAAACAAATTCGTTCATCGGATCTTTCTTCATCTTATATACAACTTCTCATCTTGATCGGATCTGAATGCAACGTTTCTCAAGATTTTCAATATGTCAATGTGAAGTCACTCGAATTCTTTGAGGCTGTTCACCTCGGATCCTTCAAGCCATCTATTTTCGTGCATCCTCAGAGCGTTCCACAGCACTCGCGAGTCTCCTAAGCACTAACATCACCAAGCCTCAAAGATCAGCGGGACCTAAGCTCTCCCAGCCCTAGATGCGGAAATCTCAAGACAACTGGAAATCGATGGACACCCTACGGACTGGCGGCATGGCGCCGTTTGCTCCGAGATGGCGGGGTCACCGGCTGCGGAGAGTTTTCCTGGGGTCGGGTTGTGGGTGCCGACGCTCCGGACAGAAAATGTTTTGTCACTAGGTGCTTTTTTGGACTTTTTTTCTATCCTTATTCATCTGAAACCCCCGACGCCCGACGGGCTTCGTCGCAGCCGCTGCCAGGGGTCTTGCTGGTCAATACGGCTCGATCCTTTGTTCCTCATTCATGATCGTCATCACACGGCCGCGATGCCTCGTATTTTCAATCCAACAGGTGAGAAATTCGGCCCTACTTCACGTCGAGAGAAAGACTGACTGCATGTTACTGACATCGAGATAGCATGGTTCGGACTTCCAGCACGTGTTCATCCCATGAGCGAACGCTAACATTGAAAATTCAGCAACACCTGTCGAGTGCGAAAGGTCAAGTGTAATAAGCCCATGGACCCATAGCATTGGCGCCCCGTCTTACATGAGGCTAGGCGACGAAGCAGTTCCGATCTGTCAACGATGCTCCAAGGCAAAGCGATACTGCGACCGCAGCACATCTCTTCCACGATTTCACAATAAGAGCATGGAAGATGAGACCGAAGCTGAACGTGCGATTGAGTGAATTTTAAATGGTGAAATTATAGCTTACTAACTAATCAAGCTCAGAAGCCTTGGCCCCAGGAACGCTTCCGTCGCCGGAAAAGCCACGAAACGCCCTTTTGAATCCTTCAATCGCGCACTATTTTCACCACTACATCACTAATATTGCGCCTTGGTATGATCTCAGCGACAGTTCTTACTTATTTGGGACAAAGCTGCCCGAGATCGCGTTAGAAAGCTCACTGCCATTTGCCGCGATTCTGGCTCTTTCTGCAGTGCATATCAGCCAAACGACTGCGCCTTCAGCGAAGGTAGCAGCTGAGTTTTATCATGGACATTGCGTCCGTATCTTGATCGAAATGAAAGATGAAGAGGATGGCGAGGTGCATACGCAAGGCTTAGCACTTGCTTCTGTCTGTCTTCTTCGTTCATACGAGATTCTCAGTGGTACGCCTGGCTATGTGAGACGAGCGTGTTGCAGCTGACCTTTCGCAGAAGAGATCGATCCAAATAGGCACCTTCGAGGCGCCTACTCACTGGCAGCTTATCGAAGCCCCCTCATAGATTACCTAGGATCCGGTCTTAGGACTGCAGGGTTTTGGAACTATCTCCGTGAGGATATTACTTTCAGTTTGTTCCAGCGATGTCCTCTTAAAATCGATTTAGATCAAATGCCCTTGCCGAGCCAGCACGACACAGATCACAGCTATTTGAACACTTTATCGCTCATTCTCGGCCGCATCATCAATGCATGCTTTTCGGGCGCGATAACAGAGCAGGCATGGGTTGTTCTGTTTGATATGCTTCGCAGTTGGTCCGTAAATCTGCCAGCTCGTTTCAGACCATACTCACGAGAGGATCGAGGTCTGGGTCTTTCTCTTCCGTCCATAAGAATGCTCAGAAAATGCCATGGTAGGTTGAAGTTTTACCAAAGATGATGACTGGGAGCTGAAGTGGTGTTAGCATCTGCGCTTCATTACCAGCTCGTCTGCATGGCCATACTTTGCACCGAAGCAACGCCAGAGAACATTGAGCTGCTGAAAAGTATACAGAATAACACACAGGAGATTGGGGATACGAGAGCAGAAATCTTAGAAAAATGTGGACTTGACCTTTGCGGCATCGCTTTCACAGCAAACATGCCTCCCGTCTTGGTCAATTCATTTGGCCCAATTGCATTCTGTAAGCAAGTCGTTCTCTCGCTAGAAATGAGAAACCAACATGGGCACCAGGTGCAAGGTTCATCCGTGACGAAGCCTCGCAGCAAGAGGTCATCCGTCGTCTCATGGCGTGCAAGCGATCCACCGGGTGGCCGGTCCAACGACTCATCTCAGACCTGCAAGTTACGTGGAGTGGACCGTCTTCAGCAGCTTTCCAAGAAAACAACCAATCACAATCAAGTTAATTCCATTTGCAACGATCTGGGCAAGCCTTTAGGGACCAGATGGACAGGCTCAGAGGAGAAACATATCCCGAGCTCGGATTTGGAGGGTTAGTGGGGTGAGCAAACCCGAGCTCGGGATTGGGACAACTTCGCGGAACCTCCCACAGATTCTTAAGTACATAAATGCATGCAGAAAAGATGGGTTCTCATCACGTCTGATCAGTAGACTTTCTTACGTAGACACCATGAGAACAATCGCACAAACCTCAAATTTGTTGTTCCGCCAGCAAGCAGCTTTCTCTCTGAGCTGCGCCCACAGAGGTCTGGCATCACTTACACGCCAACCGCAACCAGCCCGTCCGTTCATCGTCCGCCCCTCAGATGTCGAGGTGCGCAACAAATTGCTTGGGCCGCGCAATCTTGAGCTCGCTGTCCGACATTTGCATGCCGATGGGCTTGTAGTCATCGAAGATGTCGTACCCCACAAGGACCTGGATGCCCTCAACGAGAAGATGACCAAAGATGCGCGATACTTGCAATCCCTTGGCGACAAGGGGCCTTTCAATTACAACCAAGGAAACTTACAACAAGACCCTCCGCCTGTAGCTGAGTACTTTTACAAATCCATCTTCACAAGTCAGCCCCATTTTTACCTCATGATCATGGAAGCACTAGTGTTGATGAAGGCAACAGACCCTATCGCAACCCAAATCACATCAACAGTCCTCGGGCCCCGTCCAAAATGGACCTTCTGCTCCGCCAACTCGGCCATGCCACCCCTCCCCGGCGCCTCACCCCAGCGGCAGCCTGTACACTCGGACGCCGATTTTGATCACCCCTCACATCCATTCGCGTTAGTTATCAATATCCCTCTCGTGACTATGACGCCTGAAAACGGATCCACGGAGCTCTGGCTCGGCACGCATACCGCCGACGTTTCGGCTCAAGAGGGCAAGCACGGCGAGCGGGCAAGCACGGCGAGCGGGCGAGCGGACGGATCAAAGAAAGTCTTCTGGCTGATAGACGGGGTGTAAGAGGTCCATCACAACCTGATGTCAGGAAGGGAAGCATCGTTTTGAGGGATCTAAGACTCTGGCATGCTGGAATGCCTAATATGAGCGAGGAGGTGAGGGTCATGCTTGCTATGATCCACTTTGCGCCGTGGTATCGTAATCCGATGAGACTGCAGCTCGGGGAGGATGTGAATGGTTTACTGGCTGGGCTAGAGTCGCAGTTGGAGATTCCGGTGGATTGGGTGAAGAATGAAAAGGTTTTGGGGTCTTACTTGCAAAGGGAATTTGGCAACAGCTACGACTTTGGTCAGGAGAAGTGAGGCCGGCCAACATAAAAGTATCCTGCAGTCATCGTTGCGTGGTGTCCGAAAACGGATGACCAGGCAGGCCCTCGGCATTCGATCTCAAGCGAGTGAAATTTTTTGAGAGCAAACAGAACATAGGGATTTATTTTCTGGTCGACCCGCGGACGGTACCATATCTGATTGCCTGTCTATATGCCTTGCAGATTCTCAACTACTCAGTGCCGCTTCATGCAAAAATTATTTGGTAAATTGTCGCCAGTATATTTCTAAGTGATTACTGATCGAGTCGGAATGAAGATCTAGTAGAATTACAAGACATGCCTGGCTCTGCCCGACGCAACCCATGGGCCTTATCTAGGCCATGTTCAATCCTCGCGCACGTACTGCAGACGACCCGCAATGCTACCGACAGACCTCTTCTTGGTGCATCCCGCGGCTGTGCCATTTGGTGCAGCGGCGGTCGCGTTGGCCCCAGCTTGAGAAGAGAGGGTGATGGTGCTGGCAGAGCTGTCCTCCTGGAAGATACCACCGAAGATGATTCCCTCGTTGATCCCGGAGGGCTGGAAGGCATCCTTAGTAATATCAGCACCACCGTTGACGCCCTTCTTCAGAACGCCAAAGTGGTACTGGCCCTGGCCGCTGATGTCATTGGTGAGTGGCTCAGTGACCTGAGCGAGAGGATCGTTTCCAGTAGAGTAGAAGACCTGGGTCGTGCTAAGGGAGATAAGTCAGCCAATGTGGAACTCCCCAAGTGGCATGCTAACTTACTTTGCGTTGAAGTCGAGGGTCAGACCAAAGTTGTGGAAGACGCCCTCGGTGAAAGCAGTGTTGAAGAGGATCTGGCTCTGCTTGACATTACCAAACAGGATCAGGCTGTCCGGGTCAACACCTCCTTGGGTCGCTGTGTCCAGGAGGGTGCCGGTCTTGAGAACGAATTGGTTGGTGCTGAAATCGTTGCTCTCCACGAATGCAAGCTGATATTCGTGCGAGAGGTTCAGCGGACGTGCAGTGTCCTTCATCAAGCTGAAGTGAAGGCTCTTCACGCCGGAGGTGGACGGATCGGTACCATTGTTGCTGGCAGGAAGAAGCTCGGCACGGCGGAAGCCCAATTGAACATTGGTTGCACTGGGAGCGAAAATGGATTGGTCGCTAATGGTGACCTCGAGAGGAACAGTGCCAGCATCAAAGAGAGATGGGGGGACGTCGGGCAGCTGCAAGAGCTGGCTGAAGGTCAAGTTCTTGCCGAAGACATTGCTTGGGTTGAATAGACCATTCTCTGAATCAAATGCAGAGAGCTGAGTGCCAGCAGGGACACGCCCATCAAACTGGATAGCAGACTGCGAAGCCGCCAGCGACGCGAGTGAGAACAAGGAGGTTTGAGTGAGAAGTCGTTGAGAGAACATCTTGAAGTTATTTCTAGCGAACGAAAGGAACGTGGGGCCTAGTACTAGCAAGGCAACGAATGAATGGTGGTTTAGAATACAAAGTAGCGCCGTCAAAGAACGATATGAGACGATCACACATCTTGTCGCGGGTGACAGGCGAGTGGGCTTGTTATAGGAAGGGATGTCGGGCGCGCGCGTTCAACGGGTTGCTAGATGTCCCGAATAACCTTATTGCAGCCATGTTTGAAGTTGACGCTGCCCCTTGATGCGGCTCTGGGCAAGAGAAAGTAACCCGGATCTGCCCCAAGGAATACTCGACAGGACTTCCTGGTTGACTTCGGTAGGTGTGCCGACGGGATTTGCGCAGCGATGTCCTCGGCCACCGCAGTTGCTAGGAGGGAGACATTGTTCTCTCAGAGTAGAATGGCTTATTTCATGCACGAATCATGTCTTCGCCTGATGTGCCCTGATCGACGTCCGAGCATGGTAGCCCATGTGCACAACATGAACATTCTAGTGTCTCAGGAGTCCGAATCTGGTATCGCGGACGAGTCAATTACTGCACTCTTCACCCAGCCTCTCCGAAGCCCCTAAGCCCGTGTCTAACTTGTCTTGTGGAGTCTTCGCAATTGCTATTAGATAGGAGTTAGCTGTAAACCAGATCGCACTGATCAAGCCTTGAAAGTTATGTGCAATGCGACCCAGACACTCCAATTTATAGGTCACGATGAGAGTCTCAATCAAAAGGCGACTGGCGTGTCATCCGGGTTCGTTGGAAATGTTTCATGATTGATTTTCAGGCAAACCCTCGCTATGGGGCACATCTAGCAACGTAGAAATGAAGGTGGGTACGAAGGTTCAGAGCCAAGACGGCCTGCCAATTTTGCAGCACACGGCCCATCGATAGTTTCTCATGATGCATTTCTTCAGGTCTCGCCTTAATGGCACACACATTGGCGGCAAGTACTTTAGATTGGCTTCGATCACGGGGGCTATTACCGAAGTTCAGGGCAGAACCATTTGTTTATTGTCTGATTTTTTGGATAAGCTTTGGCAACTTTAACATGCTCACCGAAGTGACCTCAGAAGGCATAAGCTTTACAATCTGCATTCGACTTGGGCCACTAAAGAATGCATCTGGCCACTGAAGATGATTCAACACTTGCTCTATAACTCACCTGTGATATGAGTGGCTAATACGTTGTCCTGCTCCGATGTATTTGGACGCCACTCAAGCGTATCCAGGACAATAGTGGGATATTGTAAGTGAGAACATAAGCCGACGCAGGTGCGCGCCTGGCCGGCACATATCTACTGACACGGGCAAGGCACACATGGGGCGCCGCCGCCTACTCGTGTGTGGACTCCGTTCTCCTCGAGTTCTGGCCTTTACATCTGAATCTGAAGAGTGCGCCGGGCTCACGACAGGTAACCAGGGAGATTATTAGCGCGCCAAGAGTGTGGTGGTAGACTCAGGCTGGCGTGGGATCACCACACCTTTCTGGCTTGCCCAGTTGAGCGGCAAGAGCAAAGTCCAACCGAGCCAAGACTACTTGATGTACCGTGACCAGGAGACGGACTGTTCGGCTTTTCTCGAATATCCGACTAAATTGCGGTTTCGGCGACCGAGTCGCTGAAGATGCCCTCGGTGAAAGGTACCCCTTACGGAGGTGGCCCTGTGCGGTTACCTGTCGTAATCGTGGGCACTACTGAGTCGTAAATGGATCCTGTAATCTCTTCCATTTTTCACTCATGAATACCAAGGCTCGTTGTTTTTACGAACTCATCATTGGTCAGCGTACTGTGAATTAGTTGCTGCATTGCTCTCGTTGCCTTGCCAAGGTTCCAGTGCTGTGCGTCCCAGGATTGCTTGTAGGTTTGCAGCTACCATCGACGTCCGCGGCGAATGCATTCAAACCCAAGCCATGCTCCAGCAATATCGGGAATGTTTATTTGTGTCTATTTCGTGGATCAATCTTCACCGAATACCATTACTGCATTGATCCATCTCCGGACTTCTTTCCGCGACTTGGTCGAGCTCCAAGTATTCAAGTATCTACATCTCATTAGCGAAGGCGTGACAAAAATCAGATGTTTACTCATATTTCGTAACAGCATGATCTATTTTTCTTACTTTGGTTCATGCCTGCCTGCGAATACGAACTACGTGCACGTAGCAGAAGACCATATGCGCTCATCATCAAACAGAGCCTGAGTTCAGTGCTCACAAAAGTTATACTCCTCTGTAGCCCTCTCAACGTCCTCCATAGCCCTCGTCCGTTCCGCCATCAGCTCCAACCTCAATCTCTTCGCCTCTTCGAGCGACATCCAATCGTCGTCCGCCTCGCTTCCCATAGTCTCGCTATCTGAATCATCAGAATCAGGCGCTGACTCGGTCTCGGCTGCGGCCCGCCATGATTCCTGCTGCGGCGGCACGTTGCGTGTCGAGCAAATGCGATAATGCGGATCCACCAGCCAGAGAACCAAATACCGTCGATGGCCTGGTCGCGTCTGATCGATCAGCTCGAATGGCTCCACCTTGTGCTGCAGCGTGTTGGGAAAGACTAGGAGCCGGCCTTCGGGAGTGGTGACAGAACCCAGGTTCTGTATAGCCGGTTCTTGTCTGAGTTTGCCAGACGAAATGCCAAAGATTTCAGCTATTGGGGCATGGTCGTCTAGAAAGAAAATGGCGTTAGACACCCTGTGAGAGTGAAATATTGCTAGTTCTGACTCTCGTCACTCACCCTGCTCATAATGGAAATCCATAGAATCCAAATCGGCTGCAGTGCGGAATGAAATCTTCGACTCAGTCAAATTATCAACATCGTAATAGTAGATAGCCGTAGCCGCAATGTGTTCGTTCAACAAGCCTTCAATGTGCCAGTTCCCACCATCGTACCTCGGCTTCTCAGGTGTTAGCTCTATACTAGCGAGCTTGACGATGACCTGGAGCCCTTCGTCGCGGAAGCTATCCTGGATCCGAAGCGGATAGTAAACATGGTCTGGTCTCGATGATCCATAAAATCCGTTCCTCTGGATGATGGCATCGCTAGTGAGCCCAACTTTCCATTGCTCAAAGGAGAACGACACTCCCGGCTCAGGATGGACGACCTTTCGAATTTTCTGTTTGTAGAATTCGTCAACAACGCCCGAAAGTCCGTAATCCTCAATACTGAATTCAGGCTCCTCATCGGATTCTTCCGTAAGATCTTCTTCATCCGCGGAGTCATCAGCGGTTTCGGGCTGACCAATGTATTTCAAAACCATTTTTCGAGCTTCCTCATAGGCCGTTGGGTCCGATTCCTGGTTCCTTTGGATTTCAAAAAGATCCTCGTGCCATTCGGGAAGATCTGGCGTGAACTGCGCACCGTAAGTCAGTATCCGTGGTGGGGTCCGTCCACGGTATGCAGCAACAAGGACTTCATTCCACGGTGCAACTAGAATCCGGTCAGCATATTGCTGAGAGCTCTAAAGGATGGGCAAACATCAATAGTGGTTGCGAAGAAACTTCTTTGAGTTTCCAGGAGATCTGATCTCCAAGATTCTAGACAAGTAAAGACTGTTCTTTGGAAATTACTCACTTGATAGCGAAATGATTTTCTCAATGGCCGTGTATGCTGCATGATGTGAGGGATGAAGGTTGTTGATGTAAGATGAGATCTGAACGTCGGTGCCAGCGTCTTCAGTAAATTCAACTTCGCAAGGAAGCCATTGAAATTTCTGGGACCATGTGTCCCGCTGGACATTCATCCCAAGGCCGGGTCTGAAGCGTTGCCTCGAGACTGGGATCGGAGGAGCAGTTTCTGCACCGTCAAATGCTCCAGCATCGGCGAAGTCGAGAGGCACCTTGCCTCCCTTCATCAGAACCTTTGTTTTCCCATAGACCAACGGGAACAGAGATGGATGCACAAGATTAAGCACCTTATCGTCCGAGCCAGGGTGCCAGTCCTTTTCGGCATTGGGTCGATTTAACAGTGGACTGACAGCATCCCTCAAGTCTTGAATCAGTGATCTCGGAACTCGCCGGTCAGACTTGGAGATTCTTGATGCCGCATCGAGAACCTGAACCCGACCAGTCTTCTCGAATCTCGTTGCCTTGTCCCGCAGCTCGGCCATGCACCAATCCCATGCCTTATCGCTGATGAGAGGGACAGCACGAGCCTCCTCCTTCCATCTCCCTACTATCTCCTCGTCGAATACTTTCAGATGCCAGTCTGCTTTATCTGTTAAAGCATTCATTACCCCTAGCATAGCCACCTCCCTGGCTGTCAACCGGGGCGCCTGTTGAAAATCGTTAGCTCCATGGCGAAACCTTTTGAGGTCGTCCAGCTCGAATCGATAGTCGTAGACAAAACCGGGGACTCTGAGTTGCCCGTCCCCTGTATTGTCAAAGTTTTCTTCAAGGCCAAGCTCCAACGCCGCCATATTGGTAAAGTGATGGCTTTGCGTGGCCAAATGATACGGAGCAGTTAGAGCGAAGTGTTTGGGAGGCGAGTGTTGCGTGAGGTATTGAAATATAGCTGAGACAAAGCCCGCGGGGCGACAGGCGGTCTAGGTCCGCGAGAGTATATCTTTTATGCTTTGCAAAGACGCGAGGTGAAGTCCGACGGAGGTTGAAAAAGGTGATGGCGCAAGGCTTCCATGCGCGAGGATGGAAGCGCCCATTGGTCCCAAGGAGGGGCTCTTTAGGCAGCGGAGGGTTCCACTGCATTCACTTGTCCCAAAGCGGAAATGAGGAGGAACGAACTGAAATAGTGGAGAAGGAAGTGATGCTTCTTTTGATGTTCTTTTTTATGCCTTTTTTAGGCTAGATATGTTCGTCTTATCTGTACTCCGGAGACTCGGTGCATTGATGCTTGGTGCTTGAGTAGCCTGGCAGATGCCGACGATGGGAACTCAAGTCCCACGTCGAACCGTTTAGAAGAGCCATTCTCCTGACCTAATGTAGGTGTGCATCAAACTACGTTGCACGGCCCACGAGGCTGAAATCCCCCGGTCTACCCTCCGGGATTTCAGTAGAGGTCTTGCGAGCCATACCCAGACAGCTCGACTAGTACCCACCCACCGGGAGTAGTTCTTGAGCTTCAAGAACTGGGGCGGCTTGATCGAGCTATTTTTTTCTTGAAGACTTTTATGTGCACCTTTGCCTGACAGTCTTTAATCGGACTGTACGATACGAAAGAGTCCAGATCACAGTTGACAAGAGATTTGGCAGAGGTTAAATGAGCAGCCCAAGACAACTCTGCTACAGGTCAAGCCGTTGATTTTACCACGACTGAATACTCGGTCCCCCTAGTCTGCGCTGTTCTGTGTTAGGAAAGTATATCTTCAATGTAGTAATAGTGAACATGGTATAATGCTGGTTTTCTTGAGGTCAGTTCCTAGGTATGTCAGGTCTGAATTGAATGATTGAAATCTGTTGTTAATATGCACACTTCCCCCGACTGAGGACCAAGGTCAGCCAGCCAAGTTCAACGTCGCCCCCTAGCTCTGAGTTTCATCACCTGACTGTCGCAAATCATCATGTGCTAATCAAACAGATTTAATACGAGGTACAGACAGAAAAGACGATCGCGAAGAAGAGTCAGAAGCGTCCAGCGGATGAGTATATACAAGAACGGACCGACCAGTGTTGCCGGCAGTAGAGCGATAGGCTGTGCATCACGAGGACCGGGGTTGGATTGGGGACTACTACGTAATCATCCCCGAAAGTCGATATACGTTCATTGAATATAAATGTGCCACTCGCAGAAAATCATCGCTGGCTTAAGACAGGTACGAGGTGATGGAGTGCTACGCAGATACAGGAGGAAGGGAAAATGAGAATGGTGGATGGGGGCAAAGATAGGGTTGAGCTTTCGCCTCGCTACCTATACCATGATGTGCTGGATATAGCCATTGAAACAAATGCAGGTCGATACGATGGCCACATCTCACGTGTGCGGCCTGAAAGTTGGCCTTGAGAGTTGGACGGCCCCATATGCACGGTCAGATCTTGAGGCTGTGGGGTCCATGAAGCTATGAAGCTGTCAAGCTTGAATCTAGGTGGCTAGCTCCAATCTTGCATCTGATGCAAGACGGACTGTTTCTGGGGTTGCAGCGCCTAAGGCGGGTTCCCTGATTTTGGCATAGATTTGCTTGGCTCGAGGCCGCGCTTAACAGACTACCGACATGATGCAGGTGCTTGAGTGTTAGCACCTCCCCTGCCGAGCCCACGTCATTCCACCAGGCCAAAAACGAGGCCCTTTGGGAAGAAGCTTGCGCCCTCGCGACCTCCTCCCACTGTCAAAAAAAGAAAGGGCTGCCAGACCAGAAAGGACGGGCTCAGGAAGAAGGCTTTTCAAGACTCAATTGGCCTTTGGGGACCTGCCATCAGGCTCTACTTCGTTGTCCACCTCGCCGTCACCAGGTTCTGCATCTCATTGCCCTTATCACCCACTACCGTGACGCGGCCGATCTCCCCTCATATTGATTGAGCTCGCGGCAGCTTCACGCGACCACATTCTTGCTCGCCGACCAGCCTAAAGCTCAGGAGACTCTGTTGTCTTCTCCAACCTGCACCATGGCACCTAGAGGGTGGTTCAACTGGCGCTACTTCCTCGGCTTTGACAACCCGCGCTCCCACAATCACTGGTGGCACGAGTCTCATCAGCGCCTCCTCCCCAGCTACGTGGACGAGGCCTTGCAATCTGCCATCCCCGCGCATGAAGTCACCAAGATCGCCCTGCGGCTACGCCACCTTGTCGAGGAGGCCGTGCCCGTCGAGCTGGACGAGGAGCAGATCACCCGTCCCCACTCAAAAGTCATCACCAAGAAGGTCATCCAGGCCGCCAAAGAAGCTGGCGGCTCGCAGAACAAAGCATGCGTCGTCTACTGCCTGCTCGTCTGCAAGCGCTGGTTCAAGCAGCAGTCGTTGATGGAGCTCTGGGACTGCGATCTGCATGGCCTGAGGGCCACCGCCTGTGAGGTGATCTCTAAGCAAATCATCGAGACCGAAGAGGACCAGGAGTACCTGCTACACTCGGTGCTGCTGAAGCGGTACTCGATCGTCATCGACGGCGAAGCCACGCCGCCGAGCAACGTCATCGAGAAGGCTGTCGACCTGCACGCTCTGCGCGTCATTGGGTCCTCCGGGTACCAGAAGTGCGTGAGCTACCTCTGGAAGGGTTGGCTGGTGCAGGATGAGAATGATCCGGCCAGCTTCGTCGACTTCAAGGACAAGGACGATGTCAGGTTTATCACCCACCTCGATCCGGATCGCATGCGCGCCCCGATGTATCAGAATGCTGCCCAACTCCTCATCTCGCTCATCTACCTTGGTCTGTATACCGGCGCTATCAATTCGATCAACAGGGACGCCGACGTTGATTTCGTCGAGATCCTGCTTTACATCTTCACTCTGGGCTTCGTGTTTGATGAATTCACCAAGTTCTGGAAAGCCGGTTACCACATTTGGGGTTTCTGGACAGCCTTCAACGCCGTTCTCTACGCCCTGCTTACGACAAGTCTCGTTATCCGCTTTACTGCTCTCAGCCACGACTTGGCCCCGCCGGGTGCTGCACCTGGCCCGCGCGAAAAGCTGAACGTGCTATCCTACAACTTCCTCGCCTGCTGCGCGCCGATGTTCTGGATGCGCCTACTGCTGTACCTTGACAGCTTCCGCTTCTTCGGAGCAATGCTAGTCGTCCTCAAGGTCATGATGAAGGAATCTATTATCTTCTTCGCACTCTTGGGCGTCATCGTCATTGGCTTCCTGCAAGCCTTCATCGGATTGGACAAAGCCGATGATAATGTCACTGACTTGAAGTTCATCTCGCAAGCAATGGCCAACGCGCTGATGCAGTCGCCCGAATTTGACGGTTTCGACAGGTTCGGGGCCCCATTCGGACTAATTCTATACTACCTGTTCACATTCGTCGTCATGGTTGTCCTCCTCAACATTTTGATTGCTTTGTACAACTCTGCGTACGAGGACATCTATACCAACGCAAACGACGAGTATCTCGCCCTGTTTGCACAGAAGACTATGCAATTTGTGCGCGCGCCGGACGAGAATGTGTTCATCGCCCCATTCAACCTAATTGAGGTGTTTTTCCTGGCCCTCCCACTCGAGTGGTGGATGCCCAAGAAGCAGTACGAGCGCATCAATGATATAGTGATGGGGGTCATATACTTCCCACTTTTACTCGTGGCGGCGTACTTCGAGACCAAGAATGCAACGGAGATTCGTGCGAACCGCGCCCGCGGCGAAGACGACGACGACACGATCGAAGAGTGGGAGCAGATGGCGGACGAGGTCGACTTTGAGAGCGATGGTTGGAACAAGACGGTCAACCAGGCCAGGACGAATCTCGAGGTCGACGCCACGGTCGCCGAGGTACAGAAGCTGAGGTCCGAGGTGGAGAAGCTGCAGGACCTGGTCCTCCAGCTGACGAAGACCATGGGCAAGGGTGCAGGCGGGTATGGCGGCGAAAATGGGGAGAAGTCAACTTCTCACCTGAGTAGGACCAGCACGGTAAGTGACATCTTGGAGTCTTCGAATTGGCACGTGAGAGATGAATGAGCAACTGCTAAACTCCATCTGCAGGCTGTTGCGGATAGTCAGCCCACGGAAACGGGCGATGGCGGCGGACACCTCGAGACTGATCCCATGGAGTAACGTAGCAGGGCATTGGTTTACGTTGTTCAGAGCAACGCTTCTGTGGAACTCGGAATGCAGAGGAATGGATCTCCCACATAGCCACACTTTGGCGAATCAGTGGAAATGGTGTGGCAGGTTGATAAATGAATGTACTGGCATTGATTGCTCACTTGGTTGGCTCGGCAGGAGTTTGGGTTTTCCGCTGTTTCTGGCTGGCTGGGCTTCACCTGCGCAGGCGTCTTTAGCGAAGTGACTTTGGCTACCTCTGTTCTTGGGATATGACCTAATGGAAAATGCAACAAGGAGTAAAGCAGTAATCGCTATTCAATCACATGAGACTGAGCGCGTGCACAGCGACTTCCTCGCTCCACCGACCGTGATCTGGGTAGCCCTGAGAAAGGCCGAGAATGGTCGCAGGGTCCAGTGCTGGCATCTTCATGGTAGGATGTCGAGGTTGCCTGGCACGTGTGCGGTGGCTAGGCCAGTCACTCAGGTGGCTTGTAAGCTCACCGTACGGGAACGGTGAAGCCCCGGAGAGATGACAGGTCCAGCACCCATAGCTACCGCTGTGGTTTTTCGCAAATGAAATCCTCTGCAGGAATTACCGGCTTGAGAATAGAAAGCCCAACTCCCTCACCGTACCAATTCCCAAGCCCGCTGGGCTCACCGGGTCCTGATGAGAGAAGGTATTTATGAAGGAGATGGGAGAATGAGGACAATGATTGAAGACCAGGATATCTTCTCTGGTCAACCAACCTTCAAACTCAAGTGTTCGTACCACTGCTTCATCCAGTATTCTATATATATTCATCTCAAAATAATAGGTCTGCCGTGAATATGACTGGCAGCAAGAAGTCTTCCAAGCGCAACAATGCCCCAGTCTCGAGGCTGCAGGCTGGCGGGCAGTCGCAGTACACCGGCTCAACAGGCAGCGAGACCAACGGCCAGGCCAGTGCCCACAGCGGTACTGGCCCTGTCGTCTCTTACACTCAACTCGTTAGCTTCAACGGTATGTGATCTAAACTCAACTTTCTGGTCCTAGTATCGCTGTATGTGCTAATCTGAGCTACACCTTGTAGGGAATATGGGTATCGATTATGGGCAGCAGCGTGAGAATGGAGAAAACTGGGATGCATGGTCCATGGAGGTGCAGACTGGAGCGAGCGATGCAGGGAATGGGACTGCCTGAAGGCAGCAACTCCGCACGGAGCACACATTAGATTTGTGTGACCGCGGATGATGATACGAAGAGAAACACTCATTTGGCCATAATTTTCATTTGTTTAAAGCATTCAGATGAACCCAGCTTGAATATACATCACACTCACTGAACACTGCTACTCTCCGGTGGCTCCTTTGCAAGGTTTCATGAAAGTGAGCATCGATCTTGACCTCTGCCTGGACTAGACACGGAGAAGCACCACAGGCACATGTGTGTTTTTGACAGTGCCATCATCTGACTACACTGTTTCCACACTGTACCGTCGGAGGTTGTCACGTGTACGGTGAGTTCGACATCAAATCAGCACACTGCAGGACACGGTGATCTGGTTAGCCCAATCACGGCGCAGCCTGGTCATCCCGAGCTGCAGGCGTTGCCTTATTGACGCCTGCTGGCATCGATCAGGCTCTCTGCCATGGAACCTCCACAAGTATTTAAGCCCCATCATGAGCAGAGCCTTAATGAGGTGGAAGATCTCCTCCCGAGTCTGCTCAGCCTCCATCGTGTCGCTGTCCCAGATTTCTGGCTTCTACTTGCCGTCACGAGCCTCGTGTTGCTTCGTTCAGACATCCAACATCCAGCGCATCTGGAGTAACTACCACAGCAACTCACATACCATGTCGAACCCCAGCAACTCCGACGTTAGGACCCAAAAGTCATTGCTCCAGGTCCTGAATGATTGTGACAAGTCAGCAGCCCTCACGCCGTTTGTCTGCCGCAGCCAGCAGGGCTACGCCAGCACATGATGCTGTGATCGTGCTGACCCCATCGTTTACTTGATAGCTTTCCCATCCCACAAGCGGATCTCAAGAAGTACACAGATACCATCAACAGCTACTATCATTTTATCATACCCTCGGTCGGGGTCACGTTGGGCTACGTGGTTCCGTCGGTGGCCGCAGCCTTTCGTGACCAACCTGGTTGGGTTCTGGATGAGGATGCCGCCCCAAGAACCTTGGCTCTGGTTGGTGGTGACGACAAAGAATCGAGATCAGCGCTGGTTGAGGAGACTCTCTTAAGACTTCGATCCGAGGGTAAATTCGTCATCCTGTCCCGTTGGCGCAATGAGGTGAAACCTGTCTACGGCCCCCGTGGTCAGATGCTGTTCGCTATCGAGCGAGCCGCTGCACCGCTGCTGGGAGTGTTGACATACGGTATCCAAATTACTGCCTTCACGAGGCCTGCCAAGGGTGAGCAACCCAAGATCTGGGTCCAAAAACGCTCGAAGGATGTCAAGTTTTACCCAGGCTTCTTGGACAACACTGTGGCGGGAGGCATGCCCATCGACGAGGAGCCACTTGTAACTGCTACCCGAGAGGCTTCCGAAGAGGCATCTTTGGGTCTAGATATCGTCAAGACCAACATCAAACCTTGCGGAACGGTGTCGTACATGCACCTGCGCGACGGCCTCGCCGTTGGAGAGGTCGGTCTCATCCAGCCGCAGGTCGAGTTCCTGTTCGAGCTCGAGCTGCCGGCCGATGTTGAACCAAGCCCTTCTGACGGCGAGGTGGAGTGGTTCAAACTGTACGATGTCAATCAGATCAGAGACGAACTAGTCAAAGGTGACCACATATTGCATCTTCACTGTCTCAAAAATGCGCACTGCCGACAGATGTTTCACTAACGGCAAGTCTCCCTTATGCAGGCAATTTCAAACCGTCATACTCCGTTGTGATCCTTGACTTCCTCGTCCGCCACGGCCTGCTGCACGCCGGAAATCTGCCCGACTTCGTCGAGATCACGACCAGGCTGCATCGCCCCTTCGAATTTCCCATTGGGTATAGAACTAACCCCTGATTTCATGTGTCTAGACCATTGCTGATAAGTGACCAGTCACTCGGGCCTGGAGAGGCCCAAAATCTAGTCTACGCATGGAAGAAACACTAACACAAGTTAAGTTGACATTTTTGATTGGACGGGACAACAAGCTCGAAGACTCGCTTTTCTTCCTCACCAACAGTGGAATGGGATCAAGCACATTGAGAACCCAGGTTGCAGTCACTTGGAGGAAAGAAAGGAAAACGTCCTCCTTTGATCATGGCTCGAAATTAATATAATTATCCAAAACTGCCCTTACCCAATCATCTATGACTGTTCATGCACATTGGCCTCTGTTCTGCAAGTTGTAAGTGGGACGAAGGTTCTGTAGTGGCCGAGGTTGGGCAAATTTTAAGTACACTGTACGCCCTGGCAGCCTGAGGCGACTTTTCCTTCGTGCATGCAGGCCCAATTCAGCCCTGGCTGAAGCGACTGGCTGCGGAACAATTCCCCGCATTCCCTGTCCCCGAATACCAGGACCACTGGTCTCAAGAATATAAGTGTCCGCCGCCCAAACCTTGGGGCGTAAGCAGTTTGGCTCCATTTTCGACAATTCCTGACCTTCCATTCTACGGAGAACACATCTTGCCCTTCCTTAGGATTGATATATTCTATTTCCCTGATTGATTTCAACTAGCCATAAGGTAACTTCTTTCCAATTGCACAGTTATTTATCTACTCAACCTCGTGTTAGATCCGATCTAGCGGACAGTGTGTTGCTAATTGCTTGACCTCTCACACGCCCTTCTTGAAGTCAAAGAGCCTCTCCTGCCCGCTTTGGATTGAAAACTTATCATTCTCCTGTGCTATCCGTTTGTGACGGGCCCACAACAGATATGTCACCGGGTGCAAGTGGTGACCAAGGCCTGGTTTCACCCGAGAAGCCTCCACTAGATTCCGACTCTGAACGGGTTGTACAACATGCAGCGGACATTCTCAATGTATCATTCAATGACCTATTAGGTGTTGTACCGTTGATGCGTTCGCGGGGCCAATCCTCGTCTGCGGACGAGCAAAACATCTTCCCTCAGTGGAATGACATTCAGGGGACCGTGGTCAATCTGGCAGCGAAAGCCTTGAACATATCTCTTGCAGACTTGGTTAAAATGTCTGCTCTTCTGCGACCTGCAAAATCTCAGGATAAGTTGGACCAGGCTCCCGCCATCACCACTTCTGACAAGCCTGGCCCGGGATTAGTGCAATCAGAAGATGATGGGTCCAGTGGATGGCTGGCCCATTCGAAAACGACCAGGGGCACAGGCCAACATTTTGAAGGTAGTTCTGTCTCATGGAACCTCAACAAACAGTATTTTGACAATGCGTCCAGGGAATGAGGACTCCAGAGCGCAGTCGAGCTCTGGCCGTAGCAGCATTGCCATCTTCACTCCTCCTTCAGGGTCGGGCGTGGACTCGTCAGCGCAATCCAGCTCAAACCTGAACAATGAACTCATAATAACGCCATCAGCATCGAGCTCTAGGACGCCAGTGCCGAGCCCTCCAACTATGGACAGCCTCGTTGTCGAAGCTGGAGCGTCACTGTCAGGCCCAGAGCCCGGACCGCTGCCTGATTCACTAGAAATAACCATTCTCAACTCCGACGTGGTTGGAAATCGGAGCACGCTGCTGTCTAATGCCGACTTTGATGACAGTCTGAACTTTTATGGACTCATGGATGATCACTCGGACTACTTCATGTGGGACTCCTTTACCCAGCACCAAGATATGAACATTGCTGCCTCAAGCCCTTCCAACTTTCTGCCCATGCCAGGAGACTCTGGCGCGACTGGTGAGCCTCCCAGGTATGATTCCGAATTAAGTCCTCCCACTAGACTTAGAACAGGTCCAAGCATCAGTGGTAGCCGTTCGCCGATCTTTGATGCCCTTTTAGGCATGCCGTGCTCTCACACGCAAGATATACCCTCTCTGATGGCCACTCTATCCCCAATTCTGGAAAGTGACCGATCGTGAGTTAATTCTCCTAACTAACCCCACTTCTAGAATGAGAAACTGAACTCATGACTTGAGAACTTTCCCTGCATTTAACCCTGGGCTTGGGCAACGGGGTTTTGGTGAGCACCACCATCCAATCCAAACCATGCAACAGGGGCGTTCCCAAAACCGAGTGCCTCCTTCGCAACGACCACTCCAGCCCCGACATGCTGCCGCTGAGTTCCATACAAGGACATCGAGGGTTCAGAAGTCGAGCAAATCGAGGCGGCATTTAACCGAGGATGAACGCAAACAGGCCAAGGTCACCCGCGGAGTTCGTGCGTGTGTTCGTTGCCGATTACTCAAAAAGAAGGTACGTCCCTGTTCAATGCCAGAGTGACGCTTTCGCTCGACAATATTGAAATTAATGGTATCAGTGTGTCCCGGATGATGGCGATCCATCCGGCGAGTGCCTCACCTGTCGCCGTATGGATAATCCGATCAAGAACATGCCGTGTATTCGGAAAAAGATCGAGGACTCGAGCTTTCATCCCGAAAGATCGCAGCCAGAGCAGTATTGGTCGCAACGGTGGAAGAGCTGGACTGTTGAAGGATCCATCCAAGAAATCAAAGGCTGGGACGGGGTGGACATCCGCATCATAAACACAACGCAGGACATTGGCAGAGCCTTTGACACCTACAAAGTCAGAAAGGTGGTTCCGGCTGAGGGTGATTCGATGACCCGCCAATGGCTGTCCAAGGCCACCGGGGAACGAATGCACCATCCTGTGACCCCATACGCCATTGAGAATATGGCCGAAGCAGCCAGAGGCATCTTGAGAAATTGCGATGACCATATTACCGATATGATCGAGCATTATACCAAGAGCTCTGACCGCCTCATCCGAGACACGTTTAAGATGGCTCAGAAACACTCAGTCGATGACAACGTCGATGTAGGTACTTATTTTCGTCGCTCGCGTCTCTGCGGCCTTATTCTACGTGTCAAATTGACCACCAGCTCTCGCAGGTCGCAGAAAGGCGCCTCATCAGAAAAGTCCTGCAGCTCTGGGTCGCGACTCGTAGGCTATCTAAACCGGCACGCATTTCAAGTCCTGAAACCCTTGAAATTCAACCTCAGCGCATCGATACGACGAGGAGTGACTATGGCCAGGTGCCAGTGCCACCCTTGATCAGCGTCCAGATCTCCATCTTAAGTGAGGTTCTGATTTTGAGACCCCTTCGTGACTCGGTCCGTAACGGCTTAGCAAAGATGTTAGAGAAGTACAAGGACCGCTATTTCACGATCTACTTATGCATTTTCATCCTGTTGCATAGCTACTCTTTGGTGACGCAATATTACCACCGAAAGGCCAAGCATTTGCGTCTACACGTGAGTCAGATCATTCCGAAGAGCATAATTTCCAAAACACTTCAACGCCTGACTTACAGTCGTATTAGGCAAAATACTCTGCACTTCGTGAGCTGGAAGCCCTGCATGGGAGCGCGAACATCCTGCTCACACACTTCCACTTCTGTGGCAACGGAAGTGGACCCTTTGAGGATGGCTGGTCGAAAAGGCATATAGAGGCTCTGGGCTTATCAGAATCGCAGGCATCCTTCTTGCGGGATACGTCACAACATAAGAATAGAATTGGTAAGCCCTCGCACCACATCTTAGCAGAGACTTCAACTATGTTGATTGAATCCTTGCGTAGGCAGAGAAACCGAACGCATCATCGCTTCCGGAATTTTTCATCATGACCTTTATTTTGTCGCTCAAATGTTCGACTTGAAGTGGAAGATTCCAGGGCTGACTGTTGCCTCTTGCGCCGTGGACTCTTGAGAGGCGAGAATGGACTCTGTTAAGTATTGGTTCTCATGACGGTGAATGGATGCCGTCATGCAATATTAAGCCCATATGGGAGCCAAATATGCTGCACTTCTCAAAACAGACTAGTCCTTGTGTAAGATTCATGCCCAATTTGCAAATATCCGTGTTGCCATAGCAGTGTCCGGGGCCCTTTACCTCAAGCCGAGAATTCAACGGCTTGCAGAGGCATGTGTCGCTGACTGGAATATGCAATGCTCATGCGCCTCGAGCGAGTTTGTCACAGGACACGCCGCGAATGATGACCTTAAAAGTTCACATCTACAATCTTAGGAGTCATCATACGTGGGTCTGATCAGAGGCTGCTCATGCCATGGTTCAACGATATCTGGGCTATCTCGTTGAATAAATCAATCTTTTGGTACGATAGAACAGCAGACATACATGTGAAATCGTGCAGAATTTCGTCGTCGAATCATATCAAAAAGGAATAGAAACTGCAAAAGGGTGAAAGCCAGTTTCCGTAGTGATAGAAAACATGGGAAATGGGGGAAGAACCAAATCCGACATCTGGCTACAGTTGCTCAACACATTGTCGCCTTCGCTATCCAAGTCACCACAAGTGTACTGTTCTCCCTCTTCATGGATACAAGGTCTCAAAAATCTTGAACCTCAGACGTGGCTGCGGTGTGATATTCCAGCTCTCTTCTAACTCTTCGTTGTAGAACACCTTGTCCCGACCAAATTTGAGCTCTTTCGGCAGCTCCCATGCCTTCTCTTCATTACGCATCCACAGACGCACCAGGTGCCTCACCTTTCCCGCTTCCGGGTCATTCTCGAATGCTTCCCGCGAGTGCACGATGGCCAAGTTGTTCAAGAACAACATGTCGCCAGGCTTCAGGTCCAATTCGAGTCGATTTTCACGTGCGAGAGCCTCAAGCTTGTCAAGAACTTCGACCTGCGCGGAAGTGCAAGTTCTTGACCCAGCTTCTGATATTGGGACGCCAGATCGCCCCAGCAGGGGGTATCGGGCAAAGTTGGTGATAAGTCGGTTGCTCTGCAGATAAAACAGCGGGCGGGGAATTCCCTCCTCAAGCCATCCATTTCTTCAAGAGCTGATATTAGCCATATCCGTGGACCTCAGTCTGAGAATGAAGACATTTGAACGACCTACGTGTGGTAGAATTTCCACTCCGGAGCGAGGAGCAGGCGGAGCATTTCAGGGTGGGTACGCAGGAGATGGTTGTAGATGGTCCAAGAAGATGAGACTAAAACATCAGTTTAGGAGGATTTCCAAGTAGGGGAACAAGACTTCATTGTGTCAAGCCTCGACTCACTAAGGTGTTGACCACCAGTGGCGCCCACATTGAGTGCCTGCATGCCTAGGACCTCGGCGTATCCGTCCGTGTGAAATGTCTTCAGAATACCAATGGTCAGTCAAATAACCAGCCACATATCATGGGAAAGTAATTACCAGCGGAAGCTTTGAATCACGATGCGGCCTGAGGTGGTCCTTGACATCGGACTCAGCAGCGTCGCGGACGTGGCCAAGGACATGACCCCCATCATCCTGCTTGCCTATGAGGCCGGCAATGTACTTTGCAACGCCAATATAAATTAGGATATTGTCTTCGATGCAGAGTTGGACTGGATCAAGGCCACGGAGGACGAAGAAGCCCCTTCCCTCGAAGATCTCATCCTTGAGCTCTTTCAACTTGCTTTTGAGAGTTGGAAGCGGGAAGGTCTCGGGAGAGATCTCGTCACCCCACTTGCACAAGCCTGCAAAATCGTGTCAAAAAGCAGATCATCAAGTATCTTATTGAAGTTGATTACGTACTCTTGAAATGTGTAAGGCCGTCCTTGATCTCCTGGATCTCGGTCTCGGTCAAGGTGATGGTGTACTTGGTATCATCCTTGTAATCCGAACCAGTCCAGGCAAGAGGAGAAACGAATTCGGGGGCGAGTTTCAAGTTCTCAATTACGGGTTCAAATTGATCTTCGAGATTAACTACCTCTGGCGTCTCAATCGCGGGTAGTTCCGTCTCAATGACTTCGATGTGGTTGTCCAACAAGGGTTTCTTATGCAAGAGCGGCAAACGCCCCTCCTGGGAGTTCGGAACTGCGACAGCTGCCATGATACGTGTTGTTCAAATCTAGGCAATTTAGAATTGGCATAGAAGGGTAACTGTACTTGAACTAGAAACAAACAAGAATGACTCGAAGCCTCGCGCGAGGAGCAGGAGTTGCAAATGGTTCGACTTCAGAGATGAGGCGCAATAAATATCACCCCCTTTTTATAAGCTGAAGAGGAGTCTATGATTGCCCTGCGATCGATGTACTTTCAGAGTCTCTGACCCCTCAGGTATTTACCGTGCTCGGCATGAAGAGCGCTTCATGTTTCTCCCTGCCCACCCCGATCATCCTTTGATCATAGCTCTGTCCCATGTACACTGCAACCGGGCGTCAGCCACATGATAAGGAGAACACCATTTCGGTCAACAAGGAGGGTTGCCTAGTCACTTGGCTGGTTGTTTATGGGGATTCCCCGCTTCAGGATTCGAAGGTGCACATGTGGCCTAGGCTAGAACAAATTGTGCGACATCGCAGCCTGATTCAAGGAAGACGTTGGCTGAGCTGAGTGGTTGCCTGACTTCCTCCCCCTAGCAATGTGCTGAAATACCCGCCCGTGACATGATATGTGATATGCAGTGCCAGCTCAATTCGAGCCAAATATGCAGTCACGCTCAATTTTAGTTTTAAGGCCATGGCGGTGATTTGAGGTAGTGATGCGTAAAGAATACTAGAAAAATGAGTTGAGCCTCAACTGTCTTTTGCAGAAGGGCTTTCTCAGGGTCTTCGGTGGTGCCCACCCTGGCCCGGAGAGATCACCAGCGCCGTAAGGCTCGCTCATATCCAGATATACCGGAAACTTACTTTCCGAAAGCATATAGTCTGATATCGAGAAACTTGTTGTGGTGAAATGCTGAAATATCAAGAAGTCTTTGGTCACCATCCAACGGACTTACTTTCGACATCATCTTATCCGCCTTCGCGCCTCAGCAAATATCCTGTCGTGACCGCGATGGAGCCAACAGTCAGAATGATTGAGAGGGTCATGTACCCTCTGGCAGCATTTGCAGATGACTGTCCTTCACAAGATTCAGGCTCGCAGTCGCAAAAGCCAACAACACCCATTTCGCCATGGCCCGAGTCGTATCTCAACCCGAAAAACCGCATCAATTCTCTCACCGCTGTCACCAACCCTACTTGGTCGATGCATGGGGTCCAGGCAGACGGACACAGGCTCTTTGTTGTTCCTTCATTTGCCGTTGGAAGACCGCCCTTGAGGATCGACATGTACCTGGCCGAGCAGTATGAGTATGATATGCCTTCCTCGCTTGTCGAAGTCCTTCAACCGGCCGCGTCAATGCGCCTGAAGAGCCGACAGGTAGGAGGCACGCCGCTTTGCCAGCATCTCCTTCGCGCACTTGAGCACTGGGAACGGAACAGTCGAGGTTTCGAGCAACAGTACTGGAGCATGCCGTTCGGGAGTATGATTCTGGTCGAAAGTATCGCTGCCGACGTGAGGCAGACAGTACTGCATCTGGCGCCGCGGTACGACACAGAGCAGGCGTGGCTGTCGGTTGTCGAGCTCCGCGCCGCTTGGGGCACCGGCGTGGATTTGGATGACTCCGAAAGTTCGTATTTTGAACTAATAGAAACCCCCTCCCCTCCAACACGAAATTCAGATACTCCCCTTAATAAGTTTCTTTTCCAGTCGATAACGATGGCTGACTCCTGGGTAGTCATCGATCTCGGTGAGCTACAGCTGCTAGAACAACCACACGAAGCCATCAGTATTGTGGCGATTCCTAAGCGGCAGGGGAGGCGCAAGTTGGTGTTCAAGGCGGTCTTGAACGACCTCAAGGCTATGTACCACGAGCTCCGACTCTTACTGACGATGGAACCGCACCCGAATATCATCGCTCGTCCATTATACGTCGTCACCAAGAAGTGTCGTTTCGGTGGCAAGGTCGGGGTGTGCGGCTTCATCCTGGAGTATTATTCCTATGGGACGCTGCGCGACGCGCTTTGGCGGTCTGCGCGCTGCGCATCCCAAGCGAATGAGCTAACTATAGAGACAAAGTTTCGCTGGGCGCGCGAAATTATCGATGGGGTGATCCATATTAACAAGCTGTGCGGGACCTACTACCCGGGGATTAAGCACATAAACATCGTCATGGGTCCCCGCATAGAGCCCGCTGGCGGCGAGGACAACAGCCCGACTGATATCAATAGCTTGTCCCCAGTCCTAATAGACTTCGAGCAACGAACCGGCCGCTATACCTGGGTCCCTCCCGAAATATACCACTTCAGCTCAGTCGAATTCGTAGCCAACTCAGACCGCGCACCACGCGAGATGCGGTCGAGGGCTGCCCGCCTGATTGGTGCATACGACGGGAGCTGGATACCGGATGGTCCTCAACATAAGTTCGCGGTCCGCCCCGAGGGATACAGTTCTGCTTGGAACGTGTTGTCAATGAGAGAATGCGAGGCCGCGCAGGTGTACATGCTCGGAAAGTTGCTATGGTACATTTTCGAGGAACAAGGGTCAATTAACAATGGACTCAACTTGGAGACGTTCCGTGAGGAAGAGTGCGATATTGTGTTTCCTGAGTTTAGAACGACACCACAGCCTATCCGAAAGATCATCAGCACGTGCACGCGAGGGGCCCCGGAATGGTCAGGACGACTCCCAGCTGTTGTGAAGTTAAAAGGGAAGCTATGGGCGCGGAATAAGCTGACAGATGTCAATAATCCAACGGGGACGTCAGAGGACACCCAAAATGCTGCTAGAGAATGGTGGGTGCATGAGTTACAAACGGCGGAGTCATTCCTAATGGCGAGGAAGCGCGAGAAAGTTTTGAAAGGGGCGTTGGCAAGTGATAAGAGCATTTTGTCTTGTATGAAGGGCCGGCCCACTTTCGGAGAGCTCCAGCAACTGCTTCAAGAAGCAGAAAACAGTCTTGTGGGAAAGTAGCAGCCAGGCTGAAGTCATTGTAGCAATTGGCATCTTCTTTACAGTACTGAAGGAGAACAATCCTTGGCCATCATGATCGACTCGAGGGAGGGATCTTCGCCATCTACCTGGACATGTACAGTGCCAAGTTTTCGGAATCCCTTCTTTTCGTACCAAGTGCTCATGCTGTCATTTGCGAAGAGAGTGAGTGGCACTCCCATGTCAGAAGCTAGACTTAATCCCCAGGAGACAACACAGCCACCGACCCCGAGCCGCCTGAACTCTGGGAGCACCGCAATTTGAACGAGGTCGATATTGTTCCCTCCAGACAAAGATCTGAAAACCTCATCTTTGGCCTTGGCCGTTATGGCGCGATAAGTCTTCAGCCTCTCAGGATCGGCATCCTTTCGTTCGTGCTGCAGATGCGGGGCTGGTTGTGCCGATGGTTGAAAAGTCAGCTTTTGTGGCGGATAACTAGACATGTAGCACAATCACCTCCTGGCTTCAAAAGGACATGAGCACCACTCCAAGGGACTCACTCACGCAGAGGCGAGGGCACAGCTTCATATTGCCCAGGCAAGTGCCAGACGCCGTATCCGACCCGCGTCACCGCAGCGTCAGCTCTGCTCTCAGACGGTGCAGCCTCGGCGATCACGACCCGAAAGGCGCCCCGTGTGCTCTCCTGGGTACGTGTGAGGATGCGGTGCCGGGTGAACGCAAAATGATCCTCTGGGAATTCTGCGGCGTACCGATAACGGTACTGCCAGTCTTTGTCGGCGGAGAAGGAGAGGATCGTTGTGGAGGTAATGAAGTCGACATCATCCACTGTGGCCGGCCGAATCTTGACGTCCATCATGGCAGGGAATAAGGCCCAGATCAGATAAGAAATCCAAGTCATCGTGCGTACTGAGAGAAAGCGCTCATACGTTGAGCATATATAAGTCTGGCCTAGAGCTATCACTCCGACACGTGCCTGACAAGTGGGTGTGGAGGGGCTATCCCCTCCCCATGCAATGTGCATTTGCTGACATACTTGCAGGGCGACAAGTCCATGGGGATGAGGCTGGGTTGAGGGTATAATTCAGAGTGAACAAGTCCACACAAGGCCCGTGGACGGCAGTGAAAACCACGTAAGAACTGACCAACCCCAGGCTGTCGCGGTCACAGCATACCTAACCAAATATTTACTGGAATTGTCGAGACGTCGGCGTTGGGTGGTTCTTGGACGCGTCACAAGAGGGAAAGCCAGTCGGCGCGAGCACTGCACGGCGATAAGTACCTAGTCTCCACTTATACTTCCCCAGAATCTAGAATGCAGCTGCCATGTGAGTATGCCATGCTCAGAAAAATGATATAAAATACTCAGGCTAGGCCGAATCGGGTAATTTCAACAACTGATTAGAGGCACTTTGTATTATTATGGCCGGGGAAGCTACGAGAAAGGACCACTCTAGACGAATGGTCCAAACAGAAAATGTTTCCTGAACAAAGCCCCGCCCACCCGATCCAAGGATTGCGCAAGTAGCAACCCGACGACAGCCAAAAGGAATGGATAAAGCAATAAATCGTCAGAGGCGAGTTCTGCTGCCAAGATAGCACGGTAACTTCCAACTAGATCTACCTTTATTCCTCGTCATCCTCACCTGCGGCCACCTCCTCTTCCTCGTCCTCGACGACCTCAGGGGCGTCGGTGGCCTTGGCCGTGGCCTTCTCGGTTCCATTACCAACCACTTCGGCGTCGTCGTCATCTTCGGCGCCGCCGGCGTCCTCGTCGAACTCCTCTTCGGGTTCTTCCTGGTCTTCCTCACCTTCCTCTTCGGGTTCCTCCTGCTCCTCGGCCGGGGCGGTCTTGGCTTTCTTCGCAGGAGGGGCTTTGTCTGGACCAAGGAGAAGCCATGTTAGATGTCTGGTCTGCATCATTCTCGCAGGCAGGGTTGGGGGCGACTATACCATCAGCTGGGGCCTCCTCGTCCTCTTCCTGCTCCTCATCGTCTTCATAATCATCCTCATCCTCCTCGTCGCTAACATACCTGCCGAATGGTGGACGTTAGTGCAAGGCTCGTCTGAGATGTAGTTGGAACTTCAACACATGTGGGGAGTGCAGGCAGCGTGACACATGCCTGGACACCACGAGGCGCCCGAGCGACCACCCTGTGCCAACGCGAGAGAGCCGCGATCAAGGCTGTGGTGGACAGCGCGCTCTCCCTTGACGTTGTCTCGCCAGTCGATGCGCCGCTTAGCAAGTTCCGGTTGCAGGTGCTGGGGCGCAAGTCCTTGCGCGTTTTCCCGCAAAGTGTTCCGTGCAGTATCACAGGGAAGGGAGCTGGGAGCTGTGACGGCGCATTGCTTCCAAGCGGATGCGCATATCACCTCGACTGCTCAACCGCAGTGGCGCTTTTTATGCGCCAGCTACGATGAAGGCGCAAAAGGTACATGGGGCTTGATAATAAACACAGTCACTCACTCTTCTTCGGATTCCTCATCGCCGGATGGCAAGCTGACGAGCTCCTCCTCCTCGTCTCCAGCCTTTCTCTTGCGCGACGACATTGTTAAATGTTGGCTAGAAAAACTGCCAATTGGACAAAATGGGGGTATAAGAAAGTTTCAAAACGTTGGATTTGGCACTGTGAAGATGAGAGAGCGATGGAGGAGTAAAAAAGAGGAAAGGAAAGGGGACGGACGGCTGAGAGGAAGGGGGCAGCTCGGGGGGGTGGTCGCGGTCGGTTGGTGTGGAGAGCAGGAGCAGGAGCTACTGTGCTGCCGCGCAGGCAGGGCCAGAGCTATGCATGAGACTGAGGCAAGTGCTAGCAATGCTTGGGTACTTTGGGGGGCTTGGGTGTGGGAGCGGGCATGGACGCAAGAGAGAGCTCTAGGCTGAGGGGGAAAAGAAGGGGGCGAGGGACTTCGAGGGGAATCTTGGAGGGGGGGTGGGCAAGCGGACAAGCCAGAGCTGGGCCGGGACGGCTGGGGCTGGGCTGGACTGGACTGCCTGGCATGGGAAGGGAGCGGGGAGCTTGTTGTGAGGTGCGAGGAGGTGCGAGGAGCGAGAGAGGTGTGTGTGTGTGTGGGTGAGTATGAGGGAGTGACGGAGTGAGGGACAGCTTCTCCAAGGTTCCAAGGTTCAGCTTGCTGCTTCAACCAAGCGAGCTGCAGACTGTGTGGTGCAGTGCTTGCTTGCTTGTTTGCTCTGCCGACTCACTCACTCCCTCAACCACCTACCTACTTACCTACCTACCTACCTACCCACCTGCCAGCCCGCCAACCTCCAGAATGATGTGACCAAGGAAGCGGGTGAAAGTCCAGTGTACTTCCCCAGAAGTGGACACCGCCGCCCATTAACTTGGACTGGGGACCTTTAGAGGAGCTCGCTGCAAGGGGAACAGCTCTCCGCGGATGGTTGGGCAGGTTGGTGGTGGCTGGTACCGTTTGGTGGCCAGTGCGTCAGAAGAGGAGAGGAGACGAGAGGAGACGAGAGGAGACGAGAGGAGACGAGAGGGAGAGGGAGAGGGAAGGAGAGCGGGCGATAAGCCGATAAGGGGCAATAAGCAATCGTTAAGAAAGGCACCGGCGGCGCCCCCACCGGCTACCACAGCCCTCGCCCAGCACATGCATGCAAATGCGTGCGTGATTTGCATGGGAGCTCGGACCTCCCCACCTTCTGCCCCCAGCCCAGCTTCCCCAGCTTCCCAAGGTCGTCTGGCGTCGTGTTGAGGGGTCGGTTGCACGTGTCTGCGTCCACAAGCACCCCAGGCAAACAGGCATGTCTGGCTCCAAATGCTTCAGTCTCGATAGCCAGCAAGGCCAGTATGTGTGTAGTGAAAATCAGCATACAGGACTTAGGTGGAACCGACTAACGGAGGTGCCATGTCGTGCTGTGCCTGCCGGGTGCGGTCATTGTTCCAAGACGCTGTTTGGCCCCCATCTTTCTCGATCCTGAGGGAACAGTGGCCTGCACTTGCAGGTGATGGATCTTGAACGCTTGACAACATACAGTGACCAAGCCGTAATTCCCACCCGTTCCGACAGAGACATGATGAGAATTGGGAGGCGTGCTTCTTTGGGGGATAGGAAAAAATGAAATCGATCTTCGTGTCGAGACTTTGTGACCCCAATGCCCAGATATGCTGCGAGAGGTGACATTCGGCGAATAAAAATGAAACGGGCCGGACCTGTAGATCAGGCAGCCCGGCAACCCATAGATGAGCTTCTGTCGCGCTCTAAGAAGACGACAACATGGTATAAAAAGGGCTCGACAATTGAGCACATCGTCGAATCTATGCTGTGCCGGTCTGCGCGGGAGGAATTTTCAGTATTTGTGAGCACGGTCGGGCGGGTCACCCCGACTTCGAGGCACGCTCCCGTGTCTGTGCCACTACCCGCTGGTTGCACAGCCTTCGAATATGTCCCCGTGCGCAGGAGCGGGAAGAAGCAGTAAATCTCGCCACCACCACACACGACTGCCGCCAGACTAGACGTGTGAATATTTGGAGCTGTGCCAAACCGGCTCAAGTCAACAAGCCTTGCGCTGAGGCGAGCCGATGATGCTGGCAGGCTGGACGTTGAAACTTCCAAATCGTCTGTCGGCGCAAGATATTGGATTCATCAGGACTAAAGAGATATCAACCGATCGTAGGTCTGACCGGGCCCTGAAGGGCTTCGTTGTGATAGTAGTAGCCTTGTCTCGTTTGCTTGAGACTATGATGATGTTCGGGCCAATGGTGACATGATGATAGGTGAGTCGGTGAGAGGGTGTGTGGCTGGGCTGAAGACAGGTTTATATTCCCATGGAATCTTCTTCGAGACATATATTCCATTCAAATCAGCTCTAGCTCTGAAATCGTCGAGTGGGATTAAAATGGAACGAATGATGGAAGCCTTCCTTGGTCAGCGCGAGACCAAAGTTAAAAAGGGGGGTTTCGGATCCGAGTGCTGGCGCAGCTGAAGGACAGAGGGCGATGGGGATCATGGCTGTATTGGGAATGGTTCAGGAACAGAAAATACTTAGTCGGCCTGAACGGGCATAGAGAGGTGGGAGGCCGCATGGAAGCCCCTTGCATGTTGGGACCGACCGTTTGTAAAAACCCCGGGTCGCGAGGACTTAGCAGCCGATCCGGTCACGGCGATGATGACATGTGCATACTGCGGCACAGTATTGGCAAACAAATATGAGAATAGATATAGGAGAAGTGAGGAGGCTCAGGGCAGTCTGATTGGGAGCTGAAAGGGGTAAGGGGCGGGAGTCTGTCTGTCTGTTCTACCTCTTTGACTCTTGTGGTCGTCCTGCAAGGTATCGGCGCCACGGCCCATTTGCTTCGAGGCCCGTCAGAGACGACTCAAATCCGTAGACTTGTTGAGATGCGTGTCATGACTGTGGTCGCACGCACCTTGCAGGTGGGATGGACGACTGTTCACAAACTCTCAAATTGAAACGTCGCTGATGATGTGGAGGCGTGCCAGGGTGAAGTGGGCACCGCGGGAGTGAGGTCATAGCAGTTGCAGGCAATCTGGCATTGCGGGCATTGCAGGCATCCAGGCATCTCAACCTCAGGTCAGTTCTCAAATGGCTGCTCAGGCTTTTCCAAGCATCCCCTGTGTGTGGTAGGGCAGCTGGCAGCGTGATGGAAACAGATGAGAAAACGCCAAACGTACACGTCCCGTACCGCAGCAGCCGCAGGAGGATTCCCTCGGTCGCAAATCGCAATCTCTCTGCCCCTTCACCACCCAAGTTATCAATTATTATCAGTCATCAGCCGTCAGCCGTCAGCCATGCGATGCGAGCGCGAGCCACGGACGACGGGCATCTTCCCCAGTGCGCGAGTGCGTGCGTGCGTGCGTGCATTGGCGTGTATCACCAATTCAAGATCGTGACGCCGAAGCCAATTCGATGCTGGCAACTCTGCCCAGTGCATTTTGGCTTTCGGCAAAGGTCTGAGCGAGGTGTGCAATTACAACCTTGCGTGGGCGATGGACGCGGCGAGGAGGAGACGGAAGCAGATGGCCCAATTTGCTTTTTGCTAGTGGCAGGCGAAAAGAGCTTGAGGTGGAACCAGGGGCCCCCCCTCGTCCAACGGCCGAGCCCATCGACAGCTAGTCTGGGCGCGGTGGGCCGGCCGTCGAATGTAATGAATGAAATGTGACAGTGACGAGCTGTGCTGCTTGGGGGATTTGGGGGGGGCCTTCAGTTAGACCTTGAAATCTTTGGACCTTGGAACCTTGGAACCTTGGAAGTTAGGAACGGTGCAAGGTGCTTGGCCCGCAGGTACGGCGTAGTCTGTACTACTCTCCTCCCACCACACCCGCTAGTGTGCTAGTCTAAGAGCGTTGCTAAAATCAACGCGCGGTGCCATCATTCATGCAGCTGCAATTGCCATTTGCCAATCCAAACTGCCAATCCCACTGTCAAATGCCAATTGACGGGTTGCCAGTCGAGTCGATTGTCAGATCTGGCCGCACATGTGCGCATCCATCCATGTGTGCCCCGTTACATTTGACATCAACAATAGCACGCAGCGGCACATCCCCACTCTGCTCCTCTTGACGCCTGCAGTGGCGCCTTCCTTTGCAGCTGCTGCGAGACAGGAGGAAGAGGAGTACATACGTAGGAGTCAATCAGTGCTCGTAATGAGTACATTGCCGCTGCAGTAATCTGTGCTGAGAGGTGATGTATCATTAGATCAGCACAAGATTTTTTTTTCCTTCGCTACCCTTTCCTTCTTGTTCCGCCTGGCCTGCGCAGGTACTCGGTGATTGTACCTTCTGGCCTTCGCCCAATATCGAAGGAGCTGCCGGGTCTAATTAAAACCATCTCCCCCGCCAAGTGCGAGCACCCGACAAGGTGATAGACGCTCTTAGTTCCTTGTCCTCGCCTTGCATCGCATCGCATCGTCTTCGCCTCGTTTCTCTTGACTCTCCTCCCTGTCCGCCATGCCCAACCACCGCCAACAAACCTACACTGGAGGCCACACCACGCGGGACGACTGAGGAGCGAACGGGCAACGGCAGCCAGACATGGCAGGCCAAGGAGGTGCTGGAACCGGGGGGACAGGGTCTCTGATTAACAAGATAGCTGTGGATCTCGGCAGGGCCAACCGAGAGAAGACGAGCACCTGGTCCCGACCACGCGAGAGTGCTGTGGAAATCGCAGTACCACCAGCAGAATTTCACCTCAACTCGCCACGAGCCAGGGGCGTCGAAACCCACGATCCGCCTGAGGTCGTCGAGCGGGCCCAAGGCGAGCCCAGCGGCCATTTCGAAGCCTTCCAGAAGAATCCTGCCCTGGCCGATCAGCACGAGGCGCGATCGAACCCAGGCCCGGGTGATTACCACCCGCAAATGCCATCACAGGAAAACGTGCAACTCGAGGCGCTGCAGCAGCTGCCACAGCTGCCACACCAACAGCCTCGGCTGCTGCAGCGACAACGACAGGGTTCTTTGCCCTCAGTCTCGCAGTACTCGCAAATGCATTATCACCAGCATCAGGCTCACCTTGAACATCGGCCGAGTCGCTCGCAACCACAATCTCTGCCCGCACTGTCCCCGCGACAAGATCAATTCACCTCGTCGCCACACCCGCACCCGCACCCACACCAGCATTGGGTCCCAGCTTCACCACGGCAGCGCCGGGTCCTCCATCACACGGACCCTCATTTTATTTCCCACGACCCAAAACACACGGCGACGCCAGCACACCCGCAGCCCGACTTGTCCTTCTCGTCATTCTCTCCTGTGAGGGCTCAGTTTCCGCAGTCACCAACACGATACCCTTCCGAGTCCTACGCGCCTTTTTCCCCAATACAAACTCATCCCATCTACGGTCGCATCGAACCAGACGGCACGTCCTCTAGTCGAGACAACGTTGAGGCTCCGTGCAACCCAAGCCACCCGCCGGAACAGGTACCCCCCAACGTGGTCACCACCCGCAAGCAACGGTCGCTTCCAAACACTCCAGTTACCCCAACCTCTCCAGGCTATCCGGGCCCTCGATGGGATTCCTTACCAACAAGGCGTCAGAATAGCCTTGGGCAACACACCAGTACAGGTTTTGCGAACACTGCAACTGCGCCTGTAGCCTCTGCCTCAGGGCTACCTCCTTCTCCAATCCGCTCACCCCAGTCGGCAACCTTCTCCCCGGCGGGCTTGTACTCGCATCCTCAAATTCCCGAGGACCAACCCATCGACTGGAACTTCGACCGAGCCGATACAAATCGACATGAACACGCAGCCGCGGTGACGCCCGGCTCACCTTCCAAAATGTACCGGCCAGACAGCCGGCAGTCTGGAGAGACGGCCTACAGTGTTGCAACTGACAGTTATAACTTTTCTCGTCCGAGAAAGCCCAGTTTGGGAAGCTTGAGCCGTCCCGACTTCTCTGCACCCATGTACCTTCGACCTGGAACAGCCAAATCCTCAAACTCGGACTCCATCCGTCTCGAGTCAAGGACCATGGCCTCGAGCTACGTACCCTACAGTGCAGGGCCAAGGCCTGCTCGACAACCCTCAATCGCTTCCAATCTGTCTTCGAGCACATTTGCCTCGCCTGCGCCAAGCCTTTACAATAAACCTTCCTACGACCGCCTTGGTGCTGCACCTCGCAACGTGTCTCAGAATTCCGCCTCAGGTAATTATATGGGCCTCCCCCACGCGGTCCGGCCGCCGTCTCCACTACGAAACCGTTCAGGCCCCTGGGCCCAGTTCCCGTATCTAGACGAGGATGAGATGCGTTCCAGCATGCGGAGTCAGCTTACGACGTCGACAGCCCAGGATACCCTGTTCACGGAACCCGAGAGGTCCAGTGTCATGACCAAAACAAGTTCCATCTTCAGCACAGGCAACAGAAATAGGAACTCTCCCTTCTTCGGTCCTCATTCACCCAGCATCGAAATCCGGGAAAGCCTCAGCGTGGACGATGTGATGGGAATGTATGAGCAAGGCTTCAACGACAGCGATATGGACCTTTTCCACCGGAAGTCTAGCGTCGACCCCGACGTACCAGTGGTGCGGCTCGCCCCGGGAGGGATGGACGACCAGGACGAATCGAGGCCAGGATCGGCCATCTCCCACAACAGTGAGGCCGCGAGCCGCCTAATCGCAGCCATGAATCAGCCCAATTCGATTGCAATTCCTGGTCGAAGCTTCCCTCTACATGCCGATGGTGCTGTTCACATTCGTGATACCAACGCCTTCTTCCGAAAGAGTCTGGCTTCGTCTCTGCCCAAAGATATGAGGCTGAGTTACATCAATGCCGAGCTGAAGGAGACTGGCATTGTCGACTTCGAGAAGCCAGACGATGACGAAGCATTCGAAGCGGACAGTGTACGACACAGCAGGCATGATTCAGGAAAAGAGGTCGGCCCTAACGACGAGTACTCCTCAATCGACGATCTGGAGAAACGACAATCCATGGTCGCGACCACAGACAGCACGCCGACGCTCCCAGACAAGGAAACACTATCTCCTCTGTCGCCAGCTTCGACTGAGCCAAAGCCTGCCATGCCTGCGCCGTCGCAGCCTGTGCAGGGTGCAAGTCAACCAGAAGATCTAGATCCTACTGCTAATGATCGATACGGATTCCGGAAATCAAACCAGTATGTCACACGCCAGCAATATGACGACTGGAATGGGCCGTATTCCGAATATCTTGCCAGGAGGAGGAAGAAATGGGACGCTTTTCTGAAAGAGAATGGGTTGATGACCGATCATCCAAACCGGTTCCCCCAGCACTCCGCCAAAGCAAAGAGGTTCATTAGGAAGGGCATACCACCAGAGTGGAGAGGTGCAGCATGGTTCTACTATGCTGGTGGCCCCAAGATTCTGGCAAACAACCGTGGTGTTTATGACAATCTGGTCAAACGCGCACAGACCGGAGACTTGAAAGAAGTGTGCAGGGACGACATCGAGCGAGATTTGTATCGGACATTCCCAGACAACGTCAAATTTCGACGCTCGGCAATGCCCACCGGCCTGACACCAGGGCACGCGTCGTCGCAGTCACCATCGCCCGGCAACACTCCGGTACATAGCCGCAATAATTCGACGCAGTCTGCAAACCCCACGCCAAAAGCCCCAGGCTCCGAGCCTGCGATCATTGAAAGCCTCCGTCGGGTTTTGTCTGCCTTCGCAATCTTCAATCCCAGCATCGGATACTGCCAGTCATTAAACTTCCTTGGTGGCATGCTTCTACTTTTTGTTGAGTCAGAGGAACAAGCCTTCTGGTTACTCAACATCATCACGAGGGTCTATCTTCCAGGGACTCACGAGATGAACCTCGAAGGATCAAAGGTTGACCTGAGCGTGCTCATGAATGAGCTGGAATCCGTACTGCCTAACGTGTGGACCAAGATATCCGATGACGGTTCTGGAACCAGCAAGAAAAAGTCTAGACGCGCTCGATATCACAAACATGGTGTCTCGGTCAGCGGCGACAACCTCCCACCTGTCACCCTCGCACTGACGGCTTGGTTTATGTCGTGCTTTATTGGCACTCTTCCCATCGAGACGACACTCCGCGTGTGGGATGTATTCTTTTACGAAGGGTCCAAGACGCTTTTCCGAGTTGCACTCGCCATCTTTAAGGCTGGGGAGAACGAGATCAAGTCCATCAGCGACCCTATGGAGGTTTTCGCTGTTGTCCAGAGCCTCCCGCGCAAGATGGTGGACGCCAATTCCTTCATGGACATTTGCTTCAAGAAGCGCTCCGGCCTGAACCACCTTACTAGCGATGTCATCGACCAACAGAGGACAGAACGGAAGGAGAAATTGCAGATCCAGCGCAAGGAGGCCGTGGCCGCCGCAGAGGCGGCCCCGGGGATTGCGACAGCTGCGACGATAGCGGTGTCCAGGACACGTAATGCAGACATGTTGAGCGTTACGTCGGGCGACAGCAGCAGTGTGCGGAGGAAACACACGCTGTTTGGGCGCAGGCACACCAAGGAGCGCAGTCTCGAGGTCTAGGGGCCCGGATTCTGGCGACGTCCTTCGATGCCAACCCTCCGAGATCAGCTCGATGGCGGCGACATGACTTAGTGGGTGCAAGGGCGCCCTCTTCGATTCATTGTATAATTTTAATGGTGTCGACGGATCTCCGGGATGAGATCTACCCTTCTGAATACGACGGGGAACCTGTCGACACGGATAGGGAACGACGAGCTTCACCTGATGGTGAACATGAACGATAGCGTTGAAGGGATATCTGCAGAAGGAATGAAGGAAACAGAAGTCTTGCCGGTCACTTCGTGGACCGTGAAGCATGCATCAGCAGGCGGCGAATAAAACTCTGGCAACGCATTGGGATGGACGGTAGAGCATCGGCGTTACTCTTTTTTGTCGCTTCCTTGCTTTCTGGTTGAACTGGACAATCACACTGGTCTCTTTTTACGACATTCTTATATTTGTTTCTTCTTCACTTTGCTGTTTGTTGTTGATATTGTACAGATAGATATCCGGAAGATGTTCCTTCGTTGCATTGGTCGGCATATGGAAGACTTGGGGAGTCAAAACAAGATCGGGAAAAGGAGAATTTCAAAAGAACACGGGGTGTTGCCCGCACCTGGTAGCAACTGGTTAAAGAAAAAGAATCAGAAGACATTTACCAGCTCATCGATTGGAAATTATCCGCCTTCAGTGACCTCAGCCAGACTATTCTGTTTCCGCCGACGCATGATCGAATAGCCTGTAAGCTTCATGCTCACGGTTTTGTCCCCTAAAACAACATTGTGATAGGCTGGCTCAATATCCTCGCCGGGACCAGTCACACAGCAAGATATAGGTGTAGATCTATCGTAATTTGTCATTACTTCATTCCAAAATGGGCCTATGGTATCGTAATTGAGATGTCAAGGACTCCATGGCCATGCCAAAGCCACAACCGGAACGCCAAATGATCGCCCAGAATCCTCTTGAAATGCAAATAGCGGGAAATGGTCCGCTGACACCCCTCTCACTGGATCTTGCCCTGGGTTGCCTCCACGTTCATGTCAATTTGAGGTCCTGAGGCAGCCATCCTAGCCGACGGTCACCGACTGAAGCAGTGCCACTCTGTTTCTTTCGCCAATTCCGTTTGACGAGCCGCATGGCACAAATACTGTGGCCCTCCGGAATGATGTGAGCCTGGCAGAAGGCCAATACACCAGGTCCAGAACTTGAGGGGCTACTGCTTCGTACGTGATTGTGTCTCGATTGGCAGGTTTGTCCTGGAGCCTGCCTAATCAGTACCGAGCCCACCTCAGTATTGGTTCGGCCTCGCCGCGCAGCTCCCCCCGGAAGGCCTCCAAAGACTTGGGCCTGTTAGACTATGCAGGAGCGGGAGCGGCAGCGGCGCCGGTGTCGAAGCGGGGTGCGGCCTTGGCGTAGCGGGCGACGTACTCGCGGGCGGTCTTGTCGAACTGGGCGCGCTGGGAGCGGAACTCGTCGGCGATGCGGGGCTCGAGGGGGTCGTCCGGGTTGGGCTCGACGAGCAGCTGGCGGACGGACTCGAGCACGGCGGACAGCTTGCTGGCGGGCTTCCAGTTCTCGGGCTTGAGCAGGGCGATGCAGATGTTGCCGGCGTCGTCGTTGGTGACGTTGGGGTGGTAGATGCGCGTGGTGAAGGTCACGAGCGGCGCCTTGAAGGGGTACTCGCCGGGCAGCTGCACCACCAGGCCGAACTGGCCGGAGCTGTAGACGGTGCCGGGCGGGCCCTGGAGGACGACGTGCCACAGGTGCAGGTTGGACTCGTACGGGAGGGTGATGGTCATGCCGGTGGGAGGGTTTGTGGTGCACTCGGCAAGCTCCTGGACAAACGACGGTGGTCAGTCTCTGAGGCCTGGTGCCACTGTGGCTGTTGCTGTAGCTGGAGCTATCGCTGGAGCTGTGGGATGGGAGCACGAACCTTGGCAATGCGTTTCTGAGACATGTTGACGATGGGATGCGATATGTGGTCGAGATGATAGGAAGGGTGTGGTGGAGGAGATAGGTGTGTGTGGTGGGGGGGGGAACGTGTGTACGTAGAAGCGGCTGCTGGGACTTTTCTCTGAAGTCGTCGTTGCGCGCTGGTCGATGACGGACGGAATGAATGGAGAACAGAAGGACGATGGGTTTGCGGCAGAGCACGAGGCTTAAATAGGAAGGAGAAGTGTTGTTGTCGCAAACGGTGAATCAGGCTGAGAAACGTGGGTGCGTGAAGGCAGCAGTGATGCTGGTGAGCCGAGGGCAATGACGGTCCAGATGCTGGGGCGGCGGGCGGTTGACCAGAGGAGGGGCACTGACCCTTGTCCGAGCAAGTGGGGTGGGGCGGAAGAGCTCCAAAGAGGTGCTCACTCAAGCACGATCAAGTTGCTGGGTACCCTTGATTATTACGTACTTTACCCAGGCACTGGCTGTCCTAGTCCTAGTCTAGGTCTGCTACAAACGTACTGTGAATAAAACAAACCAACCAACAACATGACGTCCTTCTCTCAGAGCCCCAGCTTGCTCCAAACCCCATCACATCTCTGAGTCTCGCAAGCACACACCTATAGAGAAGGCAAGATGTACTTGTCATGGTACGTGGTCGGATACTCGCCCGCCATGGTGGCACCTCCCGGCAGGTACAGAGACCCGTTGATGTAGGCCGGGATGAAGCCGTGGCGCGGCACCTTCATGGGCGACAGCTGCGTCCACGTCTCGCTAGTCGTGTTGAACACCTCGACCTGGTTGAAGATGCCAGACACGCTGCTTACGTTCTTCTCGCCGCCCAGCGTCCACAGCAGCCCGTCCACCATCGCGAACATCGCCCCGCCCCGCGGCGTCGGCATGTCGTTGGGGTGCGTCGTCCACCCGGCCTCGAGGTCCTCCAGGTCCAGCGAGTACACCGTCCCGCGCATGTTGATCTGCCCGTTGATGCGCCCGCCCGCCAGCCACAGCCTGGTGCCCGCGATGCCCCCCGTCGCGTGGTCTCGCGGCTCCGGCAGGTTTGCCGCCGCCGCGGGGAGGTCCACCCACGACCGCGACGTCAGGTTGAAGGCCGACACGTTGGCCACCGTGTGGTGCGGGTTGCCCGGCCCCGGGATCAGCGACACCACGCCGCCAACAACCCAAATCACGTCGTTGTAAGCCACCGTGAGCGCGGCACCGCGCTCCGTGCCCGCCGGCAGGCTGGTCAGGTTCGACCACGCGTTGGTCTCGGGGTCCCACTCATACGACGCACCGTCGCCCGCCCAGTAGCTGTTGTTGAGCGCCTGCAGCGCCCCTACGATATACGCCTTGTTCTTGTAGCCGACCGCGTTGACGTGGTTCCGCGGCAGCGGGATGTCCGGCCCACGAGTCCACGTGTTAGACGGCACGTCGTAGAATTGCATGATGCTCGTCGTGTTGCCCACTGTCAAGTTCTGCGGCGAGTACGGAATGACTCCGCCGAGAATCGCAAAGGTCGTCTCATTGAGCACGACTCCAGTGTCTTCCTGGCGTGGGTACAGCGGGATTTCGGCCAGCTCTTCCCATGTGCCATCCGTGATGACAGCTGAAGCGGTTGACAACCCGCCCAATAAGGCAAGACAGTGTGAATAATGCATTGTGCCGAATGCTTGGGCTTCAGAAAGAATTAAAATGAGAAATGAGAAATAGGTTGGTACGCAACCAACGTGCTGCCCAGCTTGAACGGAGATTTATGCAAGGTACAGACGTAGCAGACAGTCTAGGACCTGTTCGAGCTGAATATTGCTCTTCCAAGCCCGAAGGAGACGGAGGGATTGTCCGAGGGCAGTGAACAACACAATCTGTAAAGTCACAATCAACACCATGCAGGACTACGAGGCACAAGACAGTCGGAGGATCTTGTCTTGGTATTCTTATATGGACGAGGTTACCGACGGACACGTGCAATTCGCGAGAACAATCTACACAGCGCAGTGAATGCTGTCCTCGGGTATAGCAGCCTGGACTGACTCAAATAGAATTTCTCACCCTGAGTCTGCGTTCGCTATTCTTGATCGGAGAAATACACACCACTGACTAGCTGCAGATGATTCCGTGGTGATTTATATCTCTGGTGTGGGTCATCCCCGACTAGTTACAAGCGGCTAAAAAGCTTGTACGGGGCGGTAACTCTGTGCACGGGCAGGTTCATTCCTCTTTAACAATGGTGTAGATGCGTAATGCAAACTATATTTACATGAGTACCAAGATTACATGATCTCACAATGCCACGCGTCTAGGGGGCTTGGGGGGTTGTTGGCCGGTTTGGAAGTCTACGACAGATGCTAAATCACAAGGCGAAAAAGATTCTTGATATGGCTGTGTTATTGCTTATTAGCATCGGATCCGTCAAGCAAGTCGGCACCTATGCGTCTGCTCATCGTATTTTGTTCACCTTTGGCTGAAGAACAGAGATGCTGTCATGAAGGAGAAAATGACATGTGAAAAACTTCCCCACAGTTTCACAATCATGAATTAATTGATGTTCGGGTAGGAGGTGCATTACAATGAATTATTCCACTGTCTGGGATCTCGGCCATATGCTGAGGCTCTACACAAATCTAGTGTCTTGTCTTCAATTAAAAGCACTACCATCCTACGCGTAATCCAGCCTCATCTTTTTACCATTGTTGGGAAGCTTGGCCCTCAAGACAGCGCCTGGAAGCTGCCTCAAATCCTTCCCACCATTCCATCTCGGACTCCAGTAGCTTTGTACAACGTTTATATACATGTATCCATCCTCGGCGATGAACAGTGGATCAGGCCACAGCATGCGAGGGTCGCGGACGAAAGTGTGAACTTTAAGGTCTTTGGGGTCGTAGTAATAGACGGCGTTGTGCTCGGGCATGATCATGTAGATCAGACCATTCGAGTCACCCTCGGAACCGTTGGAGTTGCCGCCCTTTTGGCCGACGCTGGTCACGTTGTTCTTCGCAGCCTGCTCGGCCCAGGGCACGTCGTCACGTGTGCGAAGGTTGGCGGTAGGGACGGCGAACAAAGTGTTGCCCGTCAAAGTCGTAAAGTACATTGTTTCCAAGTCCGGTGACAGAGATACTCCGTTGTTTCCCTCTTTGTTGTGGGCAAATGAGCCGCCTCCCTGAGGCACTTGGTAGAAAGCCTGGCCGTTGTACGAAGCAACGTCACCATCTTCGCGCAAGACGTGTTTGTCGCCATCAAGACGCCGCCAAGATTCGCCCGTGCCCAGGTCCAGCATGACAAACCCGGGACGTCCCTCCGCGCTCGAATCGACAAGGTAGGCGACGCCTTTGCCTCCTGGCACAGCGGATCGGCGCAGGTCGAGGCGGACATCGTTAAGGTAGCTGTCCGGATAGACGACCTCGGCCGGGAAAGTGTAGGTCGCATAGACGGTGTCGTTTGTCAGGCTTATTGCGACAAGCTTAGGGCCTCCAGGTTGGCCATATACCATAGAGAGCCTGCCGCTCGAAGTGGCAACGGTAGGCCGCCCGGTATCAAGGACCCAGAGTGTCTCGGGCCGATCGTCGGTCTCAGAGGTGATGTACAGCGCCTGCACGCTGATAAAACCGGTGGAGTTTGAGGAGCCAAATTGCATTCCGTTGACGGTGGTGTTGACATGCGTAGTGGGGATCGAAAAGTCCGCAGATGGATATGCCTCTTCGGCAGTCTTGTTGACGGCCTCGCCCAGTGTGAAGGGAGATGCTCCTCCGCCTCGCACGTAGCAGACGAAGAGGCGACCAGTCGATGATACCGCATGACCAGTAGGCCACTGGCCGAAGTAGTAGTGGAATTCCTCGAGCTCCGGCCCATAGGTGCCATTGTCGCGTCGCAGGATGCTGTCAGCCGAGACAAACCCGGCAAACACGGAGATGGCTTCGAGGAATACGGAGGCCCTCATGGTGAATGACTCTGCTGCTCAGATTGAGAATTGTAGAGGGCAGAGTCTTTAGATGAATTTAAAACGAACGGCTGAAGTGGACTTTGGTGAATGAGTGTGCAGTCGGCTGCTGGAGTCGTCGTAGTGGCTCGAGGCGCCGGACGATGAGTCGGACTGACGGCTCCAGGCTTTGCACGATGAGTCGAAACGATGGAATTAAACTTCGAATGAAAGACATCTTGGATTCTCTATAGTAGGAACTAAAGCCAATTCTTATGACATAGGTGGCAGTAATCAGAGAGTAAATACTCCATTGGGTTTTCACGTCCGAGTCCTGCCGACTCGTTTGCTGCGAGGTTGTTGAGCAGTGACCGATAGAATAATGACTCGGAATGACGAAGAGGAGTATCCTAGATATCTTCTGAATCAGAAAAAGATCGTTGGTGCTTTCATTTATGCACACATAGCGAGAGCTGACCGCAAGGCTGAAAGCAGTTGAATGCGGCCGAACGATACTTGCAGTCGGCCAACAGCAACACCGTCACAGTTGTCAGAATGAATAATGATGAGTGATCTTGCTGGTAATACTTTCTATCCAAGGCCGCATTACACTCTTATTTGCTGCTAAACCCGAGGATTCAAGCTTACGGGTGGTGCCGCCTATCTGCCATTTGCCTACATTTTCTGACTGTGCCAGTCTCCAAATCCGAGTCAATTCATTGAGTGGAGAACGAAAGCAGAGACCTCAAATTCGGCATTTTCTCCGCCGGCCGACACGCATCTTCCTTTTTTCTTGATCGACCAGAGACTTGGTAAGGGTGAATCGCACTGACTGGTTGGGAACTCTAAAGTGAGATGTCAAGCTTGCTGTGTCCCTTATCAAAATCTGGATATTCCATTTCTCCCCTACCCATGCATTACTCAAGCCTGCTGGACACCACTTACCGCTCATTTTCAAAAGGATCGTGCGGTTGACAGACACAGAATGCGAGGGTCCTAGTGAAGCGGGTGTAAACTTATTCAGGTACCAAACTATATCGCACGTCCGTTGCTGAACCCGTTCCGGCCCCACCTACACAGGTTCGTCTTTTCGAGCCTCAAAAGCTTGTTTAGAGTCAGCCAATTGATGTCAATCTCTGGATGAACCTTATCAACTTATGTTCTTCACTGATTCGGATCAAAACCTTGTTTCTGGCAGCTGAGTCACTCCAGAGAAGAAAGACAAGACTGATGTACTCCGGATTTACCAGCTTATCCATTTCGTCAACCTCAGAGCACGTCGTTGGAGTCGAGTCAGAAACATGCTTATTCTGCTGACACTTCAAGACGAAGATGGTCTTACGAATGAAATTTTATCAATGTGTGGTAAAGACCCGCCGTTATCTCCCAGCTTAATGAGACCCCAAGCACAGCTCAATTCGATGTCTTGCGTTAAGGATCCACGCTTAATCCAGATAACGCTAGATTTCTGGACTCGCGTATTTACCTGTAGACCAGTCTGATTTGCACAATGTCGCCAAGACCATAGTGTCGCCTGTGCTATGAGCAAGTTTTCTGAAAAATATATATCATTCGAATACATAACCATGCGTAGAGTGGACTTTTGGAATCACTTGTGAATGCATAGCTTTCCAGAAATTACCACCACGTCTTCATCATTTCACGAGGAAACTGAAAGTTCCATCATGGCAGATATCTGACAGCGACGGACTCGAGCTGCGGGCTTGTGAAATGTGGGCCTCTTACCCTGTTCGATGCTCCTTCCAGGGTATACACACTGACTTATGCTACTGACTTAAAGCAGAGATGGGATCTAAGAGAATGGTTACATCAAAGCCCGGCAGGATCGCTTTGATGAAAAATGATATATATTTACAAAGCTGCCGGCTTGCGAAGCTGCAATATTACTCAAGCTGACCTGTCACTGCACCTCTTCTCCTTCGTCCCCAAACGTAAACTTCTTGTTCACCATGAAGGTCACCGTCTTCCTCATCTTGGCAGCTCTCACCGCCACGGAGTCTGTAACAGCAGCTCCACTAAGTGCAGGAGAGACCAACAGTACCAGCCCAAGGTTCTACAATGGTTCATGTACCCCAGAAACCATAACTATCCGAAGAGAGTGGCGTACACTAAGTGCCGAGGAGAAGGCGGCTTATATTCAGGCACAACAGTGTCTGATCAAGCTTCCTGCCCAGTCAGGCCTGCAGGCAGTCGTATGTTATGTTTCTCTCCCCACAATTTGAGTGGGATGTGGCTAATATTCAATGTCTGAAGACCTCCCGCTTCAGCGACCTTCAAGGATCTCACAGGTCCTATACTGATACCATCTACGGCGACATTATCCACTATGTCGGTCAATTCCTCCCATGGCATCGCATGATGATGCACGCATTTGAGACTCTGATGCGTAACGAGTGCAACTACACGGGTACCATGCCATGGTGGGATGAGCAAGCCGATGCTGACTCCGGCAACTTCTTCCGCTCCAATATGTGGGATGCCGACACTGGTTTTGGTGGTAATGGCACCGAACCTGATGGTTGCTTGACCGAGGGCCCGTTCGCCAACACCACCGAATACATCGGCCCCATGCTTGAGTACACGACATACTGCCAAAAGCGTATCTGGGACAATGAATACGGAATCACCACCGGCAACAGCACCCTCATCAACCTCTGCAACAGCTACGAGACGTACGAAGACTTTTGGTATTGTATTGTGCGTAGATTCCATGCAGATCCGTAAGAACTGGCCCTTGTACTAATTCGTATGTCCACAGGCTTACTGGCCTCATCATGGAGCCCACACGGCGACAGGAGGTCTCATGGCCGACAAAGATGCCTCGCCGGGCGACCCGGTCTTCTACCTCCACCACAACTACATCGACCGTCTCTGGTGGAAGTGGCAAGCTGCAGACAACGAGACGCGGCTATGGGACATGAGCGGTAACACCGTCAATGAGACTCTCTACCCCCAACAAGCCGGCGTGAAAGCCTCGCTCAACACGACGATCCAGCAGCAGAACATCATTCCCGATATTCAAATTCGGGAGGTCATGAATGCTCAAGGCGGATACCTTTGCTACGATTACGACTACTAATTGTGAAAGCATGCTAGAGCTGGTAGGCTTGAGAGGAGTATCGCTGTGACTACTTAGATGGCTTGGCCAGGAGACGATGGATGTAGATAGAAGTGGCGTGACGGGTCGTCGATGCCCATGAGCCTACTATTGTTCAATGGAGGTTTGTGCTCTGTACGTTGGTCGAGTGTCTTCCGGTCCATTATGTGCCATCTTTGCCACTTGAAACCTTGTTTCCCCTTGAACATGCAACAGGGCCAACCGTTCTACGTAGCCAGCGGAGTGAGAAGATAATGTGCTTCCTGTGCTGCATCATTTGGTTGGAAACCTCCGTATTCTTCCAAAAGTGAAAAAAGGCAGGAAAGACATTATTCGGTGAAAGTCACTTATCCAATGCTTGAAGTCTCTTACAAGAAATGACCTTGCTTTCCTGCGCCGAGCGATCATAGCCATATCGTACTGGTAGACCCCAAACATCTGAACAACAGCGCGGGGACGGCAATTGAATAATTTTCCAGAACTCGAAATCAGTTTATTTGCAGTGAGAGATTCTAGCCTTAACATACAGTGCTCGAGCGTGGACGAAATAAACGCCTGTCCGGTCTTAGGCGCCGTGGCCAGCTAGGGATGGCCTTCCTCCCCCAACACAATCATCTATAGAATCGCAGCAGCCCGTGCTACATCCTACGATATAGGCCTTCCCATTGAAGGCAGCGTCGAAAATTCTTGTTTAGTACAGAGGATGAATATGCTGCTAAGTTTGGAAATGTTGATTTGCTTTGTATCTCCAGGGGCCGTGTTTACAGATAATTGTCACTAGCTGGCTCAATGTACTGAAAGTGGTCGCAGTGTCCAGCACATGTGGATTGGCACGTACCTACGTAACGGTTTTTCGATTTGTGGAATACCGAGGGAACGCCTCACGGAATGTGTGTGCTCCAAAAGATTGTTTTGTGAGCTAGTCATTCGGGCCAAATTACCGATGCAATGCGCTGACATTCTTGAACGTTATTTCTATACTATGGTAGCAGAGTCAAGGCTCGGCAGCATTGCTGCAAAAAGCCAAATTAGAGTTGTTGTTTTTGCTCATGATAGAAGAACGCGGAGATGCGGCTTTGCTACCTGTCCCTGAGCGTCCAGAAATGTCCGCTGTGCCGGCTTGCCGTTTGCTTGACTAGTCTCCAAAGCTTAATTGGCCTCGATATCGTTGACAAGAGGCCTAAAGTGCTGAATCAGTGTATAGCTTTACGCGTCGTGGTCAGTCATAAGATATTCTCTGAAGAGCTTTGCTCAATCTGATCTGGGCTTTGCTAGCAGATATTAAATGCGGACATTTCATGGAAAATTCCGGCAAGTATTCAAGAAAAGATTGTGCACCACAACACGGTATGAATAATACCTCCCAGAACATGACTCCCTGGTTCCTGGCCGAAGTTTGATGGAAAGCCATGGACGAGTAATTGCAGCCCCAGTTCATGAGTTGCTATGGCGTATGCCTGATGATCAATCTATACTCCACTAGCCCGATCTACATATGCATGTTTTTATCTGGCCGAGGTGCAGTAACATGAGTACTATTCTTCACAAGACTGTCGGGTTCAAGCGCACATGAGCATGCGCGTCCGTGGCTGTGCTGACTTTATCAGTAAGCAGACGTGCATCATGAGGTTGCAGACATTGTTGACTCGTGGCATTGCGATGCTCTCACCCCGCCCGCGGTATAATGCCCACGGTCGAGCCGAGTTGCCGTCCTCACCCGTGGAAAAGACGATTCCCAATACTAATCTTGGGACTCAAGGTTTGCATCGCTCGGAGCCACATAAGTCACCGCATAAGTCACTGCAGCCTTTCATCATGAGTGGGGCTGTTCTCTGTTATGTTGATGCGGATGAACTATCAGGAAGCAGTCCCTAGCACACAAATTTCTGCCAAGTGAATATAAGGCTCAAGGTGTGACTTGGCAAATAGCTCTCCTTCGTCTCCTGCCTCTTCAACTAGACCCCTAACCGTTACTTCTGAAGCCAAGCTAGTACAGGTCAACTTCCTAACAATGCATCCTGCTAGTTTATTTGCCCTCCTGGGCTTCGTTACCAGTGGCCTATCTCAAATCGTCGACGGAACTTGGAAGACACTTGCTGAGATTCCATACAATGTGCGCCAGGAGCACTTCGTGGTTGCCTTGGATAACGAGACACTCTACATTATGGGCGGTATCATCCCCACCGACCCGGCGGCCCCCAACATTACCACTACCATCAACATTGTACAATCTTACAGTATTTCTGAGGACACTTGGTCCAACAAGAGCAGTGTTCCGATGGCCCTGAACCATCTTAATGTCGCCGTGGTCAATGGCAAGATGTACTCTCTCGGTGGTCTCCATGTGTTGCCGGACGCCTGGCATGGAATTGGCAACATGTTTGTCTACGACCCAGAAACAGATGTTTGGACCAACCTCACTACAACACTGCCTGACAACACGTACAGAGGTGCCTCGGTAACAGCTGTAAAGGATGATGTGATCTGGATGGCCGGCGGTGTCAGGCTCCTTGTTCCAGGAGTGGGCGGTTACCATGTGTCGACTTACAATGTGACGGCCTACAACGTCACTTCTGGGGAATTTTTAGACCTCCCAGAAGCTGCTGCCAGTTTGCCTGAGGCTCGCGACCACGGCGTCGGTGGTATCGTTGGGAATAAATTGTTTTATGCAGGTGGCCGCATCAATGGTCAGCCTAACATGCGGAACACCACCTTTTATTTGGACCTCGACAACCTTGAGGCTGGCTGGGTTACTACAGACTCCCATATGCCCACTGCCCGTGCCGGATCGTTCTTCGCCATTCAGGACGACCTGCTTTGGACTTTCGGAGGCGAAGTCAATTACAACAGCAGTAACGGATTGGGTGTCTGGGACGAGGTCGAGGTTCTTAACACGACTTCTCTTGAGTGGACTTCACTCTCACCCATGAAAGTACCGCGACATGGTTGCAACGGTGTAGTCATCGACGGCGTCATATACTTCCCTGGTGGTGGCCTTCGCAACAACGCCTGGCCTACTAACTACACCGATGCCTACATCCTCCCCAGCTACTGAGCAGACAAAGGCTGTAGGGAAAAACATTAGAGCTCTTTTTGAAATCCCTGCATTGTCAACTTATAGAAAAGTGTATTTATATCAAATTCACCTGGAGTTCTGACGGAGAGGTTTTTGTTGAATATGTCGAGGTGACAATGATTTGAACAGGGTGGAATTGGCGAAAGTGGTCTTCTGTTGCAGTCTTGCATTCATAAGAAATCTGACATGTGTTGATAATTGGCTTTCAGTGGCATCTCCGTGGAGCACCATTATGGTGTCAAGATGCTGGGTTGAGCCACATCCGTGCAGAGCAACGTTGAAGAAATCAACGAACACAAACAGAAAGAATCAACACCATGGCAGAATTGTGTTACGCCGATCAAAATGTGTCGCAGGTAATCCGGGATACACCGTTGAGATTGATAGTTAGTCCGGATTAGCCTTAGGCTGTTGCACTAAAGTTTGCTGAAGCGCATGCTCTTCGGCGAGCGTATTAGGAATAGGCCAAATGAGCATGACTGCAGGACCGCTTTTTGACCACCATAAAACTGGGCGTCATCTCGTTCTTCACAACATACCCAGTACAAGTAGAGCTTAATTCTATTGTTTCATCATATCAAAATCCAACATGTCGTCCTCGACTGACACGTCGTCATTTTCTCTGAAGCCAGTCGTCCCATCCGACTTCCCAGCTATGGCTGAGATGTGCGGCTTAGCTTTTGAGCACGACAGGCACACAATGCTTAAGGCTGCTCACCCAACAAATCCCTACGATCATGCTGCAGGGATGACTGGCGCATTTGAATATTGGCTTAGTCGCCCAGCCGGCAAATTGGAGTTGACCAAGGCAGTAGACGATGCGACAGGGGAGATTCTGGGCTTCGTTTGCTGGGGTATGAGCCTTGATCCCAACACAAAGCAAACCAAGTCCGAAGACGGCCCTCCTGCAGAGGAAGTCGATAAGGGTGCGGAGGCCAGTGTCGAACAGCCAAACAATGCCTCGTCAACAGATGATGTTGCGTCTCAAGGCACCAGTCCTGACCCCCTCGAACAACTCGAAGAGATGACATCGTCCCATCTCGCCGCGTTCCAAGAGCGGGTGATGCCGAATGGCGTTAGGTGCATGTATGTGATCACAATCACCGTGCATCCCAATCACCAACGCCGTGGAGTTGGTCCAGCTTTGATCAAACAAGGCACAGACCGAGCTGATGCTGAGGGCGTATTCTGTTGGGTTCACTCGAGCGAGGCTGGGGTTCACACGTATCAAAAGTGCGGATTTGAGGAGGACGATACACTCCAAATCGACCTGGATGACTGGGCAAGGAAGTTGGAGATCAAGCCACCAGCTGGTGACGACAAATGGGGCATTTATACGTTCAAATATATGATCAGGCAGCCCAAGGCTGCGTAGACATACCGGGCAAGATGTCGGGAAATTAATTTTGTGCTATAACATGCTACAGCCCAGAAGCTAAACCTGACTAAAAAAATACGCGATAGACTTCTTGTAGATCACACAGTCTCGGCATTCCTGCGATCCTCACCAGTCACAACGGTCTGAGTCTCAGTGCGGGCAAGAACACCTCCCCAGCCAGCACCATCACGCGTTCTCCTCTCCTTCTTCAGACTCTTCCGCGTGAAAACGCTCCAAAAATACGCTCCGTTCACCACCTCATGATCTCCTTCCTTATTCACCCAGACGTTACCAAGAAACGTGGTCAGAAGTGCGCAAAGCCATACAATTGGGATCAACGCAACGAAAGCCCACGAGATTCCACTCTTCGGGTCCATGTCACTCTTGTTGTTGAATACGGTGCTCATCAGCGTCAAGGCGATCATGCCCCCGAACGGCACAGCAAAAGAGAACAAGGAGGTGATAGCAGCCGTGCTGGCCGGGAAGTAAGCCAGACCGTGCATCGAAGCAGGGCTGAGACGAACGCCCACACCGAAGCCTGTGAGCGCCATCATGCCGTAGATTGTATTAGTTGTTTCAGCTGAAATTGCCCAAGCCAGGACTGTGATACCCACAGAAGATGTAATGGCCCCGAGAAGGAGGGGGTGAAGGGTTTGACGTGGCCACACATTAATGGAAAACATGGCCGTATATGCACCAGCTGAGTGATAAGGGGTGTTAGCAATAGCATAAAAGTAGCGTCAAGGATGATATCACTCACCTCCGAGCCCGGGGAGAAAGTATAACAATGCTAACCCAGCTTTACTTGCACTGTGGCCTTCTACAAGTGCAAAGTAAAGATCCATGAAATACATCACAGCGAACATGGATACTCCAAGATCGAAGTTCACAAAGAACAACAAGGATATATCCCGTTTTTCGAGGAGCTCCCATGGCATCATTGCTCTCTGGGAGCGGAAAACGCGTGACATTAGGTGAGGCGGGGCCATCGAGTACTCATAGAGGACCCACGCGACGCTGAGCACACTACCGACCACAAGTGGCGCGAGTACAGCGGCCGAGCCCCAGCCATATGTGTCGCCCGCCCAGGTAAATGCTAGGATGAGCAGGCCCAGGCCGAAGAGGAAGAGCAGCTGGCCGATATAGTCGATGGTCAGGAGCCTCGCGCCGAACCTCGCGCGCCTGCCCATAGGACGGTTCCCTTCACCCTCGAGCTCGGGTATCGGCTGCGGGCCCAGCAGCTCGTGGCGCAGGACCACAACGACGAGCACGATCGCGAGGACTCCCACAGGGAGGTTGATGGCGAAGCACCACCTCCAATTTGCCTGTGTCAAGTAGCCGCCAATTACGGGGCCTATGCTGAAGCCCACGCCGGAGAAGAGAGCGAACACCGTCCAGTTAAGTGCATAGTCGGCCAGCGAGACCTTATCCGCCAGTATAACTCGTACGCTGATATTGACGCCCGCAGCGCCGACGCCCTGAATAGCTCGGCCGAGTAAGAGCACACCAAAGGCATTGGTAGGAGCACCGGTGCAGATGGCGGAACCGATCATCATAAGCACGATGGTTGCATGGATTGTAGCGTGCCGACCAAAGATGTCTGCTATTTGAGCCCAAAAGGGGAGGAAGGCGGCGGAAGTGAGATTAAAGACAGAGATGATCCAGTTGAGTTGTGAAAGTTGATCTATGGGTGGCAAGCATCAGTTTCTGTCTTCGTGGGTGATGTGCAGTAATCAGGCCACGCTGGTAAATATGCTTACTGAAGTCAGATGCTATGAAGGAAAGTGCAGAGGCAATGATGGTAGTATCAAGGCTCTGGAGAGTGAAGGGCGCAACGAGGCCAACGACAATTTTCCATCGATAGACCCTCCGGCGTCGCTGTTCCGCCTTTACTTCCGGGGAGGCTTCCGGTTTCTCGGTCTTGCTCCCGGCCTTGGCGTCTTTAGTGACGGCCGGGCTGCTGTTGGTGGTTGGATTTGAGGGCGAGTCGAAGCTCATGGAAGTCTCCCTTGTCGCAAAATTTCGCACCGCGGCTTCTGAACGCGACTGCCGAGGGAGCTCTATCGTGTTGGTCGGAGGCGATTGCAACGGCTCATCGTCATGCACTTGTTGGCGCTCCTGGTACTTCTTGCGCGCCCAACGATATGCGAGGATCATTGTGTATGTTGAGGCTTTGCCTGGGCGTCAGTTCGAACTCAGATGAAGCTGTCGTGGAATAGAGTATTTTTGGATGACAAAAGTGTCAACACAGAGAGAGGCAACACCAGGCCTTTTAAAACAACGGACGTCCATCACGTCTCTTGCTCACACAGAGCCTTATTAGTCTTATCTTGATCATACTGAGATGAGGCCGCCTTGGACTAGATTTTCGCTGGTACGTGGACTAGGGCGCAGTGCAGTGCTGATATTCGCAAAGGAGCAAATGATACAGCTGTGCCACAGCATCGCGAGAAGCCTCTCGTGGTATAAATCCCGTTTGGGATAAGCGCGGCCTCCAAAAAGGTGCCTGGCCGGTGGATCACAGTCCTTTTCGTCAGCTTTGCGGCGCTCCACGGTTTGCGGTTTGTCCGACATCTTACATGAAGACTGTCAGCCGCAGTTGCGCTTGTACGCTTTTGGTCTGATGCCGCGAGACAGCTCATGGACGGGCTAGGGTTTCGGTTCCGTCCATCGTCGCAGGATCAGTTCGAACCACGAATTTGTGATTGAGTCAGTGAGGCGCAGCGAAGGGCCAACCAAGTTCGAAGGACCTGTATGATGTGTAGCTGCTGTCTATCACATCGTTTAATGGCAACTTTGTGCTCCAGAGACACGACTTTGAATTCGCTGCGATTGCGGTACGCACTAGGAGGATGCGCCAGATGTGGAGGACGTCATATTTTGAGGCCCGAAATTGGCCGAAGTGGAGAGGACCGAACTCCACTTGGACCTCCTCTCCTCATCGTCCGCCGTCATTTCTCTCCTTCTGCAAGTGACAAGCAGTCAACTGATCCCATCGAAACTTAATCATCACCAAACCTCCTTAACCATCAGACTTGATCCTACTCCAATTGGAAAGATGGCATCGTATCTAGGCCTACCGACCCCCCTTGTGAAGCCCGTCGCCGCCCTTGCTGGCTGGACTTTCGTGATGGAAGCCTTCATGTATGCTACGCGAATTCCAGCGATGCACAAGTATGAGGTTTCCACGGATCCAGACAAAGTCAAAAACGACTTGAATACCAAAGTGCCCATGAATATTCGTCAAATCGCTGATAATTACAACCATCTCCATGAACAGCCAACCACGTTCTACGCTGTGGCTTTGGCTCTAACCATCGTCGGCGACAATCACCGATATACGAAGTATGCAGCCTGGAGCTACGTCGGGATCAGGATCGTGCATTCGCTGTTCCAGTCTTTGGTCAACAAGGTCATGGTCCGATTTTCTATGTTCGTTACGAGCTCGGCTGTGCTGGCCGGTCTGACTGGACGCCTTGCACAGCTGGTTTTCTAGGCTCACGACCGGACTCAGAACAGTTCTCGCTAGGATTGCTTCCAATAGGAATTGGGCGGAGTTGGAGGACATGTGACCTCACTTCCAATTTATTCAAACACTGGTATAAAACACGACTTTTGATTTCGCCGCTTGTTCTCAGGCGAGTCCATCGCGTTGAAGGCATAATTATATGGTTTCAACCACATGCGGCTAGGATCTCGGGACTGTTGGCCCGCCCTGGGATGCTAATGGAGTCTAATGCAAACAAGCTTATTTCATCAACCATGCCGTGCCTGTCGCCGAGGTAGACCGTTGTGTACAAATGTCGTGAAACCCGTTCAATTGTCTTCAATGTCTCTCGGATCTTTCCCGGCCCGTAGGATGGGATCGAGGTGTCCGGAGTCCAGGTCTTAACTGCGCTTGCGCTGGCGAACTCCCCATGTTCCTCCTTCACGCGAGACATGATCCCAGCCAGTATATCTGCTCACATATTTGGTCACATTTGGCTGACGCCACCTTCCAGCCGCACAAGGCGAGGTGCGCGACATATGGGCATCAGTGCAACCCACGTGGACCCTCGTGTCCATGGCCACTTTCCCGCACGCGTTACGACATCATACTCAACGCCGCACTGAACCGGCCTCACGGGTCAGTGATGTCTTCGATGTAACCGCCTGGTCCGTGTTGCTCATCCGCTCCAAGGATGCCTGGAAAGCCAGTCTCTCCGGGGTTAGGCTGCCCCGGCACGCCGCGCCGACGAAAGTCGCTACTTATTTATCTAAGCGATGCGTCCGTGCCTGATTCCTGCAACACACAAATATTCCTGAAGTATGGAGGCCCCCACCCCACCTCTTTTACCTCCCCTTTCGAAGGATCATCGCGCGCGCGCCCTTGGCAAACTAAAGATCGCCAGGAGCAGGCCACATGACCGAGAGTATATGAAATGCACAGACACTCATGCCAGAAGTTTCAAGTTCGTGAGATGCTTTAGTAATGTGCGAAACCAATGATGAATCCGATAAGCAGGGTAACTGTTCCGCTCCAAATCGACCGTTTGTCCGATGTCACCCTTTTAGGTTTCAGATTTCTGATATCGTCTGATGTCGTCTGTTGAGCCTGGAATAGTCGATTCGCCAATGCTACCTCGGATCGCCAATCGAGCCCGGATACGACGACAGCAGTGGCGGGAGCAAGCTCGGCCCAGGGGGGAGGGGTTCGAGGGGCTGAACAGTGTGCATCGAAGATGGCCACCTGAGATGTACCACCCATTATCTCGTGAAAACAACCAGTTATCCCAGAAGACGAATCATGGGCTGGCAAGGGCCTGGCTTGTCTGTGCTATTGCCACGGCACTGTTGAAGGTCTGTCTGCATTATGGTCTGCGTTTGGCAAATTTGCAGCTCGCTCACCTTCACCCCACTACATAGGCTGTGTCGTTCGGTACAGTGAAGGAACTGTCATCGATATATATAGCACCAAACTGCATTCACCGGCAGATGAACAAGGTCCTACGAGAGACAATGCATCTGTACGGTCTGCTATAGCCTCGTGTCAAGTCGACGCACTCTCGTCTTGATGCCCCCACAAATGACACATGTATCTGTTTAATGGCCCCCATTTGAAGCAGGAGTACCTCTTCTCAATGCACAGAATCAGGCTTCGAAATAATGTTGTGGGTTGCCGCAGTATAGCTCCTCAAGATCTCACGCTGAGATCGACAGTATAACACACAGCGCACGGACGAAGTTCGCCATGCGTAACATCGGGCCGGTGTGGACGCTGGAGAAGTATCATAAGTCAGATCTTACAGAGAAACTTTATCTAAATCGGTAGGTATGCCCCGAGCATTTGCGCGGATATAGTACGGAACTAGCGTCCACGGGTTCCTGAACCGCAGGGAAGTGGTTGCCTGTAGCTTGTTTATTCCAAACTGAAAAGACAGTCCAAGCTCGAGTATCTGCACGCACGGACGGTCAGCCTGGCCCTGGGCTTTTTTTATGGCTGTCGCCATCAGAGCCAGAAGAGGGGAGCTGGGTCTGCCTGCGGCAATTTCCACAAGGGACGTTGTATGATTTTGACCGTTTCAGCAGCTGCAACGAAATGTTGTCGTAGAGAGCCCTGGAGGGCCCGGACTGTCGAGGGTGTCAAATCCAGGGAGACAGAAAACTTTACGGCTGTCAAGCATGACATTTCAGGTAGCTTTCCGTCTTGGCCGCCCTGACAGGACAGGCCCGGTCTGGGGTATACAGTACCTAGGCACGGCCCACCTTTGGCTCTTGCTTCGATGTAACGTGATCTGGGTCCGGTAGCTGCTAAGCACCGGCTCGAGTGGAAATCAGTCAGTCGCTGGTTACACGTTCGCGAATTTCTCCACTCATCTGCTTTGTAAAGCATTTATGTAGGGGAACCTTACTCTGGCGAGTATCTACTAGTTTCTTGGCTCTGGTGTTTCGGCCGGCGGTAAGCCCATTCCCTGGACGCTTTCCCCTTGATAAAGCCACTAGGGGAACGAGCCGTAGTTCACCGTTGAGGTAGCGACCCCAGTAGTTTGGCAAATCGATATCCCGGCTTGACGGCATTGACAATTCCTGGATTGGACCATGCTCCTGTCGACCTGCTTCCACAGGGCTGTGTGAACAACCCCAGGTCGCCGAGGAAGTCAAGTGGCGGAGGCGATGTGAGCGTTGTCCATTCAGAAGGCTTAAGTGAACTGATACTCGGAGAATATCTCTAGTGCCACTAATCTTGTGATCTGCACCACAAGGTAGCTGTTGAAAACACAAGGGGTGGGACACTGGGATCGTGTCTGATCCCCTCCTCTTCTTAATACGATCGGGACCATCTTATATGGTGCGAATCTTCGTAAAACTTGCTGGATTCGGACGTTGGCTTGTCATTTATGTAGTCGTTCAAGAACCTAGTCACTTACCCACAAGCCTTGACTCGGTACAAAAAAAAACAGTACTCTGATGCTCTCCAGACTACATCTACTGCCCAGCACCTGCCCGAACCCTGTTAAGTCCACTCCTCCTTCGCTTGCCTCTTCTTCCAGGCGTGAACATTGGCGGAACAAACTCCAGATGTCGTTTAATCTGACAGGAGTCCCACAATGTGGTGTAAGTTCAGCCCAAAACTCTGTTCAGTCCATCGACAGCGTACTGACGTAGGCCCCAGGTTACCTGCATCATTTCCTCCCTTTCATCGTCGAGTTGTGCCCTCACCGATTACACCTGCCTGTCAGTATAAGACTTTTCCCGCTACGGTTGCCTACCCGTTTTTCATTCAAATCTTCCAGATTGATTCATTTGTGCTCCGTAGCAGGTTACTAACGCATAGCAGGTGTCTTGATCCGGTCTACAATAGAGCTGTGACGAACTGCGTTATCGTGGGCTGCGCGGTTAAAGAACAATTGGGTGCATTCTTCGACAGCCCCTTGCCACTTCAACAAATGGAGGTGGTAGCATCTGAACAATGCTTTGCTAACAGTCATTCAGTCGTTAAGCGAATTACAGCGACGAACTGTAGCCTCCCGATCGTCGACCGCGGACCTATTGTCACTGTGCTTCAAATAGTAGTGACAATCATTCAAGATATTTTCTTCTTCATCAGAATCTTGTCCAGGATTCTGAAGTTGGCACCATGGGGAGCTGATGACACAACAATAGTAATTGCATGGGTCCGTATGCCTTTTTCCATTTGTAATTGCCGATTGTTAATGATGTAGAGCAGATACTGCAAAATGTCTTTCTTGCTGGCGGAATCATTGGTAAGGTCAGACTTCGACATGACATCGTCAACCAGAACTGATAGACCATATACAGCCAACCAGAACGGGCTTGGCATAGACATTTGGTTTGTCCCTTTTAACCAAATAACAAATTTTCTCCAGATCTTCTTCATCTTCGAGGTGCTGTACACCCTCACCCTCGGGATCATCAAGATATCTATTTGTTTTTTGTTCCTCCGGCTGTTCCCTGACAGAAAGATCCGGCGCTATCTCTGGGCCACCCAGGTGTTCAATATTTTGCTGGTCGTGACATATGTGATAGTCGACCTCGCGCAATGTCAACCGATAAGCTATTTCTGGGATATGTGGGAGTACGTAATAAAACTACCACCTCCCTGCGGCACCTAATTGGAAGGCTTGAAAGTCTCTTCAGTTTCACGATCGTCGGCATGCCTACATTCAGATTTGCTGACGAGGTTACTACAAAGCGGAGAACACGTCGGTCGTTGTATCAATATCTATGGTATGGCCTGGTCTCATGCCATAATTAACATCGTCCTCGATATTTGGATGCTGGCGATCCCAGCGAGCCAGGTTTGGGGGCTTAATATGCCCCTGAGAAGGAAACTTGGCGTGATGATTATGTTTGGACTGGGTATTTTGTAAGTTCTCACCATGAAAAATCCTGGTGCCCAATCTCTAGAGACACCTAAACGACAATGCTAATGCTGTTTCGATACAGTATCACCATAGTGAGCATCATTAGGCTCAGGAGTTTGATCGGCTTCGCCCTTGCTTTTCCACAAAACCCAACAAGTAGGAACAGGCAAACCCAACTAGCCACTCTTGTATGTTCAGAACTGACGAGAAATTTGCGAAGTGGATTTCTTCGGCGTAGCATTGTGGTCAGCTCTCGAGCTCACCACTGGCGTAACGGTGGCTTGTCTCCCGGCGACCAGGCAGGTAGTCGTCAAATACGTACCAATCCTGCCAGAAATCATCTCGAAGTACACGACCCGGCTCAGCAACAGCCTATCGTACGTGACCGGGAGCAAGTTGACCAAGAGCGAGCTCGGCAAGTCCACGGACATCTCACGAGACAGGACACTGCAAAGAATACCGACCGAAGACATTGTAATGAACACCATGTCGCCTCACAAACCCTATAGTCCGGAAGGGCCACGGCCGTACTCCATCGCAACGACGCCATCGCCACACACCGATGGCTTCTCTCTCGCTGTCTTTGATGGTCCAGGTGGGACCTCAACGGATGGTAGCACCGACAACGGCAATGGCCCGGAGCGGGCGAGACCAGAAGAGGGACTGGAAGGGCCTTCGGAACCAAGTGCAAATCGACAGTGGAGGCCGATGTCTTATCCTCAGCCACAGGCAGATCGACTACGCTGGCAATGAACACACTATTTAATGATGCTCAAATTAGTCACTTAGGGCTGGAACCCTCACGGGACGGACATTCTTGTGGCCATAATAGAAATAGAGAACAGAGAAGCTGGGTATCACTATCTATTGCTCTTTAGCCTGTATCCACCTGACCGGTTCAGAGCCGTCACCCTATTGCCAGACAGCCTTAACAAGGAAAAACCCCGAATAGAAGTTCTAATATTACAGAGCAACGCCTCTATATTCCCATTCGTTGGATCCATCTCATTTTCACGCGACCAGAACAAAACATGGCATAACAACTTCATCCGCAGCCTAAACAACGTTCAACCCTCGGACACCTTTCAGTCCCATCTTACCAACAACTTTCTTCTGCAAGACAGGCACGCCAGGCGCACCGAGTCCCTGAAACGCAAAGTCGTTTGCCTGCTGAACCAATTCATTAACAGACCAGTTCATCTTATTCCTAGCATCCTTGTAGTACCCGAGCCAAGCCTGATAAACCTTCGTTTGCTTGTCAGGTTCCATCCTCTTAGTAAAGGCAGACACATCAGCGCGGGCACTCAAGTCTGCCGGTGTCTCATCTAGCTTGAGGCCTTTGAGGACGGACCGCGGGAAGAAGGCTTCATGAGAGGTGAGCACTAAGGTGCCATGGCCATCGGCGCCCGCTCGAGCAGTTCTGCCCAGTCGGTGAATGTAAGACTCTCTATCCATCGGAAGGCCGACTTGGAAAACATTTGAGATCGCAGGGAAATCTATCCCGCGAGCAACCACATCCGTAGCACAAAGTATTCCGTTCGAGGCGTTTCGGAAGTCCTCGGTAACTCTGCTTCGCTTACTCTGCGTCATGCGGGAGTGGAGTGAGCAGATGGGGGGTAAATCCCGGAAGGTTCCCAGCACATCGGCATAGAAATCAACCAACGCCGCCGTTGGGGCGAAGACGATGGCTTTGAAATTGCCCTTGCCGACCCTTGCCATCTCCTGACGGATAGCTCCGACTGCCCCGGCTGCCACGTCAGAGAATTCGGGAACGATGGTAACATGTTGCGGGACGCGGTCGTGGGTCTGTGCCTCGCCTTTGGGAATTGTCGAGATGAACTGGTACCCATCGGATAGGACAAGACTGGCGAACTGGGAAACGTGAGGGGCGATGGTGGCAGAGAAAAGCATGCCTTGGCGTTGAGAGGTCTTCTGATCGGCCAAGAGGCCGATAATTTTCTTAAGGTCCCTAAGAAAGCCCATGTCCAAGAGTCGGTCGCACTCATCCAAGACCAAGCTCTGGAGTGACTGCATCATTGCCCGAATGGACCCATCCTCCTGCGTGAGGTGATCCTGAAGTCGCCCTGGAGTTGCGACGAGAATGTCACAACCCGCGCGGATACGACTCGTCTCGGAGCGCATGTTGGTGCCGCCGATGGCAGTACACACCTTGTACTTCGGGAACCGCTGCAGCAGCTGCTTCGCCTCCTCTGCAATTTGCATAGCGAGCTCTCGCGTAGGGGAGATGACGAGCAAACATGGAAGCCTCACGTTGTTCTTATTAGCGACCAACTTCTGAATAACTGGCAAAAGGAATGCCACTGTCTTTCCAGTTCCAGTCTTGGCTTGTGCGAGGACGTCGCGGCCGGAGAGCAGCAGGGGCAAAGTAGCGGCCTGTACGGGCGTCATGTATTCGAACTTGAGGTCTTCGGCAATAGTCTTGAGCAGTGTGGGATGGATGTTGTATTTCGCAAGATCGTCAAACCGAGTGAGGCCTGTGGTGTCGGCAGGAGAGGCAAGAGGAGCGGGCGCCGCGTCAACTTTGGCTGGTTGGATCGGTACAGCCTGTGCTTGCGATGCTTGCTTGGAGGACGCATCTGAGGTGGAAGCGACTGTCGCCTTGTCGCTGGGGCGATACGGGTGCTTTCTGTTTTGCCTTCTTCGACCTCCCCTGCCTACAGGCGAGTTGTTGCCCACGGAGGATGATGGCTTCATTGTGCGCGCTGTGCGGTCACCGTTTGAGGCCATGATTGCCGAGAACGAGCGTAGTCCCTGGACAGGACGAGTACGCCGAATGACGGAGTAAAATGCGATTGTTGATTGAAGACTCGGAAGACGGCAGGCAGACAAAATCCGCTGAGACATCAGTGGGGGAAAAGAAAAGATAAGGGGGGAGATGGATTGTCAGGTTTTGGGGGGCTTTGGGATGGCTTTGTTCGCAGTGGGAAAAACCCAGGCACTGCTTCCAGAATGAGATCTTTCAGCCAGGGTGAAAATCCTTATCGATAAGGATGAGGGATAAGGACTGCTTATCTCTGCCCCCTGACGGGACCCACATACCGCCCCTTTGTAGGCAGTAGTCTAGCACCGCCGTGTTCCTGTGTGATGTGGAGGAAAACCGCCTGGCGTGGTATCACAACTCCAGACAATTGCAACGAGCCGCCAATTTTTTGAATTGTGCCGTTGTTCGAGTACTGAGGTACTACTTGTCCATATCTATATATATATATATATATATCTCCTTCACAGCTCACGGACATTTGTCACTCTTTGCTTCGGCACTTTGTCAATGCAACACCACCTCACTGCCCCAAAATCCACCTAGCAGCGTTTGGGAAAGGACGCCATATCAATGCTGGAACCTGAAATCCAATCTCTTGTTGCCTTGATCCGTCGTGTTTGCAAGGTAATCCAGCCTCTCGTCTTCTGTCAAAGCGTTCCATTTCTTGTCTCTTTGTTTGTTTCGAAAGACGTAATACGCCTTCGTTAGGAAATACAAAACAATGTTCATGCAGCACACGGCAAGGAGTTGTCGGTTGCCTCTTTTGTACAATGGTTTGTCGTCTGTCGTAGATAGTCAGCTCGCATGGCCGTTGCACTGCGTACCTAGGTATTGCCAATCTAGGACCTACCTGCACGATAAATATTACTGCTTATAATTCCTCCCGCCTGGACAAACATGTTGTAACATGCTGCAGAGACTGTTCTAGAACGAACAGCATTCGAATTACGAGAGTTCCACCCAACTTGGATTGGATGAGCGTTAGGATAGATAAGCAAGAGGACAAGAAGCGCGTATAAAACCCATCTGTTGATAGTCGCCAAGTTGAGAGCAACTAAGCAGATGAGTAGTGGAAGTGCCCAGATTTGGCCGATCATAGCCGTAAAAGTCAGCTCGTTCCACATCTCGGCCAGGTATGTTAAGATAAGCATCGAGATAACTGTGGCCATATTAGAGGCGGAGAGCTCGCTGCAGGGTAATAGATAGACTCACTGTGTCCAGCATAGTACGGAATTGTGAGGAGATTGGTTTGGAATGTATCGAAACCAAGTCCCTTCAAAGTCAGTGTCAAGTAAAGAGTTTGAGGCGTCATGGGAATCTGGAACGCTAGACCCAAGATGTATAGCGGCCTGAAGACCCGTCAGTTGATGTGTCAATGCAAACAGGAAGTGTGTTGTATATCTGACCAGAGATCGAAGTCTTTCAGACTCTGCCATAACAGCTTTGGTGTTACTGGTTCTCTGTTGTGCATATTACTCTTCGATGGATCCTCTCGTAAGACTCTGTTTACGATAACTGTTTGCTCTCTTTGCGGTTAAGAAGTCAGGGCTTGTCCTAATTGATAATGATTTGAACTGGACAAGAGCACAAACCTCTCGTCAAACCAGCCTTTCTTGCCCCGGAACCAGCTGGCTGTCTGACACGGCCCTGCAGGCATTAGGCCAAAGGCAAGCAGACCGACTAGGAGCGTGAAGAGACCCTATATACTGTTAGTACTATGGTATTTATAGATCAAGGGGTCACATGACGGCCCAACGAGAATCATTTTCAGAACCGGCATTAGCTCACCTCTATCAGGAACAACCATCTCCAACCGGCCTGGCCTGCAACCCCTCGCATGTGTAGAAGCCCATAGGCAAAGATGGCAGAGAGAATATCTGCAATACTCATACCAGTCCAAAACCACCCCACTCTGATGGAAAGCTCGTGATGTTTATAGAAGTAAGAGAGATAGAGGATTACCTTATGAATGTATAGTGTCAGTAGTAGTTTCAATTCAGCGGTGATGGATCCTCGTCACTTACATCGGGAATAAATCCACCCTGCAGCACACCAAGGAGTGCCCTGCAGACAAGGAACGACTCTCGACCACTGAGCCAGAATTGAGCTGCTGCCACAAAGCTCCAGAGAATCAACTGACTCGGAATCCACCTGTCTGGCCCCATCCACTTAGATACAAGCTGAGAAGGAAGCTCAGAGCAGAGGAATGCAAGCTTGAACACGGTGTTTCCAAGGTTGTAATCTGTCTTGAGATTAGTACCTGGGCTGGACCTCGAGTTGCGAAAACTCCACAACGTACCGTCTGTGGAAAGTTTGAGATCGTCCAAAAAGTTGTCGGTCAGAGCTTGTGAAAGATTCGCTCGATCGATCTCCAGTGCCATGAACATTACGATTGCCCAGAGCATGATCCTAAGATCGATCTTGCGGACGAGTCTGTTTTCTTCCCCCCATGTCCACCTAGCTGTAGGATCGAAGCGGTGAAAATTCTCCCTAATTCGACTCAGCTTTAGGAGTGAAGATGAATAGTATTCATTTTGTATCCTACTTACCAGTCAGACCTGGGTAGGTATTTCTCTGCAGTTTCGGGATCGTCGAAAACACTTGGAAGTGTCGCAATTGCATTCGGGTCGTAGGACCTCGACGTCTGCCAGAAGAACCTCTTCTGCTTGATGGGGACCCCTAGAGCCAACCCCTCGGACAAGGACGTGGTCGAAATTGCAGGCTCATCTTTGCCGCTTTCACCCTCGATAGCTCGCTTTTGAGGGACTGGATGGCTTCTCGTAAGAACTGTAGCCATTTTCCTTGCTCTCAGTCTAATCGCGCCTTGTCTGCATGGGACTCTGTCGCCAAAGGAGTATCGCGGCTGCTTCTCGGTTTTTATGCCAAGTCAAAGCTCAGCATCATATTTGTAGAATGGACCAAATCTTTCGCGGCTGACTCTGAGAAAACGAGAACCCCCACGTGGCAGTGTGTCTAGCTTGATATGATCTTTTCTAGTTGATGATTATCGATGGCGAAGACAGCCCGCATAATCACGAAGAGACAAGCAGCCACATCGCCCCAAAACCGGCACAATCAGATATTCCGATGTCGCCCCAGTGATATGTCCTTGGTGCGACCGAGGTCTGGATCTGGTCTTTCGGCTGTCGCTTTCGGACAATGTGTTCTAAGTGTGCTTGGTATGGCCACACTGCTTCGCAAGCTCTGATCTAGACCAGCTGAGTTCTAGCTTGATAAATCCTCTTGAATTTGGACCGTCGAGATACAGGAGTCGAGGAGTGCAGGGGTACACGAGGATCAAGGTGCTCAAGGCGAAGGATTGGATGGGGTCTATCCATACAGCCACAAGATGCACAAAATGACCAACATGGATTCATAGAAGGAGCGGCCTAGTATTCGCGTCTTACAGCTCGGTATCTATCAAAGGCCTGTCTCCGCGTCCCCGGTTAGATCGGCAACTTTCAGGCTCAAACAGACGCCAGTCTAGATGATCTACAGCTTTAGATACTACGGTCATGCTCGTCATTTTATGAGTAAAAGTTAACTCGGTAGCCAGGTAGCTTATCTGTACCCCATTCTTCAAAACGTTGTGCTCAATCCCACCCAATATGACGAAGTAGTGCTTGGCGGGATGGCGTGATGGCCTACATATATGTCGACCTCGCGATCAATGCAGCCATGCAGTATCCACGAGAGTGCGATTGATCGATCCAAAGCGAGAGGTGCAGGGTGACTTTGTTACATGCTTTCGCATACTTCTGCATTACCTCGGCCTTCAACAACACGAGGCATGCATTCGGGATAACAGCATGCCCGAAGTTCGACCGCCAGAGTTTATATATGCGTCTGACTTGAATGTTAAGGATGGCAAGTCAACAATTAGTTATTTAGAGCTCAGAATTATTCTGTAGCAAGCAAATTTGCTCGCGCATTTTTGGTCCCGTAAGATTTAAACAACTGTCGCATGTGTACTCGGAGTAGTACCAATAGCGCTCCCTCTGCACTTTCAAACATCCAAAACTTGACGTGACCGTCGTCGTGCTTTCTCCCAGTCACACGGCATCAACCCCGCGCGGGATGCACCCGTTTCCGATTGGGCTGATGATCTGAGGTGGTTGCATAAACAAGACGAGCCACAGGTTACAAGCCAACTCAAGAGCACGGAATTATCAGGCTGTCTTCCACCATCGTGAACATGCAAGCTAATTGAAGGTATGGCCGGGCTAGTCTGAGCTGTCTCGGTCTCTTTCCTCCAGGTATCTTATCGATTTCCAGCGATATCCGCGCAGTGTGACATTTTTCTTTTTTAAAATTCCTGTCTATTTCCATGTTTGCATCTGCCCAAGTGTCACCTCTTCTGTCGGTCTTACGTCGACTCCTCGGTGGGACTGGGAAGAAGTGACTCCGCAACCTCTTCTTATCACTTCCACAATTATACTTCACAACGCTTCGTCGAAGCCGACAGCTCGAACATGGCTCCGTCCGCTATCGATATTGAGGCGCCTATTAGGCACAAAGCGGAGCATAAACAGCCCCTGAAGTTGTCTGGGGCTCTGGAAGCTTTTGAGTCCTTCGATGTTACGCCTATTATTGGCCGGGAGTTCCCAAAGGCCAATCTTGTAGACTGGTTGGATGCGGAAAACTCAGACGAGCTGCTGACAGACCTTGCAATCACTAGTAGGTTACCAAAAACCAAACAAGAATACTCAGAGCAACTAATACCAAACTTCTAGTCTCGCAGCGTGGGGTCGTCTTCTTCCGTGCTCAGGATGCACTTACCAACGACCTCCAGAAGAAACTTATACTGCGACTCGGAGAACTGACAGGGCGTCCTAAGACCTCCGGCCTTCATATTCACCCAATTCTCAACGACTCGCGAGAGCTGGGTGGAAATGACAAAGAAATATCTACGATCAGCTCTGTACAGCATAGCAAACTCTATAAGCGAGAGACAGTGGATCAGCTGAGCGCCAAGAAGCAGAATAGTGCCCAGTGGCACTCCGATATTGCTTTCGAGCCAGTGCCAGCTGACTATACCTCGCTGCGCTTGGTCGAGCTTCCAGAGACTGGTGGCGGTAAGTTTTACGATGATATTTTCCATACTGCGGCCTCTGATACAATAGCTTCTGGGCTCGAGGTGCTAATAAGAGCAGACACCCTGTGGGCATCGGGCTATGAGATCTATGATCGCATCAGCGAGCCATATCAGAAGTTTCTCGAGGGATTGACCGGCACATTCGCCCAGCCGTTCTTCAAGGAAGTCGCCGAGAAAGGAGGGTTCGAACTCTATGATCAGCCCCGCGGCGCCCCAGAAAACGTCGGAACCGAGCTCAAGGCAATCCATCCCATCGTTCGTACGAATCCGGTGACTGGCTGGAAGAGCATTTTCCCAGTGGGAGGCCACGTGAGGCACATCAACGGCGTAACGCAGGAAGAAAGTGACCATCTCCTGAAATGGTTCCTTGACTTGGTTTACAAGAACCACGACCTACAAGTCCGTTTGAAGTGGCAGAATAAGAATGACATCGGTAAGTCAATTTCCTGGAAGCCAGCGTGATAACAAAGTCTTAATTTACTTGCTGGCAGCGATCTGGGACAATCGCAGTGTTTTCCACACGGCAACATTCGACTACGATGGCCTAGGCGACCGGTTTGGAAACCGAGCTGTTGGACTCGGAGAGTATGTCCTTATTTCTTTCAAGAACACCCATTGTTCATGAGATACAGTCTCCAAGCCAGATTATTCCGTATCTACCCATGTGGCAGGGAAGTGGCTTTAGGCGCTAACGAGAAGACAAACAGGAGACCGTATCTTGACCCACAGAGCTCGTCCAGGCGTGTCGCGTTAGGTCTGCCTTTTGTGCAGTAGGTGGCTGTTTGGCCAAATCCTGTGATGCTATATGCGAGCCGTAGCTTCCAAGTACAATGTTACGGGGGTTCCACTCACAGCTATTAAACCTGGTTTCAGATAATATAAAGCCATTGTCTATTCACATAACCCAAATTGATCTACACCATACGCGGCATCTATGACTCGGGTTGCATGTGCAAAGAATGGCTTCGAATCCTCCTGCATGTTCAGTCTCTTAAAAAGCTTGACATAGAAGCATCACCTGAGGGGTCGTCGTGGATTTTCCAATACAATTGTATCCAAGCAGTCATCTTGGAGATTGCAACTAGCTTCCTGAATAATTAAAATGAAATTCAGCTACGCCATCCATTGATATGTCAGGACCTTTTTGACCCTGCCTCTTCAACATCGGTCGACACTCATGGTGAATTGTTTCGTTTGATTCCCTTTCTAAATAGTATCCCTTTTGATCAAGTGCCTCGGAGATCTATAATGTTTGCGCCCATGCAGGACATAATACAGCGTAGCAAGGATCGTTGTACCGCCAAAGATGACTGAGTTCCAGTTCATTGTCTGTGGCGTAACATTCGGCGAAATAGGGAAGAAGATAAAGGTCCAGACCACAAGCAGGAACAGAGTTGCACCGAGATTAATGAATAGCCCCGCAGAGCCAAGAGACCATCGATGGTGAGGCATCGGCCCCTGGAAGCGACGTATTATCAGACAAGTGAAGGAGATGATGTAAGTACTCAGCAAGGCGCTTATCGCAAGTGATCCTATAGCGTTGAAAGCAACTACGGAGCCAATATTGATGAGCGAGAGCAATGCTGTGATTGTGAAAGTAACCAGAACAGACTGGAACTTGCGGAGTTAGCTATCAGGATACTAAAGACGTGCATATGAGGACTGATGGAGTACGATGTCATATGCCCATAGTATGTCTCAAGCTGCATCCTGGCCAGTCGCTTTGGGACAAGAGGGACAAGTACTAAAACAGACCTCGGTTGGCAGATTTGTTCTTCTAAAATATTGAAAGAGTACCCGAAAGCAACTTACGTTCAGAGGTATGTTCCAGCCAGGTTTGACATGAGCGATGAATGACGAGAAAGGGAGGCCGTTGTCACGGGCGAAAGCCCAGGTCTGACGCGAAACCGTGGCTACGGTAGAGATGCATGCGGATGTAATGTTGATGATCAGGATTGCGGTCATGATGGAAGCGCCAGAGTAGCTTCGAGTCCTATTGAACATCAGTCTCGGGTTACAGAGCTCAAATCGACGGTTTCTAGAAGGCCCTTTAAGATACAGCATAAAGCATCGTGGCATGTGTAAATTTGTACTCACGTATTGTAGAAGACCTGTATAAAGGGATATCCTGTAGGAGATCCGATGATGTCGTAGACGCTGCCCATGGTGAAGCTGAAGGTAATAATCATGATGAAGCCCATCATACCGTTCACACCTGCTGCCCACATTATTGCCTTGGGGAGTACTAGCGACGCATCTTTGACTTCTTCAGACATGTGCACCGCTGAGTCAGCACCGATCAGTGTGTATACTGGGGCGAGAAGACCAATGAAGAAGCTCAGAGTGTTTGAATCCCATCCACCAAGGTTTAAGAACTCGGTAAAGACTTGAACTGGGTTGTTTAGTGGTGCCAAGACCCAGAGTGGGATTAGAACGCCAGCAAATCCCAAGATGTGGATACAGAGGATTGTGCCTTCAACCATTGGAAGCCGCTTTGCTAGGACCGTGTTGAATATTATGCAAAATGCCGTTATAGCGACGACAAGCAGAGTGCCATGCCATTGTTCGAAGACGTATTCGGGGTAGTTCAAGACGAGTAGGCCTTGTATCATAGTTCCCGCAAGGAATGCCAAAGATGTGAGGCCAACTTGCCAGCCCAATACTGCGACCCATCCTAATGGATGTAATCAGTTACTGCCGAGTTCGCGGGAACTACTAAAGATCACATACCGACCGTATAGCTCAAAAGCTTCTGGGCCCGCGCAGGCGCAAATTCAGCAACCCAATGATACTGCGATTACAGTCAGCCAAAACCCCCTTTCATAACGATTCGAATCCGAGGACGGACGAACCTGGCCTCCTGATGTTGGAGACATAGAAGCCATCTCCGCCACTGAGGCGAATACCAAGAGATAGCCGAGCCACGTTATTAGGTAGCCCCACACCAGACCAGCAGGCCCTCCGTTAAAAATGCCATAGAAGCTTGTCCTAAATAACCACCATCGTCAGACATCTGACAAGGCTTTGGGATATAGAGAACTGACATAAGAGAAATCTCCCACGTGCTCATCAATGTGCATGCGAAACCCAATATTGATATAAAACGGAAGTTCCGCTGTGGTAAATCAGTTTTGTCCCTGGGTCTAGAGGATGGGTCCATTTACTCACATTCAGCTCCTGCGTGCGGCCTAGCACTGTCATTTCATGTTCATCTTGCGATATCGTTTCGTTGCGAGAGAGATTGTGCAATTCAATGTCTGTAAGAGGCTCATCAGAGCTCTTAACCGCAAGAAGCTTCTTGTTCATTTCATAAGCGAACCCTGCAACAACAGTGGGGCTTGCATGAAGTGTAAAAGAAGAAGATCATGCAGTTGGTCTGTAGAATAATGGTATTGGACACAAATTGATGTGCATCTCAGGTGAAGCATTTCTTTGAGCGAATGCAGACATGTGATTCAGGGACTGATAGAGCACTAGAGGTTGGCAGGCACCAAGACCAACGGCCGTTGCAGAGCTCCTCAGCTGCATCAAAATTGAGTGCCAGCAGGTTACTGTGCTAGAGCTCAAGTAGACAGTCCCAGTCCCCAGTCCAAGCTGGTATTTCGGGAATTAGAAGCATTCGTCTAGTAATGTCTCACACAGTGGAACCACGACTCATTTTCTATTGGCAACCTCAACGCGCTTGCCTTAGACCTTGAGCCGATCACGGCTCTTTTGATCAACCATTTCAGCCGTCCACGGGAAACCCCTTTTGCAACGTGCACAACCCGGCCGCCCGGAGACCACTGGGCTGCGCTAAAGCCCTCTAGTTTCTTTTCCGGGACCTCCTCGAGCACATGAATGGCTTTGTTTTATCTCAGATCGTACGTTGTGGCTTCTTCCTCTCCACTTACCTTGGTAACACAGTGATTGGCATCCTCGTCTTGTCAAATTTGAGTCGCCACCGTAGTTCTTTGTCACTTACAGGCGCATGAAGAGACATACCTAGTGCAGAAGGTAGATATTTTGCGTGTAACTGCATGCAATCGCTTGTCTCGGAAGTTGTCATGGTAAGTCATTGCCAATCCCCGCAGGCTTTTCACCTTTATCCTATGTATAGCCTCGGAATCCTCTGGCGATGTCAGCCTCAAAGCAACAGTTGCGACAGAAATAGGCGACTATGTCCTGAGTATTAATTTGAGATCTCGGCGACGACAATAAGGTGTGCCAAGACTTCACGAGAGCCAACGACGGAGTCTTCTGGAGACTTGGCCAGATGCTGCCCTCGGAATCATATAACATGGCTTCCCTTACGACGAGCAGAGAGTCATTGGCGCCTAGCTTGCTGCCCGGACAATCACCTCCCTTAGCGGCTTTGACAAACGCGAACAAATCTGGTATTGTGGTCATTTCTTCATCATTATGCCTATTCTTCGGCATATTCTCCATGATCGTACGGTTATTCGTGAGGCAACAATTTCGCAAAGGCCGCCTAGGATGGGATGATGTTGCTTCTGTTTCCTCGATGGTTAGTTATTTGCCCGTATCTCAACAATCGGACCAGACTGATTCAGCCCGAGAGTGAAGGTTTTCTTGATGATACAGTCTGTGATTGTCTTTATCCAGGTCAGAAATGGATTCGGGAAGATGATTGAGGACCTTTCAAATTCAGATTTGGTATCGTGGCAGAAAGTAAGCAGCCCTGTCGAAATGAACGTCCCAGTCAGAAGAAAGTAGGAAGAACGGTGCTGACTCTGATTTACCCAGTTTGCCTTCGCTGGCGATATATTATACATTTTTATTCTTTGGTTGACCAAATGCTCCGTGACTTTCCTCCTCATTCGCCTGACTCCTGACACGAGACACAACAACGCTTCCTACATCGTCCTGGGAGGGTCGACCGTCTTGATGATCATCTCTGAGTTATTGACTATAATTCGATGTGATGTATCACGGCCGTGGATACTTGTTGGAATACAATGCAGTGGTCTGGTAAGCTTGTTTTCCCAATGTCCCCATCCGCACCGAAATGGACCCTGACGTGCTCACAGTTACCCCGCTGGCAAGCTATAACGGCTTTCGACGTGATCACTGAGATGCTTCTATTCGGGCTTTCACTGTACATGCTCCGAGGTGTGAAGATGAAATTCGCAAATACACTAATCGTAGTCTTCGCCTTTGCGCTTCGTTTGCCGTCAGTCATCAGATCTGCAGTGCACATCGCCGTCAAATTGCTTACAGGTTCTCCCAGTATTATAATTCCAGCCGTTTTTCGTCTTCACTGGCTGAAAATACAGTACTCGAGCTTGGACCCATCTCTTGATGGCGTATTAGCCTCCGTTTTCACGCAAATACAGCTTAGTTTCGCCATTTTCGCAACCACTACGCCTATTCTAAGGACTTTCATGGAAGCATTGAACACCCACTACGGAGGTCCTAATGGTTTTCGAATACCGAAATATAATTCGAATCAATCAGGTAAGATTCCAGCGGTCTCCATATCCATAGGCTCGCCGACGAAATCAAGGAGCCGGACAGAACAAGAACCTGCGAGCAAGTGGGCTGTGCCCCAGACAAGATGGGATGACATTGGATACAATGTTCAAGTGACTGCCTCTGACAAGGAGAGTAGAAGTCTAAAAACCAAAGATGGCAGACAGGAGAGTATCTCCAAGAACACGTCGTGGGCGGTGGATCATTGTTGTCCTCAGAAGAGCGGCGCGGGGAAAGCGCTTTAGTCACAAGCATCTTGATGTATAGACTCTGCCCACATGGGCAAGGATGCCATACTCAGTCTGCAATGATATTCGCTTGTATCAGAAAAGAAACACCCGTGCAGGCCACATCTGCCTTCAACAGTAACAATCTCGATGCTTGCCGATCATCAGATTTTCTGTACCAACACGTAACAGCTGGATTATATAAGTTTGAATAATTTCAGTGTACGCCGTCGATTACTCAATCGGAATTAAGCGTGTTCTTTCGCATGGTAATTGAAAGATGAGGAACTAGTCCATTCTGAAGTTTTGAGGCTCAGCAGTAACATGCCCCTTGATTGGAAATACCGTTGTGGTTATCTATTCTCCGAGAGTAGGAGTATACATCTATGAGACTAGTAGAAAGCTAGCCTGTTGGATACTTTTACCCATCTTTGATGTCGAATCCTTGAGCCAAGACACGTATGATTGACTCATCAAAGACTCTCTCAACAGTTGAGCAAGCATCCATCACCGCCATCAACCCAGCGGCACCGACCCAGCTCTGCCAATGGCGAAATCGAAAATGCTTCCATGCCCGACTCTTTGAATGCTGCGTAGAACTTTGCCTCGGCCTCACGTACCAAGACATCAAATTCTGGGCTGCTGGCCACGCTGAGATCCATCAAACGGCTCCATTCTACGCCAACATCGTTGAAATCCAAGGTGACCACGGGGAAACCGTCATCAGTGCTCAAGCTCCCTACCAAAGAATCTAACCAGCCACTTTGAGTCTCAATAGTCGCCTCTTCGACATATTGCCTCAGACTCCAGTGGACTTCTGTCAGTGAATCCAATCCGTTGCGTACACGATTATGCAGGTACTGTCCCTCCACGACAGCGTATCCAGCGCTCTTGGCCGATGGAAAGCTGACAGCCTTGACGCTTGGCATGCGCGCCAGCAAATGATGAGTCCCATCGGGCCATCGCTGGAATACAGCGACTGAGTCCGGCCAGACGACGGTGCGATTAGTTGCCTTGCCCAAAGCCAGGGCAAACGCCACCTGCTTATACACGATATCCGAAGTGCCGCTGATTCCGACGAGTCGCAATAGTGGCGGCGGGTCACTGTAGTACCCATGGAGATCGCCAAAACCATTGTAGTACAGCCCAAAGTATTCCTTGAGGTCGTGTTGCACGCATGTATAGTGGATCGCGGCTGCGGTCGAGATATAGTCATCGGTGGCCGTCTGGTTGCCGAAAAGCTCTGTGCTCCACAACAGTTCTTTCATGAAGTTCCTGAAATATTTCAATTCAAGCATGTGTATACGCAGCGGTGGCGTACTTGGTTTGCTAGTCTGATTCGAACCCCCGGCTGTCTCTGCGGCTTGGGCGGCTTGCTTCTGGAGGATATCGTCTTTGACGTTGTTCATGACGAGTTGATCCCACTTCTCCGTCCTAGTTTGTATCCAATGCGCAAAGCTTTGCCGGAAAAACATCTGCGTGGCAGGTGATGATCGTGCGAAATACCAGCCAATGTTGAGCTCGTCTGGGGCGTTGTCGGGTTGGAATTGGAGATCCCATGACGTATCTGATAGAGGAAGCATGGCACTGAATGGATCGCGTGAGCCAGTAAAGAAGACGTCGGCATCAAGGAAAACAAAGTCGTATCCGTTCTCAGAGAGATTGAGGTTGGTCATGAACTGAATCGCCCACAGCATCAGCTATACCGGTCATATTCCAAGTCATCATTCAATATCCGTAAAGAGAATACCTTGAAAAACGCCACGGCATGCATTGCAGCGTCATTTTCCAGCAAATATCCAGGGTAGGGGTTCAAGAGTTCAGTATCCTCGGCGCAGGCTTGGTCCAAGCACAACACAACGAGGTCGCGATCATAACCCCATTTTCCGAGGCGCTGCTGCATCGCATGTAAGACGTGAAGATATGATGAGTCTGCAATCGTCACAATTGGTATCGATTTGCCTGGCATCAAACCCCTCTTCATCAGCCACCCGTGCAAGGATAATGAAACGCTGGTATACATTTCATCGTCGGCATCGTCGGCATCATCGGCATCCTCCTTGCCATCCCAATTCTGGTCACTGTCATTGCCTTCCAATTCAGACAAATCCAGATGACTTCCATCGGTGTCAGGTCCTATAGCGGAATCCGAATGGAATGGCTGCTTGTTGAAGGAGCCTGGGGGTTTATCATTGGGGAAATCATTCGCTCTCGATTCATCACCCCAGGTAATCGCAGGCAATCGCGTGCCTTCGGCCCAATTCACCTTTACTGAGGGAAGAAGTGAATATTTCTCAAAGTGCGCCACAAAGTAAACTAGGCAAAGGAGCGTGAAGGCCAAGCAGGCCCGGGAACCGATCATGATGTTCAGGATTGATGCTGTGTTGCACCCTCGGGATCCTCAAAAGAAGGTTGTGGAAAGCCAACCAGACGCCTCCTGGTAAGTAGTTCTACACATAATCTTTCCACGAAGATGACACGGGTCCAAATAATATCTCGCTGGGGCTGAATAGTGGCACGGGCTAGACACGGTCTCATAAATTCGGTAATTCAATTCTTGACTGTGTAAAGATGGCGTTCTTGGCGGACGCCGACTACTCCTTTCGTGCTTGTGGTCTTCAGCCGAAGAATAACTGAGAGACAAAGTCTTAAAGTTTCCATCTGGGCGTCGACCGCCCTGCCGCTGTACAGGCTGACCCTCCCTAGGTTCATGTCTCTAACAAGCGACTTCACAAGCCCTCGCTGAAATCATCTGGTCTGAGAAACCGCGTAATTTTGGCTGCTCTACCAGTCTGCTCAGACAGATTCCTGGCTGGTAGAGAAGCAGAGTCCAAATCTACAGCGCCAGAGCTTTCCACTGTACAGTCGTAAGTCGTCAAGCTCCACTACGCGTCCCTTGTTTCCCCAACTTTCACCAAGTTCACCTCCAATTTTGCATGAGCTTCGTTTCCATTCGCCTCAGCTTCCGGTTTCATGAGCACTTGATTACCTTCGTTTCCCGAGCCAACAGGCACCTTTGCAAACAGGCCAGTGGACCATTGCACGGCGGTGCGGGTCAGCCATATCGACGCGGCAATAGTCGCTATCAGGAGTAGCGTTGGGCTCATGAATATGATCGCAAGGCAGGCCAAGAGCGACCAGAAGCAGGCTGCGGCGAAAAGGCCCAGGGTCGCGGCTGCGAGAACCGGTGCGAGGAGCACAGCGAGGCCGATGAGGAGGAGCGACTGGATATTGAAAATTACAATCATTAGTAGCCTTTAGAGACAATGGGGCCCTCCATTTTGAACACTTCGGCTTACAAAAGAGAATGGTCGATCACGCGCAAAACTGCTACTTCTCTGGTATACTTCGTCGCGCGTTTCCGGGCTCATGATGCGGTCGGCTTGGCGATACATGAAGCCGAGGCCGTTGGTTAAGTCATCCTTCTGGGCCATGCTTTCGAATGCCACCCTTGCTGAAGAGGATTGGGAAAAGCCCCTTGTATGTGTTTTCTGTGTCATGGTTGGAACAGAAAGTAAAGTGATCTCGGCACAAGAGATCTCTTGAAACAGCGAATCCCGAGGCTCCTGTTCGTCGGGTTGTTTCATCCGAAGAAAGTTGTAAGGTTATGACGTCCGCCAGTATCCTCCGTGGAATCCGAGATTTGAGTATGCTACTTACTGATCTGAAAGAACCGCAAGTTGGATACCTTTTGAATCAACAGCAATCAAAGATAGAATTTGCGACGGAATAAATATCGCAAAACAGCTCGAGGAAGTGCGACCGGATTCCTGGATAGAGCGTGTCTAGCGCCCCTTAAAAACGCTTTGGTATCAGTCACGAAACTCGAATTGGCCAGGTAATTTATCTGTCATGTCTTAAAAAGTTCATATAGACTCCTGAGATTTGAATCTCACAGACCAACACTACAACTAGGGAGCAGGTATTATAAAATTTGAATGGAAGTGAACGTGTGTAGTGCTGGAGATCCAGAGCGAATGCATGCTAGTGGCACACTTGCCGCAGCCTAAATAAATGAATAATTACTAGGTATACTACAACTTCTCTGGAACTATTTCTCAAAAATAATGCAGGTCCAGGAATTTCTATTCTTGCTATTTATTAAGTCTCTAGCCCCAGATCTAATATATTGCTCGTTAGCACTCAGGTATCACAGCCCGCATGGCGGCGTACTAGCCTTTCAAAGGCTAGGTCTACTCCAGCCAACCAGGCTTTTTGTAATTCTTCGCACAAGCCTCAATCTGAAATATTTCGATCCGTAAACTCTTGGACGTCCCCTTACAACGGATGCACTGCTGTCTTCTACAGGCGCACAAGATGTCAGATTCCTAGGTGGAAATGGTGAATAGTCTCGCATTCTGAGACTTGTGAAGGCCAAACTTCGACAGTCATGGGTATGGTTAAATGTCTTCCCAAAATCAAAACATTAATCCAACAGAGAAGCCAGATGTGCGCCGTATATCACTGAGGGCCATGACATCTTCAACCGAAGCGGCGTCAGACTCTAATGGTAGTAGAAGTCAAGTATCAATCATGATTATGTTTATCGGGAAGCAGCCTATTCAATCCTTCTTTGTGCTGGCATCTCCCTCCTTGACCATTCCCTCACAGCCCACTGCTTTGCCGGCCAGCTCCTCCGCTTTCCCAAAGCCCTGACTGCTCTCATCCCGGCCCTCGCTTGCGGCCTTCATGTCCGACACGGCATGCGCTTTGGCCTGCTCTCCCGATGCTTTCCATGCTTCTGAGCCTGTGATGTTGCCAATGGCGGCCTGTTGATTTGTTAAGGTATTAGTAAGATTCTCCTTCGAGCTTCCGGGTCAAAGGCGGAGGAGAGTGATTTGGGTGATGAGTGGTGAAGAAAGGCCGAGAGTATTAAGACCTATTAAGGACTGACCTCTGTGGCACCCTTGACGTATTCAGCATGTCCTCCAACGAGGCTGGGCTGCTGGTTCTGACTATCGGACATGTTGATATCGCGGATATTCGAGATGCTTCAAGACACTGGTCTATGTTGAGCTTTGTATTCCGATGTTGTAATATTGACACTCGTGGTATGAGGTCGTCAAAGAAGTTTTCGAGAACGGGCGAGCTGATGTAGGCGTAAGATTGTAGGCGTAAGATTGAAGCTGTTTAACATGACGTACTCGACAACTTGACGTCATCCAACACCAAGTGCGTCGTTCGACCGCAACATCGACCACACCACGTTTTGACCATCACCTGCGGCCCGGTCGATCTCCCGTTTGGCTCATGGAAGCAAGGTGCCGACCTGGAGGCCCATTTAACATTTTACATGACCTACCTTCTCCTGGTCGTGACTGGTTTAAGTCGACTGGTCTTGAAGAGCCATCAGATGTGTCCTCGATAGCCTTAGTATATATCACTGCCCTTCCCGCAACTTCGATCATACAAATCTGGCCTTGTTTCTCCTGTTCTTGGCTGGACATGGTTTGACCTTACCTCTGCAAATTGGCCCATGAAGTCTTCTCGTCAGACTAAAACCCGGAAACATTGCAACGTTCAATGTGATCCCCCCAGGCACACCGCCTGCCATTTCTTATTGATTTTCACATGTTTCGCTTTAGAAGCAGCTCAGGTCCGCGTCGAATCACTGCCGTCGCGTAGACGGGACAGACGTTTGAAGCGATCGCCACACCCAGGATAGTCGCAGAGTTATCGTGAGCGCAGGCATGAAGGCCAAGCCTGTCTCGGTTTCCCTGGCTTGCTCGCAAAAAAGTCGCAGACAGTTTCACTTCAGACCAACCGATTACTGGAAGACTTTGTACCATTATTTAAGAGGCGGCGTCCCCGTATATTGATCTCGGTGCTCGCATGTTGGACAAATGTTTGTGAATTTGATGATTCAAGAACTATCTCGTCTCTCGTCTATTGCCCTTCTATTTCATCTACTGGTATCTGGTTCTACTGCGCACGCGTTGGGACTTTCCCATCCAGCCAAAATCCTCAACAAACAACTGAGACCTATGCCTCCCGCTCGCGGGCCTCCATTCCCAGGGAGGGAGACATTATAGATCTTGTGTCTATCTCTATGACAGGTCAGAAAAGCTGCTTTGCGTGTTGAACCTCTGGGCCACATAATTCGTAGAATAGACAATGCTCTAAGCCAGACCCAATTGAACGCCGAAGCCCCTCAAACCCGGAACTTTTCTCTTTTCTAGCACATCCACTGGTGACGCAGAAGGGTTTTAGATGTCGTCCTCATCAGAGAAGACCTCCTCACCCCTCTTGCGTCGTGCCATACGCTCCTTCTTCTTCTTTCGTGCCTCGCTGTGGGAGAAGTTAGCTTATGTATAGATTGACGGGTAGAAATATTGGATGCTACTAACCTGGAAGTCAACTTGGCCTTCTTCTTGGTGGACACGATCTTGTTGCCCATGGCGTCGAACTTGTCCTCCTCGTCATCCTCCTTCTTGTCCAATCGAGGACCGGAACCTTGACCCTGCACCCAGTTGTGGCCGGAAGGTGTCATCTTACCGTCCATGACGGCCCAGACTTCCTCAGTGAGATCCTTGGTGAACTCGGAGTTGTGAGTAATGATGATGACACCACCCTCGAACTTCTTGATGGCCTTGGACAGAGCACCGAGAGAGTCACGGTCAAGGTAGTTGGTGGGCTCGTCGAGGACGATCAAGTGAGGTCGTTGCCAGGAGCAAGCAGCCAGGACAACCTTGACACGCTGACCACCGGAGAGACCCTTCATACGAGAGTGGGAAACCAGCTCAGCGTCGAGACCAAAGTTCTCGCAGTGAGCCTCAATCTCCTTTCGGACCAGAGGTCGGAACTGGCCGGAAGCGAGAGCCTCCTTCATGTCAACCTCGGCAACCAGCTTCTGGTGAGAGGCCAGCAGCTCGGTACGGGGCAGCCACTCGTTGTCGGCAGTCATCATGGGAACCTCGCGCTCGTTCTTCTGGCCGGCGTTCTCAATCAGCGCGAAAGAGCACTCATACTCGTAAGAGTTCTTGAGCTTTCTGCGGGAGTGGATGCCGATAATACGACGCTGTGTGCCGTTGATCCTGAAGATCTTCCTGGCGGCCTGCTCGTCATCTTCTGTGATGACCTTGTTGGCTCGGTCCATAGTCTCACGATCCTCACCAGTCTGGAATCGCCATTGAATGTACTCGGATGGGGTCTTCTCGAGGTGGTTGTCAATGTGGGCGAAGGCGTGCTGCTTAATGTATGCGATACGGATATTCTCGTGTGCCCAAATCTCACCAGATGTGGGAATGAGTTCACCAGTCAGAACGTTGATGACAGTAGACTTGCCGGCACCGTTAGGACCAATGACGGCAATACGCGAACCGAGGGAGCACTGGAAGGTAATGTCCGTAATCTGGGGCTTGCTTGTACCAGGGTACTGGAAGGACATCTTGTTGGCACGCAGGATAGCCTTGGCCTTGGTCTTCACACCCTCGAGGAAACCGGGCTCTGGGAAGGTGAACTCCATCTCGGAGGCACCAAGCTCAAAGTAGGACTTGGCGGCAGGGTTCTTGCGGACGAACTCCTCCAGGTTACCCTTGTAGGTCTTGAGCTTGAATCGCTCGTAGTTGATGACGTACTGGCAGATGCGGTTGAGGAAACCAGAGTCGTGGGAGACGATGATGGAAGTGCAAGGAGAGTTCTCCAAGTACTCCTCGAGCCACTTGACGTTCTTCACATCCAAGTGGTTGGTGGGCTCGTCAAGCAGCAGGATATCAGGGTTCTCGAAGACAGCACGGCACAGGGCGAGCTTCATCTTCCAACCACCGGACAGAGAGGTGATGAGACCGTTGATCATGTAGTCGGTGAAGCCGAACTCGTTGAGACGAGACCTCACGTCAACTTCGGTTGCCGAGACCTTGGCCTCCTCCAGCTTCTTCATTGTCCACTCGATGGTGGTCATCTCAGTGTCGGCAGCGTCCAGGTCGTGCTCCACGAACACTGTCTTGACTTCGCTCTGCTTAGGGAAACCCTCAACTTGCTCGTTGTTGATGGCGCGCATGAGGGTGGACTTTCCGGCACCGTTGGGACCGCAGAGGCCGTAACGACGACCACGCTTGAGGCGGATGCGAGTGTTGTTGAGCAGGATCTTGGCACCATAGGCGAGGGAGAACTCGCACTCGCAGAGGTCGGGGTTCTCATCATCCTCATCCTCAGGACGGTCGCCGCCTGCTGCAGCCTCAGGAGAAGCCCTCTTGCGGAGGGACTCAATGACAGCCTCGGCGTTGTCATCGCCGACGAGCACAGAGACATAAGTCTTGAGCTTGTCAACCCAGGACCTGGAGTCAACATCCTTCTCGTCAATGAGCTCTCCAGCGATGGCAGAGATGTGCTCGAGAACAGGGTTGAACTTGTCAGCGGTGACGTTCTTGTGCTTGGCACCAAGGACCTCCTTCAGGTGACCCAAGACGATCTTGATCTCACTGTGGTGCGTGGGCTCGGGGATCTTGCCGTTCTGGATGTTGCCGACACGGACGAGAGTGTCCAGAGCCTGCTTTGTCTTTCCACGAGCCTCGGGATCAGCCAGGTTGTCGTAGTTCTTGTTCAGAGCAGGCCACATCTTTGGCAAGAAAGGGTTGACAATGTTGGGGTCGTCGACAAGCTTGCACATGTTGTCAACAATGACGGCAGACTTTCGCTTGATGGCAGTCTCACGCTCAGCCAGACCACGGTCCAGAAGGGGAACCATGAGGGCCAGGGTGGGCTGCTCAACCTGGGTGACGAAAGTGGTGGCACCGAGCAAGTGGACGGTCTCGGGGACGTTCTCTGGCTTGGCAATACACTTGATAAGCTCGGGAATGAACTTCTCGATATCCTTGTTGGAAATGAGGGTGCAAAGCTTCTCCATGGCCTTGTAGGCGCGCTCCTTGACTTCCTTCTTGGTGTCCCACATGGCCTCGGAAATGACGGGCAGAAGATCGGGGACACGGAAGGTGGTCTGAACGGAGGCGGTCTCGACGAGCTTGTCGAGGATGTCGAGGTCGAGCATCTTCTCTTGCCACTTCTGGGCATTTCGGAGAGACTCGCCCAGGGGCTGGATGAGGTTCTTGATGGCGTTGGGGTTGATGGCCTCGGCAATGGCCAGACCGGCAGAGAAAGCAGCGGTCTTGACGGCGGTGATCTTGTCACCAGCGCTGGCCAGGACGCCGGGGAGGAGGGCGACGAGGAAAGGCTCTACATGTGCGGAGACCTCAGAGTGGCGAGCGATAGCCTCGATGGCGTTGAGCGCCTTCTCGCGAGCAGTGGCATCTTTCTTGTTTGCAAGCTGCTTCTTCAGACCCTCGATAGTCCTGCAGGGATTCACATGTTAGCCGCTGTAATCCACCAAATATTGCCGGGGGCTTGGGATTTTTAGTGGGTTGGGTAAGCGGTGCAGCACCCGAAAGTCCAGCCAAACGCCCACGGGACTGCTTGTCCAGCGGGGTTTTCGGGGCGCAAATGAGCCTGACCCCAAGGTCGCAGCGCCCAAAATTGCCACCCGAAACGCACATGCAAAATTTTTGCATCGGCAAACCCAACGCACGAGGCGAGGGGCATACTTTTTGCACTGCAGGCCAAAAAGACCCGCACCAACAAGTAGCGCAAAGTGGGCAAATCGGTGCAAATGTAAAGCCGCAGGTTGTGAAATTCCACACTTCTGCGACAGTGCAGATAAATCAAGGCAGTGCACGGTTACTCACTTGATAGGAACATCGGTGTCTTGGATGGGGCCGTTGATGAAGGAGGCCAGCTCGAGGGAGGAGCCCTTGATGTCGGCGGCATCCTTGGAGATGTTGAGCTTCTGCAGCAGCTCATCGAGCACCTTGATGCTCTGAGCGTTTTCCTTGGAAGCCATTTTGGGGTTTTTCGGTGTCAAAGATGACGGTATAATCTGCGGGAAAAAGATCTATGTAGAGACTGTAGACAAGCCGTGAAAGGTGTCGGACCGAGGAGTGTCTATTCAAGATAGCAGGGAGATCGTGTCGGAAACGGGGCGCGATCCGTGGAAAGAAGTCGAGGGAAGACAGAAAACCCACAGCAAGAGAGTCGATGGAGGTCGAATCCTGCTGCTCTATCGAGGTTTTCTGGTTTGTCTCTAACCAAAGGGTTCCGAGCCTCGAGTCTAGATGTCTAAGACCGAGTGGAGGAGTGCTCGGCTGCTGTCGTTGTCGTCGAGGTGACCACAACTGTCTGCAGGAAAAGAGCAGAATGGAAGGATGGGTATTAAGGGAAAGAAAATGGAGGTGGGTATGTGTCGGGGAGGAAGAGGTCGCGGGGTGGGAAGGATGGAAGATGTGGCTTTATTAAAAGCGCAGAGGGCGGAGGCAGCGCGGGCAGCAGGCTGACTGACTAAGGGTGGGAATTTTGGAAAGGCTGGAAAACTTTTTTTCTGCCCAAAAAAATGTTCGGTTGGTGGTGGTGGTGTTGCAGTGGTGCCCGGGGTGCCCAGGTGTCCCAGGTGCCCAGTCCGGCCCAGTCCAGTCTCTCTCCGTCCCTCTGTTTCAATCCCTCGCCCCTCTGCCCTTTGCCCTCTGCAAGCCGTTGGGTCCCTGGATGGAAGTGGATGGGGGGGGGGCCTTTGGGGGGGGGAACACCACTTCACCATGCTTCAGCTAGGATTACCCCACCATTGATTGGCTGGTTATCGCTTATCGCTAAGGGACGCTAGTACAGATGAGGAACTAAGTCAAGGCGGTGAAGGCGGCAAATTTCATGCGGCAGCCCAGAGGGGCAGAGGGGCAGAGTGAACAGGGGAAAATGGCAGCAGGACGCTGCTGTGGTGGCATTTCACTTTCCCGTCCGTCTGGATTCGCATCGCCGCCAGTCGCCTTCGGCAGTGAATAGAGTACACACATTGCATCTCAGAGCATGAGGCATACATACTTGCACACTGGCATCGCACACTGTCTCATCGGCAAACTTCGCCACCTTGCCCTCGCCAGCGTTTACACGACTCGAACGCTGCAACATTCGTGACGACGTCACTGCTGCCAATCTGGCTCAAGCCATCAACATTCACTTGTTCTCCTTGCAGAGGGGGAACAGCAAGCCCTGTTTCAACCTGAATCTCCATTTTCGTTATCAGCAGTGATAAGCTGTTTTGATTCAGAGCCTTCCTTGCTCGGAACATGTATCTACCTATATACATACCTAGTTGACCTATATCATTTGCAACAAACATCGCGGACGTCGGTGTTCGGCTTATCTGACATGCAAGTCCCGTGTTCGTGCCTCTCGACGCTGTCTGTGCAGTGTGCTTGAGGAAGAGCATCTTCAGACGGCCACAGAACTGCAGGCTTCACGCTCATCCTCCGATGTCTCTTTCTCGAGCCAGTCGGGTCAGCCCAGTCCGCCACGGGCCCTCCGAGTCCAGAATGTCTGGCCGCCAGGATTAGAAGCACAGCCAGACGGTTACAGCATGCAACATCCCGGTAATTCCAAACGAGGGCCAGGCACAGACCCGGCGTCTATTGCACGCAGAACACCAGCTGGGCGGTGCTGCTTCCGACCATCCTTTTGCAGCTAAATCAGTCTCCAAGCAAGGACATCGTGCGAACCGCAGGAGACTGCTTTGTTCCATTTAGTTCATCCTGTCCCGACCCTGACGCTGTACTCCCGACAGAATTCCGCTTTGCATGTGGCTATGTACCTAGACCTGCAAGCCGTCAGCATCTCAGCATCTCAGCATCTCAGCATCTCAGCATCTCAGCATCTCAGCATCTCAGCCCGTCAGCTCTCCTCTGCACTGGTGTGGCACGAGAATCCCATCGACCTTAATATTACCACGTCAACCCGGACGGCACGCTCACTTGCATCCCTCATGCTTACATAGATAGGTACACGACCATGGACATGGGCCCTGCCGCTGACCCTTGCCCAGTCCCGGGGTCGGGTCCCCTTTGAACTTTCGCGGGGCCCCAGGTTTTGGCTCCTTTAGCTTGGTGCTCATTAATCCTACGGCTCTTCATGCGACGGGCAACATAAAAATTTGAATGCAACGGATCCCTGGTAGTTGAGTTGTCTTGCACATTCCACTTGTGAATTTCATAGATTACCTTCTGTAAGATAGCCAACCTGGACGACTGGTGCGTGTGGCCTTTTCGAGACTTCCATGGGTCATTTAGACACTCAACGGGAAATAATGTCATCCGCAGGCCGTCCCCTTATTGCCAATAATCTGACAACATCGCTTGACCTCCCGCTGCCACTAGCGACACGGACAGGGTCGACAGTCGCTCCAGCAGCGACTAAGCTATCCAGTGCCTGCCCATAGTCTACTCGTAGTAAGTCTATCGTTTGTCCGGTCTTGATGAGCAGCCAGTCAAGCACTTTATTATTTTCCGACGCGGTCCGGCCATCCAATAGAGCATCAAGAAGCAAGCTTCGTCCCTTGACGGCCGCTCTGGACTCGACCGAGAAAACTGGAGTCTTGGTATGCTGTATTATCATATTTGCCACTTCTTCCGGCGACAGCCCTGCGCCTTGCAAGCCGTGGTTCGCGAGAAACTTGATGACAGTCAAGAATCGTGGTTTGTTGAGTGCCTGTAAGCCCCAGCGTGCCAAGAGTAGATCGATGGGCAGCGGACGTCCTTTGGGACGTCTGGTATCTTTGAACCGCGGCAGGAGGTTCCCTGGCTCTTCCACGTCAGGAAGTTGGAACAGTGCGCCATGATTGATGAAGAACTTGAGCCCTTCGACAAGATCCGGCCCTGGGCCTTCTTTCCAGGACGAGACGCTGTCAAGGAACACAAGCAGAGGCGTCGTCCAGTAATAGTCTCTGATTAACATGTAACTCGGACGAGACCAAGTAATAACTTTTGCGCAATGGTTAATGTCTGCGCCATGCTGCAAGACCTGCTGCATCCTGGCGACACCATGATTCGACCTCGCCATCGCATGTGCTGCAGCGAAAACTGGTACGTGGCAAGGCCAGGCCCTCGACCCGAAAAATGACTTTGGTCTACTTTCTTCTTTGCCGTGTATGTCGACGCCTTGGGCGACAAGAAAGTCAACCGTGTCTGACGAGTTTGCATCGATCGCCATCGAGATAAGTGAGCCACTGTTGGGCCAGCTAATATCCAGTCTGATCCCTCCTTGGCCCAGGACCAGCTGAAGTCGCTCGAGGACATCCGGTCCTCCATTTGCAATGACCCTTTCGAGCGGCCAGACAGCCTGCGGACATACACCAGCATCACGCGCAAGCTTGTCAAGTCCGGCCTCGTAGAATTGTCTCATCATACCAAAGTTGGCCGGCCGGCTGAGGGACTTTGTCAGCTTCCACACCTGGTGCCTGAGTGTCCTGTCGTCCGTTGGTTCAACCTCGATGCGAGCGTCATGGTCAAGCATGAACTTGAAGGCCTCATCCTGGCCCTTCCTGGCTGCGAAAGACAGCGCAAAGACGTCGAACCTCCCGCCATGACGCACTGCCCCCCGAAGGCATTCGAGATTGCCAGTCTTGCAGCCCCATTCTATGGCCCGGTTGACACGGCCCGTGTTCTTCCAGAGCTCTGCTTCGAGCCGTCCGCGAAGGCGCTTGTTGCATTGTGTTAATCTGGCTATGTTGTGGAGGTCGAGGTCGTCGAGGATGGGGTCCAGCAGCTCATTCGGAAGCCACTGAAGCGTGGACTCCATCGGTTCGTGATTCCTCGCGTCTCGAGTCCTTGACACCAGACCAGGAGTCTGTAAAGGATTGGCGTCTGCACGCTGATTTCCTAGTAGTCGCCCGACGCTCTGCCAAGACCTTCACACGCCGTAAGGAGGCGGAGCCTAGCCCGAGTGCGAATGTCTTCCGGTCAGATTTCTTGGGCAAGAGCTCGAAGAATCGGAAGTCTCCACGTCAGTCGAAGTCTCTTAGAATGCCAACAATTCTCAAAGTAATAGAACAAACTCACCGCCTCTTGGCGGCTCGCGAAGTGTGCAAACTGAAGGATTAAATGATTGGGAAATTAGTACGGATTAGGCAGGTGTCAGCTTACAGCCACCAAGGCAGCAAGCAATGAGGCAATGCAGATTATCCAGGGCCACCTTGACCTTTTAAGTATACCCTGATAGATGATAGTTGCATATGTCCGTACTAACGCCATCACCATAATTATCGAGAGGGCATGTAAATCACCTTCAGAAGCCCAAGAGAGATGAAAATACAATAATTTACGACGCAAGAACCATGTATCCGGTTCCGCCCTGGCCACACTTACATCAGGTTGGTATTATCGGTATAAGTAACACGGGAATACTATATCAGCGCAAGTACCTCTTCATGCAGCCAGAAAATGATTTATACTAAGCATGTCGGCCATACAAACTGGTGGATGATCGTCCTCAATGTTGCCAATTTCACAGGTATGAATTTCACATTAGATCGAAGAATGTCTGTCACTGACATCGATTTCTGTGAATATGAAATTTCTCTCCGCATCCTTCACTCTAGAATTCGTTTCCCGGAGACATCCAGAGGGCAACCGCTAAGACCCAAAATCTCTTGATCAATCCTAATCAAAACAGCAAACCAGTAACTCCACCACCGGGTCCACCCAAGGACCAGTGCTCAACAGTATATTCCGACAAGACCTGTGATTCTGATCCATGAATTGTGAAAGGGGTATCTCAAAGAATCTGCACTGCCTGCAGCACATAGACCAGACCAACGCCCACCAAAGCGAAAATGGCACCAAGGCTCAGCCCGGACGCATCGGCATAGTCTGATGACGACGAAGAAGATCCGCCCCCGGAAGAGGAAGAAGAGGAAGAAGAAGACGACGACCCGGAGCCCGAGCTGGACCCGGTCTCTGCTGACGCGGCGGCCCCGCCAGTCGAAGAGGCACCCGCAGCGGCCGTGCCAGAGGCGCTGGCGGCCTGCGTTAGGGCGGCCCAGGTGGAATACTCGCTGCTCTGGGCCTGCGCAATCGTCACATCGAAGGGACCGTATGGCTCGCCGTTAGCCGTGTGGTCCGAGAGCTGTGAGTCCACATCGCTGGGGTCCGCGACGGGGTCGTAGGCGTAGGCGTAGCTGAAGGTGGTCGTTGCATTGGCGGCGCCGAATGAGTCCGCGTTCAGGCACCCGCCGCAGACGAACGTCGCGGAGACGTGCGTGTCGTTGACAAAAGTGCCGTCGGGGATTTGTGTGACGGTGATCGGGTTTGCCTTGTAGACGTTTGCTCCGTTGTCGATCTCGTAGCCCGTTGCGATCCGGGGCGAGACCATGACGGTGTTGTCTTTGGCCGTGTTGGGCCAGGCGACGAGCAGGAGGCGACCCGTCATGGATGTACCGAAGTCCACGCCGCCCCATCCTCCCCCATCTTTCAACGGCGAGACCAGCTGGACGATGAGGTCGTCTTTTGGGTCGGCGGGCAGGGCCATGCCAAAGCTGAACCCTTTGTTGGCGTAGCCGAGGAATGTGATGTTTGAGTTGCTGTCGATGTACTTGCTCGCCTGGGGCAGGCCATTGCCACTGGCTGCTGTGGTCGTGCCCACGATGGACAGAATGAGGGTTACGAGAGTCGCTGGAAGGCAGTGCATAATGAGTGACTGGTACGGAAAATTGACCTGCAATTTTCGTCAAAGTTTTTGGCTACACGAAATATTGTGCAAGATCAAGCTTGTTCCTCCAGCGGTCTGCTCCATGGCCGCGAAGATGGCGTCCTGGCCGCCCTTATGTCTGGAGGTTGATCTGGTGGGCAGCCATGGGCGGTTGAGAATGATTGGCCCTGGACTGCCGTCGAAGAAACAAACCGCCTATTGTAGTACGAATCCCCCCCTGCAGAAGCTGCATGTTTCAGAGCCAAGAAAGGACCCAAACTACAAAGCAATCTCAGCCAACCATGCGAAGCTTTTTACTGAAGGAAGCGTCAGCCAGGTAAGCAGCTCCTGCGATGGGTGCTAAGTTTGTCTACTGCAAATAAAAGGGGCGATGATGCGTCACGCAGAGACGGAGATAGGAAGAGCCTGACCCCCTGAAGCTCTGAAAACAGATACCGCCCACATCCCTAGGGCGAACCAAAGCAGGGAGGGTTTGGGTTTGGTGCTCCTCACCGTCACAGCTGACACTGTTTTCCTTCGATGGTTTCGCCCCAGCTGTAGAAGCGAGAACAAGGACATTGAGAAACTATACATACGACGAGAATATAGAGTGATAGTCCAAATACGAGTGCGGTAGTTGACATAATATCAATGGCAGATGTTGAATTCTTTTGCGCTAGTGTCCCCGCCTGCAACCGAGCCGCCCGACGGCAGTGGGCCTTCCCTAAAAGACACGCAGAGTTGACCGAGTCTAATCCAACGACGGCCATCTTCTCGATTGTCTATTTCGAACAAGCCCACCAAGTTCTGCCCAAATCTCACCTCGACAAAAATGCAGCTCGGACTCCAGGGTAAAGTCGCGCTGGTAACAGGTACGCATAGATGCGATGCCTCAACAGGCACGACACACCCAAGCCAATTCTGACATTGTCTAGGCGGCACCAAAAGCATCGGCCTATCTATCGTCAAGTCTTTTCTTGAAGAGGGCGCCATCGTGCACTTCTGCTCCCGTACCAAATCAGACGTCGTCGCAACCCAGGAGTCGTTATCTTCATCCTACGGCCAAGGAAAAGCCCACGGTCACGCTGTGGACATAACCAGTCCCGAGCAAATCTCTGACTGGGTTAAGGAGTGCGTCAAAATCAGCAGCCGCATTGATGTCGTCGTGTCCAATGTTTCTGCTCTGGCTGTGGACAATAGTCGTGAGAGCTGGGATGCAACATATCAGACCGATATTGCAGGCACATACACCCTGATCGACGCTGCTCTTCCCCATCTCAAGGAATCTAAGGGCAACGTCGTCTCCATCTCCTCCGTCTCGGGCCGCTACATTGATTTTACTGCGCTCTCACCTTATGGGGCTTTCAAGGCCGCGCTGGTGCATTACACCTCGCAGCTTGCACATAGGCTTGCGCCCTCCGGTGTCCGAGCCAACTCCGTCAGTCCTGGGAACATCTATGTGAAGGACGGCGTTTGGGGGAACATAGAGAGGGACACGCCCGAGTTCTTCGCACAGCAGCTCAAGGACAACCCCATGGGGAGGATGGGAAAGCCCGAGGAGGTTGCAGATGCAGTGGTTTGGCTGGCGAGCGACAGGGCAAGCTTCGTGAGCGGGACCAACCTGATGGTCGACGGGGCAGTCTCCCCTGGCGTGCAGTTCTGATTCTGGCAACACGAAACCCCCCCCCCCCAACCCCCCCAAACCCTCCACCCACATGTCAAAACGTGCCGATTGGTACCTGTATTGTTTCAGGGCATGCTTCAGCAGATCATGGCTATATTTCTTTCGACTGCTATGACAGATCAAGCGGCGAAAGGGACAAGATTGGAAACGGGACAAATCGCACGACATTACTTACATGTTGCCAATGATGGCTTATTTTCATCATAAGATCGAAGAGAATTTTATGCAGTAACAAACACACCTAAAAATAGTATGCTATAAATACCAATTTCTCCAGTGCCTAGCCAACTTTGTGCGTGATATGTTTGGAAGCTGCACAATTGGCCAGAACAAGCATGTGAAAACAACATTCAATTGAAATAATCCCGTCTACAGTGCATCTCTTTGTATAATGAGAATCGAGGACGCACCTGTTTCCGGAAGTACTGACAAGTCACATTTCTTTCAGCATTGAGATTGAGTTGGGTACTCAATGCGAGGGTGCTTTGTCCGTATGATCGCAAGTGTGGACAAAACGCCACACCCACGAAGACCTTTGGTGCATCTAATATCCACGTAGACTTCTGTTGTCAATTTCTGATACCAAAAATTGCCAATCTCTGCAATGTTCTTCTAAGCTACGGATCTAAGATCAAGATTGAAATTCTAGCCACTCAAGGCCATCTAGAATAATGGCGTTGTCCAGCAGTGCGAGCGAATCCACCCATTCTTCAGATGAGGACGATATTTATCCAAATGGCTTTCCTCTTGGCGTCGATACGTATGAGCCTCATGATATTGGTATCGACGAGGCCGATGACTCGCTACCAGCAGACACAGAGACAGCGCGTGAAAGAGACTTTATCAACACAAGAAGGCTCGAGTCCCTTTACCCATATGACTTTTTAGACCCCAATGGAATATGGCCAGCTCCTCAGACCGTGGAAATGCCAATAGGACGGCTTCGAAAAGAGGCTGTGAGGGCGATGGCGGCGTCAGGCACCCCCGGTCAATGGGAGCATGTCGAGTTCGTTCCGCCCTGGACCGATCCTGACTGGTCAGACCGCTTTATTTTCACGGGGCAGCCTGGAAGAGACCCTGTAAATGACCTTCAGTATCAGCTTTATGCGAAATCAGGGCTGCTACAGACCCTGCGCCCAGCCCTGCGACCTGAAGACGCGGTGAGGATGCCGTCGGATGCCGCAAAGAGATACGGAGTGGAGCCCACCCAGGTGACTGATCCGCTTTATGGTAACTCGGGTCTCACCCCGATGCAAGCATATTTCGAGGTTCCTCTTGCAAACCCCCGAGTGACGCCGAGCAACCAAGGAGTAAGGGGAATGATTGGCAAGGAGGACTATGATGTATTATTTGCCCAGTACCAGGACGCCATGCGTACCCAGGGCGCAAATCCTACCGAAGACGGGTTCCGACAAGTGCTTTCCAATGCATCCTCCGGTCTGAATACTATCTTGGGCGCAGCCTGTGACGTTGACATCGCCAATGGACTTTTGGCGATCATAGACAGGATGGATAGATGGCAGGCACGAGAGGAGTACCAGCGACTTGTATTTGGCGGACAAACATCTGACGAAGTAAGTCAATGCAGCGCTCGGACTTTTGAATCTCACTCCTAGTAGACTGTCGCACTGACAGCGAAATTCGTAGCTCGTGCAGTCAGGTGTATGGACCCTGGGTAGAGATGCGCACACTGATCTAGCCACTCCATTGCACGAGTGAGTTTAAAGATATCCGCTGTATAGGCTCATGTGAGACAGATACTAAGAGAAAACAGCTTTTTGACGAGGGATAAATGGCAGGTGACTACTTCTAGAGGCGATGCTAGTCCCGGCGGAGGTGTTGAGGAGACAAGAACGGTGTACAGCTTTCCCACACAAGAGGGCGAATACTGCGCAGTATGCCTCCCCTTCCCCGAGGGTCTTGAACTGGCTAAAACAGGCGAGAAATGTTATACTGACGGTAGTTCTCAAGGCAAATGACTACCTTTGGCTCGCCATCCAACCTGCTCTTCAGTTGGCTTCTAATATCCTCAACAGCGAACATCCAGCAACATACGCCTGGGCAGATATTTACAGAATGCGCCCATGCAGCGATTCTCGTCGAGCTCCCAACATGGTTCAAAACATGGTACGATGTCTCACGCTCCCCCTTGTTCGTTGAAAATGGTGCAGATCGTCTTGAAACAAATTATCTTTTACCTTGAGATAAAGTTGCTGGCAATCACAAAAGCGAACTCAAACAGTTGGATATTATTACTTGAGGGTGAAAATATCGACGAGGCGGCGGGGGATGCCTCCGAAGAATCAATAATATCTGATGGGGTCACAATTTACTAATGTTATCGGCAGCTCGCCACGCATTTCACCCATGGAGTCACCCGGAAAGACTACTTCTCCGTGTACCTTGATGAGGATCCTGATGAATGGTTCCCGGAACAGCAGCGATTGAAGGAACTCGGATTCGAGTCTATCCGCTGGGTTTGCGAAATCCTGCGCGAGTGTCTCGTGTGGGAGTTTAATGCGAAGTACACCGATCTCAGTGGAATTAGCCAAGCATGGGACCATCAGATGGCCTTCACGGTCATAGATGGCCATAAACCACAGCCGAATCGACCTTTCCAGATTCGTATCAGCATCAGCGTGGATTTTATATGGCCACTGTTGATCGAGGAGTATTCGCCAGCCGAGAAAGCGTGTTGCAGCTTTACTTTGGCGGCGACCATAGTGCATGAGCTGACTGTAAGTGGACGCCGAAGGCAGCACTCGTCATTTACTAACCTCGACTGCTCGTCAAGCACGCCATAGTCAATGCAAGAAATCAACTTTTTGACGAAAACGCAATATGGTTGAGATTTAATAGGGATTGGGCCCGTGAAATCGGTGGTGAAGCGATCAGGCTTTTAAGGGTGTTTGGATATAGACAGGTGTGGGATGACTCACCGTATTCGGACGCGGCCATGGTAATTCGTCAAGAGCAAGGGCATGATCACCTCGAAGGGGAGGATGCTTCTGAGGAAGGCTGGGCAACAGAGAACCAGGTGAGTGTAAAACGCCATCCGTCTTACAGGTCTCGTTGCGGTGCCTGTAACGACCAACGGTCCATAGATATCTCCGCTTGATCACGAAATGCTGATACAGTCTCTTTTGGTATAAATTCAGTACTTCGGTGGTATTTCGACAGGCATAGCCGCTGGTAGCGCTACCCCAGAGACGCGGTTCATCGGCGACCTTATGCTCATGGGATGCTTTAACATGTGGCCAACTCTGAATCAAAGCATTTATCAGGCCGTACCCTTCCACATGATTGAGAGGTTCTTCTCGCAGAATTTCTGGGACCAAGAGCTTCAGAAGTGGGGACCTGAGGCGATGAAGATCTGGCCCTTAACCGCACCGAAGTCGATCAACATTTGGACAGTTTTCGCCTGGAGACAGGTTCAGCTACAATTTGGCCGCCCAGCGAAGCGGTGGTTAGTTGAGGCGAAAGCCCGGGTCGCACATGATGACGAACATGCGGTGCTCTGGGACTGGCTGTTTCAATTGACCAAAGCCGCAGTCGAGCCCAAAATGTGCATGATTCGATGGCATAAGCAGCAGGAAGATTGGAAGTCGACGGACAAGTGGCTGTGGACCCTGAGAAACAGGTGCGCAGACAGGGCGGACGCAGCAGTCAGGTACTTGCAACAGCTGTATGACGAACTTCACTCTTCGCAGCCCATGCCAGACCCTCCACCACCTATTGAATACAGATATTTCAGGGAGGCCTTCGCCGCCTTGTCAAGCATGCACAGAGCTCTGAGCCAAGAGGCAACACTCTACCAGACCATCACCGTTGATTATCATAGACAACAGAATCCTCAAACAAAGAACGACATCCAGAACTTCTACGGCGAAAAGTTGAGGAGACGGTTAGATGGGATTCACAGCCGAATTGCTAATAACTGCATCCACTTCTTGAATCTCTTTGAATCCGTCGATGCGATGGTTCTGCAGAGAATAAGCCAAAGCCGGCAAGCAGTAGACTTGCTGGGCACAGAAAGGACAGTTCTGAGGGAAAAGTTTGTTGCAGTGCAGCAGCTGATCCGTCCCGTAAGACAGTCATTCGATGAAAATCCTCAGCAATATATTTTCAACATAAGAGACTTCGCGAGTGTCGTGCCTATAAGCGCAGTAGACACTGCGAGACGGATCGAGAGAATGGCGAGGAGGCAGCTCAACACCTTGAGGGGGCCCCTATTGAAGGTGGCTCAAGGGTGGCTGGACATCATCCGCCAAGGCGACAGACTCAGGAATGCGGCGGAAGGCTCACCAGAAGCTGCGATCAACGCGAACTTGACCAGGACAGCGGATTTCATTGATAACATGACCCAGATTCAGCAACAATCGGTATCGGCGCAACACCCTGCTTCAGCAGCTAATACGACAAGAATGTTGAATACCCCGTTGTTGCAGCAGAACCAAAGTCTGCCTGATGCGTCCATGCGGATTCAGCGGTTCAATACGGCCCCACAGGGACAGATTAATACCTGGCAAACGTTGTACGCCGAAGCGTCAGGCTACGTGCCGTACCGAGATCCCTTGACGGGGCTTACCCGGTTCCACAGGACAAACATTCCCGACGAGTCTGGGCCAACACTGAACCCCATGTTGGCTGCGCAGGGCCAAGCCCAAGGCCACAATCTCATAGGGGCCCTGGCGCCGGGTGCCGGAAATATTCCAATCGCTGGTGGCCAGGTTCAACCGCAAACACAAGATGCTTTCAGTGGGTTCATGAACGTAATCAACCAAAGGGCACAAGGGTCTCTTGTTGTCCCAAATGTTCCACCTGCGATTGCCGGCCAGCCCATGTCTCTCGATCCGAGCCTACCAGCTCTAAACACCGCTGGTGTCAATGTTCCCAATGCCAACGGTCCGGTAACGGTTCGCCAAGCTAGTGCCGTCGTTGCTCTGAGAGATCTCATCGATGAGAGAGGAAGGCAGTTGCAAGCCAACCCCGCATTAGCAGGACAAGTTGTCCCATCGATCTATAACCAAGCTTTGCAGACCGTTGCAGGGCCGAACGGGGAGGCCCTTACGAACAACAATGTACCAGGTGCCAATAATCTCTTTGGCAGGAGAGCCTCGCAACATAGCATGGCTTTCCAGCAACTAGAGGCCGTGATCAGGCAACAAGCGCTGGGACCAGACCCGAGTGCCACCCTGAGAGCAATACCTGCACAAGGAGGCGGCCAACAGGCTCCCGGAGGCGTCGTTCCCCAGCCCAACCTGCTTTATGACCCTGTCGGAGGCAATGCCTTCCAGGCATTTCCACAAGGGGGGTTAGCTGCCCAAGGGAGTTTACAGAACCAGCAGCCAGGGAATTTTCCACAGGGACCGTTACCGCCTCCAGTAATGTTCCAAAACCAGGGAGGGTCCTGGCCACAAGGACCGCAACAACCTCCACCACCATAAATACCAAACGACTCGGGTCCACTCGTAAAGACAAACCATTTGGATGGCTTGACACAGGGTAGGAAGCAAGGTGCCGTAATGAGAAATGACTTAGTCATGGATAAGTTTTCAGAAAGGTGTCGAGGTGTACATATTCTCGGTGTCTGCAAAGTGTATAATATCAGCACGAGGCCATCCTTGGAAGTAACTACAGAATCCATTGCTAGCTCTTCTGTCATCTGTCAGCCCGAGCGCATAACACTTGCTCCACCGACCTTGACAACAGCTCAGGGGTATTTCAAGATGGCATGCCATTATGCGAAGGCACCAGTCGTAATCCATGTGCTCGATCAAATGTTCCATTCCGTAACGCCCAAATTTGTCCGATTGCTACCCATGAACTCCGTTTTATGCACCCAAACTGACCGGATTACTGCTTCTGCTTCTTTTCGGGATGCCCGGATTCACCGGGCTCAGATGTAGGAACATCGGGTAATTTGCTGGCAATTTCCTTCGCGGCCTCGACGTCTTCGGGGTTGGCTTCCACCTCTTGCTTCGACTCGGTCTTCGCGGCGTCCTCGACTGGGGGGAAGTAAACTCTGGGAGACAGGTAATATTAGCCGTGTTCACAGTGGCATGTCCCGGATCACATAGACTTACGGCAAGAACTTATCGTAAGACTCGACATCCTGCCTCACCCACGTGACAAACACGATCTTCTCAAGCTTCTGTCCCTTCTCGCCCTCCAAGAACTTCTTGACAGTTGATATGGCGACAGGCGCAGCCTCGTGAGGGGGGTAGCCATATATGCCTGTGCTGATACCGCACAGGACCAGTGATTTGCATTCATTTTCCACCGCCAAGTTCAGCACCTTCTCGTAGGCCGACGTCAACAGCTCCTCGCTCTCCTTAGGATCGATGGGGTCGTAGATGGGGCCGACAGCGTGGATAACCTTCTTCGCGGGCAGGTTATGCCCACCAGTGATCTTCGCATCGCCGGTTTTGCAGCCACCAAGAGTGCGGCACTCGGCGAGGAGGCCAGGGCCAGCGGCAGCGTGGATGGCGCCATCGATGCCGCCACCGCCGAGGAGTGACTTGTTTGCGGCGTTGGTAATGGCGTCCACCTCGAGCTTCGTCACGTCGTGCCGGACGAGGCACACGCGGTCATTAAGGGCCTTAGAGGGGGTGATGGGGCCAGCGGGCTTGAAGGAGAGGGTCGTTGGAATCTTGGTGCCTGATGGAGTCGAGGGGAGCTTGCCCAGCTTGTAGAGCAAGGAGAGCGTTGGGATCTCGTCGGCTGTAAGGAGGGACATCTTGACAGCTTTTGTTGCAAATTGGCGCAATAGCATCGAGTAGTGGAGTGACCAACTTGCCGATGTCCAGATTTGCAGTCAGCTGCACAAGTGTTGATAGTGGTGTAAAGCGTTCGGATTGCGGAGTTGGACAAGAGATGAGCCAGCGCTGGTTGTAAACGGAGGGACGGGGATGACGACAGTGGGGGGTTGAGTAGTGGGTAGCTCCAACCAAGCTCCGCCGCCTGCAAGGGTCAGCTTGAACATTCCAGTGGTCCTGGACCACAGTTTACAGTGCTTATCTTATCAGTGGCACTGCCCCTCGTTCTTCAACCCTGGGTTGCATGTATGTCTGGGAATTTTGAGTCATCTCGGCGTGGTATTCGACAATTCAACCACGACCACAGGAAAGTCAACGAACTTCATGTCTGCCTCCCGACTTACTCTACGCGAAGCCATACGTTCAGAAACTTGTTATACAAGATCAATTGACCCTTGAAACCGCACCGACCGCCCTGACCGTGTACACCACTCCACCACCTCCAGCCATGGCGGACAAAGTTGAGAACGCCAATGCCGCCCTGGCAAAGCTCCAGCTGGACGAGGAGACAGGAGAAATGGTTTCCAAGGGGGAGCTGAAGAAGAGAATGCAGAAGAGAGCAAAGAAGGCTGCCAAGGAGGCCAGTGCAAAGGATGCGCCCCCAACAGAGAAAAAGGCACCGCCAAAGCCTAAGGAGAAGCAGGAGGAAGTCATCGACACAGATGCCATGTTCAAGCAGGGTTTCCTGGCCGAAGTCTTCAAAGAGAGGACTATGAAGCCCGTCTTCACTCGGTTTCCCCCTGAACCAAATGGATTCCTCCATATTGGTCACGCAAAAGCTATCGCAGTCAACTTTGGCTTCGCCAGGTTTCATGATGGCCAGTGCTACCTGAGGTACGATGCCAGGTCCCTTCATTTGCATTGACAGGCCTAACATTTCCTCATTTCCTAGATATGACGATACCAACCCCGAAGCGGAAGAGGAGATCTACTTCACTGCCATCCTGGACACTATCAAGTGGCTTGGTTTCAAACCCTACAAAATTACATACTCAAGCGACAACTTCCAGAAGCTGTACGATCTCGCAGAGAAGCTGATAGGGCTTGACAAGGCATATGTGTGCCACTGTGACGGTCGGTGACATGGCTCCCAGAATGTGAACACGCGGACTGACAAGATCCTAGACGCGGAAATCAAGCTGCAGCGCGGAGGCGAAAAAGGCGAGAGTCCCCGATATAGATGCAAACATGCCGAGCAGTCGGTGGAAGAAAATCTGCAGAAATTCAGAGATATGAGGGACGGCAAATACAAGCCTAGGGAAGCGTTCCTCCGCATGAAACAGGACATAACAGACGGCAACCCTCAGATGTGGGATCTTGCTGCCTACCGCGTCCTGGATAAGCCTCATCATCGCACAGGAGATGCCTGGAAGATCTATCCAACCTACGATTTCACCCACTGTCTTTGCGATTCGTTCGAGGGGATCACTCACTCACTGTGTACAACCGAATTCATCCTCAGCAGAGTCAGCTACGAGTGGCTGAACAAGACTCTTGGAGTCTACGAGCCCATGCAGCGCGAGTACGGACGTCTTTCACTAAGTGGCACGGTTCTGTCGAAGCGAAAGATTCTGAAGCTGGTAGAGGACAAGATCGTTCGAGGTTGGGACGATCCGAGATTGTACACATTGATGGCGATCAAGCGGAGAGGCGTGCCGCCCGGCGCGATCCTCGAATTTGTCAACGAGCTTGGCGTCACGACCAACGCTACTGTCATCCAGATCGTCCGATTTGAGCAGTCTATCCGAAAGTACCTTGAGCGAACAGTACCGCGGCTGATGTTGATCTTGGACCCCATCCCCGTCGTAATTGAGGATATTGGGGATGAGGAAAACAAGGAGCTCGTGCTGCCTTTCTCGCCCAAGAATCCCAAGATGGGCAGTCACAACGTCAAGCTTACCAAGACGGTCTACATTGACCGTTCCGACTTCCGCGAGGTTGACGACCCCAGCTATTTCCGTCTGGCGCCCGGCAAGACCGTTGGCTTGCTCCAGGTTCCTTACCCCATCAAGGCAACATCTTTCACCAAGGACGATGCGACTGGCAAGGTGACAGAGGTGCGTGCTGTGTTTGACCGCGAGGCGAAGAAACCGAAGACGTATATCCAGTGGGTCGGCACGGACGGCTCTCGCCGGTGTGAAGTGCGCATGCACAACCAGCTTTTCAAGAGCGATAACCCAAGCGCCGTTGAGGGTGGCTTTTTGAACGATCTCAACCCCGAGAGTGAGGTTATATACCCCGATGCTATCATCGAGTCCGGCATAGACGAGGTCAAGCGGCGGGCGCCTTGGCCCGAGGCGGCAGGCGAGAGCGAGCTGGGCAAGGGAGGACCGGAGTCCGTCCGGTTCCAGGGAATGAGAGTTGCCTATTTTGTGAGTTCAACCCTGAGTCACTGTCAAGCTATCGCCTTGGCGGACTTTTTGCTAATGTGTGCTTTCCACAGGCTATGGACATTGACAGCACCGATGACAAGATCGTCCTCAACAGAATTGTGTCGTTGAAGGAAGATGCAGGCAAGAATTAATTGTCTCGCCGCAGAGCCTGTCCAGATTAGCTGATCTGCGCACCTTGTTTGCTACTTATCAATGGCCACCCAGGGAGCCAGTGCTGTCACAGTAGTTTATATAGAAGGGAAATAACACGATCGCGCTCTATCACGTCTTTTTACACTGAGCTGGGTTTTCCGAATCAGGTAGCTACATTAGTAGAGGCGCGCTGCCCCAGGGTAGCAGAAGCACGGTTTATGAGAGACAAGTTCATGAGCGTGATAAATGATTTTCACGTGATGGTTGGCATGTAATTCAAGGCTACCCGCTGATGATACTGCATCGAAATCTGGAGCAAGTGACCCACTACATCCCAAGATACTATTGCTTAGTGTATAGCGAACTCCCATCGAGTCCCCTCCCTAGACCCACCGAGTGATCTAGTAGTTCTGGTCGTCGTTCCAGTACAGCGTGTCGTGCTGGATCTCGGGCCCGTTGGCCAGCAGCTCCCAGCCGAGCTGGAGCTTGATATACTGCAGGGCGTGGCTGGCGACCTTGATGGCGCCGACGTCGGTGGGGTGGTACTGGGGGCCAATGTCGTTGTGCTGCAGGATGCCGCTCGTGTTGAAGAGATGCACAAAGGGCTCGCTAGTCGTGTTCAGGTGCCACGTCCGGTTCGTCACGCCGTCGTAGACCACGGGGCTCGCCAAGTAGGCGGGCGAGTTGAAGTAGTCATAAACGGCCTGAATCTGGGGAACGAAGCCGTCGCCTGAGCTCGGGAAGTAGTTGTTGCCGTACTGGTAGAAGCCGAGCCATAGTGTCTGGGGGTGTGGTTTGGGATGTGAGTAAGGGCATGGAAGACGTCTGTGTTCATAAGGGCAAGCTTACCATTATGACAACGTGTGCATTGGGCCAGACGCCGTGGACACCTTGAATCAGCCGTGTGAGGCTGTCCTGGTAAGTCTGTGCAGAGACATTGTTGTACGCGTTCTGGTCGTTTGTTCCGATATTTATAACGACCAGATCTGCGGCCGTGTGTTTCGAGAAGTCCCAAGGCTCCGCATTCTCGAGATTCGCTGTGACACTTATTAGTCGCTGTTTGCACGTTCGTCTGGTCCACGGCCCAGCCCCACGGAAGAAATCAAAAGTGCCAACTCCTCTGCTCACCTCCATATTGCTCGACCGCTCTTCCACTTGTGTCACAACTGTAGAACCACTGGCGCGACTGGCCCCGCACATTGCCCCAGCAATTTTGGTCGCTGACGCAAATACCAGGATATGCTGTGACACTGTACTCGGTCTCTCCCAGGCCGGCGCCTATGCCATACCCAAAACTAGACAGGCCTTCGTACGTCGTGTACATGCCACTCGTCAGGCTGTCGCCGATGAATTCGACTGTGCGTCCATATTCTGGGATCTTCACGAGGCTCTCACCCTCGGCGACATGGACTGCGGAAAGCTGGATGCCATAGGCCCAATTCGTCACGCGCAGCTCAAAGGTGACGGGCGAAATCGGGTAGGTCAGGTTGGAGCCGGGCGTGTCTGGCGTGACCAGGAGATGCGTGGCGCCGGCGCTGATGTTGGTGAACTGCCAGTCGAGGCCGGCAATGCGGTAGCCCACCAGCACGCCGTCTGAGGTAAGGTTGCCGAAGCTCACCGCGACTGTCTGGCCGGTGTAACCGAATCTGATCCCAGGTGCGCTGTTGTTTGTGTTAGTGTCTGCTCTACGCGAAAGGGGACGGTGGAGTGCATAAATGGCGAACTTACCTCCACCAAGACACGTATTTCGAGTCCCATCTGCCTTTGTACGAAATCTCGGTAGCATTGGGGAGGAAGCTATTGAAGGAGTACTCTGCAGGGTCGACACGTGTGTCTGGATAGTCGGTAGGACGGACCTGGCCATTCTGCAAGATGGTCCGCTCATGAATGTCCTGTAGGAATCTCTTTTCATGAGGCTTAGGCAGGCCAGTTGCTATTACACTCCCGAGGAGGAGGCTTAGTGCCTGGCACAAAATGAGACGCATCGTGAAAGACAGTGGCGCGTTGCAACACTTGAGCAGTCAAAATCAAAGAGGGGAACAACATGGCCATTTTCGTGCAGTCGTGCTACATACTTATACGGTTACACATGTAATTGCAGGCGGATGCAGAGTTCGGGTCGCCATGGACCGACATATCGGTCGACTCATTCGAATGGAGGCATTGAGGGCCGCCATTTCGGACAATATAGAGGGCTTGCTAAGGCCAGCCTAGTGGATGCCGTGGCCCGGTGCGTGCCCCATTGTTTCCGTCTTTGGAAGTCTTGCCCAGCAGGCTCGAAAGGGACGCCTTCGCGGGGAAGGATGGGGTACGTCGATGACGATAATGTGCAGTGGTAGCACTTGCAGAACCTAGTCCACTACGTACGAACACGATGTACATCGTGTCGGGAGTGGCGGCACGTTACTTCTCAACGGTGCGTCCAATTTCCGGTCGTCCGGGTCAGGCAGGGCAGAGCACGTGGAGGGATGGTGCTCGCGCAGTTAAGTTTTGACTTCGCGTCAGTGCCTGTCCAGCAAGGTGAGGGTGATCTGGTGGTGTGAAAAGCGACTTCCCCGCCAAAGGAGACGCGCAGACGGCCAGGGATGCTGTGGGTGCTGGGCTGGGGCCAGTGACAATGGGGAATGTCGGCCCAGGCCCCGATGTGACTCCGCATCCTTGAGCGCGGAGGGGACAGCTCCGGCGGACCAACCTTTCCTTGGCCTGGAAAATGGGACCTGGGAAGGTCAACACTGCATTGTGTTGATGCACAGCAGATTCAGATCCATGACCCTAGGGCTCCACAGTTGTTGCAGTTTGTTGCGTGGGTTCATCTCATCTCTTGTGACGTCTCGGTACGGGCCGACGCACACAGTCGACCATAGTCTCGAGGTGGTGTGCGGCTCCATCCAGCTTGTGAGGAGACATTCACCTCGAACATGGCTTATATCATTGGTATGAGAGAGCCTTCGACAGGGGAAACAAGCAGTCTTTCTGGCCCAAGGCCCATCTGCGCTTCGGGAGGCTTCAAGGGTAATGTGCCAACCTTCCATTGAGATAATCCATTTGGGTTCCCTTCTGTGGTAATATGAGCTGAAGAGGGACAAGAACAGAGGGTGAAGCTGAAGTACCAATCGGAATCTTTGGCAGAGTGGAAACAACAAAACTTCTGTCACGGGTTTGAGGTGCTTGTCAAATTCAACATTGTTGCGGGAGTGGGGAAAGCCAAGGAACGACACGAGACGTTATTGTGCAAGACTGAAGTGAAGGTCTGCTTGTCTGGAAGCTGAATTATGTGACTCTAGTACCAGAGTATTCTGTACTGGTAGGTGGTAGGGCCAGTCATGAGCTTGGGGATGAACATGTGATGGTTGGTTCAAGAGCGTAACTCATCCTGAGTTGCCTTGCCCACCTTCCCAGGGTTTGAGTGAAGGGCGGGGGTGGGGCTCGCTGCTCTGAATAATCAGGGTTCGAGCCGCTGGGGCTGGATGTCAGGGGGTTCCAAAGTGTCACAGGTCTGGTTGGCGCAAACACCTTGATCTGACCTCACGGATCACATCTCCATGGCTCGTTCACTGGTTCACCAGAGTACACACGACATCAAAAACCGAACCTTCATCCTCCCAGCATTGCACAGTTCAAGCTACTACACTACCATCTTGCCCTGCCTCAAGTAATCGGAAAGGCCTGTATGAGAGCTGGCTGAAACCGGTAGACATGAAGATAATGATCCCCGCGAGCACCGCAACCGCGGTGTTCCTCGCTGCAGCAGCCAGCCTGCTGCTAAGACCTGCGTCGGCCATCAGCAGCTCAAACCTCGGCAACGATATCGTTCATGTGCACAAGCCCAATCCGGGTGATTTCGAATACTGGGCCCAGGCACAAGACACCACAGCGCCTGTAGCCCACATAGGGCACCGAATCGGCCATGAGACGGACAAAGACGAGGGCGCTGAGAGAGCTACACAAGCCATGGTGCAGCAGCCCGGCTCCGTGGGTGAACAGACTCCCACACAACTGCCCAAAGACGACAACAGGTATTCGGCGATGGAGGGGACGCCGCTGGACGGCGGCTCAGAGCGGGAGCTGAGGCTGAAGAGGTCCGAGGACGGCGGCGAGGTCGTCGGTACGGTGCTTCTGAGTAGGGAGACCAGCGCGGCGCCCACGGTATTTGGCGTGAGCATCTGGTTGATACTCGCTTGGCTGGCTCTACTCTACTTCATGTACAAGACTGGCTCTATGTTCTAGGTGTAATCCAGCGGTGGTATATGCAGGCTCTCTCTTGCCGTGCGGGTTCTGCAGGTATTCAGGCAAGCTTGGGTATATGTACAGTACATATATCTTATAATGTAATGCAAAGGAGATGTATTGGTGATGTGAGACTGCTATGTAGCATTGTCATCGTTGCCCACGTGCAATGACAGTCTGTTCAATGCAACTGAGCCAGTCGAAGCAGAAGTACGAATGCAGGTACCGGGCATGGCAGACCTGTCGAGATGTAAAATGTGCCGTGAAGGAGTGGGGTCCCCTGCATGTCCAGCAGCACAGGGTGGCAACCAAAAAAATGCGTCATAGACGCGTCGAGATGCCCTCAGCTCGGGTTGGGGCTGCCAATTGCTGGCATAGAGATGGTTGTTTTGTTGCGTGACGCCGGGCCACAGCTGCAGCTGCAAACGGGCGGTCGAGGTTCCCGGCTCTTGAGACCTCGGGGTCCCAGGTGCTCGAATTCCGCCCTCGTGGCGCTGTACCGTACAGCACATTGTGCTACTTGTTGCGACGCTGTTAGTTCAAGGGGAGAAGGGGCGTTGCGGTCTGGCAGGGATATGAGCTCCTCGCTAAGTCACTACACGCATCATATGCAGCCCAGACGTGTCTCAGTTCCGCTCCCGTCCAGCGACAATGCCAACCTCGTCCAGCTCAACCTCAACCTCACCCTCAGTCTCGGTGGTCATTGAGCCCTTCGACCAGACCTGAACCCCCCTTTTTAGTCGGTGCGTCACCTATCTGTAACTATCGCATATATATATCTTCAGCCCAAGCACAGTCCTCGACATTATGTTAGAAAAATACGGGCCTGTCCTGTGGACAGCCCTCGCCCTCTTCATCGCCTACACCATCAAAACCATCAGGAAATGGCAATATCAGCGATTCCAGCAGTATGCAGGCATCCCTCAGCCTGAGGAGACTTCGTTCGTTTGGGGACATATGAAACTCATGGGCCAATTGTTCAAGAACGCCCCAGACCGGAGGCTTCACCTCGACGACGTGATACGAGATTACCTCCCACACCTGGGAAACCCCCCAGTTCTTTTCCTCGATCTGCGGCCGCTCAACTACCCAATGCTGGTAGTGTGCGACCACGAGGTTGCCGAGCAGATCACGAAGCCCTCCCCAAGGTGGTCATCGAGCACCCCTAAATCTCCCACCTTGGGCGACATATGGCATCTAACTGGGAAGAACTCCATCTTAACCTCAGAAGGGGACCACTGGAAGGCCCAGAGGCGACAGCTCAACCCCGGCTTTGCTCCTCAGCACCTGATTACCGTCCTGCCCATCGTTCTTAATAAGACACGGTTTTTCTTGGATCATCTAGACCGCTACTCCCGTACTGGCGAGGAGTTTTGTCTCGACGAGCTCTGTGTCACACTGACCTTCGATATTATCGGAGCCGTCACTATGGGCCAGGACTTCAAGGCCCAAGTCCCGGGAGAGCAAAGCGAGATACTTCTTGCGTTCAGGGGGATTATGGAGCAGTATACTAGCCGCAGAGGCCCCAGTATCCCCGGCACAAATTGGATGCGAGAACGCATCCGTCGACGGTTCGCCAGCAAGCTTGACCGGCTTCTGAAAGGCATTGTGCGTGATGAGTACGCCCAGATCACTGCTGGCGGGACCAAATCCCGCAGCGTCTTGGCATTAAGCTTGCAAGGCACTGAGCAGCTCACCCCTGAGCTTCTGCAGCAGACAAGCGACAACCTGCGGGTCTTCCTCTTCGCCGGCCATGACACGACAAGCATCCTGCTGCAATGGGCCTTTTACGAGCTATCAAAGTCACCACAGCAACAAAAGGCACTCCATGCCGAGCTCGACGAGCTTTTCGGCACAGACGCGGACCCAGATGTCGTCCGGGAGAAGCTGCTCGCTCCTGGTGGCACCGAGATATTGAGCCAGATGGTCTATACCTCTGCTGTCATCAAGGAGGTCTTGCGCATCCACCCTCCCGCTGCGTCCGTCCGAATGTCCCAGCCTGGTACCAATTTCCAGCTCACCCTGCCCGGTGGCAAACAGGTCTGCCCGGACGGGTGCATCCTGTACTTGTGCAGCAATGTGATCCAGCGCGACCGCAAGGTATATGGGGAGACTGCTGACGACTTCATCCCCGAGCGATGGCTTGGTGATACGTCAGGTCTGCCGGCCAGCGCATGGAGGCCCTTTGAGAAAGGACCACGTGCCTGTATCGGGTTGGAGCTGGCGAACATCGAGGCAAAAGTCATCCTGGCCTGTGCTGCAAGACGCTATGATTTCCAAAAGGTCGGCCTGGGTGAGCTGGAGTTGGACAGTCGGGGCAAGCCCATCCTGGATGAGAAGGGATATTACCGGACGAAGTCTGAGCTCTTCAATGTAAGTTCCTCCACACACCCAGCAACATGGTTTTTGGAATCAGCTGCACTGGTGGCTAATCCACCCCACAGAGTATCCAGGTGACGGCTAAGCCAGTGGATCGGTCGATGATGAAGGTCAAGCTCAGCGAGCAGGCCATGGAAAACTGACACATGTGATGATGTCTTTGAAAAGGTACCTGCATGCAGAAACACAATGAAATTGGATCCTCGCCAGAAGATCTATTTTGGTCCTTGTCCCTGTTATCGAGATTTGACAGTCTCCCGTCAGCGGAATCTCCCGTCGCCCGGCGACCTCTCTTGGGAACCTCGGTTGTCTGATAACCGCCTTCCCAGCTCCTGACAATCTGCGAAGGAAAAAGGCTTCTGCCGTTGATTTGCCTCAAAAGACTTTGGTATCTTCCGCTGTTGCACACTCGAACAAAGAAAAAAAAATCGACGTCGGGAAGTTTGGTGTCGTCGAGGTGTTAACACATCGCTCCCAGGTAGTCCTATTTCCTGCCGCAACCGCCGCACACACTCTCCGAATCGGGGTTGAGGTGCCCACAACCACACCTCCAGTCCGCCTCGTCCCGCACTAGAGCTTTGGCTGGAGTAGCTATCATGATTGCATACTAGGCCCCGGAGTCCGGAAGCTCTGTTCAGTCTGGGTACCTCGTAGGGTTGGTTGGTTGGTTGATGCTGATTTGGTGTCAGTGGTGATTCGTTTCGTGGGCTGGTCGCTTGTCCCAAGATCTTCCGGGATCTTACCTGGAGGTCTGAACTGTACAGCTACGCTACGTGGTCGTCTCTGTGTAGAAGACCGAGCTTGATCGTTGCCGGGCCTCGAGGTTCGTTATATGTTGGGATGGTTTCTCTCGAGCGTCGTCAGGAGAAACAGTGTTCAAGATATGGCTTAGAGGAAGGGAATGTGTCGATCACCAGGTGTTCCACGGCCATGAACCGGAGGGCGGGCGGGCACTGCCCCCATCTTATGTCAAACTGCGCAGTCGAGCCAGACCCCGGGAGACGTGAAGAAACCATTACATATCCACCCTCTCTGTGCAGGTTTCCCATGGGCAAAAAAGGCTCGCCTCAGATTCGCCAACTTTTTGCCTTTGTACACATGCCATATGACGTACTCGCTTGTCAAAGATAAACGAACCCAATCATTGATCATGACAACGTGCTAATTTGCAACCCCCCCGGAATTGGGTGCAGCCAGTCGGTTTTACCTACAGTGAGTGTTTTACTGAGCCGAGCGGGGGGTTGTTCTTCCCCCGGGCCTGTCAAATGTACGTCTCATGCTACACAGCGTTGCGTACGTATTATATTTGGTACCAATTATTGGTCCTTTTTTTGTGTGTCTTTCGAGATTTCCGCTGTTTTCTGCTTGCTCATCAGGAGCGCATGTGGGGGGTGTGCCCAAGTGGGTACCCACCCAGCCCTCTTTTCTATCTTTAGGCAGAAGTCTTGTCTCGACTTGCCTGTGTTTATTCGAGACACTAGGCCGTCCTCCCAACAGCCAGTAGCGATGCGCTCATGGTCCTCAGTTTGGTGCTAGAGCCAGGAGAGGGGCCGCTAGGGAACCCACATAATGAACCCTCTGCCCTGCCGCTCTTGCGCGGAATTTGTTTGGTCTTAATAATAATGGTGGTGGGCAAATTTTATCGTGTCCGTATTTGGTGATGCTCGGGAGACATCAAAATGTAAGCAGGCTGGCTGGGCGCACTGGGGCGCCTGGCACGAGATTTCCCCGAACGGCCCAGGCGGCCCCGGCACCCCAGCCCTGGGAGGGCCTGGCCGGCAACAGACCGTTGGGACTGGCTCCGCTTGGGTTTCGTTCGCGAACTTTTTTTTTTCTCTTCACGTGGCTCCCCACGCTCCCTCCATGCAATGTTGTGCGACGATCACCTCGCGGTGGAGCTCTCCCTCGGCTTGCGAATCGCCCTCGGGTTATCCGTTTTGTTTCACACTATTGCGCCGTCTCTCGATTCTGTGGGCACATATTTCCCGTCACCGCGATCGCTCGGCTCTTTCTTGCCAGCGGCTTTCGTCATCGTTCGATGATCTCGACTCCAGGGTCCATGGACCCGTTCAACTACATATTTAAGATTAACACTAGGTTATTCCTACGTGCTGGCAACGTCCAACGGGTTTCTTAGTAGTTCGTGGCACCAACGTCTAGCACCAGGCGGAATCTGGCTGAGTAGCATCTGAGTGATAGCTTGGCGTGAAACTCGCAGGGATTCCAACATCGGTTCATGACGTGCTAACCAGCATACCCTTCCATGAGAATAAACTTTACTAGGATATTGTCCTCGAGAATAAATCCTACGGAAACACCTGCCTTAACTTACAGGATGAGTTGTAATTTATTCTGGGATGAACGTCTGGACCTAAGTGGACCCTTCTTTGCCCCCTTCTGCATGCTCCCAGGCATTTTCTCAAGGTCGCCAGACCCCTGCGAGCTGAATCTATATGAAGCGGCTTAAAAGATCAGCCTTCTGGGCACTTATCGGCGAAACAGGGCTGAATGATTCACATGCTTATCTTCCCGTCCGCCCACTCGCCTCACATTCTCGAGTGGCATCATCCACTGCCAATATCCACTGCTATTGCCGGTCTCGCGTCTCCATATTTCCACTGATGTATGGAGAATCAAAATCAAACGGTGGCCGTCGGTTTGCCGGTAGGTTCAAGACGCCAAATCGAGGAAACATTGGCGGCAGGTCGATCTTGATATTTTCAGGCTCAGGAGCCTCAGTGAGATTACCTGGTCCCTAGTAATTACCTGATGTCTCACAATTGTCGAATGGGCGGAAGGAGATGTTGGCTATCTGCTGCGACTAGGTACTCCAGAGTATTATTGACCACCCGCCCGAACCAAATATCCTTGAAGGCCGGCACGGCATACCACGACGGCCCCGCATTTGGAAATTGTCACTACAAAAGTCTGAGTCAAGAGGAGCACATTGAAACAATAGAGGATATACCTGGAGAATAAGAGGTGGCTTTGGCGTAAGCAGAGTCTCCCAGTACTGGCCTTACTGCGCCTCTTGCCTCGGTCTCGACGTTACATGGCAAGGTTCAAACCTCTTCGGATCTGAAGTTACGGACACTTTCAAAACTAAGAGTCTCAATGCAATTGACATAAGGAACATGGACCCAAAAAAAACCCCTTCTGCAATTTTCAACGCCTTGTAAGGTGGCTTTCTTTCGGTGGGAGAGACAGGACTCCTTTGTTCCAAACCTGACTTTTTCACAACGATCAACCAGTGCTCGAGGATGTCTAGGTAGTTTCAAGCTTGAGGATTGACCAAGGAAAATAGGTTACTTCCAAAGAGCTTCATGGACGGCACCCTTGCTCACAAGTTATTCAAGCCCCATTCAGCGCCCAGTGGTATCGTCGGCTGGCGACTCTAGGATCGTCGGGAAAGTACCGAATACGCAGGGAGGCTCGGTAGTGCTATCGTCTAACAGTCTCTCTGTACTAAAAATAGCCCGCGACCAAAATTTGTGCCTGTGTTTATTCTTGGTGTCGAAGGTATATTCAGAGAATGCTATTGACTTCTGAGTCAGTCAACTCGAGTGAATGTTACTATTCAGCTGGGAGCCCCTCTAGGCATCCATTTTCTGAGATTGTTTGATGCGCGTGCCGTGTCATTGAGATGGGGGTGGGGGAGCGCTTGCATGAAATACGAGGCAGCACTCAGGACGAGTAGACAAATACGAGAACGTTGTGCCAGAGAATTCTCACTTATCCTGATGGAGAGCCCAAAGACTCAAGATATCGTAGCAGTCCCCGTTATTTTCAAGAGGAAAAGAAGTCGTGCGATGCACGTTCTATTACATGAAGAATCGTCCTACGCCTACTAATGAAAGTCAAATAGAGGCATTTATTCCTTTTCATTTTCTTTGTCGTGCTTGTTGAGTTCTTTACCCAGCCCCGGTCGTTAGGGGGAATATAGAATGGAGTGGTGCATGCTGTCATTGTGTCGCATCAATTTAGCAGGAAAGACACTGTAGCAGAGGACAAGCACTCCGCATATCCCTTTGATTGATTCAAATCTGCCGCAACGGATAGAGGTCTAGTTGATTGCCAGTCCCAGTAAAATTTGCAGATATAATACCACTATCTGCATGCCTCGATAAAATCCTCTAACGGACGAATCTAACATATCAAAAACCAAGAAACACCTAGACCGTGTATCTGAAGAAGGTTGCATTGTCCCCGAGTTCTCTCTCAGCATATCGCTCCGCCTCAGTGTATTCGCTCGGTGGCTTGTGCATCCTGTCGCGCCTCGCATTCTCCTTTCGGAGATAGATGGTCATGAAGATGCTCAGGGTTGTGGCCATGGCCTGGAAGCCGAGCAAGGTGCCGTGACCGGGGCGATAGGTGGGCCTGTCCTTGGCTAAATAGATGTATGCCGCGATCAGGCCACCCAGGTTTCCAAAGCCCACATGCATGGCAATTCCGACGCCGCGCTTGAGAGATCCTCCTATGTTGTTACCGTTCCAGGCCACGCCTTGTGGGACATTAGGGTAAATTCCGGTCGCGAGAAAGAAGCAGCCAGCGTATTTGACCCCGCTGGTATTCGAGGCAAGAAGCATGATGAGGCCAATCATGCTGTGAGGCGTAAGTTAGTATCATCGAAAGTAGCTATTCAGAGTGAGGCAAGGTTCGTTGCTTACGCTATGATCATGAATCCAATCATGAAAATGCCTCGTGTCTTCAATCTGTCCGCAAGGTAGCCGGCACCGATACAGAAGAAGCATGCCACGAAGTAAGGGGGCACAGTCAGGAGCTGTGCGGTTGTGTTTCGGTAGCCAAGATCGGCAACGATTGTCGGCAGGAAGAGAGCATATGAGTACAGCGGTGTGTACACTCCGATGGTAATAAACATATGTACCCAGATCTTCCAGTCCTTGAGGGCAGCCCAGAAGTATTTCATGTCGAACTCATCCGCGAGTGAGGATCGGTCGCGCTTGAGACGCGCTGTGACCTCTTTGCGCTCCGGTGGACTGAGGAAGGGCGCGGTTGATGGGTAGTCGTACATAAACTTGAAAGCGGAAATAGCTGCAACGAAGGGTTACTTGGGCGGGCTCAACAAAACAATGGAGTCACCTGGGCCTCCGAGGCTTCAGGAGTAGGATCACTGAGACTTACCCACGAAGAAGGTCAGTATGCCCTCGAGGATAAAAATCCACTGCCACCCAGACAATCCTCCAACTCCTCTCATTTCCATGATACCGCGCGCCAGCAGACCTCCGAAAGCACCAGCTGCTGTGGCAGCAGAGAAAAAGATGGCCATTCTAAGACCACACTCATGGCGAGCATACCACATTGTGATGCTAGAATGAAGTCAGCTGACAGAATTGGATACGAAAACGCGTAAGTCGCACTCACTAGTAGGTAATACCAGGGAAGAGACCACCTTCAGCAAGACCCAATGCCGCTCTCGCAGCCATGAGCCCAGGATAGTTCTGAACGATTCCCATGAGTGTTGTACAGATTCCCCAAGCGATCATAATAATAGGAATCCAAATGCTTGGGCGAAACCTCTTCATAGCCATATTGCTAGGCACCTCGGCCGCGACATAGAAGGGAAAGAAGATGCCGAGAGCATTATTGTACTGTAAGCTAGTCTTGGGCATGCCAAGGTCTGCTTCCAGAGTGTCGAGTCTGGCATTGCCAATGTTGGTCCTGTCGAGAAAGGAAAGGAGATAGAGGAGTGCGAGAAAAGGAATTAGGCGGTAGTCAATCTTGCGAATTAGCTTCTTGGTCGTTGACTCATCCCAGCCTGCGCCCTCAACGGATTGGGTATCAGTGTCGCCAACGTCTTCGACAGTCTTTCCCACGGGCTTTTCTTCCATGCTCGTCCCGGAGCTATCAATTCGGGGATTTATGTCCGCCATGACCACAAGTGTATTATCAAAATAATTATATGAGTTGGCAGGACCTTGCCCAACGCCGGAACAGGTATTGGTGTAAAGAAACGTTCGCTGTTACCGGCGCGCGAGCTCAGCTACTGGCAGGTGTCAAAGCTATCAGGCAGTATCAAGAAAAGGCTACGGGGAAAGGCTTTAACTTTATAGCTGCTGGACCTCAATCACACCTTCCGAAATGATATTCCATTTGTGGCCCGCAGTCCGAAGGTAATCTTGGAAGATGATGCACAACGGTCTTGATTGGGCGTACCGACACCGCGAGAAAGCCTTCCATGGGTTGTGCCCCGGGGCCCGAAGGAAAACGCCAATGCATAGCCAAGACGAAGCCACCTGGGGTCTCACTCTAGTTCACTGGTTACTGCTCAGAACCTAGGTGCCCCTTCTGTCCGGGACAGCGACTTAGAATACATCACAAGCCCTAGCCAAGACGCCAAAAAGGTATATTGTTGTTCCTCCATCAGGTCGCTTGTTGGGTCCGTTGGCGTCAGGGCCGCCGGTCGAGACAGTAGGAGAGCGGCCGCTGCCCACGGTCAATGTCTCACACATCGTGATCAATACGGCAAGTGGTGTAACCCTCGAGTATCTTGATAGCAACAGACATACAGCTGCACTGCACTCCCAGCCTTCATTTGGCCCAAGGGGAGAAAGCGCTTATTATTCGTTCGTGTAAAGCTGGCTTGATAAGAGAGAGTTGGTAAGGATTCCGGACCAAGACGGACTATCCCTGGAATCTTCGCCCAACGACCAATATCAGCCGCCTCTGCAAAGCCACCAGCTTGAGCCAAGACTTGGCAATACAAGTGCTCACTCCCCGCATTCTTCACAATATCCCGGAGCTGGTCCAGAACAATGGCGTCGAATGCAAAAGAACTATTGCTGCAACCCCTGCGCCCGAGACGCTGGTACTGGTCACATCGCATGCGAGATCGCTCGTCTATTTAACCACTGGGAGTTGACCCAGACTATCGGGAAAGTCACATCAAACGCGCAGGCATGGCTTAGTCCGAGATGCCTAAGGGCAGGGATCCGAGATGTCGGACTTGCTTGCGTGTTGCGTATTCTGTCCTAAATGGCCTGTGCATTCTGCCTCGACTACCTACCGCGTGGCGTTTCTAGGCACGGGGCGCCCAGCCGGTGGAATGGAGGAAATGACTAGGTTTCATAGGAAGCGAAATGAGACCTGGGAAGGGTGCTAGAAGGAAACTCTGAACGAGGGATTCTCGCCCCTTGTTGGCGCTCGGCGGTTAGACTTGGTGCTCTCTGTGGGGAGCCGGCAGTCTGGTAGGTTTCTGCCCGCCAAGTCCTCCCCCACAGACTTCCCCAGATCTTGGGGGCTACAAGCTCGTGGCAGTGCTCGAGCGATTGATCTCAGACGTCAGTCAAGAGAACCTCGCACTTGGCGCCTGAACCCAGAATGTCCGGACATACGGAATGTTAAGATGGGAGAAGCTCGTGACACGCCTCAGGTTTGTTCATGCCTTGATTTTGGTGTTTACTCAAGACGGCTTCGTGAGCCACCCCTGGTTGCTAGCTCACATCCCAGAACCAGACTTCAAGTGATCACTGTTGGTGGGATTGACCAATGCGTTTCTGGCAAGACTTCGTATAAGCTCTCACAGAGCTCAACTGGCGCCTGCGAGATGGCGCCTGCGAGATGGCGCCTGTAAGATCAACTCTTCGGCTGACCGGGTGTCTCAAAGAAGCTTGGTAGGAACCACGTTGTGTGCGGCGGAATGAAAATGAATTCTTTTTCGCTTATAAGCCGCCTCCGCTCGCTTTGTGTGCTGGCATGAGACGCGCTAGACAAGCGCCGAGAAGGATAACGGTGATATCTTTCAACTGCTGTGCAGAGCTCTGTTTCGTCCTCAAACCTAGGCAAGAATATTTTCGGTTTGGTTCAACGGTTGCTTGAAGCGATTTTGCACCTGCACAACGCTAATCTGTCTTCCAGTGCTTTCACAACAACACCCTCCATCGCCACCCACGAAGTAGCTTCAGATCATTCTCGGTGATTTCCTGGTCGCCTCTTTCGACCTTTGTATGGAGCCGTTTTAGCCTCTTGGACACCGTCTTCGCCACGCGCAGAGACACTTCGTTCTGGAAGACGTATAGCACCGCAAACACGAAGAAAGTAACAGATGCCAAGCCGCCGAAAGTACTTCGGACAGCGCTCAAAATGCGCGTGATGAGTGACTTGCTTTTCCGGAATGCATACTCCGTGCTGTTGGATGACTTGCTGTCATGCTGCGGTCGTTTCCAAATGGCTCTCACTGCCGGTATAAGTACGGCGCTTTGGTAAATGTTAGTTGGTTTTGAATGCTCAGAGCAGCAAGTGAGGACCCTAGCTCACGCCAAACCCCCTAAAAGCCATTTCCGCCATCGATGTCGCTCTGCCGCTTGAATTATATCGGACAGCTCACCTCGCAGCGCGTTCAGGTCGCCAAGGACATTTGCTGACTGTAAGCGGAACTGATCAAGAAAACTAATCCCGTCAATCCGAGATCGTCGCTGCTGGAGATTAATCAACTCTTTCAAGCCGTACTCGACGCTTGAACGAGCAGTCTTTATATTTGCCGGAATCTCTTGGGGAGAGTACACTCGGACGGGCTTGGAGAAAGGTTGTCCGGGACGCCCTGTGTCTGCGACCTTGGTAGGCTGCCAGGTATCAGGCAAGGCGCCGGACATGCTGGGCTTAGGAGGTGGGAATCCCGGTTGGTTGGATGCTGATGTTTCTCCTGGAGGCTGGTTATATCGGATGACTGTCACTGGCGATGCTTCTGTGGCCATGCTGACTATGCTAGGATATACGACAGTGTCAATGCTTGCTGAGATCGTTGTGTTTCGATGCCCTTCGCGCCTCGCTGAGCTCAAGGAAAATACAAGAAAGGTCCAGGGAAAAGATACTTCAATGAAATGCCAACAAAAAGGCTTTCAAGGACTTCCCATGTTGCTGCTGTCTTGTCACCTGGGATGTGCAGTCAAAGGCGGGGAGGGGAGACTCGGGGTGCACAGGCAAAGTATTGGCCCGCAGCGGGGCGCCAAGGGTGTTACGTCACAGTACCTCAAAGGTTTATCGTGCAAGCCGGGGCTGCATACAACCGAGGGAGGCACGCCGTCTGAGATGTCGAACCTCATAAGTTGGCGATGCATACTTGACTCTTACTAAGCATGGAAGTCTGGACTCGGGGGTTTGAGCACTTCAGTTGGGATAGGACTTGTCACGACTTAGTTTTGTCATAACTTGGACTTCAGGGTAGACTCAGCATTGTGACATCTAGTGATCGAGGTCTGATACCGAATATTTTGGTCCGAGTTCCATAGCAAGTTCAGCCCTGGGGTATGGACTTCGTAGGAACCAATCCCGCTCCATAGAGTATCCCTCATTTGGGTGGAGGTCTATGGGCAACAAATGCAATGCATAATATTTTGGAGGGCTCTCCAACTTGATTGATGTCCGTTTAGGTTCTTGGTCGTGTCTTCTGTGTAAGATAATGCGAAAGAGGCCAGAAGACAAGCAATAGTAACTCAATGGTCTTTTTGGCTCAACAAGTACTCGGACATGGAAGTGACATGAACGTACGTCCACGAAGCTCTAAGACAGCGTTGCAACATCTGCACTCGCTCCCTTGCCAGTTGAGACTCCTGGGACAGTCCTGACGCTGTCCCCACGATCGCTGTCGCTTTCCAGTTGAACGAGCTTTGCTTTCCTATTTACCCATGTTAGCCCACGACTTGCGATTCTAGGACGAGGGAATCTTACTCCTTCCGCTTAATGTAAACATCCAGGATGTGTGTTGCGACAATCAGCGCCACTGCGCAGCCGAGGCAGAAAGAGAAGCCTTTAGGGTAATTTGGGGACTCGACAGTAGGGAAGGTCAGTAGCGGTGTCCAAGCCGTCGAAGACTGAGCAATGATAGTGATAAGAACTAATGTAAACGACCGCTGCTCGGGGGAGTCCCGGAGAATGGTATTAACCCAGCCATGTAAAACACTGGACAGTGCATTGGACCAATACATCGTTGCGAAGGCGAACCACTTAGCACCTTCGGGAATATCCCAGATGACGAGCATGATAAGACCGGTGACATTCCAGAGAGAGGAGAACGTGATCGCCCATGCTGGACCCAGAACTAAATCTGAAAGGAAGCAAGCCACGAGATTGTATAAAATACCCAACGCCGGCGCGATGGTGCCCATCTCATTGACTTGGGCTGGGCTGTATCGACCCAAGCTCTTGATCCAGAGGAGGAAGCTGCCGGTGCTTTTATGGATGCCGGCGTTCCAGAAGAGAATATCCACAAGGACAACAGTCCAGAATTGCGGGCTGAGAAAGATCTGCTTGAGGTGACCCAGCTTGAACTTTCCGCGTGTGACGTGTCCACCACGCTCTAGTCGCGCTTTTGCAATCTTGATGTCGTGATCGTTGAGTATCCAGCGGTTTGGTTGTTCGACTGTGCCTGGTAATAGGAAGTAGCCAAGAATCCCGATAGGAATGGTTATCACCGCACAAATGATGTACATCCAACGCCCTGATATGTGTTAATCGTCTGCTATGGATCCTAAAGTGGTGCATTCTGGAACAATCCAAAACAAAATAGACGAGGAACCGTAAAAGGAGAACATTTGTGCTTACAACCCGACATTCCTTGGACTCCCTCCAGACGATGCGAGGCTCCGGCTGCAATAAGACCGGCCGTCAGAGTGCCCAGGTTTAAACCGGTATAGAAGATCCCGCCCCTGCGAGCGATCTCGTGTCCTCGATACCAGGAGCCTGAAAGGTTGATCAGAAACCCGACTTGGTCCATGAGCTGGGGGTAAAACTTACCAAAAACGTAATGCATAGCTGGAAAGAAAGCAGCCTAGAAATATAAGTTACTGATAATGCAACGACAGGATTCGATCATGGGGCAGAACGTACTTCGAAGAATCCAACCAAGAAGCGATAAGCAGCCATTTCTCCAAATGAGTGCGCCCGATATTGTAGAAGGGTGAAAATTCCCCAGAGTACGTCCATGGCGGGGATCGTAAAATACATTGGGATATAAGTGAAGATGAACATAAACGGGACCATGCCGACGACAGCGCCAACAGTGTACATAGTCTGTAGTTCCACTAGCTCATTGCCTTTGAAACCGAGCTCCTCCTTCATACCTCCAACGTAGGCATTGTCTAAAACAGTTAGAGACGGACTGGGCTGGTGGTTATCGGACACATACTCAGGTTTGCCTGGTCTGTAACATATAGTTGGTTAGCTTTTGACACGCCTAGTCGGGAGGCAATGGCGTCGAACCTATGTATTTAACCCAGTACGCGAGTACAGCGTACGGAACTACAATCAGGTCCAACTTTACGATGAACCTGCGCTCTTCAGGGGTATCATCTACGTCACTTGTCAGCAACCTAATCCTTTTCCTGGCATGTCCTAAAGTCGCTCGATACACTCTGGGATAGAGTACCATACACTGAACTGGGGAGTCAACAGCACGGGAAACACTTACCGTCAGAGTACCATTGGATCTTCCACCATTTCTGCCTGGGAACCATGTCTGTTGCCATTGTTGGGCTCCTGTCAATATGACTTGACGGTCAATGTGACAGACTGAATTTAAAAGTTGCAGAACCCGAGCAGTCCAACTGCTTCGATGTCATTATTGCAATTCTTGGACATGAAGGAAGTAATATGGTTCCTTGCAAGTCAAATTGTTCTTGCTCACCGATTGCGTGAGAGCTTGTCGGGCTTGTGCCATAACAGACCACCCTTGAATTGGGCCTGTAATTGTGGGAAGAGTCCCGCTTCTGACATGGAGTACCGCCGGAAGTGGGGGTTCCACCCGAACCCGCCAGTATGGCTCTCCTCTAGGAGCCAAACCTCGTGACTCTTGGCGAGAATGGTGAGCGACCTGCATGGCCCGGTCTGCATGATAATGAGAGATACGAGTGGGGCATGTGGCCGCAAGTTGCGCATTCGGCCTGGGCAAGACTCGGAAAGAGGAAATTGTGTGGAATGACTGTTCGGCAGAGGGATGTGACTCGCAATGCTACTTGTTGGCTAGACATGCTTGATCCTTCAATGCAGACAACAGAAAACAGAACCAACGGCAAACGATAGTCAACTCATAGAATACAAAGAGAACATATGCAATGGAGACAACAAAGAACCAGATGTGTCAGAGGGTCGTGTTCACAAAAGTTATCTATGTTCAGACACCAGGTTATTCAAGTGCAATGCATGAGAACGCTTCTTCCGATAAATTTTACCCTACTGCATTGCTGAGCGTACGAGTGCGATCTTGAAGGCTACAGGGTTATGATGGCGGAGCGGAGCACACTACATGCTCTTTCGCTGCACTCCCGGGGTCCTGGCGAACTACCAGCTTCTATCCCCCCCCCCCCTTTCTTTTTCTACACGGGTGCCGAATTGCGCTCCATATGCTTGTCCGGCGGCTTCATGGTTTTGCGTAGAGGGAAAAAGGAAGCCATGCTTTCGGCGAAGAATATAGAGTTGACATGTTCCTCGTATCAATTGCTTCAACAGGCTCGAGTTCACATGGTTTATCAGCGAGTGTGGACCTATATTCAAACCAGAGACGTGAAACCAGTGGTCAACCTCAATGGGCCAGACACACACAGCTTGCGGATAAAAAGACGTAATTCGACGGTAGAATACCCTTGCTCTGATGGTGAGAACAGATCATGACAAAGAATAATGAGACTGAGACTGCTCGAGACTGCGATCTGGTGTTCTTGAAAACACGGAATAGACCATATTCGCAGAAGGCCAGCGACGAAAGTAACATGCATTCAGGAGGCAGCCCAAGGCAAACTTTGTGTTGATCCCGTCCTCGGGTTTGAATATGTGCTATCTTGGAACAAAATAATATCAAATCTGCTTCCGAGCTTTTCAAGCATTGCCCCAAAACAAGCCCATGGAGTGTCACAAAGGTGAAAGGTAGCTATTCGAAGAGCAAGATATGGTGTGATGATATGTAATAGGATATGAATAGGGTTTAACCCTGAAACATGGGCTGCTGTTACCAAAGTAAACAAAGAGCTCTGTGGGTCGACGCGTGCATAGCGCGATCTCATCACCAGCAGAGTTGACGACCGGCGAAACCTTGCCGCCCTTAAATAGGCTGCCCACGAGACGCAAGGCACAATTCGTGATGCCAGGACCGAGCTCAAGAACATCAAAGCGGAAAGCTCTGAATGCTTTCGGAGATATCAAGTCGAGCGGTCCCATCAAGCAGCAGCGCATAACGCTGGATGCTTTCTTTGCCCCAAAGCAGACAAGGCCTTCTTTTGCTGCGAAAGAAAATATTATAGAAAAGCATTCATCGCCAAAAGGTTCAGCAGAGCAGGAATGGACAGGTGTACGAGACGCCGGGCTCAGCGCCGAGCAAGAGAACGTGCTGCGTATGGTCGTTGACGATGAGAGGAACATTTTCTTTACCGGCTCGGCAGGTTTGTAGCGCGACTCTTTGACCATTGAATGGAGGCTACGTGCATTTACAAGGAAGCTGACAATTCAATTAGGTACTGGCAAATCGTTGCTACTGAGAGCTATCATAGCGGCGCTCAGAAAGAAATTTGCCGAAAAGTCTGAATGTCTGGCTGTCTGCGCCAGTACTGGCATGGCTGCACAGAATATTGGGGGTTTGTGGTCTTGTAGCTTTCGATAGTCGCTCAATTTGGTTCTAAATTTGTCAAAATAGGGACAACCATACATGCCTGGGGTGCCGTCACGCCGGGCATCTTTGACCTTGACAAGCAAATCAGCTTCATCAAGACATGCAGACCTGCTCATCGTCGATGGAAAATGGTCAAGGTTCTCATTATTGACGAAGGTGAGATCAAAACACTTCGTTTAGACCAAACTCTGACCGGGGGTACTAACGCAGCCGGACTCAGTATCCATGGTTGATGGTCAGCTTTTTAACCTCCTGGCCGCGCTTGCAGCAAGGCTACGCAAGAAAACAAACAAACCTTTTGGGGGAATTCAGGTACACCCAATGTTTGAGAATGTGCTTCTGGAATCTGTGCTTACTGACCGCCAAAAGATTGTTGTCACGGGCGACTTCTTTCAGCTCCCACCGGTCACCCGGGGGAACGAAGTGTTCTTCGCATTCCAGAGCGACGCATGGAAGGAGAGCATCGAGCATACCGTGACACTTACGAAAGTATTTCGCCAGAAGGACAACGGTTAGTTGTTTTCAGCAAATAAAAAGAACACCGGTGATGATCGGCTATGAGTGCTTACAACACGCCTTCCTCAAACGGCAGACTTCATTGGTTTGCTCAATGAGCTTCGCCGCGGCGAGATTTCTCCAGCCACGAGGAAAATCTTGACTGGATTGTCCCGACCCCTGACGCACGGCGATGGCCTCTTACCTACCCAGCTGTTCCCCTTGCGTACCGAAGTCGACCGTGCCAACGCATCTCGCTTGATGGCTCTCGGCGGCCCGGTGCACACATATACGGCCAGGGATTCAGGATCTGCGGAACAAGGTAAGAAACAAAAGCTGCTCGAAAACATGATGGCGGTTCGGATGCTTGAGCTCAAGCGAGATGCGCAAGTCATGCTGGTTAAGAACATTAGCGAGACTCTTGTCAACGGAAGCGTGGGTAAGGTGCTCGACTTTTGCCCCTCGCCGGACAAAAAGTCCCAAGGTGATGATGAGCTGCTGCCGCTTGTCGAGTTTAGCACGTTCAAGGGCAAGGAGACCATGCTTGTGTCTCGTGATGAATTCCGAGCCGAGGACAGCGAAGGCAAATTGCTCGCAAGACGTGTCCAGGTATGGTCTCGTCTTGCACCGGTCGACTCGCCGTCGCAACTTTGCTGACTTGAAGTTTCTGTCGTATGTCCAGATTCCGCTCGTCTTGGCCTGGGCCGTGTCAATTCACAAGGCTCAAGGCCAGACCATCCAGCGCGTCAAGGTGGATCTGAGCAAGGTGTTTGAGAAAGGTATGGGGAAACACCGCTCGCTGATCTCCGAACGTTCAACCTGAAGCTGAAGTCTTAATACACCCTCTAGGACAGAGTTATGTGGCTTTGTCTCGTGCGTCGAGCATGGAAGGGCTTCAAGTCATCGGGTTTGATGCTAGGAAAGTGAACGCACATCCTCGGGTTGTGGAATGGAGCAAAAGCTTAGAGTCAACATCTTGAGCCGAACCTTGGCTGCTCTTGGAGTTGAAAAAAGAGAGCAGATCAGAGACAAAGGCCGGGACGTAGATAGGAGACTCAAATGTACGGATTTCCTGATTCTGATCGATGAGTTCTTGCTAGAAAGAATGGTGGCCATGGGCCAAGTCATGGTACGGGAGGAGCCCCCCCCCCAGGAGGGGGGTGGCGCCTGGACAAACTTGGTTTGTCATCAGAGGCAGGGTTCGGGGCTGTGCTCAACCAATAGCGTGTAACAGAAAATGCAGTCTCGTTGCTGCCTGGCTTTGGGAAGAGGGCGCCCGCCGGCCAAACAACTGTTTTCTTGCCAACTGTACCGAATCACTGTCCAGACATTTCTCATGGAGGAGGATATTCTTTGTTTCATCGACAAGACCGCTGCACGTGAGTCACCCAAAACCCACAAGGCCTCCAGGCAGGAACTTTTGTGCAACGCTTGTCACTGCTGACATTCACATGGTAGCGCACGGGCCACATTTAACATCCTGCGTTGTATTTATAGTGCGAGGGGGAGCAGGCTGCCTGCTTTCCTTCCTCTCCTTTCATCCACCAGCCAAACGCCATCTTGTTCATCAGTGCCTTCAGTGCTCGCATTTACTTTGGAATAATTGACCTGCGTCTCATTTCTTTCTTGTCCTGTAAACCATTGAGACGAGGCGAAGCGCATCTCGACTGTTTGCAGCCTTTGGTCCTGTGCTGACAGCTCTTCGGACTGCAAACACTCATCAGCAGAAAGTCTCATTTCTGTCCAAATCTTTTTCTGCTTCCTCCGCAGACAAAACTACCAGTCCGGTTCTCACTAGATAGGTCCTGTGTGGCCCGTCAATGTACGCGATCAGCATTGCCGAATACAACTGAACCATCATGGACACCATTCACGAGCATGAGTATCGCATCCGCGACCTGCCTACACGGTCTATCACTCTCTTCCCGACCCGCACTCAAGTTGTTCGAGATATCAAGGATGTGATTCTCAAGGTAAGATAGTCCCTGAGTCCCAATCGCGAGCCGATCATTTCTGTATAGTACAGTGAATGCTAACTCTGCCTCCAGCCCGGCCTGAATCAGATTTCCGTCATCGGATTGACCCCTACCGTCGATGCGCACTCAATCAAGGTAGATGGAACTGGTTCCGCAGTTATCAGTGATATTTCGGTCGAGCTAGTCGAGAACTCAGACATCTTCCAGGAGATCTACCCTGATTCGGACAACGATGACAACTCTGAGACATCAGGCGACGAGGGTAGTGAGCGTGGTTCGGCAAAGCTTACAGACGATGACACTCTCAGCCCTGCCAAGACAGCATTGAAGGCGGTTAAGAAGGAGATAGTGGCCTTACTCGACGATGCCAAGCGTGCAGACGAGGTGGTCTCAAGCGCAGAGAAGCGTTTGGGTATGCTTGATGAGTTTGGAAAGAAGTTCGAGCCCAAGGCTGGAGCAGAGGTCGGCGACATCGTTGATGTCTACACCAATCAGCGAAGCAAGACGTTCAAGGACCACATGGACGGAACAATTCGCCAGCGCGAGCTCCGTGACGAACTCGTCCGCCTTCGAAAGACCGAGGAGAAGCTCGATGCGCAAGTCCGTAAGGAAGACCACAAACGCAACAAGGCTTCTATCAAGCAACGGGAATCCAAGCGCAAGGCAGAGCAACTCAAAGCTGTCCGCCTGCAGAAGAAAGCTGCACAGAAGCTGCGAATTCGCAACGAGAGAGAGAAGTTCTGGCCACGCTCTTGCTACACTGTCCGCATCACTCTTGACGCAACTCACTACACGCCTATATCTTCTCGCCGATCTTCAGTCTCCTCTGTTACAGACCTAGTGAAGCCCGTCGTCGATAGTCCCGCTGATTCTGCATCGACGATGACCGAAACCCCGTCTCCGGCCTGCGATATCTCGATCTCCTATGTCACATCTGCAGCCTTCTGGTCGCCGTCCTACGATCTGCAGCTTAATACAACCGCTAACACCGGTACACTTTTCTTTGACGCGCAATTGACTAACAACACCTCTGAAGCATGGAAGGATTGCAAGATCATCCTTTCCACCTCCCAGGCTGTCTTCTCTGGGCTACAAGATGATATCCCAAAACTCGTCCCTTGGCATATCAAGCTGGCTGGAAGATTTTCCGGGGCTCAAGGGGACATAACAAACAGCAGCCAAGAGATGGAATATCGGCGCAAATCACAGAAATTGCCCGCCTCTGGATCCCATGGGAACACAGGTGCCAGCCTCATTGGCCTCCGCCCTGGCCCTTTCATGCACCAGGTAACTCACCTTTCCCCTTACCCATTTGCGACGTCTCTAGCACTTCAAGATCAAAAGGCAGCTAACAGACTTGAGCAGAGGAACCTATTTGGGATCCCTGATCCAGCAAAGGGAACGTTATTCGGTAGCGCTCCGCAGACGCAAGCATACCAACATCAACAACAGCTGCAAGTGCAGGCACAGCAGATGCAGGTGCAGCAGATTCAGGCGCAGCAGATGCAGGCGCAGCAGATGCAGCAGCAGCAGCCGTCTGAAAGCCGCAGTGGTGGATTGTTTGGCTCTGCACCTGCTAGCAACCCATTCGGTCAACCTACCGCCGCCCCCCAATCTAGCGCATTTGGCGCTCCGGCCCCGCGTCCGGCCGCTGTGTCATCCTTATTTGGCCAAGTAAGTCAGTCGCGCGCCAAAGAAGCTGCGGTTCCTGAGCCTGAGGTCACGCTCCTCGAGCCTGAGCCCTCACTTGCCTTCCAGGAGTCCGCTATTGAGGAAACCGGTTTGACTACGACCTACGATCTCCCCGGATCCAAGACGCTCGCCCCTAGCACCACCGCGTCGAAGCAGCGCGTCGCCAATGTCTCCTTCAGCAATGTCGCGTTCAGCCACACTGTCGTGGCCAAGTATCGACCCGCTGCGTTCCTGAAGGCCAAGTTGCGCAACGCCAGCAAGGTGTCCCTTCTCAAGGGTCCTGTCGGCCTTACCCTGGATGGCACTTTCCTGGGTCGCTCGACGCTGCCACGGTGTTCTTCGGGAGACTTGTTCACCATGAGCCTTGGCATTGATCCTGCGATCAAGGTCGTCTATCCGAAGGCGGACGTCAAGCGAAGTTCGAGCGGTATGTTCACCAAGGAGAACAGCACGGCTTATATGCGGACCATCATCATACAGAACACCCGCGGAGCTTCTTCGGCGGGCGCCAAGGCAGTCCGCTTGCTCGTTGTCGACCAGGTACCTGTCAGCGAGGACGACAAGCTGAGGGTCGAGGTCGAGCAGCCTCGCGGCCTGGTCGAGGATGGCAAAAGCGTCAGCGCCGGAGTACAGGAGGGAAATGCGAAGGATAGCAAGGACTGGGGCAAGGCTGACGCCACATTAAAGAAGAGTGGCGAGGTCAACTGGAACGTTGAGCTGAATGCCGGTAAAAGCGTCAAGCTGCACCTGGAGTACGGTGTCTCAATGCCTGCTGGAGACCAACCGGTTCAGGTTTCCGAGACTCCTCGCTGGTAGACTTGATTTGCAGAAGCCCCAGTGGGAGAGACTTGCGCCATAAAATGATATTCGAGGCTAGCGAATCGGACACAAGAGGAGGCCGTAGTCCATTGCTGACTGAAGACCTTTGGCCTTTGTTTGCATTCGGGTATTATGTAGATAGACTTAGGTAGTTAGTCAGTGGTGTGTCACCAAATTGCGACGAACCTGAGCCAAATGAGCAAAGCTGTCCAACCTCCTAGCTCCCTTTGCCAGTGATAAACGTGAAATCTGTGGCGGACATCTTTAGCAGACATCTTTGTTTTAGCCTTTCTTCCCGAGAGAATTTCTTGAACGCCTGTCTCTTTGTAGAAGCTTAATTAGACACATACTTCTTATCCCAATTATCACGAACTGGTAGTTTTCTGCTCTATTACCGTGTCACATGGGTGCTGCTACCGAGCAGTTCCGGCAGCATAAGGTAGAAGGTCAGATGCAAGTCGGGGACGCCAGAGGAGTGTGTCTCCTTTCTGGAACGTCATATTGAAAATTATTGTATCGAGGGAGACAATATCCCTTTAGAGGGCTGTGCTGGAATGTCGCGGTAGCCTCTTGACCATATCGTGGTTCTGCCCGTTTATCCATCCCAATGCATGCTGCCAAACTCCTTGACTCCCCTAATCCGTTGTATGCTCCGAGAAATGCCCGTTTACTCCACAAAATTACACTGCCTCACGGGCATATCGGTATAGCTGTGTGCCACCAGCACATTCACGTTTATTCACCGTCGGAGGCTTCGAGACCAAGATGTTGCGGTCAATTTCAGGATGCTGACGGATCTGAAGCTGATACGAAATATAAGCCTTTGTCTTGTGGAAGGTAAAACGACTTGAGGCTCAAGTCGACAAATAGACAAACCTGATCAGTCACAATATCGCACCCAGCTATTCCCTGCGTTCTGCTCACGGACGCATAGTGGATGCCGACGGCCGCACCCGACTGCCCGGGCCGGATTTGGCCTGCGCTAGGCCTGCGCTTTTCGACTTGGCTTCTGGAGCTTAATTCCTCCTGAAGCTTATATCCCCAAGTCGCCCACAAGTGATGACCAGCGCCAGGACGAAACCAAGGAGGATCACAAAGATCTCGACGTAGAACAGGGCGACGATAATCATCTTGAGGGGCGGGTTGTTTTTTGGTGAGGTGGTCGTACTGGTGGCTTGGCGAGCGGGCCCTCTTTGGTGATTATGTCGGTCGACGTTGGGTGAAGGCTGCTGGGACGGAGTAGTTCGGCGCGCACCTGTGAAGCTTGCGGCTGCGATGCAGTTTATAAAAAGTCAAAAGGAGCGCCAGTGCCGGTACGTCACGATCTCGCACTCTCCGATTTTAATCTCGGATGCTGCCCGGGGGGCCTTCGGTGGGCACTCCGCATGGCCTTGACCGCTCGCGAACTCTGGCCAACTCTGGCCTATTTACAATCCGCAGGGGGGTTTTCTGTGTTGGACGGGGTAGGATTCTTCATACAATGGCCAGAGGGTACGGTTTAGGAGGCCTGTGAGAGACACCGTAGTCTCGTGGGCAAATGCCCAATCTAAGCAAGTCCCTTGCAAACCCACACTCCCCAAGCAGACCACACCGTGTGAGGCAAGGTCTTAAAATCGCTCTCCGGCCAGTTGCGGTAGCTTATTGGCGATTAATCTTACAGAAGCCCCATAGAAGGTGGATCGAAGCTACCGAGGAACCGCAGGTGGGCCTCGCTACACGGTCTTGTGGCGCTCGAATTCCCGAGCCCCTGAATCGTCGAATTCACAATCGGCGGCGAGACGTTGCACTAGCCATTGAGGGCACTTATATAAGCGAGCGGCTTCGCTCTTCCCTCTATATCGTCTCTACACCATGAAGCGTATGGATTTTCTCAGGCTGAGGTGCACCATGCGGCGTGCCATCGCTTTATCCGACAACCGAAATTCTGTAATTCACCCGTTTGCGGTACTTTTTGTAAGTACTAGGTTTGGCGTTGGTGCGAATGCCGCGGTGGCCCCTTTTCCACTATGCAGACCCACCCAGAATCCTTGATTTGCAATTCGGATTCCAAGAATCTGAAAGTGCAGGCTCCGATGCATGCGAAACCCGCCACCCCTCGTCGACGGCGAATTTGGGCGACACGCGAACTCGTGTCTCCGGTGCAGCTGTGATTTAGCAAAAGATTCCGCGACTCGGCCCAAATTACTCGGACAGAGAATAACCTTTTCATAGCGGCTGGACTATTCCACTCAGAGGCAAATACAGTCCTTGGCAACAGCATTGCTACCACAGTGTGTTCGCACAAATCCCGGAACTCATTCCGTACCTCGATCTCAATCACCCTGCACGATGAAGCTTCACGAAGTAGTACCGCAGCTACCCTAGGATACACCACCAATGCGCAGCTCGGCTTATCTCATACAACATGGCCTATCTTCAGGGGTTCTCGGGTAGATCCCCTAACCGGGGTCTTGAGTTAAAATGCTATCTAGACTCCGCTAGGAGGCACCAGGGAATTCTGCCTAGCTAAGCCTAGCAAATGTGACTATTGAGGCGCTCTAAGGGGCCACGCTCTCAGGGTCCACTTAAGGGGATAACAGGGTCTCCTTTGTATACTGTCCCACTTCAATCAGTCCGAGGACTTAGGCGACGTCTGGACCCCAATACTCTCTACTTACTACGTTACTTGAAATTGCTTACCGGAGTTGAAGCTTCCCGTAGCCCTTCATTGGCGCCATATCAATGCAATCCCATGTCTCATATAGCTACCGTCCGACCAGGGCGCATCGCTAGTCTGGCATATGAAAACAGGGAGAGGATTGCCACTACGAGATACGAAAGCGAGCAGGCAGGACTACAGCCTCGAGAAAATCTTTTCTGAGCTGGCTGGACGCCAACATTCCTAATATGCCGACACTTTCAAGACACTCGATGGGGACAACTTAAGTAGACGATATCAAGAAGAGAGAGACCGGCGTGGAGAGACAGGGATGTTGCTGCGACTCATTGACACTTGCTCACAGACCTTGGAGAAAGCAAAAGCTTCTACCCTGCAAAGGACGATATAGCCCTGCTCGTTTTAAAATTTTGTTGTTCCACGTCTGCTCCAGAGATCCTTGTCGTTGGAAACCAGGCAGCACAACTTTACATTTCTATGCGGGCATATTAGTGTCCGAAGACAGTCCAGCCTGGCACTCATCGATTTGTAGGCCGTAATTCATTGGATCTGCATAGCATACTTTGTGTCACGTTCCAACAATTATCGCTCCACTCTCTGGCCATCTGGTTTTGTTCTGATAGTGACAATTGAACAATGTAGCAGTCACATTGCAAAGCTCATTCATTGTCAGACAGGCTGCAAATTGCGGAAATTCTTTGATGTCATTCATCGCGAACAGTCAGTCCTTTAGGTTCCATTGCGAGTAAGGAATACTGTACCACAATCGAGACAGGTATCTTTCGAAGTTCAGTTGCAACTACTTGGCAAAAGGAGTTGCAGTTGTCCTTGTTATCATTCTCCACTCAACTTCAGCCCGCACATTCCTTTCCAAAGCTTCCTTGACAAACTGCTCCACAGCGATTTCTTCCTTTCTACGCGTGGGTGCAGAGCGTTTGTTGTCGGCTGTGGTCCCGTGGACGGGTGAACTGGTGGCTATCATGTGCATTATGGCTTCGGCGATGGCACAAATATACCACAGAGAGAGGCTGTGACAACAACTGTGTCACTCAATGAAATACTGGCGTTGGAAGACGAGAGGTGTGATACATGCCAATGCCGTAACGTCTGAATCAGGTGGATGATTATGCATTGCGTCGGAAGTAGAGACCTAGACCTCTCCAGGGTCGAAGATGTGACAATAGACCACGCAGATTGATCATAGCATGGCCGGGCATCGGCTCCGCACCTTGACCGGCAGTGGTGAGGACCCGGAGAAGTGGGGCCGTTGGACCTCCGACATCTGTCGGGATGGCCAGACAGTCAGGTCGCCAGGCTAACAGATTCCTCCCGCATTGCCTGCGTTAGCGCATTCAAATCAAGTTTTCTGCTGCACGTTGGAGCTGACATCCTGGAAAGCCGCGCCCCAGTCCAATGAGCTTGTGTGTGTTCGGTTCAGACGTTCACATGCACCACATCTCTTAGCTTTAGGGTGACCCAAGCTGTCGGTGACGTCGTGGGTGACGTTGTGGCTCGTCACGCCACACATGCCCGTCCTCCTGCCTGCAGAATTGCCTCCTCGAGTGTGTGCAGGTGGGAAGGTGTGGCTGACGACATCGAGAGGCTCTTATCGAGGGAGAAAAATTAAATACACTTTAAGTTGGAGAGGATCAGTACATGTATCGTGCATCCCTCCTAAACACCTACAGAACTCCTACCTCGATCCCATACTCGCGTGAGACCTAGGAAAACATTCCATTATCACAGACACCTACACTACCCCTGACAATGTCGCGGACATTGCTCCTTTGTCATGTGCATGGCTTCAAGGTCAGTTCTGGATGAGGCGGGACTTGAAGTTGTGGATCACACCAATATTAATATTGCAACACCAGGGCGACGATGACAGCTTTGGCACTTTCCCTGAGGTATGGTAAATTCAATGTCCAGCTGGCCATATTCATAGTCTGACCAAAGCTACTTAGGATTTCAAAAGAAGCCTGAGCAGTCAACTCTCTGACCACAATGTCGAGTCCGTCATCTACCCCAAATACGCCACCAAGGGAGAGCTCACCGAAGCCAGCGTCAACTTTCTCGAATGGTAGGGCTGGGTACACACCCATATTCCTGAAGAATTGCCATGACTGACACAGAAACAGGCTCAAAGAACGGGTGATGGAGATTAGGAAGGCCAAGCTCGAAAAGCCCTGGCCGCCGAATGACAAAAGCGTCGGAGTCGTCCTCGTTGCCCATTCCATGGGCGGTTTTGTGGCCAGCGAAGCACTGTTTCATATCTTGGACGAGCGCGCAAATAGCGACGACAAATCCGCCCCTTTGTTCCCCATGATTCAGGGAATATTGGCCTTCGATACGCCATACAACGGCCTCGCACGCTCCATGTTTGTCTACGGCGGCTTCTCCAACTACCAGAAAGTCAGTTCTGTTTTCAACGTTATGACAGCGCTTTCCGCCGCTCCTGCGAGCATCAGTATGGCCTTGAAGCGCGGCGCAAGCTCCATTCCAGGTTCCAACAGAGCCACCAACCCGGCGGCCTGGAAAACATGGCAGCTTGTTGCCGTGCGAACAGGGACAGTTGGCGCCATCGCTGCCGGCGGCGTGGCTGCCTATGTTCACCGAGAGAAGATCAAGGAGGGCTATCAAAATATGAGAGGTCTGAAGAAGCAAGACCTTGTCGAGGGATACCAGCAGGGCGTAGATCGCCTCGGTCAAGGCCTCGCTTACGTCAATCGCGGCAATGTCGGGCAGTCTTTTGCTTGGCTGAGTGACCACTTCACGTTTGTCGGCGTGCTCATGAAACAACAAGAGTTGAACAAGAGACTCGAGCGGCTCGCAAATCTGAAGGGCATTGGTATTCACGATATCTACTGCTCGATGGGTGAGAACGGGTACTGGAGTGGCGGCTATTTCGTGCCAGAGCGAACTTTCTGCGCTATTCCGGCCGACGATCAGCCTGCCAGCAATCTATTTTCCAGGCATGTCGTCAAAAACGCGGAGGATGAAATCCAGGCACACATGTCTTTGTTCCATCCGGACAAGAATGAAGAATACCAACTCATGGTCGACAAGGCGAGCAAGCTAGTGATTACCTGGTTCAACGACGACTCTGAGATTGTTGATAACCCCGAAATTACAAAACCGGAACCAGCCGACTCTCCCGAAAATGCAATCAAAGCCACGGACGAAGGTGTCGAAGTCGAAGGAGAAAAGTCCGCGACGGAGAATGCTGACACTCAAGGCACAGAAGATAGCGACGGGATCCCCGACGAGTCACCACTCGACATTGCCGCGGCCGCTTCTCTCGTCCCTTTGCCAGACGATGCTGAGGACACGAAGGGCGATTCTGTGCCCGAGGTCAAGGATAAGCAGTCATACTACAGATATCTCATGGGAATCGCCCAGTCAACCGGCACGGGTATCTCTCAAGCGGGCTCTGGGGTGAAGGGATACATTCCAACAAAATTGCCAGCGATCCCGAAGCCGAGCATCCCTACCATGCCCAGCGTGAGCCTTCCCAGTGTCAGTGTGCCAGGTGCTGGTTTCTTCTCCAAGAAAGAGAAGTCAACAGCTTCGGAGGAGAGCGCTGCTACGACAGCGACTGAACAACCGGCGGAGAACGTTGAGAAGACCGAGGGGTCTAATGCCGCACAAGACACTGAACCAGAGCAGAAGGAGACATAGGAGAGTACAGGTTTTACATGAGCAACAATCGATAGTAGCTTGTTTCCTCCTTTCCGCCATTGAACTCCTATCTTGAAATTTTTGACTTTCATCGTTTTCTACGATCAGCTTTTCGTAATATGATTTCACCTTCAATTCAGGTTGTCAATATCTTCTCTGAACAATTAAATACAAGTAGTGCTACATAGGTAGTCAAAGGGTTTAGTCAGCATGTACCGGAAGCATAAGCTTTTGAAGTAAGTCGGGCGTCACAAATTTGGATTACGGCACACCGTTCGGCTTTTCGTCGAATAAGCATGCACGAACTGCAATCCGAATCTTCCGATACTGGATTAAATCATATCAGATATTACGTGAAAAGAATGTGAGCAGTCTACGACAAACTCCCATAGAACTAAGGCCACGCACGCCACTCAGATTCGCTGCGCCGCAAGATGATTGCGGTGTTTGGAATCATTCTGTCCATAAGAAATCATACAAGGAATAATTACAGCCTCCAGCCTCACCGTCAGATGCGCAACACGTGCCTACCAAGGCTGACCCACGGTTGCACACCTTGTATCGCGCTGAGCTGAGACGTAGACAGTGGCCGATGTCGTGCCCACATTGGTCAAAGACAGTCGGCCCTTCACCTCGATGTCGTGATGAGCCGCCATTTCTGCGTAGCAAATGTGCCGATCTGTAGTCTGACATGGGAAGCGCAGTGTCGAAACATCAGGTGTAATATGAGCGATACTTCCTGGAGTCTGAACATAAATACAGCAGCACGCCTCTCCTTCCCATTTACGATTCAATGCTCATCTGCGAACGTTTCTGCACACCTGAAGCTATAATCTCCTTATTTAAACTAAAACAAACGTCCCGACCCACTATTCCATCATAAAAATGAAGTACTTCCAGGCTGTTTCCATCTTCGCTGCCCTTTCCGGCCTCACATCCGCTGCGCCGGCAGCTGAGTCTCGCCAATTCAAGGCGATCGTCACCTTTACCGGTGCTGCCGCTTCCTACACCCTCCAGGTACCCACTGATGGTTCTCTCTTCCAGACGAGTAAGTACAGAGGGGCCTAAACAAGAATGAAAGAAAGTCCTTGGTTCTGACGCGATGTGCCCGTGAAACACTGTATTCTGACGTGGCGCTGGGAACAGACAACGACCTTGCGGTCGATCTCATAAGCTCGCAAGGCGGGGCGACTTGCTCTTTCTTCGGAATCGATGGGGCTTCCGTTACCATTGTCGGTGCTAACAGTGCCACTGTCGCCCCACCCCAGGCGATCGAGAGTGGCAGCTGTCGGGCATTTTAAGATGTGATAGATGGGGGTAGGATAATGTGAACTCCTTCTGTGAAAGTGGAATTAGGGAGATCTTTGATTTATGCTTCAGCCGGTATAAATATTACGATGCCATTCATCCAAACCTGATCACTCTCAACCATACCTCCTATTGACTTCAGGTTCAACGTGAACCCTCTTTTGTCCTTCCTCGTCCGCCAAAATCATCGGCGAGTCGATCGTTTCCTTCAGGACGAGCTCCAGCCTGCCTTCAGGAGTGACCTCCCTTATGAAGGTTCGTGATTTCCATGTTTTCCAGTTCCTGATTCCGCCTCCTGCATTATGGAGCAGCGAGCTCGGTTGAGAGACCATCGCCAACGCTATCAACTCCCCTAGCTCCGACCATGCCCTGCTGTACCAGCCGTCGCCTAGGACGAGTAGTAGTAAATGAGCATAGACCAGCATGACGTGCAGTAAGAGGACACTCATCGACAGCTTCACAATCAATCCTTCAAACTTGTAGGCGTGCAGCTGGTGGTAAAGCTGGTAATCAAGTCGAGTCATGTGGTCTGCTTTGGATGATGGCGAGCCTACTGTATTTGGATCAGATTTTGTAACGTCCGATGCGGCATAATATCTGAAATAGGATTGTGCTCTCCTCAGTGAGTCCGTCAAGTATAGTGCATGAGCAAGCATTCCGCATTTTGGCCCTAGGGAATAAGGAACGCTTTGGTTACAATAACGGTGTATGAGTTCAAAGGGTTGCACTTGGGCTGTCTTGCCCGGCCCTTGTTGGTACTTCGAGTCGACAGTGAGGTCGGAATTAAGCGAGTTGGCATATTGAGTAGTGATCGCTATTATTGAGTTGGCCTGTGCAGAAGTATTCTTTCCGATACCAGCTGATATAGAATCCAAGGAAATGCCTGAGCGCATTATTGTTGCATATGGCGCTGTGAACCAAACCTGGGACTCGATCCATCTCGCATCAACGAGACATAGGTAGACTGGATGATAGACGGAAGAGCTCTTGCCATCATACATGAATAACGCCGTAGAGATCGTGATGTCAGGAGGAAGCAGGTGAGAAATGTCGATGTATGTTGTGTTGGGCTTGCCTTGCTCCTCAATCTGCTTGACTATATGCCGAAACGTGTTGTCCAAGTGAAGAGTAAAAGGGAGCAACGAGCCCAAGTTCTCGAAGGAAACTGGACGGAGGAGGGTGGTAGCATTGCGTGTTGGATTCTTGTGCAATACAGTGCTGCATTGCATTGAAACTGATGGCTGCCGCCAGTCTAGGTCTCTCTTCGTCTTGCTGAAAGGTTTCGCCTTGATCATGGCAGCGCTTGATGAGACGGATATCCAAGCACGGTAGCGATTAAACAGCTCCTGCGTGACGAACGCCAAAGGCGAAGTAACTTGAGTACTCAATGACTCGCAGACCATGTTCAAGCAATCATCGCTTTTTTTCATTGATCATGTCCATCGTTTTGTTTAGCCTCGAGGATATGTTCTGGCAAGTCATGAGCTCGCAGTCGTCCAGACTCTGCTCTTGGTAGGTCAGTGCAAACGAGTCGACTGTCGCACGATCCACAACTGTGACATTCGCAGCCGCTCCCGAGCTATCGTCGACGAGAACCTGGTCCAGTCCGGACAAAATGTGTTCAAACCGGTCAGAAAAAGCGGAGGAACTAAGACGATCATCTTTGGTCTGATCCGGAACAAAACGGTCATCAATGAGCAAAGGAAACAAATGCTCAAATGATGCACCAATGTATTTAGCATCTTCCAACTCCTTTTTCGTGAATGTTGCCATTGCCTTTCCCTCATCTGGAATACGCCACCAGTTGTACTGTGGCGTCATGAGGACTCCTGAGCTAGGAGCAGCCAGCAATCCCAATCCCGACACCAGCAAAACCAGTGATATTGTCAAGAGCTCCGGGGCACTCTTGAAAGTAAAGCTTGCCGAGGCCAAGAAAGGGCTCTGGAACAGGAAAGAAGGGTCCGAGATGCGGAAGGGTGAGACCAGCAGGCCGAATGAAACCCCTCGGCTGGTCAACAGGTGGTAACGGATTCGATGAAATAGGATGTCCCCCAACGATACCAGTATTAACGTCTCATGGAGCTTGACGGCGAATAGCAGGCTCTTCAGTTGTATATCACTTGCTTTCCATTGGAGGTTTTTGAGATATAGCCAGAACAACGTCAGAGTTGCGGCGACAGGCAGGAAATGTATGGCGAGGAAATAGAGGATTGCTCGCTTTTTGCTGTTGGTCAAAATGACCTTTGTTTCCTCCGACGTGCTCGTGCTCTGATCATGTTGGAGATCAATTTGTTTAGGGTGTCTGCTCGGAGAGTGCCCAGCACTGCTTTTTGAGTCGCAGCACTGCTGGCTGCTGTTCTTCAGGCTGAATAGGGTCACTGTGTCAGAAATCCTTGTGCATCTGGTCCCATTCTGACCCTCGCTGTCTGCACAAGAGACGACGACGTCTTCGCGTAGATCAGCCGGCAGGATTGTCGAGCATTGTGATAGAGCTCTTGGCTGAGCCTGTTCGTCCATTTTGAAGTCTTGCGTATCGCGAGCTTGACGTAAAATAAAAAGCGACCCATGTAATTGTTCACGAGCATCCTCCTCAAGGGCCTGCGTCACGTATGTGTATGGCTACATGATTCCCATACATCTTCCTAGTTAATAGAAAGGAAAGGAAGTCTTATGGGTGTCGGTATGATTTGTAAAGAATCGAAAACGAGAATGTATTCCGCTCATCCTACCCTCGGTGGCCTAATCAAACTCGTGGGAAGATTCTTGTCGCAGAACACAGCCCCTTTGGCGCGAATGAGAACTCAGCCAGGGTATTGTGCAACGTGGGATATACGCTCAATCTCCACACTTGCAGAAAAGCGTGGCCGTGCCCTGTAATAAATGATGGTTGCACCAGTGAGTGCTGATTGAGCAGACTCGGTGGAGCAGTCTGACTGCAGGAGCTGATAATAGATCGTCAGCTGCCGTCTACCAAGACCTGACCAATGGGGTAGTGATCAGAACTGGAACAAAGTCGCCCCCAAGCAGGAATTCTGGATCCACAAGTCAGAATCAACCGCCTATCGTTGTCTAATTGAGAGCATTCCGGTCGGAAGAAGCATGGGCTTGAGCAGTCCGGTATCACGCTTGGAACAACCGCTGCCTGAGATGCTGCAGCTGGCGCAAAGACATTGGAAAATCCAGGATGCCAATCTTCCACAGCCTCCAAGGCAGTAAATCGGCAAGAGGCTTCCACAATACCGACAGCCTTGACGGCTTAATGCAACACGGACCTCTCGATTGCTTGGGCGAAAAGACGCACCTCATCAATGGACCTAACATCTCTTCCGTTCTGCTGCTCGGGTAAGCACCTCTCTCTTGAGGTGAAATGCCTCACACATTTCGCTATATTTCTCGCACTCGCTGACTCGATTCTGAGAACCGCGAGTCCAAAGTGTTGAGATTCGCAGTGCCAGAGATGCTTCGGCTTCCCAGGTAGTCTGGGAAAACCTCGAATGTGTGTTGAGGCCATGGTGAGGCTCGATTCCAGCAGTGAGGCCGTGGGGCCCTTTCAAAGGAACAAATAAGCATCAATGCATGTTCAGCATAGCGTCTGCAGCAAGAAACATCCAGCAGGTAAGTATTTAGATCTTTGAACTCAAACGGCACTCGCAGTCACTTGTCGGAAGGGGCTGGGTATGAGAGACATGCATACTAGCCGTAGGACGCAAGGGTTGACGAGGGACGGGATTCGCTTTGGAAATGACAATCTATGGTCGTAGGATGAGTCGCAGGACAAGCTTCTCGAAGGAACCACTTTCATGAGGCTCATAAGTTGCAAATTTGGCATGAGAACGCTTCAGTAATTCAAGGCAGCTGCCGAATTCATCGTATGGGAAATTATCAAAGTATCAGGGTAAGTTCCCTGAAAAGAGTTATCCGCTGCCTAAACTGTTGCCTTTTGCAACCAACAGTCCCTCCAAAACCAGCGCCATCGCTGAAACCAGACCTCAATGTTTCATAGCATCGTACCATTTCATCTGCCCCGCCGCCTCAGATGTGATATGATATCCGCGCTACCAATTTGTGACAGCCGACCTCTTATCGTACCAGAACACGGAGATGTTGAGGTTAAAGACCGATGACAGTGTTTGCAGAAGGGCAATGTCGGGAGTTAAACCTCGCCGTTGTCCTGCTCCTCCTTGACATTGTCCTTGACGTCTGCCTTGGAATCGGCCTTGTCCTCAGTCTCGATCTCGTCTTCCTCTGAGTCGTCCTTGGCGACAACAGGAGACTTGGCGGCGGCGGCCTTGCCCTTCTTGGGGGTGGCAGGGGCCTTCTTGCGTGGCTTTGCAGCGACCCTGGCCTTCTTTACGGGACCACCAGCCTCATCATCATCGTCGGCCTCCTCGTCGTTGGACACAGCCTTCTTGCGCTTGCCCGCGCCGGTGGTCTTGCCACCAGCGGGGGTGTCAGGAGCCTTGAGAGTCCAGTCCATCTTCTTCTTGATCGTAGACTGTGGTAAAATGTCAGTGATTTATGGATGTACGTGTGCCCATGCCGCAGGGTTCTTACCCAAGCATTGACGGCCGAGCGAGGGTTGGTCATGCCGAGCTCGAGGGCGAGCTTAGGAAAATCAATCTGTACATTAAAATGTGTGAGTTAGCAAATTTTCACAAAGGAAAACGCACATTACGATACGTAAAGTTTATCGCGCAACATGAGGCGGAGTCACAACGCATGTAGGTGATGTGACGACGCTGTCAGCGCGAGACAGTGGCATTTGGCAACAAACATGATTGTCAGAAATGGCGCCTTAGGGCACACGAACGGTAGATAAAACATTGCGCGAAGTGGTAGTAGGGAAGTTTATCGGCTTGCAAGTGCTTACCTCAGGAGCCGTCTTAAGGCAAGTCATGGCCTTGGCCAGGATCTCCTGCTCGCGTGTGGTGAGGGAGCTGTAGCCACCACCAGCAGCCTTGGGCGTGCCGGGAGCGGCATCGTTCTCACCGTTCTCGGTCTTGCTTGCCATGTTGGGTAGATGAAGAGAGGAAAATGAATGAAGTGACAGCTGAAGATCTTGATAGTTGCAAGATGATGCTCTTGCTCGAGTGGGCGGTTGATGTCGGTGGTGAAAGTGCCAGCCCGCAGGTGTGGAGGGGAATGTTTGCCTGATATCTGAAAAACAAAACGGGCCGTGGTTCCCAGCTCACGGCCGAGTCGCCTGAAAATCCACGCTAAAATAGAAACAAATGCCAAATGCAAATGCGCGCATGTCATGGCCTACCGTGATTCAGAGGTCAGAAAGATTCCGTCCGATTGTTCAAAACTCTCGTCAAGAACAAGCGAATGCGAGGACTTCATTGTTCGTAAGCTTGCCCTTCATTGCTGGTCCTTCGGGACGAAATGGTCTCCCAGGAATACACAATGTGTCTGTAAACCAGAATACCGGGGATGAATGCGTAGTCAACAGCGTTGTCATATTATTGATGCGGCTGAGCAGCAGCGAACGGAATCAAGGATTCATTTATTGGACCCACCAATGAAGTATGAGGCCGACATGACGAATTACTTCATTGTGTCTACATTGTGGCACAAGGAAGCGTACTAAGCTATTCTGTACGGTTCTGGTGGAATAGCAGACAGCCTCGTCACAGAGTGGGGCCAGCCAGCTTCACTTCACTTCTAAGGAGCGACTTAGTCCCAGCTGCACAAGCATTGCAGGGTCTGATAGAAACTCGGGCTTTTCATGGCCAGACGGCAGCCCCTCCTTTTACTTTCCATCACAATCGTCCCCGTCCCAATCTCCCAACTTCCCTACCTGTTGACCTTACCTTCGTTCCCTACAGCAACTTGCGACCAGTCAACACTTTGCAAGTGCTTCATTACAGCCATCAGCAACCAAGCGACGATCGTAACCATGGGTGCCAACAGCCAGAGCGGTGGCGAGAAAGGGCGCTCCCTCCAAGAAGCGTGCCATCGAGGAGTCCCCTCTGGCATCAAGGGCATGCTCGAGAACAAAGCCGATGAGGATCAATTTGAGAAGAAGTTCACTTCTGTCTTTGACAAGGTGCAGGAGCAGGGCCGCCAGATCGCTGCCATCCTGGAGTGGACTCGTGATCTCCGCTGATTTTGAAGAGGAGATCTTCACAACGCTTGGTGGAGCTGACTGTTGGTCGTCTCATGTTCGAGATACCCCACCGAAGTTTTGAAGGTGGTAACATGCCATGGATACAGAGACAACGAGAGAGCCGAAATACAATTGCACTCATCGTTTTGAGTAAGCAAACCATTGCTGTCCCCAAGTGATTTACCTAAAGCCCGCGTGCTCGGCGTAATGTAGACTGCTGATCCGCTCGCCTCAAGACCTATTCCCCAAATACCTGTTGAAGAGCGAGTAGTTGCTATAAACGTTACGTTATAATGTGCGGCTTTGGGCCATGATATTTTCTCCTAGACCCTTCTAGTTGTTGGATGCATCTCATTGTACTCTCTTTCCCGCCCTGCTGTCATTAGCAAGCCATGAGAATTCATCCTGAATAATCTGGGGTCACTATCAACTGCGCCACTCTTTAGGTGCGCCAGATGTTGTGGTGATTCGAAGTCTTTCGGGTGACGCGCCTTGTTCGTTGCTGCTGCTTGAAAGGCCAAGCCCTTGGCGGCCACGACCCGTTGTCACACGTGGCTGGGAGCTTGCCGGCGCGATCAGCGTCCAGACTACGAACAAGCATCCAGAGAGATTCCTTGGCAGCTGTGCCCAATCCCAACTGCCCACCGCTCTCTCCCCAAGATCCTCGACGTGCGTCTTTTCTTCCCCAACTACCCCCAGGAACGTTTGTGCCCCCATACCGACGTCGATCAAATACTACAAGCAAAGAAACACCACCGAGGACACTTGTCTCACCCGTCAACACACCAAGTTCGTCCCGAAATGGCTACCCCAGAGGCCCCCAAGCCCCAGGCCCCAATGGAGGCCCGCCCCACCTCATCAAGCAGCGCGGACGCATCCCACGGCATAACGGGCCCGATCACCAAAGCACCTGTAAGTCCTGGCACTAACGCATCCGAAACCCAACCTTGGCTGAGCGGGCGACTAAGGGCTGAGCTTCTGTAGAAAGCTGAACCCCGTCCCGTTGCGCAGAAGCAGGAACCTGAGCTTCGTGGGGGCGGCATGACCATTGGCTTCAACTGCTGCCGTGGACATTGCAACTGCCATGAGACGTGCTGCTGAAGGCTGCCGCGATGGAGACATGGAGATTCTAAGCTGGCAGCGTCAGGTGATTCACTGAATCCCGGGAAGCAGCGCAATGATCAACCCATCCGTCGGCGAAAACGCTGAGTCTAGGCATTGAGGGACACGCATGGAACTTTCAAACCCACGCGGGAAGAGCAAAGATTGTCTCGAGAGATATTCGAATTGCTTGATTTCTATTCAACTGCTTGATCTACGTCCTTATTACCGTGACCAGACGCAAGCCCCCCTGAGCACTGGCGACACTCCTGCCTAGGTCTCAAATCAAAGGCTGCGCACGCCCGTACCGATGCTAAACCAGACCGTGCCATGCAACAATACAGCACCCACAACAAAGCCTGCCTACCAAATGCTATTGAAAAATTGCATAAAGGTCTCCCATATGCTCCCAGATACAGGCCTGAAGATTGATTTGCTGAACTCATGGCCGCCCGCCTCAGGCGCCAAGTCAGAGGCAGCCGTCGAAGTCGGCGCAATGCTCGTTGGTGTGGTTGAGCTAATTGAAAGAGTACTTGAGGGAGAAATAGGAGTTGCCGTAGGAGTCAAAGGAGTGGTCGTGATGCTAATGGTCGTACACATAGACGCTGGCGGGGTGGAAAACTCTTCACATTGGCCATGGATATCGGCCCCGTAGGTGAAGTCATCCACGAGGAGGCTCTCGCCTTGGCCGTTGCTGACATCCGTCCTAGAGGAGTAACTGATGCCGCCTGGGATGGTCCAGTTGGTGTTGTACAATGTATATGGGCCGACGCAGTCGCCTTTATTCATGGCCATGGTTATCTCGTGGAGCCCAGCGACAGGCAGACCTGGCCGAGGCACCTTATAGGAGATTGTGAGATTGGTGGGAAGGTCATTTCTGTCATTGCGGACAGCTGCCGTGACGTTTATCTTCCCCGTGTATTGCAGCAGACAGGTCTGGCGCCTGAGTAAAAGAACAGCGTCTTGCATTGGGTAGGAGTTGCCATTGTTGTCGAAGTGCAGTCTAGTGCCGTTGGTTAGGACGAGGGTCAAAGTGAAGGACGAGATCCCCGTGTCGACTGGGATCGTCGCGTCGACTGGGAAGAACTGTGTCAAAGGTCAGCACACAACTTGCCCACAGCATCTGAGTCACTCACAGCGAAGCTGTCGTCGAGTCCGTAGCCACTGCCATGAGCGGTGGCAGCAATTAGACAAGATCCGGGGCCACAATCTTGTTCACCGTTTCGATTCCTGTAGAGAATTTCCACCTTGTCAATCTCCATGGCCGGAAGGGTCGTAGTCTTCACGCGTATGTTGCCACTGAGTTGTAGATGCCTTGCAGCCTGCTCCAACGTAAGCCGCAAGTCTACCGGCTTGACCACATAGGGCTCGATGGGCTCTGACAGCGTAACCGTCTCGGGGACAACCTCAATCATTTTCTGGAGCACCTTTTGACAGACATCCTGGAAGCTCTGTGGGTCCGCCATAGCCTTGACTGTAATATTGGCATCAGAGCCAAAAATTCGAGCATCCGAGTCCTTGCCCTGAGAAACCGCCGGCCCCACCACGAGTGGGTTTGTTGTGTTGTTATCGAGATACTCGGTGACGACTTTCTCATCGAACATGGAAACTGTTGAGTCAGATGGTGCCTCTCCGTCCTCGATCAGCTCGGGGAACTCTGTGCCGTGCACACCTCCAAGCGTGTGTCCGCACGCAGTGACTTGGATCATCTCCTCATTGGTGAAGCCCATCCGGGAAAACTGCTCGCGGAATTGTGCGATCGAATGCTCTGGCTGAGGCACTCCCATGCTCCCGGCCCCGGGTGCATCCACCCTACCACCTCTAACGGGTATGACAGGACCACCACATGAACGGACCGAGGCATACACCCCAAGCGCGATGAGATCTGCCAGGCTCGATCTCTTTGACAGATAGTCCGAAAAGAACTTCAGCGTAGAGTTGAAACCCGGCCCTTTGCTCTCACCATCATCGAGCTGGTACTGTAGTGATCCATCCAATCCACCGTTTCCTGTCCTCACATCGGCAGTTGACATGTCGTGAAACGCAACCCTGAGCCACTCAGCCGCGACCTGTCTTCCAGGCCCAGAAGCCTCGTTGGAGCACGGCGAGATGGTGTCTGCAAAGTTCCGCGACTTGAATATCCGCCCCTGGTACATGATCTCCTCCAAGTCATCGATCGGGGACGGCCATGTCGGGTCGGCGAGCACGTTAGACAGCAGTGCCGCGATTGTCGGGAGGAGGATCGGTCTCATTGTGCCGGACTAAAGCCTTTGAAGGCTTCTTCCCAGGGCAACTGGGTCAAAGGCCGACTTGACACGGTGGCTCACGCCACAAGAGTTGCTCCACCGCGCCTCTGGCTGAAGTCATAGATCTGAAGATGCATTCGTGAGAATTTGAGCAGGCCATATCGAACCACATTTGAGTAAGCACTGTAGTCAGCCGCGATAAGAGGGAGTGGGTGTGGTGCAGCTGGATACGAGGTCGTCTCTTAGTGGATGATCTGCGACCAGGATGAGGGCAGCTACACCATAAAAGGTATTGTCTCGACAGGGGTGAAGAATCCTCAATGTTAGCCCCTTCCGGATGTCACTGGTAAAAATTGATGTGGATACAAAATTTCCGCAACAAGTGCTAGGTTTCTTCGAAATCTCAGTCCTGCAATGATAGATAGGAATTCATTCAGCACCCAATCGGGCCAACGGTCCACAGGCAGTAGCAAGGGCCTCGGTTAAGCTTCTTTTTAGACTTCTAATGTGCTCCACCATGTTGACGACCGTGCAACAGGCGTCCATCCTGCATGTCTCCACACATGCAACCATCAAGATCGAAGACTTGAAGGAGTGATCATCTCCAAGGGACAGATTGAGCCCATGGCCCGGGGAGCTTTCAGTCTACAGTGGAATTGAGATGCTTCTAGACAGTCACTCGTAAGCTGAAACTGATGCTTGAAGCACCGGACGGCCTAAGGCTCTCGTTGGTGGTGACCTCTAGGCACATATTGGTAAAGTTTTGTCTCCTCATTTCAACTGTTTGACTGGGAAGACCTTTTTTGATTGTTTTCGATCTGTAGTACTCTTCATCAACTCTCCTTCTAAATGAGCACCCTGATTTCCTAATCCCTCTGACGAAAGCAATTCTCGCCTAGATTCAAATTTCCAGGTACCAAGTGGTCCACTAGAATTGTAATACTCAGTCTTCCGCAAATGCCTGTCCAATAGAAAGGAAACAGGGCCTCGGAATGATCAAAGCGCGGGTACGTTGGGAAGGAGACGCTCGTGCTGTCAAGGAGGAGCAAGAGTCAGATCCGTACGCCTCAAAGCAAAAGAAACAGTGGTTGGCTGCTTGAAGATCGAGGGAAAACATCCCACTGGTTTTACAGTCACTGAATGTTTTCATATGGAGTTCCCACTAACGCAAACGAACTCAAAATCAAGACCCAAGTCGAATGATGGTTGTGTTTGTGAACTCGCCCCACTTTTGATCCTCATGTTTTGTATCTGTTCACTCTCTTAGCTCATGCTTCCTACTTCTTCTTCAACCACCCACTTTCACGACAAATGCATATCCACCCATCCCGCCTCTGCTGAACTGAACATCTTGCTCTTTTGTGCAAGAGGCAGGAGTTGACAATATGGATCGTCCGAAGCTGAAGGTATCTCCAAGTCTCCCGCACATCTGACAGCAGAAACCTGACGATAGGTACAGATGGGCAAACTCGCCCAGAAATTCAATCTCAGCCAGGGCAAACGGAAAGACGTTGACCAGGCAGAAACCTTTGATACATCTGCGAAGGGACGACTTCCTACGAGTCAATCCTATCCAGTGCAGCTCCAAGGATCGCAGGTGCTTCGTCGTAATGACGGTTTTGACTTCCCAATGGCATTCCATTCTATGGCTAGTGAGCCCCTTGCTGATCCTAGATCTTACCATGCTCGTTCTCTCGGCGCCTCGCCCGGACTAATGGCCACAGAGTCCCGCGCCTACAAGGTGGGTCATATCTTTGCCCTACTGCAATACTGGAACAGAGGTTTCGTGGTTGCTGAATCCACCCTCGCCCTTACTAGATGTCCATGGAAATCGACAGTCTCGAGATCACTACCCCAGAGCAACGAAAGGTTTTAGAGCTAGAGCAGCGACTGAGAGTTGCGACTCAGAGAGTGCAGGATCTGGAAGATGACGCAAGAACTCACGAAGAGGAGCTCATGGTAGCCAGGACCCAAGCTAAGATCGACATCGACCAAGAGGTCGTCAGACTTCAACAGGAGGTTGAGACACTGGAGCAGCACGAGGACCACCTAATTCGTGAGCTTGTGATCTCTGAGTCGAAGCTAAAGGGCCTCAAGACCACAGAGAGAGACCTGAAGAAGAGATTGTCTCACTTTCACACGATTTACTGCCTAAAGCACGCATACAACGCCCATCTCAAGAAGATGAGCCCTGTCAAACAGCACACAGCACAAAAGCTCCACGGAAAGTTCGAGGAGACGGAGGCAAAGTACATGGAGGCAGCCTTTGCACTTTACGACTACCTCGAAGCCAACGGTCTTCAAGATACGCTTCCAGCTAACGTGAAAGCCTGGCTGGCCAATCACAAGGGTAAAAAGAGTTGAGAGTCTACAATATGAAGATCGGATGTCTTCTCGGCTTCGTGGCAATGATGCAAGGGGTCTTGATCTGCGTTATGGAGTTCATTCCGTCAAGGGACAAAAGCTTTCCCATATGCGATGGTGCATTTGAATTGAGATTTACTGCGAGGAGAGGTTTACTTTTCAAAGATGAGAGAGTGAACAGAAAGCACTATCGCGATCATATCCGAGTCTTGATTGGTTGGGACAAAGAGGCATCTCGAACAGAAGAGACATGTTCTGTCAGGGCAATGGAAGACATGCGAATTGAGTTTGCTGAAAAGAGGGTACAACCTACCCCCCCTCCCCCGGCCCCCCTTTTAACTTCCCCAAATGTAGTCCGCCTCCATTTAATGTGTCGCTAGACAATATACGACCGAGGGGCTTCTTTCTTTCTATCTGGACCCAGTGAAACCATGTTTGAGCATGGGAAAATGCATATTGATTCCTTCTAATAGGCCAAGAAATTCTAAGAGATAAGTACAGTCCCTCAGTAGTCACGCGGGATACTCAAACGGCTGTCTGTTACTCACCTGTCGATAAGAGCCATCAACATGCCTAGACGGAGGTGATAAGTCCCATTAATTCAGCGGCCTATCCCCACAGATTACTCGGTAGCCAGCGAGCTAGTGTACAGACAGCGTATTTTAGGCAAGCCTCCAAACTCCCTCAAAGTCCCTGCTCCAGTCAACAATATTAACAAGTCATCCGTCGCGCTACCCAGAACCCAACCATCACTCACTCAATTCCAACTTCAGGACGAAGAAATCTAGCACTCCAGAGCATGTCAAAGTTAATTGTAACTTCGAGGAAATGTCGTCAGACGGAACTGGTTTCTTTGCCATGCTTGAGTACTGGTACAAAGCCGAAGCCACCCAGATGTGCGGCCCTTCTAGGGATATAGGCTGGAATAGGAAGGAATGCCGAGCACAAAAATGCCAAAAGGAGATACAATTGAGACTCCCGACCCAGGTATCCCCCGGACCTCTCTTCTCTCCAATGCCTGTGGTAGTGACCAACGTATCTAGTTCATAATACCAGGCTATTCGTATGCAGAGAGGAGCCCGATCTACGAACTGCCTCGCGAGCTGCTATACATGATCTTCCACCATCTCGATCCCATTGATGGGCTCTGTCTCGCCCTGTCCTGCAAGCTATTTCTTAATCTCAGCGCTACCCTACAAGCTCCGATTCGTTTTCCCTCGCTCAAGGCACATCAACACCGCTCACATGCGATGTGCAGGAATGTGCACATGTTCCTGCAGCGAATAATGCCTCATCGGGCCATTTGCAGCCGGTGCTTGAGGATACTCCCGCTTGAACCGGAATGGTGGGACATCCATGGGCCGGCGACGTTCCCAGAGCTTGAGTGGCAGTCTACCGTGCAGGAAGAATGGTCACAACAAAAGAGCACGATATGCCCAGAATGCGAAATCAAGGGCATCGGCGCGCGTCAGGCTTTTCCAGAGCTGAGGATGAAGCCAAAGAACAAGCCTCGTTCTCTAACAATCCCACAGTAGCATTCCGGCGAAAGCGTACAGCAGTGGCCAAGTGCGCTTGATTCGCGGAAATGCTAGTCGAGACATCTTCATGAAAGTTCAATAACCAGAAGAGTCGCCTCATCTCAACAATCCTAGTATTACCACGTCACTCTTCGCCACTCCAGTGATTGTCACGCCCCCGTTGTTACTGCCCGATTCGCCTGATCTTCGCACCATTTCCAAAAATTGTCACCCAGATTATCCTCCTCCGATTTCAACTTCGCCAATATGTCCGGCCTGCCGATCTGTTCCTCGGGCTGTACCCTGCCGAAAGGAAGAATGTACGCACCATTGTTCTCGAGAGTTATCTCTGGCGAGAAGCCAGCATAAAGCTCTGTGTACCCACCAAATTTCGGATCGTAAAGGAACAAGCGGTCCGCCACAGCCATAAACTTCGACGGGGCACCTTGGAACGCATTCGTCTTGAGGTTGCCCGGGTTTGCAGCAACACTAATAATCCCGTGCTGACCATACCTGCGAGCGTACTCATGGGCCAGAATCCAGTTTCCAGCCTTCGACCTGGCGTAGTTACGCCTCCCATTCGGACATCCTGTAGCTAACATCTTGAAATCGATGCCCTCCGCAGGAACGTGGGACTCAGCCATGATACTTGACAGCCACACAACGCGGACGGCGCCTGGATGGGAAAGTTTCGCTGCGTGTTGGAGCTGGGGGAGAAGGAGCTGTGTGAATAGGAGCGCCGCAACACAGTGCATCCCAACGAATTTTTCCAAGCCCTGTGCCGTCTTTGACTGGACGGGCACGGCGTCGGCACCGATGCCTGCGTTGTTCCAGAGGATATCTAAGCGGTTCTCCTGCACGGCAAATTCGGATGCTGCGGTTCGGACCGAGTTCAAGTCATTAAGGTCGAGTAGAAGCGGCTTAAAGATGGTCAGGTACTCGGGCTCGGGCTCTATACATCTAAGCGTCTCGATGGCTATATCAACCCGTTGCTGTAGAAGAAAGTCAGCAATCCGCGGTCGTTTTAACAGATCGGGAAAGGCAGGCTGTCGCATCGGAACTGACCTTGGATCGTGAGGCGATATACACAGTCGCTCCGGTGCCCCGAAGCATCTTGCATAGCTCGAAGCCAACCCCCTGATTTCCACCGGTCACTATGAAGACATGTCCTTTCTTGAGCCCCAAATCCTTCACCCCAAACGTAGGTGCTGGCGGGAAAATCTGAGTCCAACGCTTTGGGTGGAGCATCGCCATATCGCAGACGGAGGCTCGCTGCAGGGATTTGAATATGTCTGTCGGGCACACCTGGGAATTGCAGACGGTCACTTCAAACATTCACAGCAGCAGGGCAGGTTTGTTGGGGGCACCGAGTATGGGAGAGAAGGACAGGGCATAGCCAGTCATCACCGCGCGTGGAAGATTCGCCCCGAGTAAATACCATTTTTAGACAGTGCCGCCACCATTTGTGCTGACAACATTTTCTCAGAAACCTATTCTGAAAGGTTGACCAAGCTTATCAAGTCCCGCAGTGTCTGTGACCGTTTTGCCTGATGCCCGGTGGGTTGGCTGACAGCCCGCGAGGTTATGCTGACCATCAGCATCGGGGGATGTGATGCGAACCAGCACCACTTTGCGAGCACGCTGTCCCCTTCAAAGCATGCATTCCCCATTGAGACAAAGTACAACTTCCAAAAACAATGGAACGCCATCTGTGGTCCCTCGAGACGCGTATGTAGAGCGGGGGACGGTGGGGGTGGTATCTGATCCCCGACCCTGGGCCAGGGACGACGATGAAATGCCCAAATTAATCCAATTCATTGTTCTGGTCGCCGTTGAGGTGACTATGCGACTTCTCCAGCTACAGTTAGAACGAGTTGTCAAACCCGCCCTGAAAAGCTTGAGAGAGTTCCTGTCTCAATGATGTCACCCAATACGAGCGGGGTCCTCAGGGAGCCCGGCGACGCGATTCAGAGACTACGTCGTGCTTTCGTGACCTATAGCGTGCCCTGAGCAACTACCTCAAAGCACAAAAGAAAGCTCAGAACCTAGCCGCGCCGAACAAAAACCACCCAGGGCCACCAGAGTTGACAAAAATGTCTCAAGAGCAGAAGGCTGCCGGGGCCGGTGGCTCCACCTCATCGTCTTCGGCACAAGCACGTCAAACCCTGTTTGATGAAGGCTTCGCCATCCGCGCCGAGGTCACCGGCCCGCAGCACGTCGAGCGGTCGTGGACCAACGCCTCGGACTTCTCGAGGCCAATGCAAGAGCTAGCGACGCAGTCAGGCTGGGGCCTGATTTGGGGCCGGCCGGGGCTCGATAGGCGGACACGGTCCCTGATCAACGTGGCCCTGCTCGTCGCCCAGGGGAGGGACGCGGAGCTCGCCGTGCATGTCAAGGGGGCGATTAAGAACGGCGTGACTGAGACGGAGATACAGGAGGCGATCCTGCAGGCTTCCATCTATGCTGGGCTGCCAGCGGGCATGGCGGGCACTCGAGTCGCGGAGAAGGCGTTGCAGGAACTGAAGGATGAAGGGGGGAAGCAGGCTGATTCTTGAGAAGGCATGTTGGTGACTGGGAACTTTCCCTGGGTCATTGAAGAGAAACATGGAATCACATTAGGGTTTGTGCGTCTAGAGGAGTCTTCTGCTGGGGAAAGGGAGGCTTCTGATGGAGAACTTACTTTGGTGTCCCAACTGGGCGCGGATCGGGTATTGAGAACCTGGTTAGACCTTCAGAGGCCCAGTGCTGGACCCCATTAAAGCACAAATAGACCGAAAATCAAACACAGAACTCTCAACGTGACAGCTTCTCACTTCTGTATGTGCTCGCATAAACATAGTTGGCTGACAAATCTTGACGTCGACCAATCCCTCCAACGTTCTACAATACCACTATCAACCTATCTTGGCCTCTCCACAACGTTCTTGGCTTAGCTCTTACATCTCTGCCAGTGTCCGGGCACGCACTCAATGAGCGAATAGTCACCTCGGTATAACCATCCTGCGACAACTCCATCATGGCATCCCGTTCAGCCGAGGAGCTCCGATCAATGGGGGAAATGGATCCCCACCTGAAAGAGGTACAGTAGGCCGGCCCAGTGTCAGCGTTCAGCCCCGCAGAAAGCATGATCTCACCCGCTTCTAGATGCTAAGGGCCGCTCCGCTGCCAGAGCCTCCCTCCGAATCGGGCTTCTTCGCCCTCCGCGAGCATCGAGCTGCCATGCTGCGCGAGAAGCATCATCTCCGTTACCTCCCGCGCCCCATCAAGGAGGTTGCGGAGCATGACCGCAAGATACCGGTTCGCGACGGTTCCGAGATCACTGTCCGTGTCTATCAGCCTGAGAAGTCTCGCGTCCCCACGCAGGGCAGCCCTTTGATCGTCATGTACCACGAGGGCGGGTGGTCCATGGGTGACCTGACAGATGAGGAGACGAATTGCCGCCTCTTCAGTCGTGACCTGGGAGCTGTTTGTGTTAATGTAGAGTACAGGTGAGTGTCCAGGTGATCCTCCGTACCGCACCATGAGTCCAGGAGTCAGGAAAAGGTCCATGGAACGAGTATAACAGGTGAAGGCACGCTGAAGTGCAGTTGTGGGCTGACGAGGCTCAGGCTGGGCCCAGAGTATAAATTTCCCACTGGAATAAACGACTCGTGGGATGCTCTGAAATGGGTGAGCGAGTCTCTCAGTCCTATTGAGATTTCAATGACGCTCTGCTGACCAGCCAGGCCGCCGACAACGCTTCTTCACTAGGTGCCAATCCTCGGGCCGGATTTATTGTCGGCGGCGGCAGTGCGGGAGGAAACATCGCTGCGGTGCTTGCGCACCTGGCCAGGGACGGCAAGCTGAATCCTCCCCTTTCGGGACAGTACCTTTGCGTGCCTGCAATCACATGCTTCATGCCTTCTGAAGAGATGCCCGAGAAATATCGTGCCGAATACCTGAGCCATCCCTCAGTCACGCCCTGCATCGATCCAGTGCTGCAGGTGGACAGCCGCCACCCACGTGGAATGTTGAGTACAGTGGGCGCAGACGTCAACAATCCATTGTTCGTTCCTTTCCTCTACCGTCACAAAGTGGGCGGTCACAAAGGCTTGCCTCCAGCATATTTCCAAGTCTGTGGCCTTGACCCGCTCCGTGACGAGGCTTTGATCTTCGAGCGAGTCCTTCGAGAGGAGGCAGGGATAAAGACAAAACTAGATGTCTATCCTGGACTTGGTCACTACTTCTGGACGAACTTTCCTCTGCTGGACGCGAGCAAGCGGTTTGTTGAGGACACTGTAAAAGGAGTTCGATGGCTCTTGGAACAGGCACCATCTGACGCTTGAATGATGCATGCACTGTGGCTTGATCGCTGAGCCCGGGTCATGCTCATCTCACAACAGGAAGAAAACCTCGCGATAGTGAGTTCATTGGTCACAGATGCAGGTTACTTAGCTAGTGCCACAACACTGTTCTTGCCTCAATCAATATAAACTTATAGTCTACATCAAGCTCAAAGCCCCAGCAGTCAGCGACCACAGTGGAGTACAAGTCATTCGAGCTCCCCTTCATATATACATCGAAAATTACAAGCATTGAGAATAGTAAGCGTTCACAACAGTGCAAGTATAGGGAGACTCGCAGACAGTTGGGCCGGTCCAACTAGCACCTCCGCACTGCCCCCAGTGTACCGCCGTGTTGGTGGTCGTTGGCGTGGCAGCAGATGTGCTCGTCTTCGTCGTGCTGCTAGACAGCGTGGTAGCCGTGCTCGTGGGCAACGTCGTCCCCGCCGCGGCCGCGAGCAGCTTCTGCACGTTGTCGTACGCCGGCTTGGTCGTCAGGTTCGACCAGTATAGGCACGCGTCGCCCTGACCGGAGAAGGTGCTGGGGATCCACGAGTACTTGTCGTCGAAGTCCCACACAGTAATTCCGACGCATTTGCTGACCGCAAGACAGGCGCTGACGACCGATCCGTAATCTGTCGCCTGCTGCGCGAGCCCCGATGCTGTTGACGGGAGGCTGGAGAACCTGACATCGACCTCGGTGTATGCTACCTCGAGGCCGAGGGCGACGTATGTGTTAAGCTGGCTGGTGAGTGCGGACGCGCTGGGTGTAGACCCTACGATGAAGTGACCCTGGAGACCAACTCCGTCAATTTTCGCTCCTGCGGCTTGGATAAGCTTGATCAGGGTGACGGCAGCCGTGGACTTGGCTCCTGAGTATTCGATGTTATAGTCATTGTCTATTAGCCTGCTGTTAGCGTTCTGTTTCGTTCACGAACGAGACTTTATGAGCCCATCTTTCTCAGGCATGGATGAAATGAATAGAAACATGGATGACAAGGCGACTGGGAATCTTTGCAATGGGCGGGGTACGAACAGTAGAGTTTGGCTGCAGGATCAGCCGCAGCAGCAGCAGAAAAGGCCACTGGAAGATAGGATGTTCCCATAGTATTATAGAAGACGCTCGTCCGGTAGGTTCCGTCGTCATTAAGGGCCTCATTCACGACGTCCCAGGCATAGCATTTTCCCTTGTAGTGGCCCACCTCGCTGGCGATGTGAGCCTGGATGGCAGCGGCAAGGGTGCTGTTGGTCCATGTACCCGAGGATACCCAGGATGGTAGCTGGTTATGCCATATCAGGGTGTGACATCGCAAAATTTGCCCATTCGTCGCCGCAAAATTTGTGATGACATCTCCCTGGGTGTAGCTGTAAGTGTTTTGTGTCGGCTCTGTATCTGTGATGTGTTAATTATGTTTTTGCGACGGATTTCGAAAAGATCATTTCCAGAACCTGGGACCCAGAAACCTCATTAGTGATCATGAACATACATTGCCATTTCTGAGTGTTTCCAGGCGTCACCTGTCCGAATTCGTTCTTGTTCGACCTGGAAAATTTTGTTTGTTAAATCGAAGTTTGACAAAACTCTTGACCGGCTTGGAAACCATACAAAATAGCAGTATATGCGGAGTCGGAAAGCTCGGAATTGTCAGTTGCGGAGCCGAAATACAATTTTCCAGCAGCTTGAGCTAGTTGGTTCAGGTTCGCTTTGACGGCCGGAACGGCCAGGAGCGCAGCCGTAACGCTAGCTTTCAAATACATGTTGAGGGATGGATTCACTCAGGTAGTCAAAGTTCCCTGGGAAATTTGTCACAGCAGGTCAACTTTTTTCAAATTGGGGACCTGAATGTTTATACACTTTCACGTTTGGTCGCCGTCGAATACAACTGTAACGGCGGTATTGTCCGCGGACTCGTCAGCTCATGGCACAAGGTAGCACATTATCGGAGAAGTGATCGTGAGTTCCGGACCCTAAAGGTTCTATTCCTGATTCTGTCCGGAAATGAGCAATGGCCTCGTCACTTATTGGCGAGTAAAAGTCGAGGATTGGGGTCGCAGGTACCCATCCCATTTCTCCACCAACCATGCCTGTCCTGGAACGGAAGCTCAACGTCCTTGGGGACTGGGTGAGGCAGCTGACCATCGGCAAGGAAGCCGCATCTTCCATCGATGGGGCGAATGCACGAGGCAGGAGACTAGCAATTGGAACTGAACGGGTGGCTTGTAAAAGCTTCCGGATCACGAATTTGGAGCATGCCAGAAGCTCCTTGGTCCGGCGGGAACAGCCGTCAACGCCCAACTCGAAATCTTGGCTCCATGCTGGCGACTTTCTCGGCCCACCCAGGCCTTTGCGAATTGCTTAGTTGTTCGATTGACTGACTCATTTGCATGCTGTCCGAATTCAAAATCAGAAGGCTGATGCGGGTCTTTGGCAACCTAACCATCTCACAACAGACTCTCTCACCGCAGACTCTCCCACCGAAGGTCCTCTCAGCAATTTAGATCAGAACGATGAAGGCGTTGCAGACTCAGTTCGATGTGAAGATTTCAGCGTTTTTTTCTCTCCAACCATTGGTTTCAGACTAGGCTATAGGGGCGTAGAAATTCAGCCGTGAGTCCGGATCATACACTTGCTTGAGCTTTCTTAGTTTCTCAACCCTCCAGACGTCATGCCCGTACAGCTCTTCCAAGGTCTCGTAGCCATTCGCGTAGTTAACATACGCGAAGAGCTTACCATCTTGGCGTCCTGCGACTGTCATAGAGCGGAGTTCCTCACCTGCCTGTCTCGCAATCTCATTTTTCTCTGATGTGCTGTTGACGTATATTAGGGCAGGCGAGGTGAGGTAGGCATTGAAACGGTCGGGGAAAGCGGTACTTTCATCTGGTACCTCTTTGACTGCAGTGCTGCCATAGTTCTCCCACAAGATGAACGAGTTATTGAGAAATGGGTTTTCGGCAATGATATCGCCGAATTTGATCAGCACCTCTTTCTGCGTCGTTGTATTGTAGACTTCCAGATCCACAGGAAAACGCTGCACCGTCAGTTGACCTTCGAGGCAGGCAGCATCTTGTTCGCTGAACCGGAAGAGTCTTGAGAAGTCAGGGTACGTTGCGTTTACTATTGTCGAGGATTCTGTGCCGATTGCTCTATACAATCCGAGATACGTTTCTGCTTCCTCTTGTGTGCCTTCATAGAGGAATAACAATTCGATGACAGGCAACTTGGGGTCGATGTCAGGCATGTGGCGATATTCAATGATGTTGACAATCTCGATCGGTTGATTACCTCTGTTGTTGATTTTGTTTGTGACTTCAAAAACCTCTTCTACTTTGTCCGAAGTGAAAAACATGTCGGCGAAGATCCAGTTCTTGTCGACAGGCACGTCGTGTATCCGGAACTCAACCTCTGTGACAATGCCGAAATTGTGGCCGGCACCCCGAAGAGCCCAGAAAAGATCCTGGTGCGTCTCATCGCTGGCGGTCAGAACACTTCCGTTGCCAAGCACAACTCTTGCCGAGGCGAGATTATCAAGGGCAAGACCAAATCGATTCTGAAGAAAGCCGTGGCCACCACCGAGCATCGGACCTGCAAGTGAGGTGCATTCACAGGCCCCCGTAGCTTGACACGCAAGTATAATCAGCAGAATACATTACGGGCTTTCAGCAGATACATACCTGTCCATTTTCCTTGTTCCCACAACGCATCCGTTATCCGTTTCGTCGTCATGCCCCCGCCTATCGTGACGGTCTTGCCATCAGAGTTAATAACAAGCTGGTCCAAGTGGTCTAAGTTGATTTGCACCCCGGCATCCAATTTGCTCAGTGATCGAATCCCTCCGTGGCGGCCAGACACAGCCAGCCAAGGTAGCTCGAATTTGTTCGACAATTGAATCTGGGTGAGATTTTCAGCTGGATGTGCATGCATGAGCATGTTCCAGATCAATCGCTTACCGTATTGCTCACATCCTCCTCTGTATAGACTTGGACAGTAGCCTTGAAGCTCGGAGCTGCCCAAGCGGTCCACCTCGCTGTCAGTTCGTCAAAGTCTTGGGAGCCAACTAGTGTGATAGATGCCTCTGCGGAGAGTTGAGGGCCGAGCTCCTTAACAAAAGCAGTAAAATTGGATTCCGTATCCGAATATCGCCCTACAACAGCCTGATCGGGAAGGGATATGCCGCTGGACTTTCTTATTTCAGGTTCATGCCCATATGATGCACTGACAAGGCATGTCAGGACCAGCAGCCCTTTTAAGAGTGTATAGCGCTTGATTTTCTTAGCAGAATGGTTCCTGTAAAGCATTTGTTAAGAGTCAGAGATACTCACAGGCATTGTGTGGTTGAGCTTATTTCTATGGTTCGCATCTGAACTCCACGCGTTCGTCGTATTTTTGAGTTAAAGTGATTGTGAGATATCGCACGTCCGACCGGATTGCCGGCGCGGGGTCGAATTATGTATCCATACGCAGACCTACCTATAGTATAGGCATGCTTCGCAGTCAGTGACATCTTATGCTGACTTGCTTCGTTATCACACATTTCGTGCAGCATGAGAACTAATCGTTGCAAAATGCAACCTGAATGTCAGCACTAGAAGCGACGGCGACCATCGCCAAGCTTCTAAAATACCTAGCTAGACCCCGTGGGAAAGGTATTGAATGCAACCATGGACAATACCAACTATCGTGCTCGGACCAAAGTATGCACGTCGGACTCAGAGTGAGGCTAATACCAACCATGTTGTGGCCCAGAGATTTGTTCCCCTCGGGGTTGTATCAAATATGCGTGGTCATAAACCACGCCTGAGGTGGAGCACCCTGGCGTGATGGCTTAGAAAGTTTTTAGGCAAGGGCAGGCTCTTGTTCCAAGAGATGTTGAATTGACAACTGGGGATGTTGAACTATTTACTGAGCCGTAACATCCAAACACGGCTATGATGCCTTAAATGTATCATTACAAGAATCGAAGATAGCACCTGTGCTCCATCCAAGAGACCGCTAGACTGTTTGACCTATTGTAACGCCGCCTTGGCAAGATTATCTTCGAAACTCCCGTCCTAATAAGACATTAGCGAGATATTCTGGAAACTGAGCTTGCACGGTGCTTGATCATTCTTTCCCTTAGACTGTGCTAGTGTAAAGGACGGGAAACCGTGTGATCGGTTCAACTCAGGGCGAATGGAATAGCCATGCGAAGAGCAGGCTCACACAAATTGTCGTTGGTCACGAAACAAGCAGTGGTGGGGCTCATGTCCTTGGAAGAACATGGTAACTAGGGAGCAAAAGCACCGTGGTGCAATGACGGGGTAGAGCACTAGAGAGATGGAAAATCGAGAATATTCACTAACTTTGAAAGGCGGGTTTGCCGACCCGAAGTCTGTGTTCTGTAAAGCACTTTTTGCAGCATCCGGCATGGCATCCCAGTCCGAGACAGGGTAAGTGTTTCCTACTGTTTGGGTGAATTGCAACTCGTGGTTTGTCGGAAAAGTCGCGAAATACTCGACAGTCGGGCTGTCGCCCCCGGGGACGGCGCCAGATGTGATCTTGTACGAGCCGTGGCCTGACGCTGCACCGCCGAGCACGGTCGTCGTGTCGTTGCTCAGCCAGATCACCACGTTCTCAAAGTCGTGTCTATGCGCCCCGGTCGAGACGTCATCGATCGTCTGGTCTTTTGGCATGTACCACGAATACATGATTGCTACATTGCCGTTGGACTGTGTTGCTCTTGCGTAGGTTTGACCCTTGGTGGTGTCTTCACAGCCGCCGGTCTGGCTTCCACTTGGCTTCAAACCACCGCTACGTCATATTTAGCAAGGATTGTAATGATGATTGACAGGAGTCGTCACTTACTTGGTATTGCCGGAATCATCCACGGCGGTGTATGGCTGGCAGCCGGAGGCAATGTGAAGGCGAGGGTTGAACTTTTCTATGGCAGCACCGAGGGGACCGCTCTGAACTCTTGTTGCGATCGGATTAAGCGAGTCGTGGTCTACTTCACCCCGGCGGCCTAGTGCGTTTATCGTGGGAGCGCACAGCGCAGCGCTTGCCAGAGCAAGTGATGACAGAGTTTGGAATAACATGGTCGTCCTGCTGCAACGGTACTATGCCAAGATTGACTGAAGAAGAAGACCTCAAGGTGAAGTAGGTTTAAGCCTAGATGAAGCGCTGGAAGATATGAATGTTAAACAGAGGATCCCGGTCCTACGTTGAAGCTGAGAAGGGGCTTGGCTATGCAAGCGCCACAAGACGTAGTTTCAAGCGGCACCGTCCAATCTTTTATTCTTGGAAGAAGGATCTATGCCGAGGGTTCGTCTCGAGAGGGAGGCTCAAGGGACCCCTGAAAGATGCTTATTTAAGACATGTCACTTCCAACCAATGCCACGCCAAAACACACGTGAAGGACATTCCCAGAATATACGGATGGGTCCCGACGGTTGCATCGGAGCTGGGGAATCGCGCGCGCTCATTGACCATAGCGAAGCGGTAGGCTCGGCGCCGATAAGGGCGTCATGAAAATGAAGAGTGGCAGCAGCAAGGTTTCTGTGACGAGGAGGTGGCAGCCAGCGGCCTGGTCAGTATCCACCAGATGAAGGAGTGGACACATTGCCCGAGGGCCTGGTACCGATGGAGGTCTGCTCGTGATACTGCGGCTCAGGGAACGATATCGCCTCGGAATGAACCCAAATAGCGAGTCAGGTGGATTAAGCTTAACGCACCTAGGAGATGTGCTGCTGAACGTGGAATTACGTCCACACGCCATGGATTGTGACAGGGTCCGGACTCGCACAGTCAGTGAACATCCCGACGTCAACGACCGCATTCATACATGGGGCTCCACATTCGCCCGTTTAGGTGGCTCAGGCGGTGCGTTCTGAAACATCTCGGACGGGGCCAGCTGCCAGGGACATTTCACGAGACATGGCCTTAAAAAAGATCGTCGTCGAGTGCGAGTCAGATTTAACAACGCAGGCATGGGATTATCGGCGCATTTGTCAATCCTCTGAAACATTCGGGCTCTTAAACTCTCCCGTCGGCTACCACGAGGCTGGATGGGAAGCTCACGGGGCGCCAAGTAATGCTGATGCTGGCACCTTGTTCTCCAATATGTCAAGCCATTTTTCCGACTTTAACCTCGGATCGTGGCCGACCTCCCATGTTGCCATTTCATATGACCAGGGCCAAAACTTCAGCAATGCAAACGCAGTGCTCAATATACTCAGCCGCGTACCAAAACTTACTCACACATCAGAGAATGCATTCTATTTACTAGTGAATATCAGTCATATCATATGGATCCAGCGACCTCGGAACAAGATCTGTCTTGGGAGTATTATTATCGAGGCCCTACCAGCCTTGATCGGTGAAACGTGCCAGTGGGCGACGGAGTGAGGAACAAGTGAGGAACAGCAATACGACCATTCTCTATGCCGGGGTACCTGAAAAGGAATTACTTCGAAAATGCCTTCCTTGGAGATATCATCTACAATGCATGGACATTTTTAGACAGGATTCCGACGTGGCGGATTTCTGTTGTCACCCGAAGCAGTGGAGAAGCAGGGTAGGTTAAGCTGCGAGTCCAATGACCTGGCATGTCACGTTCAAGGTTGCAATGTAGGTGAGACAATTGGTCGACAAAAGACATTAATAGATATGGATATATATACAAATGAAGGCCAACAGCGCCACGCTAAATCACATCATGCGGTATCCACACCAGCATTACATCCCCCACCACAAACACACACCCATCTATGCTGGCGGGCATACCCACCACATGGTTAACGGCCCCACTCGGGCTCTTAGATCAGAGCGACGAACAGAGGCGCAATGGCAGCCAGGACACCGAAAGTGACCTTGCCCGCACCGGAAGCCTGGACCGCGGTGCCGGAGGGCTTGCTAGCAGAGGAAGAGGGAGTGGCACCGTTGCCGCCGGTGGCCGCAGGGGGAGTCGCGCTGGCAGCGGGTCCGGTAGGACGAGGGATGGTGCCGTTGTTTCCCTGGGGACGGTTCCAGCCAGAGGGCGCGGCAACACCAGAGGGCCACACGGGGGCGGTAGACTTAGCACCGGTAGCAGTGACGGCGCCGGTTCCGGAGGGCTTGGAGCCCTTGCCGGTCTGGGTGGCGGTCACGGGGCAGACGGTAGTCGTATCAGTGATGACCACGGTGGGTGCCGGTGTGGTAACAGTCGTTGGGATAACCTCAGTAGAGGTAGATGGCGTCGCGTAGGGGGTCAGGCTGACGGGGGTGGCAGGCGTGGGGACGTTGACGGGCGAGTTTGCGGTCGTAGCCACGGCAGGAGGAGTGACACTGCCAGCGGTAGGTGCGGGCTCCTCGCCAGGGACGGACAGGGAGGGGGCAGATCCACCAGTGACAGCAGCAACGCTCGAGGTAGGGGCCGCGCCAGATGGCACACCACCGGTTCCGCTTCCGCCAGTGGCAGCGGGGCCGGTCTGAGTCGCAGTGACGGGGCAGACGGTGGTGTAGGAGACGACCATGGAGGTGACAACTTGCTGGGTGTAGGAGTTGGGGCAGTTGGTGACCGAGGCCGCACAAGAGGTGATGGTGTAAGTGTTGGTCGTGGTCAGAGTGCTTGTGGTCATGCCCTCAGGCAGGGCAGAGCCGCTGTGGGCCAGGGCGTCAGCGCTCGAAGTCGGGCGGCCAGCTCCTGATCCGGTGAGAGAGACGGTTGTGGTAGGGGAACCGCTGCCGGCACCCTCTCCGGAGCTGCCTGATCCAGATGAACCGCTGCCAGAAGAGCCGTTGTCAGAGGCGCCAGAGTCAGATCCAGAGTCAGCGCCAGAGTCAGATCCGGAGTCAGATCCAGAGTCAGCACCGGAGTCCGAAGAGCCAGAGCCAGTAGCACCAGAGTTGGAGCCAGACGAGCCAGAGCCGGAGCCAGACGAGCCAGAGCCGGAGCCAGAGCCAATCGAGCCGGCGCCGTTTCCGCTTCCGCTTCCGATCTCAGTGCCGTTTCCAGAGGAGCCAGATCCGTTGGAGCCAGATCCGTTGGCGGTCTGCCTCCAGCCCCACTGCCACTGAGAGCCCTCGCCAATGGTGACGGTGGTGGTTGTGGTGGTGGAAGAAGCAAGAGTGATGATGACGGAGGGAGCGAGACCCAGGGTGAGCTCCTCAATCTCAACATCGAGCTCGACGGCGATACCAGCGGTCAAGGAGAAGATCTCGGCAGCAGAGCACTCGCTGCTGGAAGAGCCCTCAGAGAAGGTAGTGGTGTATTTGAAGATGTCCAGCCAGATGGCAACCTCAGCTCCCGCACCAATGTTGAGGCCGACAATGTCAACCTCGGAGGAGATGGCAAGGCCGGTACGCAGGCGCAGAGCGACGTCGAGCTTAATGTCCTCAGCGAGGGAGATCTCGGCGCCGAAGTTCAAGGGGATAGACTCGACAACAAGGCCAGTGAGCTCCTGCTTGACGATCTCCTTGGAGAGGATGTCGATCTCGATGTAAGAGCCCTCGGGGAAGAAGACATTGAAGCTTGCCTCGACGTCGATGGCAGCGGAGACGGAGAAGATCAAGTCGAGGGCGAAACCGGCCTCGATGTCAATTTCAGCCAAGCCAGGGACGGCAAGCTCAAGCGACAGGTCGGACATCAGCTCGATGGACTCGGCAACGCCAGCAGTGGCATCGAGGGCCACCTCAAGGTATGTCTGAACGCCGCCAAGGTCAACCTTGACGGTGGGGTTGAGCAGGAAGCTATCCTCGACCGACAGATCGATAGAGCCAGCGAAGGCTCCAGCGTTCAGGGCGAGACCAAGCTGGATAGCATCGGTCTCGGCGGTCTTGGGGGCAGCAACACTTTAAGGAGTCTTGTCAGTATGATGGAGAGGCTCGGGATGCCGGAGGATGTATCTAGGCACTTGAGAATGTACTAACCCAGCGTAGAGGATGTCGTTCTCCCAGGACCTGGAGATATCGTAGCTGCAAGATTTGGAGGAGGAGGAGGAGGAAGAGGAGGAGGACGAGGTCGAAGATGTCACAGAGGACAGCAAGCCCGAAGAGGAGGACTCCGAGGAGCTCTCCGAGGAAGAAGTCTCCGAGTAGGAGGACTCCGAAGACGAAGAGCCGCCGAGCAGAGAGGTCAAGAGTCCTCTGGCCTCGTTCTCGGACGACCTGACGACGACGCTGCCAGGCTTTACTGGGTTGGCCTGAACGGCGGAGCCAAGGAGCCCCAGAAGGGCCCCATACTGTGAGAAATGCATGGTTTGTTGTGTGCGGTAGGAATTAAGGAATGACTACTGCAAAGATGCAGTGAAAGCAGGGTAATACTGAACGAAGGAATACCACCCGAAAACAAGATTCAACACAACAACCCGAGCACAGAAAAGAGGGACTGGATTGGGAGGTGAGAGCCTGCAGAAGGAAGGAAACTCGTGCCAGGCTGAAGCGAAGCACCGCAACTATTTGAATCAGTCGCGCCCAGCAGGATGGCAGCCCTCGTATGGAGAGATGACGGGTTTGGTTGGACAGACGCAGCGGTCCTCCCGGATCTCACGATCCACCAGGCCAGGAGATCCAAATTTTGAGCAGCCCCGCCAGCCCAAGATGGCAGATGCAAAAGCGCCGTGGTGGCCCTGGCGGCCGTTAGGGCCATGCTGAGGAGCATACTCAATAGGAGGATTGACGGCGAGGCTGCCGATCGGAATCTCAGGGGCAGTCGAAAGGGCCCGCAGAAAAGACCACAGCCACTCGGCCGCTGGTGCTGAAGGACGTCAAATGGCGGGTGCCCAGAGGCAAGATATGCTTGTTTCCCCACAAATGGATGCAGCCAGTGCCGGAGCACAGAGCACAGAGCTGAAATGCGGTGGCATTGGGTGATCTCTGGTGATGTAGCGCTTCCATTCTGGGCTGCCCTTCATCTCTCTTGATCGACATAGGAGATGGCATGGTAAGGGTCTTGGACGAAAGAGGAAATGCTTGGTGAGCTCTCAGAGCGCAGTGCCCTCGCTGGCCCCTGGATCACCCCATTGCATGAGCAGATCCGACTCTGTTGCCTCGGGGTAGGGAGCCACTGATCGGCAGTTGAGGGCCGCTTTTTCAGGGGTCAGCGCTTGATCGGTTCGTGGGCGGGCGAGTGCTCGTGGGGACTGCATCGTCGCCTTCGTGGACCTCGACTCGCCTATGTCCAATGCAGCTTCATACAGCCTAGTCTACAGCACACAAGTGCAAGCCGTCCCACTCACTACTGAGAGAATTGGGCGAAGCGTAATGATGTGAGCTGGCAAGCGGGTGCTGTTCAATTTCTCTTAAAAAAGAAAGACGTGATCCAGTTCTTGGCGTTGCTGGTCGTACTCGATCTACAGACATTACGAGTCCTCGACTGGATGAACAAATCGAGGGCAGTAGTGAAGAGAGAAACAAAACAATTCGAGCAGAGAGGTACGTATTGCGAAACAGACATGTGCAGACACAAATAAGGAGATTGGCCGGCCCAGCACACCCGTCAGGGCACTAACAGTTCCGCCACCATGCGATAGGCAATTTCTGATAGTCCTCTAAGAAACCCACGCCCACCCAACTCGAGGAGACAACGACACGCGTCAGTGTCGGTCGAGTCAGGTTGCACTGGACATATGACCGCGATTGCGACCGCCAGAGAGCAACAATTCCAGCCTTTACTACCAAACCTCCCCGCCTCAATAATCGGAAGTGGGAGTTGAAGTGGATAAATAAATCATGAAAAGGTCTTGGCGTGTGGGTGGAGTACACAGACTGGCCCCCAATAGCTGTTTGTCCTTGTCTGTCTGCTCACATCGATCGTGTCGGCCATTTGACACTCTCACACCATAATCCGACCCAATTGGGTGCTCTGTACCCGAGCGGAGTTGAGAAGTGTTGGTGAACGACAGACACCGACCTCGATCTGGTTCCCAGATGGCGGGCTCCTAAGCCTTCAGCCGACGCTCTCGAGTTGGTGTACTGCCAGCATCTGCATATCAACAGCAGCGACTAATTCATGTCGAGGTTTCTCTACCGTGTCGAATGAGGTGTTGCCAGAACAAGCTGGTAATCAGTTCTTGCAATATTTACGAGTGCCATTGCTGGACCTTGACTTCCTGCCACAGAGCTCCAAGGCGAGAAAAGTGGTCTGCGGTGACTGGCCAAGACTGCAATGGTTCCGGTAACAAAGGCTGATTGATTCTGGCAGCACGGGAAAAGTTGAAATGGACCCGAGAAGAGTTTAGAGGAGCTGATGACAAGCTTCTTAACTAGGACAGTCCCCTGTCGATGACAGGTCTAAGTCCTTCCGACACGACGCGACGCGGAACCCCAAGCACAGTTCCTTCTCGACACAATTTTCTCCATGCTTCGCTTCCCTTGATCTGGAGGCTTGGGTGCATCTAGAAGAAGCTACACCTGGGCCAAGGTTCATAGTATCAAACACGTCCTCTTGCTCCGGCATATAGATACGACAGCGACTACCGTGTTCATTCTTCTTCGATTCATGACTGACTGGTTCAAGTCGTATCCGAATACCTTCACGCGCGATTTCGAGGCTGTGTTGAGCGAGACCCAAAATGAGGATGTAAAGCAGAGCATGAGAACGGATTGCAAGCTGCCGGACCGGCTTTTTGCTCTTCTGCTGAGAAGAGCTCCCTAGATCAAGAACCCGTCCGGCCGCAGAGTACTTCTGCACAATGACTGTAGAATGCAGAAAATCTCAGTCAACGAACAGTCTCCGAATGGTCTACCGCAATACAACTATGGGCATGTGGCCGGAGCGGGATGCATATGGTCAAGTCAGCAGGCTTGAAGTTGCATCCCCGCGATGCCGCCGTTCGCTGCAAGGGCTGCGCGTTGAAAGAAACCTCGATCCCGAGTAAATCAAACCAAACGATGAGACTTTTTTGCTCCGCTTCCAATACCATGCCGTACATGGGCGATGTGATGCTGGAACGAGAGAAATGGAAAAATACATAGGCATCACCCATGACGCCGAGACCCAGTCAACAATCAAACACACAAAGCCTTATTTCCGCGGTGTAATCGACCTTTCGCCGATGACCTTAGCGCTTCGAATCAACTGACAGAGACCCAAATACCGAGGGTAAAGAAAACAATCGGCAATTCTGCTTGTTAATCACCTATCACCAAATGTTTTCAAGAAAAGCTATCAGGCAATGCCTCCTCGCAGTATCCGCGGATTGAGCTGTGGAGTTAAGAGAAAGCACAATACAGCGACTAGGTTGACGGTTATTAGCATTGCTTAGCGCTTTCGGCATTATATTGGGCTTTGGAGGCTTTGGAGCCGTCGGTGCTTCCATTTCAAAGCATCATTACTGAGCGGTTCCCTGTCGCGCCCGAGAATTAGTCCCGCGCTCCGAACACTGCGGCCAGCAATTCGCTTTTCGGAGTTAGCCGCTCAAGTAAACCTCCCCGATCTAGCTTAATGTTTTCCTTCCGCCGGGCTTAAGAGGCACCAAGCGCGAAAGCATTGCTTAATGCGGAGGTACATAATTCATGTTATGGCTCCCTACACATGCCTCCAAGAAGATCGCCAACCAAGGAAATAATCACCATATCTCACCCACTATCAATTATCGTATACGAAATAAAATTAACATGGCGTCCGAAAAGAAAATTATCTTTATTACTGGCGGTAAATCTTGCCCATCTCATAAGCTGCACCTGCAAATGATCGGGAGACTGACATACATGCAGCTAATTCCGGCCTGGGCTACGAGGTCGTCAAAGCTCTGTACGCCACAGACGTGCCCTACGAGCTCATTGTCGGCACACGCACCCTTTCCAAGGGCGACGACGCTATTGCCACGCTCAAAACCGAGGTCGCCAGCTCTTCTTCCACCCTGAGCACTCTGCAGGTAGACCTCGCCTCGGATGCCTCCCTCGAGGCAGCCGTCAAGACCATCGCCGACAAGCACGGCCGCCTCGACGTTCTCATCAACAACGCGGGTGCCAGCTTCGATGGCCACCTGCGCGACGGCCAGATGTCTATCCGCGAGGCCTTCAACGCCTCCTGGGATACGAACGTCAGCGGCACTCAAGTGCTAACCACGCTGGCCGTGCCGCTGCTGCTCAAGTCTTCAGACCCGCGGCTAATGTTCGTTACATCGGGCACATCGTCGATGGCCGAGACCCAGCCCGAGAACTGGGGGGATCTGAAGCACATGCTGGGTCGCATCAACGGGTCGCCCGAGAAAGGCTGGCCCAAGGCAAAGGAGCTCAACCCCATCACGAGCTACCGCTCTACCAAAACCGGCTTGAATATGTTGATGCGCGAATGGACACGTATCCTGAAGGAAGACGGAGTCAAAGTCTGGGCCATAAGCCCCGGCTTCCTGGCTACGGGGCTGGGAGGTGTCGGCAAGGAACAACTGCTCAAGATGGGGGCCCTGGATCCATCTGTCGGTGGGCAATTCGTACGAGATGTTGTCCAGGGCAAGAGGGACCAGGACACTGGTAAAGTCATCAGGAGTAACATGATCCAGACCTGGTAGCTTCCAGAGTCAGCGATCAACTTGGATAGCTCTCCCGTTGTCTCGGTAGATCGGAAATTGCGAATAATGAAAGACGCTCATTCTCACTGAAGTACTCAGAAAGTCCTCAAAATCAGGAACTCTTCTCATTCGTCTGTCGTGTCTATCCATCACACGGCAAACTGGGCGATGTCTCCTATCAACCGTCCTAGCCCATGAGTTATAAGCATCAATCAACCCTCAAAACGATTTGAGTTCATCCACCCTAGCACGCCCAGCATAGCAATAAGCATCAGCGACGTGATGATGGCCGCGCCTGCTTTGTCCTTCGCTTCTGGGGGTGGAGCCGGCTTCATGTAATCAGGCTCTTCACCTGCGTTAGGGTCGCCCACACTCGTGCCGCCTGTGGAATTCGTCACTGGGCCACTGATCTCGTCCCGCTGCAAGTCAACCAGCAAGCTCGTCAGGGCACCCAGCACGTTCATCTGTTGGCCAGCGCCGGTGTCTCCATCATACTCTCCCGTCGTCCACCTGAAGCCACATGTGGCGGTTGAGACCCCGTTCCCGTTGTCTACACCGTCTGTGCATGACTTGATCGCTGCGGCAGTGCTGTTCCGGAGTGTCTCCATAATCTGATCGTGTACGAATGGCGCAAGCTGGGCGGTGTTTGCCATCCATCGGTGGAGGTAGCCCTTGAAGCTCTTCATATCGGTCGTGCAGCCTACCTTCTCGGGCGTCTCGCAGGACCGCTCCACCGCCGGGCCGTCGTGAAAGAAGATGTTGATGGTCTGATTGACGAGGCCTTGGACGCGACCGCGCCAGAGGTCGGATTGATTGGTCTGAGATCATGGTCAGCTGTGGACCCACTAAGAAGTCAAGCGCAACTTACGTGGTCGTACATGAAGGCGGCACCTTGCAAGAAGACAGCAGCATTGTATGAGAATTGTGCCCTGTCGATATTTGTGCAGTTTACTTGGACGTGGCCGCCGTCGTAAATGTTATATGCTTCATCCATGAGACCTACTCCAGTTTCCCAGTCCCAGGTCTTCACAGCCCAGTCATAGTATGTCGCGTTGTTTGTATATCTCGCGAGCCTTGCACCAAGGTTGAAGAAGATACCATTCGCGATGCTGTTCTTGTAGTCGTACCCACGATTAGATGGTGGAATCTGCCAGCGCAGGCCTCCGCCGCACTCCTTGTCGTGTCGATCTGCGCCAGCTTGGGTGTTGAAGACGGCTTGGGCGAGTGCCAGCCATTGAAGCTCGTCTGGGGGCGGGTCTGGGAACTTGTTCTCGGCTGCGAGCAGAACACTCATCCCCCAAAATCCCTGGTCATCGTTTCCCAGGGAGATGGACCAGTTCTTGGGCATGTAGCTGAATTCGGACTGGAAGAGCAGAGCTTGCTGTATAGCGTCGTTCCATGTCGTGTCGCCAGTTTGACGCCAGTAGTCTATCATCGCACCCCACAGTGCGCCGCCCTGCCACCAGTAGTAGTCGCCCCCAGGTGGTGGGCCTGGGAGAATACCGGGGATCTGACCAGGCTGGTCGCCTTTGTAATAGGACATTAGATTCTCGGCAATTGCTTTGGCGGCGGATTTGATAGAGTCTGCAGACGAAATGTCAGTGAATACAGTTGCGTTGGTACACGCGCGATCATACCTGCTGAGGTGAGGTCAACATCGAGAGCTGCGAGGGTGAGACTGGCCGATGCCAGCGTGAACAGTATGAACCTCATGGTGGGCGAGACTTCATTCTGTTGCTGTAGTATCAACTACACAGAGAACAAAATGAAGTGGGATATTGACAGTCAAAGTCGAGAAACCGTGCTGGCCCCGTCGCGGTGCGCAGTCAGGTCTGTTATATTGGTGTGGCACGAAGTACGAGGGAGGATGAGACTGTCGGGTGAGACGGGTGCAGAGAACCACAAAGCCGACAGTGAATTCATGTGTCCACATTTACCGATCTTGGCCATTCTTGACATTTCGCTGACTGTATTCACTATGGAAAGCCACTGGACGTTAACGGTTACTCGTGTTGGCTTACAGGGCCGCTGGGCAGCCGGCCAAAACTGACATTCTGTTTGCACTGCCACTTTATTCCGCAGAAGGATTCGATCCCGCAGGCTCCGTTTGTCATTTTTGGTGGTATGACTCGGCCCAGACCGACAATGCTACCCCAGAACCCGTTTAAGTCCATTAAGCTTGCAGATCCAGTGTGGAGGGAATGCTCATGTGGGCCTTTTCCAGCGTGATTGGGATACGAGACACCCATGCCTTTCTGGCAATCTTACACCGACTGCTTTTCTGACACATCTCACTTGGCTCTTGTCTCGGACTGCCAATTCCTTCTTCTCTTCTACGAGGCTTTGTCAGTCAGCGAGCAACATTTATGTCGCCTTTGTTTATCCACAATCCGGCATGATCACTGCAGCCAATGAACAAATCTCTCCATGGTGCATGTGTGCTTATTTGCTCTCAAGGGCTGGGCAAAGAGGGGCGCCAGAAGTCTTGCCTTGTCTTGTTGAACACCTGCAAAGTCGCCCTAAATCCTGGAGAGGGGTTCGAAGGAGCCAAGGCTAAAGAGATCGTGCCCAGACCGGGCGATCTGCTCGGCACAGCGGACTTGTATGAAAGCTTCGAGTAACAATTACGGTACAGCCCCCAAGAAGGCCCCGAGCTCAATGCTTAGCACCAGTACCGGCTGAGGAGTTGCAGGGCAATTCAGTATTGGATTCTTTGCATCTATAAGTGCTTGGAGGCCATTGCGCCATCAAGTCTAGTGTCATAGTATTCAAGCTTAAGCTATGGATCAAATTGAACACACTTCCAGGATTTTCTGGTCGACGCAGTTGCGGATTTCGTCTTGAAACTGAGGAATCATTTCTTTGGACGTCTCCACGATGAAGGACTCCAGCCAACTTGACATTCATTTGGCCTCTCCTTCGTGGGGTTCATCCAAGAACGACTAGGTAAAAATTGACTTTGACCAAGCCGCTGGCCCGTCATCTTCTGAACTTCCTCTCTGCGCTCACCAACACATTCTCTCTATAATCTCAATACAGCACTGTGACACATCAGCACAGGACGACAACCGAGGCCATGCGACACATTGCACAAGCCTGTCAGCGGCGCCAGTCAAATCCTATTTGGAGATTCGACTGGCTGAAGCTTACGGAAAATTCGCAAACGCATTGATTCCAATTGACAGAGAGGACAGCACAATACTAGAGGTCCCTCATAGTGTGTACAGTATACCTCACTGGAACGCTTGATTGATGGAAGAGGCAGGATTACAGAGACTTTGAAACGCGCGCTAGCATTTTTGACTTTGTCCTCGAGACAATGTCATGTGTAGGTGTGGTTGTTCCCGGACCCGAACATTGGAGGTTGGAGGCATGAGGAGCTGACTTACTTCTGCCTTCACGGAAACTGCATGTGATAAATCGAGTCCATGTAGTGGGGCATGGTCGCAAACTCCCTTTCCAAAGGCCAGGCCAGGCCAACGCAGTATGCCAGGGGCCTTGTGTCAGATCGATGGACGAGAGTGTCTTAGAAGCCACGGCTATTAGTACCTGGGCACGTGGGATTACAGGGCTGTATTTTTTGTAAGCAAGCATGGCACAAGATATAGTGACCACGGGACGACCTGGCCCGAGGTGGTTGTCCTACATCGAACAGCCCGATTGGCATACCATGGAATACATTTAGTACTTCAGTAGAGCCAGACTTAGTGCTGTGGGCGATCTGACGCAGATGGCAGAAAACACATCCATTATCCTGCACGTGTTTCTTGGCCAGCTCGTGCGCCATAGCCCAGAGCAGTCCACGTTCGGGAGTTCAGCGTGCGATGAAGGCTTTGACAAATGACGGTTGTAGGTGGCGATTTCGGCGATGGTCGCGGAGAAGGCCGAGGAGAAGCCCTGAGGAGGAGGACTACGAGCGAGCTTCGAGCGGCTATTCACGTCATACCTCTGCTATAATCATCGAGTGAAGAGCATTTCGGGAAAGAAGACTTTCCGAATGGAGACACAACTGGAATTACGGTAGGCCTAGCTCCCGCTCGGGCGCCGCCAACATGAACGATCATCGATGGCTCGTGGCTGCAAGTGGAACTAGCCATTCCAAGACTCGCCAGCGCACGATGCCTTCCCGCGAAGATCATTGACTAGTTTAGTGTCAAACATTGCTGTTCCGGTACTTGGGACGGACCGAGAGCTATGAGCACCCCAACGTCGCCAGCAAGCCGTTGATAAACGCTCAGCATGCTGGACCTCATAATGGGTCGAGCAACTATGGACCAGGTCTCTCCATTCTCACGGACTAATTCTTTGATCCACATCAATTCGACCCAGATGTTTTGACGTCCTTTGGTCGCGGCGACCAGTCTCGGAATGGATGATCGAAGCGATGAGGTGATGGCTGTGGCCATCTTGTTCTTCGTTTTGTGTTGGATCACAGTCTCTCTCCGGACGTATTGTCGATGGCAGGTGATACATTCGATGGGCATAGATGATCAATTATTGCTCTTGCTCTTGGTAACCAACCCACCCCGTACTTGAGCGTCTTTATCTCAACTGCCTTCTCATTTGCAGAACGCTGACTGGAAGAAAGGCTATATTCACAGCATATCTCGCTTCACAGTTGACAGCATGGAAGCACGGTACAGGGAAACACGCGTCTGACTTGTCAGCTGAGGACACAACTACGGCATTGAAGGTAAGTGAGTGTGTTACTTACGAACATTCTCCAGCTAACGTCAAATCACTTCAAGTATTGGTACATCTGCGAGCTCCTCTACATCGTTTCAACGTGTCTTCTAAAAATCAGTGTCGGCTTCCTCCTTCTTCGCATTACCATCGAGCGTATACACATCCACATCCTCCGGATTCTAATGCTCGGCACGGTCCTCTTTGGCGGCACATATTTCTTCATGGTCATGTTCCAATGCCGACCTGTCAATACCTTCTGGGATGAAAACCCTCGCACGCCTGGGAAATGCTGGAACGACCGTGTTGTCCTCATTATGACCTATACAGCAGCTGCAATAAACTGCCTAGCAGACTGGGCTTTTGGCACATTGCCAGTCTTTATTGTTTGGTCATTAAATTTGCCGATCAAATCCAAGATACTGGTTATGTTCATCTTGGGATTTGCAGCTATTGGCAGCACTGCCACTATCGTACGAATCTTTTACTGTAAGCGTTTATCATCCGTCGAAGCGGACTTTATGAGGCATACTACGGGTATAGTGGTGGATTCCCCCCTCATTTAGTTCAAAGCCCCATTCATCGGCTTATAGCAGCTGACTTAGATTTCAAAGTGCACCATCTCACCGACAAAGGCGACTTTCTGTGGTCGACGACTGATATTGCTATTTGGAGTACTGTCGAGCCTGGAATCGGAATCATGGCTGCTTCAATCGCAACGCTGCGGCCTCTTTGGCAACTTATCTGTTACAGGACAGGTCTGTCATCGGAAGCCCCGGCAAATCTTCGATGGCGCGAACGAAATCGTGGAAGGAGGACATATATTCGGTCAGAAGGATCTGGTCCAAAACGCACACCTCGACTGCGGCCAGACATCGACACAAGCTTGACCAATATTACGATAGAAGGAAGTGACACAATGTCGCCGAAAGACCATTTCTCTCCGAGGCTCAGTGCCCTATCATCTCAGGCAGGAATCACGAAGACGACAGAATTTGTTGCCTTTGGTACCACCCAGCCTCTGCCGCCTCTATCAGTAGAGGTAAGCTTATTCATTGACAATGGATGAAATCATGTCGCCTTGAATCTAACTTTTCAATAGCGAGACGCAATTGCGTCATCGAACCCACAAACCTCAAGGCATCCGTTCCAAGAAAACGGGACAGGTCTAACCTCACCTTTACCGACCCTTGATTGGAGCTCTCCGCGTGTATCAACCTTGACGATGGGATGGCCACAGAGCTCGAGGCCGAGCACAGAAGGCTGAAACGATTATAAATAATCAATATCACTTATTTGACTACTTTGGCAACCTATTAATCGTACAAATCCCGTGATCAGCCGGGATGCTGTCAGGCCGTCCCAACCATTTGTATTGATTGTTGACCGAGTCCTCGGACACATGAAGTGAACAATTGATCCGCCTTTGTCTGCTGAAGTTGTTTTAAAATAAATATTGTTCTCTGGGTCCTTTCAGTAGATTTTCTGTGTTAAGAATTCCTTGTTCTTGAACAGAAACGACCAGAACAAACGGCTTGTTGGTGTTCTTATTCTGACCATATAATCTTCCACAATAAGCGTGCATGTTTTCTAGATCATAGCACTTGTTATTGATTCAAGAAACCGGTTTCAAACCCACAAACACTCAAGGCTGTGCCATTCGCGGCTTGGTGGAACAGGACTTTTGGCGATTTTGCATCTCCGACATCTGTAAAGCAATCATGATAGGCCAATCGCTGAACGATGATGTGCTGTACGTCGTTGCGAATTCTCTTGACGTCGAGTCTATGCTAAAGCTAGCAAATACCTCTCGTTCACTTTACAATGTCATCTCGCCCGCAGCTTTGCGTAAAGACTTGTGCAAAAATGGCAGGTCCATTTTCAGTGCGACAAGAAACAATGATTTTCTACTCCTCGAAAAGGTCCTTCGCTCCCCGGTCTTTGATATCAACAAATCTTATCAGAGAGAGGGAAAGACCACATCTGTCCTGCAATACGCTGTCGAGCACGCCTCAGAAGAGGTATTTAAGATTCTGACAGTTCCAGTACTTTTTCAGGCTTTTCTAGACTATACGGATAGTCACCCCTGGATCAATGATCAAGGCGGACGCAACAACATTCTCGGCGAGGCAATTAGACATGGCAGATCAGACCTCATTAGCTACATTGTTGAGTCCCTCAATATTCAATCCCTCCCACCCGGCTGGCCCACGCACTTTGATCCACGACAGTTCTGGGATCTCGACGACGCACCTCTTGTGGCTGGGCTTTCCGGCCGGAAAACTGCGATTGACCCCGAGACGATTCGCATGCTGTCCCGATACAGCGATCCTGAGACCTTTGTCGGCGTCAACGGCAACCCTCATTGTGAGCTCAAGAGCTATTATCCGGAGGCCCCTTATGTGGTGGCTCACGCTTCACCAGATCGACTGCGGCAGTGGACATCCAATTCTTTGCATATCGCAATGATGCTGCGACAACACCCCGAGGCTAGGAATGACGTTCGATTGGAAACCCTTGAAGCCTGGCTTGACGCTGGCGTTCCTGTCAACCAGCCTGATGGTGGGCTTGTGGACCTTGATCATGTGAACCCCTTGGTGAGTTACTTCCGAACGCCGCTCGACTTCGCAGCCGAGGGCCTAGATCTCGAGGCAATGGACTTTTTGATTCGCAGGGGAGCAGTTGCAAATATTCTGGGCGTGGATAACGGGTCTCTTACAGCGTCGACTAGATTCACAGATCTTACCACGATGTCTTTGCTGTTCGGCCATAGACTATGGCCTCATTCTGTGGAAAGAGGCTGCTCCATCCTGGTTCCAAACAGGGACATTCGATTACCTGCTGGGTCCACCTACAAGGACATGATATCGCGAATGCACCAGGAGCGAACATTCTTAAAAGCAGCAGCACCCGGTTTGAAGAATGTCGTCTACGCCGTGGAGGAGCAGATACACGCCGGAATGCGCTTGCTTGAGGCAAGAATTGGCCAGCATCACCTCCCTTTGGTTATGGAAGAGTCATCGGGGCTGCCAGTCGAGGTTTTCTCCTTCATCCACGATGAGCTTTTGGGATCGCCGGATATTGCTGACTCACTGACGAGACTTTTTGGTAGTTCTTGGATTGACACGATGGACTGGAACTTACGGACGCCACTTTTGCAGATCCTGTCGGGAATCGCTCCAGTAGACGAGCACAAATTCTGGTCCATGGGAAACAACCAGGCTTGGTATATTCGGCAAACACTCCACAAACCACAACTGATTCGTTGGCTGCTGGAGAACGGTGCAAATCCCAACGCTTGCGATATTGAGGGCATTACACCGCTCAGGTATGCTCTATTCCGGCTTGACGTTGGGGCCGTGGATCTGCTTCTACGGCACGGCGCTGACACTGCCGAGGTAAGTGATCTGATCCACCTGCTTCTGAATTTTAATCGCCAGGAGTTATTGCACAACGCGAATGATTTCATGAAGTACGCCCTCGAACTCTGTTTCGTTGGTATAAGAGACGGATTTGTGAGGAGAATCGGCGAGCAAGTTCGCGAATGGGACCAACACCGCATGGGAGTTGTAGGCGTTCAACTCCAGACTGCTGATGGCGAAACAACGTATTCCATTACTGTCCCTTCGACGCCCTTGGACTCGTGCCTGGGGCTCTTCCTTGATACGCCTTTGTGCCTCGGCAGTCGACTCGAAGACATTTGCCTCGTTGGCGATATTGACTCAGACAGACGGGAAACTTTTATTTGTCGACTCAGCAGACTTAGATACGTTCTTCAGAGTCATTGCAACTACAGGCCAGTTCCTGGCAGGAAGAGAAGGACATCCGCGGGCAGTTTCTCCATCGATGAGGGGAAATCTCCCCCCAAGAGACACCGAGCCATGTGATTTCCATACGCTGTTCCAATCCCAGTGTTTATAATTAGCTCTTATTAATCAAATTGTGCCGTCAATCGCCTTTTGAACGGGTTGTAAACTTTTCTGCAATGAATGTGATCGAGACACTACCTGGGAAGCTATTTATTCCACCTTTGTGGGACTCTGTTTCCCTCCTGATCCGCTTCGCAATGGATTCTCAATCCTTTTCTTGAATCTCGCAAATTTAGTGTTGTAGAATCCTCGCCTTCAGGCACTTGAGTTGCTTCGCTCTTAAGGCCAAATGTCATCTAAGGCATATGTTTTATAAATCGCAGTAGTGCGTAATTATTGAGTTCCTAGATATGCTCCACCGGTCCTGCCATCTTGATGTGTCTTTCGTCCACTGCCGTCTCATCAGAACCGTGTCCCCCTCTTGCGAGTGCACCCATGGTAGCCATATGAAATATCTGTCAGATTTATGTAAAAGTCGCGACGTGGTTCAACTTGACAACTGCTAATGCAGCTCATTGACTCTACCGTCGCTTCATTCCTGGAAGCAACTCGAAATTGCTCGTGGTAAAAGCTTACAGGGTTTCAAGAAAGATTTTGCAAGTCGGAACTCATCAGGCATGATATGTTCGTGCGAGACACATAACGTGACTTTTCACAGATTTGGATTAGCCGGCACATCTGCATCGATACTGAGACTAGCGGTTGAACAAGCGCTAAGTGAGGTACTTTAGACTGCGACATCGCATGTTGATCCCAAATGGTGCATCTCGGGATACCAATGTCTATTATCTTCTTAAACAAATTAATATCGGCTTTCCCTCCCCCAAGCTGGTAGCTCGTGCACCGACTGCACAACGGCAGTGGGATCCAGTTCGGAAGTCTGGTAATTGCGATGAACCGAGTCCAGTTCAGAGGTCTGGTAACTCTGTTGACTCTGGTGACTGGGGTGGCTCTGGTGACTTGGGTGATTCTGCGTGCCTTTTATCTGAGTAGGATCCCAATACCCCTGTGATGGATATTCGGCCAACGAAAAGTCATTGTTATGTCCACCCGTGGTATGATCTGCAGCAATCGCTTGCCTACGCTTCTTCCGGGCGCGAAGGAAAAACCACAAGCCTGCAGCACCAGCTGCAATGCCAGCTATGGAGGCACCCACCGCAGCACCAATTGTGGTGGCTTGGCTTGGCTGACTCGTATTCTCTGAGACGCTCGTGTCCGTTGGTGAGATGCTTGTTGAAGAACCTATAATACTACTTGTGCTTGTTGACGTTGTGGACAGGATCGATGATGAATGAGTGGTGGTAGTCAGCGGCGTAGTGCTCGAAGTTGAAGCGGTTGTCGATGTAGAGGCCGCAATGCCGATGGTCGTCAATACAGTTGGAGTATCTGTCACAGCGCTCCATCAGTCAACGAACTTGAGTCCAATTCAATTCCATACTAGCTGAACGGTGGTGCTACTCGTTCACTTACCCACAAAAAGCAGCACATTCTCCTGACTGGTACAGTTGACCGATCGCCCATCGATACAATAGAATAAGACCTGGGATGTGTCCTCACACATTCCCATGCCCTCTCCACCGGCCACGTTGTCATATTCTGGGTTGACGCAGAAATTCGGGCAATACGAGCTTCGCCAATTCGAGTCTGTACAAGAGCCGCGTACATATATTGATGCTCCAGCCTTTTGCAATTCTTCTCCAGTGGCCTGGCAGACACCGTTGGACAAGCAGGCGTACCCTTGTCCACAGCATGCCGATTCAGCTGTCTCGTCGTTGCAAGGTGTATCTTGGGACGCTGCGGAGCCGTCCGGGTAGTAGCATATTGAGAAGCATTGGGATACTAGAAGTGAGAGGAATACAACAAGCATGCGTATACCTGCCGCCATGGTCTCTTTTCACATCCACGAGAAATAGGCTCTACTTTGAGGTCTGAAAAGAATCGGAAGGAGTATGAGTGAGGCTGCGGCCCTCCTGCCACAGGGGATAGCGTGGTAGTCATTTGAACCTTAGGCTGAGCTGTTGGCCCGCCACAAGGTTTCATCGGAAATGCAGGGCGGGAAAACTGAGATGGTCTGCGAGAGAACAACAAGAAAAAATCAACCGACCCCTGGAGCCCCACCGTTGTTAGCTGTTGGCTGACCAGAAGGGAATGGGCGTGGGCCGCCGCATTGCCAGGCTGATGTTAGCCGAATTGTGAGCGAGCGAGCAAAGGATGCCTTGTGTGCATCTTGCACAGTACGAGAGCAGGACCTGACAGGTATTTTCCGTAGCTCGCACAGACAAGCCAGCGCTTGAGCCGGCAGAACTGAGTGCGCTGCGGATATAAATGGCATGACAGGGTGCAAACCAACTGCACGCTCAACCAACATCAATAAAGATAACGGCGTCCCGACACGTTGGTACGCCAAGAGGTTGGCTGCCCCCAGGCCAATAGGCAGGCTCCCCCTACCGCTGCGGTGGGACTGCAATATCTCAACTTGCCAGGCTTGCATGCGTGCGACCTGCCTGCAATCCGCCTTCTCTCCATTTCCAGACCCATGTTTCCTGTTACGCCAAGTGCATCAATTGGCTGTTGAAGCGCGGTCCGAGTCATTTCCCAAAACAAACGCCGCGGAGCTGCAGCTTGTCCTCGCCCAGGCGAAATTGCTCTTTCTTGGTTGTAACGCTGCTGTGCCTCACCAGCTCCTTCCGTTGAAGCGAGCATTCACCGCAGAGTTCCTTGCCTTCTTCGGTTCGCGATTCTGAAGCAAAGACATCATCAATCTTCCATTTTGATCAACGCTCAAGATATTTGTCGTCCGACTGAATTGTGCGCTTCACCGATTCCTTGAAGGCTGTGCCTCTTGTTGGATTTACTACCGCCCTTTGCCATCACTGCCGCCAAAGACTGGACCACTTCTGCCCACCTCGAAGGGGAGAGCCAAGTCTTCGCAGCTCAGCATCCCCAATGTGCTAAGAGCTGGCGGTGTAGTACGCCAGGACCTTTGCGGTTACCATCTCCACCATGTTCGCTGCTAGAAGAAGCCCCAGGTGGCTTATTGCCGCTGTTGTGATTTCCCTCGTCACAACCTTCTATCTTCTCAACAATGACAGCCCACGATACTGGCTCACGCCAGCTTCTTTCTCGGCTCCAGACAGCACACAATGGAAGGTCTCGGATGACTACTTCTGGAAACAAGTCCCGACCCATTATCCCGCCACCTCGATACGGCCACTTCCCACAGGGAAGGCCGCACCGTACCCCCAAGTTCAAGCGAAAAAGTTCCCAACCGAGACGATAGAACAACGCAAAAAGCGTGAATTCCATCGGGACACGGTCAAGCAGGTCTTCAAAAAGTGTTGGCAGTCTTACAGGGAGAAGGCCTGGCTCTCTGACGAACTCACGCCTGTCAGCGGCCAGTCGCGCAACACTTTTGGCGGTTGGGGCGCAACACTGGTCGACTCGCTTGACACACTGTGGATCATGGGCTTGAAGGCCGAGTTCGCGGAGGCAGTCGACGCTGCAGTCACAATCGACTTCACCAAGAGCCAGCATGAAGAAATTAACGTCTTCGAGACCACTATTCGTTACCTGGGTGGATTCCTGGCAGCCTATGACCAGAGTGGCGATCCGCGATTGTTAAGGAAAGCAAATGAGGTCGGCGAGATGCTGATGAAAGCCTTCGACACGCCTAACAGGATGCCAATTACCAGGTGGCACATCAACTCCGCTGCAGCAGGCGAGAGACAAGAAGCACCCGATGGTGTACTTGTGGCTGAGATTGGCAGCTTGACGATGGAATTCACAAGGCTGTCGATTTTGACAGGAGATCCAAAGTGGTTCGACGCAGTGCAGCGCATCACCGACATATTCCACAAACAGCAGATGACGACTTCGCTAGCCGGTATGTGGCCATTGGTCGTGAATGCCAAGGAGGAGGTATTCAACCAGGGGTCTCATTTCACATTGGGAGCCATGGCCGACTCTGTATTTGAGTATCTGCCAAAGATGTCGGCTTTGCTGGGAGGGAAACTCCCAGAGTACCAGGAAATGTACGAGAAAGCAATGGATGTAGCGAGCGATTGGCTTTTATTCCGCCCAATGACGCCCACAAATGAGGACATCCTCATTTCTGGTCACATCGAAACTCACCAGGAGGGAGGTACCAGTTATGTTACCCCTCAGCGAGAGGGTCAACATCTTGTTTGTTTTGTCGGTGGCCTTTATGCCCTTGGGGGAAAGCTTTACGATAGGCAAGACCATCTTGACATCGCCAGGAAACTTACCGAAGGATGTATTTGGACATATAAAGCGTCACCACATGGGGTCATGCCCGAGACACTGTACATGGCATCATGCGGATCCAAGGACGATTGTGAATGGAATGGGGCTGAATGGAAGAAGCAAGTGCTTTCTGCGGCTGGCGAACAGCCCACTGGCGACTTCGACTCTGACATCGGTCGTGCCAATACAATCATCGCCGAAAAAAGACTGCCAGAAGGATTCACAAAAATTCCGGACGGCCGTTATATCCTGCGGCCCGAGGCGATCGAAAGTGTGTTCATTTTGTATCGCGCGACGGGTCGCGCAGATCTGCTAGACACGGCTTGGGAGATGTTCACGGCTATTGACAGGGTGACATCGACGCAATTTGGGAACTCGGCGGTTGCGGATGTCATGACTCCGGAGAAACCGTCAGCGACGAACTCAATGGAGAGCTTCTGGTTGGGAGAAACCTTGAAATATTTCTACTTGATCTTCAGTGATCCGGCTTTGGTCAGCCTCGATGATTTTGTCTTCAACACCGAGGCACACCCATTCAGGCGGTTGAAGAGATGAGGCCTAGCGGAACCAAGGCCTTGAAAAACTCAACGAGACACACTAGAAGAGTATGAGATGTTAAGAAGATGAATGGACACCTTTTTCACACTTTGGGGAACGAGAACTACTATGGGCAGTTACCAGGCCGTCCACCAGTTTTAGTGAATCTTGTTATTCTGGATGCTTCTTTCGGGATACAGCATTTTCTTGTTTAAGTTTCCGGTCCCACGCCAACTCAACAGTCGCCTGCATACTTGTTGCTTCCGAGTAATCTCCATCATGGAGTCACAGCCTAGTATGGCATAACCGGGGCAACCTTCCAGGCCCAGGTCACTGCTTGGTCGTGGATCATGGATCATCTAGATGCCAATGAATGAAACCATCTGTAATTTCGGGCGGGCTGGAAGCCAAAGTCATAGATGGCCATTGGGACTTCTTCGATGTGATTTGACTCTTTAACCCGGCACCTCAGGCATTGGTGCGGAGTGCCTCGGCTCCGGAAACTCTATCTCCATACCCAAGCTTACTGTCCTTCTATACATTGGACGTGTCCCAATGTCCGTCTCGGGGCATCTGCTATGCTCCGTCTGGGATCGCGGTGATATCCAAACAAACCCGGAGACGGAGCATGAAGTTCGGCCGACCTTCCTGTTCACCACCGCGGGTTGAGTCAGTGCCGGTCGGCTGGGTGGGTCTCACTGAGTTTGAACTTTAAGGCATGGCCTCGGCACCTACATCTATCTACACGCTCCAGGGAGTCTTGAAGTCCCTATTGTTACTCTGGCTCCCTAATTGTTGCCTCTCTCGCTCCCTCGTTGATATCATGAGATCCACAATCTCCACCAGCGGAGGATATTGGATCCTTCCGTTGGAAAATTAAGAAGCTCTGGCCGTCCATTGAACCTTGATCCCTACATAGTGCAAGGCCTCAACCATTTAAAGAACCCGCGATGGACGCTGACCAGGCCTAGATAAGTAAGGCCCTATCAGCTCTTGTCCTGTTGGTCCAGCATCAGAGCCACCACAACTGCGTTAGCCAACATTCACAGGCCCATTTCTCTTTGATTTTTGTGTGAGTTTCCAGGCCATTCCTTGTTCCTTACACTAAAGTCGGTGAAACAACATCACGTCGGTATCCTCAATCATGGCGACCGTCATCATCGTTGGTGTTCTCGCTACACTCTTCTTGTATGGCCTATACCAGTGGCTACTCCCAAAACCACTGCCCGACATTCCTTACAACAATGCTTCCGCAAAAAACATCTTCGGCGATATACCCGAACTCGTCAAAGAGGTCTCGAAAACTGGAGATTTCGCGGACTATATCCGCAAGCAGAGCAGGAAGCACAATTCCCCAATCACCCAATTGTTTATGACGCCCTTTGGAAAGCCTTCTCTTCTGGTCTGCGACTTCAGAGAGGCCCAAGATGTCCTCCTCCACCGGGGCAAGGAGTTCGACAGATCCAGGTTCGTCGGCGAGCTCTTCTACGGGACGGGCAAGAATCACCATATCACGATGAAGACTGGGCCTGAATGGAAGGCTCGCAGGAAACTTCTGCAGGACCTCATGTCACCTAGCTTCCTTCACAACGTTGCCGCACCTACTGTCTATGCCAGCAGCTTGAATATCCTGAAGCTGTGGGAGCTGAAGGCTGACCTCGCTGATGGGCGGCCGTTCCTGGCCTCGAAGGACATCTTCCACGCCGCTTTGGATGCTGTGCTGGCTTTCACATTTGGAATCGGCTTCAAGGAGGACGCCACCACGCGCCAGATCCAACTGATGCAGAGTCTCGAGCGCGGAAAGATCGCTGCCGGCGGGGCGGACGTCCCCGTCAAATTCCCGACCGCGACATTGGGCACAGCTATTTCTAGCATACTTTTCCTAACCGCGTCCGTGGAGCGCGTGAGGGGGGCTGCTAGCATGCGCTTGAAGTGGTGGTTCATTCAAAAGGAGACTGGGTTCAAGAAGGCGCAGAAGGATAAGGATGAAGCTATCCACGGGGAAATCGAAAAGGCCATCCAAGCTCGACGGAAGAACGGGCAAGGTGGAAACGACGCATGGGTCCAGTCAGCGGTCGATCACATGGTCGATCGCGAAGTTCGTGTGGCCGAAAAGGAAGGGCGACAATCGAATCCCCATTCACCAGGTATGTAAATGCCCTCGAAGATCCACGCCCAAAGCCTTCCTGAAGCCAAGCGCACCCCTGATGCACAAATTGCTAACGTTTTCTGCTAATTTCCAGACATGCTGGAAGAGATCCTGGGTTTTATCATCGCCGGCCACGATACAACAAGCACCACCCTCTGCTGGGGCGTCAAGCTCCTGGCAGACCACCCAGGAGTCCAGCAACGCGTCCGCGACGACATGCAAGCCGCCTTCCCCGAGGCCAAGGCCGAGGGCCGACTGCCCTCCGTCACCGAGATCACCAAAGTGTCCATCCCATACCTCGAGGCCACCATGGAGGAGATCCTGCGCGTGGGCAACACGGTCCCTATAACCGACCGCGATGCCGTCCAGGACACCACCCTCCTGGGCCACTTTGTCCCCAAGGGGACCCAAGTGTTCTTCCTGGCCAATGGGCCCTCGTTCCTCGAGCCGGCCTTTGATATCGAAGAGTCGCGGAGGAGCCCGCACGCCCGGGAGGGCAAGGCGCGTGTTTGGGAGAGCGAGGACATCGGAGCCTTCAAGCCTGAGCGGTGGCTTACGGAGGAGAATGGTAGGGAGGTGTTTGATAGCCAAGCTGGACCGGACATGCCCTTTGGTCTTGGAACCAGAGGCTGTTATGGCCGCCGCCTGGCGTACCTGGAGTTGAGGCTGTTGTTGACGGTGTTCTTGTGGAAGTTTGAGTTTCAAAAGTGCCCCGCGGAGTTGTCTAGATACGATGCTGTTGATGGAGTTGTCCATGGACCCAAGGACTGTTATGTTAGGTTGCGGAAGGTTGCGGCCTGAGTCTGCTCTCATTGTGTATAGGAATAATGCAAGCCAGTTTGATAATCAAGGACACGAAATCTACATCCAAGGAGGGATAGGAGTTTACGGGTGCGCTCACCACAAAATTCAAGCCAAGATTTACGGGGGCATGCATATCAACTCGAAGGCAAATGCTGACTCGTTTCTGATCAGCCACATAGCTTGCGCATTATGAAACGATATTTGCGAAATTCCCAAGGAAATATTTTATATTTCTCCTTGGTATGTTTACCAGGGCGACATACGCCTATTCTCAAAGAGTTGAGAAATGCAAAAAGAAGGTGAGCCCGACATGGGTCGAGAGCTTAACAACAAAGAATAAAAATGATGTTCGTCAAAAGCCGGACGCGGATTAACCTCTCTCCCCTTCCTCCTGGTACTTGAAAGCAAACAAATCTTGGGCCCATGTTGAATGTGTCCAACGCAAACTGCACGTGTTGAAGCACCGTCACAATAGCGCATCACACCAAGACAACGGCATCCATCAGATCTTCTCCCACCTCAACAACATAGCGGCAACAATGACAGGCAGCACACTGACCAGCTCGCCTAGACCCGCAAACTCAGGCGGGATCCTGGCGTTATGAAGGGTGGAAAATGCGCCGGCGCCGAGCAAGATCGCAAAGATGTTGTAGACGAAGCTCCAGCCAAAGTTGAACGCGACCCTGCCCATGGACTTCTTACTGGCATTGATGAGCGTGATGATCCCGGCCAAGCTAGGTCGCATGAGGACGACGTCCGCCGCGGACTTGGCTACGTCGGTGCCGCTGGAGTCGTTCATGTGCACGCCGATAGTCGCCTGAGCCAGGGCCACGGCATCGTTGGTGCCGTCGCCGCAGAAGATAACGGTTGGGGCGGACTTGCCGTTAGGAGAGGCAAGAAGGTCCTGGATATATGTCTGCTTGTCTGCTGGGGTGCAGCGAGAGCGGACGCGGTCGTCCGGAATGCTGAGCTGCCTCGTGATCGCACGCACAGCTGCGTCATCGTCGCCCGAGATGACATGGACTGCGACTCCTCGTTTGTGCAGCTCCTCGACAGTGCCGAGAGAGTCCGGTCTGAGTGAGTCCTGCAGACCGAATGCCGCTACGAGGGTGCCGTCTACGGTGAAGCAGAAGGTGGTGTGGCCTTCGGAGAGAATGGACTGGACCCGAGAGTCCTGAGCGAGCCCAAGCCAGCGGGAGTTACCAGCACGAAGAATGGATCCTGAGGACGTGGTTGCCTCAACTCCTTTCCCAGTCAACGTGCTGGCATTCAGAGCCTTTGCAATAGGAGCAACACCCGCGGATTGGAGTCGTGCTGCTACAGCTGCAGATACGGGGTGCTTGCTGCTGACGAGCAAGGACAGTAGCAAGGACTTGGAGCTAGCTTGACTTTCTTGATCTCCCAACCACGTTTCTCGGGCGATGGTAAGACGCCCTTGTGTGAGGGTTCCGGTCTTGTCCAACACCACATGGGAGGTCTTGTAGGCTAACTCTAATGGATCGGCAGATTTGATGATCACACCTCTTTCGGCAGCCACGCCACTTCCAATGACAATTACCATAGGGACTGCGAGGCCGATAGCGCACGGGCAAGACACGATCAGGACCGTGATTGCAAATGTGATGGCCTGGATAACAGCATCGGATGCGGGTCTGCCTTGTACCGTAATGCCGACAGCGATCCAGACGCAGAAGACTATGATGGTGAGCGTGACAATCACGGGGACGAAGTAAGAAGCGACACGGTCGGCAATCTCTTGCATCTTGGGCTTGGAAAGCTTGGCTTCGTCAACCATATTGGCGATGGCGCTGATCGTATTGTCACCCGGAAGCCTGTTCAGCCGCACCATCAAGGTCCCGGCACCATTGATCGACCCAGCGATGACGGCGGATCTGACGTACTTCTCAACAGGCCTCGACTCTCCGGTGACCATCGACTCGTCGACCTCAGAGGATCCAGAGATAACTGTGCCATCTGTCGGTATCTTGGAATCAGGGAGAACCTTGAAGGTGTCTCCGTGCTGAAGGAGTCTGACGTCTACTTCGCGCTCCACATCTCCAACCAGAGTAGCAGTAGATGCTTGCAAGGACCGGATGGAGATGGACTCCACTGCTTTCTGACGGGCCAGCGCAGCAACATATCTCCCCACCATGATAAGAGTCACCAATAGGGTGCTCGTTTCGAAGAATTCGCCTGTCGAAAGCGGCTGACCAGCGACGAGGTAGCCGAAGGAAACGACTGAGAAGATGTAGGCGGCACTCGTGCTAAGGACGATGAGCAGATCCATCTCAATAACCCTCGAGAACACGAGTGCCTTGAGAGCCTTGGGATAGAATGGCCCAGCAATCAAAACCTGGACCAACGTTGCCAGTGCAAGGGACGCAGACCCATAGGCGAGTTCCCTTTCCGGCAGGGGAGCCCACGCCAGTACTAATACCGGAATAGTGAGAATGGCGGAGAGGATTGTACTCAATCCAACATTTCGAACATGCTTGCTGCCAGCGGCAAGACTCTGGTCGCCTCTAGGGGGTGCCAGGGTCATGGGGGTGTCCCATCCTTTTTCCAGCAGATCCCGAGCTCCTGTAACCTTAGAATCGAAAGCGACATTCACAACGTTCTTTCCAAGCACCGAAACATCCGTGACACCCAGTGGCCAGCTGTCATTGGCAAATTCAGCCGCGTCGCCTGGAATGATGATGTCGATGTTGGACCCCTTGTTAGTGACCTTCTCACATTTGAATTCAGTGGTCCTCTCGAGGTGTTTCATGACCTCGGCCACGGATCCTGTGTTCAGGTCCAGATCGAACTCGGCACGCGAGAGGACGAGGCTCGTCTTGAGGTTCTTGACTGAGGTGAGACTTGCGAGGGTGCGCTGGAGCTTCGTCTCGCATCCAGTACAGGTCATGCCAGATATACTAAGAATGACATGGTCTTTGCCCGAAATCCCACTCTCGAGGTCGGTCGAACTTTTCCCGCCCTGCCTTAGACCTTTGATATCTTTGGAACGGGTGCCCTCTATAGAAAGACGAGTGGTTGTTGCGATTGGCGCACAGCAGCCCTTGTCTGTACAGTCGTCCTTTTGGGGGTTTTGTCCCAAATCCTGGGCACATGCTTTTCCCTTGACTCTGGTCCGCATAGGTGAGGAACCCTTTGCGGCAGCGCCTGTGGCACAGCAGGAGTCGACTGATCTGCGGGAGACTGACGATGACCTTTTAGAGCACCGCTTCCTCTCCAGGGAGGATCTCTTGGGGGGTGGGCAGCACGATTCCTGGCCCATGGCCAGGAGGGCCCGACAGAGACAGCCGAGAGCCTCTAGCTTGGCTGCGTATTTCTGGCGAGTCGATTGACTGTGCTGCCGACATGGCTTCCCGTCTCGCCCTTTGTCACAGGCTCCCTTCGATGATGAGCCCGTGGTCTGCCCTCCGCACTCGCGAGCAGCAATGCGGTCCAGGCAGGACACGTCGCAGCACGGGTTGGTCTTGCCCTTGCAACAACTCGGATCCTTTGGGTCCTGCAGCGCAAGCTTAGCGTCATCACAGCAAGCGTCCTTGCAAGAGGCGTCTGAGACGACCTCCACGGCCTTCTCCTCATCACAGCAGGAATCCCCGCACGTGGCATCGAGGTCAGGCGCGTTGGTCTTTGAGGACTGGCCTCCGGCGCAACATCCATCCTCACAGGTGCCGTTGGATTTGGCTTCGGTTGTAGCCTTGGGCTGCTCATTGTCCTCGGCGCAGCAAGCATCCGCGCAGCTTGCCGCGCTCGGAGCTAGCGCTGGCTCGGGAGAAGCGGGCCTTTCGCCGGCACAACATCCCTTCTCGCAGGAGTCCTCGGAGACAGTGCCGCGCTCAGCATCGCAGCAATTGTCCGTCATGGTAGAGGTCTCTACGCCGACAGTGGAGGGGCCTCCATTCATGGGCTGATCCTGGGCGGCGGGCGGTATAGGCATAGGCTCTGGAGGCGCACAGCACCCAGATCCACAAGCCATGATGCAAGGCTCGGTTGTTAACTTATTTTGAGAGTATCTTAGTTTGCGTCGCTATGAATTCAAAGTGAGTGGTGTCAGAAGTCGAGACGGCAGATTGTCGGTGAGATAAGGTCAAGAGCTCTGGAAACTTTAGCGGCGGGTACATGTCACTTGGCAGTCGGTAGTGGTCCTTGACAACCCGAAACGAATCACGTTTGGCAATTCCAATCGATTCGACGGCGATCGCCGCACAGTTGCACAAAGCTACCTCAGTGAATGTGATCTATTTGATCAAAGAAGCAGCCGGGTAAAAAAAAAAAAATGAAGGATTCCAAAGCGCTATCGGTCGCTGCTGACCAACTCATCAATCTGCCACCCTGCTGTGTCCCGAGCCCAAGGCCAAAATCATTGTTCTGTTCATTACTCCCGAGGTCGGTTGCGATCAGCTCTTGCCATCTTGCACTCATTCCGAGTCTCATCCGACCAACAAGGAGTAGGATCGCCAAATGGTTCTCCCTTTGAAGTTTGTGTGGCTTGGGGTGCGCTGGCAGCGTTGTGTGCGACAAGAATGCTCGCCGGGATAGGGTACTTGTATTTTGAAGGATCATCTGCAAGCAGGTTGTCGGGAGTGACCCGTTGAAACGCGGTCCTGATCAGGTATTTCTTGAGGCACATGGCCACTGAGTCTTCGCCAGCAGCTGGCGAGGGGTTATAGGGACAGAGCCTCCAGTTGGAAGGAAGGCCGAGTGCGTATGCAGCCAGGCCACCCTGAACGCGTCAGCATAATTGAGTCGGGGGCTCTAGAATAACAGTACTTACCACTATGGGTGTTGAATAACTGGTGCCTGACCAGAGCTGAGGCCCGGGTTTTGTAAGGTCGTAGGAGCTGACATCTTGGCCTTGGGCGTAGAGAGAAATAGGGTTGTCTCCTCGACCAGGGCTCGTGAAAGACGATAATTGACCTTTCTTATTTGTAGCGCCGACCATTAGCATTGGACTATTTGCTGTCGCAAAATTCTTTGGGAATATTTGGTCGGCAAATGGAGGTGGGTCGTCGGGCTTCGTGGGATCCTGATAGGTGCCTGCATTACCTGCCGAAATAAGTACGGTGACTCCAAGTTGGTCCAGCTGTTTCAGCGTGTCCTCGAAGGTTGACATGATGATATCTGCTTTTGTACCAAGCTCTCTCCTCATCTGATCAAGGAGCCAATTCCCAGAGCACATCACCACTACAGCTTTGCCCGGGGGGTGAGCACCGCCATTCAACGAGGCTCGAACCTCGGCGACGACACGCTTGAGCGCCAGAATCTGTGCCTGTGGCGACATGATCGATTGTACGGGATCTCCGTTCTTCAACACGGTCTCGGAGATCTTGATGAGGAATAGATTGGCTTTGCGTGCAACACCAGTCTTGCAGCCGGCCGCGAAAATCGCGACCATAGTTCCGTGTCCATGGTACTTTTTGTCTGGTGTTACCAAAGCCGTGTCGTCCACTACGATATCTGGCGTTAGTCGATTCTGGCGCACGGGATGCATTTCAAGAGCCTCGCGGCGGTCTCAATACATCAGGAATCCCCGAAGACAGCGAGAAGCTACTCACTATTATCGGGTGGAAATGAGTAGCCATCCCGCACCTGATCATCGGTCAAAGGCTGCAAACGAACGAAACGTGGGACCAAGGCCGTATCAATCCTTCGTTGATCCAAGCATTGCTCCTCGGGGAATCGTTCAAGATTGAAACCACTGTCGAGGACGAAGATAGTAGTTCCCATACCTGAGGCTCTGTCAGAAATCCAGTTCCAACTCATTCTACTAACGAAGATAGAAGGAACACAGTTGGGGATGTCTTGAGCTAGCAAGCTTCTGATGAAGTCATATCCAAATTCGCCAAGGAATCATTGACCTTTTAGGAGTACTGACCATCAGAATTATCGTGGACATAACCTTGGTCGACAGGATTGGGATTGTTGACAGCGTATGGCGCAGAGAGCAGGGTCAGGTAGTCAAATGCGGAATGGTCCGTGATTATGGCGCGAGAGTTTGTGATATTGTTTCCGCTGACTGGGGCGCGCCAGGAGTGGCGGTCGTCTCGAACGTTGGGAAGGGCGCCGACGTGAAGCAGGTAGGCACAAAGGCCTAGAAGAATGAAATGAACAGACATATCTTATTTCAAAGGCTGATCCAAGTCAGTTTTGCTTTAGAGGCTTGGGGTGCAAGAATGACGATTTGCCGATGATGTCAACTCTTCTAGATCTGGATGAGGTCGAACTCTATTGTTGGGAAGGACAGGAGACTGCCCTGACGCACTGGTAGAGAGATCCAAGCCGGAGTTTTTGGTTTGGGAGGGATTGGTCAAGAGCTTAGAATGGGCTTGTCAAGGGGACGAAAAGCGTTTTCAGATGCGGCCTTCGCCCGGGTCCAGAGTAAAGCTTGGGTCGGGTTGGGTGCGTGAGCCACTTTATCCTTGCACCAAGACCGCCTGCATGGTACAGGATAAGTAATCGCAGGCTTGGTTAAGGAGGGCAAATACAGGGAAAAGTGTCAAATTTTAAAGTTTCATGGTTGTTATGAGGGATCGTGGCGCCAGTGGTGTCAACAGTCCTAATTTCTACAGCAAGCTAGTCGAGAACTCTGCAAACGCGTCTGCTGAACGGGGAATCTTAGGCCCCTTCCTCTAGACAAGAGCTCAGCTGTGCGTTTGTACCATGATATGCACCTCTTGCTTTTCCCTCGACACCCGTAACGGACATTCGTACCACAACATTTCAGCAGGACAGACTGATCACAATGTGAAGGCAAGTGGGACTTATGCTTCGATTGGACAGACCAAACAATCGATGAGGCCGAACGAACACGATTTCTTCGGATCCTCTAGATTTTGACGGATGAGGACGATCGCAATGCAACATCTAGAAGTATATCAGAGTTGGGAACGGTGGATAGAGTGACGGCATTTGCATTTGAAATCAAAGGAAGTCACGCAGTGCTTTGAATGCTGTATGTAAACATTCAAAGCTAACGTTTCTTTTGCGAGGAATTCTGCGAAGAGTTGAGATTGTCCTCGCACATATCAATTAAGGCATTTATGTAAAGAGCTCTTCTAACATCGCAATCCGTTGTATCCTTCCAAGCCAGCTAACCGCATTTTAGACTGGAGAAACTTTTCCCACTTTGAAGTCCATTTCCCTAATGTTTCCAATTATCAGTACTCTATTCCAAACACGAGCCATCTGGTTGGAGAGGCCCTTAGCTTTGAAACAAGCTCGATAGTGTCAATTTGTCCGGAACTCTTCGGCGCTGTGGCCAATCTTCGGGAGCCCAACCGCCAATGCCTGTTATATAGCAAGGCACCCCCGCACTCACTTGTCGATGGATAGGACATTAGTGTCGGCAACTCATCACGAGCAACTACGCCCACTGGGAGATATCTTAAGCCTCCTCCTTTGTGGCATCCCCGTGTGGATAATCGTACAGGGGGCAGTGAGATTACCGCTTCCAGGTGAGAACTCCTCTAGGTGATCCTGCTGGTGGAGCCAGATGCAGCCTAACCTGGATCTATGTGCTGGCAGTCTGGCCTACTTATATCCACTTGTGCTAGTCAAGCGGTCCTAAGCTGTGCTGCCGTGTCTTGCGTCCATCGTCGTGCCCCTCAGTTAGTAGACAGAGAGGTTTTAAAACATTCACGACCGCCCAGGTATTCCTGCTAGAGTTCTGCTTGTATTGCTCTTAAGACGACAGGTTACAACCGAAGCCTGTTGCCAAGCCTACTTTCTGACCAGCTTGAAGCACGTTGGTGCTTACTAAGGGGGCACAGCGGTGCTACCCAAGACCGTATATAAGCCGCATACTTCCGCAAGAGGTTCGTTTGCTGTGGATTTAGCCAGCGTCAATCTCCCAAATCGCCTCATTTTACAGCTCAGACTTTGGCCTCGGCTGGCGCATCAACCATGGACCCACCCACCACAGGGCATGTCACCACGAACGATGGTGTTCGTCTCTCATACACTCAGACTGGTCCAGCTTCGGGAGAAACCCTTCTGTTTATCCCCGGCTGGCGGCAGACCGCCGCTCAGTGGCACAAGCAAGTGTCCCACTTCCAAGGCTCCTACCGGGTCACGACATACGACTACCGCGGACATGGAGATTCAGAAAAGCCAAACTCGGGCTATCGCGTATACCGGTTTGCAGCAGACCTACTAGACCTTCTGACACAACTCAAGCTGCGACAGGTGCACATCGTGGCACACTCGATGGGCTGCTCCATCATCTGGGCATTCTTTGATATCTACCCAGCTCAGGCCCGGGACCTGTTCGCGAGCGTCGTGCTCGTGGACCAGTCGCCTTGCATGATAGCCGACCCCGCCTGGACACCCGAGCAGGCGAAGCAGCTGTCGGCCATCTTCTCGCCCAGCACGAGCTTCGAGCTGGGCAAGGACATGCGCCCGGCCACCGCGGGCCTGATCAAGGGCATGTTCACTGCGGCGGCTGACGCCAAGGATGTTGACTTCGCGCTGGAAAGGAGCAACCTGATGAGCGACGAGGCGGCGTCGGCACTGCTGCGCGACCATGCAGCCAAGGACTGGAGGGATTTGCTGCCGCGCCTGGATGTTCCGACTTTGGTCGTCGCCGCTGAGGGCAGCGTATTCCCTGCTGAAGGGGTGAGGTGGGTAAGTGAGCAGATCTCGGGAGCGAGGCTGGTCAACTTCGAAAAGGAGGAGGGTGGCAGCCATTTCATGTTCTATGAGAACCCAGATAAATTCAACGGCGCTGTTGAGGACTTCTTGAGGCGTGCTTAATGTGGCGAGTGGACACGAGGTTTCGCAATGTACAGAGCACGTTTAAAGCGCGATATAATGCCTCTGCAACGCAACTTATATTGCACCTTGGTGGGAGTATCATGGAAGGCACAAGATTTGTGGGTGTGATGCGAGAGGGATTTGCAAGTGAGGAGCAGGAACAGGGGCTCCTTAGCCCCTCCGTCGATTGCTGGGTTCGCGATGAAATCCCAGGGCGTCGTGATGGCAAGGATCTTTACGCTATCCACAATAGTTGGATCCAGTATGAGCCCAAAGCGGTGACTTACATGACTTACAATTGTATGAATCGCCTTGGTAGAGTACTCATGGAGTGCTGACAGGGGGTCAGACCTCTCTCTCGGTGGGCCGGAAAAGATTTCAATGCTTGAAGGGTCCTTTGTACTCCGAAACAAACATAGCTACATACGACATCGCTAGAAACATCGTAGCCCTGGAACCCATTCCCCACTGTGACACGCATTTGCAACAATAGCAAGCAGAAGATGCTGCCCAGGCGCAGTCAAGAAAGACTCTAGTGATGACAGACCTACTTCATCCGAAATCGGAAACCGCAACTTCACCTGGCGCACCGCACCGGTTTGTGATGAGTAGGCCCATACAGAATGCGTTGCGTACGTGGGCCCATGTAGGATACTCTGGAGGAGGGTTGAGTTGGGACGACTATGGAGCAATGATGACTCAGGCTTGCAGTATATGCATTTTTGCGATGGAGGTGTGTTCTTAGAAGTATTGAGTCCAAAGAAATCTCAAAATTTAGGCAGGGCAATCCTGATGTGAGACGTAGAGAGAGTGTGTAGTTGTATTGGCTGTCCTTTGGACGCACAAGAAGAGGTGGCGTTGAAGCCACAGCTGAGTGAGGCCCAGCTGTTCGGAGATAGCCGTGCAGGATGCACGTTGCTCAATCCAGGAGTGGTGACCACGAAAGGCATCCATTCTGGCGAATTTTCCGTGGCAGGCAATTCATTGACTCTCATCATTTGGAGATGCAAAATAAAAAAAGCAGGTAATTTTGCCATTCTACGTGATGGTCATGACTTGACGTCGTCGCCGTCCATCAAATGCAAATGCAGTCATTACGGCCGTGGCCTCTCGGGCCCGGTCTTTTCCGAATGTGGGCTGACTCGGCATCTGTCGACGTTGAAGAAAAGAGCGAGACAAGACGCGATGCGAAGCGAGTCGTGGCCCATCGCGTTGCGTCGCACATGTGAAAGGCTCTGCACTGCACTGCAACTATCAATGCGCATGTCGAAACGCCATGGTGGCTGATTGTTATCATCTATCGTGTATCCAGCGCAGCTCGCTTGGTGGAGTGTGGTGGAGCGAGGTGGCAGAGCTGAGTCAGGGGGGGAGGAAACGAGATAGATGGAAATGGATGGGATGCACCCTCGCAGCAAGCCTCGTGCTCATGATCTGGAAGTCGTCTGCGGAACTGGCCCTTGGCATAGGTAAGATGCTTGCGCATGAATAGCCCAGTGACGAGCGGTAGCTGTGCTGGTCTGGCGGTGGGAAGTCAAGCATGTCAAGGTCAGCTTATCTGGTAGTTATTAAGGGAGAGAGGGAAAATGAAGAGACTGTTGTCATTGTCAGGGCCAGACAGGGAAAAGCAGATTTGGTGGTGTCATGTCAGCCTTCCGCCCGAATTTGTTGTCGAGAATTCCCGAGCCAGGCCCGCCCGTAGGGCTGAAGGCGACCCGTTTCACTGTCGGGAGCGTGCGGGAAGGCCCAGGGGCGCCCCCACCCGCGGGCCACTCAGTGCCATTCCAGCTCTGGAAGCGCGACCTCGCGGCGCGAGATCCACCTCACCTCGTCCGTTTGTCGAGTCTCGACCTTGCTTGTCCCATGCACGTTTCCCGTCCGCGACCCATGCATTAAAGTTCCATCTTAACAGTTGATCACCCTATCTGGCCTGCTTCAACCGCGAAGCTGGCCCTGCCTCTGTTAACCAGCCACCTGCGAGTAACCGTCACCACCACAGCCTGACCGTCCCATACCATACGACATTGTCTGCCCACCATCCTAATCGCACCACCACATCCGTATCCATTTTTGTACAACCACCCCCTACCTAGCCCTCTCGATACCTTCACTCAGCGCATTCAACGCCTTGAACATCCAATCCACCGAAGACCGAGCTTGGGCCACCCTGCCCTTGCCATCCTGATCGGGCACGCCCAGGGTGACTTGCGGCTCGGAAGCCACCCGTCGAGCCATCGAGCCATCGAGCCGTCCTTGCTTGCGCCTCACTTGCCCATTCAAATATCAACAGAGCCCCCAATCTTGAATCTTGCCCCCGGAGAGTCTGCTGCACCATACTTAGACTCTTCGTCAACCATCCAACCAAGCTCTATCAGCCAAGTCGGCCTTATCGCCTCTTTGCAACACACCACCAACACTATCACAATGGACATGCTCAACATGGCTTCCATACCCATGAACATAGACGACCTTCCCAGCGAGGTGAGCTTTCTCACATTCCTGCCCCTAACACTTCTTGCAGCACAGCTAACAAGGCAACCCAAGATCCTCATGCAAATCCTCTCTCCCATGACAACCATCCAGCTCCTTCCGCTCGCCCGAGTGAACCGCCGCTTCCACGACCTGGCCATTCGCCTGATCCACACCCGCCTGACGAACGCAGCCTTCCTGCCAGAGCATGAGCTCATCCTCGAATGCTACCACCCCTCCGCAAAGATCTCTACACCCTACCTGCAGTGTAATTACCTCGGTACAGACGGCCTGAGCGGCTACGAGGAGGACCACCAGCTGAGCTTTGGCCAGTTTGGGCAACTCTACTCGCGCTTCAGGCCCGTCTTGCAGGAGGATAACCGCAGGTCAAGGTCGAGACATCCCAGCGTGAGTGGTGGTGCTGCTGAGGGTGACGACACTGCAACGGTGACGGTGGATCTTGACGATGGCGAGATGTTCAGCCAATTGTGCACAGTCACAAATATGGTCAAGAACTCGTCCAGGAGAGGCCTCTTCCTCTCTCACGTCAACATCAACGACGGCGTGGTGCGCGTGTTCAGGCGGTGGTTGCGACAGTGCCACAAGGGCGAGCTGAAGGAGCAGGACCAGATCCTGTGGACCGACCGGCAAAAGAACGTCGGGCTGCGCTTCAAGGTTCGCGAGAACGTTGGTGCGAGACCCGGCCCGGCGATCTGGACCCAGGCGGACGAGGACGAGGATCTCCCCGTGTCATACGAGCTGGAGTACCAGGAGGTTTTGGTCCGAACGGGCCAGCTGCTTCTCAAGGTGGAGAAGGCAGAGGACCAGGAAGTCCACAATACAGGTAAAGCAATCGTCATTGCATCTCTCTAAGGGGATAGACCGTCCAGAAGGGGATCATGGCTGCATCGTTTTGGCAGGATGGCCAGGCTCGAAAACAGTCACGCATTGAGTTTGGGGCAAGGCTCTTTGCGCGCTGTGCACGGCACTGCACCTCCGTCAAAACGAGCAGAACTGCAATACAGTCCGGCTCAAGGAGACCGACGTCGACGACACCACAAGGATGATGCCGCCTCTAGGCCTATAAACCTGAACCATCGCCATGAGAACGAAATGGACGAAATTAAGGATATTGATGATCATGATTACTCACATTCTCTTCCAGATCTCGGTTTTGTGCGCGAAACCGGCAGCAAAGTCCCCTGCAAGGGCCAACAGATGTACTTCTGGATGCCACCCGCGAATACCTACGACCGACAACTTTGGGGTGGATCGGCGCCTTCTATCTGGGTAGGTGGCGCCTGAATGACTTCTTCGAAATGTTTTTCATCAACACAATATCACCCACGAGAGATTAGTCACGGACCACCGAACGTGCACTCTCGCCCTCGATCGCCACTCCAGAATCGCAACGGGTCGCTCTCAGCCGTCCGAAAACCTCGTCGCACGAACACGGACGAAAACCAGACATCCCGATATTCATCCGAAGAAAGCGAAACGGAAACAGGCTAGAGTCGCCAGGCAAAACCTGAAGGTTTTGACATCGAGGAAGTGGAGCCAAGATTAGATTGACTTCACCAGGGTGTCCTCGCGGACCTGTGGACGCAACCCGCCCCTTGCAGCCCGCTGAGAAAACCTTATTTCGGGACAGGTCCTGCTGCAACGTCGCGGCCGTCCCTCATACCCATAGATCTGTCATGCCTTGGGGCACGAAACTCCAATCAAGGAGGATTTTATCCGTGAACAGACCAATGAGTGGGCAATACATAAGATAGTTTTCAAATTCCCCGAACGTTGGGACTCAACTGCGCCTGCAGGATTGCAGCGCCGCGTTGTATTCCTGCAAAGAGTTCGGAAGGAATAGTCTGCGAGGTTCTTTCAGTGGCGAATTTTGGTACGGACTGGGGGCAAACATAGACATTAAAGCGCATGCTACCTACCACAGACCAGGGGCAGTGCTAGACACAACTAGAGTGCCGGTTATCCAGTTCTGGAAGAATATTGGGTGCACATAGACTTAGGAGAACATAGATTCCAAACTACTATTCAAACAAGATGCCAGACATTCAGACCTTCCCCCAACAACTGAGAAAGTCAAACCACTCAAGGCAAGCCATATCTCCATTGGTCCTGCCAAGGGTAGCTTACCTTGTCGCCGCAGCATACTAGTATGCCCGAGTATCTCGTCGAAGTGATGGTAAACTTTATGTGATCTCCGCTTGAAACGCTTCGTTCGCCACAGGAGTATGTCAATGAAGTCCGGGAATGGAAATCCAAGTCCGAGCCTATTTTAAATAAGCACGGACAAGGCCAGTCTTCTCGCAACGACTGATAAATTCGAAAGATTGGGTTTGTTATCGTTCATTGCGACAGGAGACAGAACCACTCTTTCTATAGTGGCCCGAGAGAGCCCACACACTACAAATGGGTTGGTAAGTGTAGTGACGAGGAAGCGGCCTCACTGAGTGACAAGCTGTAAACATTCACCAAATCTCTGTCAAAGACCGAAGTCAATCAATTACGGCTTTCCCAAATAGCGGGCGTGGAGAGAGGACCACGAGACGAGGACGTTGCAAAACAGGATCAGGCCATGCAAGCTAGGTTCACGAGCCAGAGCGACCGTTGGTTTCTGAGACTCGGAGCGTCGCTCTTTTGTTTCCCCATCTATGAAAAGCTATTTTTTGAATGTTTTGAATGTTTATGGGACGAATGATATCCCATGCCCTTCTAGAACGTCTGGGGAAATAAATTAAATACATCGGCTTTGTGGAGAAGAATAGTTCATGCATGTGAGCACTGTCTGATTCTGTCATACAAATTGCGGTGGAATGAGACCTATACAATTCATTGAGTCATCCCAAATTGCATATGCAGACATATCACAGTTATAGCGAAACCAAGAATGTAATCGATAAAGAGCAAATTGTCTGCGTTCCAAGTAGAAGTATCTCGCGTGTGAGCACCCTTCGTCCTCCTCCTCGATCTTCAAATGATCGGTACCTTTCAGTGAACTTACTATTGATCCCGCAGCTCGTTGATACTTGAGAATATCTTAGCTCGTAGACCAACCAGCCAGGGATGCAACGCAGCGAAATAGTCACAGACAATGACATGGGGCACTTCTAAGGCTGTCACTTGTGGTTGGGCAATTTCTGTTCCGTTACGAAACGCCTGAGCAGCTCGCTAATACCTTCTCTGTTACCCTCAGCACCTCCATCGAGTGTGTCAAATACACAGCTGTAGCTCATCGGACCTGCGTGCGAATCGTGGCCGTCGGAACACACGATCGTGTAGTCTTCCAAATCGGAAACAGCCTCGGAGATTAAGGAGACCTTGGGCTCGGTAAATAGCTCTTGCGAGATGGTATTGTGGCCGGCTTCTTCAGCAGGTAACTGCAGAAGATACGGCTCGTGAGACGCATCTGGATGCAGGTCGCCGTCAAGGATGTAGATGCCGACGGACGAAAGGCCTCGAAGGAGTATAGCAAAAGCCGAGATCATTAGGAGCAGCCTGGCCAATTGGTCAATCGAGTCCCGAGCAGTGTGGAGGAGAATACGGGCTGTTCGAGGTTGACTAGGTGTCGTCCTGGCGCTCGGTTCCTCTCAGAGTGAGGCTCTTTGAAAGCCGGGAATTGCAATAGTGTTGCGCAGAAATCTAAGCCTACATGCGCAATCAACGTATAAGAATCCTATACGTCTCAGTATAGGCAACAGTAATCTCCGAGGTGTTCCATCCTGACTATGTCGATGCAACGTGCGCTCTACAGCACAACGCCACCCCGATGCAATAACTTCCTTGATGCAGTAATTCCAATCGTTGTGCGTCTCGGCAAATGGCTATGTGAAGGAGTTCTCAATACAGCTCGATCCAATCTATGTTCTACAAACAGCTCGGTCTGTTTGCACACGTGCATGTTTACACATGCGCAGTATTTTATCTGCAACTTGGGACGGGCACTCTGGTGCCATCTCGAGCACAGGCAGTCTGTCGGCCTATATGAGGCGCCTAGCTCCCAGTGGGAGATGGGATCGCGAACTTAAGTCGAACTGCCGGCCGTCCGAGCGAGGACGATCGCCACGCACATGTCTTTGATCTGTTCTTCTGGACCGAAAACAAATTGCATCTGACAGCTCGCCGTTCGTCTGGCTCGGGATGTGCACGTTCATTACGTACCTAGGTACTGGGTCACATCTGGCGATGGCTTTTGGGCCGGGGCTGGGGCTGGGGCCCGTTTATTTGAGGGCAGGACTGGATGGCCACCAACTCATCACTTTTGAGTTTGCACCTGGGACGCGCTCCCGGGACGCCTGCATGCTTGGCTGCATCGGCTGGTCGTCGTCGAGGCCGGTCACGGGGTTTGACGAGCCTTGTTGGTGCAGGAAGGTGATATTAGTCTCCTTTCCTCTATAACCCCCACACTGTTTCTTCCAAATACACGTAACTGACACTGTCACACCGCCCCGGAGCCGTTGGCCCTTGGCTGGCCGTAGTCTTGCTCGGAGGAAAGCTCTTGTTTGGTTGATATGTGGGCGGTATATATGTCTTTTTTGGAGAAACTAATGCGCCGTCAAGCCGTTTTGACGTTTCTTGTTGCATTAGAGCCGACGATCTCGGTGACTAGTGGCAACGCTCGCGCACCCACCTATTGGTTGCGGACTAAGTGGGCGTTTTGTGTACACATTTAGTGTGGCTCACGTATAAAGGGTGTGATAGTATGATCGCCGTTACAAAGGCTAAGCTAGAGCCTTTTCAGTGCAGTAGGTATGCAAAGTGATATCTTTGACTGCGACGGGTCCTGCCGCACAAACACTTATTTGACGTTGTTTATAAGGTGTTAAGGGAGGGAGCCGTGAGGGGTAATTAGTGTTTCTTCACCAAAAGCCGCATTCATTTTGACTTCTCGATCCGAGTTGTCATTACGATGCCGAAATTTAGATACAGAAGGGTTGAGGCCGTGAAGAGAGGTGTTGTTGATTACATACTATTCAGGTCTACAATTATCAGGCAAAATTGAAGAGTGACGAACATGGTCCGATGCGTATTGAGGAAACCTTTAATATAATTGGAACGGACTCTCTCGGATTGGTAATGGTATTGAAGAGGACGATGCTTCTTGGGCAAAGACGTTCCTGTGGCCAAGACTTCGAATCAAATATTCGAATCTAGCCATGGAACAAGTTAGAATCGTTCCTTACCAACCCATCCCATACCTGCTGGGCTTGGGCCGAAGTCCGTCCATTTAACGCTACGTGCTGATAGTTTAGCTGATAGTGCCTGTCTGGCCGGACCGGACCATTGCTTGAGGCCAGCCGGAATGGATACGATCCAGATGCAGATGGAAGACACTGATGAGCCAATCGCGACTGGCAGCGCAGCGAAGAGATGGAAACAGGATTGTTTCCTGTGGCGTTGGCTGGAATTGGACGTTGCAGCTTTTCTGCATAATAGCGGCGCTCCGTCAGATGGTCCGAGGGTGTGCAAATTGTTCGGATGGTGCGGTGCTAAAGGTCTGAGTGTTACACATTCGGTGGCTGCGTTGGCGGTTGAGGAGGTGTTCGGACGATGAGAATAGCTGACGGCTTGGCCTGGCCGCCACGGAGCTTGGTCTCACACCTCTAGCGAAGCCACTGATCTCGTAAAGTTTGTTAAAGCGACGAAGCAATTCAGCCTGATCACTGGTCTACTCCTTCAGGCCCTGGATCATGAGGTTCCCGGCCGGATAGCGAAAGAGAGACCGGCAGGACGGGGCCGAGAGCGCGTGCCTGGAGATCTGCAGCCAGCATCCGGCTGCCAAGTGACAGCCATGTGCAGGGAGCGGATCTAGCTTTGAAGAGCCCTAGTCTATATGCACGGGAGTTTCGGCTTGACCAAGCCGTGCTGTACCTAGGTGTGCAGGACTATGCCTTGTTTTCTCTCGGTGAGAGAGGGCCAGGACCATTCTGTCCAGTTCATCCTCCGAGTCTGACAGCGTGGACAGCGTGGATTGGAGAAGTCGAAACGGAAACGAAGAGGGAAAAAGGCAAAAGGGCACACAGACAACGGCAGTCGTGAGATACGCTCACGATCTTTTCCAAGGTTTGCGCTGTTGTTTGCACTTCTGTCTTTGGCAGGTCTTGGCCAAATGGCTGGGATGGACATCGACTAACATCGATGAGTGTGCAAGACGAAAAATGAGGCTGGCTCAAGAGTCAAGACCAGAGATACTCCACTCCGGGGGTCGCCCCCAATTGTCCACTCGGAGGATTCCTGTCACCTCGGACGCCCTTACCGAGAAGCTTTGATCCCTGGGCGGCATGTCAGCCCCACATGTTGCCTCTGGGCCCTCCGGCCCTGTGTCAGAGGTCGAGGTCATTGTCACAGGACCCCTGCCGTCTCTGTCTTGGTCTGCGTCGATTTGCCCTGCTTGACGTGACCACCAGTGATCGATGACTCGGCGAGATGGCAATCTTGGCCTCGGCTGCATGCCTAGGTGCTAGGCTGGTAGCCAAAGGCCAGCTCGTCTTCCCATTGCCACTATTTCATGGTCGTTACATTACATTGCAGCTAGCAGCTAGCAGCTAGCAGTTCACTGGCCTGCTGGCCGGCCGTTGATCACCCCTCACCGCGACGACGGGCCAACGTCAAGCTTGTTTCAGCCGCATGAGAGGCCCGAGCACTGTCACCTGCAAGACACGCCCGTGGCACAAATGCCAAGAGCCAAACTCTTCTCGGTGATCTCAAGTGTGCCTGCTCTCATGAGTCGGGAACAAGGGGTTCAGGAGGCAGGGGACAACCAGGGGACAGCCAGGGTGAGGCACACGACGTTGTCCATCAGGGGCCCATGTCCATCATCCATCAGGGGTCCGTCCATGTCCTTACACCCACCTTGGCCGTACACCCTCGTCCACGCCCGCAGTCTTCGAGGCAGCGATTGACAGACAGGCTGTGTGACTGACAGACTGACAGACGGAAGGGCTCCACACCGTTCGTCAAGAACGTCACTCCGCCCGTTCCGCGGCTGGTTCTGTCCTGAGCTCCGCTCCCACCCGGTGCAGAGGGGGCCACTACCACCACCTCCTCCTCCTCCACCAGCTCGCCTGCATGTTGCGTGTGCAACAAGGTTGCGCTTCAGCAACGGCCCGTCCGTCACTTTCTTCGTTTGGTCGTCCTTGCCCAGGCCCACACATGGCCCCTCTTTCCATGTGTCTGCCCTAGTCGGCATGTGGCGGCAAGTCTCATCTCATCTCGTCCCATCTCCTTCAGCCTATCTGTCCCGCTACCTGAGGGCACGGCCATAAGTCTACATGAACTATTCAAACCAAACCAATGCAATGCATATTGGGAAGAAAAACGACTAGGATGGTCTGGACGACGCCCTACGTCCCACACCTGCACGTTCTCTTCTTCCGCCCGACCCGCAATAATCTTATAACACCAACGCCTTGACCACCCGGGCAGCCACCCGCACCCGTTGCGTCAATGCCCGTTTCACTGCAGGCCAGTCTGCCTGAGAAGCCGGCCGTGTTCTAACACGAATACTTACTCTGCTGCCTTCTGGTGTCACCTAGCAAAGCCTACTGTTGCTTCGTTGCTACCCTCTACTTTCTTTCAACCCATGCCTTATCTCTTGGGTCCCTTTGCTTCATCTTGAACCGTTGACCGGGCCGTCGACGTGGTTGCTGCTGGCGGCACTTTCTCTTATTTAATTTTGTAATCTCGAGATACCCAAGAACGTCGCCGTTCTCATCGCCGCTCATCATGGATCATGAGGGGGATGATCTGCGGGATCTGTCGTATCTGGCCAACGCGGATGTAAAGCTGGGTCTGAACGAGCGGGACAGCAGAGTAATCAAGCAGAAGCCAGATACGAGAGAGTCATTAGCAGAGTCTTTCGCCGAATCCGCAGTACTACCTCGGGAATCCGCATATGGACCTCCACCGCCAGTACCGGCAAAAGACAGTATCTATATCAAGCGCAAAGTCGACTATGCCGGGGACGAGGGAAGCCGACCTGGAGCAAGCCAAGGGAAGACGGACGCAAGGGCGGTAGAAGACGAACAACAAGAAGAAAGTGGTGACAATATTGATCTGGCGAGATGGACTTCGGCCACATCGGCGGCCATACCGATAGGGATCACTGCTTCAACATTAAATATATTTCCGACGAAACCGAAAGACACAACGCCTACGCCTCACCCTTTAGGAATGTCGCCGCCAGAATTGACCAGACCGGCTTCACCACAAGTTTCGATTCCAGCGCCGACGAGGCCGGCAAGGCCATCCTCGCTACGTCTGTCCTCCTTGACACGGGATGGGCCGCTTACGACGGACAGGGTGGTCATCGTCGACTCGAGCAGGCCGTCTACCGCAAGGTCCAATCGGTCTCAGCTCAAGACCTCATATACGACGTACAGTACCTCGACAACAGGAAAGGGTGGTCGGATCAAGTATGGGCGAGGGAAGTATGCCACTACAGAGTTGATTCCACAGCCCAGTGATGACCCTGACGATCCCCTGGTAAGTCCGTTGCCGTGAGTAAGGACCGAGCCCTACTGACGTCAAACAGAGCTGGTCGATTTTAAAGAAAGAGCTCAACCTGTATGCTCTGCTGACGACTGTGGCCATTTGCAACGTCATGAAGACAGCATTGATCAGCGTGAACGAGGATTTGGCGCGACAGTACTCTGTTTCTTACACAGCTGTGGCAGCACTTACAGGCGTGCCACTCATGCTCTCGGCCATTACGGGACTGGCGAGCTCCATTGCCGCCAGAATATGGGGAAGGAGACCAGTTATTTTGGCATCTATGGTCGTATTATTCATCGGTTTGGTGTGGAACACCAGGGTGACCACAAGTTACGGACAATTTATGGCAGCTAGGATCTTTCAGGGTTTCGGCTGGGGCGCCTTCGATACTTTGGTGGTTGGGTCAATCATCGACACCTACTTTGTAAGACCTCGCGAACTCAGTCCTCTTCTCCCTGTTTCTAACAAAACACACACAGGAACATGAACGCTCCACCAAACTTGCCACTCATCGTATCGTCTCAGTGGCGACCCTCTGGGGCCCACCTCTAATTGGAGGAGTCACCTCCCAGACCAAAGCCGGCTTCAGCCTGCAGTTCGAAATTCTCGCCGTCTTCCAGATCGTCTCAATCCCCTTGCTTGTGCTGGGCGCTCCCGAGACCATGTTCGACCGCACAAACGCGATGCTCAGGACGCCCACGACGGGATGGTCTACCGCTGCGGGGAGCAAGTTCCCTCTATGGGCGAGGAGGAGATTCAGCAAGCAGACAGTCATCAATTATGTCAAGACGGTCGCCAGGCCCGTGTCGTACCACGGGCCCTCGGAGGGTGTCATCAGCAGGGACGTTCTCCTCCAAGCGCCCCGCGCGATGGCCGCACCGACGACCGTCCTCGCCTTCATGGCCTCATTCCTGCCCTACGCCCTACTTTGGGGCTTCTCTGCCTCCCTTTCGGGCCTATTCGTGCCCGCGCCCGCCTCGCTTTCCCCAGCGACCATCGGGCCCCTCCTTGCATTTCCTTTCACTCTCTCCACAACCGCCGTCGCGGTTTTCGGGCTGTGGCCGTCATGGTCTAACACGATGACGGCCTTCAAGACCCGATCAACTCATATCTATGTCCTCGGCGCCGGTTCGGCGCTATCCTTTATCGGGATTCTAGGCTTCGGCCTCTACGTTTCTAATAATAATGCTTCTACCCTCCGCTTCTCAGCGGTCAGTTTTCTCCTGGGCCTCCTTGCAGCGGGGGCCTACATCCTCGATGCGCCAGCGAAGCCCCTTCTCAAGCGCTCCGCTCAGTTCACCTCGCCGAACCTGGCCATCTCGTTGCGCAGCATCGCGGATATGGACGCCGGGCTGACTGTCTGGCGGGCCCTATTCGCGGGCATCTTCGCCATGGCGATTCCCTCCGCCATTGTGGGGCCATCCTCCGCCGCCGGGCTGAAGGGCACCGGGATCGGCGTCTCTGTGGTGCAAGTCCTCGTGGCAGCCGCTCTGGCTGCTGTGTGGTGGATGTATGAGGAGAATATTCGCAAGTTGGACGGGAGGACGATGGCATGCAGGGTTGACTTAACCTTTTTGAACAACCGGGCGAGCATGCAGGGGAGCTTTTTCGAGACGGAGGACTGAGTCTATCTTTCACTTCATTCGCTCGTTTATTAGGGGGATACAATTGAGGTTGCACGTTGAAAACTTATGATACCAAGAACTATATACATACGTTTCTGTGGGTTGCGGGTCACAGCGATCTTTGAATACAAAGTATTGGATAGTATATAATCAACTCTCCCAAACTTTCTTCAAGTTTTAAGCAAAACCTGCAATTTGGGCACTCAATCAATGTTCTCCATTTAGTAAAAGAGCTATCGAATTAGCAAAAATGTTTCGAAGGGGTACGAGATAGTCTTCACGAATACCCTTTTTTCCATTTTTTTTTTTTTCCAATGATAGTCTGTGAATTTGAATCGAGATGCTTGGGGTATCTCATCGGATTGTTCATACTTGAATTACTTGCAGTCCTAGAGGCTCCTTCTAATTGGGGTCTCTAGTCACCCATCCGCTACGATAACGATCTCAGAACAGAAGCAAATACTGTCTAGCATTTGGTATTATCCAAATAGAACTAATCCACTTCTGCGAGCCACTTAGCCCATCGCATTGTCACAGTTCTTAGCGGTTGACAAGCTATTTCAAGAAATTTATGCGAGCTAAGAGGACAGCCATTGCCGGATACTATTCCAGAAGAAAAGAAAAATGCAGCATCGGCCCGAAAGTCTGGCCAGCAAGATCGAACATTTCCCATTGATGCATCAATATGCATCAACATGTACCAATAGCCGAATTGTCATACTACCGTGATTCATCTCCTTCCCAATGGTGATATTGGTCTTTCCCAGAACAGAGCTACTCAGATGAGACATGTCTCGGCAGCCATGCATGAGCTCTCATGTTTCTAAACGGAGATCTGATTGATAGCGCATTTAGTGAGGCTCAACTAAGCTTCAATCTCACGCATTACCATGGATCCTTGCCAAGCTGTTTCGGTGAACTCAATCGAGGTGCTAATGAATAGACTTCCGGGATCACGACGTCGTGACCCACAAGAGGACGACACGTGCTGAGTGGACGACGAGCGACTCTTCCCAAAATTACACAATGGTTCAGAATTGACCATCAGATAGGCTTTGATCTGATACTGCTCAGCGTGGTGTAATGAACAACCATTTGCATGTGTTAATTGTCTAGCTATCACTTTCCCCGTCCAAGTGTGGGGAACTTCGTCTTGCGCAAGTCATATTCAAGAGTCTCTAAAGAGAGATTGAATGAACATCATAAAAGGCTGCTCTTTGTCTTTTAAATAGATAGCACTCTCCTGTACACCTGGTGTCAATCAATGTCGATTCACACTGAACTCAGCGATATGCGCGGGCAACATCAAAACCCCGAACATTATCTCTGATTCCTATTCATTTTATTACCAATGTCCCAAGGAAATCGCTTCTGTCATTCTTTAGCTTGATGAAGCGCTCAATCTTCGAAATGGTGCATGAATAATTATTTCCAAAATGCCACATAGCTGCCAGATGGGGGCGCGAATGCGTTCAAACTGCTTGTGACAGGGCGCACATATGCGCCCAAGCTCTTGAGATCGCTTGTTGGCATTGACCTTGGAGTCCGCGTCTACCTAGACAATTTGCAAGCATGGAAGCTTTCCATGTGTGGGCGACATTTGCATGAGAGATAGCGAAATCCCGCAAGCTCTTGGTCCAAGGACTAGGCTCCCAGCATGCAACTTCCTCGCTTTTCTTCCTTGATTATATGGAAACGTGATTGAAGCAACAGATGTGAATGTCTTGCGTTATGAGTTAAGAGGTGTCGGTGAACCACGCCGTATAAATTATAAAAGGTACCCAGATGTTCGTAGTCGCCAACTTGGAACAGTCACGCTTCGGCCAAATTTGCCACACTTACTGTCCCTGAAAGGTGATGGGAATATCTGGTCATGACCTTGAATTTACTGCAAATAGCTAGTGCCAGAGAATCTATAGTAGACAGGGCAGTAAAAGATTGGCCCTCCTCCTCCCCGCACATTTCCCCAGCTTTGCTCCCCCAGATTGGGAAACATGCGGGGAAAGCTTGATGGCGGAGATTTGGAGCAATTGAATGGAACAAGGAAGGTTAGGGGGAACCTGGGGTACTGCACAATCTGATAGAGCCGGAGAAATGTCTTTGATCATTTTCCATCAATAACAGAAGAGAATTGGACTTATCTCCTGCAGCTACGGGTCCGAGGCGTCGAGCCAAGACGGTTAATGGAGCTGGCCCGGCCCATATGACAACATTTTCTAAGAGGGTTAAAGTGACGACTCTATTTCATGAACTACTGCAAAAGAAGTTCGATGACCAACCCCTCGAAGAGTCGACATGTCACGGAGGGATTTTGCCTCGGGTCGTCTTGATAGGCGGGATCTTGCTTCGTCAAATTCCCGTTGCTAAGATTCCGTTGGCTGACCACTGCAGGGTATTTGCAGACGATCCTTGATTATCTATGGGGAAACCGACGATGCAGCCCATACCAGGTATTTGGAGTCGGATGGGGTATGGGCAACATGCGTTTACCCACGATGTGACCACGTTCCTGGCTGATCTCGTTCGGCCCAGACCTATGAGTGCAACATCTCTACCAAATACAAAAAGATAGCTCTCGACCCGATAATCTAGTTCACCTCATCCTCACCGTCCTTGCCCAGGTGACCAATCTGGTGACAATCAGTGACAATATCTTTTCTGGGCCTCAGACGACTACACCAACATGAAGCTCGCCACCGTGACAGCCGTCTTCACAGCGGCCGTCCTCGCGGCAGCCAGCAATATCGCCCTGCCTGCAGGTGTCCCCCGGTCGATCCTGGAATTTAGAGAAAAACACCCATACAAGCCGTCGAAGCCCTCAGGAAATCATGGCAAGAGACGCGTCGTAACGATCCGGTCCAGTCGCAACGACACAGATGACGTCTCCTCAGACTTCAAACAGGCCCTCCAGCGCGCCAACCATGGAGGAACGCTCTATTTGCCAGCCAACGAGACCTTCATCATCGGCCAGCCCTTGGACCTGACCTTCCTCGATGACGTCTATGTTCATCTTGACGGGGAGATCAAGTTCACCAATGACACTCCTTACTGGCAGAGCGTTGCCTTTACGCACCCATTTCAGAAGACGATTATGTTCTGGAAATGGGGTGGCAAGAATATCAAAATCTACGGCGAGGGTACTCTGAATGGCAATGGGCAGAGATGGTGGAAGTAGGTGCTCATCTCCAAGGCCATATCACCCGTAATGCCTGATTCGAAAATTCAAAAAATTTCCAGAAAAAGGAGGCTCTTGCGGCGAGTGGTTTTCCACATTTGCTAACGAACAAATGAATAGTGAGTTTGCTGGACTGGAGGTTCTCGACCCCAGTAATACGTACCTTCGTCCCGTGCTATTCTATGCCCAGAACGCCACTGGTCTCTCCATCGAGGGAATTCACATGAAGGACTCGCCATGCTGGACGAACTTTGTGGTGACTTGTAAGTTATCTCCTTGCAGTATCATATAGCTGGTCGGGGCCGGGGGGGGGGGAGACCCGCCGATGTGATCAGTTAGTTTCATCATCGACCTGCAGGCTGACGACAGGGACAACAGCGTCAGAAGTATCATACAGCGATGTGATTATCACCGCCGAATCCAACAATGCCAGCGCCCTGCCAAAGAACACCGACTTCTTTGACTCGCTCAACGTGGAGCACTTGACGGTCGAGCGGACGTGGGTGAACATTGGCGACGACTGCTTCAGCCCCAAGTCCAATGCGACTGACGTGCATGTCGACACAATGTACTGCAACGGCACTCACGGCCAGTCCATGGGATCCATCGGGCAGTACGCCGGCGAGAAGTCCATTATCGAGGACGTCGTCATCGAAAACATCTGGATGCTGAACGGCCAGTTCGGCGCGCGCCTCAAGTCCTGGGCTGGACCTGATGTTGGATATGGATATATCAACAATGTTACGTTCAGGAACTTTTGGAACGCGAATAATGAGTACGCGGCGTACCTGGATTCTTGCTATTTCAATGTGAGTGTTTCCCCCTCAACTACCATCTGCTGCCAGCTTGTGATGAGCAGCCTCGCTGACAGCGCGCACAACGGCAGATCAACGCAACGACATGTGCGGCGTACCCTTCACAGGTGAACGTAACAAACGTCCATTTCGAAAACTTCTCGGGCTACACGTCCGGGAAGTATGGACGAGCGGTCGCTTCCTTGACATGCAGTTCCAACCCGAACGCGATCTGCGAGAACATCACCTTCAAGAACTTCACCGTGACATCGCCATGCGGCAATGGAACTGCCACTAACGCAGTGGTCATATGCGACAACATCAGAGGAGACGTCGGGGTAGACTGCGTCAGCTCGAACAGCACGGAAGCGATCGCGGCCAAGGCAGATAAATGCAGTGTGCCATTGGCGACATTACCGGAGGCTACGCCGTGGGTGAGATAGCAGCCGTGAAGATGACTTGATCTAATGATGGATCTGGGTGCATTTAACCTTTCTAGAAAGAGGATTTGCGATTCCAAATCTCGTGATAGACTCGAGGGGAGGAGTCATACAGGAACTAAGAAGGATTCCTTGACTTTCCTATTCGGGAACACGAGGTCGCGGTGTCGGTCATTCTGACAGATACGAAAAAGCTCTTAGCCGGAACTTAGAGAAATTAAAAAGGGGCCCATGTGTTTGTGGCTTAACCTATTTCAAGCCGGCTGTCAGCGCTAATACATGCATTGCATGCCCGTCCATGCAGCGACAATTTCAACGCCACGCCGAAGAATTTGACATCATGATGTGGCAAGGGAGGCTTTCCGTATTTGCTTTGCTTGTTTGGAAACGTATGATTCATTGGATTTGTGGTATCTGTGGTAACAATCCCTCCCGAGCATTTCTTCAACCCGATGTAATCAACCTGTAACGTTCTAGTCAAGCCATTATCGTAACAAACATCCCAAGTGGTATAACGGCGCTTGGCCAAATTAGAGGGCGACAGCAGCGCCAAGAACACCGGCCAGAACAGCACCCATAATTCCGACCTCGCGCATCGGGGCACCCGCCGTCGCTGCTGATGAGGATGCAGAGCCGGTAGCTGAGCTGGTGGAGCCAGACGATGCAGACTTGGTGGCCGTGCCGGTAGAGGAGCCAGACGCTCCGGATGCGGAGCCTGTCGCAGAAGAACCGCCCGTAGCTGAAGCCGAGGAGCCGGAGCCGGTGGCGGTGGCCTCGGCACTGAGGCTGGAGGTGCAGACCTGGACCTCGGAGGCGGCGTCCGCGTACTGCGGGCACGCTGACAGGGCGCTGAGCAGCTCGGAGCTGCTGGCCGAATACCATGAGAGGACGGCATCGGTGTAGCTGCTGTACTGGCTGGTGAGGGAGGATGGGACATCGGTGATCGAGCACGGGTCCGTGTCGGTCTGCGACTCCTCCCAGTTCAACAGGTCATCGTCGGGGATGGGTAGAGCGGTGGCGATGGACAAGAGCTCTGCTTGGCATTCTTCATCAGAGGCGCCGCCCGAGGTAGCGGAAGGAGATGTAGAGGAGTCGGTCTGACGAGCGACCAGGAGGTCACGCCTGATTGGGACGTGCGCCGGGAAGATGTTGGCAGAGACGGAGGCGGCCAGGGCCGCGATGACTAGTTGGGAGTGCATGTTGGTTGTTGGGATCGTGGTGGAAAGATAGAGTAGTGATGAGTAGTGGTGATGAATAGCCTGAGGATGTCAAGAGGGCGAGGGGACATTTAATATCTGTCCAAGGCGGCTCCATTCCAGGCCTGGGCTCATGTTTAGATCCATGATCCTGCTCAAAATAATCCAGTGAGGCAGTGATTGATAGGATCGAAATCCTAGAATCGACTACAATAAGACTTCTTGTGTTCTAGCGGCAAAGGTGCATGGACGCCCCGGTTCATTTCGTCCTGGCCAAATCGAGACTCGCGTCAGCGTATGATTGGCGAGGCAGCTGAACGGGAAAAAAGGGGCCCTAACGACGCAGGATTCGAGGACGCCACAGAAGAGGGAAAAGAGCGGCCAGAGGCAAGAGAAAATCGGGCCTCAATGCTGCCAACGAGGGGTCAAGCTGGGCCAGCTTGAGCGTCCTTTTGGATCGTCTGTCTGACTTGCCCTGTTGGATCGTACGTGGGCGGGTGATAGACAGCAGATGAGGCTCATCCTCCTCTCTCAGCCTTACTATAGACAGACGTCTCTTGCATTCTTTGGCCGTGTTGGCCGCTTGGCTGTCTTGGCTGTCTTGGCTGTGGAGACTGGGAGCATCCTTTGCTGGAGCCTGGTGAAGACCAACCGGCTTCGGGCTGTGCAGCCTGGTCGCGCAGTCGCGTTGGCGTCCTAAGTAAACGTAATATTTTCATTCATGCAAGAGGCACATGGGTGGACCCGTTAGAATCCTTCCGGGCCCGGCAAATGCAAACTTAGCAGGCCTCAAATGCTGGTCTCGCTGGCGGAAGGCCAAGCTATCCAAAGGAAGCTAGCTTGGCGCAGTCAGAAAATGTGCGGATTCCGGCAGCACGGCCCAGACTGGTGTTGCATTCTGCCCTCGTCGCCGTATACTCGACCTTGACTACTGTCGTGCCAGAACAGTGGCCGATATATACCGGAGGACAATGATACTCCCCCAATCAGGAGTAGTTCGGCAGGGCCAAAATGAATCTTTTTCTTCCAAGCATATAGTGTGAGCTTGTCCAGCCGAGGAAAAATTAGAGTTTAGACAATGCACCCACCGCAGAAATTCTCGCCATCATCTAGCATAGTACAACATTTGCACTCCTTTTCCACCCGGCAATCTATCCCATATGAGCAATAGCAGCTCTGCAAAACAGCTGGGAGGAGCAAAATGAACCACTTCCGGAGCCAGAACAACTCTCTATTGGGAGGTACAAATGGCAAAATAAATGGCTGACCTCACCCGGTCTCGAACCGGGGACCTTGACGGACCGTTATAATGAGGTTACAACAGTTTGGAATTCATCTATGTGAACGTCACGTGATAACCACTACACCATGAGGCCTTTTTTTGGGCTCATAACCATTCTTGTCCTGCTACAGAGCCCCGACCCTCATATATGCAAACCTTCGAGAACCCCGCCCCCTAAGTAAGGCAAGCCCGCCAGGCGCCCATCAGGGTGCCTAAAAAAGGTCCAGCTATTATATTTAAAGTTATAGCCTATTTATAAAAATAACCTTAATATTAAGGTTCCCTAATATATTAGCAATAAAGGCATTTACTTATATCCTATAGCTACAACTACTATCTATTTACCTTGTATTAGGCTGTAAAGTTTATAAGGTTATCTAATATATTGATAGATAATATACCCAACCCCTGTTTTAAATAACTCTCAAATAACCTTAATCTCGAGGTTATATGCTTAAACTAATAATACATCCAATCTTATCCCATAAATACAATCCATTTACTTCTAAGCTATAAATAGCCTCAGAATTTCAAGGCCACTAGGTATACATCCAAATATACCTTATTAACATTATCTATCTACTATTACTGCTAAGTGGTCTATACAGTCACGCCTCTTTAGTGGCCTTACTACTAACATACTGGCCCACAAGGAACTATTAACAGATCAGGTTACACTTATAGCCCAACGCACATAAGAGAATTGCCCTACCTGTATATATATCTGGATAAGCCAGTTAGTGTTTAGCTAAGAAAGCAGTATCTTATAGCCCTGAAAGTAATAAAAGGTATCGGCGTCAGCCCCGTAGGCGTCTGGCTTGCCTGAAAGCTCCTGTAAGGGACGCTATTGTTAGTAGGATAGCGTTAGGCAAAACTAAAATAGGGAACACATAATCCGCTGCACTTACTACCTCCTTATTATCCAAGGGCATATCAGCCGCATTCTCTGCGCTAGGGGCAGCTTATACAGAGCCATTGCGCCGGGGATTGCTGTATTGGATTTTAATTTAGGCTTCGGCCTCCTTAAGAAACATAAACACCTTATCCTACAGGGTGCCATCCTTCTTATCTGCCTTCTTAATAGCACCTAGGAGGCGTAGGAAAAGTACTTTATATAGCTAAACTCCCAGCTTACTTCCCATTTCGCTTTCTAGGTAAATGTCTATTATACAAAGGCTATTATAGATAATTACATACCTTAAAAAAGTATGCTGTGGGTCGATACCAATATCCAGTACCTCTTAGGTTTTCTCTGCAATACGCATATCCTGGTACGGTGCCCAGCCTAAAAAGGTGTGGAAGTTGTTGTGGATATCGCCATCGTTCATCTCCTGGTCGGCTTATGCCATTATAATGTTGCTTAGGCCTTTATATCTTCCTGCAACTTAGTGGGGGTTAGTTTTATAACTTACAAAGAGCCAAGTATGATAGGCCTTACCTGGGAGACCGTTGTAAATGCGAAGAACTTATTATAGTCTAGGTAAAAAGTGATAACGCTAACTATATATAGCCTAATATAAGAAAGGCGAAAAGCAGCTGTAAACGCAGTATAGGAGGAATAGCAACCCTACTTAAAAAAGTAACCCCTAGGCTACAGCTTCCAGGCCGCTTCTTTATCCCCAAACCTGTAGATATATAAGCAGCATAAATCTACAATTGTATGCACAGAAGGACTTTCTTATTATGGGAAAAGCACCTATTAATATACCTCCTAACTATATTACACTCTCTTTCAGCCCAAAATAGCTATATCGAAATCCTTTTCAATATAGCCTTAAATTAATTATAAACCTTTTTATCCTATATTTTAACAATTCAACATAAAAATATAGAAAAAGCTTAAGTGGATTTAAAGTTGGAAACTAGTTTCCTAAAAAGGGTCCCTTTCCTTAAGCTACAATGGAACCCCCCTCAAAATACCAGGGATCGCTTTCTCTTTTCGGGATAATAGCTGGCTAAGGACTAGTCCCGCTATTTTCTTTACAGAGGTCCTATCATTCTGTTATCTTAAAAATCTTAAAAGTATATATCTTTTCACAAAACAGGGTGGACTTCTAAAGCTAAAATCCGAATTCAAAGAAAGTACGGTAAGCTCAAGTCTATATTTCAACCTTAACTTAAAGGGTGGTAAGATTAAACCTCGTCTCAGATTAAAGGCAGCGAACTCCAATATAGTTTTCAATTCAAGGGTAGTAAACTTAGGCTTGAATTAAGAGGAGGGCAGAAAAGTTGTATCTAAGCCTAAAAACGATCAAGTAGAGCTTATACCTGAACCTAAACAAAGGTTCCGATGGTAGGTACTTTAACGTACATTGGAGATATCAATCAAAATAAGTCTTACCTAATAATCGCCCAAGTCTAATCAACCCCGCAACCATTCCAGTCAAAATAGATGTTAAACAATCAAAAAGGAGGGACCTCCCGGAGAAGGAATTACTGTTGAATGTATTTGTAGGAGGGGGCGCTACTTAGGTATATTGAGTTTACAGTGGTACTTTCTGTAGACGATATCCTGCACCGAGTCGGGTTGCAGCCAAACTTTACAAAACCAACCACAAAGCTATCATTTATCCTGCTAATCCAAGGGTTTCAAAGATAGCCGGCAATAAGAATGTTATTTAACTCCCAAATTCTTGTCCAACTAACGACTAAACATCAAAAACCTCCACCATTAGCTCCTAAACCTCCCACAGGTATCGGACCCCCAATCGTGTGGAAGTTGCCAGTTCGCCTGTCCTAGGCTACTTACCTTCCCCCATGTCCAGTTCCAGAGTCTTGCCCCCCGTGAGAATGTAATACAGCACGAGAAGCAATTTCCGCGCATTGATAAGGGCCCGGTGGTGAGTAGACTTTAGAGGAGAGTTTGGGAAGAACAGATAAAAAAGCGTCTGTAAATCCGCCGGGCCGCGATAGCCTGCCATCCGCAGAAGGTCGTTGCCGCGAAGGTATATGTCTGGCACGCTGCGATCCCCAAACGTATGCCTTAGCGCACGCCAGTCCCAACCGTTTGTAGACCACTCAATCATAAGGCTATCCTTAAGCTCAAGAGCAATTATTTCCTTCTTAGCAGCTCCTAATAGCATGCCTTTAGTTTTTTGCATAGTGTCTGAAACACTGTAAATCCTGCATGCGTACGCCATAAGTTGTTCTGGAATTCCCTTGCATAGCTCCGAGATCGTCTTATCTCCGTGTTGAAGTGTTGTATTCAGCTTGACCACCCCCTTGGCGTCCGCGACGGCTAGCTCAAAGATTAAAGGGTTTCTTGGCTGGTCTTCTGCGACATTTATGAGGACTGTCTCCGTATCGACAACATAGACGGCCTTCCCTGCCTTGGGGCCATCCTCTATCATGCGTAAAACGTGACCCCATATCGGATGCTTATCCCAGGAAGTGCGGATAGCACCAAGCCCAGACGCCCACTGCGCTGCATCAGCTGGTGACACGATCTCCCACAGGCTCGCGCGTTTCCGTGGGCTGCTGCGGCTTCCAGAGGGGTTGTTAAGGCGCCGCTGTGCTGCCTTTAGCCTTGCTTCCTGCCTTGCCTGGGCGTGCTCCTGGCAGTCAGTGCTGTCTACAAGGAAATTCCGGCAGTTGCGCGCAACACACATACGGCTGCCATCAGCATTATACTTGCAACGTTTCTGCCACTGAAATAAGCGCTTCTGTCTTGCTTCGCAACGGAAGCATGAAGGAGGCCATGCCACAGCAAGCCTGCCCCTTTTAGGCCTGAAAATATACTCGAGTTTGACAGAGTCGAGGTCCAGCGTTGCTTCGTACGGGCAAGGGACGTAGCCGTGCGTAAACGAGAAGCCAGGGCATAAGGAACTGCGGAACGAATTGATTGATATGTTTGCGCGCTCCAGCACGGACTGGTTCCTCTTCCCTATCTCGCGCGCCAGCGCCTGGCGGACCAGCTCGTGCTTCACGGCCAGGGCCTGCCGCTGTGTCAGTGTCCGTCCATAAGGCAGCTCAGCTCACCACGAGGCCTCCTTCCACCACATACCTGATCGTCCGCCACGTCTCTCAATTGCGCGTTCACCTCGGCAGCGAGGCGTCCAAAGTATTCCTGCTCGCAGGCGTCAGCGTAACTCGGATGGGGATCGGGAGGGGCGCGCACCTCATGCCCTTCAGCGACGCAAGGCACGTCATCTTCCGGAACGTCGTCATCATCACCGTCATCGTAATCATAATCGTAATCGCCGTCGCCGTCGCCACCCTCACCAACATCAAAGGACCTGTGGTCGTCTGCGGTATCATCACCAGGGCCTGTAGCTTCACGCCGAAGGCGATAATGAACGAGCACGTTCAGGGACTCGAGATCCTCAAGATACTGTGCGGCTGACCCGGGAGTGGGATTCGTATAGGTTGAAAATGGGATGCCCCAGCTAGCGTCGCGCACAGCATCGGAGATAATCCTATTCGGATCACCTGCGATCTGGCCGCCCCCGTAACCAAGAGGATTATTAGGTAAGGCATCCTCGTGACACTAAACAATATATGGCTTAGTTGTGTCTGGGTAAGTGGTCTTGCCGAGCCAGATGGGGTCGTAGTGGGCACCACAGACGTGCATAGCGGCAGCAATGTGCCTGGCGAACGTGTGCCCGCATCCTTGACAAGTGCTCTCCCACCCCGTTTCGTTCTGCAGATCGAGCTTTCGCTTGCCATCGCATTGTCTCCCTGCAGCTGTAAGATGGTAGTCCAACGTCTCGTAATTGAAGCCCGGAGTTTTGCAAAGGGGGCAGTAAAGTGTGCTGTCCGTGTCTGGCTCCCAGCCGGCGTGTACAGCCTCTCCTCGGCAGTGGGATGGGTGCCTTAGCTTTTTGTTCCTCCCTGACGCCCTTGACCGATATGGCATGCCGCACGAGTCGCATGAGGAGATGATGCCCTCGGGAAGGGTGGATGGGCAATCGTGTTTCAAGGATAACAGCTGACAACAGCTCCCGCAGCAACGCAGGCCCTCGTACGTGTAAAAGACGTTGTTGATCTCGCAGACCTCAGGGAGGATGTGCACTTCTTCATACGTTTTGTTATGCTTCAGTTTACAATCGAAGTTCTGCAGTGTTAAGTCAGCATTTGGGTACACTCCAGCGAGAACACAGAGGCGCTCCCGGGTGCCCTCGTCTGTGCCCACCTGTGTAATGACCTCCTTGGCCGCTGGTACCCCAGAGGGCGGCATAGCGCTTTAATGGCGAGCATACTGGCTTCTGATTATTGCTTTTCTGTGTAAATTATTTCCGTCAGGCTAACCTGCCTGGTTTATTCTGCGAAGTGGCACTACTGTGGTAAGCTCTACAATCCATAACCCCTTGGGCTGGAGGGTTAATCTGGACGGTAGAGGAGGAAGAATAAGCAGGGGCAGGGTGTAAGCAAAGTCTTACTAGAAAACAACCGTATCATATGCAAAGCAGCATCTTGCACCAACCGACATTGTCGTTTGTACAATAATTATTGCCAGGCGAACAGTGGTCTAAATAGCCTGTTTGGCCGAGGCTTTCGCAGCAGAGAGGGAATGTGCCTAAGGCAGGCAAGAGTCTAATTCAGATGAACGTCTGTCGCACGGTGTCGGCCTAAACCAGGCAGAATTCTACAAAATGTGCCAAAGGGCAGGGAGCCCAGACCTCAAGATAGTGTCCATATGAGATGTGTTGGCTGCAGATGGGCTTGGCTATGATTGACAACGGTCCAATCTCTTGCTCGTGGACGTACCGCAGTCCCACTCGCTGTCCCTCACAAGCGAAGTGATGGCCCGTTTTGTCGACCTCCAATTCCGAGCACACACTGTTCAACCCCTCAATTTTTTCGAACTTTTGAAAATGAAATACGTCTGAAGAATGAATACTGAATAAAAAAAATTGATTCGTCAAAAAATCATCAAATAAAGTCTACATATCGAGTAAATATCTAATGAAAGCGTGAACGGAAGTGAAATTACAGCAAAGGGGGCGGCATCACTTCGCTTATAGAGTAAAGCGGGCTTAGCGGGCGGCCCTATATAGTCGGCAAAGGCAATAGCAGTCTAACTACAAAATAAAACCTGCATACGTTCATATAGCTACTCCGCGTACAAGTCTCCCTAGGTTCCAACAATAACACTGCTGGTAACCGCGATAGCATTCCACGCGCCCACCGCCAACGCCTCTACACGGCTTACCACCTAAAGAAAGAACAGTATAATAGCACGGGATGCGCCATCCCGCTGCCAACTGGCTGGTCCTGTGCCAGCTGATGGCGTCTCTAGGATAGACACTTTCCCCACCCATTCCCCACCTGTTCTGACAGCCTGTCCAGCGGGTCGCCACTTTAGCTGATATGGTGTAAGCGTTCAGCGCACAGCTGATGGCAGTCGTCCTCCTCTAACGTCCCCAACCTGAGCCTGGACTCACATCCAGTCGGCCCTTGCGTGGTGTTCAGGGTGTGCTGACGGCCGAGCAGCCCATGCTGAATAGGAAGACCCGAGGGGTTTCGCGGACCAGGGATACCGTTTTGCTGTAACCCCGAGGTGCCTGTCGACTCAATCAATCACGGCCCTGGTCGTGCGATTGCTGATTGGGGAGATGCCAGAGTCACTTTGGTCGGCGAGACGCGTGATCAAGCACCACTGGCCACTACAAATGCAGCCCTCGGGAGCAAGCCGACCTGGCCGCTAGTCTTTTGGCCACGGTTAGGCCGGCGACCCTGTTCCGCCCTGAGGGCTGCTCAGTGCTTTGGTCGCCAATTGGTGACGGGCAAGCTGGTCCGGCACCGCGCGCTCTGAGGGAGGTCGAGGCGGAAGGCTTGACCTGATGAGGCGGGGTTGCTAGCCGCGCCAGGGGCGTCGTCGTCGACAGGCGAGCCCACTTCCTCCTCTGGCCGAGCCCACAGGTATCGCGGTACAGGCACGGCTTCACCGACTTCTCCGCCAAAAAATGTTGCGCAGAGGTTCACCATAAGAGAACGCCAATCCCTCCGTGCCTTGTATTCGTCCTCGGGGGCCGGCTTACGCATAAAGATCTCGTGGAAGCCACCCTGGGTGTCCTTCAGGGTCACGATGTTCCTGCGCGCGACCGGGTCTGGTATGGAATTGTCGACGTCCTGATGCCAGTGGGCCTGATCGGTCATCTTGAATCGGTACTCTCCGCTGCGGCTTAGGCTCTTGATCCGATTGACGGAGCCGAACATGTTGCGGCGCCAGCGAACGAGGTTGGAGCGCGTGGCGTGGTAGGGTTTGGCGAGGGGGAGGAATGTCAGATTGTGCTTGCGTCCTTCCTTGTCGAATACAAAGGCCTTGCCAGACGCTATCACATTGTCGGCCCATGTGGTCTGACCGATGTGGTAATTACCAGCGTATGGCTCCTGTAGGTAGGCATCCCGCCGGCAGGGCCGATATTTAGGACTGTCGCTGTCTTCATTGCACAGATCACACTATCAATCGTACAAATGATTAGAATCGTGCGCTGCTGCTGCATCTATAAGCTGGCTGAGATTGCTTTACCTTGAAGAGGACGTTGTTGTCCTCTCGGGGTGCAGGCAGCCCTGCCTTCGCGTTGAAGCCAAGGGCTCTCAGCCTGTGGCCCCTCGGACCATGTCGGACCATTTTGAAGGGCTGGTGATATGAGAAGTGGTATGGCACCGGCTGATGCAGACCAAAGATCTTATAATGGAAGTGCACGCACACGCAGTCTCAAAGGCCCGGCTTGATCGAAGTTGCAACTCGAGTCAAGCCGGAGGGCTGAACGAGTTCGAGGCAACTGCTTTATACGGCAGGCCAGGCTGCTGCCTGTCGAGCTGCACCAGGGTGAACTCGAGCTTGGACTCGAGCTCGAGGCCGAGCCTGGGTGGGATCCTGAACCCGAGCGACGGCGCTGTGTCCTGTCCCATTCGGTGTGTGCTTTAAGCACGCACGTACGAGTTGGTTACCAACCATTCTGCGTCTGCCCGTCAGTTCGTCCCAGGCCCTGCCTCGCCCTGCAATCAGTTCTTGGGATAAAGGTCAGAACGCCTGCTTAACTATCGAGAGAAGAAGGGTTCTCATTTGAGGAAATTCCCAACCTAGAGGACAGTAAGAGAGAGGGATCGGGTCCATTAGGTAGCTACGTCGATAAGCCTCGCAGCGCTTGTTTATTATTAAGTCTGAAGAACGATGGGGAATATCTAATCAATATTGCAAGCTTTTAGAGAGGGTAGACTCTATAGATGCGACTGTCCCTTTGCCTGATACGGAGGTTTAGCAATGCCGTAACTGTGCAGGGATACTGTAATCTCGGAGTTAAATACCCCAATAGTAAGGTTGCTCACCTCTCTCTTTAAAAATATGCTACAGGCTGTTTGCCAATTTTTACAATAATCTAAGCTGTTACAGAGCCACTCTAGTCCCCAAATCAAGGCCAATATACCGTAAGCCGCCAACCTCCCTAAGAAGGGAACAAGAGGAGAAATGATAAAAGTAGCACAAAATAACCAAAAAACCCAGCCATGCCTAACATGCTGTATAAAGCGACACCAGAGGCAGTGTACCAATCTATGCCCACAAGCCAGCCCAACATCCAAGTCAATGTCAACCTGCCGTAGGCTCCCACACTCCAGGGAAGCAAACCAGAGAAGACTTAATGAAAAGACCAAAATATGACCGAGAGTCCCACCCATGCTGAGCGTATCACCGCAAACCTTAGCAGGCACATATCCATCAGGTTTAGGGGACTTGTCCTATGTGTACCCTGGCTGGTTGTATCTCAGCGCCCCAGCGACAAGCATAGTAGCCCCTCAGTTGGAGCCAGACAGGGGACCCCGAAGCCTCTCCCTCTCCTCCTCTGTCTGCTTGATGAACAGGTTCGCCGCGACTGCCGGGTGCGGCCTGCCGGCATACTCGTTCGGGTCAAACGGTGGTCCACCGTTGTTCTGCCAGCGGAGGCCGAGTGGGTATTTAGCAGAGTATCTTGTGGCGCGGCTCTGGACGAAGGCCCTGAAAGGCCGGTCCCGCGGGCCGGTGAGCTGCCTCTGGATATCAAGAGCGCTCTTACGGGCAGGCATCCCAGATACAACTAGCATCGACCTGCTCGGGTTCGGATTGTCCAAGAATAGCCGGGCCTGGTAGGTGTTCAGAAAGGCATTGAAGAATGTCACCAGGGAGCCCTGCTACTCGCCAGAGGATCCTGGTCCAGCGTCCTTACCGTCGCTGTTAGGCATATCGGCCTCAGCAACAAAATCATCGTCACTGCAATCGTCGCGCCGTCAGCGTTTTGCAGCTGGAAGTGGCTCATCATCGCTCTCGTCTTGTTGTGGAAGCGGCCTCTGCCTTTTTGCTTCTTGTCTCGTTTTTTTCGGCGCCTGAGATGGTGCCGGGTTGTTCCCACGGTGGCAGCCTTTGCCTCTAAGGGCGGCCCGCGATATGGATTTCTAGCAGCGCAATGGTCAGCCGACGGTGCACCTAGGGCTAGCTGTGCGGGAATGTTTCGTGTGACTTACTGACACCGTGAAAGCGACGAGCAAGTCGATAGGCAGGCTGACGTCGGGGCCCGCAATGGCGATGTTCCAGGGCAAGAGCCTAGCGGCCCTGCCTGACTTCTTGTTGCTGAGCTTGATGTGGTCGTAGTCAAGCTGCCGAACGATGTTCCAGTGCTTCCCGTTGATGACCCAGTCCGTCTGGAACGCCTTCCTGAGCCGGAACTCTTCTCCCTCGTAGAGCGCGTCTCCTGCCCTGATACCAAACTCCGCAAGCGCGCGATTTGTATAGTGGGCATTAATCCATTTCAAATCCATGGTAGCCGAACCAAGCTTCTTCTTCACCGCATCAGGCTGAAGGAGCTCCGAGAAGCAGTCGATGATGTTAAACTGCGGCTCGTCGGGGAGCTTGGGCGCGCGATAACGAACAGGGGGGCCTTTGTAGTCGAAAGTGACGTTGTTTTCATCGAGGATCATGCTGGCAACCTCCACAATAGTCTCGCTGATCTTGCTTACCGGCTTCCACCGCTCCCCGAAGTATGCCTCCGCCCACTGGTCCAAGGACGCTTGAGTCTTCCATCTCTGGCGCTGGAACAGCCCTGAGAGGTCCTTCAGCCAGTCGGGCTCGCCCTCGGGCTGGGTGGCTCCCATAAAGTGGATTGCCAGCCTGGCCCTCGCAAGCGCTATGTTCTTTCCCTCGCAGGGCAGCTCATAATGGGCGCACGCATCGATGATTTTGGGGTTCGTGGCGCCAAAAGACGCCAGCATCTGGTGGTTTTGCACGTAGGGCTGTGCAGGGTCCAGGATCAGCTTGGGCCGTGCCATGGTGGGCGAGATGGGTTCAACGACGAGACAAATTTTGGTGCTGCTGATGCGGTAGTGAGGTGATGCAGTCGTGTCGCGACGCAAGTCGTGCCGTGATGCTGCTACCGAGATAGGCACTCGTTTGATTCTGTTGGGAAGCCGCGTGGTTCTAGGCCTCCAGAAGCGCGCCCTAGAAAAAGAGATGCCCTGGTGGGGGAGGAGGGGGGGGGGACAAATACTCGCTGCCTAAGCGTAAAAGCTGGTCGCCTCGACTCGACTCGACCCGAGTCGATGGTGCGTTCCATCGTCTCGATACTGGAGTGCCAGGCGGGAGCACGCCTGGCTTGTTGGAAATTGTGGTGAGGTCGAACTTGGATCGTGCCGCCGTCGATGGCTGCTGTAGCCTGGACTATTGTGTTTCACCGCTGCCGTATCAGCCTGTCAATGCACCTTCGTCTCGACCCAGGCCGCCGCGGGGATTCTGTGCTGCCGCGAGGAGAGTAGGCATGTCGAGACTAATCCCTAGTGGACAGCTGAGGCTTGCTCCCTTCAATGCCTGGTATCCAACGAGCATGCCCCGCGTAGCTGTTAGCGATAGCTTCCGCGGTGGAGACATGAGCAAACCACTCTTCCTTCTAGGAAGCACGCGCTCGTCGATAACAGCGTGGTGTGCTGACGCCCACAGGTTATAATCTGCGTTCGGAGACCTCCAGGCGGTGCCTGTCACTGGAGCTCGGTGAGGGGCGTCGTAGCATCGCCAGAGAACGAGGCTCGAGCCCCTCCTGTCTCTGCGTCCCACGTCCTGGGAGGGAGAACAGACTCGCTCAAGACCCATCGCCTTGTCCCTTGCGCTTCGTCTGACCACCTCCTCCCACGACTGCTGCGGAGATCGTCGCTCACCAGCAAGCAGAGGCTCGCGATCGCCTGGAGTCGAGAACGCCGTGTACGCCTCCACCTGCGAGCGCCAGAACCACTAAGCACCCGTTTGGTCATGACACAAAGCTCATATTCATTTGGGGCTTGTGCTGCATTCCTCGGCAATCTTCGTCCTGGTTGGTTCGGTACCTGCCTGCGCAGCCGTCAAGGCCTCTGACTGTGGGTAAGGTCCTGGGGTGCCGTGTGGTTTGGCCCGCAGAATCGGCGAAAGTATCGCGAGATAGCAGGGATGCGGGGGCCTTGAAGGGCGGATACTTCAAAATCATCGCCTCGGTCGACCAGGCTTCTGTGTGGTCGCTGGTGCTGGACGGTTGTGATGGGTGCTTTGGAAGAGCCCATTGAGTGATTGATTGATTGATTGATCGATTGGGTCGGCGGCGATAACATGGGACGGCGCCAGGAAGGGCTCGATGCCGGCCTGTCGCCACGGTTGCGAATGTCAATTTGGGCCGACGGAATCATACGCGCTTGCCCATCTCGTCGGGGCGGAGGACACGGAGATCGGATTTCGAGATCAACATGGAAGTGTGGGGCTTAATCGGGTGTTTTGACCCAGGCGACTGCGCTTGTACGAGAGTTGTCCTGCGGCTTGTGGGCGGTGAGGATCGGACTGCTGGCACAAACTTTGGGCTGTAGGGGTCTCAGGGCACCAGTGATCCTTTTGATTCAACGAACCCAATTGCAACCGCTGCAACGACCATTCGGAATCGGGCCAGTCCAAGTCATTATATCGCTTTTACATTCGCTTGACAAGACGCATTCATTTCCGTCAGTCTCGGGCAGAGGTGCATCCCCTATGCCCAAGACAAGAGCCAACCACGACCGGATCGCGGTAAGAATGTACAAAGAGCAGCACGGCCTATAAGTCCAAGAACTGGCTGGTGGATTAGCGGCGACTCACTACTCCAAGCGCAGCCCGAACCGGCCGCACGGCTGAACAAGCTTTACGGAACGGGCCGCGGCTTATCCAACCTGTTCACGACAGGTTACATCGCCTGCTCCGCTTATAACCCTGTTAATCTGGATAGAAAACACCTGGGCGTGAAGCCGCGCGGATACCAGTACAAGGGCAGCAAATTTTGTTGCCAGGTTGAGGAATGCAGATGCACATTAGGCCCCTGAGCTAGTTGGTCTCTCTTATTTAACTTGCTTCCTATGCAGACTCCTGGTTTCGAATTAAAGGAATGAAGATGACAGGAGAAGGCGGCTTTCTCCTAATATGCAGTTTGTGTGCAGCACACCAAGTCCACGTGAACATAGCTGCGAGCATAGACGTGATGCTAAGGCGACCCTACCACGATGTAACCCGGATGATAGCAGCGTTGCTGACTGCTGTCCGGCAACGTTAAATCTCGGTAAGAGAGTGCGAAGGCGGGCGGTACCACCTTGATCGCTTACGAGCAGTCGCGAGGAGCCAGCGCAAGATCAAAGCAACCCAGGTTGCACTGTGAGAACACGGCTCCCCGTCCCAAACAGGGCCCCCCGATACACTGAAGAGCACACGTGTAATCCTGGTGGGAGCCGGCCTTAACCGTACTGCCACCGAGGGGGTGACAAGTGTGGAAATAGCGACGGCAACGTCTTTAGGGGCTTCAGAAACACACCGAGACGGCCTCAGAATACTGTAGCGGCTGCGAGTGGGCATGGCAGTGGCAGAAGGGGGCAGTCTCCCAGGACCCCGGCCAAGGGGCAGCTACGAGTTGGAGCAGGCCCGGCTGCTCCCGTGTTGTTTTCCTCTCTGGTTCATCCCTATGTTGATCTTGCCCGATTGCGTAAAAGTGAAAAACAAGATGCATCGATATGCAATAACGATTCCAAAAGCAACTTCCCCTTTCGTTCATCTTCTAACTCCTCCCCGTTTCCAAGCTCTTCTCCAAAATCAGCCCAAGCGTTGCCGTGCCCGAATGTCGAACCGCACGCGCTGTGCTTGCGATAGCAACCCCAAGGAGCGGGCAAGCTATAGACGACTCCCTTATACCGTCTTGTCCCCCAACTCACTCCCATATCCCCGCCCATGATTCAACTCATCTCAACCCAGATCCGCATCCATTCCTCCTGTTGCCCAAACAACAGCGGGCCCAACGAGTTGAAAGGCGGTGAAGAGGTTGTGGGGGGAGGGGGCTGTAAGGGATAGTAAAAGGATAAAGGTATGTACCCATGAGGGTGAAAAGCTTAAGGAGGGGTCAGTACTGATCATCCTCGTTGTCTGCAATAGATGCGACACTATTTCCATTGACAAACAGGAGGATCTCGCCCACAGCAAAGTACTGTCGACCTACTGATGTGAGCTTATTGGTAAAGGCCTCGAGCTGGCTGACGTGTATGCTTTGGGGGCCGGAGCGGCGCTTGCTGGGCGGGCCCTCGCCGAGTTCAGGCGACCCCTCGCGGCCATCATCCCTGCCACGCTTGGGCGGGGTGGGGAGAGGCTGGTCTGCGCCGCCAGGGCCTCCGCTTGCGTCCCCCTGCAGGGCCTTCTCTTGCTCAGCCTTCCGCCGCAAATAGTCCTCCCAGCCGTGCCAGGGCAGTGTCCGCTTGGGAGGCACCTCCAGCTTGCTGCGGATCGCGCGCTCTTCATCCTTGTCTGCCAGCAATTGTATCAATTTCTGATTGTACTTGTCGTTCAACACCCGCTTGTCGTTCTTCTCCCGCTCCTTCATCTGCTTGTTGCCAGAACGCACGTAGTCGTCGCGAGCGATGTGGACCTGGACGGCTTAGCTTGTGCAGGTGAGACGATTTTTGGGGGGTTCTTTTTTTGTGGTCGCTGGAGAGGGACGGGGGAGGCTTACGAGCATCGCGACGGCCACCAGGTCCGCAAAGGTGGTTCCCTTGACCATGTTGCCGGGCAGCTTGCCAAGACCGTACTTGTCGACCACGTTCTGCTTCGTCATGTACTTTAGGTCGCCTGCGTTGAAAGTCCTCATCATGTCGTCGTACAGGTGATGGCCGATGCCGATGCCGAGGTGCTGAAGGGCGTGATGAACCATGGCCGACTCGTCGTGCGGGTCCAAATCGGGATGTTTGGGCTTCCATCCCGTCTTCTTGGCCTCCTCAGCCATGACCTGCGCATCGAGCTTGAAAATGGTTCCCAGCTTCTCGAAGACGCCTTTAGGCAGCCACCACTGCGGGTCATCGTGTCGGATGCAGTCCAGCGCCTCCTTAAGGTCTTCGGCGCTGTTGGGAATATTCGCGCTCATAATGGCGGGTAGTTGGTATTTGCCTTAATGCTACACAAACGGATGCTAATCAAGGAGACAAGGAATTGCAAGGCAGCCCACGCGCGGGCCCTGGTATTAAGGATTCCCGGCTAGCCCTCTGGCCTTCGCAAAGAGCTGCTTTATTAGGGGCGGATAAAGGCCCGAGGACATGCAGCGCATGTCTCGTTAGTATCATCGTCAGCCCTAATTGATTTTCTAGACCTTTTTGCTTGTGTATGGCATAGAAGACAGTAGTCTTAGCCGTAGCATTTTCAAAGGCCAATTAGTGCGCCAGAGCCCTGCATGTTCCAGACATCAGGTAGTAGGGAGAGGTCCGCATCAAAGAACCCCCTGGGCCGCATAATGAAATCTGGGGAGGATCGCAAGGTTTTTGGCTGCTATTGGGGGGGGGGGGAGCGCAAAAAAATTCGGCGACCGCGATGGTTCTTTTCCCCGGGGATGCCAGCACGTGGGCCTGACGAGGGGTGCGCGCGTGTCTAATAGGTGAGAGGTCGGGCAGCTGCGAATAAAAGTGTGCCCCCCAGGGGAAAACTTGTCAACGGGCAGTGGAAGCAGACGGAGTGGTGTCATCGATGTCGGGGAGAGCGGGCTTATTGTCGAGTTTTTTAGATTCCCCACCAGGGCGCAAAGGTGCGATGTAATGCCTAGTATTGTCTGAAAAGGGGCCGCTTCGAATCTATATATGGAATGCCGCATCTTCTACAGGTGCATCAAGCAGTAGTTTCTTGCAATAAACATCGTTCCTTTAGAAATATTCAAGCACTTAGTCAGTGTCATTTTTGAGGAGATGGCCACGGAGAACCTAAGTCACGCACAACAAGTGGCCACAGAGAAGAAACGGTCCCGTGATCCAAGAATGGACTCGAAGGGCAATCGACCCGCGCTTAGTTCCCCTGGTATTCCTGAGGCACACCTCAGCCCGCCCAGCTCCAACCCATTCCTCTAACTTCAAAATCATCGCCGCCTTTAAACCTCGTTCGGCCGCGTCAACTAAACATCTCAGCCAGGCACTTTAGCCCAGCGCTTCAAGCACCAGACAGGCAAGGCACAGAGGTCGGAACCAAGAGGAGAAGCATCTGGGAGGGGAAAGGAGGAATTATTTTTCGGCCAGCCCTCGTCCCAAAGCAGCAGGACATCCTCCCACCCCCCACCCCCAACTTCCCATCAATCAAATTTGTTAGGGGGACCCTTCCCAAGAACAATCATGTAGGAATTCTAATTTGTCCTTGACCTCAGGCCTTTATTAGTTCTGTGGCTATGTTGTAGTCTTGAATGATCTTCTGAGTTGCTACGACTTTGTGCAAGCCTTATATCTAAAGAATGTCTAAGTGGCCGTTCACTCGGATAGGCCGGAAGAGCAGGCTGTGAGCCCGTCGGGACAGCCTCGCCGTGTACCCATTGGAGCCATCGTTATGAGCGCCACAGGGGATTCTCTACATGTGGCAGCTGAAGAGGCCGAAAGAGAAAGCGATCGACAAGTAGATCGTCCTCAAGAGAAGAACCTGGTGTGGCGGTAGTCATGTTTAACGCAAGAGTTCCCGTCTCGAAAAGCAGGTCGAAGCAGCCGCAACTCTACCGGGATAAACATAACAATTATCAATTGCAAAACAGAGGTGTATCATTCTTTATTTTTAAGAGCATAACGGCAGTCATACCAAATTCCCCTAAAGGTAAGCCGCAAAGGCACTGCCGCGGATAGGCTCCCCGCCTAACCCCGACGTCTCATCCTACACATATTGCTCGTGACACATAAGGACTCTTTCTATCATCTTATCCACCCCTCACCCCTTAGGCTTCATGTGTAGCCTATCTGGCTTCCTCAGAGCCGCCGTCATGCCACCCATTGCGTGCACAAGGGGCCCTACAAAACGGCCACTCTAAGGGCAACAGGCTTCGTCCTCTATAAATCATAGCTACTTCATCCAACCAAGCATAGCCACAGTAAAGCCTAAATAAATTCCTTATAAAGTGAACCAGACTTCAGATCATGAAATTAGCCACGGAACAGAACTGGATTCAGATCAAGCAATGGACTGGACGGGAAAAATTCTTCCTCCTAAGGAAATTCCCTTCTAATTATTTAGAACTATCCTCCTAATTTGGGACGTTAGCTGGCTGAAAAAGAATCCTTCCTTTCCCCTTCTTAGAGCCCTGCCTTTGTAATGCTGATTCTCTAGAAGCTAGTTGCTTAGGCTTAGGTCTAGATTTTAGTCTCAGAACTCGGTCTTAAAAAAAGGTGGTAAAGTTAAATAGGAAGAAGGGACTAATTATAGGTAGAGTAAACAAGTAAGTACTTAGATTTACACCCAAATTATCAACAAGAACAAGTACCAATCAAAAACCCTTCAAATCTATTTTTCAACTCCACAACCATGTTTACTAAAAAAGCCGTTTGAACATTTCTAGAGATAATAATATCTATTAGGAGAAACTACCGCCAGTCAGACTCGCAGAAGAAGTGGTTAATCAGGTATGTAAGGGCCACAGTGACCATTCCTGCAGATACCCCCATGCGCTACGTGGACGTTCTCTTCGTAGGCTGGACCCCAACCCAGCGCCTTTTAAGATAATTAGCAGTACCAATCCCCAGGAGTGTCTTATCAGAGGAACAACCAAGTATCCACAAGAAATGATGAAAGATATTTTAAACATCAATCTATTGGGTTATATAACGTCCGCGCTTCTTGCACAGTGCGGCATAGAGAAGACGGCCACGGTGGGCTTCAGTGGAAAAGTGAGTGTGAATTAGAATTTCTTTCAGGCACTATTATCGCTTTTGGAAGAAACAGCATGCAGAGTAACCAGGGGCCTCTCTGCTCCTTGAACCAGCATGGGATCCGAATCATAATTTCTCGGGTACTATTTCTCAGCCGTCTAGTAGAATGAAAGTGGAGCATATATTTCTTCAGGCTTCCAAATAAAGAAGGTTTCCTTACTGTTCGTAGGTACTACGTAAACGGTAAGGTTTAGTCTAAATAGAAATAGCTCTAAGAGGCTAAACCTACCTTTATTAGGAAGTCAATCAATGTACAACAGGCACTCGATTCTATGAACCCGACCACCTCTACTGCCAAGCCCTACTTGGCATCTGTAACGGCGCTGTGGGCAGGCTGAGTGGCTGCAGGTGGGCCACAGCGCACAGACCACCTGCAGCCCCAAGGCCCTCTGCTACCAAGGCATAACTGCGATCGGAGGCATCCTTCCCTCCTACTCTTTTTTCTTAGCAAGACAAGGTCTTATTTAGGACGCTACAATAATGAGCAAGACTTGAGAGCTTCGCATCTTTTATGTCCCTCTCGTGACAGCATCCCCAAACTAGTGCAAGAAGACCTCCTATGATGCTACTGCCCCGCTATCAGCCTTCGCCATGCAAACGTTACTACGAAAGATCTCATGCAGGCGTGCGGACGGTGCTGCGGCGCGGCACGTACTGCTTATTCTCCTTTTGTTTGCCTATCTCGCTGGATATGAGGAGACCTCCACGGCCTCGCTGTGTCTAGGCATGCCGAGAACCAGACAGTACATGGGGTCCAGACCATGCACATGATCGTCAGCCCAAGTAAGGCTTGTTATATAATCATTATCGTAAATGTAATGGCATTAAGTTGTTAGGAACCAATAAACCCAAACAAATCTAATCATGATGCAGACAATGCTTGCACCCATTCTTTGGAAGATTGGCTGCTGTTAGTAGTCGGCTGGCCCCCAAGCCTCGCCACCAGAGGAGCGATAATTCTATCGGTCCCGGACGAACCCTCGTCGCATCCCTCACAATAGCTTGCGAGCTTGTCGACTGTGCGTGTCTCCTCGAGGCGTCACTGCCCAGGAGGCCTCCAGAGGACATAACCATGTGCAGACAGACAGCTCCGAGCAATTGGCACTCCGGCTTATCCGGCCACTCGTGGCTCGACGAATACTCCTGCACTGATAGATGCGAGGATCGGCTGATTGGCTTTGTGGACTTGGTCGACCTCCCCTGAACCACAATCAAGTCAATACAGGCCTCCAAGACGAGGTTCAAGTCGAGATCTGGGTCATGATCAGCCCAGGCCAGCGCAGGAGTAGCGAACTGCAACAACCAGTTCTCAGGGATGTAGTGGCTGCAAGGGACTCGGTATCCACCTGGATGCCCTTGTAGCAGTGGTGGGTGCACTGCCTGGTTGGTGGCTAATATCCTCCAGGGCTTTCTGATGTGCACTGATGTTCTAGGCCCTCTGGTGGGGATCGAAGGTAAGATTCTATATTAGACGCACGCTTGAGCTGGAGGAGGCAATCCACCTGGAGAACAGCCCATCGGGACCTGAAAGCGATGTATACTGCAACAGCTTGCTCTGCTCCTCCTCTTCCAGCTGGAGCTACGGCTCTTCTATCTTGGCGTTGACCTTGATTAGAGCCGCAGCCGCCAACCTTTGCAGCTTTCAATTCCTGTGGCCCGGGAAACGTTTGCAACTGCCTGCTTTGATCTCGGGCTCTTCTGCTTGGGTACCACCGGACTTCAACAGGTTCGAGACTGCCGGGGGATTAAACAGGGCACCAACTGCATACACAGTGGCATTCTGGCTGCGCCTGTTGATGGCTGCGATTACGAAGAGTAGAATGGTCCTGCAGAGTAGGATTCAAGCCCGCTCCAGCTGGGCCAGTACTTCTTACGCAGTTTTGTAGGAGGAGAGGAACTACTGTTTAAGGACTGCGATGTGCAGACTGAGGAATGATACTCTCTCAAGCCTGTCCATAGCCAATTTGAGTTGCTCATTATAGACATTTACCACCTTAAGAAGATAACTAGTTATATAGGGTTGTTCACAAACATAGATTGCGCATATACTACAAGAAGAAATTGAAGCGCTGCCCATAGCAGTGTAGCGTATATTAGGTCAAAACTAGCGGCAATACCACAGACCTTCTTAAACCAACAGGAACATGTGTTAAATTTAAGAGATTGAGGTCTAGGCGTAAGCAGCGTTTCCTCTACTAGGCAACACACCTTTGTGCCACTAGCGGTTATGGACTTCTTGCGTCTTTTGGTGGGCAACTCGCTTAAGGTTGCTAAGCATACCTGCCCCGGCATCAAAGCTAGGCACTACCTATTTAACCAGCTACTAACTACTCATAAAGAGCAGCTCCCAGGCCCTTTGCCATAACGACTGTAGTTTGCTATTCTCTACTTCCCAGTCTCAGCCTGGGTCTAGCTATACCCTCGGTCCCACACCTCTACCTGCAACCTAGACTACCAGATCAGCTGCCTATAGCCAACCCAGGCGTACACTGTGTCCCAACTTATCCCATACTAGATAAAGTCTTTAAGCTTGGAACTAGCTTTAGGTCTTAGCCCACATTCCCACTGCTTCTCCGAGTACACTGCAGTGCTTTAATATATCAAAACGCAGTTCTATTATAGCTAAAGAGTTAAGTACAGATCCAACGCATTCTTAGATATCTTAAGGGGGTCCGATACTCATCAATAAACCACCTGGCAAGAGCGGGACCCCTGCTATACAACACCAAGAGGCTTGCTATCATAGCATACTGCCTGCCCACCCGTCACAGCCACGTGCAGGCTGAGCCCTCATCAAGCCTCATGCAGAAGCACATCAGGCAGCCTGCAGCCAATCAGCTGCCACCCACGTCAGTCTGAGTTTGAGGTTCTGGCAGCTACCCACTCGTTCCTTGCGAGAATCGTTTTGCTACTTTAAGTTGCTTGCGTATGTTTGCATCGTGGAGCCTGTAATGAAGTATTAGAATCTATGAACTCCAGCCGGGGTGGCGCAGGGACGTGCCTGTTGGATCAGAGCTATCCCTGCACCTGTCCGAAATTATTGTTGTGAGACTTGGAGTATACCTCGTGATAATCATGCTGCAGAGTGACTGGTGGTGGATTATTATGATAACTCCAATGCTTTGCCAGAAGTGTAATAAACTGTGCTATTTGCAAATGTATACACCCCTTTCTTAGTAACTTCCTACATACAACTACTTAATTACTGTCCAGCAGTGCAAAAAGGTGGTACAGGCCTTATTAGTTAGATATTACTGTTTAGCACTTAAGAAGCAGGATAAAAGCGTGTAAGGTGCCTTGGCATAATCTGGCCTACTTGGAATTATTTTTCCTTATTATTATATTAAACTCGCAAATTTTTTTTTTTTGAAATTTTTTTTAGAGTTTATAAATCCTATCTAGGGAATTTTCTTCTTTAGGTTAAACCTATCCAGCTCTCTTCTCGTTACTTAATGCCCCGCCCCGCACCCTTCTCTTTAGCTATTACTAGTTTAGAGTGCTTCCCCAAGAATTATATTATAAATGTTTATTATAATCGTATTAGGCCCATCCTAATTATCTTAAGTTCAACAAGCGTTTTATTTATTACCACCTTTATTGCTTACATTCCTGCTAGCCTTAGACTATCAGCACAGTCTATACCAAACCCGCTACTCGTAGAATCCCCCCAGCAGAAATATAGTACCAGCCTAAGTATTCCTGCTACTAGCCTTATGCAGATTGCGCGTTATGCTGGCCTGGGCAGCCCTGCTTGCATTTTAACTTAACAAAAATAGCCCTTTTTTTACACTATCCGTTATAACATTTTAGCGTTGTTATTTGGCGTGCGTGCAGCCAGTGCAAGCCATAGCAGGACTTGCCCTTAGATGCAGATGTAACAGCATTAGTAGCAGCTATTGTGCTCGTTAGTATTGCCTATAGCCAGGGACTAGCTTAATAGGTTGAAACGAGATAAGCCCTAATCTTACAATAGCTATACTCAGCTGTTAATACAGGTAGCCGATTCCCAGTAGTAGAGAGATACTTTAATACAGCTTATAGTTATCACTATAACTTCTGTACAATAAGAGTTTTAGTATAAGTAACCTAGAACTGGGCAACCAAGTAAGCCCTATCTCTATCCTAGTCAGCTGTATCTTTAACATTCTTACAGCTAGTGCAATAAATTGTGCCTGTACTAGTCGGCAACGTCTTACTATACAATCCCGCACCACAAAAAGCACAACCACATTGAACACCCAGGTGCCTTCTTTTTTATTTAACCCCACACACAAAAGCGAACTAAATTAATCCTAGCTTAAGCCCTCACCAGCATATGCCTTTGTACCCATATTGCTATAGTACTTGTCCACCTCGTCGCAACACCCTGGCTTCTCCCACATACAAGATGATGCAAACGAGCGAGATACCCGTTCGCCATCGCAACTCTCAGCAAAGATCCAAAAACCCTCTACAAGAAACGGTAAACCAGGGGTTCCCAGCAAGCCTATTTTCATCAAACTTATAGTTCTTCTTAGTTATCGCTACTCCTATATTTCCATCCTTAATCAGGATGCAGCGATAGTAACAGAGCACTTGTTTTTAGCCCTGCACTCCTGTCCCTCCCTCGTGACGCGTCCACCGCTGGTACGCACCTATCTGTCGGCCGGCGCTAACTCCACCAGCGTCGCCTCGCCAGAGCACATTCCTAGACCAGCCTCCACGCGGGCGTCCCCAGTCTACCCACACAGCTAATGCGTGTGCCTGTCGTAGCACCTATATGATATCAGTCCGAAGTAGGCAGATCCGGAACCCGTCAGGATTATATGACTTCTCCAAGCAGGCGATATGCTTAACGTTTTGCCTTTTTCTTAGTATTGTATCTTAAAGTCTATGATGCCTCATATAGCCCTGTGGTGCCTGTCCGGGAAAAACAATGTTGGGATTTACACAGGCTCACAATTCGTAGTAGATCAAGACTGCACCTCAACGGTCTTCCGAATAACCTCTCTGAGCAGAAATGGTACTACAGAGTAACGAGACGAGCGGTATGGCCTATAGCGCACAGGGTAGTCCTCTTGCTGGATGAATTGGACTCGCGGTAGTGCCGGGGCTGTGATGGTCTTTCTGCACCTGGGAAGCAACAGAAACAACACTTCTACTACACTCTAATCCTGCTCATATCTAACAAAAGTCACAGTGTCACAAGGCCTTAATGCTTAAATAATGCAGATTGCGCACATGGGATATAGTGTAGTCCTTGATATCGTTATGACTTCTCCACTCATGGTACTTCTGTGCTTGAGCGAGTGTCGCCGACCAAGGATGCCGACATTGAGAGGATGGACAGCGAACGCGTGGTAGACTGTTCACCGCACCACTAGCGCTGTTGATTCATGGCGACCGATGTGATGATTAATTGCTGCGTCTGGGCTCGTGTGGGTGAGCAGAATTTAGACCGCCATTGGCGCTGTGTCGGGAGCGGGCTCCTGGCGCTTGCCCGTGTCCCCGTACCGGTACCGCTGGTCCTGTGGCCTCAAGAAGCGAGCGAGCGGCTTGCTGGCCTCGGCGTCCGCGAGGAGCCTCCTCCTGAACCGGGGGAGCGTGTGGTCCAGGAAGGCGTCGCCGTAGAGCCTCCATATGTTGTAGGCGTGGTGCGCGAAGTTCTTGCCGTGCTCGCAGGTGGCGACGTACTCTGCGACGAGGCGGCGGAGGAACCCCGTCCTGGCGTCGCGGGAGAACGGGCGGTCGATGCGGCGCGCCCATGGGAGCCGCCTCATGAGCGTCTGGAGCCTTGGGGACCTCGCGACCGCGCCGCGGAAGAAGTCGGGGAAGTTGGGGCCGGATATCTCGGGCCGCAGCCCAGACGAGGCGAGCTTCGGCACGACGAGGCGCTGGATGTTCTCGAGGTGTTCGTCCAGCGACAGGAAGCGGCCGGCGTGGCTGCCTCTGACGTAGGAATCGACCGTGCTCTCAAAAACCTCATCTTGAAGGACGCCGGCGGGAGGGGGTGTTCCTGGGCGAGGGTCAGGTTACTCTTTGGCCTGCGTTGGTGACTAGGGACGAGTTCCTCACCAAAGACCCTCCTGAAGCTCTTAATGGTGTTGTTAATGGTCTGCGTGCGCCACTTCTCGACGCGGCAGCCGCTGTCTGTGCCGGTGCCAAAGGCGAGGCTGTGGGCGGTGCCGCTCGTGTCGACGATGGTCAGTGTCTTGATGTCCCAGGCGGCATCGCCTGACGCGTCCATGAGGTAGGCAAAGTCGTCCCGGACCAGGTGGAGGTTTTCGCGCCAGCGGAACTGGAGCGCGGCGCCCAGTGGGGCCTCGTCGGTGAGGCAGCGCTGGGGCAGGTCCCTCGATCCCATCAGATCGAAGAAGAACCTGGACCGCCAGGCGCGGAAGCACTCGTCATCGCGGAGGTCGACGCTCGCGAACTCGAGGACGTGCTCCTCCTTGCTGGAGTCGACGAGTAGCAAGGGCCTGTGGTCGATGGCCTTCTGCACCTGGAGGTGGGGATTGTCGGACCAGGAGAAGACGGTGCCGGGCTCGCAAGGCAGCCGGCGTGCGACGCGGGTCTGGCACCTTCGACACTGCGATCTGTCAGCATGCTTGTGCCTGCGTTACCTCGGCGGGTGCGGGCGCGTACTCGGAGCGCGACACGAGGCACTGGGTGGCCGTCTTGTGTCCGAGGCTGCTGCGAGGTCATGTTGGCGCAGGCGACTGTGTCTTCCAATAATCTTCTTCCGGTTGCGAATGAGGTGCAGCTGGGTTGAGCCAGCGCGGATCCGTGACATTCACTCTCGCCCAGGCGTAAGGCGCCGCGCCCTCGCCTATTGTTTGCATCCCGACTGCCTGGGCCTGGGGACAATGGGGATGAAAGGCGTCTCGCCTCGGAAAGGCACGAACAGGTGACCCCGGTGCTTTATCTAGACGGTGCGTGTCGTGACAGCAATAAGCTCACCCTGCCTGCTCGCCCGAGTCCACACGCCCACAGCACTGATCACGAGTGGCCATCGTCCACGGGCTCCAGGGGCTCCTCTGGTCCATCTCAGTGACGATCCCAGTCAAGCCGTTGCCACATCTTACCCGGGGGATGCCAACGGACTGCGGGATCTACACCTGAGCGCTGGACAGAGCCCCCGGCATGGCTGATACGTCCCGGGGCGTCGAAGCTGTGCAGCCCAGAAAGATCTGGATGAGACCTGGCCTCGACTTTCAGACAGCCCACAGCACTACTCTTCTCTATTGCACGTTTCCACATCAATAGCAAAGGATGATTTGCACATATGCAAGCGCCAGACCACCCCTATACCATCATTACCGCCACCAGAACGCTATCCAGCACACAAATCAATCCTTCGAGGCCGGGCTTAGCCAGAGGCGTATAGTGTGGGACACAAGACACTTCTCCACAATCACCAACCCAATCCGTGCAATACCCAGAGCAGTCGCACCCGTGCTATCGCAAATCCAACACTCCTAGTGTCAGCTGCACATTGGCAAGCTCAGCACAAAGCGCAACTAGGGGCGCAAGAGGAAGGGGGGTAAAGAAATTAAACTTGCCGAGAACGTGGTCGCAGAACTCCCGAATAGCGAACAAGCTTAGCCAAAAGACCACTTTCAACCAGAGACCACTTTGAAAACACTTGCCAAGAAAAAACACACTTTCTTGAACCAACTCTGATGCAGAGTGACACAAGAGAAAGAGTCGCTCAGACTTTGATTGGAAGCAACAGAACAGAAAGAACGCGGGTGGACCAGTCGAGGCAAGGCGACCAAGCGCCAAGCATCTGGAAAAGAGCAATACGATGGGAAGAAAAGGCGAATTAAACAAATTCACACACACACAGAGAGAGAGAAAGAGAGGGGGAAAAAATTGCAAAAAAAAAAAAAAAAAAAAAAAAAAAGAGAAGGGGGGAAAGGGAAGGAGTTCGACGAGAACAGAGAAGCGTGGCCGCTGGAGGACATGTGACGGGTGGTAACGGAAAAGGCAGGTGCACGAAAAGGCGGGCGAGCCGAGGCGAGACTGTTTTTGTGAAATTGAGTGCGCGACGTTGAATGTACAGGATTGGGTGTACAGCACTGGGTGCACAACACTGGATGCGCGAGAATGAGTGGGCGAGACTGGAGCAAGACTGGACCCAGGCGAACGTGCGCAGTCTGGCCAGCTGCGTAGTGTTTGCGCACATGGCCTGGCCAGCCATGTGCACAAGTCGCACTCCTGGGACTCGCTCAAGCATGACCGCTCTAATCAGATCAGTCTGATGTGCTGGTTGAGGAAGCGGGGATCTGCAAGCACAGTGGTTTCCATCACGATCGATTAAGAAAGCTCCTTCGAGTAAATTCAGACACAACCTCTCATCCTTCTCGTGCACTGCATGATGTGTTCCGTTTTGTGTTGTGTTGTGTGCCGTAGATTAGGTGTCCTCGTGGCCTGGTTGACTGCCATTGCTACTGGTGGTGTGTCGCAGTGTTGTGTAGTGACATGACTTTTCGTGCAAGATCGAAATCACGGTAGTGCGCCGTGTGAGGTGTCGAGTCCTGCAGTCACCGATCAAGCCTAGCCGTGAGGTTCGTGACTGCATGCTCGCATTCCCAGTCTGGGCTGTATTGACCAAGTCGGGATTATGGAGGCCCAGTGTCGATATATTTCATCGTGGGACCCGGACGGCAGAGATAGTAGAATTGGTGAGGACGACACGAGGAAACCCGACGCCGCTATTGCAACACACAGGCAATGTTTTGGTGTCACGGCTGGTTGGTCTTGCTTGCCAGTCGGCATGCAAAAAAAAAAACCGACCGTAGCTCAGTACCAAAGAATCAATATATCGCAGTTTTCACAACAATCTATCCACCACAACACCAAAGTTTAAGTAGATCCTGATATCATCGAAATCGGACGCTTACACTGAATACGTAAGTGTAATTAAAATCAATCACATACTATGTGGTTGTTGAGCAATTTGGATTCTAACATGAAGGGTTTTGTTAGTTTAGGAGGGTCAACAGAGGTCTAGGCTCGTTGGAAAATTTGGGTGGCAGTTAGCGGATGAGATTTAGCACCCTGCAACCAACCAATCCGCCATTGCGATTCGGGAACTCCTTTTAGCCCTAAACCTACTACCTTGGACTACTCCGTACAAACCCGCGGCCATCACTAGTAAACCTGCCGAATCTTTATTCTACAGGTGTATTCTAGATGTTGTCCTGTATTCGCTAATAGGGGGACTCGAATGCAGCTTAATTCGTGGCAACCAAGTAGATACTACCTTGACAGAGTGGCGACTCTGGCCCTGGATTATGTTTGGTTGCTAGATCCGAGCGACTGTTAACTATGCTACTACAGGTGCACGTTTCGTTGCCCGGAGCCCAACTTCGCCTGCCACCTCGACGCCCTTGGTTGTACCCTTCCCGGGCATCATCCAGCAGCGGCCGTTGAGGTCTGCAGCCGCCGCGCACGGATAACACCGGGTGAGGGCCAGGTGGGTGCGATTTCATTGTGTTTTCTGAAGCTGGTCGTGCGTGTCTTACCGACTTTGCTTTCGCGCTCGTGGTACTGTCCAGTTCATCGGCCAGGATGGATTTTCCTCCTCCAGTGCGGCTGCCACGCTCTGCATGAACGCTCTCGGCCTTGTGCTGCCCGTCCAGTCCCGAGCGCGGCCAAGCATGGCGATCCTCAAGGTCAACACGACGGCTCGGCTCTCCTGCCACACCCGATACCTCGTCCTCCGTGTTAACCCCACCCAGAGGTGCCTGGCCTACACGTACAACGGCCTCAGCAGGTGCCCGAGGTGCCTCTGCCTGCAGAGCAACCCGCAGGCCCACAGGCGTGTGTGCAAGGGGAAGCTGCGCGTCAGGTTGCACGGCACCTCCTGCGAGAACCGATGTGGTCTACTCCTCTCGAGCCCAGCCCAGGCGAAGCGCCACGCCGGCTCGTGCGAGGGCCTCCTCATCGAGAGGGACAGGTACAACACCCATGTCTGCCCAAAGTGCCACGTCGCCGGGTTCGGCCCTACCGTGATCAGCAGGCACATCCTCAATTGCAGTGGGAGTCGTGCCCAGACGTTGGCGTCGTACAGTAACGCGCAGGTTATCCACAGGTGCGAGGGCTGTGGCGACCATTTCTTCTGGAACGCCCTGAGCACCCACGCCTGCCATGTATTTGGCGACCCCTTGTGGCTCGGGGAGAGCGCCCCCCCGGACACCACAAAGTCGTACATCCGCTGGTGTCGTGAGCGCGGCCTCACCCTGGGTGGCTGCCCTGGGACGATGCCCGACGTCATAAGCGACACCACGATCTCAATTCCCAGCTCACCCGAGGAATCGCGAATCGGGCCTGGCGTGCTGCTTGAAGAAGAAGACCTGTCTGACGATGAGGATGTTTGGAGCGACTGCAGTAGCTGCGAGGAGGCGCGTGAGGAGAAGCATACGAATGAGGACAAGGATAACGATCAGGTTGAGGATGAGGACAAGGATGAGGACGAGGACGAGCACGAGCACAAGCACAAGCAGGACCATTGTCATCTGCTGGCCGCCGCGGGTATCACATTCGATGAGTTCAAGCCCTCGACGTGCCAGGGGATTGTCTGGAGGCATGGCTTCTTCCCCTGTCCCTTTGGCACGACGATCACCGTCGAGAACGTCAGGCTCTGGCGGATCACGATCGAGGGCAAGGCGTTGGTCCAGCTTGACTTGTTTTGTAAGATGTGCGCGGGCATCAAGGTAAGGATCAAAAAGTGGGTCTGCAAGGGAAAGTACACGCCAGAGGGGTTGCAGATTTGCCGAAGGACATCGTGTCGGAAGCTGGCCATCTCGCTGTAGCACTGCTGCGAGCACGCCGACCAGGTTACATCCAGATACCGTTCGCGCGAGTTCAGGCGCAGCAAGACCAAGACTGTCACACCGGACGAGATGGCCTGCTTCCTGTCCTCGGCCCCGAAGCGGGTCCTCGTCTCGCCCCCATAGTGTTCGGTCCGGGATGGTCTGCGTGGCAATCAGGACTTGGAGGTGCCCGTCTTCTTTGTTGATACTGAATCCGTTTACAACCGGCTTGAGCGCCGGTTTCTGGTTTGCCAGCTCGCTCTGCGCTCCTCCTCGTCCGGGGACCTACTCCTCTCAACCCTTGTCGACTACCAGCTGAGCTTCCGCCAGCTCCGGGGGAGGGTCCACCCGAGGATGTGGCCGAAGCTCGCTCAGCTCTACCAGTTCTCCGGTCTCGAATCCAGCACCCACGGCATGACGACCGACCAGGTCGCCCGCCAGCTGGCTGACCTCGGCATGTCGCCCAGCTTACACCTGGTTGAGTGGTCACTTAGTGGGTTTAACCTAAGGGCGCTGCAGGCGACATTTGGGCCATCCATCTTCCCGAAGACCGCCTTGCTCGGCCACCACTTGTGGAGGAGCCTGGGCCTGAAGGGCAGCGTGGCCTTGTAACCCCTCTTCCGCTCGTTCCAGCCGCTATCCCCGCTGAACAGTTGCCACCACAAGGCGGACGTTGATTCTATGAAGCTCTACATCATGGTCAAGGGCGCTTTTGAGAAGTTTACTTAGGTCGCGCATAGCCACGGGCCAGTTTCCTGCCGGCCCACCTGTGCTTGGCTTCTGGGGCAGCCGGCCACCACAGCAGTGGAGTTACTTGGTTAGCTGCCATATCCGGTCCCTCTCAGTCAGTAATGTGGCCAAAATTCCTGCATTGCTGTGGCCAAATCTACCCGTGCCTCGCCCTTAATGTCGTGCATGTCTCTTGACCCTGAGCCAGCATGCCCAGAGTTCAGTTTTGTGCTGTACGTATAAAAATGAACCCGGATCCTCACCCAGTCCCGCGCGAGATCGCGATAGTGATGATGCTCTATGATGGGCTTGGACCGGAACAATATCCCAGTCTTACAGTCCTCCCCACATCTCACTCCTCTCGGTCAGGGCAAATGGATCCAGACCACTGTCCTGCTCTTGCCAAGAGGAACTTCAGCACGTTGCACCACTGGAATTCAAAAAGTAAACCATGACAGAGCCCAGCTCTGACCAATCTCCCGAACCAAAAGCGAGCTCATTGGCAGCAATCCTAGGCCCCTCCGCATGCATGTGTGGAACGAGGAGTGTCTTCTGCACATGTGCGGCCGGAAATAAGAGGGCGGGAGTCCCATAGCACGCCGTGAAGTACCACAGAGGTGAGAAGCATATCGAGCCGAAACCCCCGGCCGCAGTGGCTACATCTGCTGGCATAGCTGGTCTCAATATAGAGCATACGTCCCTATATAAGCCGTATTATACATAGGAGTACTCATACAGAGGGCTATTATATCGACGTCTATGGATATAATCCAACTCTTACACAAATCTGCCGAGCGGTGATCTTCCCAAAAGACATCTTTTATTCCGAAGCATTCAATCGGTCATTTGATGTCCTTCCAAGCGAAATAAATGTAGAGCTCACTTTGTTGCAATATATTCGTAATATGTATCTAAATATATATCCATGTTAAGAACAGCTTCTTCTTTCAATATTAGTTAACCACTTCGATTCATAGGGCAAATTAATTCTTGAGTTCAATGTATTCAAATTAAGCAATCAATCAGTCACATCAGTCACTCACGCATTTTAATCTGACGCATTTCAATCTGACGCATTTCAATCTGACGCATTTCAATCTGACGCATTTCAATCTGACGCATTTCAATTAGTCATGCATTTCAATCACTCGAACAAACCGGATAAGTTGGTATTGTTCGGAAAGAATTAAAAAGGAAGGCTTTGAAAGAATGGGCGAGACATGACTTTTAGTTGCCTTTATTCGGAACCTGAGGGCAGTCCTGAACAAATAGAGGAAAGATTAATAGAAACTAAAATATAGTTTGTGATTAACTTCATGACTTAAAATGTATATTTGATAAGATGTAATGAATCGGAACAGGCTCTACTATGTGTGAAGAATTCTTATTCGAGACTATTAGGAGCAATCTTTGTTTATTTACCCCCTCCCCCTAAAAAAAAATTAGAATGTGGATATGAATAGTTTGAGCCTCATTGAGATATATATGGGTTTGAGGCGCGGCTGTATAGACCCCTTCTGAAAATGTTCTGGGCTATAGTCCTAGGGGACCCTATTATTTCAAACAATTCTGTAAGTACTTGTTTCTTCTTTTTGAACCGGTTGTACTAAAGCCGGTTTCGAATCTGGTAATACGCATAATTAACTAAGCTAGCTTTTGCTATCCAAGAGACTCATTTTGTCTATATAATTACGTAGGTAAGTCTTTACGAGGACGAACTCGAATTTGTAGATGTTAAGGTTTGCTTTGAAATGTTTGGTGCAGTGCGGGGCGCCAATATGCAGCAATCAAGCCACAAGGGTCCCAAGTATACCTTAAGATCTTACCATCTCTTTAGGAACCACTGTCCTATACGATTTGATTACGAAATAAAGGATCTTAAGATTCTAAGGGGCCCGCTGCTCTCTACAGCATTCCTGCAATAACAATGCTTAATAAAGACAAACTGGATAAATAAGCTAGCCGTTGTAACAACGAAACGCCCAGGGCCATTGTAAGCTGCATGGAGCAAGTCTGATGTCGCATAAGATTAGACCGGCCCATTAGCTCTGTTGCTAACTAATCAGCAACAACGCAATATCGGTAACAACTCCATCGCTAAAGTAAATAGATGCGCCTTTCCTCAGCCCAAGCCAACCCCATTCGTCTAGCCACCTGCCCATATACCTCAAGTTGATTCTCCTGCCTATTCTCGTCTGAATCTGATACTTGGCCTTTAGTATCAGTCACAGAAGCCTGTAGCTTGCTCAGGTCTTTAGGCCCCGACGGTAAGCTACGATCAGAGCCCTCTAAGCCGCGAGGACAGCCTCGCTCGCCCATAGAGGTCAGCCTGGGACACACGGCCTCTGACTGCTGAATTCGAGGCAGCCGAGTCATGAAAAACCAGAGAGCATTGTGTCCCGAGGCAAGGCGGAAGGCTCTCGGGTGGCGGGCACAAGAGACCTGATCGGCGTCCCAAGGCTATCGCTTTCACTCCTTCCCCTCGGTTCAGGATGGCGGCCTTCGAATACAGCATGGCATCGAACGCAGGGCGGCCTGCCGTGCTGGCCGTATTTGCTGCCTCCTCCTCCTTTCCTTTCTTTTTCTCCCATTGACTCTTGTGACGATACTGGAAGATGCAACAATCTCACCCATGTACCCAATTCACTGCGAAAGTCGCATATAACATCGAACGACCTCCTCCGTGGTAAGCCCCTTTGCTGCCAAAACGCACACCCAACCAAGAACCCTATTGTGCACGAGTACTACCCAAACATACGCGGTGAAGACTCGACTTGTCATCTGGTGAGCTAGTCCGCCCACTGAGGTTATTCGCTGCTGACAAAACTCACACATCAGGACCCATTGACCTTGTGCACGCGACAACCATTGCCCCCCGAACCGACGTGTCTTGCCTCCTCTGCACCAAAGCCAACCAAGAAGACTTCGCATCCGACCGCGCCTTCCCATTCGAGCGTGAACAACCCACATTTCTTTACTGTGCACCAAGCGGCAATGTCGGCAACCTCGACATCCTCGAGCGAAGCACCGCCGCCCGGCTCGAAGGCGCAATACATCTACCTGAACAAGGCAGCTCTCGAGTCGGCTTGTCATGAGCATGGCCTCAACTATCGCGATCTGGACAGCGCTGGCAAGCCACCCACGAACGACAAGCTCGCCGCCAGGCTCTACCTAAGCGATGCGAACGGGGATCCTGACGCTGGGCTGGAGGCAACCCTCGCCGGCTACTTAAAATCCAAGAAGCAACCCGAGCTGGTGAGTCTACTCCGGGAGCTCCAGCCAGGCAAGGATCTCGCCGGCGTGTCGAGGAAGCATGACATCATAGCTGCGATCGCCAGGGTCATGGTCAAGAGTTAGGCGGAAGCCAAGCGCCAGGACGGCAACAGCCTTGGTGCAACTCCAGCCAACGAAGACGACACCGTCATGGCAGAAGTGGGCGCGCCTGGTACAGGTCCGGCACCCAATGCCCCGATGTAGGCGATCACACCTCTCACGCCTATGGATCGGCCAGGAGCAGACTTATTTACAATTGCCCCAATGAAAACAAATACGGCTCCCGCGCCCACGAATCTGCCAGGAACAGGCCTATTCACACTTCCCCCGGCCTTGCGACAGCCCAAGCAAGGCCTGTTTACAGCTAGCCCGCCGACGAATCAATCAGAATACGGCTAGACCCCAGAGCCTAGCCGAACTACGATCCCGCCGTTGATGGAGCAACCAAGACGGAGCCTGGTCCCCCAGGGTATCGAGGCTTACATGGCCGGGGTTAAGCGGGCTAAGCGGGCTTTTGGTAGTATTGAGAGTAGTAGTTCTAGTGGACTGGGTGGCGATGCTGGCATATAGCGGGTTGAAGATGGGGGAGCGCAGTCGCATCCAATTTTCTATCACAGCGGTCTTAGCAGCACGCGGCAAAACGGCGCCTTAGGTTCTTACGGTCGATTTGGTTAAGCTGGCGGGGAATGGGACGAGCCGGCCTTCTACACTGCGGTCGGCGGCCAGGAGCCAAGCCGTAATGCAGTAGCCTTGCAGATCGGCAGGGCGTTTGTGGACATGGCGCGCGACAATAAGGCTCTCGTAGAGGCGCTCACGCAGCTGCTCGGGACTACCACCCAGGAGCGGGAGCTTGCTGGCGATGTTGTCCCCAGGCGCGAGCTTGACAAGGCGTACGCGGACCTCTAGGACAAGAACAGCCAACTGGACAGGCTTGAGGAACAGCTTTCTAACCTGGACAGGCGTTTTACTGAGAACGAAGAGGTAGCACGGAAGAAGTAAGAGGAACAAAAGGCCCTCCTGATCGACTTGCGCCTCGCGTTTAAGGAGATACGGGATGTCCACAGTTATGAGGCGGCAAGGTCCATGCTGCTCTACAAGCAGTTGAATGAGTTGCTGGGTAACAGGGCCGATTGAGGAGGAGGATGGACAGTACAACCACGCGGTCTATATCTAACCGCGATGCAGCAGCGGCATAGTCTGCTCTTTGCTATAGCTGGTGGCACAGCGCTTCTGGTTTTGGCGGTGCAGAGCATACGGCCGAGATTCGTGGACTTCATCTTAAACTGCTCCACGTTTGGAAAGGAGCAGCCGTCATCCGTAATCTGCTCCACTGGGATAGGGATACGACATTTCAGATTTTGGCAATATGGCATGCATGGTAGGGATTCTTTCTAGCCTTGTTCAGCTCTATGTTTAGTAATGAGCAGTCAAATCCACAGTCTGTTCTTTGCTGGAATCAGAGGCGCAAAATTTTACATTACGGTAATGCAGAGCACTGGTTGGGGTCTTAGGGTTCCATCTTGATCATTTGCACATCTGGCAGGGGACAATCATTATCATCACCCGCCTTGTATTCTTGCTTTGTATTCACGTGAGTCTGGTTTGGTCGGGCTGGAACCTTTGAGTTGGTCCTCAAAAGAGGCACGAAAAAAGGGGCGCCGGCCTCGGTTCCTGGATGTTTCTGGCTCTCCTGCTGCCTCAACTCGTCTCTGATTGCGTCCGCTGTGATTTCCCCATCTCAAACTCCTTGTTGGCATGGCGGCACAAGGACACGCTCATTAAGTCGGGCTCTGGACAAAAAATTAGAAAATGACTCCATCTTTGTTGAGTCTCAGACACCCAGGTAGATAGTCTCAGGACGACAGCCGCCTGCGCGGTGACACATCCTGCCGTGACGTTCTTTCGTCAGCCTCGAATATTTTAGCATCTCGTCGGTTGGTGTTGTGCTGCTTGGGACCCTCATTACCATCCGCCTCATCAAGTCCCCTGCTTAGCAATCCCTTACACTTCAATCCTGCAATCTACCATATATCAGACGATCCCCTGCCTTCATACTCATCATGCCTTACCAAGCTTAGACCTGGCAGCGCGGCCAGTGCGATACATCGCTGACGGGCAAGTCTGTCGCCCTCCTCAAGGACCTCTGCGCCAGCATGGAACTCAATATCACCCCCACCGGCGTCCGCGGTCCCATCAAAGAGGACTACATCGCGACCATCTAGGTCCACACCATGGGCTTCGACGATATGACCACTGATATCCAGGACTAGGCCCGCTAGTTCACTGCCTGTCTTATTAAGAATAACCTCGACCTTATGCTCTCTATTGCTACTACCGCCTTTAACCTCAACCTCAGCACCCGCAAGAAGGGCGCGGTTTGCTAGGCCATCCTCGGCCGCCTCCTTGAAGACCCTGATGTCCTCTCGGACTCTACTCTCTCTGGCGATGGCCTTATCGGAAAGCTCCTGGCGGGCCCTGGACACAAGCCTAGCGGTCCTGCGGCCACCAAGGCGAGCGTCTATGACTGGATCAAGGGCGTGGAGACTGCCCCCTTCCATCACTTCCTCAGCGGCCTTTCCAAGCTGGACGGCGGAGGTGCTCCAGTCTCTGCTCCTGCCGAAGTGGCTGCCAAGGCAGCTGAAAGCCACTAGGGCGCCGGCAAGACGGCTGACGAGGCAGCCCCCTCTGGTGTAAGTAATGCCCCTATCCGCCGCTGGTAGCCTCGGTTTCCTTACATCAGGTGCTAACGGCGACAAGTTGACGACTAAGCGCCGCAACGAGATAAGCAGAATTGCTAGCGCCATGCGTGTCTTGGCTGATTATCTGGACACCTCTCCCGACGCGGCGGCCAAGAAGGTCGTTCCTCACCTGCTCATCATCACGGATACGCTGCGCGAGGTGGTGGAGGAGTGAGTTGGCGTTAATCACTAAGCACCAGACGGTCCTGAGAAGCCAGGGACAGCTCTGGGCAAGCGGTGTTGTTCGGGCACAGGAAGCCGTCGGACCGGGGGATCGTCTTGGCGAGAGTACTGATATTGTGATCACGGTTAAACCCCGGAGGTCTTTGGAAGACTATCCTCTTTGGACCAAGACCAAGAGCATCCATTGGAGATCGCTCACAAATTGATCTAACACAAAGGGGTCATCGGCACACAAATTCATCAAGCACAAATTCATCAGGACAAAAGTCATCAGAGCAAAATTGTTGGTATCAAGATCATCAATTCCCCTCAAGTCTTTTCAAGACTATCCCCTTTTCATCAGGATCGAGAGCGTCAATTGGAGGTCACGCATGGAATTATTTGGCACGAGGTTTTATCAAAGCACATGAATCATTAGGGCACATAGATCCTCAGAGCAGGCGGTTATGGCAAAAATGTTGATGCTGTAAATTTGATCAAGACTGGCTATCCTCTTGTTTGTGAAGATCAAGAACATCAATCGGAAATCACTTATCGATTGTTTTACACTTGTTTTGATCTCTATTGTGAAATATATACAAAATCTATTCTTAAAGACTCTTACTAAGCACCCTAGGCAGTAATTTCCATACTTTTGGGCACCCTGATGGGCGCCTGGCGGGCCTGCCTTACTCAGGGGGTGGGGTTCTCGAAGGTTCGCATATATGAGGGTCGGGGCTCCGTAGCAGGACAAGAATGGTTATGAGTTTGCGAAAAAAGGAGATATATTGTGAATTCTGTTGAAAATATTCGTCTCTGTAGATGGTTTCTCTAACCCCAAAGAGCACTCACCCGAGGACAGGAGCTTTTTTCCATGTTAATATAGTGTGAAATACAATTACTAGCATGGAATGTCAATCACATGAAAGTGCTTCACATTCCGCTGTCCTTTGTAAGCCAGTGGTAGATAGTATTGGTAGAAGACACGATGAAAGAGCACGAGTGGTCTGGCCACTCGACCACCTCTCCATACAACTAGCTCCTGCCCTCTATTAAATTGTTTCCATAGTGTTTCTCATACAATCGCTTCTATTATAGGATGTTGTTTTATGTGAAATGTCTCGTGGCAGATGTCCCGTGGCAGATGTCCCGTGGCAGATTATCCTATAACGATTTATCCCAGAGCACATTATCCCAGGAACACCTAGCGTCATCTAGAATGAGCATGTTATTCAAGTCAGACATGCCGATATTTCCAATTTTTGACAGTGCAAGATGAGAGTTTCTTTGGGGGGATGGGATTGTCGGGTGAAAATAGGAGAATTGGAAGAATACAGGCCGCGGACGAAGCCGTCACGTTTGTTGACGGGCCAGGTAATGGGTTCTGTAACACAAGTCTTGCAAGCAATGCATTCAACCTACCCTAAACAAGATCATGAATCTGAGTGACAGTGCGTCATTCACATGTTGGCCCAAAAATCTTCCCATCGCCCTTCTGCCTGTTGTATATATTTTGCCCCCGGGCCGCATCCGCATTACATACTCGGGAAGAGGCTGAAACCCATGATGAGGACAATGACAAGGCCTTCCCCTCGGGCTGTCCAAGACCTCACTCTGCTGCTGGAGCGCGAAGCTGAACATACCGTGCCATGTGTAAGCATCTTTGCCCGGGCTCTTGTCGTGCGCATCAGATTTAACTTCTTCAGCAGCCCTCTGTACTTAGTTGGACAGCACGACGATGGGATACGAGCGAGCGAGCAGTACCTGAAAAGATGACACTCGTTTCTGTCACTCACGTAAGGCATAAATCTGGGCATAGGTATGAAATGCGTCATCAAAGATCAGCCTCTCCTCTCGGAGGCAATTAGATAACACTTGGGTATGTCATAACAAGAAAAGAGTAGAGCATATCTAGTCATAGCCTGATGCTCTTGACCCTGTGGTCAATTCAGGGCCAGCTCACTTGAGCTTGTCCTTGAACTTCCTCGACCACACTCGCATTTAGGTAACCTCCGTATTTCCGCCTATTGCCCAGTGGTTATGCCCAATTGTTGTTCTTCACGGAAAAATATGCCATCGAAATCAAAATTGCTCAGAACCCCCCAACACTCGTGCTTTTGTTTTCAATCACCTCTTAGTAGGCAGGGCCATATCCAAACATGACAGAGCCTAGGCCGATGTTAGTGGGAGCGCTCAAAGCTTATAGTTTGCACTGGGTCATGTACTCACGTCAGCTCCCAAGGCACCCTGGTTTCCCAGGTACCTCGCCATGTTCCGGACAAGCTCGATCTGCTCATCCACGGTCAAACCGGTGATGGCGGTTTCCAAGACACCGCCTAGCCCAACCTTGTGTGTGGCGATGAAAGAGTGATAGTACATGAACGTGAAGAAGCCCATGATAAACTGACAATCCATACGATCGGTCATACCGCCGTGGCCAGGGATAGAGTGGCCAAAGTCCTTGATCTTGAAGGTACGCTTAAGCCCGGAGGCGAAGAAACCACCGAAAGGCGCAATTAAAGAAGCAAAGGTGGCAAAGATCATGGTGTGTATCTGCATGGGCTCCATGGTAATGCTGAACTGGGTATTTTCCGGTAGGAAGAACAGTTCAGGAAGCTCGTACTTGTAGGGAAGGAACACGGGGTTGGGCTGGCATTGCAGGCCAGTGAAAATGTTGGCGCCGAAGTCCTGAGCACCGTCAGCTTGAGCCACCGTGGAAACGAGAAGAGAGCAACAAATGAGAGTAGACATACATTTACAGGGCATGTGAAGTAGCCGGTGCGCATCATCAAATTCGTCAAGCCGTAGCCAAAGATGACTGTAAAAACCCACGCGCCAACAAAGCCCTCGACAGTCTTCTTGGGAGATAGCTTGATGAGCTGAGTGCGCCCAAAGGTGATGCCGCATATGTAGGCGAAAATGTCGTTTGTGATCACAAGGGCGGCGGGCAAGAAGAACCAGACGAGGCCTTCCAGGACATTGTTCATGATGAAATGTGCCTGTACCACGATGATCAGGAGCGCCATGTGCGTCCATGCGAATTGTGTGAACTGGAACTTGAGATGCCCGCTCTTCAGAGAGCCGACGAAGAAGACGAACCCTGTCAGGATGAGTGTTAGCACAAGGAACCCAGTCCTAAGCCGGTCACGGAGTCGTGCAGCATTCCGGCTTACCGATGATATAAAGCATGAAGCTGATGAACCGGTGGTGCGTGGCCAGCGGCAGGAGCACCTTATCAACAAGGACGACGTGCTTGAAATAGTAGATGACACTCTCGCCGTAGAGGAAGTACATGGTGGTGGCAAGCCAGTACCAGTTCAGGCTCTTGGTAGAGCGGAGTTGACGGGCTCGAGAGGGGACGCTTGCGATGGCGATGACCTCCTTGAAGGAGATGATCTGGACGACGGTGATGATGAGGATGATGTATATGTGGCCCATGAAGAGGGCGGCGAAGAAGCCGCCGATCATGAGAAGCGTCCATATTGTCCTCGTTATGAAGTTCTGCTTCTTCTTTTCGTAATCGTTCTGGGTAGGTGGAGCGGCGTCTTTCTGCAAATGAGGAGGATCGTCAGCACTGCGAAAGAGGGGTTCAAGAGGAGTGTTGGGCGATGCGACTCGGTCCCATCACCCAGCAGACGGTGGCATACCTCGGCAATCTGGCCCATGTGCGGCGATGACCTCGCCTTGGGAGAGCCTTCCTGGCTGGCCTCGCTATGCTCGCTGAAGCTGGCGCGACGGCCATCGACACTGCCATTGCCTTTCCTATGGGCAAACTTTACGCCCCTACGCCCGTTTCCCATTGTGAAGAAGGTACGGACAGGAAGGCTGAGTATGTGTCTCTGCGGCGGCCTCTGAGGCGCTCGTGGCAGCGGCGAGCTCGGAAGGGAGCTGCGCTCGAAGGCGGCGTCGTGGCGAGGATAGCGGAGATGTAGAGGCGCGCGACAATTGCTCAACAGCCGATCATGTCTAGTGGGGGAGGAGGTACACAGAGGCTGGGCAACACAAGGCTGGCGTAGTGGTTTGTTCTCGGCGGAGTGACAGTAGCTGTCGTCTCGTCGGTGGCAGCGATGCGGAAGGGAAGGGCGGACACGATGTTGAGATCAGAGGGAATGCAACGCAGCTGGAATCTCGGATGGAGTGGAGTTTTACCAGCGCTGGGCAGCACTCATCTTGCTTGCTTGGCGGGCTGTAGTTTGCAAATTGCTCCGTCAGCTACGTCAGTACGTCAGCTTCAAGTGCCCGGCCCTGCCGTGGGTTGGCGGGCGTGGCCTAGGGCAGCCTAGCAGGACCTCTGGCACCCTTGACCAGACACCCCGAGGCCTCAAAGAACCCATGTGCTAGGTTACCCTGGAGAAGGGGGGGGGGGACTCGGGCTCGGGCAATCGGTTCGCATATATTCTTCTAGGTAGCTCTTCATTGGTTGGTGAGAGCTGCAGGAGCCCACGCTCAACTTGCTTCTGTGCCCTCCCCTCTTAAAGCCATAGGGTACCCTTTTCTCGGTCAAAACTGAGAGAGGATGAAGATCTGGGGATGGTCTGAGGGCTGAAGCTCCCTCGCATCCACCTGCGTCGTCATGCTGCAGCTGGAAACACCAGCAAGTACAGCTGCTGGTAGCTGATTCATGTGGCCCCATTCCCACCTGCATGGCGTAACCTCTATCTACAAGACTCCTCTCAGAACCAGACTACCTCTTGGATACCTATTACCTTTGTACCTATACGTTCGTCAAATCTATCCACACTCAGGGAATGCAGCCTCAGTAGCAGTGTGGCTGTCCTGTGGCATGTCAGGGTGTCTGGATGTCTGGAACGTGATTGATCTGTGGACGCTGGGAACTCTTCAGGTTGGCATTGGAGTTGGCATTGGCGTTGGCAATGGCAATGGAATCTGAGCGTGCGAGGCCCACTCCACCCCCAGAGTGATGTGATGCAATTCAGACTTTGCTGTGTAAATAGGTGTCTGCGCCTCTGCTTTCTCTCGCATGTGAAGTGTGGCGCTAGCGCCATCGTTATCGCCCTGCTGCCCCGCGATAACACAGACCCCAGACCCCTGTGGCTACTGCCTCCAAATGCGATTTCCCTTGGCTGGTCGCCAAGTTGAGAAAGTCCTCCGCCTCCATCAACTAAATCTTCTTGCGTCTGACATACCGTTCGCCTTGACGAGTCCTGCTTCTTACTACCAATTACACCGTTTCCTGTCTATCAAGCTCGTCCTCGACTGCCATCTCGGCTCCTTCGACTGCGAGTTCTCACTTGCCCGTCGGCGCGTCTCCCATCGACCGAGTCCGCCGTCCTCGAGTCTGCGCCGAAAGTATTCTTCTGGAGTTGCCCTTGAGGGCGCGAACACTCCTAACGCGTATATGCTGTGGTCTTAGCCGTATCATTTGCCCAGAATCTTCAGCATGGCGCCAACAGGGCCTAGATCATCGACGACACAACGGAGACCCAGTCCCCCACCCGCCCCCGAAGAGCCGCCACCGCCCCGGGGACCCAACCCAGGCAATTTGAGTGTCTCGAACCAATACAAGTTCGAGCAGGACATACGACGGTTGCAGAAGGAGTACGGGTGTGACCCAGCCAGGGAAGACAGCTACAGGATACAAGGTGTTCAGCTGATCGAGTCCGTTCGCCAGGCTCTGCGTCTGTATGCCTGCTCCCAAGACCCTGACATTGCTTGACTCTCCGTGCTTGGATCTGACTGAAGATGCAGGCCTGTTAAGACGTTCACCACCGCGTGCACATACTACCATCTCTTCCGACTCTGCCATCGAGATGCCGAGTACAATTACCAGGATGCGTCCCTGGCCTCATTATTTATGGCATGCAAGGTGGAGGACACTATCAAGAAGTCCCGCGAGATATTGTGCGCTGCATACAACATTAAGAATCCAACGCAACCGACAACGCAGGATGACAAGGTAGGCTGCTTGTGGGTCCGAATGTGATGGGCTGGTAGCCAGATGCTGACGATGAGGGCAGATGTTTGAGAATCCGCACAAAATCATCATCGGACTGGAGCGTCACATCCTCGAAACAATTGGATTTGATTTTCGGGTGCGATATCCTCAAAAAGTTTTGGTCAAGATGGTCCGTCACTTGTATGACGCAGACGAGGCTCGGGACGTCATCGCCATGGCCTACGACATGTCGACCGACATGTACAAGACATTTGCGCCAATCAAGGCTTCCACGTTTACAATGGTTCTGGCGTGTATCGAGTTGACGGTGCTACTTCAAGGCCGTGATCCTGCCCAGGTACGGTCCTTAGACCTGAGGAGATATCACACCACTCGAGCTAGTATCGTCGAAGTCATGCTGGACCTCCTGGATATGTACACACAATTCGCCAAGCACACCAAAGTCGGCATGAGATTTGAGCTGTCGAAATTCATCGATATCAAGATCAAGCTGAATCAAGAAGTCGAAAACAGTGAGGGCTCTGTGCGCCGGTCCGCAGTCTGGTGTGACAGGTGCGAGGATGACGAGAAGGTTAAGTACCCCATCACGCCCGGATCCGCCACTTCCCCTGCCACTACTGGATCATGGCCTGGGAATAAGCGATCCAGACCAGGCCAGGAACCGCAAGCGATGCGCTTTGTCTACGATGCGGAGGAAGCGAGGAAGGAGAGGGAGACGAATGACGAGCATCTCAAAGATGAATATGAGGAATATGAAATCGAAGTGGAAGAGAAGATTCCGGAACCTGAGCCTCGCAGCAACCATGGGCGGGATCGGGGCCGACATCAAGGCCACCGCAACAACCATCATGACAATTGGGGTCCATACCCTCGAAGCCGGCATGACCGGCACAAGGGCGGTCGCAAGGGGGGCTACTACTGAGTAGTGAAAAAATGTCAACGGAAGACAGCAGTCTCGACCGAGGAGCATTACATGGGCTGACAAAGGGCTACGTACGCTTTGCCTCGCTTTGCCGCTGCACGATGTGTCGATTTCGAGGCCCAATCTCAATGAGTAATGCGCGAGCCTCTCAAAAACACCGCTCGCCTTTGCAATATTATTGAAGACATCAATCCGAGACTAGCTCAGGGGAGCTTTGCAAATGCTCGGCACGTATTGACCCAGACGATGGCATCTGGCTGTTCAACAAGTTTTCTGCCTTAACAGGTTACAAAGCCGATGTCGCGAGCCGAATTGTCGGGGCAGGGATCACACTTCTGGCCCCGGGACTCCACATGGCTGGTCACAAGATCCCTCAACGGGGAAGGCATTCAGCCGTGAGAAATTGACTGGAAGGCGTTTGCGTGACCTCGGCTTCGCAATCTCACCACTGCAGTCGGCAGAGAAGATAAATGCCCGGAGTTTTGCCGTTTTCCTGACTACTAATGTCGTGTTGGTGACGGACACTCGCAGGGAACAGAGAGGTAATCTCCAGTTCGTCCCATGTCAATAATACTATTCCCCAGATTTGCCAGGCCATTCCCCGCAGATACCCCAGACTATGTCCAGTCCCTCGGATAGGTTTTCTCTAGGGTTATCCATAACCTTTCCCCAATGCAGCAAGCACCCACATGATGGTGCCATTAGCCAGGAGGTATCTCCTCACCAATGGCCCCGGATTCAGAGTCGTGGCCCCTCCAACAGGCCAAAAGGGCCGATTGTGTGAAAATATGGACTCTCCAATATTCACAAAGCACCGGTGAAGTAGTATGCACAAGGCGTAACCCCTCACGAGATGGATGAACCCAGCGCGAGTTGACGCGAATCTCGATCGTCATACCCGGCCCCGGTGAGGAGCAACCGGAAAGTGGACGACGGGACACAGAGAATATGGGCGCTGCACTGATCAGTAATAAGAAGTCTGTTCCACTCGATTCGAATGTCTGTTCAATGTGATGTTTCTTGCGGCACAGGTTCACAAATCCCCTCCACCTCGGGCTGTCTTGCTACCTTGAAATGGCAGGCTCTATATTGTATGGCCTTGTTGGCTTCCTTGCCTTGGGAAAAGCAACAATTGCCCAGGATATTATCACAGATGATCTGGTCTTCTACGGTCAAAGCCCACCCGTCTACCCAAGTCCGAACGGCACTGGCGATGGCAATTGGGGAGAGGCATATACCAAGGCGAGAGCCTTTGTTGAGCAACTGACTCTCGAGGAGAAAGTATGCTTTTCATCACAGCTCTCTGTTCTTCCAGCCGAGCGAGTAAACCTATAAAATTTCCAAGCTGACTCTGCCTGCGCCGTAGGTCAACCTGACCGGTGGAACCACCTCGTCGACCGGCTGTTCGGGCTTCATCGCCTCCATCCCGCGCCTCAATTTTCCAGGGCTGTGTCTCTCCGACGCAGGAAATGGCTTGCGGAGCGCCGACTACGTCTCCGCATGGGCGGCAGGCTGGTCTGTCGGCGCGTCATGGAATCGAGCATTGACCCATGAGCGAGCTGTCGGCATGGGACAAGAGTTCCGCACCAAAGGATCAAACGTAATGCTCGGCCCAGTCGTCGGTCCACTCGGACGTATTGCGTCCAGTGGCCGGAATTGGGAGGGCTTTTCAAACGACCCCTACCTCACTGGTCAGCTTGCGTATGAGACTGTGATCGGAGTGCAGTCCACCGGTGTAATTACAAGTGTGAAGGTGAGCACGACCAAAGGCATAGAAACTGCTCGCCATGGAGACTGACAGATTCAACAGCATTTCATCGGCAACGAGCAAGAGACATACCGTAACCCTGACGGCAATGTGTCTTCCGTCTCGGCCAACATCGACGATAAGACTATCCATGAATTGTATCTTTGGTATGGACCCTTCCCTACCTGTGACTCACCTTTTCCAGCTGACATCCACCCCAGGCCCTTCCAAGACGCAGTGAAGGCCGGCACTGGGAATATCATGAGCTCTTATAACAAGATCAACAACAGTTGGGCTTGTGACAACAGCTACACCCAGAATGGCCTCCTGAAAACGGAGCTTGGTTTTCAGGGATTCGTCGTGTCGGACTGGTATGGACAGCACGCGGGTGTCGCCTCAGCACTTGCTGGCCTCGATATGGTAATGCCTAGCGGAGACGATTTCTGGGGAGCCAACTTAACCGAGGCAGTGAACAACGGCTCGGTGCCAGAGGTGAGATTAGACGACATGGCAACACGCATCATTGCGGCATGGTATCAGATGGGCCAGGATTCCGGTGATTATCCGGAGCCAGGCTCCGGCATTCCCGAGGATCTGTCGCAGCCTCACACAAGAGTGATCGGATGGAACGCCTCCTTTAAAGACACACTCTACCGGGGTGCCCTCGAGGGCCATGTCCTCGTCAAGAATGAGGGTGCCTTGCCGCTCAAGTCTCCCGAACTAATCTCTATCTTCGGATACTCCGCCAAGACACCAGACCAGTACAACTACGGCGTTTTTGGCTTTAACGGCGGAGCATACTCACTTGTCTATGGCTTGGACTACAACGGGACTGGCAGCTTTGTGTCCGAGGTTATATCGGGTATTGCGCAAAATGGTACGATCATCTCTGGCGGAGGGTCTGGAGCAAGTCAGCCACCGTATATTTCCTCGCCCTTCCAGGCGCTCACGGAACGCGCGCAGCAGGACTTCACGGCGCTATATTGGGATTTCCACAGCTCCAACCCGTACGTTGATGCTACTTCTGACGCATGCATCGTGGACGTCAACGCTTTTGCTACAGAGGGCGCGGACAGGCCGAATCTGAGGGACGACTGTAAGTGAAATTTGCCAATTTGTTGCTCCCCTATGTCATCAGTACTTCAGGTTGGAGACATAGTCCGCGAGTGTGGTCCCTGGTCAACGGCAAATTCTACGATCTCCCCACAGGGCAATGACTAACAATGCCATTCGAAACAGACACCGACAGCATCATACTCAACGTCGCGGCCAACTGCAGCAACACAATCGTCATCTTCCAGAACTCGGGCGTCCGACTTGTCGAGCAATTCATCGACCACCCAAACGTGACGGCTCTCATCTTTGCGCACGTGCCGGGACAGGACAGCGGCAGGGCACTCGTGTCGCTGCTGTACGGTGACGAGAACTTCAGCGGCAAGCTACCGTACAGCGTGCCCCGGAACGAGAGCGACTACGCGGGCCTGCAGAACGCAACGCAGCCCGATGGCATCTACGCGCTCTTCCCGCAGAGCGACTTCTCCGAGGGCGTGTACATCGACTACCGCGCCTTCGACGCCAAGAACATCACTCCCCGGTACGAGTTCGGCTTTGGGCTAAGCTACACCACCTTCGAATTTGCCGACTTGGTCTCCACGAAGGCGACCAACGTGAGCACGGATTCATACCCCACTGGAGAGGTGCTCGAGGGCGGGCAAGAAGATCTGTGGGATGTCGTTGCTACTGTATCCGCGACGGTGACGAATACCGGAAACGTGACAGGTGCTGAGGTCGCGCAGTTGTACGTGGGGATCGCAGGTGGCCCGGTCAAGCAGCTACGTGGGTTCGAGAAGCCGGTGTTGGAGGCCGGCCAGAGCGCGACGGTCAGTTTCTCGCTGACAAGGCGAGACCTCAGCACGTGGGACGTTACGGCACAGAAGTGGCTGCTGCAGAAGGGCGACTACCCGCTCTACGTGGGATCAAGCAGTCGGGATCTGCCCCTGACGGGGACATTGACGGTCTGAGCCGCACTGATGAGGTTTCAAGGAATGTGGAAGTGCGGCTAGTAAGTGAGCAGATTACAAAGTAATATATTAATAAAGTCTGTATCTGTAAAGCTATGATCATCATCGGGTATTATTTTGCCGCATGACTACCCAAGACGCAGCACTTGCTGTGTAAGAAGGCAAGTCACCAAGACATCGGGCGAGGACTGTGCAGACTGAGACTCCATTGGGCTGTTCGGAATATCTGCGAGTGAACAGGCAATTAGCAAGACAGTCATTCCCTGCTGGGGGTAAGGAGCGATGGCAAGATGCGCGTTCTCAGACTTTGGCAAACGGTTTCACAGGGTGTTGAGCCCTCAATCCCGTCTTGAAACATATTATTGGGTAAATGCATTCATCATAAACGCTTTCTATGCCAATGTGTATGAGGGGGAAAGGAGCTCACCTAATGTTCATGTCAGAATCTACCTTGGTAATCAGAACGATGACCATGTAAACGGACCATAACACTCTTCCCTGTTCTTGTATGAGAAGAGCCATTCCTTGAGCAGAGGGCATCGCTCCTCATGTGTCGAGCGCGACGAACGAGGGTGAGGATGAAAATGAAGGCGGAAAGCTTGGAGAGCTTGCTAAATCTCTGCTTGCAAGATGGAGCTCTGTGGGTGCAGGTGTGGTAGATTAGGTCAGCAGTTGAGGAGTGCACACCTGCAATTACCAGGGTCTGGGTGGGTCAGTCGGGGATCTCACGGCCCACCACGCAGTCCCGGCGGGTGCCTGCATCATGCTGGGAGGCCCCTGTTCTACCCATGACGACCTGGGGACTCCTGGGGGGTTGGGAGATCGACCTCTCCTCTTCTTCGAACCGTTTATCGATCATATCCCTCACCAGCACAACACATCCAGTTGACATCTCGCATCTTATACTGCGTGCGCAACAATGCTTTCAAGGTATTTATTGACTTTCGGGTCGCTGGTCGCCTCGTCTGTTGCTCTCCCCAACTTCCAGCGACCTCTGGCCAACGCCGCCTCGGACGATGACGACGACGATACTCCTCTGCCTTTGATCATCTGGCACGGCCTGGGAGACTCCTACGGCAACAAGGGCCTGCAAGAAGTCGCTGCCCTCGCCGAGGAGGTCAACCCCGGCACCCTCGTATACTTTGTCAAGCAAGGCTCCGACGCAAATGGCGACCAGCGGGCCACTTTCTTCGGCAACCTGAACGACCAGGTTGACAAGCTTTGCACCGACCTTGCTGCCGACCCCATCATCTCCACCGCGCCCGCCATCGACGCCCTCGGCTTCTCACAGGGCGGCCAATTCCTGCGCGCCTACGTCGAGCGGTGCAACGTACCGCCCGTTCGCTCCCTCGTCACCTTCGGTAGCCAGCACAACGGCATCACCGAGTTCAACGAGTGCTCGCCCACCAACTTCCTGTGCAAGGGCGCCATGGCCCTGCTTAGGGGCAACGTGTGGTCGTCCTACGTTCAGCACAACCTCGTACCCGCCCAGTACTACCGGCCCACTGGCAGCGAGGCCAGCTACCAGAGCTACCTCGAGAACTCCAACTTCCTTGCGGACATTAACAACGAGGGCGCCGAGAAGAGCCTGGCGTACAAGAAGAACTTGGCCAAGCTGGAGAACCTCGTACTGTACATGTTCGAGGAGGACAAGACGGTCATCCCCAAGGAGACGAGCTGGTTCTCCGAGGTCAACGGCACCGAGGTCACGCCACTGCGGGCGCGCCGCATCTACGAGGAGGACTGGATCGGCCTGAAGGAGCTCGACCGCAACGGCGGTCTCAAGTTCCGCGTTGCCCCCGGTGAACACATGCAGCTAGAGGTTGAGCTGCTCAACAGCACATTCAGCGAGTTTTATGGGCCTTACAAGAAGACCTTCTCGCGGGACGTCGTGATTGAGGATGAGCTCTGAGCTGAGGAAGGTATTGATCGGTATTAGTGATTAGGCGCCGGTTTCATGGTTTCGGGTTTGGTTTAGGATGGGTCTCGGGCGTTTTCAACTTTGCATTGCCTCAATTGCGTTTCTTTACCACATAATCCATCAGAATGAATGAAGCTTAAGTCTTCCGTGTATTACACCACAAGAAATTCTCTAACATGACGAAAGGCTGCGATATAAATGCTTTAGTGTTGCGAACTTGACGAGACGGTGGGTATCCCCTGGGATACCCTTTGCCATGCATATCGATGCAAGGCCCAAGGTCGGTTTGAGCATCAAATCCGGCATCCTGGGGTTGATCTTGACGCCAGCAAGCTCCCGGTCCCAGTGCCTCTTGTCTATCTCCTAGCTTTAACTTAGTTTTCCAAGGTTCTCTCACCTCCCACCTTGATTGTGAAACCTATTTGGCACGTATACGTGTACATCTCCTTAATCTAGATCTGCCTCTGTACATACGAGACCGGACATACCTAGATTCAGATGTCCCAGCTCGCTCCTGTTTGAGTTTGACTTGGCACCATAGTTCTATCTTCCGCCTTTCTCAGCCACACTGTGATTGAGTTTGACATCCTCTAAATCCGTGGTCCTGGCCCCGTCTGCGCGGTGGCTGCTGGGAGTTGCTTCAGTCGTTTCAGATGCTGTCACTTACATGTACGTGAAGATAAGTTCAGTCTGGGCACTTCAATTACAACGTCACCAAGGCATGACACAGTGTATTTCTGTGTCTAATGCAACATCGGAATTTCATGGTATTACATTCTACTTCGCAGAGACTAACTTAATTTTCCACACAGCTAGTTCGTTCTACTCGGCTACTCGATAACTAAACAACACAATCTTATCTGATGCTGTGGAAAACATCTAGATCTAAGAGGGCCCACAATATTTGAAGAACCATTGTTGCGAGAAGCTCTGGGCAACTCATTGAAAGCCGGTGGTCCAAAGTGAATGATTCCTTACAACAATCAATGAACCTATGTGGCTAAGAGCACGCTCGAAATCTAGTACCTTTGGCCACGTCTGTACAATGTAGAAAGCAAAGACACACCTACCCAGATGAGACAGCCTTGCAATCCTGCGCAACTGGCTATGATATTGAGGATTGATATACGAAAGACCTGGACAATAAAACGTTCCACTGATGTCACATCGTTCCATATCACAGTGCCACACTGCGAAGCTAGGCATGTGCGTGCCTCGAAAGAGGAGGAAGTGCAATGCCATCCTCCAGATCGCTTGCTCAAGCTGCATTATCAATCTTCAGACTCGCGGGAATAAAATCCTCCATGAGTGTGAAGAATTCGAAAAGCAGGATTGGGAATGGATCACACTTAATCCGAGATCAGAGTTGATCAGTAATCCTTTTCTGCACGATCTAAGCAATGACACGGACGGCAGGACAAATATGGGGCCCGCGCGCGGCCTCGACCCAGAGCAGCGCTTGGTGGAGCAGCTCCATCTTGAATCCTTTTGCGTCCTCGCCGCGAAGACGTCCAAAATATCGTGATCTATATTACGACTACGCAACCGACCTGACACATGCGACCATATCCACAAGAAAATATCGGATCCCGTCCGCTCTCCTGTAATCAAGCTTGTGAGAGGCAGATTAGTAGTTGGGTCGGTGACGACCAGCGAATCCCTGCTGTTGCATGTATTCTTTTGCTTTTTTCCTCATCGTGATCGTAACTACTGATGTGGTGGTGGCTCGTAAGACGTACTTTTGCCGTGTGCTGCGTGCTGCGTGTGGGCGGGTGGACGGGTCGCGTTGTGTGCCGATCAAAGACCAAAGGTGATATGCAGAGTTGTGGCGCATCTCAGTTGCAGCATCGAGGGGATGCATTGCGTTCTTCTCGTGTCCAACATCTCAGTCCAATGGCGGTGAAGCTGCATGACGTTGGAACATCGTGATACCACAGAGGTTGAAGCAGGCAACGTGGACCCGGATTTACACAGCCAGTGAGCCGTCGACGGGGAGTCGTGATAAGTCCGTGACGGGCGAGACTGTCTGCTGTGTGGGGCTTGGCGCCGCTAAGGGTCGCGCGCCCAGGGGCTTATAAATCGGGGCGCGCGCCTCCCTAGCCCGGAAGTCGTGCTGATAAACGACCTCGATAGTGATAGTCTATCTCAATTACCTCGTAGGAGGCTTGGGTTGGCGGCCGCTTGCTAAGAGACTGTGCACGCCTTTGAGGGTCCAACGCTAATAATGACTCGGACAATGACGGATGTTACGAACGATGCTTCTGGATCGGCCGTCGTTGCCAGAATGGACTGTCAGATGCTGTTCGGTTGAACAATGATAAAAGGGACGAACGCCGTCCTGGTCAATACTCGAGCCAGGATGCATCATAACATAACTCACCACTTCTTTCACTCACTCCAGTCTCTCACATAACATATCCATCTTACCAGCTTGACTTCGTCGAAATTTCACATCATGACTGCTATCAAGAAGGTCGCCATCGCTGGTGTAAGTCCCTCTCCCGAACTCAAACATGCTCGCTCACACGAAACACTTCGAAACTGACACAAATGCTAGGCCAACGGCGCACTTGGATCCGCAGTCTTTGCGCAGATTGTCAAGGGAGGCTTTGAAGTGACCGCCCTCGTCCGAAGTGCGGGCAAGATTCCCAACCTCCCTTCGTCAGCAAAGGAAGTTGTCGTCGACTTCACCTCCCAGGACTCCCTCGCCGCCGCCCTCAAAGGTCAAGACGCGACAGTCTCCGTGCTCGGCTCTCAGCCCGGGGCGGGTGCCGCACAGAAAGCGCTCGCCCAAGCCTCCGCAGTCAGCGGCGTCAAGCGCTTCATCCCTTCAGACTTTGGCAGCAACCTCGAAAACTCCGAGGTGCGCAAGCTCGCCGTCTTCAAGGAAAAGTTCGAGGTCCGGGACGAGCTGGCGAGGCTGGCGAAGGAGGGCAAGCTCACCTGGACGAGTGTTTGCAACAACGCCTTCTTGGACTGGGGGCTGGAGAACAAGTTCGTCCTGGATCCTGTCGAGGGCAAGGCTACGCTGTGGGACGGCGGTGACTTCCCCATCTCAGTTACACGGCTGGCTGCGGTAGGCCAGGCTGTCGTCGGCGTCCTGAAGCACCCAGATGAGACAGCCAACCGCACAGTCTACGTCCAGGAGGCCGCAGTGTCGCTGAAGCAGCTTGTTGAGATTGCCAAGGAGCTCACCCCTGGCAAGAAGTGGACGGTCGTTGAGGGCAACACAGCAGAGGTCGTTCAGAAGTCCAACGAGGCGCTTTCTAAGGGTATTTTCGAGGTTTGGGTGTTCGTCAGTCTCATCTTCAGGGCTGCCTTCTCAAACGCCACTGGGGCGCACTTTGCCAAGAACGACAACGCCCTGCTCGGCATACATGAGTTGTCCGAGGCGGAGCTTAAGGCGGCGGTCAAGGAAACCTTGGCTGGCATACCCGGAGTGAACTAGGCTCTTGAGTGGCTGTCAAGCACAACGACAAAGAGCTCGGGGATAAAAGTGTAGTGCTTGCTAGGGAGCTTCCCGGATATATCAAAATGACCAATCAGCTTAAATCTTCCACTCATCTTTGTACGAATGCGTTGCGGCGGATGTGTCGATCGCCGCCAAGGCTTCCGGGATAATGCTGAACGGGGACTACAAAAGCAGTGACTTGCAAAGTGTCAATATACGTGTAAGGATCGCTCAGTGTTGAGCAAGACCGGTGCTTCCGCAGGTAGCCAGTCGATTGTTTCACAGGAAAAGTGCGCTTGACAGCCCAAAGTTTTCGGTAACACTAAGTGGGCAATCGATCCTGGATCGGCCCGGGATCGTCGGCGAGACAAGGATGATCGTATCTTCAAGGCTCGTTAATCACATCAGATGCAGATGGTTGGGTGCATCCATGCGGGACAGCAGATCTTCGAAATAAACAACTGTAGTATCTACCAGCCACAAAGTAAAGTTTTGTACACGTGTAAATCTTGCGGAGTGAAAGCTCAGCCACATCAAGTCATTCGGCATATCTCAAAATCATGGTAATCGATAGTCACTGAAGTACACTCACTGTTTTGCTCCATATGGCGAAGGTGTTGAAAGTCTGAAGCATGAGCTTCCGACTCACAGCTAGAAAGTATATCGCAAATGCTGGCTATTCTCTATCTATCATTATGCTCATTAAAAACTCCTATCCTGTTTAAGGATGGAAACTATCCAAACCATGACACCTCCTAATATGCAAGGCAAGATCAAATCCCACGTCCATAAAAATCTCTTAGCAGCTCAAAGACCATTGACTATCTGCGGAAGCAGCTTCTCCGTAAAGTCCCATAGAATTGGAGTGTAATCAGGCGCCCAAGCGAGACCTGTCCAGTACGTGCTGCGCTGGCCTTGCAGAGCATAGAGCTGGTTGAAGAAGCCCGCCGACAGATCTTCAGCTGACACCTTTGGAACAGTCGATCCATGGTTGGCAAAAGCAACGACTGAGGGCGAGCCAATATCGTAAGTGCCTGCCTCGTCTATAGTAGTGAGAGATTGCGTAATAAGTGCCTCTGCGTCGGTGGAGGAAAGCCCAGCCTCCCCGATGATTCGCGTAGCGAAGAGGTCTCGGTCTCCCTGACGATCGAAGGCGTCGCAGAAAGAACCTTCAGGCAGATAGAAGGCTGAAGAATTATCTGGAGAGTTCCGGATACCAGTAACATCCGAAGGAAGGCTGGTGTTGCTCACAACGCCGACATAGAGCGTCTCCCATGAGAACTTGTTAAAGAGAGTTGTCTCCGTCTCATCCAGATCCCAAGGGGCGGTATTATCCGGCGAAGGTGTAGCGGCGATGAGCAACTTCTTTGCCTGCACTGTTCTTTGGCCTGATGGTGTTTGGACCGTAACAGTAACGCCACTGTCGGTGCGTTGGCTCGAGGCGACAGTAGACTCAAGCAAAACATCGTCGCCCAGCAGAGTCAGTACCCGGTCGAACAGCGTCTCTGATGAGTAAGTCTCAGGCCACTTGAAGGCAGGACCGGTGATTCCGAGACCGAAAGCAGCGATCTGAGGCTTTCCAACCACGGCCATAACGAACCAGGTGGGAGTGTTGATCGCATCCGAGAGCCAAAGCAGGTTTCGCAGAATTCCTAAGGAAGCTCCGAGGTCGTGTTTCTCCAGGAATTCGCCGAAGGGCAGCAGCAGATCTTCAGGGACATCGCCGGTCTGGAAGTAGCCGTTCTCAAACCAGGGTTGATATTCGATGGCCAAGGCTAGGTACTTGAGAAGAGCAATAGGAATGCCAAGCAGGTCCACTGGGCCATAGTCGACGTCGACGGGAAGACCCGTATTGAAGTCAACGTTCTTCGTCAAGAGCAAAAGGTCAAGATAATCCGTAATATCCGGGTTGATCAGATCCAGATCGAAACGTTTGAAGAAGTCCGCGGTTGTTTGCCGATTCAGATATGCCTGAACTCCGTAGTTCACCGGTCGACCACTTCCTGAGGAGTAAGCGTGAACGTGACCACCCTGTTGTGGTCATCTTGTTAGTAACAGATTCTGAATGATGGTTCCCTGCACGGAGACCATGGCTCACCAGTCTGTTGGCCTTCTCAACAACCAAGACGGTCTTGTTGTAGTCCTCCCGAAGTCGTACGGCAGCATAGGCTCCGGTTGCACCACCGCCGACGACGAGCACGTCAACCTCGTCTGCTTGCGCATACGCGCCGGCCCCGGCCAAAGCGGCACATAGCAATGCACTCTTAGTAAATCTCATGGTGACTCAGGAGGAAAAGACCTGAACGCGAAAATATCGAGTCGATCATCCTGTCGTACGTGCGCGGGCATATATATATGCCGCGTCAATCTCGCTTCCGAGTTCTGTTGTATTCCGTCGCTGCCGCATGCATGATTGACAGCTACCTGATGACCGCCCTATTAAGCTCGTCAGCTGTAAGCTGCTGTCCTCCATTACCACCTGTTATTCCTTGACCGGGTGAGCTCACGGGGCCCCCCGCGTCATTCGCCAGGTCCGAATGGGTTTGCGTGTCGCCTGTCATTTCTTTTAGGTTTTAGCCGAAAGCTACCATGTGAAAGAATGGACCCGCACAGCCCCTGTCCAGGCTTGAGTGGGTGTAGGTGCCGGCATGAGAGGCTGCCTCTGAAGATCTTGGCAATATAGAGCACACCTGTCATCCTGGGCTGCTGAGGCCTTCGGCGTTAACTCGATACGAACGTGGGATGCGTTGGCTGTAAATTGAGATTTACCGAGCCAAACTATATTGCAGGAGACTCTTGCCGACGCTGTGTACTCTATCTTTGAGCATAAACAGACGCTGCGCCTGGGAGCACTCGGTGACTTATTTGACTTTTGGTTCAGCAATTTGCCCCTGCACCGCCCATCCGATGTCTTCAGCCAAGCATCCCCGGGCGAGCACATGGAAGGCTTCTTAAAGTAGACTCTGCATCTTTACGCAGCCGCGGAGTGGCTCAGGAGAGCACTCAAACCTGAATATCACGGCAACCCCCGCGATGTCATTTTTCTCTTGAGCAACATTAGAAATGCTACCATAATACCTTTCTGACAGGCTTTGCTGAATGCGGGCTTATTTCGGTCAACCCGTCACGAAACTAAATATGATGGTTGTTCTCCTTTTATGCTGCTCCCTGAGCAACGTTGAAGACAAGCCTGAGAATATTTCAGAAATAGCGCACAATTTTACACGAGGATGCATCGGTCAGCTCATGATGATTTCCCCTGACAGTTGCTTGGTTTCCTTTTTTCTGGTGGCGAGAGACTGCTTGGATAGCTTTTACTAAGCTTCGAAGTGCGTAATTTGTTGATATATCAAAACTCTGTGAGGTGACTTTTTATTTGACCATTGGTACATGTATACATTCCAGTCTGAGTTCTCTGAAGATTGTAAGGGGACCCAATGATGCCGTGCATCTACGAGATACAGATCTTGTGTCCAAAGAGCAATCGCGCCAGGGCAATATCAGGGTCAGTTCCTTCACCGTTACACAATGCACATCGTCTTGTATTACCCGACATGTTCATGCACTCAAGCACAGTCTTGGAAAAGCAGAACGCTTTCCTCAATTGCAATACTCCCAGTCACACGTCTTCGACTGTGAAGGTAATGCGTGACCTAAAATGTCTTCTGTGATATAGGCCCCGTATTAACCTTCCTGCACGTATCGCCCCATGAGAATGAAATTGGTTCATAGTGAAAAGTGATTTCTTTTATTGTTCTTCCAATCTAGTGATATATTATTACTCTTGTGGTTTGTCTTCACGCAGAAGAATATAATGAGCCCGCACCGAGACTCTGTGAGCCTCCAAGAAGCCCTGAGGATGAGAATACCAAGACATACGAACATGTGCCTGCTCACACGAAATGTCCTGACGGGAGTTCCCGCACCTCCTGCTCATCGTAACCGTCCATCTCATCTTCGAGAGCTACGACATCTTGAAACGAGATCGAGCCGCCGTCCGCCCCTTCAATGTCGATTTGCGCGGCCGCTTCGCCCGGAATCGCGGGCTTGACTGATACCGGTCTTGGGCCGTCAGAGCGAGATTTCCTCGCAGCCTCTCGCTCCACAGCGATCCAAGCATGGCCCATCTTTGCGATGGCATCGCGATGTTCGCTGTCCAGGGGCCCGCTCTCTCCGTCAGAGCTGTTGTCATGAGCGCCTAGGAACACGTTCAGAGGCTCAAAGTCGTTGATGTTGAAGAGGACCTCGCGGACTCGAATAGCGCCCGTACTGGCATCTGAAATCCTGAAGCGGGATTCGAGTTTTCTATTCGTAATCTCCTTGTCCAGAATATCGTGCACGTGGAGGAAGGCCCTCATATGAAAGATTGCATGATCTTGCAATATCTCCAGGGTTGCTGTTGAGACAGGTTGGAGCTCCGGATCAGAATCGCTCCAAGGATCAATGTCGTGGAGATAGGCTGAGGCGGTCACACGGGAATATAAGATACTAAGAATATCACTGATTGGCGGGATATTCGTCGTGGATCGTAGATCTTTGACATGTCGAAGTGAAGGCTCCGACATGACTGATGTGCTGAGGCAGGCTGGACACTTTCCGAAACAGAACATTGATGTTTACGTACACTGTTTCGGATGGCTGGATGAGATGAACGGTGAGAATAAATTTAGAGAGATGAGAATGCTAGGTGATTTATGTACCATTCTTCGTTTGAGAATCTTGTCTAGGGCCAGAAGTATGATCATAGACGTGATGGAACTAGGACAGAAAAATCAACAAAGACATTATAAACGGCGTTTTGTCTCTTGTGACGAGATATTCTGGCGCGGAAAGCATTGTTACAGCCGTCTGTCGCAAATGACGAATCATATAGCCGCATCTCCTTTCAAGTATTGACACTCCAGTGCCTTGGATTCAGTTAGCGACTTTTGTCAAAGAAACAAACAGCGGCCAGGAATCCAGTACTCACTTGTTGTGCCGTCATTCTCTTCGAATCATATCTCACCAGCGCCGCAATCATGTCTCTCCAGCCCTCATCCACGCCGCTCAGTATGGCCTCCCATGGCTGCGCCTCAAACACCCGGTAAATTTCAAAAGGCGGCGTCCTGAAGCTTGCAGCCTCAGGCCAAGTCTCTATCGTTGGCGTTCCGATGGTCTTGAAGATGCTCAGTATCAGGCCCAACTGGTTGCCATCCTCGTGAACGGCACGAGACTCAAAAAGTGGCTTTGGCGGGCTCCGCACGCACTCCGCCAGCATGCAACCCGCAGCCCACATGTCCACTGGCGGACCATAGGACTTGTCCCCAAAGAGAACCTCAGGCGCGCGGTAAGGCCCAGTACCTATGTCGAGGATCTTGGCAGCGGCGGGCTCCGTGGTGCTGGACAGATCTGGGTGCCACGCGGTGCCGAAGTCAGAAAGGTAGGCCGGGCCATCGGGCGATTCGAGGAGAATTGCCTGCGGCTTCACGTCGCGGTGTATGATGCCATCACCGTGAATATCGGCCAGAGCGTGGAATACATCATTGAAGATCGATCGTATTTGGGTATTGGTGAGAGGCCCACGCTCGAGGAGAGCGGACAAGGTCAAGGGCATGTAGGGGAAGACGAGGGTAAAGCGGTCTTCGTGGTCGCGGAAGGTCTCAAGAAGTGGTATGCATGGCTTCTTCAACTGAGCGAGGATCTTGGCCTCGCGGGTGGGATTGTGAGGCTCAATGCCGTGGGTCTCAGTGATTACTTTGAGGGCACGGTCTTTGTGGCGATAGACCTCGGCTGTGACGCCGCTGGCGACGTATTGGCAATTTCGGTACGGGCCTATCCTCTCTCCAGCTTCCTCGTCAGAATCGTCATTGCCGCTTTTAGAGATGGCGCAATACGAATCCGAAGGTAAAGGCTCTGGCTGTTGAGGTTCTGAAGAGAGCGGACTGTTGCAGGCAGCATCGTACTCGGACTGAAGACCCCGTTAATGCGGCTCATCTCGGACGAGGAAGTCAAGCACTTGCTCTTGAAGATGAAGAACTATAAGCCTCATTTTCCAGTGCGAAGGCAGTTTTGGCTACGGCAAGCTTCTGGTTTGACAGGATGATCTGACTAGTCGGTATCAGGTCAGTGAACATGTCTTCGCCTTCCTGGGCGTTGGGAAGCTTGGGGGAGAAGAAAAAAAAGGGGGGGGGGGATCACAGACATTTTCTGGATGTTGTCATAACGCTCGGAAGCTGTGAGAGAGGCTTGCCAGTCGTGGGAACCGGTCATCGTGACGCACAATTGGGCTGCCTCTTCTTGAGGGAGTGATCTGGAAGGGGACTCGTGCGTAAGCGGCTCTGGGGTGAGACATGGAGGTTGTGTCAGTCTCAGCCCGCCGTTGAAGCTCGAGCGCATTCGAGTTTGGGCTGTCAGAGGCGTGGGTCTTTGCTGTGCTCTCGCGCAAGGCGGCCAGCAACCACCATGCACGACTTGGACATCTGGTTCATAGATGGCTATGCAGGTACCACAGATGTTGAATTAGCAATGTGAAGCCTTTTCCTTCTTGCGCATACTGTACACGAGAAATGTGCCCCAACTCACACTCACTGAAGAGTGTCTCTTGTTCTCCCCACCTCGACTGACCCGAACCCTTGGCTGCCCAGTGTGCCTGACTGGACACCCACCCCCCTGTTCGTGCTCCGGTGACATCAACATCCATCATTTTCATTTTCCTTCTTGCTCAGGCACTCAGGCCAGACGCGATGGTGCAGCACTAGCAGCCGGAAACAAACCCACCCCCCTCCCCCATCCCCCCTCCCCTCCAAGCCCAAGTTACCGTACACTATTCCAACTGTGCGGGCCGCGGCACATGCCCATGCCCCCCGTTCTGCGGGCAGCTGAGCAAGATGAACGACCAGCCCAAATTTACCACGAATTGATTGAGCTCCGCGCCGGACTACCGGGGCTGGGTCGGACTGGACTGGATTGGATTCAATTGAATTGAGCGGAATTGCATCCATTCCTTCGCATCTCCCGCCCGATTCACGACTGCCTCTTGTCGTCTCTGCTCTGCTCTAATCTGCATACATCCTCTGCCTTCTACATTCCTCCATCTGTAGACTTTTCTTCTGTGCTAGACAGACAGACAGACAGACAGGCAGAGGCAGGGCTCATCTCCCAAAACCCCAGATTCTCCAAGGGCAGATCATGTCATTGTAACATCGTATCAGCCAGCCCAGCCCGCCAAAGCCCAGCCAGCCAGCCAGTCTGCCAAACACGCCAGCCAGCCGGTCCAGTCCCGGCCAGCCACTCGCAGCTAACTTCAGTAGAAACATCCCCATACCCATACACCCATACACCCATACACACCCATACACACCCATACAACCATACCAACCTAGAGCCAACCTAGAGCTGGACACATCACATGCGGTCCCAGTGATCTTCGTCCGCATTCCGACATCGCGAGACACCTCTTTTCTGTACATAGACCTCGCCCCTCGCACTCGACCTCTCTTTCCCACCCTCTGTGCTGCCACCCAATTCCCGGCGCCAGCTTCTCGACCTCCTGAATCCTCCCGAAATAATCCTCTCCCGACCTGCCCGACGACAAGGCTCAGACACCAATTGCTACCTGATGACTCGCCTCTTCTATCCCATCTAGATCGCACAGTGTTTGCGCCCAACATCCGGCAGTCGACCAGATCCAACCATGGACGAAGTGCAAAGATCCGAATACCCAGCCATGCTGGTAAGCTCACCCATCAGCCTGTACCGATGCGCCGGCTCGCCCACGCCGTGCTGGCCGGTGCCACCGGACCCCAACACAGCCATTGTTTGCTAACAGGGCCCTCCGTCTCCGCGCAGGCAAACTTGCAACCGGGCCAGGCCGTGCAAGTGGTCAACGAGAGGCTGAAGCGGATTGGCAAGATCAACACCGAGATAGCGGACTGGCTCCAGGTATGACGACTACAACCCGAAGCACGAGCAAGCACCCAAGATGCCCCTCTCGAGGGACCACAAGAGTGGGCTCAGGGGGCTGACACACAGTATCGCAGGAACGCCGGCGGCTCGAAGATCAATATGTTGCTGGGCTCAAGAAGCTGTTGCTATTCAAGGTGCCCAACGCCTCGTCCGACCTGGGGTGAGTCTCCCCTGCATGACCACACCCATAGTGTCCAGGTGGTGTCCCACGAGCGTCTCTAACAATGCGCCCCTACTTCACAGCATCTTCCAACCCTCCTGGGACAAGATTCTCCACTCTACCGACGCCATCGCCGCATCGCACCACCTCTTCGCCCAACGAGTCGAGAAAGATGTCGAGCAGGACCTGCGTCAGTTCCAATCTCGCAAGGAGTTCCAGAACATGACAACCATGTCGGCGAACCTGTCTGCGATCGCAAAAGAGTTGGAGGACGCCAAGGAGAAGGCCGACAAGCTGAGCAGGAAAGGCGGCAAGGCCAGCGCCCTCAAGGTGGACCAGGCCACGGGGAGGCTGGAATCAGCTACCGGGCAGTGGGAGTCGCAGGCGCCATTCATCCTCGAAACATTGCAGGCCCTGGATGAGCAACGATGCAACCATCTCCGAGACGTCCTCACCCAGCTACAGACGCACGAAGTTGACCAGGCCGACAGGCTACGGGCCACAGCCAACGACGCCCTCACTACGATCCTCGAGGCAGATACATCGAAAGAGGTGGACAACTTCGCAACGAGGGTAACAGCCGGGCGGCCCAACTTAAAGAGGAGGACTGGCACTGGCACTGCCTCGATGGAGAGGACGCCGACTACGACAAGACAATCTTCCTCGACTAATGTGCAACCGCCGACGACTGCAGATTCCAGTCTCGCTCCGCCGCAAACGGCAGCTTCCTTCAACGATGATGATCGGAGTGATCATTCAACACCGGGCGCCGAGAAATCTGGTACGTCTAGCTATGGCAAGTAGCTGTGCGTGGAGTTGTAACTGACAACAGGTGCAGAAAACAAACTAAGAAGCCGGATTGGAACAATGCTCGGCCGGCGAAGGCAGAGCGTCCATGGCGGGTTTGGCCAGCTCTCTCCGGGCAAGAATGCGGGCCCCTTCAACCGAGCATCAAGCAGTCACGGTCGACTATCACCACATGCATCAGCGAGTAATCTTGCCATCTCGACCGGTAGGCTAGATGCATTGACAGAAGCCCCCGACACGCCCAGATTGCCGAAGCCCGAAGCTACTGAAGAGGCAGCAGCCACCAACGGAACTCATCTCGAAGCCTCAGATGATAATGTGCCGCCACGGACAATCTCGACTGGTCTCAATGGGATGACAGTCGAAGAGATATTTGATGCGCCGCCGCCGCCAGGTCCACCACCATCGCATCTCAACAAGGAAGGCGAACCCGCCAAGGACGAGGACGGGTTCACGATACCGCCAGCAGCAAACGACCCTATCTCCCAAGCGCAAAGGGATGCAGCGGACGAGGCAGGAGAGGAGCACGAACAGTTGTTCAAGCTCAACATACAGAACAGCCCGATCGCCGAGGAGGACCCGGACGAGTCTAAGGCAGCGCAACTAAGTGTCGCGAACACTCTGAGCACGATGCAGATGCCTGCGCGCAGGTCAGGGACCGTTCGTGGCCGACGAGATGTGCGGAACACGATGTATATGCCCAACCCTCCCGCATTGCCAGGCTCAGAGGCCGCTTCATCCCTCTCGCCTGGTGAACCAACGCAAAATCTACCACCATCTCCCGCACTGCAAGGCGCAGGCAGTAGCATGAGCTCGAGGCCGTCAGCCATACACACTCTGGCAAGTGAGGCCAGCGTGACCGGGACCAGCGACACGCAATCAGTCCGGAGTGCAACTAGCTTGGGAGGCATGGCACACGGCAAGCACCCGGATTTGACCGGACCCGGATTAAACTCTAGCATTGTCGAAACGGTGTCGGCGTCGTTCGAGGGAGGCGTTTTAAAAACTGTTCGGATCAACGGGGAGATCGCATTTGCGTACAACGGAGACGGCACGGTTTCCGAAGGTAAGCCATCTCATGTGCTCGCGCCGAGTTGAAATTCTAACACGAAATAGCCCGCGAAGCGATCCGTATCAACGATTTCCCCACTCTGGAGTCCATCGGCCCCAACCGAATCTTTGTGTCCAGCACACCGTCGCCGGACGAGTTCACCCTTGATCTGTCGCACATCCCTCCGAAGACTGCCACCCCGGCGTTCACTTACCGCGTCCACGCCGAGGAGCCCACTTCCTCTCACCTTGCGAGCCACTGCCCTGTGATAATTAACCCAGCCTGGAAGCCAACCGGCGACAAACTCGGATTACTGCTACAGTACAAGCTCAATCCCGATTTTAAGCATGAGGCGGATAAGCCCGTGGTGCTCAAGGGCTTCACCATTATTGCAACCTACACAAATGCGCGCGCCAGCGGTGTTCAGACGAAACCTGCGGGCACGCACCTCAAGGACAAGCACGTGGTTTACTGGCGATTAGGAGACGTGACACTCCAACCTGGGTCGGACTGGCACAAGATTGTTTGCCGGATCATCGGAGCAGAGAACGGCGAGCCGAAACCCGGCAACATCGAGGCTAGGTGGGAGTACATCAGCTCCAGCACCGCTTGGGAGGAGGAGGGAGACGAGGGCAGCCACAGCGGCGGTATCTCGATAAGCCGAAAGAGAGAGGGCAAAGGGAAGGGCAAGGCCACGGCGGAAGACGAGAAGAGCGACAGCGAGGACGACCCCTTCGCGGACGAGAGCGCAGCTGTGAGCCCGAGGCTGAAAGACCAGAACGTCAGCTGGCAGCAGATACCGACTGTGCGGAAGATTGTGAGCGGAAAGTACGAGGCAAAGTGAGCATGGCCGGTGTCGGCTGGCAGGAGAAGGCAGCTGAAAAAAAAAGAGAGCAACGTGGCATAATGGTGGAGCACGTGGTATTCAATGATAATGGGTGAGGGATTGCATACTGCTGGCGACGGCCGGGGAAAACAGGAGAGATTACTGCATTTGCGCGGCTGAATGATGTTTCTGGCGAGGACGGATCTTCAAAAGACGCCGCTACTATACCACCTCTTCGTACTTTTCTGACACGTATGTACTTGGTATACCAATCTATTTTGTAAACTGTACAATTACGAGACTGCTGTAAAAGATGCCGTGCATTGGTGGGAGCTGAGATAAGGCCCTGATCACTTCACATGCAGGGAAATTTGCATATTGTTGTTTCCCATACGGCCTTGCCAGGGCAACACAGTACATCTTACAGGCCTTCGAAATGCGTTGCCTTCATTGAATTATCAGTCAACAAGACATGATACCATAATACATTAGGTAGCGATAGATACTACGTGATCATATACCGCAGTTACCCTCGCACACCCGCCACCCCCTACTTGTCGTTGCCCTCCCTGACAGCCTCGTCATACAGCTCGAGTGTCAGGGCAGCCAAGAAGCCCGGTATGCAGTTCTTCTCCGTGACCCAATACTTGCGCGTGTCCGAGATCTTGAGGGCAAAGGCGCTCTTGGGCCCGCCGCCGACCTTCATGGAGCCGCGCTCGCCGTCGAAGACGATGGAGCGCTCGTGCTCGTCCGTCTCGCTGGGGTAGTAGACGCTCTCGAGCCGCATCTTGTTGCTGGGGATGAAGGTCACGTGCCACCCCAGGAGCTGGAAGACGGCCTCCTTGAACTCGGCCGACTTGTCCGTCCACACCTCCTTGAGGCGCTGGCACTTCTTGCGCGCCGAGGCGGTCTCGTCGCGCGCCGTCTGCAGGTCCCGCTGCAAGGCGATGAGGGTCGACACCGGCACCACGGGGAACTTGCTCGTTTCGCCGTCGTGCACCAGGAGGCGGAGCTCTGTGTTCTCGTTGCGCAGCTCGTTGATGGTGGCTTGTTTGGCCGCTTGGTAGTCGTCTGTCGGGTTGGAGCGCATTTGAAGGATGCGCACGTTGCTCGACTGTTTTGCGGCCGCGAGCTGCTCCTGCGCAACAGACAGCTCTTTTTGGAGGACTTTGTGCTTTGTCTCAAGCGAGGAGAAGTCATCCTGGAGTTTGCGGTTCTTACGCGCGAGTTGGCCCAGTTGCTCGTTGTGTTGTTGAGAATCGGCCGTGTCATCAGTCGGCAATGGCCGTTTCACGCCCGCAACCGCTCCAGGGCTGCTGCTGGAGGATTCGGCTGATCGGAGCTCGGATTCCAGATTGTGCACTTCGGCCTTGTACTTGTCGACAAGCGATTCAAGCTCTTGGATTCGTTGAGCCTTGGTCTCATCGTATGCTTCGGGCTGGAGCGTCATGTCTTCGCTGTCGTATGACTTGAGTTGTGCCCGCAAAAATTCGACCTCCTTTTCGGCGAGGACGCGTTGGCGATCAAATCGTTGGCGCGCCTTGTCGAATGAGCCACTGACTGGACTCGTTTTGAGCTGTTCAATCTGGCTGACTAGGCTTGCCTTCTCATCCTCGAGATCCTTGATCAGGGAGTCCCTCTCTGCAACCTGGGGCTGAATAGAGCCGAGCTTCTCTAGGAGAGAGGCAGAGTTGAAACGCTCTTCCACCAGAGCCCGTGCCATGGCTTCAGGCGAGTCGAATTCAGCCTGGCCCTCGTGCTCCAGGTACGCAGCCCAGGCCAGACGCTCAGCTTCTAACCGTTCTCTCTGCCTTCGCTCTTCGCCCAATTCTGCCCTCATGTCTTCAGCAGCGTCCAGCTTCCTCAAAAGGGTGGCCTTCTCCTCCTCGACGATTTCCACGGCCTTGTGAGTCTGCCGAAGGCGTTTAAGTTCTGCCAGTTGCCTTTCGTTCGTTGCCTCCAAATGGCGAATGTGCTGAACTTGCTCGGAGAGCTCCCGCCGTATAATTGCCATGGTCTCTGCGTCGCCAGTGTGGGCCTTGAGCCGCAGAACCTCCGCCTCCAAATCCCCGATAGAATTATCCTTGCCAGCCAGCTGCTCTTGAACATGGCGTAGGGTCTCCTCCCTCGCTTGGCCATCCTGCTCTAGTTTTGCGATTTGATTGCTCGCTGTTTGGATCTGTGATTGTAAATCTGCCACCTTTCTCTCTTCCAGACGGGCCTGCTCGTCTCTGGCGGCATTGAGGTCCTCTATTTGCTCCCTGAGAAGCCTGGACTCATCTTCAGCTGCCTTTGCGCGCTTCTCCGCTTCAGCCTTCTGGCCATCGTGGGTTTCCCGAAGCTCTTGAAGTTCTTGTTGCAGACGTTCCACATGCCTGAGCGCGGCGTTCGCCTCACTCTCTGCAGCTTGCTTTTTCTTGAACTCGTCATCGGCCAGCGCCCTTGCCTTCCGCAGCTCATTCTCCTGCTGGACTCGCGCGATCTCCTGGTCGGCTTCAGCGGTGGTGATTGTGTAGCGTAGGGTGCCGAGGTCGGCTTTCAGCTGTTCTATCTGCCGCCTTTGAGCCTCGTACTCCTCTGCGTCCGCAGGTGCAACATTTTCCTTAGAGGACTCGTGTGAGGCGGCGCGTGGAAAGTTGGGGGAAGTGGTGGACTGGCGCGATTGGGACATTGAGCGGGAACGCGATTGTGACTGTGAGCGCGGTTTGCCTTCTTGGGCGAGATTGTAGGATGGTTGGATGCTACTGCTGCGGATAGCATTGAGCTACATGGAACGGCGTAAAAGTTAGTCAAATCAGTACGACCTGCAGTGTATCATGGAAACGGGCAATGTTTACCCTGGACTCGCGCAGGGAGGCCTGTGGCCTGGGCAGACTGGACGCGGTTGCTCGAAAACTGTTGCTATTGCTCGATACAGATCCACGCCGCGATCCAGTGGTAGATGGAGGGCGGTCAGTCCCAGGACCCTGTGGGGTGCGAGGTATCATGACGGCATGTGGGCACCGTCTAGGTTGAGAAGTCTGGGTTGGAGGCGTTGTTTGTATCGATGTTGACGTTCGCGACGATACGCACGCTAGCGCTTGCTGTTGGCTGGGGCACTAGGCAAGGCCCCGGGGGTGGTGTGATGTGGTCCTGAACCAAGTAGACTGTTCCAGTGGGCCAACCCTGCTGTTCTAAGCCCCCAAACATGCTACAGCTCTGGAGCTGCCCAAGCCTCCCTGCAAGTTCATCAGTATTAGCATTTCCCAACCATCAATTCACACATATTCACCTAATAGTCTTGCGTCCCAGGTATAATATTTATTGAACTGAAATTGCACATGTAAGGGGTAATCAATGGCCTCACAGTTCCATGGGCAAAGATAAATCCTTGAACCGCTTGCTGGACTGCGAGTGAGGGGGCGTCTGTCTCCCTGTAGAAGTAACGTGAATCACCTGCACAAAGAGCTCTTGTTGGTAACTCCTCTCACAGACATCATTCTCACAGACTACTCTATTCTGAGTATTAGATGGAATGTAAGCCACTGCTGGGTCTGTTTTGTTCAGGCGTGCCTACGCAGTATAGGTACCCAAACTCGTGCGTGGCTGGCTCTCCTGCATGGCTAGGTATGGAGATGCATGGTGCACATTGGTCCAAAGAAATCCCTTTCTATACATAAAGTGCCTTATTCAATGATATCAAACAGGTTTCAGGCAAATCAGTGCTCTGCTGGTTTCTGGTCAAGCTGGCTTCAAAAATGGTACCTTAGCTCTTGAAGTCATGATCATATATACCATCTATTTTCGAGGCTGCACACGCAACACCTTATTGACGATCTACAGAACCAGGCCTGCATGGAAATCCCCACAGCTCAACCTTTGTCCCTCCATTCGTCAGTTGTCAAGCTTGTCCAGAGGTCTTGGGTGCCGCGATGTGCCTGTGCCTGCACATGTACCTGGCTGTGCCTGTCTGTGCCTTGATCTGTACTGAGTCTTGTCTGCCCTGACAGCCTTAGGACCCGCCCTGAGACCTGGCGGACCCACGCAGTGACGAGGATCGGGGATATTGCCCTCTTAACTCCAACCGGGCTTCCGAAAGCTTATAGCTCACCCCGGTGTGTTCTAGAAGGAAATCTCGCAAGCTTCCCTCCACACCCTCACTCCTATCCCACCCCGAGACATGGAAAGATCCACAAGGTGACATTTCGCGGCATTTGCTGCCACTCCGACTTTTCCTCCTCAACATCACATTCCTTGGCGGGCACGCATTTCTTTCTTTGAACCCCCGGCTATCCGGAAAAGGCGGCAGCAATGGCGACGCTGCGACTTCTGGTAAGCTCCGCGAGCACACTCAAGTTGCTTGGGCGCGAGACGTCATGGCCCACTCTCGCCCTTGTCCGGTGCAATTGAGCTCGAGCTGACCGTCGCTGCTCTCCTGTAGATGCGCAGCACCTCGGCGCGACCGGTGCTCCCCTCGAAAGCCCAACAGCACCCCTACCGTCGACTCCAAGCCATTTCTGCCGCCCACCGTTCTTTCACTGCGAGCAGCTACTTCCGAGATGGTCGTGACAAGAGCAAGGCTGAGGGAGAGTCCAAGTCACTTCTGGATGCCATAGAGGAGAGCTCCAACGAGAGTGCCAAGGGAGAGGACAAGGACGGCTTGAACAAGACAAGCTCTTCCGCCGGCAAACCGTCCTCGACCTCCAAGATCCACAGATCCAGCGGCTCCAGCTCGTCCGCCAACTCTTCTTTCAACGACATCGACGAGGACTGGGAGGCTAACCCCAACTGGAATATCAAGAACTTCAAGGAGTTGCCGCACAAGAACTTTGGCGTTAACCAGCATATCGTCATCAACGCCGAGTTCAAGGAGGCCTTGCGCCAGATTCCCTGGCAGTTCCGCGCCCCCGTCCGCTACTGCTTTGCATACGGCTCCGGCGTCTTCCCACAGAGCAAGCCTGACGGCCGCGTTGCTTCGCCCGAGGAAATCGCGCGCGTCCATCCCAAGGCGCCTCCTGCGGTTCAGAAGGCCCAGGATGGCACTCCCAAGATGATCGATTTCATCTTCGGCGTGACCTTCACCCAGCATTGGCATAGTCTGAACATCAACCAGCATCGGGATCACTACAGTGGACTGGCGAGCTTGGGCTCTGGTGCTGTGTCGTATGTACAGGACAAGATGGGCGCGGGCGTGTACTTCAACACGCACGTCGTGGTCAATGGCATTCTGATCAAGTACGGCGTCGTCAACATCGACGCCCTATGCCATGACCTGACCGAATGGGATACGCTGTACCTGGCTGGTCGATTGCATAAGCCCGTCAAGATCCTGCGTGACGATGCACGTGTGCGTCTCGCCAACCAGATGAACCTTTTGTCGGCGCTGCGCACCGCCCTTCTGCTCCTCCCGGATCGCTTCACAGAACTGGAGCTATACAATACGATCGCAGGCATCAGCTATCTCGGTGATCCGCGCATGACGCTGCCCACCGAGAACCCGCAAAAGGTTAGCAATATCGTGGGCAACAACTTGCCCAACTTTCGGCGCCTGTACACCCCCTTGATCGAGAATCTGTCCAACGTCGAGTTTGACGACCCACGCTGTACCGAACCCCACTGGGAATGGGACGAAGGCGCGAACCTCAAGCTCTACCAGGACATGGACCCCATCAAGCGCGGCAACATGGTTCGCAGACTCCCAAAGGCGTTCCGCTCGCGGCTATACTTCCAGTACCAGAAGAAGTTTGCTATTCCGCAGCTCGAGTTCGACGAGATGATGGCAGCCGACGCGTCGTCGTCGTCCAGCAAGAAGCGGCCTGCTGGTGGGGCGGGTGGCGCATCTGGAGGCGGGTTCGAGACCAGGATTGCGCAGGATGACCCCGCGGATCTGCGACAAAATGTCCGGCGCGTCATCAAGCAGACGATCGGTTGGCCCAGCACCACGCAGAGCTTGAAGGGCTTGCTGACGGGCGGCGTGAGGAAGAGCTTTGGGTATGTGTGGGAGAAGGTCGAGAAGTATCGCGCCGGCCAGAAGAAGGCGGCAGCGGCGACGACCAAGGATGCGAGTGAGAAGAAGGATGCCGACAAGAAGAAGCCGGCCAGCTCGGAGCCTAAGCCTGACAAAACAGAGAACAACGAGTGATTGGGTGATGAGCGATCCCATTGACGAATAGTCACCATAAGGAAGTTGGAGATCACTCAGACAAACCACTTGCGCGTTGATGATGATTTTTCGGGCTCAAAACCTCTGATGCTGGCAAGTTTGAGGCACCACTTTATGATTGACTTCCCCGAGCTGCAAGCCTCGTGTGTCCTGTTCAGGGGCATGGTCAAGGCCAATCAAGCATCCTTTCAGCACTTACCATCCCGCAAATGCAGCAGAACATCCAGGAGCGAGTACTGGATCAACGGCGCAGACGACGCCAAAGCTTGCCATTTCACATCGAGACAACGCTTCCTTTTGTCAGACGGAGGGCGCCATGCTGGAGAGCTATTTGCATGAAAGCGAGGAGCTAGGAGAACATGTGATAATCCTGTACGAGTGGGTAGCAGCCTGAGGTTGGCTTCGAGGAGCAAGTCGAAAAAACTTCGGGGCTCTTCATCATGGCTGACGTTATTGCGAGCTTTGCTCGAGCTGGAATCCATCCAGGCGCTGCTGCGCCTCAGTTCCCACAAGGCCAATGGCGGTCTCTCTGGGAAAAGCCGATGTCGAGGCACATCGAACACAATGAAAGGAAAATGTAGCAAAAGTCGCTAGCTCATGGCTAGCTTTCACAATTACTTTTCAACGCCCTTTCTCGCACACTCAAGTGAACTGTGACCCTTGTTTCACACTCGACGAGCAAGATGCAGAGGGGGAAACCACTCTCCAAGGTGGAATTAATAACTACAAGACAAGGTAAGAGATCGCTTCGCTAAAATACATCTAGATGTCCAGGAGTTCTGATGACACTCCAATTCGCTAAAGAAATATGGGACCGTCCCACCGCCTTTTGTGTTGGCAGCGGGAGAATGGCAGGCATCGTTGTTCTAGGCCATTCACAATGTCAACGCCGCACCTATCTCCCTCAACAACATTTGTTGTGATGGTGTGATCTCGGGTGATGCAAAGCCACTGCTCTGGTTCTGGGCTGTGCTGGCGTCCTCGCCGTGGTAAGGCCAGTTGTACTCGCTCTTGTCGGAGCACGAAGTGAAGCTGCTGCTCGATGGTTGCTTGGCGCGGTGGCCATAGTAGGAGGACTTGCTGGCCCTGCGGCGAGTTCCACGGTTTGAGCTGGCCTGGTTCATCTTGGAGGCGTCGTGGTTGGAGTCCGAGTTGGAGTTGCCGTTGAGCTTGGGCTCGCTGCTATAGGTGTTGTTGTTGTTCATATTGTAGAAAGAATCCATTCTGGGTGGGTCTGAAGACTGAAGTTTTTTCCTTAGTAGATAGAGGCAGTGAGCGATGGAAGTGTCTGGGCAAGCGGGTCGTTTGTTGAGAGACGGCGGCGGCGGTGTAAGTTGTTGGTAGTTGTGATGGTGATGCAGAGATGTTTGGGGAGTCAGTTACTTGGCCTCGACCGCTTCCTTTATATCTCGAGGAGCTCACTTGAAGTCCCGATATCATCCCGACATGACTTCATGTCCACTCGTGTGCATATTCGAAATGGGCATCACCTCCGGGCAACACGTCGTACGGTTCCCCTGGCCCTGGTCTGGCCACATCATGACTCCCCTCTTCTCCGCGTTAGGAGACAGCAGGGTATGCGCGCGGCAACGCGAATGACATTGGCGAGAGCGCTTCAGTTGGTATCCACATCCCTTAGACCATGGGCAGCCGGGTCGACGTTGCCGGATCATGTCTGAGGTGCTTCGCCCGACTCGAGGTCGCCCTCTCCAGGGATGCTGCCTTGGTCCTCCTGGCCTGAAGCAAGTATACTGACGATGTGCAATCTTATCGATCCCAGTATGGCGGGTAGGGGTTCGTATTGGTGCTAGAATGGCGGTCATTGTGGGGATAGGACCGAAGTCTAGAGGATGAGATCAGGAACCGGGCCAGAATCAGGGTCCAAGGCTCACCAGCTTGGGAGGGCGAGCTTCATTGGACAAGAATGACGCAGGGTTGTTTCTGAGCGCTGTGGCAAGGGTTCTCTGGATTTGGACCCTGCAGGCGGCCAATTCCCAACGTCGTCAGCGGCTCAAAACAGAACATGCGCTCATTCAACGACGGCTCAAGGGTCAGCGGCCAGTCAACGACCTTTGTTCTATGTCGCCTCGTCATCCCCAGTCTGCTTGACACTGCCACGTTCCTGTTTCGAAGCAGCACTCTGCCCTCGACTTCCGAGGTTGCGAGCAAACCATGGTGAAGGCCTCCCTTGCTGTGCAGCGTCATGTCAATCCACATCCGAGCCCCTCACAATTCAATGAGGCAACAAGTATCAACCAGCCTCACGGTCTTCAACGTCACCGGAAAGCTCAATGATGTTTCCCCGCGCTGTGGGGCGAGCTGACACGGCAATCGTCAGGATTGTTTCCAAACACACAGCGAATCCGCGAAGAGCTTATTCTAGTGGCTGAGCACTTCGTTTGATCGTGGCCACCTGCGAGCCTCTGGTCTAAGCGTGCGGCACCGTGATCTGGGCCTGGTCCAGCAGTCATATGCGAGCAACTCGCGTCTCACGAGACAAGGCGCCGAACAGCGAACAGAAACAAGTCACTTGACATTGGCCGTGGATAGCCAGTACATTCCGTAGGCCTGCCGGCGCTCTCCTGGACATACATGTTCTCCTTAAGCGAGACAATGGTTACACGCACAGCACGGCGACCCCACTTGTGCTGCTCTCCCGAGCCCTGATTTCCTATGCTTGAAGACCGACACATTGGTTCAAGCAGGCTGGTTCGCTAGCATCAATGCGGGTTGTCTGCACAAGACGATGCTGTGCGAGGCTGCAAACAGTGAGCTGTCCTGAGCCATAGCTGCCAAAGATGCCTTGCAGACTGTTGCGTAATGGGAATTGAGTGGAGCCTACATGCAATTGGCGCAATGTGTAAGATGACCCAAAGTACCCCGGCATTTGTGATGGATGATCAACAAGAGCACGAATAGCGGGACCCTACAGCCGCTGAGCGCCGTATCCTGTGGGTATCTGTGTCCAGACAAGAAGGCAGACGCTCATGAGGAAGCCATCGGCAGGGATGAGGTCGTGTCACATTCAACGGCGTTTTCTCCAGCCCACCAGGCGTCTGGCGATAGCTCATGCTGCGCTCTAGGTACAGCAATGTCTTGAGATGCAAGCCACCATCGGAGGTGTCCCTGCCCTTAGAGACCAAAAAGAACCCGCCACGACTCAACTTGGATCCTATCATTGGTTGGCCAGGACTGTTGTTGATGGTGTAACAAAGATATGCTAGAAGATCCGGAGGGCGGCGATCAAAGCCGAGTATTGGCCGGTCGTGCTTGAGAAACGCAGACTGAGATTTGTGGCGTGACTGTTTGAGAGCATGTGTATCGTCGGAGCCGCTCTGTGGACATCCTCAAGGTCGATATCAATGGTAGCAGGGTGGGCGGACTTCGTCGTGCTCCGGCAAAACGTCACTGTCCAAGCTCTGCTCGGGTCAGCCTTGTAGGGGCTTTGCGGGACCGTATGAGCATCTTGAAGAAGCGAGGCAAATACCGACATGTTGGAATAAGCCATGTCTAAGGATCCGGTCATCCCTGGAGGCAGGATCGAATGTCGGGAGTGCTCTGCGAAGGCACGTCTTGGACTGACTCTTCGGTTCCTGGACACCTTCCTCGGTGGGTTTTCAGTAGGATATCGAATCTACGGCACCTTCCGAGCACGTCCGCGCTGTGTGAGTGCAGTAAGGCAGGACGATCCTGGAGACCGCCGTCAAGTGATGTCTGACTTGGTCTCGCGTCACAGTTGCGATTGCGATCAAGGCGTGTTGCTACCATGTCCAGTACGGATCGAGCAGGCATTTTCTCGTTGCAGTTGTTAGTGTCAGATTGAAGCCGGGGCTTGTGAGACCTTTTTCCTATGCCGCACTTGTGCCCCCTTGGTCTCAACGAATCGTCTCGGGCTGTGTCTCCGGAATTGCGATGTTGGCTTGTCTCGCCTTGCTTACACGATGACACCCACGTGCACATGCCTCCATCGTGAATACCTGAGTGGGCATGGACGAAGATGTAAGAGGTGTGAGAGATGAGTTGCAAAGGACAGGAAGGCAACTTCACCTTCTGCAGGCATGGTTCGTCACCTTCTACGTGGGTGTGCATGGGGTCACTTGTGTCTTTCCTGCCTTGGCTGGACCTGCTCCTGCTCCTACTATTTGCGCCAGATCTCTGTTGTGCCTCCTCCCTCTGCCGGAGTTCCTTGTAGCCATCTGACGTCCAGTAGCCCCTTCCCCCAAGAGCGTCATCCACCGCCCATCATAACATCGAAAAGTCAAGGCAGAACCAGAGCATTTTTTCCCATGTCCTCTCGTCCGTGGGCGTCTCTTCCTTCTCATCTCCGTCTTCCAAGGTTCTCAAGTACCCAACACACAGCACTCTCTGGTCCTGACCTCTGATCTCTCTTTTTGGTGCCCAGTATTCAGAGCATCTCAGCCAAAATCCAGGATCACAAGCATCTTGTCGGCATTGGTCATAGCACAGTGACTTACCTCTCTCCAAGCCTCACATTTGAGTCAATAGCACCCCATTCAGTTCATCTCTCTCCCCAGTCAACCATCAACAATGCCTCCTCGTCCTTGGCAGAGGGGATCCGGGAATGGTCCCGACTCTAATGGAGAGGCTCTGATCTCGCAACCTCTGGGTCAGCGCTTCCCAGCCCCAGTCAAAGCTCACATTGCCGCCGCCACCAGCGAGTTCGTCGGAACCTTTCTCTTCCTCCTGGTGAGGCTCTCTTTCTCTCTCTCCACATTTCCCACCGTTCGAGAGTGAGATTAATCATTGATCTTTCTAGTTCGCCCTTGGTGCCACCCACGCCGTCAACTCGTCTCCAGCCGCCGCGGATGAGTCAGAGGATATCTCCAGACTGCTCTATATCTCCTTGGCTTTCGCAATGTCCCTGGCTGTCAACGTTTGGTAAGCAACTCCAGTCTTCATTGCTCTCAGTCAAAGGACACATGCTCTTTTCAAAGACGAACCATAGTTGTTCCTCACTGGGCAGTTTCAGATCGGCTGCAAATCAGGCATACTCGATCACCATTCTCATCCCAAAACTGACTGCTCTTAAAACAGGGCGTTTTTTCGCATCGAGGGCGGCATGTTCAATCCTGCCGTTGCCCTTGCCATGTTCGTCACGGGTGGTATCAGCCTGCTACGTCTGGGCTTGGTCATTGTCGCTCAGCTCCTTGGTAGCATTGCTGCCTCCGCTCTCATCGTCGGCCTCCTCCCCGGTGACGGCATTGCTGCTACAACTGGACTCGCAGAAGACACCTCTGTTGTTCGTGGTCTGTTTCTCGAGGCATTCCTGACTGCGGAACTGGTCTTTATCATCTTCATGCTTGCAGCTGAGAAGCATCGGGCCACCGCCGTAGCTCCTGTCGGCATTGGACTGTGTCTCTTCATCGCCGAATTGATGTGAGGGACTCAGTTCGCTATTGTTGGCATTTTACTGACGTGTTTTACAGGGGCGTCCGGTACACTGGTGGCAGCCTGAATCCTGCACGGTCTTTCGGCCCCGCAGTTGTATCAAAAAACGGCTTTCCCAGCTACCACTGGATCTACTGGCTCGGCCCGTTCCTTGGCGCCTTGCTCGCTGCCGGATTCTACAAGTTCGTCAAGGCTATGGAGTTCGATCAGATATCTCCCAACATCGATGAACCAGCTCCGAAGAAACCAGGCACACCGGCGGAGAATAATGGAGTCAACCACGAGCAGGGTGAGGCTTGAGCAATGGACTTCAGGCATCATTCGCCTGTGCTGTTCCCCGCGACACATGGACAATTTTTCTCTTTCTAATTCTTGTGCTATGCTAGTATGGCAGGCCTGATTGTGAGGCCACATTATCACACGATTAGACGAAACGTAATGAACGGTGGTGTTCGGACTTGGGCTTGGGTTTCATTCTATTCACCGAATCGGCAAAGGGTTCTTTCGGCATTTTTAGTATCGTTGGTTTTCTTCATTGCTTTCTGACTGTTATACCCCTGTTTTCACCATGGAAAACATACTGATACTAACGAATTGACTGCTTTGCTATTCTCAATACAAGCTTTTCACCTTTTCTACTGCATCCTTGACCTGTTCTGCGCTGTCAACACCAAGACTTTCGTGCTTCGGGATCGTCCACGTAGGCTGCGAGCACTCGCGCAGGGCTTCCTGGGGCGTCATAGGCAGGGTGATTGGCCAGCGCTGACAGGCTTGAGGTTGCAAAATTCGTGTCGATACCGCCTGGCTCCGCGATAGTGAAGTGAACTGTTGTTTTGTCAGTCGACCCCTGTTTTAAATCCATATTCCGTGACAGACATGAGAAATTAGGTACTTACTGTTCCATTCCGGTCTCACCTCGCGGCTGACGCTTTCCGTAAACCCTTCAACAGCGAACTTCGCGGCATGATAAAATGCGCCACCAGGAAATCCAATGAAACCGCCCATCGAAGTAATCTGTATAACCAGACCTCCCTGATTGCCACCATTTCTGGCATTGTTCTCGCGCATTATGCGCATCGCGTGGAGCGTCATGATGGCAGTGCCCCAGAAGTTGGTCTCTACCATGCCTCGAGCCTTGGCGTGCTCCTCGTCTGAAGAGCCTGGGACCTCGGGGGAGAAGGGCAGGGCAGACTCTGAGTCTCCCATCACGCCGTAGCCGGCGTTGTTCACTGATATTTACGTCAGCCTCGGATTACTCCAAAATGGTTTAGTTGTTGAAGGCGGAACCCGGGGGGGGGGGGCGCCGATGTTGATCTTCTGTACTTACCGAGGACATCTATGCGTCCGAAGCCAGGGTGCTTGAGGACCGTGTCAAGGGCAGCAGTGATGGAGTCTGGTGAGTTGACATCCAGCGCAACCACTAACACACGGGGATTCGAGGGAAGGGCATCTATGACCTTGGATGGGTTGCGGGCCGTGGCCACGAGCCGATGTGTTGGGTGGGCGGCGATGAGCTGGGCAAGGGACAAGCCCAGACCGGAGGAGCAGCCTGTGATGAGCCAGACAGCGTCGGCTGGCAGGTTGTAGACGGGTTTTTGGTTATCTGTAGAAGCCATGTTGGGAAAGCTTCTGATTGTCGAGGTCTTCGGTGATAGGATGAAGTATTTCGTGATGAGTGAGGAGCTGTTGGTGTTGGATCTGAGAATGTATAATTGTTGTCGATCTCAGTGGAAACATGTTGGGCGTACTCTTCGATCTTATATACTTTTTGACCGAGGCAATTTGAAAAACTTGCCTGGTGAAAGATACTACCTCCGACCACCCGCAATGCTGGAGTGAGACGTCTAAAAGCGGCCGACCTCGAAGATGGACTGCGGAGTGGGTCCCGCTTAGATGAAGTTCTAACAGAATTAGACAGAAATTGCCCGGGCTGGCGATAAGATGCTACTGGGAGACTTAGCACGAATCTCTCCAGAGAACGGCCGCCGGCCGCTCTGCGGGTAGGGCCCCACCCTAGTCGCTCCGTCCGCACCGTTGCCGTGCGGCCGCATCTGCCGCAGCGCTTCGGGCTTCCGCAAGGATTGTCTCGCAGCCACATCCCTCCTCCATGATCAAGTGTTACGAAGTAGTGTGAGGTGAGTAAGCACTCTCACAGATCAGATGGGACAGCCTGGAAACCCCGAAAGGAACTCAACCGCCGGCTATCTGTCGCATGTGCCAGAATAACTCTAGAGGATGGAAAAATTCAGAAATGGCATTCTGTCAAAGACGTTTCCAGTTTCGAAGAAGGCGAGGGGACCAATTGATGCCTCCCTCAAATGTGCTCGATTAGAAGACTGGCGACCGTGCCCTTCAATTGCGTCCTGTTACCTGGATTCAGCTTCTCTTGTGGTACGGGACTCGCCGGAGCATATCTATGAACGGACAAAGCTTAAAGAAAGAATTGGTAAATGAACCAAAATGAATTCGTATTTAGCTATTTAGCCCTTTGTGACTATCAAATATAAATATGTGGCCATGATGAAGGTACCAGAGAGATTTTAACTCCCTGAGTCACACCGCTTATGCATGCGTCCCAGTTCCAACACAGTACGGGATGGGGTAGGCGGTGTTGTTACACAGCCGAATAGGGCCTGCGACCCATTGCATGTTGGTATACTCTTGCGTTGTGTGCGTGGTTATCTGCCACGGGTCGTAGCTAGGAGAGTCGACGCATCCCGAGACGTAGTTTCCTGTGACACGACGGACGTACGGATTACTGACGACAAGTCCGTATTGGCCCTGAGGGACTTGAAACGTGAAAGTTTGATCATCCTTTGTCGTCCAGGTCCACGTCCCGCCGCTCGGCATTTCGACACCTAGCAGCTTCTCCAAGAAGGATCGTGAGATTATGTTATTTCCCTATTGTTCTTATTAGCTATTTCCCCCTATGAAGATGTACTTGAAAGAAAGAGACATGTTACTACATACGTAGGCGCTATCAGCTACGGTGTACCCTTTGCTTACGGCGACTGAAGCACCGGTTGAGCCAATGTTACCGATGACAGGAGACATAGGTACATCCCAGTCGTTGAAGTTCGTGTCCTACGACATGTGTGATTAGTAAAGAGTATGAAAGAAGATAGAAATATCTAGCATGAATATGTCTTCGAAATTTATCCCCGAACAAGTGTATCTGGCAAGTTCCTCCGACGATGTAACGAGTGACGATGCTATTCAAATGTTCACTCACAGACAGCACTTGATATTCTACACTCTCGTCACATCGACGATGATTCACATGGCTTTCAGGTTGATCTGCGCTCCGGGCAGCATCTGCCTTTCGGCGTTGTAGTGTCTCACGCGCTTCCTTGAGCTCGTATTCGTAATCTTTCATGACTACAACCGAACCATCTTTGCCAGCAACGATGACATCGTCATACTGTAGCACTGTGGGCGTAGGTTTGGCCTGAGCGAGACTGAGAACAGCGCCAAGAGCTACGCATGTTTGAAATAGCATGTCGACGGTCGGCTTGCGATGGGTCGATAACAAGTGTTTCTGTTTGAGAGTGGCGAAGGGCGAAGAGGAGAAGCGACAGTGTTAGGCTATATTCCGATAATGAATGAACGTGAGGCGTTGCCGGGCAGCAGAGTTATGATAAAGTCAGAATAAAGAGCGCTTTGAATACCGCGATGTATGTAGCTAGTGAGCGGCTGAGGTCAGTTCGAAGGAATGGACTGAGAGAATGCTCCCAAGAATTAACATATCGGGCTAGATGAGGAATTATTGGATGAACGCAGAAGCCAGTCAGGTCAAGATGGAAACACAAACATTTCAACATGGAGAAACGGACTCAACGGGAGCCGAACTCCTGGAGAAGGGGCTTAGAGACAGGGGAGCACCCATCCACAACTTACGAGATGCCCAGGGCGTCCCCTTCATCATCATCCCGACCGAAGCATGGCAGTTCACCCCACTGAACCATGGTTTTGACATGAACGGGTCCAAGCCACACCTCTGTACCCGACGGGCTATAAACGCACAGAAACGAAATTCAGGGGAGCAGGAGCGGAACAATTGTTGGCTGACAGCCCCGTCGGTGCCAACACCGCCAATGGAATATGATACCGATTCGACCTGAACTGTGGAGCTGTTATGGGTTCTCAGTCGGGTGGAGCTCTCCCATGCTGTAAGGTGCTCGTGAAGTAGATGAGTTGCCAGTCTCACTGATGTCAGCCTTGCGCATTCTTGAGGTCCGCGTTCCAGTTGGACTCGACATAAGCTGGACGGACTATTCTCAAAAGAATTTGACAATGCCATACTACTTCGTGGATCGGCTCGGATTAGTCTTCCGTCGAACTCTCGGATAGCGTCGATCCTCCGAGGTGGGTAGCGAGGAGACGTGTACTAGTCATGATGCTAGTCTGGTTCATTTGATTTGCATCCCTTTGCACGTGCGGTCCTTCCGTATGAGGAAAACCGTTCATGCAGTATTACCTAATTGTGCCTGTAATGTCTGATGCTGGAAATATGTTCAGGGCTCTTGGCAGCTATGTGGTACGCAGGACACAGGTACCGGCTGGTCCGTCGCAGGGTGTACCTTTGTAGTGACGATGTTCTAGCCCCAAGGACTTGTCACGGACTCCGAGGACAGCACCACGAACATTAAGTCTAAATGTCAAAACCCCGCATAAGGAGCTTAAAAACATGCCATCCAAGTTTATATTTAGGGCGACCCGCTCCTGTTTGTAAATTGACATAGGCTACCGCTCATGCTGTGCCTGAGAATGTCTAAGGAGCGAACTCCATATTGACTAATTAGGAGAAATTAACTTTCAAAAAAAAAATCAAAAAAAAATCGAAGCAACAGAGGCTTCGAGTCGTGAGATGTCTTACATCCGGTGAATCGAGAGTAAGTGCTGGATCTCCATGCGCCACCTCATCCTTGGGAAACAAGCTTGAGACACGCAAAGGATCCTCACAGCTATGACTGGAACCATCAAATACGGGCACTATCACTTTGCCATCAAATATGAACAGTATTTGGCTTATTCATTAAAAGTATATTATTTCTAGATTACGCTCAAGGAAGGTGACATGCTACCGTTTGAGTTTTAATCCTACATGTGAATAAGCATCAACAAGCTCCTTTTCCACAAACGGCCTTTCCGAAACTCCACAAGTGAAACAACGTCCAATGAGAGTGTATGATGAATATTTAGCAGTTCATTTCGCTCAGAAAAGCTTTTGTCAAAAGTCCCTATATGGCAATGTTGGAGGCTCAATTGACTGCCTGCAGACCACCTGACTTGTACTTCTGTTTTGTCGCAAGGCTGGGTTGACTGATGAAGCAGAAGTCATGACGGTAAATTCTAATTGCGAGTTTGAGTGGCCGGAACCTATCAATTGGCGGGATGACAAGATCAACGCACATGTGTACTGGTGCTAATATTATGTGTGTTATCGTGGCTCCCATAGTTTGCGAGACCAAAGGAAAGGAATGACATCACACACATCACTCTGCCCTTAGACAATTTATGTTGTCTCTTTCGTTTGCTTGGGCACTGAATGCTGCTGTTCTATTTTCACAAGTTCAATCAAGTTACTGAACAAAGGTCTAGAAAAGATTCATTCTGGTACCAATATCCTACTAATACGTCGTTGGTCCCGGAGCGCATCACAATTTTGAACAATTGGCTCGACACAGTAAGACATTACTTGATAATGACGAGATGCAAACAGTCTCCCTGTCCGATAAATTTGAGTGCTACACGTATACATCCGTCTTCCCCTGCCCCCATCCCCCTGAGGATTGGAGGGAAAGGTTCCAATAAATCCGAATGATACGGCTGAAGTAGGATGCTCAATACATGGTGTTTTCCACAGTCCCAGGGTTACCACGTGGTACTTATCTGCATCTTCCAAATCATTTGCATGCATGTGATTGCATGGCATCAAGGGAATGGAGATTCGGGAGCTCGTCATCCCGGGCTGGTGCTGTCCAACATCCGTCTGCAATCGAGATAGGTGCCAAAACGCTAAAGGGCGATCATCCCTCCAGATCTCACCGCACATGCGACCCAGGCAACTATAGCTGCAGCGATATTACGGCTAACTTTCCTCGCCATGAGTCCGATGAAGCAATTGCAAGGCTCGATGATTGTGATCAATTTCATTCAGGAAGGCACTTCAATACTTACACAACAGCGTTGCTTGTCGGTTCTCGTAAGGATTTCTAACGTTGGAATTCAGCTGGCTCGTGTGTCGCAATCACACGGCACATAGCTTCCTGGCGCGTTTGTTTCAGAAACTTCCACAGGGCTTTCGCTGAGCGCCGAACCTTCCCATATTTGCTCAAGCTTAGATTCCGAGAAAGCGTCCGCGAGCCGCATCTGAACCTAATGTCCAGGCCCACCAATCAATATTATTCGAAGCGCCAGGGTACTGCTGGGTATTTGATGCAGTAACAGCCGCCTCACCAAACTGGATGGTATAAGCCTCCTGTTATGGCCAAGCTCCCTCGAGTTCAGCCGACCATCCATCACGTTAACTAGCTTGCTGGGGATGTTCCATTGATGTCTCATCTTGAATTGACTGATAACAGAGCCGAACCCTATTGCTTGTAGATACATTGTACAGCCTGGCAGTCATGCGTCCTCCTGATCATGGTTGCAACCAATGGCAGGTCAGCCATGCTATCAACGCATTCTGATGTGCAGCGCAAGAAGCTCGACAGAAGATGCATCCTGAGACTGCAAATATATGGCGTGATGGCGGCACGTTTCTTGCTCGGATATATTGTGTAACCTTGAGCCGATTTCTTTATACGACATTGATGTCCTAATTATTCGTTTGTTGTGGTGATTCCTTTTCCTTTTCAATCTTTGGCATTAATTTTTCTAGTAGGACAATATGGCGCAGGATCGCTCGTCCTCTCCCAGCGAGACGCAGTCAGCCGTGGTGGAAGAAAATGGGATCGACGAGCTCAGGAAGAATTACAGCTACACATCATCCGTAGAGATAACGCGGGAGAAGACCATCACGTCAACTCGCAATGATGTCGAGCGCGTGGGATCGGAGCCTTTGGTGGCTAACATGGAAGAGATGGCACTGAAAGCACTTCATATCGACGACGACCCCATGCTGAATCCATGGACTTTCAGAGTCTTCTTTCTCGGTCGGCAGCCCATCCCCTCGAGATGTGAAGGCCGCTCTTCTAATAAAATGCAGGAATTGGCCTCTCTGCATTCGGGTCAGCGTTGGCGACCATCTTTCTTTATAAACCTCGTTAGTAATTTCTTTTCTTCAAACGCTCAATATCTTCCTCTTTCCCATCTCTCAAGTGTCTACAAAGCCGTATCGGGAGATTTTTTGCGAGGCTGGGCTTTTCTTGATTCTTCTGCGGCTTGTAAGACGCGATGGAGACAACCTCATCAGACGCTCGCCTGGAACTATCCATACTGAAGTCGCTGACTGAGCATGGTTAAAAAGAGAGTGTGTCGGTGTCAATCATTTTTCTGACAGTCATCTCTTATGTGGGAGGAGTCGCGCTCGAGACCATCATTCCCCAGAAGGGATTTGTTGGCAGATGGTTCAACCCCCATGCGTAAGTCGACGATACTATTCACTCAGCTTGACCAGCTGTTAACATGCGCTGTGCAAAGTTTCAACTCCAAAGAGCACCTTGCTATCGTGATAATGTCGAGCAGCGCAAGCGGGGCTGCATACGCGACAGAAGTTCTATCAGCCCAAAAGCTGTACTGTAAGTCAACATGGGCGCTTCAAGGTCCTCAAAAGCAAGGACTGTGATCTATAGCTTGTCATTGATACAATTTGCATCTCAACATCTCGCACAGAGTCAATCACTAAGCTCTTCAACAACCAGATAACGTCGTCCCGGGCCCCGTTGTCGCGATCCTCCTGCTATTTTCATCTCAGCTACTCGGATACGGCATGGCTGGGGTCCTCCGCAAAAGCTTGGTCTATCCCACGAGAATGCTCTGGCCTTCTGTACTACCTCTGAGCACGTTGATCGAAACACTCCACCGAGAAAGGGCCGAGATGAAGAAGAAATTCAACTTCTTCTGGATCATTTTCGGCATCGTGGCTATTTGGGAACTATTCCCTCAATACGTCATGCCCCTCCTTGTTGGGGTGTCTGTTTTCTGCCTTGCGCAACGAAACAGCCTTCTCATCACGAATGTCTTCGGAGGCTCCGCCGGCAACGAGGGTCTGGGACTACTGGTAAGCACTTCTTGAACATATCTCATCTCAAGCCAAAGATGGAATGCTAATTTTACACGTGAATATGAAGTCACTCTGCTTTGACTGGCAATTTGTCACTACATCATGCTTCTATCTTCCTCTCCAGACTCTAACCAACGGCTTCATTGGATATCTGGGCTGCATCGGCCTTTTCCTCGGAATGTACTACGGTAATGTCTGGGATGCATTGAAGTTCCCTTTCCTGTCTCAACAGCTATTCTCGACCAACTCGTCCTCGACCCTCTTTGAGATTTACAATCAGTCTGCGATCCTTGACTCAAATTTCGAGCTGGACAGGAATGCACTAGAAGCTCAGGGCTTACCTTTCTTTTCCGCTACAAATGGTGCCTATCTTCTGACAACAAACTTGGGCATCACTGCAACTATAACTCACATCCTGCTCTGGAACCGTGATGCTGTCCGGAGCGCCTTTGATTTCGATTTCAAATCTACATTGACATACGTCAAAAATCCCAGCCTCCTGTGGAAAAGAAAGTCCGCACCGGTATCTGAAGCCGAGCTTGATCCTCACTACCGGCTGATGCTCGCGTATAAAGAAGTCCCTGCGTGGTGGTACCTACTCATTCTGCTCGCGTCCACGATCACAGGCATCGCCTGTATATACGTCCTCGGGTCAACACTCCCATGGTGGGGCTTCATTATCGCTATTACTCTCTCGTTCCTCGGAACACTATTTTTCGGCGCGATGTCGGGACTTCTCGGATTCCAGGTACCGATCACATCACTAATCCAACTAATTGGAGGCTATTTGCACCCAGGAAAGCCTGTCGCAAATATGTACTTTGTACTTTTTGGAGCGAATGCGCAGGCGCAGGCCCTCGGACTAGTGGGCAGTCTGAAACTAGGACAGTATGGAAAGTTGAGCCCGCGGTGTACCTTCGCGTAAGTCGGAATGTGAGCTATCCGTATTCGATGCCTGGGACTAACTCGTCTATGTGAAGTATGCAAATTATCGGCACGCTGTTTGGTGCTATTATCAACTATATCCTCATGACCGCCATCACAACAAACCAGAGGGATATTCTTCTGAGTATACAAGGGACAAACATCTGGTCCGGCCAAGTAATACAGTCTTTCAACTCAAATGTGAGTAGATTCTTGAGGTTTTTATCAACTCTAGTTCGTTCACTCGGTTGACCTTGATCTTAGGCTATCGCATTCGGGGCTTTGTCTGAATTCATGTTCTCAATTGGTCGAACCTACACATGGATTGTCCTCGCACTTCCCCTCGGCTTCCTCTTTCCACTGCCATTCTACTTTTTGCATCGTCGCTTTCCAACTTTTGGTTTTGATTATTTCGTCACACCGGTCTTGTTGTGGTATCTCGGCTACTTGTCCGTCGGTATCAACTCGTCAGTTGGTATCTACTTTGCCATTGGCTTCTTCGTTCAGTTCTGGGTCCGGAAGAAGCATCCCGAATGGTTCATCAAGTACAATTACTTGTTAGCTGCGGCGATCAGCGGCGGCACCGAACTTCTCGTCTTCGTAACCACTTTCGCGGTCCAGGGCGCCAGCGGCAAAGCCGTCGAGTTCCCTCCTTACTGGGGAAATAATTTCCAATCGGGCAATCCCGATTACTGTGCCCAGAACCCAGCTTTGGGTTCATGATGACCGGCGAATACTACTTGGCAGCTGACGTATTTTTGAACATGGAGTTTGGACTTTGGGGGTACATGATTTGGAATTCGGATAATAGCAATACCTGTCTCGCTACCAATCTTGTACAAATATTCTACAGCACCTGTGCAGAAGCACACTGCAAGCTCGTGAAAGGCCAGAAGGATAATGAGAAAACTGCCCAAAACCCTCCCTCAATCCCGTGATCGTACGGAGCGATGCACAGTCCCAGGCAGCAGCCCGAAAACGCTGGATTGGGATGTTATAGTTGTGCTAAGTCCCACAGGAGCTGTTGAGCTGTCCTTGCTTGGGCCGAGAACCACCCAGGACGGAGTGAAATCAGGGGCTGGCACTGAGCACACGGCGTAGACGAAGCATAAGAAAAGGCCTTGGGAATAGATTGATAGGAAAGAGCCTTTGCATATATTGTGGGTATCGGTGACAGAATTTTGTTTTTACAAGATCTCATATACATCCTAGATCGAATCCTCCTAACAACCTCTCATCCAGTCAAAAGTGTTGAATGCACCTTCCTAGGCCTGCTGCGTAACCCAATCCGGGTTCAGCAATCGGTAGATCATGACGAACTCGTACATGGAAAGCATCTTGGTTCGATGGTCTTTAACGATGAGGTTCCTGGCGATCTGTTCGGCCTCAGGGTCTGCGACCTTTAAGCACGCCTCAAGAGCATCTTTGACCTCCATGTCGGGCTTGACAGGGGGTGCTTCGTTCAGCATTTCGTGGAAACACCACCGGATGGCCTCTTGACACCGCTTCTGGTGGTTTGTCGAGGCAATAGTTGTCCATAAGTAGAGGTAAAGCTGCTTTGACCGTGGCTGTTGAAATTTGGGCGGCATACGCCAGATCTCCCAGAACCGTGTCCAATTATCCTGCGCAGCATATGCATTCAGCAGCCGCACGATGGCATCTTCGCCCATGTACGGCAAATCGGCCTGAAGCAAGAACTTTTCCAGAACAGTTTGGAGCTCATGGGTCTGTTCGTCTTGAGATGCTGTCCGGGCTAGCGATTCAATGAGCGACACGATGACATCTGTTGCAATGATTGGCTCGCCACGCTCGTACATGACATTCAACACTTCGAGAGCGAGTTTCGACTGCTCTGAAAGCAACACCGCACTGTCAGCGGGTTCTAAGTAGATGACTTGAAGCACCTCAATGTAGTGACCGCGATGGCAGATGATGCCTAGGAGCTCCATCTCATGCACGAGCTCTCGCAGGTGGGCTAGGTCAAAATGTCGCACCCCGACCTGACGACCTGCTACGCACAACCACAATCGAAATTGCCAGCTTTGTTCAGGACGCAGGCGTTGAATTGCTTTGTTCCAGGCGTCCATGTATGCCGAATGCCATCCAGCATCGGAGTGCTCCAGTGCCTGAAGCGCTTCCTCATACGAATAGCCAGCGAACTGTGCCTGCAGTCGCTCCAGTTCCGCCACCTTGGTAGCTACGAAAATCGCAGGGTCTAAGGTAGTGTTAACATTGTTGATGATCGAGTCGCTGGTTGGCGGGTCAGTTACCTGATTCAGCCGCCTAGGCGAAGTTGAGAAGAAGCGGCGCTGAGATGGTGTTGCGAAGACCTTGGGCGAGCCTCCCTCGGTGAACAAAGACAATTCGTCGGGGTGAGTGTCAGCCGCGGCGTATTCCAGATCGTCGACAATTAGATTGTCGTCACCCCTGCGAGCGAGAATGCGGGACCAGAGAAGCTCGAGATCCAGCTCTTTTCGTTTGGACTCGGTGAACATCTGGACCACAATGGTGGTGCCATCCTGCGTAGTGCCAAAGCCGGTCGCGGTTTCGAATTCGACTGGCTGCTGGGATTCGGAGGCAATTGTGCCCAGATTCATGCAGACCCAGCGTGTCGTGACGCCATCGTCAACTCCTCCCATCGGCGTCGCAGCGGTGCCGAGCAGTTTTGCCTTTCTTTGCTTGCGGCGCATCTTGATCTTGAGTTCATTGTTGCCTAAAAGACCATCCGCATGGGCTTGTATGCCCCTCCTGCGCAGCCACGCTCTCATTTGGCGACCAGAGACGTGCAGGTGGCGCTCAGTGCGGGCAGTACCAAAGAGCATGATGAGATTCGGCCCAAGCGCAGCGGGAGGATCCAAGGTCCGCAAATCCAATAGATTCAGATCCCCCAAGCCCAAGTCCTCGGCAGCGTGCTTGACAAGGTCGTGCAGGATCAAGGGGACGTTATTTGGAACCTCTGGTAGTGGTTCAATGTGCTGAACGAGGGAGGGATGCCTGGGAGGCTCCTCCTGGAGGTACCAGGGCTCTTCCTCTTGGTCATCGCCGTTCTGTACCTGTTGCGCTGTACTTGCGTCCCCCTTGGCCGCTCCAGTGGACGGGGAGTTGGGATCGGCCTCATTTGTGACTGTGTGAGAAGAGAAGAGCCGCGCTCGGGTGGCGAGAGCAGCAGCAGAAGTGGCTTGGGACCGCAGAGCTGGCGTTGAGAGGGAGGGCCATTGAGCGCCGGCACTGCCAGCAGGGCTGTAAGGTGAGATGTAGGAGCCGAGAATGGAAGCCCTAGATGCAAAACGGCCTGCTGCCGATGCCCGCAATATCGGTCGTAGAGCCATTGCAGCCACTCAGAATTAGACTCAAGACACGAACGCGGACACAGACGCAGACGCAGACACTGGTCTTCGTATAGCCAGACAGGCGGACGGGCGAACACGTTGGTGGTTGTAATTCTGAAAGCTCTGGAGAGTTCAATGAAAGTTCTTCTTGTCCCGAGCTGGTGAGGTCAAGATTTTCAGATGTCAGGACTTTTCAGATGTCGATATGCGCCGCACTGTCCAGGCTCATCGACACACTCGAGAGTCGGCTCCTCCCATGCTGTAGCACCTAGGCGGTTTGCCTCTTCAGTGGTCCGGGAGGGTGGTGTGGGTCATGGCCTGTCAGGTACAGCCAATCAAATGCAGTACTGATAACAGCGTCATCTACTCGACTCTTATCGTGGCGCGCAGTGCAGGGATTAGCATTTGGGCCTGGTCGCCGCCCGCGAAAGAGCCATGACAAAAACTTTCTTCTCTGTTTGGGCGAACTCTCCATCTCCAACACCTTCACCTCGCCTGTCCTTTTGGTTCATTTCACTTTTTAAACCATTCCCATAGACTGTATTATAGACTGCAGCCCATATTTTTCAAATGAATAATTGACCGTGCCTCTGCTCAGACGGGCCTTCCCTTTGCGCCCTGTTTGTCACGGCACGCAGATATACAAACAATCCCCATCGTCACACGACCGCCCGACCTCGACATACTCCCTCCCTCCCTCCTGCTGCGTGCTCCTGATTGGGGATCTCTGAAGATGTTCGTCCGAACCAACATCTCGAGACACAATTGCCGACTCGGCCGTTCCATATTGCGACTATCCAATCCATCCGAGCCACGATGCTACCTGCCCGCCGCCCACGCCACAGCTCTACCCGCAAGCCAGCGTCTCCTCGCAACCAGTTCTTCATCGCCACCATGGCAAAGATCCCCCGCGAGCTCTCAGATCCATGCCCCCGGGCGTGGGCTGGCCACAGCCGTAGGCGATGTCATGAGTGCCGAAGGTGCTTCTGCCAGAGTCTACGATCTAAGAAGTTTTGACCCGTCCATGGCCATGATCCTCGAAGAGCCGGCACGGCCAGCCCCTGCGGGCAAAATAAATTCTCAAGGTGTCCCCGGGGACTTGGAAACAGCCCTCCCGGTCTTCGACGCTTGTTTGCGCGTTGGCAAGCTGGGCAGGGCTGTCGCTGTCCTGAAGCGTGTCGAAGCACTAGGCCAAGCCAGCCCAGAGGTCTTGATGGATATGAACAACAGATATCTCGAGTCGTGGCTGAGGGACCTCACGAACAACCCAGGCGTGGGAAAAGCCGAGGAAATGCATGCTTGGTATGAGCTACACATCCACGCTGCTAAATTGCCGCAGACACCACAAACAGTTGCCTACATGCTGAAGGCATCGCTGTTGACCACTCCAGCGACCGAAAACAACCAAGGCCCGTCGAGGTTGGAGAGGCTTGTGAAGCGGTACATGGACATGATTACTCCAGAGCAAGGCCTTGAAGTTCTTTATTGCAACAACATCTTGACCGACGCCGACATTGCCACCATCACTAAGTTTTATCCCGATTACAACATTCCATTCAACTTGCAAGACGTTGAGGAAGAGTCATCCAGCTTTGAATCAATCTTGTCCGACACCGCAGCTTATAAGAGCAACCCCATTGAAATACACGAGGACACAGGCTCTTTGCCGGAGGTCCTCGCCACACCGCAGAAAGGCATGGGTCTCGAATCGATCAAGAACACACTGGAAATTTTTCAGAAGATGAGAGATGGCCACGATATCTCCACTCTACCCTTTCACGAGAGACGGGAATTCCAGTCGCGCTTGGAGCGTGACTGTATAGATGTGGCCGTCGCGCGCTGGAGAGAAGAGCACGAATCACTGCGCCAGAGGGGTCTCGCCACACCGGTAAGCGCGCCGAGCATGAATTCCCGCATCTGGTCATGGCATCAGAGCCTGGAAGCTCTGATCAAAAAGGAGTTCGACGCAATCGTGGAGGCAGAGAAGACGGACAAGAAGCAGGCACAGGACTTCGATCGCTGCATCTATGGCCCGATCCTGCAGCAATCCACGCCCAGCCGACTTGCTGCAGTGACAATCATGACGACAATGAGCTCTCTGGCCTTTACAGGCGCCGACAAGGGCATTATGACTGCAAATCTGCTGAGCCACATCTCCAAAATGGTGGAAGAGGATATTCAGGCTCAATTGCGCCTGGAGCAACAGAAAAAAGAGGCTCGTAAGGCCAAGGCACGACGATTGCTATTAAAAAAGCTTAGGTCTATGGAAGGCATGGAGGCCAGCCCGGGTCCAGAGGCGATCCTAGGTCAAAAGGCTGATCCGGCGGAGTCTGACGATTCGGCAACCTCTCTTCCAAACGGGCTTCCTGATAGTCCTCCACCTACTCTTGCGCCATGGTCTCTATCTATGAAGGTCAAGATCGGTGCGGTACTACTTTCAGCGCTCGCCGAAGTCATCAAAGTACCAGTCAGCTGTGAACACCCCGAGACGAAAGAGACGATAACTGCATTGCAACCCGGTCTGGTACGCACTACTCAGTTTAGAAAGGGCAGACGAGTGGGCACAATCATGCCACACCCCCGGTTGAGTGAGATGCTGCGCTCGGAACCTAGAGGTGATTTCTTGGCGCGACACCTGCCAATGGTTGTTGAGCCGTTGCCTTGGACCGGCTTTGAAAAGGGTGCTTACCAAGAGTCCCCGGTGCCTTTGGTCAGACTCAAGGCCGGCGAGAAAGATCAGCGGCTCTACGCGGAAGCGGCCATTGCGCGGGGCGACATGGAGCAAGTTGCTAAAGGCTTAGATGTCTTGGGAAGAACAGCATGGCGGATTAACCGACCTGTCTTGTCTGTTTTGCTCGACGTGTGGAACTCAGGTGAAGCTCTTGCGGACATTCCACCGTTACATCCGCAAATACCTGTCCCCAAGGAGCCTGAACCCTCCAGTGACTCACTTGTCCGGCGCAACTGGATCAAGGAAATCAAAACGGGCCAAAACCTTAAGCAGTCGTACCATTCCGTCCGCTGCTTCATGAACTTCCAACTGGAAATCGCAAGGGCATACCGCGATCAAGAATTTTACTTCCCACACAATGTTGATTTTCGGGGAAGGGCTTACCCAATACCGCCCTACTTGAACCACATGGGTGCGGATCACGTTCGAGGCCTTCTCCGCTTTTCTCAAGGCAAGGAACTTGGTGAGCGTGGCTTGATATGGCTCAAGGTTCACCTGTCGAACGTCTACGGTTACGACAAGGCGAGTTTGAAGGACAGAGAGTCATTTGCGATGGACAACCTCGCCAACATCTATGACTCTGCAAAGAACCCGTTGAAGGGCAACAGATGGTGGCTTGGAGCGGAGGACCCCTGGCAGTGTCTCGCAGCTTGCATGGAGCTGACAGCTGCGCTCGAATCTCCGGATCCGACCAAATTTGTTTCACATCTTCCTGTCCATCAGGATGGAACCTGCAATGGTCTTCAACATTACGCTGCCCTTGGTGGTGATTCTTGGGGTGCTCGTCAGGTCAACCTGGTACCGGGCGACAAACCAGCTGATGTTTATAGCGCCGTGGCCGATCTGGTCATCAAGGAGCTTGATGAGGATGCAGCGCGCGGCAATGAAATGGCAAAGGCTTTGCATGGCAAAATCAAGCGTAAGGTTGTCAAGCAGACCGTCATGACCAATGTCTACGGCGTCACTTTCTCGGGAGCAAAGAAGCAGGTTTTGAAGCAGCTCGATGCCCTGTACCCTAACCTTCGCAAAGAATCAGGCATTGAACCCGGGCTCCTCTCCAGTTACATAACCACCAAGATTTTCAAGGCATTGTCTACGATGTTTCGAGGGGCCCACGACATTCAGTACTGGCTGGGAGAAATCGGCGGCCGAGTATGCCGTGCTCTAACCGCGGAGCAGCTTCAAGCGATCGAGGACCAAGGGGTCGAGAAACTGAGAAAAGGCCCCGAAAAGACTTCATCCGAAGATATCCCCTCAATGATGCGATCAACAATCATCTGGACGACCCCTCTTCGCATGCCGATCGTTCAGCCATACCGAAAAACCAGCAGTACGGTCATCTCAACTTGCATGCAAAGTCTCGTGCTCAATAAGCCGGATCGATTTGAACCTGTGAACCGTCGCAAGCAACTGCAAGCTTTCCCGCCTAATTTCATCCATTCCCTAGATGCCAGTCACATGATCCTGTCTGCGCTTGAGTGCGATGAACTTGGTCTTACATTTGCGGCTGTGCACGACTCCTTCTGGACGCACGCCGCGGATGTTGACACGATGAACCGCGTCCTTCGTGACGCATTCATTCGTATCCACAGCGAGGACGTGATTCAGCGTCTGGCGTCGGAGTTCGAGGTCCGCTACCGGGGAGGCCTGTACATGGCCCAAGTCGAAGCGTCCTCGGAGGCGGGTAAAGCCATAACCCAATGGCGCAAAGACAACAAGAAAATCGCGTCCCCGGCTAAAGCCGAGCTGCTCCTTGAGAAGCGAAGGCTAGACCTGCTCAACTCTCACTCGAAAGCAGACAGGGCAAAGGGCAAGAAAATGGTCACCCCTGGTTCAATCTACGAGCAATTCGCATCCGAGCAGGACGTTGTCAAGGAGGATATGGGCGGGACGACGCTGGGAAGCCTGTCGGCCAGCGCCACGAGAGCGAAAAGTGCCACTGAGGCAGAAGCCGAGGAGGAGGCAGGTTTGGTTGATGCAGACGGTGAGCCAGTGTCGGAGGAAGGAGCTGATGCAGCTTCTGATGTGCACGACTTTAAGAAGTATTACACCACTGTGTCGCACTTCGAGGAGAAGCTGGTTGGATCTCGACCTTCAAGGGCACCGGCGAAAAGGTACACCACAGTCTGGAGCCCGCTCTCGTTCCCGCAGATCCCGGCCAAGGGTGACTTTGATGTCAGCAGCTTGAAAGACAGCGCGTACTTCTTTTCATGATTAGGTCGCAGAAGCAGGCAAAAGTGCATTGGGAACGTCAAACATTTTTAAGGCAGGGATCCATCGGGTGGCGTTTGGAGCTGGTTTCTGTGGGCGAAGTTGCATGGTCGGCGTTGATTGATCAAAGCGAGCGGGCGGCTGGAAAAGTTAGAACAGATGGTGTACATGCCCGTGTACCATATATATCCGATGATGTACGAACAAAGACTACCCTGATCTTCGGGGCTTGTATATCATGTTACATGTCCATGACTTCTGGCTGGTTCGCACCAAGCTGCCGGTGACCTTGGTGATTCGTGACTGCATATTTGAGAATCTCACTTGTTTGGTGAAACTTGGGAGAAATCGCGAGTTGCTCAATCGTCCCAGTGCGATCGCAATTTGACGCAATTCTGAACCTGAAGCTATTGCCAGTCAACCAACGACATGCACAAGTTGCAATGATGCCAAGGATAGTGTCAAGTCATTTGTTTTTGGTGGGGTGGCCGAGAGCTTTATTCTTTCTTGACTTTGCTGAATTCTATCTAGATCAACATGCTTTTCTGCTTTCTGCAGTCCAAAATCCTGCCCAGATGTCACAGAAATCACACAGGCCAGCTTATCGGACAGTCGCGTTCTGCAGGGTCTTGACTGTGCACACACCGCCAGACTCTGTGAGCAACTTGCCGATACCACTCTTACCCTCGAGCTGCTCCACAACACCGGCATCGAACGCCACCTCCAGGGAGTCGGTGGTGGTGAAGCCGGGCTGGAATGTCTCCCAGACCTTCTTCTTGGGGTTCAGCTGCTTCTCTGGCTCGCCCTTCCATCCGTCAAAGTAGACGCGCTCGCCGGCCTTGGCGTCCGCGGGCGGGTTGACCAGCTCGACGGGTCCCTTGTGGTCGTCGGCCTCGCCCTCCTTGACCTTGGGGCTTGCGGCGAGCACCATGGCGGAGGACTTGATGCCGCGCATCTTGACGGGCTTCAGGTTGCACACCACCACGACCTTGCGGCCCTGCATCTCCTCCAGTGGCACCAGGCCATTCAGACCCGAGCACACGGTCCGCACGACCTGGCCCTCGTACTCCTCCGTGTCGGTCGTGCCGGCGGGGTCGCCCATGGCAATTGTCGAGACGTACAGGGAGTCGGCCTCAGGATGCTTGATCGCCTTAAGGATGTGGCCGACGCGCAGATCGATCAGCGCGGGGGACAGGGGCGCGGCAGGAGCGGCGGGCGGCTTCTGCTGCTTGGGCTGCTTCTCCTTCTTCTCCTTCTTCTTGCCGCCCTGCTGGGCGCCCTCGCCCGCGACGGCGGCAACCACGGCGTCCTTGACCTCGGCGGCCTTCTCCTTGGTGCGGTCCACGAGGGTCTTCTGCTCGCCACCCGCCTCGGCGGCGGCCTTGGCGGCCTTCTCCTTCTTGAGACGTTCCTTCTCGGCCTTGACGTCGACGGGCGGCTTCACGTAGAGGATCTCCTCGGTGTCGACCTTGACCTTGTCGCCGTCAGGGATGCTCAGGCCGAACAGGGCCGAGTTCTGCACGAAGTCGACGTGGCGCACAATGTTGGGGTGTCCCTTCTCGCCGGTACGCTCCTCGGGGGTCCAGCCCTTGACGGTAGGGGCGAGGACGTTGTAGATCTCGACGTCGGCCTTGGAGGGCTTTGTGCCGAGCAGGGTGGTGCGGGAGGCGAGGTGGGTGTTGAGGGCCTCAAGGATGGAAGAAGACTCCGCATTGGGGGACTTGAGGCGCTCGGCGGTGGTGAGCCATTGCTGGATCTCAGCCTCCTCGGTGGGAGTGTAGGACTGGGAGGCGATGGCGGCCATGATCCTGTTTGCGAAGGAGGTGCTTGTTGAGAATTGGCGGGGAATCGACACGCTTCGAAGCGCTGGACGAGCGAGACGGAGGGAGAACAGTTTGGCTGGGTGAGCTGAGGAGTAGACCTCAAGCTTTTGGACGTTGAATGCTGGTGGTGGTGAGTGTTAGGTAGTGGTGCTGAGCTGGCGGGGTTAAATCAAACAGTATGAGTCGAACTTCTCGAGCTCTGGATTTTCAAAGAGCTGCCCCTCCCCCTCCTCCCCTCCTCCCCCTGTCAGTCCTACCCCTGTCCGCTGACTAAGGCACCATTGTCAATCAAAAAATCATGCGCCGACGCGTTCAGGTCGCGTCTTGTCTGGGGCGTGCTGCTTCGTGCTGCTGCGTGCAGGGACTCTATTATGTCATTCATTTATTTCCTTTCTTTGCAGCATCTGGTCTCAGTCCGCCTCGCACCCTCGCCCCCGTCACAGCCATGAACACAATTAGTTGACCCCACTCTTGCCTGTGCTTTATATATCGAATTGGGGAACTTTTGTTGCATTCTTAGACCATCTCATACCTTGATTGCCACTTTCGTACCACGTTTTGCATTCGCGCCTCACCTTCCGAACGCGACCTGACCCAGTCAACCGCGCAAGTGGCGAACCTGACCGTTTTCGTCACCACCACGCGCAGGCTTGAACTGCTTCAGTACTCCAACGCTCTCAATTCCTCAATTTAATTGGCGGTACTCATCATTCGCAATGGCTGTGGATTCGTCCTCTTCGATTGATGGGGCATCTCCTGCCGGACATCCCGACAGCAGCCCGCCCTCGTCCCCCCCAGCTGAGCCACCCAAGGACGAAGCTGCCCCCCAAGATAGCCTTGAGCGCGAGGAAGCCAAGGCGCTGGAGCGCAATCTTGAGGCCGAGAATAAACGCAAGGCATCACTCAAGCGCAAGAGAAAGGCGGTCACGAAGGCTCAAAGAGAGGCAAAAGCCAAAGAGCTTGATAATCTACTCAGGCAGAGCGCCGCTTTTGCTGACATATTACGTGGCAAAACCAGTGTTCTGGGCCGAGTCGGCACGGCTCTTGACGGCGAGACACTTGGTGACCATGATCTCCAAATGGCTGCACAGCCCAAGTGTCTGGTGGGAGGTACAATGCGAGACTACCAGTTGGAAGGTGTTTCGTGGATGTACGAAGTTTGCTTACAGGGCATGAGTGGCATCCTGGCTGACGAGATGGGCTTGGGTAAGCTCTGCTTCAATAGGGTGACAAGTGAAAAAAAAACTGACCCCAGACAGGCAAGACGATCCAGACCATCGGCATCATTGGCCTGCTTCGCGAACAGGAAAACTACCTTGGCCCGCACATCATCATTGCACCGCTTAGTACTTTGTCCAACTGGATCGCTGAGTTTAAGAAATGGGCGCCTTCCATTCCAGTTTTGATGTACCACGGTACTCCTTCAGAACGTCAAAAGCTGCGAAGCACCAAGATGTTTCCGTATTTGGACAAAAAGGGCAAACCTACTGATCGATTTCCTGTGGTCTGCACAAGTTATGAGATGGTAATAAGAGACAGCTCATTTTTGTCCAGAATAGAGTGGGAATTTATCATCATCGCAAGTCGCACTATTTCCTGTTACAAGTCATCCTGCTAACTTGAGTGCAGGATGAGGGGCACCGCCTGAAGAACGCTGAGGCTCGCCTGTTCCAGGAAATTTGCAAGTTTCGTAGTGCGACTCGTTTCCTCATAACAGGCACTCCTTTGCAGAACAATCTCAAGGAATTGTGGTCTCTGCTTCATTTCCTGATGCCGAGGATCTTCACTGACTGGGAAGCTTTTGAAACCTGGTTTGATTTTAGTGATCTCCAAGATGAAGAAGGTACTGAGCAGTTTATTGAGGACAAGACCAAACAGGATTTGGTGAAGAAGATCCACACTGTGCTTCAACCATTGCTGCTCCGTCGTGTCAAAGCCGACGTTGCCAACTATCTCCCCAAAAAACGAGAGTACGTTCTTTACGCTCCAATGACGAAGGAGCAGACGGATCTCTACAACGTCATTACGAACAAAAAGGCAGACACCAGAGCATATCTCGAGCAGAAGGTTGTCGAGAGACTGACGGGGACCACGAACACACCGGCCGGATCTAGGAAAGCCACACCGAGCTCGTCACGATCCGTCAGTGTTGTCAAGACCGAGAAAGACGTGGACAGTGATTCAGCTGGAAAGACCAAGAATGCATTTTCGCTCTTGATGGGACAACCCAAGAAGAGAGGCAGGCCGGCTAAGAATGCGACCAAGCCAAATGGCAACACCACAAAGCGAAAGGAACCACCTACCTCCGAGACTTCCACCCCTAAGACTACGCGAACCACTAAAGACTCGACCCCAGCGAAATCCGCTAGGGGTCGCTCACGCAAGGTCACTCGACGTTCGATGAAACTGAACGAGTCCGACGATGACGAGCTGTCCGACGACGAATTTGAGGCAAAACTCGCACAGGAGTATGCTGAAGATAATGAGGCCGAGACCATATCCACTCCTGAATCCACCGAGGAGATGGAGCGAGCTGCAACCCTCGAGCTCGCCAAGAAAGAAATATCCCACAAGAAGCTTGGAAATGACTTGATGCAGTTGCGGCTCACCTGCAATTCACCCCACAACTTCTACAACCCCTGGCCAAATGCGGAGGACATTGATGAGAGCATCGTTACCTCATCGGGAAAGATGCTACTTCTTGATCGCCTCCTTCCTGCGCTGTTTGAGAGGGGCAGTAAGGTTCTTATCTTTTCCCAGTTTTCCACACAACTAGATATCTTGTGGGATTACTGTGCCGAGCTTCGTGGTTGGAACACTTGCCGGATCAGTGGCAACGTCTCGCACCAAGATCGGCAGGCTCAGATTGAGGAATTCAACAACAATCCAGAGTGCAAGTTGTTCATCTTGACAACACGTGCAGGAGGCCAGGGCATCAACCTTGCCAGCGCAGACACGGTCATCCTGTTTGATTCTGATTGGAATCCACAACAAGATTTACAAGCTCAGGATCGAGCACATAGAATCGGCCAAACCCGACCCGTGATCGTATATCGGCTCGCGACAAAGGGGACAGTAGAGGAGGACCTGCTCATGAGTGCTGACGCCAAGCGGCGTCTCGAGAAGCTCGTGATCAAGAAGGGTAGTTTCAAGAACTTGGGCCAGAAAAAGGATCTCAACGAGGGCCTGGACAAGGAGACCCTGCGCTCACTCCTGCTCAAGGATGGTGAGGTATTCAGGTTCTCAGGCGACAAAACCATTCTCAGCGATGCGGACCTGGACATACTGTGCGACAGGTAAGCTGTGGTCACTACTTCACTTTGCTGATTGTCATTGGCCGGAAGATGGACTAATATAATTCTTTAGGAGTGACGCCGCGTATGACCGTGCTGCAGCAGGTGCCGGTAATGCGGATGGATTCACAGTTGTTGAAACTGGTGCTAAGGGCCTTGCCACCATGGGTTGAGATGAGGCACAGGCTTCGCTCAATTATTCAATCGCATAATATCCGGCTCGTCTGTGCCACTGAGCAAGGTCTTCTTGGATGAGCTGGTTGCGCTGCGCCGCTAGCGCAACGATTGTTTATCGTCTCGAGCAGTATTTATACAAGTCGAGAACTTGTCACTTGTTATAACTCTTGATCAGAGACTTCTAGCTGTGCCGGAACACACAACAGGTCACAACGGAGTTTTTATGTGATCTTGGTTCCTTGTTTGTGGCTATCAGCTTCATAAGACGCACTTCATACAGTCCAGATTTCGTCCAGGGAGCTCGCTGCCTGCTGTGTCTACAACATCTCTTGCAAATTCACAGTCAAAAGGCAATGTGGCTGTTTCCTTGAATTAATCACCATCCTGAGCTCGCCAGCACGCCTTGGCCGATGTCTCATTGCAGCGGTAATGGTCAGGGGACTCGTCTTGGGTATGTACAATATTTGGTCTGACTGGTCTTATGTGTTTTTGGCTTCGGAAAAGTGGCTTTCGTGTGTGGTAGTCCTGGCAATGAATGCTGCAATCCCTGGCTGCTTCAAAACAAGAGTTGCAGGGTACAGTCGCTGTGCAAAATGACGAAAAGGGTTGTATTGCCTCATCTCATGGCTTTCACATGAGATATCATCAGATGTAGGAATAGAAGAAGCCCCCAGATGACCAGCAGATCTTTCATACACATGTTCAACTAGTGCCGTATGTTTCCCGTTGTCCCTTACTTTTCAGTGAATACAGCAGAATGGCTGTCTCATGGCTTTTAATGTCTCATCTAGCAGCATCATCGATCTCTCTCCTTTCCCTGAGCCCTCATTGCCCACTTTGTCTCCTGCTCGTAACAACGAGTCCGCATGCCGAGCGCGGTCCGTACACAAACGTGCCTCCTCCGAGAACAACAGCTGCGTTTGATTCATAATTCAGTTGAGGATCGACCTCATCCCCTGGTGCCACTTGTTGGCCCCTCCAGCAAGGCTTTTGCATCTGGTCGTTATCGAGTCGATCCATGCAAACGTGGAAAGCCTATCAAGTTTTCCACCGAGGTAAGGTCTTGCTCAGCCTTACGCACTCCAACCCCCACCGCCAACATCGAAGTTGTCCCAAACCTGGGTCGAGCTTCAAAGCTTTTCGCACCAATTCTTCCACTTTGGTTGAGAAAGGATACTCTGTCCCTCGCGCCATCCTTCGTTTCACTTTTGAATGATCAAGCTTTGTCGTCAAGCGGCCTGCTGTAATTCCTTCAACTTGCTTGTCACTCACGTTCGAGACTTCACTTCAATCAAACCTTGACGGTAAGACAAACACCTCTGCGTCGTTTTCAGCCTTTGTAGTTTCTCAATTCCACCACCATTCCTTCTTTTCACATTGTCCAACTTCTCCATCACGTCCTTTTTGCGTCAATTGGACGGCCTGGGGAGTTCTTCGGCGGCAGTCCGTCGTGATGGTCTGTCCTCTCGGTTTGCTGACTTTACCTGTCGTGTTGGCCGAACTGAATCTGTCATTTGCATCTGACAACAAGCATAGCTTCTTTTACAGTCGGCATGGGGCGCAAAACTCGCCACCGTATTCGCAAGAAGCAAAAGGAGGCTCGCGAATCCCTCCAGCGTGGGTTCCAGGTACCACCCAGGAGCGCTCTGCCCCTTGGACTATACTCAAGCACCAGACTCACTATGCCCGATCGGTTCGAAGATGTCTACTCTATAGTCGGGAGTGGCGTGGGAAAGCTAAGCTCCCGCGTTAACGTCGCCTCTCGGCATCCTGTCTACCTCGACGAAGACGAAGACGAAGAAGAAGACGACGATGACCTGTCCACTGTGGTCTCAGACACCACCTTCAAGCCCGCAGAATCGGTCGACCAGCCTCTAGAAAACTTCAATAACGAAGACGACAACAATGACGATCGTACCCCTCAATTCGATGGGAGCATTGACGGATCCCCATTCATGATCAACGGCAAGACTATTTCCGACGCGGATAAGTTCTTGACATTCGAAGGCGTCACCAACGTGGGATATATCGACGGCGTCATCCGGCAGTATTTGTTTGATGAGCGCTTTGCGATGTCAGACAAGGATACGGACTACGCAGTGTGGGTGAAGAAGAATCTTATTGTGGCGTTCCAAGCCCACGTCTTGTACGAGGATTGCCTGACCCCCAAGTCATACAATAATCTGGCCGAAAGCAAGCACCGGGTCATGTCTCAGTTGCAACAAGACATTGGAATCACTGCCAAACACAAGGGTCATTGTGAGATTCTGCTCTCTGTGCTCACTATCTACAAGAATGCGCGAATCTACGAAATCGCCAATACTCTGCAAAGGGGACGGCTGCCTCAGGACCCACAGGACCCTCTCACGTCATTGCTCATCGAGCTCATCGACCGCTACATCATGTACAATTTCATCAAGACACCTCTACGCAGTGTTCCATCGAAGGACTCTGTCTCAGAACGTGTTGAGCAGAGATCGAACACTTTGCGACGCACTCTTGCAGATTCCAGCGTCACATGGAGGCTTTTTGCAGAGTTGGGCTCTTTGATCCCATCAGAAGAACGTGGGTTGATGCCCACAAGGCCGTGGTTCTATGACACCTGGGTCAAGGCAAATGTGGCTGACACGATCAAACCAATGACAAACCTGCAAACGGGATCTCATGTCTCGAAGATCGCCCTTCCAATACGACAGTCTCAACTTGATCCCAAGAACATTGGGATACTCCATGCCTCTGTGTCCGATCAATCGAAAGCGTTGCAACAGAAGCGGAAGCATGACGGAGATACCACGGACCAGCTTCACCTTGAATCTGAATCCACAGTGGTCGACATCGAAGTGGTAAAACGGAAAAAGAAGCGATTTGATGCTCCTGGGCCTTTGAAAAAGCAGGCTGTGAGCCACCATGAGCACTGAAGGGGCGAATATGGGCGGCAATGATGGCCGTGCTGAGAAGTTACGCAGGACTTGTGAACCTCAACGATAGCTTCTCCGGCAAAAATGTAACCTCTGAAGGACAAATTAGGAAGACCCCTGTCCTCAGGCGCCTGAGCAGAGAGCCCACATCGAAAACAGCTTACATGTAGACAGTAACCGGTGGTATGTTCCTCCAAAATGAGTCGTAACAACTATCAGGGACTAGGCCTTTCATGTTAGTTTGGAAGTTCGTCAACCCGAACAAAATAATGTAAAATTACACGATCAAAAATGGCTGTTCCAACGAAAGCTCCAGGTGATGGCGTTCCTATTCAAAGCTTGTTTTCTGGTATCTGAGGAATTGTCCAAAGGCCAGGAACTATCTGTGAAAGAAAGTCTGCTGTCAAACGAGGATCCTGTCTTGGATTGACAAATTTGTAAAGCTTAGATCTACTTATGCGGTCTCAGCCCAGTTCGCCCCTGATTTATGAGCTTATCAGAACCCAGCCGTAGCTTTCTCTGGTCAAGAGCAGTCAACTAGTCGCACAAACTACCTTATTCCCCTTCTGTGTGGTAGAGCTTGATCTGGATCCATGGTCTCTTGAGGTCAGTGAAGCCATGTCTGGGGGCTACCAATGCGCCCCCGGCCAAAAACAAGTCATCTCAGACCGCGAGGCATGTACACTTAAATGGATTCACATGGAGTAGAAGCAAGGTTCTGTGGTGTAGCGGTTAGACTCTTCTGTTTAAGCTGGGCCTAGGCGAGAGGGTCATCGCACGCCTTGCGCAGTCACAGTTCAACTCCCGCCCACGTCAACTGGGCAACGAATTCTGGGGAGGGGTGTGATTTGCATACAATCGTTGGCGATGCAGAACGTGGGCATCTTGGGCAAGGTTCCTACCTTTTTTGAAGCTTTTCAGCCCTGATTTTCATTTTCTGTCGGGTGATGGGAGCTATTGTCTTGCACCTTGAATACATACTTGCTTCCTTGGAAAAACAGAAGTGGTCATCAATGTGGTCTTTGTCAACTACCCCCATCCACTGAGGGTCATCAATCGCAGTAATTGAACCAAGACTCCAACGGCCCAATAGCTGAAACGGCGGAAGATAATATTTGGGTGGTGCTGCCTTGACTCGAGTTAGGCGCCGACAATAAGTAACGGCCTGACTCCTCTCCTCGACGGACAGCTGGACTCTATCTTCACCCCAAAATTGTCTTCCAACGGTGCTGTGCTGACTCTAGCCAGGTGAGAGCTACGGGTATCGGCAGCGGCGAAGGTAATAATGGTACCGTTAGGGCTGTAGCAATGTTGATGGCGCTGGTGGCAGTGCTTTGAAATCCGAAGCATCAATTTGAACCAACACGTTACGCGCAACTTTGAGCTTTCACAGAGACGAGATTGACGCTGATCCACACCCATGAACATTTTACAATTCAAGTCGAGAGATTGGACTTGCTGTCCTCGGCATTCCTATCCATTACGCAATATCTCAAGGCCTCTCTCTGCTGCCCAATTTACATACGCCAACCACCTTCATCTTGTCCTTCGCGGGGACGGAATGAGGATGCTGAGATTGTCCAAGTACGTCTAACTCATGAAAGATTCCCTGGGGGAACTTTAGGCCAAGGCAGGTCATGATATCAGCCCACTGCATTGATATGCCACTAGCCAACCCGACCGAGACGGCAGGAGGCCAGGGAGCCACAGGTCCAAGAGGCGAGAAGTCGGTCATCTTCAACAGCACCTGCATCCATGTAGCTGATCCTGCCTCTATTGTTCGTCGTAGGATAATCCGCGCCGACCTCTCGCATTTCATCGTCACGACGCTCACTTTGTTAGCTCCTAGTGAATCGGTGAAGGGAACGGGGTTGACATACAACGAAGGCACGAAGTTGGAGTAGGCGTCATTCGGGGCCAACAACAAGGTCATATACTCACAGGAGATTTCTTGTGGAATATGGCGCTCGATAACTGAGCAAGTTATGCCTTCGCGGCAACCCAGTAACGCGCTGAGAGCGATCGGGCTAATTCGAAGGGTCGTATAGAGGTCCTTAGGCGTGGCCGTTTGATGTAGATCACGACGTGTATCTCGTTGGGCACCTTCTCGAAGGACACGGTGGGCTGTATGCTTGCAAAGACAGAAATTGCCGATGAAAATTCTTGCTGTATGGAGGTTGGGTCCGAGATAGGAGGCATAGTGAGTGACGATCGTCCCACAGGATGTGGGACGGAGGATTGAACTGGTGCTGATGATAGCAGCGGGCCGACGCTGCTTCGAGGACCGGCATTCTTGGACGAGTATGTGAATTAAGTAACTGGCTCCTGTCTTGAGAAGAGAGGCATTGAGTCAATCGCTTCGCACAAAAGCCTCAAGCCCCTCTGTAGTGAAGGTGCTGCTTCCAGGACAAGATGGAGGAATGAGTGACAGTAACAAATGTAGAATCTTATCCGCTTCGGAGCTGGGGCGAGATTCAATAGCAAACGAAGCCGTGCTCTAATTATCAGTAAGTTGCTTGGCAATTGTATCTTGTATCTCTCTGCAGCCTCTCAGCCTTTCATGAAATAGACATTCCAAACTCGCTCAACCTTATTAGACTACCCTTGAGATCATAAATCCTTGCAATGATAATTATGAGAAGCCTCGTAAACCACTATGATGCGCGCGCAAAAAGAGTGATGCGTGTTATGTGCAAGCAAACAGTATCGATGGCCGAGCGTAAGATAGTCTGTGGGTAGACAACACTGATCGCCTTGACAGATTCTCAGCTCCTATGGAGCTGAGATCAAATGTAGATACAAAGGTATTTCGAAACCTATTTCAGATCAGGAATATACATTTTATCATGTTGGAAGCCACAGGTGGTTTGAGTGATTTCCCGTTCCCCTTGTGGGCCGCTGCCACAGTCATCTCATACGCCCTTGCGAGAGCGGACGGCCTCGACTTCAGCTTTCATCTGATGAATTGAAACTTTGATATTTTTGAAAAACTTGAATCTCAAAATTGTGCCACGGCTTTTCTTTCCCAGCCACCAAAAAGCCCTGGGCTACCTTCGTCCCAAAGTGGTCGGCAACTTCGTCAACCTCGCTCCCTTCATTTGCAACGAACGGATTCCTTCAGCATCGCTCAACCACACCAATTTCAGTTGTGAATTCTCTTGTCCTGCAACAAAAAGGTGGCTCTGGTAGTCACCATCGACCCGTCGTCCTCGTCAGCACCCTTCGTCGTCGGCAACGCCTTTTGTTCATTGTCATTTTGACCCAACTTCGCTCTTCTCGCCCCCTCAATCGAAAACCTCAACATGGCGTTCAACCTGACCCCACAGCAGCTCCAGAATCTCCAGAACCTCACGAGACTTCGCCGGATTGAGCTGCAGCAGCAGTCGGTGGCGCTTCACCAGCCTCAGAGCAATGCCGCCGCCGCCAACGTCGCTGCCCAAGTCCTCAACCCGAATCCTGGAAATCATCCGCAGGTCATCCAGCCACAGGTCATCCAGCCACAGGTCGTCCAGACACAGGTCGTCCAATCGCAAGTCTTCCAGCCACAGCTCGGCCCTCCTACTGGTCACCATGTTATCGGTACTCCCCCTCGACGCCGACGACGTCTGAGCCCGGCCGTCCAGCGGATGATCAACGATGTCGGCCCCCATAACCAGCAGAACCGTCGTGCCTTCAAGGCCTGGTACCGTGGCTACAAAAGCACGCTGCGAGCTAACCTGGGCCAGGCATGGGACAAGATGTCGGACGACATGCAGAGCTACGGCGTTTCCAACCCAGAGAACTTCGTCGTCGAGTCTGGCCGCGACGAGCTGCAGGACATTCTTCAGGTTCTCCCAATTCAGCATCAGCTGGCGCTGTTCGATGTCGCGATGGAGCGACAGATGCAGAAGGGTGACATCTCCAGCGGCAAAGTCGCTGTCTTCAATTCGATCGTTGGACGACCAAACGATCTGCCTCTGGCCACCTCCTAAAGATGTTGGGTCTTCTCGCAATGACTGACCTTGAAGAATTCGAGAGCACGCGACCATTGGCAAGCTCAGCCTACACGTCGACACATCATGTTCGACTTCGCGAGGGCTCGGAAACTAAGAAAAGAAAAGGAAAGAGAAAACACGACAAAAAAAGTGTGCAATTCGACGCCATCAAGTGGAAAAGCTGGAGGTACTGGGAGCACGGAAATGAAGTCTGTTGCAGGGCGATGGCCAGTTTGTCGATTGGAAAGCGATTGCAGAACTGGAAGACCTGTCGTGAGGGATGGATATCCACACACGACAGTTCACTGCTGAGGAGGACATCTGCTGCAAGGCCTCGACAGGAAAGAGGAAGATACAGCAGCATAGCTCATCATGAATGAGAAACAATACCCAACTGAAATGAATCTTACATATCTTGATTCCTGGAAAGCAGATGTGACAGGTTTCAACCTCTATCCATTCGATCGTGTCTGAGATACCTTCCATCACAAATTTCAGCTCAAGAGTCTGACTAAATGGCCACGCGCGGATGGAACTTGACGTTTAGATCCGGCTTCTTCCACAGAATGTGATTTTTGCACGCGCTATTCCAATCCTCAATGTCCGTATCTGACTCGAGATCAAACGCCCACAACAGCTTGGCCAGCGAGATCCTCATCTCTAGATACGCCAGATTGATTCCCAAGCACCCTCGAGGCCCGCAAGAAAAGGGCTGGAAGGCCCTCTTGTCATCCTTGGCGAAGCCTTCGCCAATCCAGCGCTCCGGCCTGAACGACGTGGGATCGATCCAGTATCGGGGATCGAAAGCCATTGCGTAGTTCTCATTGGCCACGACTGTTCCTTCGGGGATGAAATGGCCGTCGATGACCGCACCGGGGCAGTCGCGGGGTAGGCCGAATGCCAGAGGTGGGAAGACTCGTAGCCCCTCCTCTATGCACCCATGGAGGTATGGTAGTTCGGCGGTGGAGTCGCCCGTGATATCGTCGAGGGAGCTGTAGGCCCCTCGAATCTCGTGGGTGAGCTGCGCAAGACAGGACGGGTTGTTGAGAAGGTACCAAGTGAGTCCAGAGAGAGCCGTGGCGGTGGTCTCCGATCCAGCGATGATCAGCGTATCCGCATTACCCATCAGCGCATCCTCCGTCAGGCTCCCGTTCTTAATAAGGTGGTCGAAGAAATCGTGCCGGCCCAGTCTGCCACGTTCGATACGCCTCCTTGCTTTGTCCTTCCCCAATCTTATGTGCTCGTCGTGATTCTCGATCATGCGTTTCGTGAAGCACCAGCGCAAGAAGAGACCGCCCACCACAGGGCCTAGATTCCGGGCCGCCCTTCGTCCAGCCGAGTACATGAGATAATCGAAGTTGATGCTGACTTCGTGGCTAGACCCTCCAGAGAGGCAGCCAAATGGCTCGCCAAATGCCAAATCCCCTGCGGACCATGCTTAGCGACTCAGGCCTTGCGACAAGACCGTTGGAAACTCCCGGGGAAAACTGACCTATAGCATCGAAAGTGAGCCAATTCCAAACCTCAGTAGCATTTACGGCTACCGTGCCTCCTGCCCCAAGTGTGTCAAGCTGCTTCAGCAGGAGATCAACATATCTGTGGAAGACGTCTTCCTGGTCCCGCAGGGCACGGGCACTGAAGGCGTGCGAAAGGGTCTTCCTCTGCTCGGTGTGAACGACCGGATCGCGCACCCTGACGATGCGCGGCTCATCCGCCTCGTACCACTTCGCCTTTAGAAACCTCTTCTTGCCGTGCGTCACGTGTCCGTAGATATCACGGTATGATTGTGGCGTTGAGAAGGACAGAGAGTTGGGGCCCACGCGGACAACATCACCTGGGCAGAGTGGTCAGTTTACGACGGCGCCAAGTAGGCTGTTGGCATGGACGAGAAGCTAACACACCATACTTTCTGTGGAGGTCTGTCATAATGAAGCACTGTCGGCCGGTGAAGGCAAGCCATATCTGCCAAAGCTGCGTAACAGCAGCAAGCCTTGGGCCAGGGTATTTTGCGAGGGGGTGGAAGAAGAGCAGATGTGCGCACTTGGCCAGGAGGTAAATCGTGATCTGCTCCGACTGTCAGCTGCTGGCCATGACAGCAACGCTCGACGGGTGAGCTTCGAGGAAGGAACTCACAGTGGCCAATCCAAGTAGGCCAACGCTGCTTAGAGACAAGGTCTTGACCTGGTTGATTGGGGACATCCTGCAAGTAAGGGGGGGTGGGGACTACCGGAGAAAGGAGTTGACTGAGGGCCGGGGCATCCGAGTCAACGGGCGCTTGAGGGAGTGAGCATCGCTCTTATAGTCTAGTTCATGCCCCTTGCCGTCTGTTTGTTATTTACTAGCTACTGTGACACCAGAGGAGCGGTCGGTCAGTGTCAGCCTCAAGCAAGAGGGCCGAGGACTGCATGGTGCTATCACGCCACTGGGCTTGGGAGGCTGAAGGCCGTGATGATGACGGTCTGACAGCAGGTCTGCGAACAAGCAGCACAGCTGCAACATCCTCATAGATGCCGTGTGCACTTGTGCTGCAGGAAGCGACGGGGAGATTTGGGCCAAGGTTGCGTGCGTTAGTGACCGGAACCGACGCGGAGCGGCCCAGCTTTTGGTGGACGGGGATCGCGGGCTTTGCCTGCATCGAAGGATCAATATTCGGAGCCTATGCCTTCATTTGCCCACCCTTCACCCTTCACCCTGACAGCATCTTGCATAGGCAGATCTGGCTGCTTGTTCAACGAATGACCTTCCCGTTGGGGCCTGTCGTTGACTCGCACATGCAGACGGAGGACTGAGGCTACAGCGTGTGTGCATATGTACTGGAGCAAGGGGTAGGAGGTGTCCGTGAGAACGTCTCGCCACTGTCAGTAGACGAATCGAGCAGTTGCACACCTGCGTGCAGGGAACGGCCCCAAATGAATGATCCGTGTACTGTAGGACTATCCCATGCCATCCATCCATTCAAAAGTTGCACCTCTCTTCCAGCTTGCAGTCGACCGTGCAGGGGGGCAATGACAGCTCGCAAGGGGGGGGGGGGGCGTCCCAAGGCTTTGTTTGCACTGGCACTCGAACTCCTGAGTGTATGGACAAGGGATCGAGAAAAAGCTAACGATGCAGAAGCATGTATTTAGCCCGCGAAGACTGGTAGACGACGGCGCAAGACAGGACTCATCCTACACAGATGTTATCCCACCGGTCTCGCACAGGACGGTGTGCTCATCATCGAGTTAGACGTCCACACCTGGACTGGCTGAAAATTGTTCTGTACAGGGGCAGTGGAGTGGCTTCCGGACACACTGTGACTGTGGCGCCTGAGTGCCGAGCAACTGGGCGACGTTGTGTTTAGTACGGTAAACTAGACCGTTGGAAGTTGACAAGAGAATGCGAGCGAGCAGCACGCCGCCTGGAAACCGGAATACCTGGGCTCAGCTGGGCTCAAGAGGTATATTAAGTGCACGAATATATAGAGCACTAACTCGTCAACGGCAAGGCGTCTCCCTGCCTCGGTAACGTGCTAAGCGATGCGCCTTGCCGAAAGCTTCGACGGCGTGTTCCAGGAACAAACCGCGACTCCGATTTTTTTTTTTGGGCAGGGTCCCGGGAATCCAACGTCGGTCAATCGAGTGGTGCTACTGCGAACTGCTGTGCTGCCGTGCTGCTGCTACCGTAGCTATGCGCCTCGGAAGCTACCTCCTTTGCCTCTGAATCTTGAAGCCACCCGCGCCCCAGAGCTTTTGCTCCTGCTTCAATCTGCCTCTAGAATGGCCAGGAAGAAGAACAAGCAGAGAAAGGACGCGCCAGACGGGGGCAATGGCAGCGGCAGTGTCGTCGCACCTCTTGCGCAGGGCGTGGGTGCGGAGGGTCCCGCCTCTGCCTCCAAGAAAGATGCCCTCACAACCACAACCACAACCACAACCACAACCACCACTAGCACCGCCACCACCTCGAGCTCCAAGTCCAGGAACGTTGCGCATGCACTGCCCCAGCCGCCGGCTTCTCCTGCCTTGATTATATGTCGAAACAAGTCAGTCAATCCCTCCTGCTGCTCGCTGTCGCACTTCCAATGACACCCGAGACTTGTTGCGCGGGGTGTTCGCGACAGAATCCCTCTCTTGCGCTGCGCTCCTCCGTTGGACAACCCACACCTGACCTCTCCATGCGCCAAGCCCAATTGCTGATCAATGAACCCCCAGGCACTGGCGCTATATCTCGTCCTTCCATGGGCCATGGCTACAGCTTCCCCACGAGATCCTGGAGACCCTGGTCAACATCAACTACAACACCCCTCGCCCCCGCCCCATCGACCCTGCCGTCTTCTACGACCTGGTCAAGATCCGCCGACTTGTTGACGATGCGACCGACCTCGCCGTCCGCGCCGCAAGCGGAGTCGTCTCTCTAAATAGCCTGAATAACTCCCATCCTGCTGCCGCTCTGGGGCTGGGCTTTGGTGGTGGAAACCAGCCCAAGCTAAGCCCCGAGCGCAAGCACAAGTTACGGGAACAGGCCACCCAGAAACTGGCCAGGGCCTACCGCCTAGACGAGATAGCATGTAGTGTGGCCACAATGCAGAGCGCATCCGCTCTGGAGGACGTCGCGAGCCTGGTGCTAAAGAGAGACCCAAACAACCTGGATGCTAAATACGTGCACTTTTTCCATGAGAAGATTCCCAGCCGGCAGCTGGCCGAATCAACGAGCCTGGATACCCTGGACGATGTGATATCAGGACAACAGTCCGAGGGCGAACCTCTGCGCACACGGGCGACTGTGCGCGTCTTCAAGGAAGACTACGACGGCGCGGCCAGGGATTTGACCGAGGCTCTACAAGTGTTTCGAGCCCATAAAGCCCACAGCATGGCCGGTAAGTCGAAGGAGCTCCAAGTTGTTGAGACTGGGGGTAGGCGGCTGGATGTCAAACTGGACGAGGACCAGCAGCCAAGCAGCCTGGAGATCCAACTACTGTTCGCACGCGCCGGCGTCTATCTAAGCATAGCTTGTTTGCATGTGAATGAGGCTCTCCTACCAATACCGGCCGCCAAATCAAAAGAAACGGATAAAGAAACAGTCGCAGAGTCGGCAGATAGTCTTGGAGGCCATGCGGATGCCGCAGAAGCAACCGGGTCAGGAACATCAACGCCTGCGACGGATGCGCCACCCCCAGAGCTCTCCCCAGCTGACAGAGAGTCACAGAGGCGTGTGCTAGAGGCCAGAAAGATTGTCAAATCCAATGCCAAGAAGGCGCTGCGGGACTACATGGCCTACCTGTCCAACTTTGACTATTCGCCTAATTTACCCACAGATATCGCCGAGGACTTCACTAGGAAAGTGAAGGCCGGAAAGAACAGGGGCAGGCGGCCAGCTTCTCATGTACGCAGTGATTCCCCCAGTGGCGAAATCGCCCACACCGTTTATACCCTGAATGAGCTCTTTGCTGCAACGCCCCCAGGGGACTTGCCGCCCTACCCTCCAACGGACGCCACATTGGCAGGACCAGAGCCAGGCACAGACGCGACATATGTCGGAACGACCATGGAGCTGGTAACATACCATCCACTCATGACCGACGCTCTGCACGCCTTGCTCCTGTGTCACGTCCTCGTGCAGACCTCAACGAAGGAACTGCAACGCCACGCTTACATGGTGGCACGCCTCGCTCGGCTCGCCGACGGGTACCCAATGTTCCAGGCGAGCCGGAGCCCAGCACGCGCGGACTGGATAGAGGTTCTCCGCAGGGGCGAGAACTGGATTGGCCTGGCGATCCCATGGGAAAGCCTGTGTGCAGCTGCGCCGCTGTACCCTGGGCAGAGCTCCCAGAACAGCGGCGCCGGCACCGCTGCTAAGCACAACCCGAAAGCCCTCCCCGCGCCCGAAGCGGCGAAGGAGGTCAAGAAGGACATCGACGACGAGGACCGTGAGAGAATCAACCAGCAGGCTCTGATGCGTGCCATCGAAGACGACCGCGTCGGCGACGAGGCGACGCTGCGCGCGGCGATCAGCGCGCATCGGAAGAGGGCCGAGGATGACCTCAGGGCGGAGCGGAGAGACGGCAGCGGCGGGGCCAACGGGGTCATCGTCCCCGTTGTCAACGGCAGCCCGAAGCCCGCCTCGCCCGCTCCGCAAGACACGGGCAGCGAAAAGGCCCCGTCCTCGTCGTCCTCCAACGGCCGCCCTCCCTCGCCCGGCACGGCCCACCGCCGTTGGGCGATGGACGAGGGCCGCGAGTACCCCATCCTGACGGAGCGCGCCTCGGCCGTGGCGCGCTGGCTCCGCGAGGCCCCTCCGGGGGCCGGTGGGAGCGGCCACTCCAAGAAGAAGAAGAAGGCTGCCGTTACTGCTACTTGAGACAGCTCTCCACAGACAGCGCGCGTAGAATTCCAGACATTGCAGAAGATGACAGACTATTCAGTGTCTCCCTCCCCGTAGACGACGATAATCTTTGCAAAATCTTAGCCTTGGTGGGAGGCCGCCTTGCATGTTCAGTCCCTGTCTCTTTATTCCACCTGAAAACATACCCAGCCCCCGTCTGGGCAAGAACTTGGATCGTCTCTTGATTCCTTGCTAGCTACCGTTGACCATGCCGCAATCCGTTCTGCCTCCTTCCTGCAACCCTTGCCATGGCTCGTCAGACTCAAAATATGGAAAGACTTGCAGTCAGGTTGGCTAGATACCATACCTTACAGTCTCCACCCACTCCCTACTCATACGGAAAAGATGAGGCACGGAGACCATAACTCTACCGCAACGATGGCGACACATTTATGTGTGACACGGATGTCTCGCACAAGACCGTTCATTAGTCAAACACATGACACGGCAAGGTTACAACACCAGGGCATTGTCTATGAGTACAACAACTTTTGCTGTCATCAGACTCGATGTGAATAAGGTATCACAAGCTAGGCAGATATCCTCCGGGTACAGTAGTCCTCCAATCACTCAAAGAGACCGACAGCCAGGGATAAGTGCGCAGTCTTTCCCCTTGACAAGCATCGTATATATCCTATATATACAGGCGTAGACAGGTAGGTATCCGTCCTGGAACATCACAACGAGTATAACTCAACAACGCTCATTCTGCTCTGCTCAACTCCACCTGATATTCCCATCCGGTCCTGGCGCGCCCCCAAGACCGCTCAAGTCCATCCCGAGGAAGTTGTTAATTTCGCCCACACCATCGGTCTCGAGTATGTTCATTAGCTCCATCTGCTGGTCAGCACTCAAGCTTCCGTGCCGCTGCGCTGCGAAGCCGAACCCCTGTGGCATACCATGGCCGCCTCCACCGCCGAAACCACCTGGAACACTGGTTGGACTAGTGCTTTCGTAGCTACCGCCACCCATGATCCCTGAGAAGGCTGCATTAGATGCGGCAGAATCATTCCAGACTCCGTGAGGCGAGTTCATCCCGTTAAACGCGTACGGTGAAATGAATGGCGGTGGAGGGGAGAACCAGTCTCCAAGTGATGCTTGTTGCGGCAAGGGTCTTTGATGTTGTTGCTGTTGTTGTGGCTGCTGCTGCTGCTGCTGCTGCCTTTGGCCATTGACGACATGGAGAGGCAGCGGAGGAACTGTAAATGTTGGCGTGCGATGAGACGGCTGTTGAGGTGTTTGTTGCGGTGTGGGCTGGGCGTTGGGCGTTGATGGGGGTTCGAATCCCATGTCCTCTGGAGCCGGCTCATATTTGATATGCGCTGGCGGTACGGATTGCTGCTGAGTTGCACCAACCGGCATAGGGCTGCTGTACGTCATCTTTGGTGTAGGGCTCCCAGTCGCGTCGGAGTATGAGGTCGGTGGTGGCGAAAAGGTGTTTGGTGCCGTGTTCATTGATTCTGGCGGTGTTGGAAGTTGATTTTGCGGCATACCAACTGGCGACGATTGAGTCGATGGGTGATTTGCGCCCGGAGGTTGTGTGTGCTCACCAGCGTGCGGAGGCTCGCCTGGAGACGGTTGCTTGAAATCGGGTGGGAAGTATCCAAAGGATGGGCGACGGCCCTCGGTTGGCTCGCTCGAGGGATTCTTGAAAATGGAATTGGAGCGGAATGTTGGTTGCCGGAATGGATTTGAATCAAAGTTGAAGACATTCATGTCCTCCGCTGATTCAACAGTGTAGCCAAACACAGGTTGCGTGAACACAGGTCGTTGCTGATTCTGTGCGTATGCTGATCCGTTTGATACTGTAGTGGGTGCTGAGTTCTCAGAGGTCGCTGGCGAATCATTGTCCACCAGTAAAGGTGACGTGAAGTTACTCGTTATGGAAGAATCCGATGGATCGTCGTTGGTATCATAACTCTGAAGGCAGGCTCGGCCAAAAACAGAGTAGAGCTGCGATGCATTCTTGGTCCCAGGCCACCGTTCAGAACACTGGTCAATGACATCCAGCGCAACATTGACGATGTCCTCCACGTCATCTTTGGGATGTACTTCGCGGACTTCGCGGTACGAGATAGCCCACAAGAGAACATTCAACGACATGTTCAGAGTCAGAACAAAAACCCAGGTGATATCGACCGCAGACTTCTTGACCTGTTGGTTGGAGAGGTTGATGATATAGACCGCAGAGTCATAACATATTGAAGCGGATCGACTCGAAGGCCTCGGAATTTGAGGAGAAGGGCGATGCAAACTTATAACCATGGTATGATACCTCCCAGTGAACCTATACTCTGGTCAGTACTGTGCCTCTTCACCCAGGTCAAGTGGGTGCCTTACCATGGTTTGCACCATACTGGTTCGTTTGGAGCCGAATCGATCCAGTCCTTGATTTTCCGTTCCATGTCGATGAAAACAGGGCTGTCAGCATCCTTGGGCTCTGGCCGCTTTTTCTCGTACAGAACTCTTCGAATCTCAGCCTGGCGTATACGCATCTTGCAGAAATGAATCGCGACCAATTTCTTCTCGCTCGGGGGGCCGGGCAGTATCCCGTCCTCGGTGATGTTCTCGTCGTCAACCGTCTCGAAGAATTGAACGTCCATGAAGTCATCTCCTTTCGCAAAACCATTGGGTCGCCCCATGGAATGTGCCAGCCCGAGTTCGTTGCCAGTCACGATCCAACTCATTCGGCGACGCATGTCCATCTGAAGAGGGTCAATCAGTCCCATGGAATATCCAGCGGATATTGTCTTTTCGTCAGCAAGACCGAGTTGCTGACAGATCTTTGTCGCCAAGCCGATAATATGGTAAACGACGGTCCGTGTTGGGGTCAGAAGCGAATATGTACCAATCAGGACCAAACACTGAAGTGTCTTGAGATCCTTGGGGCGAACAACATCTTCAAAGTACGTCATGGCAGCTACATAATAACTATCCGCGAGACCAGCGTATTGGATATCGAGCTTTTGTAAGCTTATGGCAAGGACCATGCGTACCACGAAGTTCTTGTACGGGTCAGTATTGCCATTGTAAACGTCTTGCAGATCTGTTGCGAACTGCTTCTCGTGTAGTGTCGGCGTGAAATATTGTGCTATCACGATGTTAGTGAGATAAGTCGACAACATTCCCTCATGTATCTGGGTGCAATGTTTACCTCTCGAATTAAATACCTCGACGAGTTTGTCTGCCACCTGTCGTGCCGGCAGATTCTGGGCCGGAATCTCACTGACCATTGGAAAGTTCTTCTTCCTGGCAGCCATCCCAGACGGGCCACTGACGCTTGCGCCCATATGGACGATGCTTTGCATCCTATCAAGACGATCCATTCTCCTTGCACGAACGTCAGGAAATAGTTCCGATATACGCTGCGAGTCTGTGTATCGCTTGGCCTGGTCCATAAGCAACCTCGTCATAGCTATGCCAGAGCTGGGGCCCAGATAGCGCGGAGTCTCGTCTGACTCGCTGAGCTTGACAAGCCCGCCTGGTCGCACTATATCTTCTGCGCTCTCTGGGTGATCGTTATCATCGTCGGTGTACTGGGACAGCTCCGCCTCCAGCTGGCGGACCTTTTGTTGGAGGTGGACGACATAATTGCGGTTTATCTTCTTATTCCTCGTGGTATCAAAGTATTCGCACACGGAGCCGGATCGTTCGCAGGGCAGGCATCTTGGGAGCGTCGGGTCGCACCTCGTTTTGCGCTGTACAGCAGAGATGTTGTCAGCCTCGTCCTTACTCTACATAGTTCACCAGTCACATTGGAAGGAGGTCAGTGACTGTGAAGTTGGTCCAGGCCCAGCAGCTTCTCGACGCCAGCCATGCCTGTACACGATAGCGGCTGAGAATAGAGATAGACGGGGTACACGAGCAAGCCAGAGAAAGGTTACTTGCCTGTCGGCAACGGCAGCATGCGGTCAGCGTATGAGCGATGCGGTGTGAGTTCACATCGCTCTCATCATCCCTCTGCGATGTGGGAGGTCTGCGCAGAGGCGGGGCAGACTGAGGCGGCTGGGAGGAACGAGGAGGGCCGGGAGGATTGTAGAAGTACTGGGGAGGCCGAGGAATTACGGAACCGAGCCCTTGCCGAAAGACATCTGCGGCGTCCATTTGCGAGAATTGCAGCTTCTCAGAGGACGGAAGAGGGAGGGGTGTTCGAATGGGTCCGGCGCGGGACGGGGTGTGGTTCACAAACTGGGCAAGGCGACCAGTCGGGCACGGGTTCAGCAGATGGATGCTATGTCTATGGCGCGAGAGAGGATGGTGGAGGGCGTGGTTCTGAAGGCATGAGGATGTATGATCGTTCGGAAACGGGTGGGGTTCGCCGTCGATTGTCAGAAGGCTGGAGAATCTCGAGTGTGCTCTGGTGGACGGATGGGTTGCGTGATGGCCTAGGATAGCAAGGAGGCGCCGAAGTCAAAGATGGTCGATCGGAGAGGAGGAAAGGCGGTGGCGATGGGCACGCAACCAGGAGGTGTGGGCGTGTGGGCTGGTCTGGATGTGGTGTTGGTTTTGGTTATGCTTGTGGTACAGGTTAAGAGATCGAGGATGAGGTTGAGGTTGCTAGGCTGGCGGTGGTGTGCCTTGGTATGCTTCGCTTCGCCTTGCCTTGCAGTTGGCCTGCTGCTGCTCTGCTCTGATCCGCGTTGCTCGTCAAGGCTGCACACGATGCAGACGGTACGCGGTGCGGTGCGGTACGGTACGGTACGGTACGGTATGGCGCTACCAAGGTAGACAGACTATGTACTGCAGTACATGGACCAACTAGAGTAGACTAGACTAGCAGCACTATGCCCACAGTCTGCAGTTCTCAGTTCTCAACGGGGCAAACACGGGATACGGCAGCAACTGCCAGGACGTCAGGTCGACTCAAGGCGCAGGAACGTGGGGAGCAGGAGCACAGGTGGAGCCTCGCCCCACTTTGCACGAGGGAGAAGCGAGGAAGGTCCTAGGTTCAAGTCCCGAACAGGGCTAGCACGCCCAAACCCAGCGGGGGGCCCCTCTGCGCTTGGCCTGCCAGGCCTGCCTGGCACCTCTGCTGGACAGGCTTGACAGGCGCCAGTTTGTTTTAGGAGCTCCCAATGCCTGTCGCCAGACAATCTTCTAGAAGGCAAGGGTATGTCCGCTCAAATATCAAAATCGGGCACTCCGTACCGTATTCTGGATGCTGACTACTGACTGACCGACCGACCGACTGACTGACTGACTAAACGACTGACTGCTTGGTCTGGTCTGGAGAATGCAGCGTAGGGGGAGACAGTCATGGGCAGGGCAGGCCAGGGCAAGGCAGGCCAGGGCAGACCACCTAGGCAACGTCTGGTCTTTTCCTCTGTGTGTCGGCGATGGGGGCCATGACTTGGACCAGCAAACTCTCCCTGTCGGAGTCTGTCCTCTTACCCAGGTACCTTGTTCAAGAACGTCAATCGTGAACTGAATCGTCTCGGTCGCTTGGCAGCATCTGTCAAAATGCGTCAAGAAACGCGCGTGGACGTGATGAACTGCCTCGCATTCGGGTTTTCTGAGCACTGGGGCCCTGTGACCCTGCGCCCCCTTACGTCCACGGAAGAGAGAAGTCCCTTCGACAACCCGAAACTTGTAGGCCGCAGTCTGTAGTGCACAGTTCGTCCTAGCCTGGGCATCTCAACCGCCATATGTTTCGCATGGCGGGTTGCCCACGTTCATGCTGGTCATGACGCGCACACGGCACAGGCAGGACGTAGACAAAGACATATGCCGACGAGCTTGGCCCCAGCCTCCTGCTCGAGTTGAATCGTGCAGGGTCTGGGATCATCAGGCCACGGACCAACGAAACGGCGCGCGACTCTTGAGATACTCCGGCCACGCCCGCCCATATTCCGACTCCCTCCCATGGAGCCTCATCATTTTCGGAGCCCGGGCGGCTGGACGCACTCGTACTTCCATTGCGTCACATGCCCGAGGCTGCCCGGTTCAACAGAGTTCAGCCTGCAGTTGGACCGTCGTCAAGGCCTGCATTTCTCTGTGTGTGCCGGCCATACGTGCAAGTAAGTTGGTAAGTTACTAAGCTTTGGTCATGTGTCGTGATGGCCCGCCGGGTGTGCACACCCGTGGTGCCGACGTTGTGCCGTTGCGCTTCATCTGACGACGGTACATGTCGTTGGCGGGGTGGCAATGTGCTTCCCTGCCGCAAGATCTCAGATAGATCCATAGCCGATGGCCCCAGATCTTGGTATGGCATCCTTGGGCGCGCGGCCGTTTCCAGCATCCATGGACGACGGGCAACCTTGGAAGGCCAGGGAACTAGCAAATTGTGCTTGAAGGTGGGTGCAGACTAACGCACCATTAACCACAGCCTGATCGTGGGTCAAGACGTGCATATGTGCAGTGCCGATTCGTCGCTGAGAAAGGTTTCGTCCTAATCCACTGTCATGCCTGTACCACGGTATCCGTACCGTAGTGCGTTGTAGTGCGTTGTAGTGCGTTTATGGCAATGGGATGATTGTAGTACAGTTGAACGGATTCCATCTGATGCTTAGAAGACGAGTCGCCAACAGCAAGCTTCACCGATATGCCTGGGATACCGCCTAGGCCTAGGATGCCTCGTTTGCAGCACAACCTAGACTGTCCTATCCTGTCCTATACTGCACACCATAACCCTTCGCGTGCTTGGTCATTGTTATTATTAGACTTACTAGACTGGCGAAGATACCTAGGGACCAGAGCAAGGCCACAAGACCTGCATTGAAGCAACACTGAGAGCGGAAGGCCTAAGCCTAGACGGGTGAAGGGCTGGCAGCTTGTACCACAGGACAGTACCTTGGTATCGAGGTACTCGGGTACCGCATGCCTTGCAGAAATACCAGCGTGGTGGGGTCGTGTGCTCTGTCACCACTCGCCAGGGAGGCCTTAGGGCGACTTACCCCCCTCCACCCCACCCTTGCCCACTCGGTCTGGGACTGGGAGGCTCGTTAGGCAAATCACCGTGCCGTCGGGTTCTCTCTCATCGCATCGGTCGCTGCTATCCAAGGCTGTCTTGTCGCCGCCGTTTGTCGCAAACGAAGCATCCTCACCCAACCCGACTCAACGCAACCTTTGTTGATTCAATATCCATCGCAACCCCAGTCTCATTCGGCACCTTCGCCTTGTGGTTTTATTCGATCCCATTCTCAATCTCTCCTTGAAGGCCGGCCGGCTTCAGGCCCTATCCCCTTGGCAGACGCGACCAGGGCCAACAGACGGCCAAGCTCTTGACTTTGAGAAGGCTCATTACGGCAGGCACTGCTCGTCCCCTGCCCTCTTGCACACGATCTGTAGCACCGATAGTCGATATCCCATAGTCTGGCATCGTCCTTCTCGTCGCTCATCCAAGAGGCTTTGCGCAGTGCTATGTTGGACTGGACACAGTCTCCTTCAACCCTGTGAAACCGGCCCAAAGCAGCAGCGCCCCTGCCTTCAAACAAAACAACAAAACGAATGCCTAGGTCAAGCTTCTCGGACAACCCATTATTACGGGTCTCGAGACCTGTATCCGCCTGCTCGAGATGTGAGGCGGCCCTTCCCCCTGCCGTTGCCCTCGGTCCTTTGTTCTGTAACTGACTCTTGCCCACTCAGGTCGAGCTGCGAAAGTCAAGGTGACTGATCATTTATCCCGCTCGAGGCTCCCATGCTGAACCAATCTAGTGTGATGGCAAGCTCCCAGCTTGCACGGCCTGTGAGAAGGCCGGCCGCGAGAACGAGTGCTCCGCCGCCAACGACCAATTCGCTCGTGGCAAGGAACGGAGGTATGTCCCTGTGGTGCTGCTTGTTGCAGACTTTCATCTGCTTGCCAAAATGTTCACGACTGACACGCGCTCAGCTATGTGGCCGCGCTTGAGTTGCGCATCGAAAAGCTCGAGCGACGGCTGAACTACGCTCGCTCGCGAAAGGCCTCGGTTGCTAATCACGAGCAGGACGGGCCTCTGGCTAGGGCGCAGCCTCAAGATCGCAAGGACTCTCTCGCGAACATCCGGGCAGCCATACACCGCAAGGCTGAGCGGAAACGAGAGAACTCAGATGTCAACTCGTTGATATCCGACTTTGGCTACATGTAAGTGCTGACCCCATTACTGTGGTCTACGGCTGGGCTAACGCAGACCAAGGTCGATCAACGCCACAACCCGTGACTTTGAGCCCACGCTCAGCAACATGACTTTTGCTCGTCTTATTCTTGCAGCCGTGATCAATGATCCCCTGCCTGAGCCCCAGTCTCCCAGCTTGCCAGAGAAGCAGGCTGCTCATTCCATCGTCCAGTACTACATGACCAACATCTACCCTCTGTTTCCACTGTTTCCTGGGACAGTGCTACTGTCAGCACTTGAGGATATGTACCAGCAAGAGCGCCATGTCAGCAGCGCAAGCAAGTGGCTTGTATACATGGTGCTGGCGACAGGTTCCATGGCCCAATCGCGGAGCACCCAGGATGACTACTACAAAAATGGGGTAGAGTTTGCGTCCAACGCTTTGCAACTGGCCGATCGTGCTCTGCAGCCTGGTCACGCCACTCAAATCCAATCTCTCGCTGTATTCACGCAGTACGCCATGTTGGACCCAGCGCATTTCGACAGTTGGCACTTGATTGGCTTCACGTGTCGTGCTGTTGTTGACCTGGGCTTCCACCAGGACCCGCCAAGTCAGGCCCAAGCTGACAGAGCAGCGCTCGATATGAGACGCAGGACTTTCTACTGTGTCTACGCACTGGACAGGTTCGTCCAATTCGACGCCTCATGTGTTTCTCCGGCCTGGAGCACTGACAATTTTGGTCTCATAGGGCAATCAGCATGGTGCATGCACGCGCATTCTCTTTCAGCGATGATGCCATCAGAGTCGATTTGCCAGCCATGTCTGGCATAGGTCGCATAGCCTCAGTCGCTGGCACAATAACAGGCCCACAATCACACGATCCCGCCATTCTGCTGTTTCAACTCCGCCGCATCCAGTCGCAATGGTACCAAACCCTGATCCAGTCCGACCCCAGCCAGCCTATCGACGGCAATGACGGAGATGTCACGTCTTTCATCTGGCAGATGTGCCAAGATATGCGCGAGTGGGACGAGTCTCTTCCCGAAACTCTTCCCATCGGCATTCGGGAGCTCTTTGACCTGGAGTTGAAGTACAGCTATGTCTACTGCTTAGCCCCAAGCGCTCGGGCACCAGTCATGACTGCTTACGGACGAATGTTGATCTTTGAGTATGCCATTGCTTATTTGGATCACATCTACGGCATCGCCCATGGGAGCCCAGACCCACATCCATGTCTCTACACATATCATGATGCGCTACGGGTCTTCTTCATGGGCAGCCAGTTCATGGCAGTCCTGCGAGACGCCGGCGATTCCATTCTCGCAGGAGCATCTGTCCCGATGCCACTGCCTCTACCAGGAAAAGCACCGCCGCCACCCTTTCCCACACGGACCAGTAACGAGGACAACCTGACGAGGAGCATTCGCTGCCTTGAGCGAGTGAAGTTGACCCTACAAAAATACGGCGAGAGGTGGACGGACGCCCAGAGTTTGATGCAGAGCTTCAACGCGATTAGTGAAGATCTTCTCGACAGTCTCAAGGCAAAACAGCAGCAGGGCTTTCAATACGCTGTCGCTGCTCAAGCGCAAGCGCAAGCGCAAGCTCAGGCACAGGCACAAGCTCAGGCACAGGCTCAAGCTCAAGCCCAGGCTCAAGCCCAGGCACAGGCCCAGGCCCAGGCCCAGGCTCAGGCTCAGGCACAGGCACAGGCACAAGCCCATATGCATCACCAGCATCAATATCATCATTCACCACCTCCACGACAGTACCAACAAGTTCCAGGTACGATGGGAGCTATGTCTGGCCAGATGGCACTGCCGGGATCAGGGCAAATACACCCCCAAATGCATCATGGGCAGTATACTATCTCGATGCAGCAGCAGCCGATGTATGTAACAACAAGCCCTCCGATGCAACAAATGCAGATGCCTCCGCCTCCCCAGGGACCGCCTATGCATCATATTCCCCAGCGGGGCTCTCCCAACCAGGACGTAAAATGGGAGAACGTCGATATATCGCAAATGATGGGCGGAGGCGGTATGTAAAGATCGAGGAACCGATTTCTGGAACTCTTACGTTGCCACAACAGGGCTCTTGCCGGCGCTTGGGAGCTAGGTGCCTTCTCTGGTGGGATTTGTTGACAAGGGCAGGAGATACAGGGGCTGCCCATGATGTCTTTGCTATTTCTTGGATACCTCATGATAGTAACGAGCGCATCAATTGGAGTTACATTGTGTCCGGGTTTAATGCTGCTGACTGTGTCCGTGACTTATAGTGGGTTTCGCATGGAGTATCTTGGCATGCGAGCTCCTGTATTGCTGACAGGACAGAGCAAAAGATGCGAGATCTGAGAGAGCAAGTGCTGCTTGAATTTCCCGGGCCTTTTATTCTCCGTTCTTCCCTCTACCGCTTTGGTCCTTTACACGCGTCACTGCTCGCCTCTAGCACGGCCACTCAGCAACGCCACCGCTTGGTCTATGTTTCGACATTCGATGATGCTACATAGACATGTCAATGCTATACCGGCTCTCATACTTGACTTGAATCTTCGGGTGCCTAAGGTTCTGAAGTGCCCGAGTCCTTCAGGTAAGACGGTACGAATAGTGTTTCGACAATGAACAGTGACCCTCATGGGTGCTCTAAGGGCCACTATACACTAGGATGCAACGTCTAGGTTCTTTTTTGTCTTTAGCAAATCTGTGGGGATCATTATTTTTGCAAAGCACTCAATGATTTTGGAAGTCCCAAGTGATCGCGCGCTTTTGTTTTGAAGCTGCTTGAACAGATGCCATCATGACAATGGCATTCGAAACCAGGCGCATGAGAGCGATGGTCCCAACCAAAGAATTCTACTAATACGAGAGCTGGCAAATATGAAGAAGACCTTGAGCACTTGAATTGAATCCAGTGCACAATATGATTCTCAAGGAATATCCTTGGAGGAGATGAAGGCCCTCAACTAGATAAAGTTTTGTAGCTTGGGTTCGCCAACCCAACAACAAAGTGGACAAAGCAATCGGCCACAATCAATCTCGCGTATACACTTGCTTGCAATTAATGTGCACAATAACTTTGTCATAGAAGCAGTATTGAAAACAGGCTATTTGGACAGTGCCTCAGCCGACCAGTGACATGTCCCTACACGTAAATTTGATGTGGATATCAATTCTGTAAGCCAGCCCGGAGTCGCAAAATATCATGAAAGCAATCGATACTTTCTACTAGACAGACTACTTGACTGTATAGACGCAAATATTTCAACCATGTCTGATTCTGCTTTCCAATTCCTGGCCCATCCGAAGTACTTAGGCTGAGACCAAAGGAAAAGTTGGAAGCTGACTGGGCATTGCCAGTACGTTTACCTTGAGTCTGGGAAAACGGATACAGATTAAGATGCAAGCAGGTTTTTGCAATGCCAGCACGAAATTCCACACCGATGACCCGCACGAAATTCCACACCGATGACCCGCACAACGAGAGCTCAGGACTGAGAGCTGAGTCTGTGCGAGCAGCTGCCACAGCCCGCAGCCAGACGCCAAATATTCAGAGAAGGCCTTCCAGATGAATGCGAATACCATGCGGAGAAGTTTTTCCCAGGAAATTGTTTCCGTTGCGGTGAGCCCCAAGCCAAGAACCCCTGTTGCGGCTAATACAAACAATGAGAAACATGATACAAATGTAATGAGTCTACGAGGCTCTACTGTGAAAACCTTTATCTGTGTTTCCCTCCGATTTGACTGTGAAAGGCTATATTTTCTATTTCATACCGGTGACACATGAGTTGTAAGTTCTAGGGTTTTATTCACCTTTCTTGTTGTCCAGTTATTGCGCTAACTTGTTCCTGTCAGGTCAATCAGTACTATTGCTAACGGACGACTTCTTTTAATACAAAAAAAGCGTCCGCATTAGCTTCATCGAACATGCTAGTCACTGACTTACGAAGGCAATGATGAGGAATGGATAACCATCGTATGGAGCTAGCAGTAGGAGGAAGGCATCCATTAAGAGTTGTTTGAAATTTGCTATTTAGGGTTGCCTGTCAGAAGTTTTGCCCCTCCAGATTCATATCCGAGTCCTGTTCATCCACTAGATATGACGAAACGTAGGAAACAATGGGAGACTTTGCACTGTGCAAGGTTTCAACATGCTGACTTCTCCGCAGATATCACACTTGCCCTATTTACATAACCAGCTGTTATTTCCAAGGTAGTCATCTCGCTGGCATTTCTCAAGAGTTTCGGTCTTGCAGAGTTTGGGTCCAGAAGTTGTCCGACCGCGGCACCCTCAGCCACGCTGGCCTTTCGATCCACGACATCGCCGGCGTCAAATGTGGACGGCATCTGTCTCAGCTGGAACAAATCACCGGGTGCCGGCTCCGAGAGAGGGCTCTGCTCGAGCGACTGATCGCCGCTGTTTGCAACGACCGTTGAATCTGAATTGCCAGATCTTTCTGGGGTCGGTCGAGGCGGCGGCGGAAGCGATGTCACATAGTGGTTATTCTGGTGGGCAGACGTGCTCCTAACAATCTTGATAATGAGTTCCGCCATGTTCACTGTTGTATGTCAGCTTCAGACTTCCATTTCGCAGACTAAAGTGACAACTGCTTAAGGTAACCCTAGTTGACGGGCCAGATAGGAGCAGATGTATCTCAAAATACTGACTCTCGATCGCTAACTTAATGAGGTACATTAATGGATGAAATTGAATATAGCTGTAGACACTGTAGGAAGACTCAGTAAGGACGAGGATATAATAGCCCAACCATCCATGGCTGAACAATAGAGGGACTCGCTGTCCGTGAGCGCAACCAGACAACGAGGATAAGGCAGAGTCGCTTACACAAAGCTATCGGGCAAAGACATGATGCCGATGAGTATGACCTGATTCTATGTCAGCCGCCTGTTGCAGATATGCTACCGCGAGCGCAGAATCGAACTTACATCAAGCGATAGGGAGAAAAAGATCATAACAATGTTGAATTTGTACAAGGCTTTGTACTTGGTCAAACCATGGGCAATGAGTTCTGATCGGACTAGATAGATAAAGTATAGGTTGAGGCCGAGGTCAATGCCCGCGAAGATGCCTTTCTCAACCCGATCCCATATCTCGTTGAAATGAATCCAGGCGGGGCTGATTTGCAGGCGTGCAGGCATCCAAACGATGAAAACGCTTATATTAACTAAGCCGAGGAGTACTGCGACTGTCCATTTTAGGCGGACTACTCTGCGACCATCATAGATGATAAGGGCAATGCGGTTAATTATGATGTGCATAAGACATTGCGTCTGGCATCACTCAGTTAGAGCTCACGACTCCAGATTTTCACGAGAACGCCAGGAGACTGACCTGTATTGTCCAAAGGCAAACTAGAGGATAACAATTAGATGTCAGCGGGGAATTCAAGTCTAGTTCACATGGGCGGGATACTCACGGATGGCGAAGAACAGCCAGAAACTGCAGGCTCGGAGTCAGCGCACTGTCGACGTCGACCGACTAGTCAAGGGCTGGACGGTAAGTACCTTGAAGGTATGATGCTGTGGACATATAGGTACGAAATGAGAGAATAAATGACGCTAGCCAGCCACACCCCAGATATCATCAAGACATATGGATGGGTGAATAGCCGCTTAGAGCGATACAAAATCCGATATGCTTGGGCAACGATTGTGGTGGCCGTGAATACGGCACATGCTGATGAGAAACCAAATAAAAATGTGATGAGCGTCAACGAAGACTGGTCAGTGACTTCTGTTCTGTACCAAGGAGGGATGAGAAGTCCACCCATACTGCTGAAGAGGGGCGTGACGAATCATAGGCATGTACTTCCACGCGTATATAATGGAGTACTCTGCCATGAAATCTACCAGAAACTGGGAATGGAGAGGAGCGAACGGGACGGTTTGCCTTAAGAACAAACCCATATCAACGGCTGGGGGAACTACGATGTTTTACGTTGCGTCACTATGGGCGTACTCGCAGGTACCTGGTGGGGGCCGAGAATGCAGATAAACTTTCGCTCCCAAAACAACTCCCAGGGCGGCCCAGACTTTTGAACTCCACAGGCGGGAGGGACCATCTCGTCTTCTGTGCGCTGGAGGTCGGAAGAGGTCCCGTAGGTAGATCATCGGGTGGGACAACTCAGATAGGAAAGCTGTTTGTCCAGGTCTTCTAGCATCTTAGCTGTCACGAGGGTGGGAAAGCGCGCGAAGAGCAAGTGATCGGCAGGTCTTAAGCTACAAAATCTCTTCCAAAATCTGGTCGAGGGGTCCAAACTTAAGGGAGGGCAGACGCGGGCGAGATCATATCCATTCCAAGCTCTCTGCCTCTGACGTAGATCTGAAGTTAATCAGTATTTTGATGACTTCACTGCGGCATGGCGAGTCAGTGACTGACTCGACAGGGCTAAGTGCGTGGCAATATAGCCGAAGATATGAATAGCCACGCCACTACAGGCGGAGACTTGCCGGGTCGCAGGCTTCAAAATAAAGTTCATACCCGGGTTCGTCGTGACGATGCGCCCTGAAGAAATCAAGCATTTTGCGTCTCGCCCGCATGGGAAAGTAAGATTTGGGTTCATGAGATTTGTTTCTGGACGGTATCAAAGCACACTCAATGGCATTGGAATCATCTGGACGTCATTTCTGCTACCTCATCCATCTTGTGTCTAGTGACGTGTGTTTCCGTCTCGCGATTACTCTATGTACGCTGACAACGATCACAAAAAATTTTCTATCACGGATACATGTTAAAGACTGAGGCTTGCGTCGCTGTCAGTAGGCTCGTTTCTTCGAGCGGCCCTTGCATAAGCGTCAGAATTCACTGAACCCCTTTGTAGAGACAGCAGTTCGTTCAACCAGACCAATGACCTGACACTTTGACACGTCGTCGCCGGCGTCATATCTGCGGTAGGTTCACCTGTGGGCAAGGGCAAGCCAAGGACAACCTTGCCGAAGCCGTACACGGAACTTTCCAACCAAGACTTTGTGATGTCACTCTTCGATGTCACTTTTCAAAACCTCTGAGACGGTGAGAGAACACGAGCTAGATCTGTATACGTCCGTCCGGGGTTACATCTCCCATCACGGATATGAGGAGGACGGGGCTTGGCAGCACGGGAGTGCAACTCAAATTCATAACGGGACCAGCTGCTGCAAACCAGTAGCACGCTGATGATTTTCCAGAGAACTTACCTGTGACGTACACATCGCACGTGGGAATTACGTGAAAGGCATATGCCATGTTCTCCTGAGTCAAGATGGCAATCTGCAAGGGAATATGGCCAAAGAATACGTAGGCGAAAAGTGAATCCGCGACCGGGAGTATGTTTCCCCAGACAGAACCTATGCGTTTGCAAGGCAGCCGGGACGAGATAGTCTGTCCCGATGTCGGCTGTATCTGAACGAGATGAGTTAATAAAGAGCTTTTCAAAGCCAAGACGTCTTGGTTAATAGAACATGTTGTAACCATCCCAACGATAATGATTCAATACTAAAACTGCTTTTATTTCCACAGCGAGATTGTTGGATTCTCTTCTAGTGCAAACTCTCAACACAGTACCGTACACATTCATTTATTGGCAGGGATACATTTTGTAGCATCAATGGTGGGGGAGGAGATTGCATAACTGAGTGGTGACATCCAAGGTTCCGCGCACTTCAACGTCTTTGAGATTGCTTTGGAAAACGCTTCCCAATCTGTAATATTAATAACATTCTACCCAAATTGTCCGCACGCCGGTGATCGGAAGTATCCGTCGTGATATCTCAAGCCTTGTCCGTCCAAACTCCCCTTATCAACTTTTACATGTAGCACAGTCTATAGATAAAGATGTGTCACGGGGCAGGACTCCCCGTTTCTCTGCTCTCTTTCCGTAATCATTGCGTCAACTTCCGCGTCGACCGCGTCGACCTTGGCCACCAGCTCAGGCTTTTCAGCGCTGGAATCCTTCAATATTCTACCGAAGACTGCCTTCGCCAGTGCGTCGACATCTCTGGCGTTTCCCCAATCTGGCAATGCAGAAAGCCTTTCAAAGGCGCTCTGTAGCTTGCCTTTGACTGGAGCTGGCTTCACGGCACTTGCGTCCAGTTTCTGCTCTTCGAGGCGTTGGACAAACAGCTGGACGCAGTCTTTGGGCTTGAGGCTCTCGAACTGGATCACTTCTGGGAAACGACTGCCCAATCCAGCATTGACTTTCAAGAGCTTGTTAATGTCGTCATTGTACCCAGCGAGAATGACTACAAGCTTGTTCTTGTATGCCTCTTTCGTCAGGAGATTTAGCATCTCAATAAGAGCCTCTTTTCCGAAATTGTTGTCATCATTAAAACGATACGCCTCGTCAATGAAGAGAACCTTTCCAAGAGCTCGCTGGAAGACCTTTTGTGTCTTGGGGCCCGTTTGGCCGAGGAATTCTCCGATGAGGTCTGTTGTCGAGCAATCGTATACTTGATTGGTGGCCAACAGCCCCATATCGTAGAACACTTGCCCGATTCTCCGAGCTGTTGTCGTCTTACCAGTGCCTAAACACTCTATTAGCTTCTGGATGCAGTTGAAGTTGGTTATATTAACTTACCAGGAGGACCTCTGAAGAGGTAGTTGAAGGGAATTTGCGAGCGCGGCTCCATCTCCAGAGCCTTTGCATTTTGTACCATGCGTGAGTAGCCCACAAGCTTTTCAACAAGATCGTCGGCACCAACGAAGTCCTTGAACAAGTCTCGAATGCGGACTTCAGCATGAGTAGGCCTCTCAAAATCGGCATCAAAGTCTTGTGATTCCAGCAAGAACGGATCATACTCGTCGGTACACGAAGCGAGTCGGCCCTGCTGCAGCTCTTTAGCTCTGCTGAACAATATGTCGATCTCGCCAGCATTCCCGAAATTGCGGTGATTCCGTGCTCGCGAGAGGACCTCCATAGCAACACTCTTGGCTTTATCGGATGCCGTGAAACCTTGATCCTTGAGCTTCAAGTCGAGGATTTCTCGCAATTCTTCGTCTGTGAAATCGTCGAATTCGAATGCAGACGACATTGGAAACCTGCGGCTCAGACCTGGGTTCGATGCCTGAAACATTCTTTCCATTCGGTCTCGGTATCCAAGCAACAAAATACACTCATTGGGAGCACCTTGGATGTTTGCGACCAAGGTGTCAATGATGGCTGTTTTGTAGATATTCCCAGATCCGTGCTCATTCGACTCATCGCTACTATCGCTAAGCGCATAAGCCTCATCGATAATGAGGACTTTGCCCCTTGTGGATGCGAGTATTCTCTTCGTGATGTTCTCAGACTCACCGAGATACTCTCCGATAAAGTCAGCTGGGCTCTTGACCACAACTTCTCCGTCAGTGAGCAGCCCAATGTCGACCATGATCTGTCCGTAGTGCTTGGCGACAGTCGTCTTTCCAGTGCCAGGATTGCCGAGGAAGATTCTGTTTAAAGGGCAGTCGACGACGGGCTTCTCAGCAAGCTCACGGTCGTAGTTGATTTGCAGTCGATGCACCAGTGCCTTGAGAGATTCTTTAACGGACTTGAGTCCAACCATCGCCTGAAGATCCTTCCACGCCTTGCTGCTCTCCAGAGCCGTGGACGGCGGAGGGCCCACAATATCCTCCATTGTGAGGAAAAGGTCATCGGCCTCCTTGTCCGATTTGCGGCACTCTTCCAGTCGGACAGCCTGTCTGAACAACATTCGCAATAGTGTATTTTCGACCTCCCGGGCGTTCCCAAAGTTGGACGGTCCACGACATCTCCCCATTCGTCGGGCTACAATGCGCATGTACAGACCGTTCACGCCTTTATCAACCTTCATTTTGCCATTAAACTTTTCGTGAAGCTGCTTCTCAAGGATTTGAAGTAGCTCCGTATCCTGATAGTCATCGAAGCTGATTGTGAATGGGATCCGACTCTGCAAGCTTTGGTTGTGGCTCATGAATGTGTCCATGTCCTTGCCGGATCCGGTGAAGATAAAGATGACATTGCCTTGTAGCCTGTCCATCTCAGTAACGAGATAGTCGAGCACTTTACGGCCTGTGCTGCTGATATCAGGACGGAGAATATGAGCATCGTCTATCATGACGACGCCTCTCTCGTCGATCTGGCTGATACAATTCTTGAGGTCGTTGATACCCTCGTACACCAGTTTTGAGCCGGAAGTCGTCGCCAAAAAGTCGTCGGCAAGCTCAAGTGATGAGAGGAATTTGGCGTACAGCTTGGCCAATGTTGTCTTTCCGGTTCCAGAGTTGCCCACCAAGACCGTGTTGAATCTCTCTTTACTGAGATTGACGTCCTGGCGCCGAGAAGTATCAACCAGAGTCTTGATCTCGAGCATCTTCGCCTTGACAGACTCGAGCCCGATGAAATCCATAATTCCGTCTAGATGACTGTTTTCTTCATCCCTTGACTTTTTCCGGGTCTCCCATTCCTGCTTCGCTTTGGAGCTGACAACGGGCCAGGCGTTTGGATCTTCGGCCTCAACGCTCCCTTTCTCGTCAGCTGCTGATGGGTCAGGCTCCTCCGTGGCTGAAACATCGTCGTTGGCCTTTTCGTCTTTGTCATCCAAGTTCTCGGATGATGGCTCCGACTTCTCTGCCGATTTCTCTTCGTCTACATCCTCCTCGTCGCCACTTGTTTCGTAGTCATCGTCGTCGACCTCCTTCTTGCACAGACGTTCTAGTTGCTTCTGAAGCGCTTGTAGCTTTTGCTTTTGCTTCTTCTGGTCTCGACGCGATCGGAGGACTTCGCGCTGATGAGCGATCTCCTCCATCAAGTCCTCGACCTGCTCCTCATGCTCCTTTTTCCTTTCTTCTCTCTTCTTCTTCAGTGCTGCAGACCGCTGAGTCTTGGCCTCTTTGCTTAATTTCTTAGCTACGCTGAGTGTTGAAGCATCGTTCGTGGTTCTGGGATGCGACGCGGATTCCGACACACGACTGAAGTCCAGCTCGAGTTTCTCGGCCGACTGTATGGCCTTTTGTGTCGCTTCGACGAAGACCTCCTCGGATTTTGCTTGCTCAGTGCTTGGAGCCGCGGCTTGCGAAGATTCTTTGGCAGCGGTTTCTTGGATCTCTTCGCCTGATTCTTTCTCGGAAGGAATGATGAGGCTTGGCTTCGAATTGGCGACTTGATTTCCTCCGTCAGCTCCAGTTTGATTTTCCAGCCCATCGTCTTTGGACTTCTCCAATGGGCTGCCTGCACTGCTTGGATCCTCCGCCGAAGCGACATCGCTGGAGCTGTCCTGCGTGTCCGAGGTAGCGACAGTATCTTCACTTGAGGCACTGAGGCTCATATCTGAAGTTGAAGAGCAATCGGAGTGATCTTGATCAATCTTTTGGTCACACTCTGAACTGAGCTTCAGCACGGCGCCTTTGAAAAGGGCATTTTGCAGAGCCGTAGTATATAGACGAGGCGTGGTGTCGCTTTGTGTAAGTGTTGTTTGCAAATTGCAGCCTGCTGCTTCACAGGGCTTTAAAGCATCCCTGGAAATTTGGCGTCAACAACGAAACTCGCTACACTACCACGCTGGAGGGAATGCGTAGACGAGGGCGATGCAAAGCCTTCTTGGGTCACTTACCGTTGCACGAGCCCTGCATCCTGACTAAATTCGACAGAAAATGTGCCAGACAATCTGAGGACAGCCTTTGTATTTTTGTGGTCTTCGCAGTACACCTCCACACATGTGTTCAGCGCAAATTGCCCTGAACTGAGATCTACACCATTTGGGGGGAGTGACTGCTTGGTTGCTTCAGAGGTTGGGCTCTGAAGCACTGATTCCCTAGTAACCGCCATTGTCGAACTGCGAAATGAGGTGGCACAAGATTCAGATGGCTAGAATGAAAATCCCGTGCTCGAGGATGGAAGTGCATTTTGTGACTTCCCCTCAATCCGGGGAATAGGCACGGCAACCTATTAGTACCGACGCTGGCGAAGAGCCTCATTCAGGCATGTTCGTACACTTCGAGGCATTGAGGCATCCATTCACACGCCGGGGCTGAGACCCGTGAGGCCAACAATATCCACTCATACAGGCAGCTAGGCCGATGTGTCACGAGTCTACAGGCTTACATGCATGCAGGTGAGAGAAAGTCGCGCGTCTCATTGGTCGCAGCCGTCGCAACACCTGCAGACGACAAACTGCGCCGCTTGAGCTGGCCAACTCATTGCCCTGTTGCTGCCTAAGCCGACCTACGTTGATGGCCTGTCTTTTTCCGCAGCACCGCAGGCAGAATTTGAGGCTGACTGCAACGCGTCCCTGCAATGCACCAGGGTCCAAAACCGTTGGCTGCTTTAGCGAACCTGTCGGCATCTAGGCGCCCGCCACAACTAGCCAAGATGCAGTGAACTTTTGCAAATCCCTGGCTGTGGTACTCGTCACTGGACAATACACGCAGGTCCTGGAAGAGGATCGCCTTGCCAGAAAGTGGCTGGATGTCGATATCTCATCCGTGGATGAGACGTGGTCAAAGGACATCGATGCATTTTGCTTTTCGGCGCCATGCACGGGCTCTCTTACTGAATCCTCGAAGCGCACGAATGAAAGTACAACAGTAAAAGTAGGCATCTGCCGGGGGACTTTTCGCGTATGAATACAAAACACGGGTAGCCACATACATAAGAAAGTGGCGTCGGTAGTACAAATCCGCATAATAATAGAAGAGACTGCACGCATCTAATTAGTCTCCTGGGAATTAACAGCATTGCTTTGTAGGTGGGTAAACTCCCTGAGGGGCTGGCCTAAGGAGTGCGAAAAGGATCAACTCAATGGTAAGAGCTATGAACTCTAGTAATCAGGGGCGACGACGCAAGAGGATACCCAATAGACAAAGGCCACTTAGAATTGAGAAAGCTACCGAACCGAGAGTAACAAACGGCGGAATGGCCGACAATTCCCACAAATGCAAAATTGCCGACAGTGCACGATCAGCCTATGGGTGACAACAAGCTGGGGCCTGACGAGCAATCTGCCCCGGTGTTGATAATGACAAGATAACGTATAGTAACAGCACCGAGTATCTCTTCCCTATGCCAACCATCCAGCACCTGCTTCATTGTGTCTGGCCATTGCTTTTCCATATTTCGACCGATCCTAATTGCATGAGGTTGATCTTAAGCCTCTCCAGCACTCACGCGCCGACGGGACAGCAAATGTATGGACAATCAATGTCGACTTCTTTTGCCGCATGTAATCAAATTCCTGATTTATCCCACCTTCACTGGAGATGGTCGAGCAGAACCCATGTTCCGAGCTCAGGCACATACGTTGCGTCGTTCAAGTTGAGATCGAGAGGAGTCGCGACTAGCCAATTCCGTGATAGTAGTGTGATTCCAAATCCGCCCATGTGAGCCCATGCCTGCTGCTGTAACAGTTTGAATGGTTTCTTTCAAACTTAGCATCGCCTTGGAGCCATAATGGAGGGAAGATGGAAACCCATGTCACAGCGCATGAAGCTTCTCGCGATAACAGCTTCTTTGGTATAGTCACAGCAGTGCTATTTAGTGCGCAAATCAAGTGCCGGCATTCGATTTGTTTCGAACAACTCTAGACTCTTATTTTTTTTTTAGCACGAATTGAACGTCATCGTTTCGGATCTTGGCACGGTTCGGATGGCAAAGGAGTTGATTGGGCTGTGCTCGGATTCCCCGAAACCTCTATCAACAGTACGGCGACCGAGTCGGTCAGCATCTAAATCAGAATTGATGTGCTTCGTATGTTCATGCCCACGTGCAAGCTCGCAAGGCCGTTGCCTGCACGGGTTCGAGGCTGGCGTGTCCGGACTGACTCGACCATTCTGGGTCGCCGTCCTTGGCAGGAGGTGCGATCTTTGATACGCGGCCTATCACACGATGAGAGATTGGGCTTCCCTTTTCCGAAAATGAAGGGATTCGGAAGAGATCCGTGCCAATTCGGATAAGACGGATCCCTTCACACGTAGATTACCAACCTCGACACGTCAGGAGCCGCGCCGTTATGGATATTGGTAATTATTCTCTGTGGAATTAATGCTCACTGAGCACTACTCCATACCTCCCTGCAGATAGCAATGTCGGTATTCTCACCGATCACCGAGGCTGCAGATGATTTCTAAAGACTGTCAGCACAATTTGTGGAGCGTGAATGTCGGTAAAGGAGAACGATGCGTTCAGGTGGATTGAATACGGGACCGACTTCAAGAGAGGTTAGAGCTTCCGGCCACTAGTCGTATCCGGGTTCATGACTGGAGAGCTCGGTGTGTGTTTCAAGGAGGCTCCAAACGGAAGCTCTATCTCAGTGGACATTGAAAGAGTATCCCAACCGAAAGCCAGCACTCCGAATTAAGTCCTGAAGAAGAAGAAAATTGAAACGCAGCCAGGGCATATTCATGCCGACGACCCGGAGGATTCGAAGATAGAGTTGGTAATATGTATTTATCCAGCCAACTGAATCGAATCTACATCAAGTAGTTGAAGTTTTATTACATGGAACAGCGATGCAATCGTCCCCGGTACCGACCCATGTTGCTGTGTATATCTCAATAGTATGCAAAGGCTCATCATCGTATCATCATCCATCCGCCCACCGCCTCATCGTCCAGCGTGCGCAACATCTCATCAGTGTTTCGCAGAACCCAGGGAGCTCATGCCAGCCGCTGACAAGGACAGGACGTTCTCCTGACCGGGCGCGTTCTGAGCGAAGCGAGCATTGTGGCCAATGACGCTGCGCGCGGCCTTGTAGGTGTCGAGGGTGACCGAGAGCGTGTCAGTGGCGACAAACCAGTTGACGCCTTCGGAGCACGGCGGAGTTGTGAGAGAGCCGGAGTAGCTGAAGACCTGTTAGCTACTGTTCTCATTTATAAATAGATGTGACAAGTTATTGTGTGCGCTTACCTCTGGAAGGTGGTCTCGGACAGCATGGCAACGAGACCGGACATGGCGAAAGCCGGTGTCTTTGTGGCAGTTCCGGGGTTTGAGATGTCGCCGACAGAGGAGAAGACGGTCTCGAGCATCTCTGATGCAACTTCGGCTGGAGTAGCAGAGGCTTTAGCATCATCTACATCGATCACTTCAAGGACTTGGGAGTTTGACGCGCGCGATCCGGAACATTTGCCACTTCTCTCACTGTTGCTGCGGGCTTGGGTGTGCTTTGTGTTCTTACCGGCTTGACGCTTGGTCGCCGCGGCAGCAGGTGCGGCAGCAGCGGCAGCGTTGTTGATGTCGAGGTAGACACCCATGACGGCGATTTGAGCGTCCGCGCTGGAGAAGACCATGTGCATCTCCATAGCCATGCTGGTTCCGTTGTCAAGGTGCTCGCTGGGCAAGTGGAAGTGGAACTGTTGGAACTCAAATGTCTGGTTCTTGCTGGCAAGGGTCATCGTGCCGCCCTCGCCGACAATCTCAACGGTTGTGCCCAGGTTCTCAAAGGTGGCACCTTCAGCGAAGTCTGGAAGGGTCACGGCGAGGTCAGAACCAGGCACCTCGGTGAAGGTGCCTGCTGTCATGTCGATGGGGGACTGGTTTGTTCCTGTTGCGCAAGCGCCATTGGTGGTGGTATTCAACAAGTGCCAGCTTGCAGGTCCCTTTTGAAGTCCTTTCAGTAAATATTCCAAGAGCGTTCAAGAGGGAGTGGATTTGTAGCATACGATAGTACCACTATAGCCAAATGTATTCACAGGAACTTCTCCCTCCTCAGCACGAGGCATCAGGTGAGTGCCATATGCGCAAGAAGCAGCGACCTCTGTTGCGGCGAGGGCCGCAACAAGCACAGTGCGAAGCATAGACATTGCGAGTAGGTCGAAGCCGTGTAGAGTGGGTTCTCGTGGTAGAAGGGGTATGTTGCACAACAAGAATATTGGCAAGATAAGCGGTAAGCACAAATAGCTTAAAGAGAGACAGGCTTCTTGTAAGTGCAAGAGAGTGATTGGCTATCTGTGCCCAGCAGGTCGGTGCGTGAGATGAAGGAATAAGATCGACCCATTTGACTTTTGGGGATCGGGAGTCTTATTCTTTATACGCGCCACATGCGTGGAAGGGTGCGTGGAAGGGGCAACTCGCCTACCGGGGACTGTTTGTGGTCTGGCAGTGCCAAGGTGAAGGAGGTCCTGATGGGGACGACACAGGTTGGGTGCTTGGCAGCCCCCGGAGCCCACATAAGAGACCGTTACTCAATACCCCATCCGGCTTGGAAAATCGGACCATATCTCGCATTCAGTAGAAAAACACATTGCTTATGGATCAGCCAGCTTACATGACAAGTTGCTGCCAAGTGCTGGTGCTGACGTCGTGTTGATTATCAGTCGGCACGAGGCCGTACTGCCCCTCTCATGCCCTCCCCACAGAGGAAGAAGTCGGGTTTGCCTTTGCTGCATGGTCAGGGGTTCGGCTGGGGAAGCTGGGGTTGAGGTCGAGGACTGCGAATGATGCGTGAGAGGAATGAACGAATATGGAAACAATCACCTTACCGCCAAGTCCAGCGCCACCAACAAGTCCCTAGTCAGTACAGATGAGCGTGGCTGGCAGGCAGCCAGGGCAAAGGAGGAGGGAGGGAGAGTCTCGACTAGGGTTGCGTCGGTTGCGTGGGTGCTGCAAGGCATTGGACGAGATCTGGGCTCTGCTCCGCCCGCCTACCAGGGCAGCAGGGCAGCAGGGCAGCAGGGCAGCAGGGCACATGCAGTCCCGCCAGATTGGAATAGTGGTTCCTGGGTGATGCACGCACCACTTATTGATTGAAATGGCGGAGATCAAGGCTGGGGTGGTCCACTGCTTTAGGTTCAGGATGGATATAGAATCCACGGCTAAAGCAAACAGTTTCAGACTTCAGATGACCTTTGAGTAGATGGCCCTTAACATAGAAGGCAGTAGCCAGGTCATCAAGTCCAGTCAGTTAGCTGTTATTTCCAACATGAGTGCCAACCTTGTTAACATCGCGTGTTTCGCTCAGATGGTGTTTCTCTGCCGCCAACAGGGTAGACTAAAAGTGCGTAGCACGGAGACTATGGGACGGCAGCACTAAGGAGCGGGTGCGCCAGCCAGGGGTCGGCAACGGCGTTTCCAGTCGGATTACATTTGTCGGATGTCCCAGCATGACCGTTGGCCGGCCCGTAAGCTCCCCTGCCAAGCTCTCCCAGACTCTTCCCACGTCTTCCCTAACTCCCCAAACCTGAGCGACCCGTCCAAATTCTCCCGTCAGGATCCCGCCAGGGGCCTTCGTCTAAGGATTGCCAATCCTTGGCCGCCTGATAATTGACCCTCTGCCGCCAAGACTCCCTTCACATCACAGGCATCGTTCTCTTGGCTACCAGGCTGACAGCAGCGATCAATCCAACAAGAAGCAAGTTGGTAACGGACCAACTTGCTCACCTGGCGCACCGTCCGAAGGCGACTCGCCTTCCGTGCCCAGGCGCCGAGGAAAAGCAATGGAGCCTTCCAATTGTATTGACTCGCTTGCGCCGACCCCTTCACTTTCGTAGGGTCTGTCTGCAGAAAGAAGGAAGTCCGGTAGGCCAGCAAGACCGGCCCGGTCCAGATCACCCCAAAGAACCAAACCCCGTGTGAGCAGTCAGCAAGCTGAAGCTGTTTCAGGGAGCGCCACGTGCGGACAAGACCTGTCGCTACCACCTGGCCCTAAGTAGCACCAGGGCATCCAGCAGCACTTGAGCACAGACTGCGGGTGCAACGCTACCTTGTCAAACCTGTGAGGCGGTAGAGAATAATATTGTGCCCACAGCTTGCTCCTGGTCGGGGGGTTTGGAATTTCCTTTACACTCCATCTGCTCAATCTGCTCACATGTAAGCGAGCAAGTTTTGTTCGGTTCAACGCCCGTCGTCCCTGGGATACACCTCGGCATTCAATATTGACTTTGGTCTAAGTATCATTGATCACACTAGTTGTGCTTGGTGGGGGCTTAAGTCGAGAGGTTTGCCTGTTGGAGCAATCCAAGAGCTTCCCGAGGGTTTGCATTGGAGTTCATGCAAACCTCTCACACAAAGCCAAGTCGGTGCTAGTCCGATACAATCTTGAACTCCTTATTTAAAGTGTTGACTCGAGCACAAGTTCGCTATATATGATGCCAAGGATATATACGCAAGGCACATCGGCGGAGGTCATAGGTGCCCTTTTGCTGCCTTACAATACTCTCATTCTGATTGACGCGCGTTGGTTTTTAAGTTCCATAGCCTTGGAACTCCACCTATGATTTCTTGGCCACGTTCCCTTCCGTATTGGAAGGCTGTTGGACGGAACACGTGCTCTTGCGCTATCTGTTGCCGACGGTTATTAATTTCCAATGCTGTTCAGCGTGACGTTCTGTTCATTGAAAGGGGTTAAAACATTCTTCATTGCGTGGATCCCCATCTCACACACGTGTACCGGCAAGAAAATGTCTGTCTACAGCCAACATACAAACCTGGTTATCCGGAGAGTCAATCTTTGTATCGACGCGCCTTATCAAGCACAAGCAATTACGGTGGAAACTTTTGACGCTCGCGTATCGTGGCCCAGAACCATGGCTTTGGATCTTGACCAAGAAGCCAAGCGGGGGTGTGTCGCAAACTCCACGCGTCAAGGAGTCATCGCCAAAGACGGAAGGACAAGAGCTTCCGCCTAGATGCCCAGGCTCCGCCAACAAATTCTGATTGTCTTCCGCCTACTTGAAACTAGTCGCTCCATCGAAGCTTTACTCGAACTTTCCGTCATATCTCCGGATCAAGTGGCGTGATGTTGACAAGGTCATGTGCCGCTATTGGCAGCCACAAGCCTTGGGGTGGTTTGACGCCTACTATTCAGTCGTCCTTTGTAACACGACGCAGGCCTCCAGTCGAGACTATAACTTGACCCTTGGTGATGTCGCTGTCCTGAGAAGCGCGCGCGCCGAGAAAAAGTCGTCGAACGCGTGAGTAAGAGAGCAAACCGGCCGAGATGAAACAAGTCGTTCCGAGAGAGACAGACACTGAGCATGCATTTGACTGAAGATCCACTTGCACCTTCCAGACCGCCCTTGAATGAGAAGATTCTTGGGTTGATATTCTAGAAGAGTTCTAATCTTGAGCATGACTACATATGCTTTCCGCCCAGATGCTGGGACGAAGTATGACTGTTCCATGCGGGTCCATCGTTCCGACCCCTAATGGCACCGCGCTGTCCATGATCCAGACAAGCCATTCCGGGAAGCCAGATTTGCTTTCCGATATGAAAGTAAGGAGCTAACGACAATGCTTGAGCTACCCACAATAATTCACCACATGATCGTGTCCAGCATAGTGTGTTCCATGCAAGAGGCTGGTCTCGGGCAAAGAAAGCTCACGGCAAGCAAGGCATGCCCCTCGAGGTGATTTACTGAGGCATCCATGTTCAGTGCAAGTTATGACTCAGAGAATTCTCTAAAATCAACGTGTGTTTGATTGTCCCGCAGACCAGCCGGTTGCATGCTTTCTGTTCTTCTACATCGTGCTAGTCATTGTTACTAGTATGAAAGCCTCAAGAAAACACATTCAAGTGGCGTTGGATTTTGAATATCATCCCATATGAATTACCCATGGAAATGAGCATAAAATCAAAAGCCAGGTGGGAGTAGATGAGTGGAATTGCGCACTATTCACGTATGTCCACTGCTTGAAATATCTTTGCTATTGTGACATTTATCTAGTTCTGGTCGAGGACTAGCAATGCGTAGAATGACTTGGACTGGGAAACAAATATGTCCCTGGCAGATAAGTGATCGAGTTCTGTGTAGAGACATGGAAAATAAGCCTCTTCTCCTCGTGTCATCGACAGAGAATTTGGACAGGAGGTATAACTTGCAACATGGGTTTCTGGCCTGGTAGCTCTGCTCGTTCCGATACGCTTCGTGAGCTCTACAAGAGAAATCCCAAGAAGCGTGACAAATCTTCGCCATGGTGAAAGAATTGATCGACCATATTCACTACTGCGACTAGCCTATAAAACAATGCGCGACGACCGATACGGATGATACTAACTCGGTTGCGGCCATCTTGAAGATTCCTCGGTGAGTTCGAGATCGCGGTTCACAAGCAGGACCTGGTCGGCGAAAGGGTTACACAGGCGTTGGAAAAGTATTTAAAATGAGCTGGGACAAGCCGCGAGACTCACAGCAGAAAATATCACATGAGCCAATTTTGACTCACTTCTTAAATGAGCCTCTATTTCCTCATTTTAATACCAATGAAGTGGACTTTCTTACCTTATGAATCATGCATTTTAACAGATTATTCAATATGTCAAAGCTCCTTTCTGGGATCAAAGAGCTATCCAGACAGAAAACTCTTTGCAAAGGATTTAGTCTTATGGACGGGGGAGGCTTTTCCCCAGCCAAAGGTTTGATTCTATTAAATATTCTAGAATCTATCAGATTAACTACTGTGAATAGTCATATATTTCGAGACAATTGCCGATTTGGTATTCTCTAACCTCTCCCCCGACTCGCTTTGGTAATCGATGGAAAACGGCAGCAAGATTGCTGAAGGTTGGCTCGAGCTCCATGTCAAACAAGATCAGTTCATTGATAAAGCATTCGGGACCTCGCTCAGGCCTTGCCCGTGTAGGACCTTTTTCTAGAACCAAGATGCGATCGACCTCGCCATCGCTGTTGTTCTGATGGCAGACTTGACAGCCTGGATGCTGTTGCTGGGAGGGTTGAAGCATCTTCCTCAAATTTGACACTTCCATTCATAAAGGCAACTCAACGCAAGACACCAGCTACGAAATAGGTTGTCAGACCAAATCACATTCGACTAGTTTCATTTGAATTTCTAGAAGCTCAATTAATCTGGTTACCAACTTTAAAAAGAATCAAACCTTCAAGAAGAGCTTTAGAAAGAGAACCCCAAGACGCAAAGGAAAGGATTCTCAGCCAGTGTCTTTCCTTCAGTAGTGACAAGAAGGAAGCTCTTAATCCTCATCTCAGATCGCCCTCTGTACTGTTATAGTCTTCCTGTCTAGCTGGTCACTTCTTACACCGTGTACTTCGGCTCGCGCTCTGCTCCGTTGACTTTCCTGATAATCAATTTGTTCACCTCCAACCCAGTCACCATCCGGAGCTGAATTTCTTTCAGTATCACAACACTCTCAATTTCTACCACTGTGGAATATCTGTAGTAGAATATGCGTTACTCACATTGACTCCCATTATGACAGGCAACTTCTCCCCCTTCGCCTCGGCCTCAGCTATCGCTTCTGGTGGCGGGCTCTGAACCTCGAAGAACACGCTGCTGCCGCATTCCTTGCAGAAGTTGTGCTTTACTGTCTTATTCCCAAATGTATAGGACCCCATGGACTCTTCTGAACCGTTTGCGAGTTTTAGGTTCTCCTTGATCGGATATACAAGCAGGTACCCGTTGCGCTGGCAGATGGAGCAGTTGCACTCAACGACAGGATAAGCATCAAGAGGCGGTGAGATGGAAAAGGTGAATCGGACAGCGCCACAGTGGCAGTTGGCTTTGTGTTCCGAAAATTCTCCAGTTGGCGGTGGAAATGGAGGCGTGGGCATGATTGCGATTACCTATGGGCGATAATTGAAGCTTGCTTGATATTCGCTGAGTTCCCAGGTAGTCGAAAGCTGTCTCCCTTCCCGGGTCCCTGATCTCACGTTGAATGGCGCGAGGGGAAATAAAGCACTGTCGAAACAGACGGCAGGCCGGCCGCTTTATGCTTGAAGCAGAGGTCCGATGGGAGCTTAGCACAAGTGCCGATCTACAAGCGGTGAAAGTCGTAAGTGTCCGAGAACTCGCCGGCAGTACCTGGCCGCATTTACAATAGTGTTCTTGCCTTTTTATCATTCCAACTCGGAAAACTGTGCTTCTATACCACAGAGCGGGTATCAACTTCTCGATCACCAAAACCTCAACATGCAGTCTTATCAATTAGTGACTCAGTGGTATCCAAACCGTCCAGCCTTGGTTTAGTAGATGCCACCTCCAAGGAAGGCTCGAACTCCGCGGCCGGCATGGACTCCGGGGCAGACGCGGACGCCGAATATGTGAGCGGTATTACTTGTTGCAGAGCGATGCAAATGGGATTGAAACCATCCTGAAGTCGAGTCTTTTGTTCCACGTGTATTGTGAGATAGTCGACCTGATGATCACCGCCATAGAGCAAGGTGACACCTGAAAGGCTTGCCGCATGTAAAACATTAGACACCACGGCATCACGTTGAAGTCGTGTTGACTTGGAAAATGAGACCCACGCTCTCAGCTCCATCGGTGTCGAAGTTGGTACGGTGAGGACCTCTAATTCGTCGACGTATATGCTTAACCTTGTCCCTACTTCGTCTTTGGTCGACAACAACCCATAGCTCTTGGCACATCAGTCCCTCGGGGAAACATGGCATCAGTTTGTCGAGGTTCCAGCGGTCCACCACATGGGCGTAGGTCTGTCGGAGTGAAGTATGGCCGGCAGGACCGGGCTTTCGGTGCGCAGGAGCGGACTGATGCAATGAGGTGTCTGGCACCGGGCGCTGCTCGCTTGTAGACATGAACCACGCAGTCGCTGACAGTATCGATGCCCAGATGCTATGGCACACATGCGTAGGCTGCCGTTGACTGTAGATGCAGAAAGCCCCATGGGCGTGTGTCTGATAGCAGGTAGATTTCGTCGAATACTTCAACAGCAACATCGTTTCTTTTCGTACTACGAGAACATTAGTTCACACGTTGAGCAGGCTTTCTAGGCGAGCCAGAAAGCACGGGTGTGGAGATCTGGTGCATCGACTCCAGGCACGAGGTAGAAAGCGTCAGACGCTAGCCTGATCCGTTGCTGTGAAGATTGTCGATTGTGAGGAGTCAGGCAGCCGAGCATTCGGGTCTACATTCGACGGAGGGGTTCATGATGGCGTTCAGGCAAAGATGCGGTTGTGACTGCTGTTCTGATGAACGAATGGCGTAGTGACTGCAGCGCCAAGAAGTGGAACTGGGGACAGTTGGCAACCTAGGCAGATCGAGTCAACGTAGGCACTGGACTTTGTTAGGTGCATCAAGCATCCTCAGTCGTTGGCAACCAACCGTCCCTAGCAGCGGGCATTTAATGCGTATGGACGAGCAAGGCGAGACAGGGATCGGAGTCACGTCACGTCAACAGCGGAAACCATTTCAATCATTCAGAGCTTCTTCCTCACGTCCCAGGCAAGCCCGAGACCGCAATGAAAAAGATGGTTCGCGTCACTCGGAGGCAGTGTGATACCGAGGACACAATGGAGGTCGACCATGGGCAAGCCCAGAGGGCCGTCCTCCCAAGGACAAAAATTAGAATAATCACGATTGTACTCCGTAGAGCACTTTCAGAGATTAAACTGAAAAGAACAGATACTACACTTGATCTAAGCCCTGTTGTTTTGATTGCGGTTAGCAAAAGGCCATGAGAATGATGGTCTTGATGTTGGGGGTGCACGTACAAAAGGCAAAGAGAGCTAAAGAGAAAAGAGAGAAAGGAAGGGAAAGGGAGGGGAGGGACGCGGGTTTAAATATTCCAAGGCACTGGATTCTGCCGTCGGTGCGTACGCGGTCTGACCGCCAGCCGTTTTAGGAATAGATTGTCCTGGGCCCGAGCTTGGAGCTGCAGCCAACGCTGACCGCCTTCCCTTCCCGCCCAGAAGCTCCCCTGCGAGCTTGCTTGCCTGGAGCTTTCTGCCGAAATCTTTTGCAGCTGCTTGCAGTGAGGATTCACACTCTTTGCACTTGACGCGCTCAAGTAATCCCACACCAGACTGTCTCACAAGGGATTATCTCATGGCAAATGATCCTGAATGAAACAATTCCATAAGATCATCTCACAGTACAGCAGTATCTCGCAAGATAGTTACACTACAAAGCGCGTGCAGCACGACGACCAGCTCGCGGACGCGTTCAATCTCGGGCAAGTGGCTCTGCAGCAACGCCACTGAGGTTCCATTGACTTGCGGCCCAGCACCCACACACCAGAATCTGCAATGTCAGTGAGAAATGTTGACGAATCAATGGGGACAGCCTCTTATGCCACCGTTGCGGACCATCCATGGCGCAGCTTATCGAGACGGTGATCATCCAATTTAACGAGCTTGAGCATAAGGGTCAGGATGAAAGCAGTCTACAGCCGCCACGTCTACCCGGTCGAGCATCACTCTCTGTCCTCCTTTGTAAGCCCAACCAGTAACAGAAAGGCTAAACCATGGGGGTAATCAATTCAAGTCGGGGCATCCGCTGATTTTCGAGATTCGCGGACTGTACAGGATAATATTTGTTCATGGACTGCAAGTCTACCAATGGCTATCTGGGCATGAACATGCTTCCAACCAGGTGGCGATAACTCCCTACGTGTGTGTTGGAAACCAGGAAACCTATGTACGGTGTAGCCATATGGACACATGCAGGTCTGTTATGTAGTTCAACAGTGTGAAGGCCTATGATTCGAGCCTCACTTCCCGCTGCCCCTCCTGCTCGAGCTTGCGCAAAGTGCTGTTGGAAAGCCGTGGACTCTAACCAGAGAGTGAGCTCTATTGGCAATTGCCAACTTTGAGGAGGTTTACACACATCAATGGGGTCATATCACATAACAATCGCTGTCTATGTCGCAACGCGCTTGAAGAAATCAAGTTCCTTGACGCCCTTGTGCTGCTGTGAGTTACAATAGTATAGCTTCGAGGATTCGAGGGACGCCTTACTCCTTTTCCACTGCCCCGCGGAGGCAGAAATGGACCAGAGATAGAGACTTGAATACTGGCGCCTTTGAGGAGACCTCGATACCACAGATATGGATGCAAATGATAAAGAGTGCATTAAGACTACCGTAAGCTTCGAAGCGGTTGGACGGCCTGTCGAACCATCTCCGCTTAGACATAAATTGGACGAGGCTCAAGAATAGGAGGGAAGCTTTGCATCCTGTAAGCGATCAAAATGAAGCTACTGGTAGGGTTGCAGACACCTTTTGCTGAAAACATGGCAGTGCAAGCTTGCCATAGAAGCTTCGACAGCGCAAGAGTTTTGGCACCTGGTAGTCCACATTGAAACCATCATCTCTCCCAAACCACCTGCACCTTTCTGCCATCCTTCGACCGGTGCCTTTCAATCGCGTCATCAACAACAATTGTGGGAAGTCAACCAACACTCCATCTCACAACAAACAGTCACGCGCCAGGCAGAACTCAACCTCAACGAACGATCAGTCCCTATTCTCGCATATTCCGATTCCACGATGCCTCCCAAGAAAATTGGAAACGCTTTAGCTGAAGGCAGCGATGCTACCGCTGCTGCCGTTACGGCCCTTGTGAGCTCCCTCAATCCAGTTTTTCTCCCCGAAGCCCTGGACCAAGCCCCGATTCAGTTTGGTGGGTAGCAAGTATCGTGCACGCCATTGAGATGTCCAACCTCTAGCCCTTTTGACCAAGCGATTGCTGATCTGAGTATTGCATTACAGTGCCGTCTCATCATGAGCTGTGATGAATTCAAGGCCGACAACAGCAAGCTTGCTGATGGTAAGCAACTTTCCAACGAACCTTTCGGCTCCAAAGCACTTGTCAAGAGGGACGCTTCGCATTCAGGCAGCGTCGACCGCTCCTCTCCCATAACCAACTGAATCCACACCAACACCATTTTCTTTCATGGGTGAAACAACGAAAAGCACCTTGCTGACAGTCCCTAGTTCTCGGTATTGCTCAGGCCAAGAACGTGTAAGTAAAAGTTGCTACAATGCACTCCCATCACAAGTCCCTCTCACTTGACTACGTCCCAGTCAGCGATTCAAATGATGCTTTGCTAACGTTCATCACCCATACTACTCAGGCCCCGCAAGATCAACAGCATCATCAATCCGTACGGCTTCGAGTTGAAAAGCGGAAAGATCGTCTCTCAGTCCGGCAGCCAGGCTCAGGATGGCGCGGCTGGCCCAGCCGGTGCAGCTACGAACACCAGCGCTGCTGAGGAAGACAAAGCCCCCAACAAGAACAAAGCCTCCAAGGCCAACGGCAAGGCGCAGCAGGGTCCGTCAAAGAAGCGCAAGCTTGCTGTCAGCTTCCCGGATGACGATGACAACGATCATGTCAAGACTGAAGAGCATCAAGAGGCCTGAGAGAGGGAGATCGGTCGTGTGACAGTGCTCGAGCGCTCGTCGAGAAAGACGTAGAGATGCCGAGAGCAGGTCTGCCCTTGAGAAATCTCTAGGATCTCATTCTCTCTCAAGTTGGTAGTTCTTTGGGGATGGAATTGCAGGATGAATCGGCAAGTCGCAATGTTGGAAGGCGTATGAGGACGAACCAGCTTTCCTTGCAGCAAGGTTTCACCCTTGACTGCATATGTGCAGGATACATGCACAAAAGGGAACATGCGACAAAACCTACTTTCATACAGCGGACGTTAGCAGAACCGCATCTTCATTCGACAATTAAGACTTTGATAAGCCTTCCAGAATCTTGGCTGTTTTCCTCTCCGATTGCCTATAACAAAGGGCAATCCTGCGTTCAAGCAAGCAGTTCTGATGACGCCTTGAACTTACATCCTGAATTATTGATGGATGTGGGTCTAGCCGATGTTTAGCCATGCGTGCAGGGGCGTGCCCTTGCAATGGACCCATCGTTAATTGAGAAGGCAAGAAAGACGTCGTCACCATTCATTAATGCTCCTGTAACCAAACTTTCTGGCCTGATGTTCGAGGAATTTGTTTCTCTGAGAAGTGACCACGCATTAAATAGCATTGGCAAGAGACGCCCGGTATATCCGATTATAACATGACAGCTCCTTGCAAGCTCTTGATACTTCTCATTGTGTACATATCTGCCTCTTGGACCCTGGCCTCAGAGGCGAAATGATCTGATTGGTTTAGACAGCTGTCAAACATTAGACGATGCACCTAAGCGAAAGATACGCATGTCAGTTCCCGGCACTTGAGACCCACTGCTTACGATTAACCTCCTTGACGGGCACGTTTCGTTTCACGTCTTTTGCTCTCAGCCCCCTGCCTGACCCGCATTCAACGCTGCTCAAAGGATGGCAGTCTGTCCCGCATCCATACTTGTCCATCAGTCTACCAATGGGATCTCAGAAGCAGCACGTCGGCCTCTGGCGAAAGTGGAATCAGATGAACACCCAAAAAAAATTGGAGGAAGCAGAGCCGCGTGGCCAGTGGCGCGGGATGTAGGCGTGCAATGCCAACTCCTTTTCACCTCGACCACCATGGTCCGTTACTCGGCGAATTTATTTGTGTCCCGGGCACCCGCCATACCTGTTGTCGCCTGTTCTTGACGGGGCAATGGATACCTTGTCGTAAGCCTCCCCATAGATGCTCGTCAGTATCCATCCTTTGCTTTCATTCCTTTAGATCCGTAGGTCGGAGGGCTTTATGCTCGTTTATGCCGGACAAGTGAACCACTTGCCTAGATATATAACTCACATACGTTCGGAGTTGTCAAGCTTACTTGGCATTTTTCTGTACAGAGCAGCTAAATACACTCGTTCATATTACTGCATCTCCACAGATACTCATCTGAAGTGTTTTTGCAGCACATTCTTTTGTCCAGGCCAATCGTCTTGCGTTTGCTTCGCTATCTGAAGCGAGACTTTGTTTTGATGATGCCTAAGCCATCAGCCAAGGCCTGGCTACTGGCCATCCTCTCTTTTGCTACTGGCACATTGGGTGATGCTTCAGCTAACTATACTGAGCAGCTTCTGAGCTCTGGCACAAGTATGTCGCTCCATACCTGGGCACTCTGGAGCGCTTGCTAATTGATAACCATTTAGTCAAGCTTGGCGAGTGGCAGGATGCCTACGACAAAGCCTCCGCCTTCGTCAGCACGCTCACGACTTCCGAGAAGATTTCACTCATCACGGCCGGAGATGCCGGAAACTTCACCGCACTAAACATGCTGGACTCGGCCACGAACCCGCTGGCTTACTATTATGTTACGACTTGGCCGGCTGGCTTAGCTATGGCAATGACATGGGACACTGAAGCAGCCTACGGACAGGGCGAAGGAGTCGGTGCCGAGTTCAAGGGCAAGGGTGTCCATCTTGCCTATGGGCCGACCCTCCAGCCCTTGGGTCGTTCTGCTTGGTGTGGGCGCACAGGAGAGTCGTATGGCCTAGACAGCTACCATGCTGGTGTTATGGCTGGTGCTATCGTGAAGGGAATGTCTGCCGCAGGAGTTATCCCTTCAGCCAAACATTACATACTGAACGAGCAGGAGACCAACCGCATGGGTTCAGGTAGCAGCATGGGTGGTGGTGGAGGCGGTGGCTCGCCTCCCGATGGAGCTCCAGGAGGCAACGCGACTCTCACAACCCGCCAGACCGCAGACAACACCACCTCAAGCTCCTCGTCCGATGACTCCGGATCCTACAGCGTCCAGATCGGCGACAAGGCATTCCATGAGACTTACCTCGCCCCCTTCTACGACACGGTCAAGAATGGAATGGGCGGAGCCATGTGTGGCATGAACAAGGTGAATGGAACCTACAGCTGCGAGAGTCAGGATCTACTGGCAAAATATCTCAAGACCGAGCTAGGCTTCCCAGGAATCGTGCACGCGGACGTCTCGGCACAAAAGACAGGTATCAACGCGGCGAACGCAGGAATGGACCTTTCTTCCAGCTCCTACTGGTCGAATGACACACTCGGGGTCGGCCTCACAAACGGTAGCTTTACATCTGAACGGCTGGACGACATGGCTATTAGGAACCTGATGGGTTATTACCACCTCAACCAGGACCAAGGTTATCCCAGCTTGGCTGGAAAGACAGACTATCGCGATGTCCGGTCAAACCACAGTGCCCTTGCCAGGAAATACGCATCCGAATCAATCGTGCTGCTGAAAAACACCAACAACGCACTACCCCTGACGAATAAGACGAGCATCAGCATCTTCGGCACTCACGCCGCCCCGCGTTACGTTGGAGCCAACACGGCGCTATCCGTGTACAATGGCGAACCTGACACCATGTCAGGCCACATGACAACTGTCGGCGGCTCGGCCATGGGCTCGCTGGCGTACGTGACGACGCCGGTGCAGCTGTTCGTCCAGCGCGCCGCGACGGATGGCTTTATGCTGCGCTGGTGGCTGAATGACACCGTCTCGGAGACCAGCAGCGGAATGATGGGCAGCGGGACGGAGCTGACGGAGACAACGGTGGGCGTGGCCGACAGCTCCGATGCCTGTGTTGTGTTCATCAACGCCTGGGGCGGCGAAGGTGCAGACCGCACGGAACTGTACAACACCGAGCAGGACAGCCTAGTCACCACGGTCGCAGATAACTGTAACAACACGGTTGTCGTGGTGAACACCGTCGGCCCGCGTCTGCTGGACGCCTGGATCGAGCATGAGAACGTCACTGGTGTTCTTTACGCCGGCGCGCTGGGCCAGGAGTCTGGAAATGCTATCGATGATGTGCTCTTTGGGTCTGTGAACCCGTCTGGACGACTGGTTCACACCATTGCGAAGAACGAGAGCGATTACAACCCCGACACCATCATCAGCGACAGCGAGCTGGAGCTGAACTTTACTGACGGGAACTTCATCGACTACAAATATTTTGACAAGTACAACATCACTCCCCGCTACGAGTTTGGTTACGGCCTCAGTTATGCCACGTTCGACTACTCGTCGACCATTTCAGTCGACTCGAGCAATCTCACGTCTGGATACGCTACTGGAGACAAGGCTGTTGGCGGACGAGAGGATCTATGGGATGTTGTTGCTACCGCGAAGACATCCATCAGCAACACCGGCAGCGTGGCGGGGGCTGAAGTCGCACAGTTGTACATTTCCTTCCCCGATGCTGCTGGCGAGCCCGTCAGGCAGCTTCGTGGGTTTGTGAAGGTCACAATCGAGCCTGGTCAGAGCGCGGATGTCACTTTCAACCTACGCCGTAGAGATTTGAGTGTTTGGGATGTGGCAGGACAAGAGTGGGAGGTCGTGAAGGGCGAATATACACTCTATGTTGGAGCTAGCAGTCGGGACTTCAAAGCAACGACCACTTTGACCGTCTCGTAGTGGCTGAGCTTTTCTTTCAAAGTACATATTTGAGCGTTACAGGATATCCCGGGTCATATAGACGAAGTCGCCGCTGATAGAAAGAAGGAATGCCGTAAATGGACAAAATGCAGTTTAAGGTCCTTGATGCAAGAATGTGAACGAAGGAGTGGAGCCCAAAGCCCCTACCATCCTCGGCCGGCCAGCTTCTCTTCCGCTCGCATGTTTCCGCAGTTGATGCCGACCATGGCCTCACCAAGGCCAGTGCTGCACTCAGCCAGCACCTTGGGGTCTTTGAAGTGTGTCGTGGCCTTGACGATGGCCTTGGCCCTCTTCGCCGCATCTCCCGACTTGAAGATACCGCTTCCGACAAAGACACCGTCACATCCGAGCTGCATCATCAGGGCGGCGTCTGCGGGAGTTGCAACTCCTCCAGCGGCAAAGTTCACAACGGGCAGGCGGCCCAGCTCTGCTGTCTGCTTCAGCAGCGTGGCATCACAGCCCAGCTCCCTGGCAAGCGCTCGGATGCCAAGCTCGCCCTCCTTGGCCAAAGCGGCCTGCGCCCTGGAAATGTCGGCGTTGACCTGCCGCATGTGCCTCACAGCTTCGACGACGTCTCCCGTGCCGGCCTCACCCTTGGTGCGGATCATGGCGGCACCCTCGGTGATTCGTCTCAGGGCCTCGCCCAGGTTCCGGCACCCGCACACGAAGGGAACGCTGAAGTTGTTCTTCTCGACGTGGTAGGCGACGTCTGCTGGGGTCAAAACCTCAGACTCGTCGATGTAGTCGACGCCCAGGGCCTCAAGGATTTGGCACTCGACAAAGTGGCCAATGCGGGCCTTGGCCATAACCGGAATGGTGACGGCATCTTGGATCTCCTTGATCATGGAGGGGTCGCTCATGCGCGCGACGCCGCCGTCCTTCCGGATGTCGGCGGGCACACGCTCAAGGGCCATGACGGCACAGGCGCCGGCCTCCTCAGCGATGCGGGCTTGTTGGGCGTTCACGACGTCCATGATGACACCGCCCTTGAGCATCTGGGCGAGGCCGGCCTTGACGGCGAAGGAGTTTTTGCTAGCGCCATTGGCACTGCCGTTGGTAGCCGGGGTAGCCAGGTTAATGGTTGTGTTGGAGGTGCCGTTTGAGGTTGCCATGGTGAAAGAAGAGTCCTAGGTGGCTAGGTGGGGGCTGAATTGGCAGTGTAAGAAAATGTGGCACGCGCTGGGGGAATAGCTATGGTGGATGAAGAAGGAGGAGTAATACTTATTTAGATATTGGCCGTGACTTGACTGATATTGGGGGTGGTGTGGGTGGAGACAATGACTAGTAGACTAATGTGATTTTCTAGAAGCCTTCGGTGCAGGAGTTTCCGTCAGGAGGAAACCATGTGCACAATGCCAAGAATGTGACCCTCTGCGTTCGAGGTCCCTTGAATTTTTCGCCACTATGCGGCCAGGAGGAGCGCCTCGAAAAGGTTGGATGGTTGCGAGTGACGGGTGTCTGGCCAGTCGACGATTGAGGCTCAGGATACACAAGGATAAGCACGATTCAGGAGGTTGCAGCAGTGTGCACTGAGTTGTCGCTCAACATGCAAGGTGAAGCTGGGTGACACCACTTGAGGCGCTTTGCACGCGGACGGTTGCATATGATAATAAAGCTGTTGATCACTTGGCCGGCCGTGGACAATGGCTGCTGCCAACAACTTGAGCTTGAATGCAGCACGGTACAGTCAGACGTAAGACGAATTAGTTGATGACTCAGAGACAAGAAGTGACAAATGACCAGACAGGCGCCCGATGTCGGGACCAGCGTGGTCGGGTGCAGGACGTTCCAAGACCATCGATCCGTGTCTACCCTTGATATAGAGTTCAGATCTTCGGCACTGGCGCGAATGGCCCGATTAAACGGCCTAAACGGCCCCCAGGAACACTTGGCTAGCCCCATCCCGTCCCGAACCACCGAGCAGTCATCGTCCATGCTCATTGGCGACAAATCGGATCAACATCGCTGCTTTTCACGACTCGTCCGCCGTTATCAACGTCGAATGAAGTCGTCCGAGCCGAGTCAACTTAGCATCAGTCGTCACTTTTTTTTCAAGAAGGTTCAGGGCTGTCCATAAGGGCTTGTCCCCCTCAGGAACCTTTGAGGGGGCTCAAGTTCGCTGTCCTGGTCATCGTCCGGCCTGATTCTTGTTTGGCCTCAGGCGAACGTCTCCACGAAACAATGGCGACTACCGTTGGTGTGCTGGCCCTCCAGGGCGGCTTTCTCGAGCACCTCTCACTCCTTCAGAAATCCGCACAGCACCTCGCCAGCACATCTCCGCTCGCGAGAAAACCGACCTTTAATTTCATCGAGGTCAGGAACCCCCAGGACTTGGCACAATGCGATGCCCTTATTATCCCAGGCGGTGAGAGCACCACCATCGCTCTCATAGCAGCACAGTCAGGGCTCATGGAGCCCCTGAGAGATTTTGTCAAGTGAGTCACCTACGTCATCCAGTATTCGAGAGGCCTGGGGAGCAGCGGTCCAGACTGACAACGGCCCAGAACCGCCAAAAAGCCCACCTGGGGCACCTGCGCAGGCCTCATTCTCCTCGCCGAGGCGGCCAACGCCGCCAAGAAGGGCGGCCAGGAGCTCATAGGCGGCCTAGACGTCAAGGTGCACCGCAACCACTTCGGCCGTCAGATCGAGAGCTTCGTGGCGGACGTCCAGTTGCCGTTCCTGGCGCAATCGGACCTGCTCTCGGACTCGGATTCCGCGGCCCCGTTCCCCGGCGTCTTCATCCGGGCACCCATCGTTGAGCAGCTGCTGGCCCCGGGCGCGACAGTGGACTCGGTGGAGCCGGGAGTTACGGTTTATAATGGAAACCCTGAGAAGGCCAAGGTCGAGATTCTGGCTGTACTTCCTGACAGGAAGAACAAGGTGAAGGGGAGCGCCGTGGACAGCACAACCGAGGTCCACGGGGGCGAGCTCAACAACATTGTTGCTGTTAGACAGGGAAACGTCATGGGCACGAGTTTTCATCCTGAATTGACTGATGATGTTCGCATACATGTTTGGTGGCTGGAACAAGTACTCAGGACTGTTTCTTGATGTTAAAAGTCCACGAATTTGAGGCAGTGAGAACTCAGTTTGGCCTCTATTCTTGATGTAGCGGGGTTCAAATCTTCATATTAGACATAGACTCATAGACTTCATCTCGCCTGTGTAGAATGAGGTTCAAAAATTTTTCGTCATCCCTGCTGCCATCCAGAATCGCAAGAATGGTGAACACCATGGCAGCATCATTAGTAACAGAACTGGTAAAGTCTGGCCGCTGTTTCCCATGGCTACCAGCAAATGAGACTAGTCTCTTGATGCAAGTGATACGAAACGAGTCAGTTCCAGGTGATATTGCTTTAAGTTATGCCTGTCGAGATAGCAACCTTGCCATCCGGCAGTTAGCTTTGCTTGTCTACATAGGTAAGAAGTTGAATCATGATTTCCATGGCAGACAGGGCCACAATTTTTTACATGGTCTCGCTTATTGGACAGAAGAGCATGCCCATTTAAAGCCCAGTCCAGAAGGCGTTGAGTATTGAAACGGAAATGCCTTTCTGGATGGCAAAGTCGATGCAAAAGTCAATTATGTAGCCTTTCAGCACTCGCCGACGACTTTAAAGTCTTCTAAGCAGGCACGTATTGGTATAAATGAGCAATATGACCTTGTCAAGTGCCAGATGGAAATTCATGTTCCCTTTCTCTGCTGGATTAATACAGGTGATGAGGCAAGAAGACGTTTGCAGATTTCAGCTAGAGGTAATTGCCTTTATGCTCCTCGTGCTGAAGTCAAGAATGTGCAAGTGCTCCAAGTCATCCCAGCAAGGCTGAATGAGGTTTCTTAGGAGAATGTAGTATCACTCAAACGTGCTCACACAGAGGAAAGCTTTTGATTTGATGACTCCCTTCTCAATGCATTTGCTTCAGAGGGCCTTGCCTAGAATGAAGACGTCAACCAGCTTTGGTCTCGTTTGTTTGCAAGGTCCGTTTGCAAGTGGTGCCAGTGTCGTTTCTGCCAGTGAAGCTCTTTCATCAAAGGCCATCTCTTGCCTGATTTCAATTTCTGAGACTACTGGAAAAAGAAATCACCCAAAAACATCTTTCTCTGCCAATATCATCCCCTATCAACAACACCTTCCTCCACTCTCTGCGCAATCCAACCCCCTCAGACACCAACCACAGCTATCTGAACCCCCAAGAAAGAATAGCTCTCTTTCCAGCCAATCATGATGCAGAACATCTTATTCTTCCTGCTGGCAATCATTGCCAACATGGTGATCACCACCATGGCTTCACCTCTTGCGATCCGCGACGATGCTCCTCCTCCTAAGGGAGGTAACCTCACCTGGTGCATCACCAACCAGTCTGGCTACAACACTGTGGGCATCCACAACAACTTCGATACTCAGGAGATCGATGCCTACATTTTCGACAGCAACTGTAAGGAACAAACATGGACTTTATCAACCCTTTTATACTTGTGTGTCTAATTTGATATCTCCCCTTCCCTAGGCAATGTGCTCACCAGCACCAATGAGGTCCTCACCGATTCGAACTACACCATCAGCTGGAAGGATGGCTCGGGCAACTCCAAGACCGGATACATCTACGTCCACGATGTGACGGGTGGCAGTGACGAGTTCTGGTGCAACGGCGCCCACTACCAGGACGGATGGACCTTCGAGAGCCCTTGTAAGTATCTTCAGGATACATTTGAACACTTGCGGAAGAAACATCTGTCGCCTGTGTTGTACTCCACCACTTGTCCCAAAGCCTCTCTGAGACTGGCTATGGGCTGATGTTGGCTGATTCCTCCCCATTCCCATAGACGCTTCTTCCTTTGTGCTTTGATAGCTAACTCTAGATGCTGCAGTGCCCGTCTACTACGAGTACCGCTACTTTACGTGCTGAGTGTGGGTTGGGACGTCAACGGACACCCATGGCTAGGGGAAATCACGAGGGCAGTAAATGTGGCGTTAAAGGAACTTGTCTGCTTGGTCTTCGAGAGACACAGCTCCGCCTTCCCTGGTCAAAAGACGTCCCAGGTCTTGGCTGTCGAAAACATCACGACTGAACAGACTGCTTAGATTGCAGGCAGATTAATGAGAACAGAAATACCGCAGCGTGCAGGCGAACTTTTACTTGAGATATGACATGCTATAGAAATGTGAATGCCGCTTAACTGTCTTTTTGTCCAGCCACATACCCATCATTGAAATAACCCACCAGTGTCCTTCAAGATAACCTTACTCACATAGAAGCCCAGCTTTCTCCTTGTAGGCTAATCAATGCAGCCCTTCACCCATCTCAGATACTAACGCCTTGATCACGATTCACCTGTTCACTGGACGGTCGACCGAGGCCATTCCTAATAGCGTCCTCGACCTGGACCAGCCTCTTGGGCAGCGCGAAACCGATGCCGAAGAAGACAAAGAATGCCCACTTCCACCTGAATGGGTTGAAGGCTACAGAGAACGTGAACCACCAAATCAACTCCAGGTAAGTGAAGAAATCAAATGCTCCAGTAGGACTCCGTGCCTTTAAAATCTTGGTCATATCGATCCAGCGCTCCATCCAGAAAGGGCTGGGGCGGGTGAGTGGGTCGACGAGGAACATGAGCAGAATCCGGGTGTAGATGCCGATGTGCCAATTGCCTACTGTGCCGATCGCAGACAGGTAGGTGCAGTTGATCGCGGAGATAGAAGGATGGTTCGGTGGGAAGGTCTGGAGGTACCAATTGGGCGCGCCGTAAGGTTCCTCGAAGCTGTCTTTCGGGAGGAATGAAAGAGAGGGCCGCTGGAAGCCCGTGGCGAGAACGACCATGTCTGCCTCGATGACGTCCTCGCGTCCTGGCCCACCTGCAGGGACACCCTTTGCTCGACGATTTACCTTCACTCCGCCCTCCTCGAAGCCTTCGATGTCACACCGTACCCATTCTGCTTGTCCCGATCGTATTCTGTCCATAACGTCGGTGTTTACCATAGGAGTATCCATAAAGATGCCCTTATTGTAAGGGGCAATGTCTTGCAGGTCGCGATAGAATAGCTTCTTGAGGAACATCTCTGGGATCCAGGAGAACATGGTTTCTTGGCCGAAGATATTGAATGCGAGAAGCATGTTGACGATTGGGTTGCGTGGGATGATCCACTTGTCGGATCGGGCGAGAATATAAACCTTGGCAGCATCCTCATCGGCAGCGAATTCCATTGCTTCCACAGCACTGGCTCCTCCACCTATGACCACCATAGTCTTGCCTTTGGCGTTCTTTCCTGTCAATTCGCTGGAATGGTAGACAGGTCCGCGATACTTTTCTATGCCTGGAATATGTGGTCCTGTGAACAGGGTGTCAGCGGATGCTCCTTAGAGATGTCGTAGTAGTCGACTTACTCTTGGGATCGCCACAAGTACCGACGGCAGCGATGAGACCGTCAAATCTCCCATTTGAAGGGTCATTGATCACCCACCGGCCCTTCTCGTCTTGGTAGACCTGATCTACCTTGTAGTTGAACACAGTCTTCTCATCCAGGTTGTACCTCTTCCACAACTGCTTGAGCTGGCTCAGGATCTGTTGACGGTCAGGGTACCCGCGTTCCCATTTTACCGAAGGGTGAAATCGATACATCAAAGAGTGAATCTGGAGACTGGAGGTATTGTTGACCCTCTAAAAGTACGGTCAGCTTCTGGTCATATTCGAGATCAAGGCAAAATGCTATGGCAATTGCTCACACTCCAGATCCCGCCAAGATTCTCCTCCCCTCCAGCCTCAAAGATGGTAACGTCGAAACCATGGCCAACGCAGTGTGCTGCAGATGTTACACCGGTGATACCAGCACCTATAATGGCGACCTTGGGCCTGCGGAGGGGTTTGCTTCTGTCTGGAGGAGCCGGGGACAGGATCTTGTCTGTAAGGTACTGAAAAATTTGGAACCAAAATAAGAAGGGATGGAACAAGGGGTTCTCAACCCTCGACTCGGAAGGCATCGTGAGGTCTTCAGAATTTTCAATGGCGAGAACAGGTTGGGGAACAATGTTGGCAAGACGAACAGAGGAGTCCCAGGGGGTGTTTCCTTTCCACTACAGCTTTATACCAGCCAAATGCTTCGGTACCACGGGCTCATGCTATCAATTGGCCATCAGCAAGGAATGGTCAACATTGGCCTGTGATTGTCGCACCATTGGAAAAGATAGCTGCAGCTAAGCTGTCGACCTAGCTACATGCTGGGTTACCAAGCCTGGAATTTCGATCCGAAGACGCGACGTCATAGCCCGTGGGGCTGATGGCAGTCTGATGCAATTAGGCCCGGGTCCGTTTAGCATGTGAAGAGCCGCACCACGCTCACCTGTCCGGCTGCCCGACTGGCTGACCGCCGACCAGCGGGAGATCGACTGGTTCGCTGCAACGTCGTGTACTCCCACCACAACATATTGATGAGGCTGCAATTTAATCTCTTAACATCATCGCCTACGGCTCTGTGACACTCGTTCGTTTTGCAGCTATGCCCAGGTGCATATAGCCCACAAGGCGTGTGGATGGCACATTTCGACATCCGAGCGGGTTTTGATCAGGTCCAAGCGCGACATATACACTTGTAAGGAAGGCATGATTGAATAACTTTGTTCTGTCCCGAGGTAAATGCAAGAAGCCAATGAGCTTGCCCTGGCTGCCGCCACTGGAGTGCCGACAACGGCATAAGCGTGTGCTTCAAGTTGTGCTCCCGGTGAGATCAATAGATATCTCGATAGTAGATGCGATTCTCTCTTGGTGTTTATAGGTGCGATGCTTTCTGATTTCCCATTATGATGTGTCACGGCAGGTCAGATGCATCTGCAGTCGCCATTTATTTGCGAGCTGATTTCGCGTGCGAGGCCAGTGATCTTTCTGCTCACCTCCTATTTCCTCTGTCCCGGCGACCAGATTCAAGAACTTTGAGCCGCTTTTGGTACCTCTCGCCCGTATCTCCACTGCCTCTGGGACCATCCACAGTGTCGGGACCTCTCTTGCGGCTCTTCTCCAATAAAGCCTTCGTGCTCCTTCCGCCTTCCTTCTTGTTCGTTATCCTATTAATCCGGTCGACACCCATGCCGAGATCTCGCCACTCTTCGCCGCCATAGTCCATGCGGCCACTGCGTCCATCACGCGCCGCCTTCTGAGCGCGCTCCTTCTTGCTTTCCTTGGGCAGCCGTGTAAAGTTCCGCTCTTCATAGTCGCGACGCTCGTCTTCTTCCTTTCGCTCCGATGCAGTCTTGAGTCTCCTGCCAAATTGAGCGATATTTGTGCCAATACTTGGCTGCGCAACCGGCGCCGTGGATAGCTCGTCGGCCACAAACTCGTCCATGGTCGCTGACTTCATTGGGCCACGTTCCCTCTTCTCGCGCCTTTCAGTGGTGGGCATCACTGTAGGGGCGACCCTGGGAGGCCGATAAACGCCGTCTCTCTCTTTGCTGGTCTTTCCACCGGTCTCGGTCGCAGCGCGCCGAGCTATGGCGCCGAGGTTGGGACGGGCCTGGAGACCAGTGATGTTTGGTGTAGGCACCGAGTCTTCTCCGCTCTGAGCCTCTTCGTCAGAGTCCTCGTCGGAGTCATCATCGCTAGACTCGGACTCAGAACCGGAAGCTGCCGCTGCTTGGGCAGCCTTTTCGTTGCGCTCTGCATCATCGGCTGCGCGCAATACTTTTTCAATCTGATAACGCAGCTTCTCTTCCAGAGGGCGCACTCCCTTCTCTAGGTACAAACGTAGCTCGACCAGCTTCTTGACCACTTCTCCGTCGTCGACCCGGCTGTTGTCGTCGTTCGAGTCGTTCTGCTTTGACTTGCGCAATTTGACAAGGATGAGGAAGACTAGGTTCTGCAGGTAGGAGAGCAGCAACTCATTCTTGACGTCGAGCAGGGAGATGCCATCTTTTGGAGCTTCGACAGATGAGATCTTGGATGTTGCTTCGAATACAGAGGAAAGCGATTGCGTTAAAGAGTCCAAAAGGACGGGCAGAGATGTTGCTGCCGCCATGCTGTTCGGTGAGAGTGTTGTGCAAAGAGATCGCGAATTCTCCAAACTTTTTTTCCACGATAAGATTTCCGCACAGTAGCTTGCCTGCCCTGAATGATTGGTACTCAGGTACGTACCGCTGTAGCCAGTGAGAGTGCGCGGTAGCGTCAGACTACTCAGCCCATAGGGGCCAATCGGTCCTGACTAATCGGCCCCCAAGGCTGAACCGAGCTATGTGGCACAGGGGGGTCGGGTCGCTAGAGCTCTTGTCCGTCCATCGAAACGTTGCGCAGCGCATGTAGGGTTTGGTGAGAAGTTGACAACTGGCTGAACGAGAGGATTCGCCAAACCGTCATCAACACTCCGCTCATTTATCCACTGCACGCTTGACCGCAGATCATATGCGTGTGCATCGCAGCCATTGAAAGAATCGAATTTCTCCCGGCATTGGCTACGCTGGCATGCCCGGCGACACTGAGCTCTGAGCATTGCGCCCCCTTCCCTAACGCTATTTGAGAGAGATCCACCACTCGGAGAGGTACGATCCACATCCAGCCATAGCTCTCAACGCTTTGGCGCATTGCCAGCTTCGTGACTCTGGAACGATCCCGGAGAGCTGACTTGTGTACCCAAGGACACAGAACGCCCAATATGCAAATACCAAACCTCGCGTCGTCGTCGGCGGCGGCGCTGCTCTCCCTTGTCGCCCTGCCGCACATCACGTCCGCCTTCTATCTCCCCGGCGTGGCCCCAACCTCATACAAAAAGGGCGATGTCGTGCCTCTCTACGTCAACACGATAAAGCCGATTGCTCCTCCAGGAGACACGATGCTACACTCGGTTGTAGCATACGACTACTATTTGCCCATATTCAAGTTCTGCCAGCCTGAAGGTGGACCGCAACCTGTGGGCGAGAGTTTGGGGAGCATATTATTCGGCGACAGAATCATGACGTCGCCATTTGAGCTCAAAATGGCGACCAACGAGTCGTGCAAGGCTCTCTGCGAGGTCAAATACACCCAAGCTGCGGCGAAGTTCGTAAACGAGAAGATCGAATTGGGTTACAGCTTGAACTGGCTGGTGGACGGCCTCCCGGCTGGACAGGACATTACCGACGAGCTCACCCACACAGACTTCTACAGCCCTGGTTTCCTGATGGGCGAGGTGGCTGACAACAAGCCTGCTTTCAACAACCACTACGACATTATTGTTGAGTATCACGAAGTGGGCGGAAACCCGAACCAATTGCGCGTGGTGGGCGTTATCGTCCAGCCTCGTTCCCTCGACTACGGTGACAAGGAGCCTGATTGCGCAATGGACAAATATCAGTCGGCCGTGCTGTCTGCTGACGGTCAGACCAATGTCAAGTTCTCGTATGGTGTATTCTGGATCAAGTCTGGCACCGCCTGGGCCACGCGATGGGACAAGTATCTCCATGTCTTCGACCCAAAGATCCACTGGTTCTCGCTCATCAACTCAGCGATTATCGTGGTATTCTTGGTCATGACCGTCATGTCGGTGCTCGTACGCACGCTGCGCAAGGATATTGCTAGATACAACCGCCTGGACTCGATCAACCTGGACGATCTGAACGGGACATCTGTGGTCGAGGATGGAGTGCAGGAGGACTCAGGCTGGAAACTGGTCCATGGTGATGTGTTCCGCACGCCGTCCCACCCACTCTTGCTCTCTATATTCCTTGGAAATGGCGCGCAACTTTTCGTTATGACAGGCTTCACCATATGCTTCGCGCTGCTTGGATTCCTATCACCATCGAACCGCGGATCACTTGGTACTATTTTGGTCCTTCTCTACACCATCCTAGGATTTGTCGGAGGCTATGTGTCCGCGCGGGTGTACAAGTCGCTCGACGGCGAGAAATGGAAGCTCAACATCGCCCTCACACCCCTGCTCGTGCCCGGAATTGTATTTTCCATATTCTTCGTTCTCAACCTATTCCTCTGGGCGAAGCAATCCGCCGGCGCGGTGCCATTCACGACGATGCTGGTCCTCGTTCTGATCTGGTTCATCATCTCGGTCCCCCTCTCCTGCACCGGCTCTTGGTTGGGCTTTAAGTCCGCTCCAATCGAATCACCCGTCCGCACGAACCAAATCCCCCGACAAATCCCACCAGCTACCACTTACCTCAAGCCAATTCCTAGCATGCTGCTCGTCGGCATCCTGCCTTTTGGCGCCATCTTCGTCGAGCTGTACTTCATTATGAGCAGCATCTGGTTCAGCAAGATCTACTACATGTTCGGTTTCCTGTTCCTCTGCTACGGCCTGATGATCATCACCTGTGCCGCGGTCACAATTCTGATGGTATATTTCCTATTGTGCGCGGAGAACTATAACTGGCAGTGGAGGTCCTTTTTGGCAGCGGGCACAAGCGCAGGGTACATCTTCCTCAACGCCATGATATACTGGATCACCAAACTCAGCTTGGGTGGTTTTGTGGGCAGCATGTTGTACATTGGGTACAGTGGTCTGATTTCATTCCTCTTCTTCATTCTTACTGGTGAGCCCTCACGTATTGCCCCCGGCCCTGTTCAAAATGCTGACAATCTCCAGGGTCCATTGGATTCTTCTCTAGTTGGTGGTTCACGCGAAAGATCTACTCCTCTATCAAGATCGACTAAGCATTCGAGCGGTTTGCCTGACAGGTCAACAACTGGGCGACCATAAAAATAGGTATCATTTGTATAGTAGTAGTAGACTGTACCAACAGCAATACGAGGGAATGCTTGGTGCCTGCCCACGGGCACAGATACGCATTGGATTCGAATGAATGACATGAGGGAGGGGTCACGACAAGAATAGCTCGGCGTCAAGGTCGTATATGGTTCTTCATAGCAATTCAAGCTTGGTAGACAATGGCCCCGGCTGTGATGGGTACGTATCGAGTGCGCACATTCGAGCGATGTGGCCACAAGGGGGGGGGGGGGGTTTGAAGAAGGTTTCCTCTGAGACTATTGTGCCGTTTGCATTTCTCATCTGGATGAACGTAAGCAATGTCACTCGCAAGGCCAGAGCACAAGAATCCCTAGCCGAGCACTACGACATTCAGAGGGTACAATAAAGGTTCCGAAGCAGTGCCATCCTCCACACGTTCCCTCGGACGCAATAGCTCGAGAGATTGGGCTCATCTCCTCTGGAAGGATCCGGTCTCACGGAGCACACCCTTCAATCATCGTCATCGTCATCCAGATCTCCGCCCATGAACTGGAACTGCCTCTTCTGCGGCTCGGTCGATGCACCGGCGCCACCGGGTGACGGCCCACCGCCAGTGCTTCCCCTCCGCAGCGCCTCTTCTTGCACGCGCTCTCTCTCCCGCTGTCTCTCCCGTGCAATGCGCGCCTGCTCCTCCCTCATCTTCTTGAGGTTCTCCTCCCGCTCCAGCGCCTCCCTCTCCTCCTGCTCCCGCCGCTCCTGCTCCTCTCTCTGCCGCCGGGCCTCCTCCTCTGCTGGGTCATAGCCGCGCGGGTCGATGCCCTCCTCGACAAGGTTCTGGATAGACGCGAGCGCACCGACGCGTATTTTGTCTTCAGTCGCCCAGGGGAGGAATACGTGCCCGGTGAGCGGGTCGAGGAACTGTGTCCACTCTTCAGGCAAGGCTGTCGCGCCAGAAGTGGCCGTCGTCTGGGTGCCCTGCTGGCCCTGAGACTGCGACTGAGGCGCGGGCGTAGGGGCGCCGTTGGATGTGACGTTGGGATTGGGAGTCGAGGCACCTGCCACGGGAGTCGGGGCTGCTGTGGTGATCGGGGTGTTAACCGCGTCGCCGGTCGACGGCCCGCTGTCCGCGTTGGTTGCATCGATGCGAGATAGGATGCTCGCTGGGGGGAGCGTCATCTTGCTGATCCTGCGCGCGTAACTGAGTAACTCTTCGTAATTGACATCGTACTGCGGCCCCTCGGACGAGGCCGTTGTGCTGGTACTGGTGATGTCCTTGCGTGTGTTCCACAAAGTACGTATCGTGTCGCGGATCTGGGCATCAAGAGCTGTGGAGGATGCCTTGAGGGATTCCAGCCGCCGGTAGTTGTTTTGATGAGTTTCTACTATGAAGGGGGCGTCTATTTTAGCAAGATAGAACTCTGAGAATAGAGTAGAGCGGAGGGGACGAACGGTCTTTCAGCCCATGGCCCAGTTCGGTGTCGGCATTTGCAAGTTCGACAGCTTGTGATGCCTGGGGACTGTATTTGGTAATCGACTCGACCAGTGTCGCGAGAGCTTTCTCAACTCGCTCGAAGCGGACGTCGATGATTTTGTCCATCGTCCAGAGGTGCGCTTCGGAATTGGCCAAAGATAATCGTGCAGGGGCCTCGAGACGACTCAGAGAGATTGTGCTACGGGTAGTCGACGTCCTCTCCTCTGGAGAGAGAGAGAGAGAGAGAGACAGAGAGAGAGGATGTGTGTCGGCCTGCTAGGTTGAACGGGAGCTGCCCATGAATCGCGGTCGAAGCTTGCCGCGAGAGCAAGCTGCCGTCAGGGCCCCCACCACTGCAAGCGCGGGCCTGCTGCAGGGCAGCTTGGCCCAGAGACCGGGATGACGCTAAAGTGGCCAGCTCCGAATTGGCGCCTCAGGCACGAAAAACCCAATCCCCGGCTTGACCCGGCTGGAGGCTCGCGCGCATCATTGGCATCCAGTAGCCTTCGCGACATTTCCAACCTCGCCGACGACACTTCACAAGCAGAGCAGACACACTCTACAGGTCGCAACGCACACAACATGTTTCCCGTATGTCAATCACCTTCAACGCCTTTCTTAGTCGAGCCATTGAACTAGTCGGGCCCCCCGTCAGCGTCCCACGACTCTTACTGACGAACTCGCGATGCAGACTCAGATCCGCCGGGCAGAGCCCTTCCCTCAGTACAGGAGCCCCTACGGCCCCAAGTAAGACGTCCTTGCTTTCCCTGACAATTCGAACGCCCCAGTTACTCGTCTCGTCCCTGTCTGAGACTGAGCAACCGGCGCCGACGATGCGAATCAACGCTTGCAGAGGATTTGGCGACTAATGACTGTGGTGACAATCAGGTACGGCTTCCAGCCTCACGTTGCAGGCGTGACTGGCAAGCAGTTCATCACTTTGTAAGCAGTTGCCGTCTATTTCTGCCCCGTGTGAGCTAGGGCCAGACAGAGAGACGGAGAGCAGCCGATCTGCACGAGCACGCCGAACACTGGAGAGATGGTTTAATGGATGCAAGTCCGCCCCCGTCAACAACGGGAGGGTAGGTGAGGGGGGCGGCTTCCATACATTGAATATCTCTGGCTTCGAAGGCTCTGGTTCTGGCCCTGTCACAGTACGGCCATTGGGCAATCCAGCGGAAGCTAATCCAACATCGATAGCGGCACGAAGGCTGCAGGACTCGGCGGTGTTGCGCTGTTTGCGGTCATCTTCTATGCTTCCGGCATCCCTAGGGTACAGCGTGATATCCTTCAGGTATGGAAATTCCTTCGAGCTCCCTCTAGATCAATCGGCTAACAAGCTTGTAGAGAGTGCCTTTCCTCGGCAGCTACTTCATCAACGAGATCCCCCCAGAGGACAACGTAAGTGACCTCAGAATTCAGTATATCAAGTTTCTGTATCAGCCGCTGACGGCACATAGCCCTTCTAATTTGGAGCCGAGAAACACCACGGGAAAGGTCAGAAGAGAAGTCATAGAAAATGGCCTTTCAGGCCTCATGTAAAAAAGAGCATTTGCAATAGAGCCAAGATACAGACGAGCCCTTGAGACAATGATTTGGGGCCTCTCATTCCCGGTGTGGACTCAATGCTACTGATGGGAACATTTGTCTGAGCCCACGGTCTTTTTTCCCCCATGACCACGATCATGAAGCTTAGAGGCGTAGACAGCTTGTGACACAACTCCTCCCATCGCATTAGGAACCAAGCTGTTGTTTCCCGTAGCCTATCTCAGCCTTTATATTGCAAAAATATGTCCTCATGCAAGCACCGGCTTTGTCCATCATAGTTGCATCTCTCCATGGTTGAAGTTCAGGGGCACGGCGGCTAAAGCTCGGGTCAATGCACGGCCCACATTGATGCTGTCCGGTACACAGTATGCTGACTCTCAACGAGCCACGCGTCGAACATCCCACAACATTAACGTTGAAGTTCTTCCCACTGTTGTCACTCCTTACGGGCTTCATGCGAGATGGAAGTCCTGGTCTCACTCAGGGACTTTGGCATTCTTGCTGTTCGCCCGACTGTTTACAGCCTCATATGTTTCTACCTCTTTCTAGTCCCTAACCTCTCAAGGTACGGATGGGATCGACCAGCTGTCAATGTGTCTCTGCTAGCCGCACCCGCTCTCGCAGGCCTTTTGTGGCAAGCAGCCGTCGCCATAAATGTCCCGGAACCCTATCTGGTATACGCAATCCGCACGCCGTGTACTTGTCGAGCTTCTCGCTGATAGCAATTAGGACGAAGTCTTCCATATCCCCCAGGCGCAGAAGTACTGCCAGGCAAAATGGCTTGAGTGGGATGACAAGATCACCACACCCCCTGGGCTGTATGTGCTACCTGCCTCGTCACTGGCGAAATCGGCTTTATTGACAACCATGTTCAGGTATGCCGTCAGCGTGCTGATCCACAGAGCCCTGTGGTTTATGAATGGGAAATGCTCTGAGACCAGCCTACGGATGACAAACTGGGTCGCCATAATCATCCTCACTTTTACAGCAGTGGACTGTCGAAGGCTGGTCGAGAAGAGGCTTGCCGAACGGAGCGAGGCTCGCCCCCGGACGTCCTCTCTCAGCTTCCACGCCATCCACACGGGCATGAATATTGGCCTTTTCCCGCTCCTGTTCTTCTTCTCGGCATTGTACTACACCGATGTCTTTTCTACGCTGATGGTGCTCTTCGCCTTTCAGAACCACTTGGAGCGAGTCGGCCCGGAAGCAAAATCATGGTGGAACGACTTCTTCGTGATTTTCCTCGGTGTTGCCGCTCTCTTTATGAGGCAGACCAATGTGTTCTGGGTTGTTGTCTTCATGGGTGGGCTGGAAGCTGTCGAGGCTGCCAAGGCTGTGCCTGATGTCAGGCCTCAGCCACCAGGCCAAGGAGACTCGATGGCAAACATTAAATACTTTGCTTGGAGATCTTCCTTGGGCGATATTCATGACCCTGCGTTGAATCAGGCGTCTCTGGATGGTAAGGTTCTTTGGCAAAGCCCCAACCCAGAATCCCAGCGGAGCCATCTACCGCCACAGCGGCTTCCTTCACAGAACCACATTTGGTAATAAGGTCTAACCTGGTCTCTGTATAGATGCCCTCTATTGCGTTGTGAGCATTGCTATTGCAGTCATCTGCAACCCTCTCCGGGTCGCAAAGCAGGTCTGGGCCCATATTGCTGTCATGGCACTCTTCGTCGCATTTGTGCTCTGGAACGGCAGCGTTGTGCTCGGTGCGTCCCCAGCAATTTACTCAACCCCTGAAAAATTATCTAACATCTAGACAGGAGACAAAACAAACCATGTTGCGACAGTTCACCTTCCTCAAATGCTTTACATATGGCCACTATTCGCATTTTTCTCCGCGCCTTTGCTTCTCCCGTACTTGCCGTGGCCATTCTCAGCCAAACGTGGAACTGGGCCCTCAGGGGCCACGCAGAAGGCGGCTGAGGCACAACAAACGCAGAAATGGTACGCCATATACTTGAGCATCGCTGGCTACATCTCTCTGACCTTGGCGGCCCTGGCCATTGTTCACTTCAATACTATCATCCACCCTTTCACTCTGGCGGACAACAGGCACTACATGTTTTACGTGTTCCGCTACACCATCCTTCGAAGTAAGTGGGTTCGCTATGCGCTCGTCCCGGTTTATGTCCTCTGCTGGAACATCTGTTGGAATGCGCTCGGTGGTTCTCGGCCGACACAAGATACCGCGGATGCCGCAAGAAAGGACGCAAAAAAGCAGGCAAACAGCTCCCACAAGAAAAGTGTTCAGATCAAGGACACAGATGCCATTCTCCCTGTCGAGACCCCGACCCTGTCGACAGCTCTCCTCTGGCTCGCAGCCACGGCGCTCTCCCTGATCACCGCGCCGCTCGTCGAGCCGCGGTACTTCATCATGCCGTGGGTATTCTGGCGGCTACTCGTCCCCGCATGGCCCGCCAACACGCCGATAATGCCTTCGAAGAAGAGCGAGAGTAGCCCGGGTCGCCTGGGCTGGATTTTGTCGCTGGGGCAAAGATTCGATCTCCGCTTGTTCGTGGAGACGGCCTGGTTCCTAGCAGTCCACCTGGCCACGGCGTACATGTTCACCGCTAGGCCGTATTACTGGAGGGCCGAGGATGGCACGCTCCTCGATGGCGGCCGGGTGCAGAGGTTCATGTGGTAGAGAGTGGCTGTGGTCGGAGTCTGGCCGACTCGTTTGCAGATATATACCTTGCTGATTGGCACATATTACTGTGGATATATTGAATTTCAAACATAAGTGCGTCCTTCTGTTGTAAGCCCGCCTGCTGCGCACTGTGAACCATCGAACCCTACCTGAAGCGTGCATGATTTTCTGTTTTGTCTTCGAAACGATATTCTTCAGTTATGCATCATGGTATCAACCTCTCTCTGTCCCACGTTACTTGAGCGCTAAGCTTCTGCGTGCTGCCAAGTGTCGAGTCTTAAGTAGACTCATTGTGTAGTGACGTGAGATATGTGTGAAGGTACGCTCCACAATCAAGGTCGGCTTCATCTTGGTGACCACGAGCATAATTTAAAGAGTACAGGGCACGCCAGCGCTCAGGCTGAGTATCGATCTTCTGAACCTTCTCTCCAGACTCATCGCTGTCACTGTATAATCTTGTAGCAGTAGAGACATGATATATCAAAAGAAGAAAAAACATATATGCTTTTGTTGGATCGACGATGCATCTCTGCCTATCTCTCTATCAGAGCAGAGGTGAGGTCTGTGGGACCTGTGTGAGGGACACGGCGAGATGTCCTGTAGATCCGTTGAGAAGCCGCAACAGCGGTTTCACCAATTCTTTGCCTCGCGATGAGCTATGCTCCATTCCCAAGCCGTCCATTCCCGTTCCCTTTCCTGTCCAGCTCCGTAACGCCTAATACCAATAAACCAGAATGCCGCGATGTTATGCACATTTTCGCTGCCCGATCCGGTAACAGCAGTCGACCGCAATGCTCCGGATTCTCCTTCTTTTCGCGTCTGTCCTCGACCAAACGAGTGCTGCCTCCCCGTCCTGTATTTATTGTTTTACGAGATTCCGCCTCGGGAGAAGCGGCTAGTCCAGGATCACGATCTTGGTCCTGACTTCTCCCGCGATGCCGCCTCAATACTCATAAACTCAGCCGGTCGATACTAAGCCTGTCCCCGCTCCGCACCCTCCTCACCATGCCCAGCTTGAAGTACTTCTCCTCGCCGGCAGCCGTCTTCCCGCCGATGTACATCTTGTCGGCGCCGAGCACCTCGCGGAACCCCTCGGTGGAGCTGTCGCTCCCGCGCCGCCGCGGCTGCTGGGGGATGGGGATGCCACGCGGCGACGTGACGCCTCGGGCGGCCGCGGACTGTGACTGAGCGGCGGCGGCAGCCTGTGCTGCTATGCCGCGGGATGTGGAGGGCGCCGTTGTCGATACGGAATAGGACGTTGTGGTCGTCGACGAGGTGGGTTGCTTATTTGCTGATGAGGCTTGCGCGGAGGACTGTGGCATGGAGGGTGGGGGCTGTTGGCGGAAGGCGGCGAAGAAGCTGGAGAGGAAGGGCCTCTGAGGAGACATGGTGGGTTGATTGTGCGGGATTTGGATGATGTTCCGACTCGAGTGGAGATGTCCCGAGGCGCGGGTGAATAACCGCGATGTCACAGGACAGAGATTTGCCGTGAGCAGCAGTCGGGGTGCTGCAATAGAAGGACAAGGCCAGCTATGGTGAGATGCAGATGTCGTTATTGCGTTGCGAGGAACTGGGATGGGTGCCTTTGGCTGGCTTGTGATTGCGACGTTGGTGGTGTTTATCCCCTGAGACAGGAGAACACAAAGCAATCATGGGCAGGCAGGGCTGCAGGTATGTATGTGGTCCAGGGTGGCCGTCGGGGGAATAGACTAAATTGTCGGGACAGGGCAACGACACAGAGGCTGTACGGCTGAGGTTACGTCGATCACCGATCACGATCAGCTTGCAGAGAAGACGGACGAAGACAGGCAGGTCAAGTCTTGGGAGTAGAGCAAAGAGCGCATGTTGACGTAGTAAGACGGCTATCTGGGTGCCGTCGGCGTCTTAGCCTTAGTCTGGGGCACTGGGGGGGGGGATTGGGGGGAATTGGGGAGAAGTGGGACTCCTGACTCTTGGCCGTCGTCCTTCGGCCAATCTCGGGACAGGCGATGACAGCACCTTTCTGGTTGGATGGCAGGCTCCCGTCTGGCCGTTTGCCCGCCCGCCGTTGGTTCGGTCCACGGTGGGGCCACTGCCCGTTTCCTTAACGTGCCTCTCTCGTGCTAAAGCAGGCGTTGGCAGGCTGATGCTGTGGACTGTGTGGACTGTGGACAGGTGTGGGGACCGAGTCGTTCGCGGGGAAGGCGAGGGCCAAGCACCTTGCAGGACAGCTACTGCAGCAGAAACTCTTGTTGTCTGCCTATCTGCAGCTTCATCGTCAGTCAATCATTCATCCATCATCAAGGTTGCTCGATGGAACTGGCAGGACTGGGACCTGGCCACTTTGATGCTGCAATTCGCTGACTGAGGTCAAATCTTGCTTCTTGCTGTGGGTGCAACTCTAGATCCAGTCCACATGCAGAGGTAGTATACAGTAGTCTGTACCGTAGATACAGTAGTAGTATAGTCCGTGTGGTTGCAACGAACGAGGGCGAGGCGACGCCGTCCACTATCTCCCCTCTCGTGGCCAACTCCCCAGCCGACATCGTCAACCCCCCCCCCCCCCCCCCCAGTGAGGCTGAATCCGAATCGAGACTGCTGAAGGCAATCGACGGACACCCGAACGGGAGCCACTTGCAGGAATGGGATATGCTGGGACCTCCATGTCTCCCACCGCAGGATCGAGCAGCCCATCGCCCAGCACATTGTCGCGCTATCTGCGTGCGACCATGGCCTGATTCCGGTTTTCAGCGTGCCCTATCCTCTGGTTCTGGAGGGTCGGCGACCCAGCCTGTTGGCTCCCCCCGCCTCGCTTCCGATCCCGCCGCTCTGGGTCACCCAGAGCCGGCTCTTCTCGGGTCACCAAATGGTCAGCTGTGTGCACCGGGCAGACGGACGACACTGCGGATCCATTCCCATTGCATCGGACTCCCGTCTATCACCTTGCTGCGGAAGAAAGGCTCCTTCATCTCCTTACCAAACCGTTCCTCGGAATCACCAGTCTCCATCACCTTCACAAGGCTTCAGATTAGTCCAAAGTCCAGGATGCGATCTGCCAGGTCAAGCACCTGCTTCGGACAGCACGGCAGCTAGGCTTCCCCTCTCCTTTCAAGTCACTTCTGGATTTCCATCAGACACTTTCGCGAATGTCTTTTTAATTTATACTCATCTGTCCGATGCTCTTTATACAGCGCATAACGCTTCTCTACTTTAGAATTGTAAACTGTCAGATGTAACGCAGACCGCCCCCGTGCTTTCATAATGCTCCGGGGCTGCCTCTCTTGGCCTGCCAGCATGCGTGCTCGTTTGGTCGCAGTAAAGCCAAGTATGGAGCGCGCAGCAAACGACCAGCTTCCTGACGCGCGTCAGGAGTCTGCTGTGTACCTGCAGTTCGTCACCTTGAGGGAGTCCCTCAACTGTTTCGGGTCCGGGCCGGGGCCAAGTGACGAACAAAACGCGTTGCGTTTCAGCCCCATCGCTCACCACCCGATCCAAGAGCGAAGTCAAAGTGTTTGTTCAGTAGACAATCTTTTAACCTCCAATTTAACGACTTCTCGATTTGAATTCGAACCTAGGAGCCCTCTTCCGTAATTTGCCTTTTCCAAGTGCCGCATCTGCCCTCTGCAGGAAATACTTGCCAGCACTGGACTTTGAAGTTTCTCCGGCTCTACGCGGTACTGAGGTCGACACTTAGAACACGCCGTGGTCCTCGATACTCGAACAGAGAACTTCTCTTTCTTCGGACGAATCATCCATTCTTACCCCAAATACAAGCTCTGCCTGGTTCAAGTCCTCTCGTTACATCTTTTCCAACCATCCTTTCTCCTTTCCTGCCGCTGTAGCAGAGCTGCTGGCCACCTGACGACTATGGCTCCGCAGCAGCCAGAGTACTCCAACATCAGGGCCCCCAGTCACGAAAATGTGCGGGACGATGCAAGCACTGATGTAGAGGAGTCACTAATGGGCCATGATGAGAAGACCTGGGACGAGCTTCGTGGAGCCGGACGGGCGAGACAGAGCCGGTGGCAGCGAAGCCGTGCCGCTGCCTTCTCATGCCAGGGCCTGCTTAACACCCTCCTTTTGATTGTGATCCTAGGCCTACTCATCGACCGTCGCTATAATAAAGAGAACTACGGCCATTTCGAGGGCAATGGTGATATCTCCGGGTTTACACCTCGAGGTAAGCAATATCACAAGAGCCAAAGACTCCTTGCGTTCGCTAGCGCATCAGGTTCCCCTGTACTGACATGGTGAAAAGTCTCCCAGCAAATCAAGACCTTCGTGCCCGACCTTGGATTCGTCCCGGAGAACGGCTCAGAGTTCTTCACGGAGGAGGTCAGGCAGAAATGGCTCGGGATAGTACCGAAAGGACTCGGCTACGTCGAGGTCCACGACCCTTCCAAGTACGACAACCTACCGAATCGCCCACTCGAGGGTCCGGGCTATTCCCACACGGTCTACACCACCAGCGTGACACACCAGCTCCACTGCCTCTACAACATCGCCCAGGTCTACTCGGGCCTCGTCTCCGACCCCAGCCTGATCCCCGAGCAGATGCAAGGGCACCTGCCCCACTGCTTCGAGTACCTGCGGCAGACCATCATGTGCTGCGGCGACACGGCGCTTGAGGGCCAGCAGACTACCTTCCCCGAGGGCTTTGTTGGCAGTGACGGCTGGGATGCCAAGCACGTGTGCAAGGACTACGACGCTGTCTACAGGCACCTGGAGGAGGTGAGAGCTAATAACGACGTCTGGATTTGAAATGTGGCCACGGCTGGTCTCCAAACAAATTTTCTCTAATTCTTGGGCTTTTGGTGCTCACTGGGGTCGGCATAGCAGGCGTTTGGCATCATTTTGAGCTTAGTACTTTCAAGTCGGATCATCATGGTCACGAAGAGAAATGGATTTCCTCAGACGGAAGAGTCTACGGTACTTAGAAGAGCAACGGCATATCAAATATCAGCTGCTGGCTAGCTCAATCACACGCTGAGCCTCTCCATCAAACTGGTGTGCAAACACGCGTGATCAAATCAGACGGCATTCCGTGTAAGTCAGCCCAAGGTTTCGCTCTGTTTCGTCGATTCTAGACGATCTCGGCGCTTGATCTCACTCCGATTCTCAAGGCCTGTTCTAAACCGCATCTAAAAAAGAAAATGGAACAAAGCTACCCGTCCCTCGATATGCACAGTAAACATGCAGCCGTCCAGAAGATCGTATCAATATCTCACATCTCTTCCTTGATATATTGTTGGGGAACTTGGCTCATTCAGCATTCAAGTCAAGCACACCTATCTTCCTGGACATGTCGTAGGATGATGGAAGAGAGACCATCTACAGACGTTGGGTAGACTCGATTAAGTGGATCGATCCGAGAGACTCCTGCTCAGAGCGGATTTGCCAACACAAGATAGGCTTCGGAAGATAGGTAGTGGATCATTAGATAATGATATCAATTTTTCTTCTTGCCCAAGTCCGTCTCGCCAGTACAGGCACAATATGTGAATCCGAAAATTGAAATGCAGGACGCTCAGATCTTGCTGCTTCCCAAAGCCTTCGTCTTGGCTTTATACAGCTTGACCAACTGGCGTACAGCAAGATCAAGCAACACATCTTCTGAGCCACCGGGAATTCTCGCGCCAGGCACGTCTCGCCAGATGACTACAAGCATCACAAGTCAGTCTCACATTTCGAGTGCCCAAGTTGAAATCTCGCATCCAACACGCATGGAAAGAGGGGAAGAAGATTCGAAAATACTCACTCTCAACCAACTCTCCCTGTCCAGACCTCGTGTACCCGTTGCCACCAAATAGCAACACAGCCGCATCAGCGCATTCCTTCAGCACCAGCCCGCCCTGCGCTTTCAGCAGGCCCGTCAGCCCGCCCAACTCCCGGTCGCCGTCCTCCTTCGACATCTGGGTGAGCTGGTACGCAAATTGCTCAACCCAGGCCCACTGGGACTCGAGCAGGGCACCTGCTTTGGCTAGGCGATGCCTGACTACCGGCTGGTCCATGAGTGGCCGCCCGAACGCCTCGCGTTTAAGGACATACTCAAAGGCAGCGGACAGGGCGACCCGGGCCTGCCGAGTTGTACCCACGGCGATTGAGAGTCTTTCGTGATTGAAATTTGTCATGATATATCTCATACCCTGGTTGCAAGAGTTCGCTCTGGTCAGCCTCTGGGCTACCGCTTTCTTTGGAACGGTGGCCATGGTGATCGCGGCAGAGGAGGGCTTTTCTTCTGACTTACCATCCCTTCTTTACCGATGAGGTTCTCAGCCGGCACTTTCACGTCGTCGAGCTCGATGTATGTCGTTCCCGCGCTCATTGACCCACCCACTCTGAGTTTGCGCATTGTGACGCCGGGCTGGTTCTTGAGAGGGACGACGAGCATGGATAAGCCCGGTGCTCCTGAGCCCTCAGGCCCGGTTCGCACCGCCATACTCGCCCAGTCCTGAGAATGCAATGGTTAGGAAAATCCCGGAGGAAGCAAACGCAAAGAATTCCAGAGGAGTAAAGGCCTGCTTACAGTCCATATCCCGTTCGTGATCCACTTCTTCGTCCCGTTCACAACGTAGTGTTTCCCATCCGCGCTTTTGACAGCCGTGGTAGTAATCCCAGCCACATCGCTGCCCGCGTCCGGCTCCGTGATTGCGATGCAACTCCTCTTCTCGCCCCTCAGCAGCTGGGGCAGGAAGCGCTCCTGCAGCTGCTCGTTGCCGAACTTCAAGATGGGTGGCACGCCAAAGGACATGCCCGTCGTGATGCTGGCACTCGGGCCCACGACCCCCGTTCTCGCCATCTCATCAGCGTAGATGAGCCCGTGGAGGTAGTCAAACTCCTCAACCTTGAGCCCGCCCAGCAGCTCGTGGATGCCCAGCCTCTTGAGCCATGCGACTGGTAAAGGGGCCGGAAGGCACGGGATCAGCATATTTGCCTTTGCGAAGGTTTCGAACACGTGTGGGGGTACCATCTCAGCTTTCTCCCACTCGATGGCGTCTTTCAGAAGATTTTTCTCCACGAACGCTCTGACGTTCCTTTGCCATTTGCGATGAGTCTCCTTGAAGATGGGTGATGGCAGGCCCAAGAGCCATGGGGGCTCAGAGAAGGGAATTGGTGTGGCCATGGTGTATGTATCGGAGTCCTCCAAGCTGTTGCTCACTGTCAGAAAAGGTGAAATACTCTATGATTAGAGAGAGAAAAGATTTGTAAAGTTCCATAACACTTGTTGAAGCCAGAAAGTCTGAGTCCGAAACATATATAAATCGGGTAAAGGCTGACTTGTACCCAGACTGCGGGGAAATGTGCCGAGGTCTATGAACCTACAGAGGTGCATCCGAAGTAAACACTGGGTTCGGGGCCGAGCTTGTTACACATGCAGCTGAACCAATACATCTGCAAATTTCAAGATGTTTATTTCTCAACACCAGAAACGCAATTATTTTCGTGTATATGCATTTGCCTCCGGACAACTTCGGCGGTTTGTGTTGATGGAGTCTAATCAAACAAATATTGTTGTTCAGGCGCTCGAGGCAAGTAGACTCGCATATACCGTCAGCTTCAGTGTCTACAAGGATGATGCAAGACAAAGCTCAGACTTGGAAATAATTCATTAGATCGTGTATATTATCGTTGCTGTGTTTTTTCATTAATGACTCATACTGCCCCCGCGACCTCGACCGCGCCCAGGCAGTATAGGCGAAATATCGTCCCAGTGATGTTGCTCAACGTTATATTCCATTGGCGCCGGTTTATCAAGAACTTCCATCTTTATCTCCACCTCGGTAGTGACTTGGATCTGCATCTTCCTCTCCATCGACAATCTCCTTTGACGAGACAATATTCCAGGGTCGTCGTCCATTGCTGCGTAAGACGCCCTAGAGGAGGTCATAGACTCCCCTGAGCTTGCCCGCTGAAATCTCTCCGGCACGAAGGTCTTGTACAATTTCCTCCGGAATTGTCGCGTCGTGCCAAAGCATACTAGAAGAAACAAACCTGCTACACATCCCGGAATGAATGCGGCTATTGTCGATTGTGCCTTGCCGACAGACAGGTCGGGCTCCGCAGTGAGTGAGTCCTGGATGTCCATATGATTGTACGTTACTTGCACAGCAATGTTATAACCCTCAAAAGCGCTGTTGTAAGGAAAAGACCATTTGGTTAGCAGTTGGTTCACTTTGTGACTAGGAACCAGCATAGGCTTACCTAATGAAGACCAGAGGTATCGTCACTCGCACTACTAGCCATCTGTCATGTATGCAGCTTGGCCTTTGCTGTAGCGTCCCAAACTTCGAATCTGAATTTTCAATCTTCCGAAGAAGCAGCCTTGCCTGGATAAATTCCAGAAAAATGAGCCCGAGCATGAAAAGACCGCCTGCACATGAGCAGACATCTGCAGGACTTCAATCAGCACCAATACTGCGTACGATGCAAGGAGCGGCATATAGTGACCTACATAATACATCTGCCGTGAAAAAATACCAAAAGGGTGACTTCTTCAGAGACGTCAACTGAAGTAGACCTGCCTGAATGATAGGAAGGACTATGACCACTGGCTTTCCAGCTCGGTTGACGAGGGCCAGTGGACGGCGAAGCGAGGCCGATTCCGCGAGCCCGTAAACAGATTGCATGAGTTGAAAACTCCAGCAAAATGCAAGGCCAGCCTCCATATTAAAGCAGGCCCATCCTGCAAGCTGAGTCAGCTCAAATAGATGAATGATGAGGTCGATGCGCACGAACTCATGGTCGCTAGAATTTTGTCCGCGCCAGTATCGTAGGAGTTCAACGCCACGATCGCAGGTATACCGGCTTTAGCTAGGTACTTCAAGTACCGAAGTCTGTCCCACATTATGTCCTCGTAATCTCTATAATGCAGAAGCCTGAGTCAGCCATTGTTGCTCAGTCACGGAGTCTGTTGTGTGTCATGACGTGAGCCTCGTCGGGGAGGAGTGGGGGCCGACAAGATGACGAGAAGACAGCCCGTGAGAGTATTTTTGCACTGACATTATCAGCATGATTTGCTGTGCGATACTTGTGATTGTCGCAATCAGTGCGGCGATGCTAATGAAAAAGAGATCTGGAATTTATTTAGTAAACATTTACAACTGGGGGTTGAGACAGTGACGGCCGACGCCCGGAGGGCGGCCACAGACGGTGACGACTCACAGCTTCCCTTTTCCCTGCTCTGCACAAGCAGCCATATTAACAACAAATTGCTGAAGAAACAGAAGAACGACCAAGTCAAGACACCAGAGGCGGTGCCCTCGGCTCCGGAAGGCAGCTGTGTCATGCTGGCCCCGTGCTTGGGTGGGCCTCCGCTGTCAGCGAGCCCGGCTTCTCAGGAACGAGAAAAGCAGTGACAGAGAAGTCGACCTGTCAAAGAGCATTTGACAGGAAAGAAAAAGAAAATGCCGGACTGCCACGCGGAGAGCGGACCTCTTTTGCTTATTGTGCCTGCATACCGCACGCTGCATCCTTTCAATGGGGACCGGCCGGGGTGGCGTTTGGCACACCCCGTTCGGGAGGATCGACACTGCACACGAGACAGCACCGGCAAATGAAGCAAAATGAAGCAGGGGAACCAGACAGCCCAGAAAGGCTACTCATGGCAAATCTCTTGGCCCTGGTAGAAGGGCTGGGGGCCGTAGCGTTCTCACTGGTCGCATCTCGTTCAAATTTGAACCAACAAAACCATCGTCTACGGACCCTCGCGGGCCCTTGCAGCGCCCCCACAACCTGCGTCGGACATCCTTTCCACAACAGGGCTTAGGCACTTGCAAGCGAGGCAACGTTCTTCGCCTCCAACCCCGTTTCCACAGACGCGTACGCGCACCAACCTGGTTTTGACTTGACGAGCTGCGGGTGCGTCCGCTAGCTCGGTGTGATGGCTTTTAGCCCACAATTGTGTCTTTTAAGGCCGGCAGATCTCCCGGCGACTTTATTTCTACTTGTGGCCAAGGTCTGCTGTTCAACGGATATGAGAGGGCCAGGGCCGCCCACAGAAAATCAAAGCCACTGCTGGCTAGACCCCCCCAGATGAGACGTCATTACTGTCCGGGCCTGTCTAGGGCTTAATTGTACGGAATACAGTGATTGACTGGGCCTAGCTTGCCCAGGTGGTGTGAGTGGGTGGGGACTGATTTAGCTGCGTCTGATTTTCTCCGATGGCATTTCTCCTTTTTCCCTTATCGCAACCTGTCTGCGAGATGTTCCAGACAGCAAAGAAGAACTCAGCTATCTTCCCTGAGCCTCTCCATTTCTGGTAAGTGTAGCTGGCTTGGTCCATGATTCTTATCTACTCTACGGTCGTATAGGGCCGGCCGTAGTATGACCTGCTCAGGAGTAATGTGGTATTTGTGAACTCACGTGTCACTGTAGTATTTATCCTACTGGACGAACCGCTGTCGCGAAGTTTAAACGTTCGGACGGAATTTACCGACTTAAGTTCCAAGGTACGGTCTTTAAATGTTTCAGAGATGCCTTAGTTAGCCACCACAAACCCATCTTTTCGCCCCTGCAGTTGACTTTGTCCATTCTGCCGCTCCTTCTCCACCTCAGCGTCTCAATAGTAAGCTCCTCCTGCTCCATATCACAGAAGTCCATGGAATGCAACACTCCCTATAACAGACTGTAGTTTTAACGCTGCAGCCGCGACAATTCGTGAAGGTGCGAGATGGTTTTTTTTCCTCCTATTGACAGCATATCCTTAAGCCGAAAGTGCTTGGGTATAATTTCTTTCTCTGAAAATGCGATTTCTACGTCCTGATCTTGATACGACCGTTGTAGAGGCGTCGTGCCCGACATTTGTCTATCCAATGCACTTTCACATAGCCAACCCTGCTTCATATGATCGGGAGATGATGGGTCTTCTCTTCTCGCAAAACTACTTGATTCTTCAGAACAACTGGCTATGGGTCTAGACTAGAAGTTATTGAATAATGCTCCAGAAACTTTTGGTACCTTGCGTAGAAGTAAGAAGTCTCAGAAATCGTGTCCAATATCACAGGAAAGCAGTGCGGCAGGCCTTCGTAACTATAGATTTCGACATCCACCCCCGAGGCCTGCAGAGCTTCTGCATAGGCAAAGGCTTCATCCCGCAGGATGTCGGCTCCTGCGCATTGTATCACTACGGTATTAGTTCATTAGCTGATTAATTCATCAAGGAAAGTCTGGTGAGGACGCACGAGTTGGTGGTAAGCCCTTTAATGACTTTGCTAGCAGCGGCGAGTGACGATGATCGGGAACGGCGTGTGGGACGTATATATCGAGGCATGCTTCATATCTCAGAGTATTGAGGACCGGATTTTCATAATTCTGAATGTAACTGCCAAATTCGTATTCATGCTTCGGAAAGAATTTAGGGTGGCAGGTCGCTGGGAAGTGGAGGACTTGAGCAATCACGCCGGTGACGCCGTTGTCTCTGCACTCGATAGCCAGGGCAGCAGCCTTTAAGACATGAGCTGTTAGACAGAATGCAGCAACCAAGTATAATTATGTCTTGAGACTTACAAGGTTGGCTCCTGCGCTGCTACCGCTGAGGATAATTCTCTCAGGGTTGACTCCTAGGAGATTTGCGTTTTGTTTACACTGAAAAATCAGTCAGATCACAGTTTCCATGAGTCAGACCCGTTTCAGATCCGTTTCTTGGTGCAGCTTACCCATAAAAGACCATCATAGCTGTCGTGAAGCGGACGAGGGAATGGATTCTCAGGTGCTCTACATATGTGTTAGCAGTGACACTCAGGCAGCGAGACACAAAGACGTGAATCGAAAATTACAATCGGTAGTCGACGCTGACGACGACTATGTTTTTGTTCGTAGCAGCGTAAACGTTTTCAGCACCATCAACTTCGTGGCGTCCCACGCACCAGGCTTGGTCCCAAACTGTCAGCCTTCAAGTTTCCAGCAACAATATCAGCCATCTTCGATTTTACTCACCACCTCCATGCATGCGATACATCAGAACTGCATTTGGCTCGACATTGGGCGACTTGTAAACTTTGAGCTCCGCTATGTGCCCGTCCCGAGTTGCGAAGTGCATCAACTGGGCTATTATGCATTAGCTACCTCCTATGAAGCCCGAATTCACGCATTCTGGAAAATTCTAATGAAAGCCGGATTGTCAATCGTAGAGGGGAAAGCTTTATACGTACTGGTCACGTCTCGATACCGATCGGGTCCACCGGGGGGAATGGTTGCATCTACATCGCCAGCAGCATTTCGAAAACTTTCGAAGTCTGGCAGGCAATAGAGTTGTGAAAAGCCGGCGCCGATGGCTTCTTCAGCAGCCTCGTAGGCAGGATGCTTCCGTGAGAGGTGGCCAAGCTTGGGAAGCGGTTGGAAGTTTGCGTCGAAATCGACGTAGTCGGACTGAGATTTCGTGTAAATCATATCTTGAGAGCCAATGAAATTGGAAGATCTATTTCTAGTGAGATACAGGTTGATAGAGCGTTGTCATTGAAAAGTTAACGGCCTGCGAAACTACGCCGGGCGTTTAGGATGCTGTGGTAGTACCCAGGTAGTGTGGAATTTTGTGCGAAACACCGGGCTTATATATTTCGATAATGCAGTCCATTAGGCATTGCAATCTTGAACACATTCGCATTTCATTAGTCTTGTTCTTTGTCTCTTACAGCTGATTCACATGTGGGATGAGCCATAATGTGAAATAATGGACTCAGGTGGCTGAGCCTGATATGAGGTGAGATGATTCATAGCCGCTATTCCACATTGGGACCGGCGAGTAACTAGTGAAGGGAATGCGCGTGCCCTGGCCACATCAACATCGGCTCTTCCGCAAGCATGGAACCTTGAAAATATAAGAAGTCTCGCTTGACGAGCATTCAATTTTCTGATCATGTACACATCCAGAGAAAAAAAATCTTAACACCCACAACTCAAAAGAAATCAGTGATTCTACAAAATGTTGTACTTTCCTATCCCCAGAGCAGCGACCAACCTCGAAGAGGTGCCACGATCCCAACTTGACCTGCGGTCGGATACAGACATCATCACTGAGCTAGCTTCCTTCCTTCCAGTCACGACGGAAAGGAATGTATGGGCTTTCTGGGATAAGGGCCTAGACGCTATGTACCCCAGTTACCGATGCACCGTCATAAATTGGGTGCGGAAGCTCGGCCCTAGCTGGACGATTCGACTTGTTGACCTCGTCGAGGGGTCACCGAACAACGTTTACAACTTTGTTGGGAAAGAGTGGTTTCCAGATTGCATGGTCGAAAATACCATGGATGGATGTCACAAGGCGCAACACATATCAGACTTGATTCGCCTCCCCTTACTTTTTGAGCATGGCGGCGTCTGGATGGACGTCGGCAATATGCTCCATACTCACCTCGATGCACTCTTTTGGAACGCCCTCTCGAATTTGGACTCATACGAAATCGGCTTGTGGATCATCTCCGGCCAGATCAGAAAGAAATGGGGCAGTTTCGGCAATTACATGCTTGCTGCTAGAAAGGGCTCTGTCTTCATCCAAAATTGGCACAACGGGTACAAGGAATTATGGAATGGTCGCACCAACGATTGTGGCTCTCATAAGCATCCTTTGATTCAGGAAATTGGTATCGCCGACGGCATGGCAGATTGGAACTTTGAAGACAAGGTCCTCGAGATGAGCGACTACGTGGCCCATATGCTCATTGGCGATCGCACAAGAAACCTCCTCGATATTGAGACAGGATGGAATGGGCGCGAAGTCTTTGAAAAAAGGGCTTTCATGGTCGAGGGCATTGAAAATGGTGTTCTTGGCGCCATCAAGACGGATTACGATGGCGCGAAGCAGGTCAAATTCTTCACGACTCCGCTTGACGAGCCTTGCACGGAGAAGAGAGCTGCTGCTGAGTCGTTTGTGATTGATATGCTGGAAAATAGCCACATGTACAAGGTGTACCACAACTCAGCCGGGGGCCTGCCTGCGCTGGGAGACTTGATCAAGAGGGAGGGTCTCAAGGACGCAGATCATAGACCAGGAACGTTTGGAGAGCTGTATAGGTACGGGACTGTGCATTGGCGGTCGAAGCGGCAAGTTGAACAGTTGTCGCCACCACCGAATGAAGATGAGTTGATCAAAGCGACACCGACGACACCAGCAACTCAGAAGTAAGACTATGAGAGTTTAAGCTCGGGTGTCTGCTTTGCGACCAAAGAATTTATATGGAATAATTGGGGGGAAATGGGGGAAGGAGTTATAGAAAATAAAGTAATCTCTTAAGGGTCACCAATTTTAAAACATTCTCCAGTAGGATTATTTCCCATAAAAGACGACCTCCTGTAAGATCGATTCTAATGACAGGCCTTCTTATGAAATAACCTTCTATAAGATTACCTCCTATAGAATAGTCTCCCGTGGAATGATTTCTTGTAGGATAATCTCTTATGAGAAAGTATTCTATAGAATAACTTCTCGTGAAATAAACTCATGTAGAATAACGTCCTGTGTCCTGTGGGATAACTTTCTGCAATGATGAATCAAAGTTTTCGAAAGTCGCGGTGTTGTATTAATAGTGTATGTGATACACTTGCGCTGGTGTATATTCGAGGTTTATATGGCCAGTCAAGGTTTAGCCAGGGCGGATGGAAGAAAAGAGCGTAGAGGCCACTCATGATCTTAGTCTGGGGGTGGCGGCTGTACATAAAGATGGCAATTTGTTTTGATCTGACTCGACTTGTGGGCATTGAGACTTAGAAATCCTTAAATAAATATACGCCCTCAGGCATATCGTTATAATCTTCTTCGTCAATAATCGAGTTTTAGCACCAGTAAGTATATCTAAGATGTTTAGTCCATCCCACTTGAAGTCTCGTTCAGTCTCATTGAAAGTCACGGGTTTTCGATCACTCTTGTTACTCTCATGGCCTCTTGGATAGCAGATGAACAATCATAACCTTTCCAGCTTCTCTTCAATTGAGCCTAATCAAGTTCCCTAGCCATTAGTATAGCGTACCACACTGATGTTCTACAAGATATATCATGGGATGTTACATGAAAAGGCCATATAGAACTTACCTTGTTGCCACTTCAGAAAAGCTCAACACCACTCAACCCTCAGTTAAATGCAGAACTGTCTGCCTCCAAGATTTATTCCATCCGTGCATCACAACTATTTAGATAATTGGTTGAAGAATATCCACTTCCCTGGGGCCATTTCAAATGGCCTTTGGCCTGATAGAAACCTTCAACGTATCGGAGAATACGCTGCCCTCAGTTTCAGATGAGCACCTCGCGACCTCCGTGAGGAAAAGAAAAGAATAAAAGGGAAGGGGTTCTAATATGTGTATCATACATAAATCTTTCAATTTTAAAACCCCGATTAGGTGACTTTGTTTATTTTCAATGACTTTATTAAAGGGTATCAGCTACTGTAATTCTCATGAGGATTCAACAGGAAAGATCTAGGAATTCAAACTCTGATTAAATCTACTATAAACAGAGAAATCAGTTATAAATATACACTTTCAAGGGTTGAGTCTTACAATTTCATCCTGACTACAGCGTAGATATATTCTGTATACTGTTTGTAAAATCTTAGATGGTCGCACATAAGGTCATGAATTGGGTCAGCCTTTACCTAGAGGTTCCCTTTTCGCCGCAAGATGAGATAAACCCACTAGTATTGCATTTTGAGAAACAAATGTATGTTCAAATTGATGAAAGCGATGATGCGTTTTCCTATTCATTGACTTGTCCGCGGCCACTTCAAGTTTTAAGGCCTGACGCATCTGACGTCCCAGCAGGCCTTCCTCCGAACTTCGAGAGTCTCCAGTGCTTTCGACAGGCTCTCGGGGATGAGAGATATAGGTCTCTTTTGAAAATACAAAGTTCACGACCTCTCAAGAAACCAGACTCTCGTGGAAATGTGTCACATTCTCTAGCATAGCCTTGAGAGGGATGAGGATCAGGATCCCGGCATGTTTCCTCATGATCTCCACTATGAAAGCGCTGTCATGAAATCGGAGTCCGAATTACGTGACCATGCTAGCATGCTCTCGCTTTCACCTACTTATATCCATCGCCAGTCTGTCTCTTGTCGGTCACCATATCTAGCTGCAGGACCCCGCGCCGTTTTCAAGGCTAGGGCTGCAATATCATCTTTTCCAAGACTGCCGAGCAACTCCTCAGACCAAAGTCTTGGCCTCTGACTGGCGATCGCGGTGTGCAACTTGGCTGCTTGTATCTTATTAGAGGCCCCTCCTCCCGACGACGGCACTGCCAAGCTCAATCCTGACCTCGCTGCTGACCAGGACCAACGGATACCAGATGTTGACCCCGCGCATCCAGCTTTTTCATCTATGTAGATACCCCGGATTCGCTGCACCCCAGACTCGGGGCACGTGTGGTATAGATTTGTGGGGTAGCAGACCAGCTGTTGAAATATTGTAATAAATGCCCAGAACCCGGCCCGCCAGTGATATCCCAATTGTCAAGCTTTTACTTGTTTTAATCAAGAGAACCATTAAAGTCTACTTCTAGCGGAACAAGAGTGAGGCACCAAAACTAAATTCAACCCTACGAAACTCAAAATGGCAGCCAGCGAGAAACGGTTGTCTTCGGTGGAGCGTCATGCCCACATCGTCGATAACGTTGACAGCATCAACAAGGGCGAGAAGCCTACTGAACACGATGAGAAACGCGACTGGACCGGTACCACGAGGAAGACTGATCCGGAGGAGATCAAACTCGTGCGAAAGCTTGACTATTGGATAATGGTAGGTGGAGGCAATGATGCTAAATGCCAGTCTGACTCGCTGACAATGTCACTTCAGCCAACTCTTTGCACAATGTATTTTCTCAGTGAGCTATATGGACCTTGACCATACAAACCCTCCGAGATTAACCTGCTTAAGACTACGTCGATCGGAACGCAATCGCCCAGGCGCGACTTAACAATTTGGAGGATGACTTGGGTATGACGGGTACCGAGTTCAATACCACAGTCTCCATGTAAGCAAATGCGGGCACCTCATAACATTGACTGTCGCAAAGCTGAGGCGACTATGGCGGAAGCCCTTGCACAGTCATACGCCACTGCCTTAGTAAAACAGAGTTGACAGCCTTCTAGTCTCTTCGTCGGTTACGTGCTGATGCAGGTTCGTTACGTCCGAGGCACCATCCTCAGTGGAGTCTGTCTAACAATGGATAGATTCCTTCCAATATGTTGATCACCAGGATACAGCCGGGTATATATATGAGCGCATGGATGTTGATCTGGGCTGTGGTGTCTGGTAAGATGAAATCCTGTGCACTCATACTCGGCTTGAACTATGATTTACACGACTGTTATCAATAGGTTGTACAGCCTTGGTTCAGAACTATGGAGGCCTTGTGGCCTGTAGGTTCTTCTTGGGGATCACTGAGGCTCCAGTAAGTTGTCCTGTCATTGGGATGCAATCTCCAGACCCTTGACAGGGTCTCACTGACACCAGACATATCATAGTTCTATCCCGGTGCCACCTACATGCTTTCCATCTTCTACACTCGCACGGAAGTTGCCGCCCGCATCGCCGTACTTTATTGTGCTCAAATTCTTGCCACAGGTGTCTCGGGCCTGATTGCCGCGGGAATATTTGCCAAGATGGATGGACTAAGAGGCATAGCAGGCTGGAGATGGCTCTTCATCGTTGAAGGAGCGGCCACCGGTCTCGTCGCACTCGTTGGCTTCTGGTTCCTCCCTAATACGCCCCTCACGACGCGTTGGCTTAACGAGCATGAGCGTGAGCTAGCACATTCACGTATGCAAAGGGATAAGGTCTCGGACTCTTCGGACGTCGAGGCTTCAGCTATGGACGGCTTGAAGCAGGCCTGCCGCGACAAGCGGACCTGGCTCTTTTGTCTGATGCAGAACTTTCATCTTTCGGCATGCTCTTTCAATTCCTTTTTCCCTACGTAAGTTCGCCTGACAGTACTGAGGATTTCACAGCTCTTGAACGCTAATACAAATCTTGCACAGTGTCGTCAAGACCCTCGGCTTCAATACTACCGTCACCCTTGCGATGACCTGCCCGCCCTTCATCTTTGCCGGCGCTGCTGGAATTGCTTTCGGATGGAGTTCTGGACGCCTGCACGAGAGGACGTGGCACATCACCGGAGGTCTGAGCGTTGCCATTGTTGGCTTTGCACTTGCGGCCGCCACATTGAATACAGCAGCCCGCTACGTCGCGTGCTTCATCTTCGCGATGGGTGCTTACAGCGTCAATTCGGTCATCATTGGCTGGGCGTCCTCAACACTGTCACAGACTAAGGAGAAGAAGGCCGTTGTCCTTGCCATGACAAACGTCGGCGGCCAAGTACGTTCAATTACCTGGACTGACGTGCCAAGAAGATTCCCTCGTGCCAAGAAGATTCCCACTGACCTTAATTTACTATCCAGATTGGCTACATCTATGGTGCTTACCTCTGGCCAAGTAGTGATGGACCGCGTTACGCTATCGGTTTTGGCGCCTCAGCAGGATTCGCCCTCCTCTCGATTTTGTGTGCCTGGTGGATCCGCGTCTTGCTTGTTAGAGAAAATAGGAGGATTCGCGCGTCTACTTCGGAGCACGTCAATTTGCATGGGTACTAGAGTTGGCCAAAGGTTACATGACGCTGAGTATCAAGACTGCCCACTACAACGACTAAAACTGTATTAAGACCAGCAATAATGACAATGAGAAACCCAGTCTTTTTACAGTAGATTCGTTCTGTTGAGATAGAATTGAATTGAATCTGGGCTTGTGGAGAATTTATATGACACTATATTATTGTATAGCGCAGACACCCGAGACAGATATTTCAGATCTATTGTTGCACACTCACAGATTTTTGTCCAACTCGAGTGAATAGCGTGATTGCACATTCAAAAGCTGAGGACTGCAAACCCTTCTGTCAGATTATGCGGTCCAGATCGGACCTGGATTTTGCCTCAGAATTACGGACAAAAGCGCCCGAAGTTAGTAAGGCTTCTCAGAGGCAACTTCAGACAGAACAACGGACTGAGCAGAATCATCGGTTAACAAATCGAAGGCCGAACAAAGCATCATCTATTATTCAATATGTGCGATCGAACACCTCCCTCCGGCTTAATTCAAACCTGTTCAAGTGCTTTAGGTCCACTACGACGTGTCTCCTGTATAGCTCACCACACTTGCAGATCACCTATTTTTAAAAACACCAGAGGCTGATCAATGATGGGTGGACGTGCGGCTTACATGAAGCTTGAAATTAATACAACCAACGAACAGGGTACTGAGACAGACCCGAACCGAAGTTCCGAGACTGTAGAACTGCAGCACTTCCTTATATGTCCTGAGAAGAGCGGAATCATCTGTCTTATATCAGCGATCTTAATCTCATAGAAGTCGTCCTCCGTCGGGCAAGCGTTGCCATTCCTGTCAGCTTTCATTAGACATTCCAGCTTGCTTCAAACGTCGGCCAGCACAGGGTAAGAAATATAAGGGCTACATCCGGCTGACTAGATCATTGTCATCACGAGTCCCAAAAGACAAATAGGTTGCGATGAAACTTTATGAGGACGCTGGACAGGATACTAGTTGTCTTTCGGAATACGAGGCGCCTATAATCCAGGGGCTTTGACATATCCACTTTGACATCAGTAAGCTGTGTAAATTAGAGCGTCGTTCTTTGCACGGTGTCCCTCTCAATCTAGGTGAGGCAAAACAGGGAGCAATAGCATCTCACAAAGCCTTTCGTATCGAAAACCCAGCCTGAGGTCTTTCACTGACTAGTGAGCCCCCATACTCGTCTTTCTTCATTCATGTGGTCTATGAAATTATTTTCACCTACTGAATACCGTATTTGTAGGGGGGAATGATTACATGCAAGAATCGATGCCATCTCGCTGGGAATTTGATAAATTGTGATAATGACAACAGATCCGTTCCCACAATATAAACCATTGAAATATAGGCATTTAGACCGGCGTCGAACTACCGGACACCATCACTGTGTTTCCATTGGCGTTAATTTTGGTCTCAGTCTGGTTCCGCGAGTCGTTTCGGAAACCCTGCGCCCCCACATGTATGAGATTCTTATCTGAGCCGGTCTCATCGACGTGGTACGCCTTCATCTCAATGGATTGCTCAACTTGAATCTCTAGCCTCGTGCCACGACGCTCCTCGTCGTCGACCTGGCTCCTCAGCACCTGACTCTGTTTGCGAGTTGCAGAGAGCCCGTATACGTTGTGAGAGGGGGTGGATCCGGGCTTTTGTCCAAAGATGACGCGGGAGACAAAAGCTTTCAGTGATGGCACAGAGCCGCAGATGATAGCGACATTGATTTCTATGACAGACCACAGAGCGATAGGGACGCTGGTAACTAGAATTTTGCTCATCAGGCCAATTCGTTTTAGTCAATGGCGAGACTCTGGCGCCACATACCTGATTGTTCTTCATATGGTCCATTCAGATTCTGGTACAGCGCCCTGAGTCTAACGATCGATATAACGGTCGTGCTGCCACGAAGTTAGCTGAATCTCGCGGCTTAGATGATTGCAACTGTGCCTAGACTCACAATAGACCACAAGCAAAGACCGAAACAAGTATGATACGCTGCTTTCTAGGGATTTGTAGCTTTTGCAGGAATGGTAGTGGGATGATGAGCAACATAAGGTCATTGACAATGTTGAACCCGGCAACCGAATAATTCAGTGCTGGTCTGTCGACGCACCAGCCTTGCAACGAGTCGTCCCAGGCCTTCGCTATCGGAAAACAAAAGAACAACGCAGCGCAGAAAGACATAATTCCGCATGCACAGACCCAAAGAATAGCTGCTTTCATGATTCTAGCCGCAGTTCTAGTTGTGAAGAGTCGTGCAGCTTGGGTTGTGAGAGAGAGCTTGTAGAATGTCTGAGTCAAGTTATAAAATGGAACTGTGACATATAGCGCCTGAGATAATGGTCATCAGTATTGGAGCGATGTATTGTACCATAAAGAGTGAGCGGTAGATGTGATGTACTCACGGCCAGGAAGCTGCCAAGATGGATTGGATTCACGGGTGTGCCAAGTCCCCACCTGATTTCTTCACCGAGCATCTTACTGTCAGCAACGGAAGGCTTCTTTTGAATAGAATATTAACATAAAAAGATTGTTTGACATACGATACATGACAGCCACAAGAAAGCCAACTGAGCAAATCTATGTGCAGGGTGAGCCAAAAATTTCTGAACTGAACTCTGACGAGGAATCTGAAGCCTTCCGTAGTGTGTGTTCAAAGCTGAATCGCTGATGTGTCACGCAAACCAACAGAACAGCGATAGGTTGAGTGCAGCCGTGAAGGTTGGGAAAGGGCCGAGGAACAACTCACCATCGCAGCCGCCATAAGGTAATCATCCCATCCCATCCTCTTCACAATGACTCCTCTCGTGAACAGCCGCAGCCCAACCGCGACAAGAGCTAACGCCGTCCACAGTATTGCGTTCACCACTAGATCATGGCACACATCCACAACCGGCATAGTACCGAGGTACCACATCTTGTGGCCGGTTGCTCCAGGAGAGGATTAAAACGAAATTCTGTATGAAAACAAAAGTGAGAAAGAGATAGATCTACAGTGAAGACACGATATCAAGTCAGAACTGAGGCATACCGGATATCACCGAGCACGGGCTGAAATGGAAAAGAAGCTAAGGCTCTTCCCTTTGATGTATGTTGCAAGACCCCGGGGTCAAAGCCCGTGGGCTGTGGCTTGATCTCGGCTCGAACCTTTGGAAGCAGTCAGGGGCGTCAGAGGCCTGCTGGTGAAAGTCTACCCATGTCTTGCAGGTCCGCGTGCTGCCTTGTGGCATTTCGTAGAGGGCTCTACAGGGAGGGAGGGGGCGAGCGATAATTAGACAGAAGAGGGCCGTTCCGTGTCGACCGCACAACGGGGTGGTCAGAACCTTGGATGGCCATTCAATGGGTGCTTCTAAACGAACACCCGACCCCCGGCCACATTGCGGAACGCCGGTAAGTTGTCTTGTCACCATGCAGTAGTTCTCCCCCCGGCTTTCCGATGCATGGATCTGCAGGAGGGGCTGTCTTCAGGTATCGATTTGGCACCTGATCGAGAAGTGTTTGAAAGGGAAGCTTGCTTCAACAAGTTGACCGAAACCAGCCCCCGGCTCAACGTCAACAGTCGGGTCAATTGCATTACAAATCATCTACCCCTATGAATCCTTACGTGGCCTGGTAATTTTGAGTAGGTGAGGAGAGTATCCTGGAAGATCAACAGTTGTTGCTCCGCCAAGTCCAGCGGGTGTGTGTCGTACAAATCTTACTGCGTGTTGCTGCCAATGAGTTGGTTGTCTGCTGTCCGTCGGAGGCACTTTAGATGGCTTGAATGTTCTGCGGCAATTCTTGATGACTGCTAGAGGTGCTGGCAATCTTTTGCACCGTCAATGACTCCTGGGCAAATTTCTCGGCAGATAGGCTTGTTGATATTTCTCCTACGGAAGGTGAGCAAGATCCATGTGCACTTTAGCTCAGGATGCGATCTGAATCCTTTCCTCAGGTAACCACCGAGTGAAATAAGTAGAAAGACAAGCCGAAGCCGGGGATAATCAACCCCCAGAACCTTCAATAAAGTGCTGATTCATCAGAAGTCACCTTTCAAGGTTGCCGCAGGCATTAGATACACCGTAGTGGGCCCATTTGCAGCTGCAAAGTTGAGACTAAGGCGGCCGGTGAGCAGCATCCTGGGTTACAAGCGTCCTTCTAGCCTTCCATCTTTCCAATCCGCATCAGAGCTTCATGTCGTGCAAAATACGTTGTGGGTAACAGTGCCATCAACAAATCCTGGGGCTGCCCCCGGTATGAGACGGCAAGATGATCTGATTTCCAACGGTGCATGCAGTCAAACCGAAGCCATCCATAATCAGGCAAGTCAGTATGCAGCCCAGGCGGAGTTCTCGTATCAGAAGATCATTGTAGCAATGACCTTCTCGAAATGGTCATTAACCCAGGATTGTTCACTGGCAATCCTTCGTTTGACCATTCTTTTCTTACAAAACTGGTTCTCATTTGCAGCGGTGAAACTCACCCTGAATATGGCATCGATTCCTGGCCTCCGGGGCATTCGCGCGGCACCAGGGGCTGACACATGTGCCAATGAACTTGACAAGTCGTCTAAAATTTGGAACCAGTATAGCGTGGTGCTCGCTTATTGGTACAAATGCAGGCTCTGTGATTGTCCTCCCCGACATGCATGGTTTGTGAGAGCTCACATCGGGGTTTCCCCCCGTTCTCACTGACACGCTTGACACTCGGGCAGCAGTAGATCAAGTCATGATTGAATTCAATTTTCAGAAATCTTAACATGGTGAGAAATCTAGTCTGTATATATGTGACGATGTACAAGTCATCTACTTCGCATAGAGCTCTTGTTGGTCCTCTACAGGAGCGTCAATATGGTTGTTGAATTCTTCAGTCGGATCGAACAAAAATACAGCCGCTGTGCAAGGGATGTTAGCAATTTGACAATGTGAGGTATTTCTGGCGATGGGGTCATACATATAGCGGCAATACTCAAAAAGGGAATTGCGGACAGCCAAACAAGACGAAATGCCGCGGCGTAGGTATCCAAAGCGGCGTCGGCGCCAGCAGAGATGATCGCAGGCGTGGCCCCAGCCACAGTCGCGAGACCAGTCTGGTTTTGTGCAACAATGTACGTGACGAACTCATCTACAGAGCTCGACGGCAAGCCAGCTTCGAGTGCGGCAGACGCAACGTTGCTGGGAATGTGATTGGTTTCGGAGATGAATACGGCGTTGTCTGAACCACAATGTTAGCCATCGCATCAATTCTCACCCGAAATATGTGCGCATCCTTCCTACAAATAGCGATACCAATAGTCCCGCCAAGAGAGCGTATGGAGATCATAATACCGCTAGCAACAGCGATGAGCTCAGGGGGCACGGAAAGCTGGCCGGCTGCAATCAGCGCGATCAGCGTCATGCTGAGCCCGATACCCATAAGAACTGGGAAGCCCCAGACTTCGTTTCTCGTGCTGGAGTTTGTTGTGCTCATGCAAGCGAAGAAAATGACGAAAATCAGAAAAGCGGTGACTGTTATCCAGCGCACTTTCTTCGTTTTGGTGCAGTAGAGACCAACTGCCAAGCTGGCAGGTATATATGTGAGGAACACAATCCCGTAGTTGAGCCCCACGATGAGTGTGTCTGTTGAGTACAAGACATTGACCTAATAGTAATTAGTATGATGACAGGCTTCTAACACTGAGAAGTGGGAAGATCTCACTTGATAGGCGAAGTATTGATTCGCGGCGAAGAAACCGATACCTTCACAAAAGATACAGAGGAGGCTGATGGCAAAGTTGCGGTCCTTCTTGAACAGTCCATGATGAAACATCCCATCCTTCTTGAACTTGTACTCATACACAGACAAAGCAACCGCAAGGGCCAGACCGATGGCAAACGGTGCCGAGACGTGAGGATCAGACCAGGAGTATGGATTCTGCGAGTAGGAGAGCCCAAGGCAGAACAGGACGAGGCCGGCCCCGAGAAGCGCGTAACCAACGAAGTCCAGTTTGGCAACCTTCTCCGCAAACGGTAAACTCTGCAGTTCTCTCTGCGGTGGCCGGTATGCGAAGATGCATATGATACCAGTGGCGAGGAAGAAAGCCATGCCGATGTAGAAGAAGTAACGGAAGCCGTCCGGGTCGCCGCCCCTGTTCAGGCCTCCGCCAATGACGAGACCGCCGGAAAGGCCGAGCGCGTTGGACAGCATGACGATGGACTGCGCCCAGCCTCTCCACGCACGAGGCAGCACCTCGGACACCACTGCATGCAAGAGGGGTTGCATGCCGAATGCAGTTCCGATGAGGCAGCAACCTGCGATGAGCATGTTCATGCTGTTTGCAAGGGCGGTGATCAGGGCACCAAGGGCGCCGGAGAAGCTGAGTCCGACCAGGAACCACTTGCGGCCCCAGTAATCAGCAGCCTGGCTGACTATGGGGCCGAGCACGACAGTGAAGATTGCCATCGACCCAGAGAGCCATGACGACTGGGTCGGTGCGTTGAACTGAGCTGCGATAGATGCACCTTGCTATGCGGCCGGTCAGGCATGAGCGGACAGAACGTTGGGTGGAAAGGATGGGACTTACAGCGCCAGCTCCAACTAAACAATATACTTGGGCGAAATAGATTCCAAATACAGCAAAGACGGCTAAGAATGTCTTCGCGTGGAGATGAGGTTTGGGTTCTTCGCCAACTTCGTTCAATGCCGTGTTGTGGTTGTTGGCAATATTTCCCACGGTGCTGTCCTTTTCTGATGCAGATGATGGGGCATCCCCATGGATTTGTGGACTATTTTCGCCAGACGAACCCATTTTGATGGCGGACATGGAAGGTCAAAAAGTCTGTAGAGGTTGAGTCCAAGAGTGCCAGCTTGACGGGTGTGGGAGGGGGAATTCGCGGCTAATCACGTCTGATATCACCCTGAGTCTAGGAAACACCGGCAATTAGCTTTTTGTTCTCCAAGTCATGATCGAATGAAAAGATTGAGCGGCTCTGCTGCAACATAGATATGAGGTGAGATTTTGGGACAGGCGGAGAGCTTCCGGATCTCCCTCAACTCGGATTCCTTCATCGAAGTCTCGGGGCCGAAAATTCCAGTCTGAATTGATTGCAAATCACCGGCGGACGCTCAGTAATGGTTCCATGTCCAATCTGAAACCTTCTGTGCATCCCACGCCATCTGGCGGCAGGGTCTAGAGGCGCCGTTGCACTGCAGGAATCCCGGAAACTCCATGTGCATCTTGAAGTCGGCCAAGGCGTGGTCTCGTTTTCGTTTGCATGGCCGCTAATTCCAAACTTGGCCCTCCGGACCGAGCATGCTATCGAGGTCGGGAATATCGAAAGATGTTCAGAAGCCTCGTCGATCTATGGATATGTGTGATGAGACAAGGACCGGCCGCAGCTGGACTAAGCTATGCAAGGGTCGACGTATGGGTCTTGGATTAAAGTAGGAAGGAACTTGACCTCTTACTGTGTATGTAGATATAACATATCACTTTGACTTCGCCACACCGTGCCACGTGCAGCACGTGAAAGCAGGCCCATGAGCTGTATTAACAAGAGCAAATGGCAGAAACCAGATGCCAAAGTCCTTGTAATACGGACGCCCATGGTTACACCGTTCGTTGTGGAACCGGGCACAACATGACTGCAGTGGGTATTCAACAAATGATTGAGGATCGAACCAAGCGCCCCGAAATCTTTGCCAAGCTGTAGGATTGTTACCCCTGCAGCGTACACTCCCGGGGACTACGGAGTAGACTACCAGACTATGCGAAGCGATTCAGGTTCACCTCCGACTGCATCTGCATTGAGGGGCTTGATGGATGCGTGCACAGCATGACTTGGAGAGGCTCGGAACTCGAGAAGAGGAGCAAGAGGAGAGAATCTGCGGAATTTTTAAAAGCCGGAGAGCTAATTTGCAGTATCTTTGTGAAGAGCAGCCTGGCCATGTCATGAAACCGGGGCCAGCAATCTCTCAATTCACGCAATCTCCTTCCTGCTGCAGAGTCTGAATGGTTACCTGTAAACCGCTCCTATAGCACACGCCCAATTTTCTGCTCAAACCCTCGAGTTCCCTGTCTGACACAAGCACCTTCGCAAGTTTTTGCTCGGTAGACCTCCTGCTGTGGAATTGCGGGCGGCGACGCGAGCCGGCAGCCTTTCAAACCTTGCGATGCAATTATACCATAGCTGCCGCTCTTTGGGAATTGCCTACGCCTTTCATTCCGGGTCATGCCTGAGCGTGTTTCTGCAATACGGGAGATCCGTACCGAGCTGGACTTGAGTGGCCATTCACTGTCTGCCTGCTGCGAGGTCGCTTTACTGTGGTTTCTGCCACACGAGATGACGCCCTCTAATCGACCTGCCATGCTGGAAGATACCCATAAGTGTATTGTCGTCGACCTTGAAGATGCCCGGCCAAAACGAGTTCGGCGGCTGCACGGTCTCCGCTGGCTGGTGAAATTGGATCCGTCCATGCACCGGCGGGCCTGCAAACACGGCCTTGATCTTCGCACTGCTGGGCCAGGAGCGTTCGCGTTCTGGCGTGTCCTCGTCGGTCATGAAGACCACAGCAATGGAGCCGTCACCGAAGGCCTCAATCTGGGGGCTGCCGGCGTGACGCCCGCGTGGTGAGGGTTCGTAGACGACTTGTCTCCAGCCCCAGGTGTACCCATCGTCGTACGAGAGGACACACTCGATCGAGAAGCAGCGGTTGTGCCTCGTAGTCTCGAACACCATCACGCTCACCTCCCGTCCTTGGTCCATTGTGCGCACTATACCGGTCACTGCGAGATCTTAGGTCAGCAAGTCCAGTCCTGCAGGGCATAAACAAACAAGAGCCTCCGAGCTGTTTAAGGAGGGCTCGCCCTGGCCCCCGGCAGCCTGCGCCATTCAGAGAGGACACTTGCACCTCTGTTCCCAAGGAATGGCGACCATAAGACCACACAGAAAGGAAAAGTTTCTGTCTGTCACTCACTTCCATCCCGTAACTGCTCGCCAACACCCGTTACCGCCCTGGGTGGGGACCAAGTCTTGCCCTGGTCGTTGGAGGTAAGAAACATAGTGTCCTGGTCGATATCGCACAGCTCCTGGCTGAAAGTCATCTGGATCTCGCCCCTCCTGCCCATGCGCATGAACGGCTCCCAAATGCCATTGGGCGCCGTGGGCTTCTCAAAAGCCTGCGACAGGTAGGTCCAGTCCTTGCCGCCGTTGAACGACTGGCACACGGTGATGCGGTACCAGCTGTGGCCGCCGTGGGGGCCAAAGTCATGGTTCCGGAAGGCGGCCAGCACCTTGGGGCGGCCGATGCCGTCCGGGGTGGGCACTTCGAGCAGGAAGAGGTTGTCACAATCCCTCACGCAGCGGTCGACAATGCCGTGCGGGTGGAATGTGGCGCCGTTGTCCGTGCTGCGGTGCACGTCTAGAACCCGAAACTGCACCTTGGGGTTGGCGGGGTTGGGCTCGAAGCGTGTGAAGCCCATCAGAATAGAGCCATCAGACAAGCGGCACATGCGTGGGTAGGTGCCGCCGTTGGCGTGCAGCACGTGTTCTCTGTCCAAGACGCGCCCGGTGCCGCCATGGTCGAACAGCACCGGCGGCGGGTGCATGTAGTCAAAGCCGGCGCCTGGTTGGCTTGGGGGTTGCTGTGCTTGGTTCTGGGCGCGCTGGCCCTGGCCTTGGTGGAGCAGGTCACCGACCCCAAGCTTTCCGGCGATTTTCTGGGCGAACTTGTCCATGTCGAGTCTGAAGCAGTTTGGATTGAGGATCGAAACGGTGATAACCACAAGCAGAATGTATGTTGCGCAGACCAGTTTCCTGACAGTGAAGTCCGAGACACTCCGATACGGCCTGGTGGAGCCACGGAAAGGAGGCGGTGTTGGAGACCATGACGTCGTTCGAACTCGACCCATCGGGGCTGGACCATTGCACTCCCAAGCTGTAGACGCCCAGCCCGATGTCATGTACTACTCGGTAAAAAGCCCAGTATGAGACACTCGTTGGTCTCGTGAAATCATGGTCGTCTGGACAGACATGTTGTTGGGTATCTAGATATTTATTGTTTGCTGTCTGGTCCTGCGCTTCGGGACTTGCTCTCCCGTCGATCTGCAGGTCCAACGTTCAACCCCTGACAATCCACACCTTAGCGTTGTCCTCCACTGGAACGAAGGTCGGAAAGACCTGAGAGGGAAGGTGATGTAACTGATAGACAAGGGCCATCCACTGCCATTGAGAAAGAATTGCGTGACGGATTTCTATGCTCGTCTACTCTATCACAATCGTCGTCTCAGCTCAGGCCCTCGAAATCTACCTGGGCCCACACTTGTGAGACATTTTTTTTCTGGAGAAATTCTCTCGGGAAAACATCCTCCAGTAACACAAAGGTGGATGAAAAGACATGTCTTCATAGCACCCCTTAACTCTCGGCAAAGACATTCATACGTTATTGCTTAGACGGGCCGAGAATGAAAGTCATGACAGGGTGTAGAAAATGTCAGCGTCTGAAGCCGGCTGAGCGCGACCCGGACCTCATAATCACCTGACGCCAAACAACAAGTTACCCCCGAGTACCATGTGGCAGTGGCCGTCCACATGTAGATGGGGACACAAGAGGGAGCAGCTTGCACAAGCTGATGCGGCTGGATTGCAGAAGCACAAAGCTAGACAGCCATTCTCAGTTGATCTGCAAAGTTCGATGAGTAGCTGGCGACGTCGGATCGATAATTGTGACACTCGGCCAATCTTTCAGTCTCGCAAACCATGGCTTGCCAATTTTTTTGTCAGTGAATTGTAAGCCTGAAAAAAGGTCGACAAGAGAGCGATGGGTTCCGACACGTCATGAATCTCTGTGATCTTCAGTCAGCATCAGTCCTGCTGATTACCCAGCCCTTTGACAATCAATGCCTGTCGCAATGTCCTCATATTGTGAGATGCTCGCGAGGAGGCTGTGGCATGTGCGCTGTGATCCAATCGTCCGGGGAACGAGCGGTTTTGTCCTTCCGAGGGGGATGGTCAAACGTGATGTTCGCACTTCTGAGGTTGCGTGGCTGTCTTCCAGAAAGTGGTTCACTGAGCCGCACGCTACCGGTTTGGTTTCCAGCCCGACCAGCCTGAGACCGCTGAGATGGGTCTGCGGCGGCTTGATAAGGGTTTCCTTTGATCGACGAACCCACTCTTTCCCAGTAGGCTGTGGACCGTCCACTTCCCCGAACCAAAAACAGAATGTTATCCCCCCTTTCGCCACGAAGCACCGTCTAACCGCTTGGAAGACATCTTGTGTTGACGAGTTGATGGTAGAAGATTAGTCTTCTCTCGATGATGAGCTCATGTCCCACAGACGAGTATCCTGCTGCAAGGCGTCAATACAAGTAAATAATGTCTCATTCAGCGCTTGCTGAGACTGGCATGAGTAAATCTCAGGCACAGGGCGAGGACTGGAATAGCTAGTCAATAAGCCAGGTCGTCGAGTTGATGCTCCAGTTGATAGTTGATGCACTCTCGTCAGTCATCGACGGATCTGCCCGGGCTGCGGAGTGTGGCGCCACAGGTTTCCTGATCTGACTCGACGCGTTCTCTCGCCCGTGTAATCTCCGAAGCAGACTAGGCAAATACGACGGGTTGAGTCCCGCAACGCGCCTAGTGTTTTATTCCCGCCGGCACTGGACACGACAAAGATGAGGATCTCAGGTTTGTGGATACTGCGTGGCCTCGTCCGTGATCTGGATCGTGTTTGGATTTGGTTAAACAGAAGGCAGAGTGGGTTGCGAGGGTAAGCAGCAGGCAGCTGAGTGGCCAGAGCGACAGAGGGCAGATGGCAGGGGACATCGCCTGGCGGCGAGAGTGGGTCACTGTGGGTCCCTGGCGTGTGCCTCCCGTCTGGGGAAGCGGGGAAGCACAACGCTAATCGACCCACTGCATCCGCCTGTAAGTCCAAAGGGGCAAGGGGTCGTGCTGGCTGGCTGGTTGTCATAGGGGAGCATGTCAGCACCGCTGTGAGGATGAATCTCAACTGCTGTAGATGCTATGGAAGTGCAGCTCAGGGAGCTGTTCAGTGAGCAGTGTACAGCGAAGAAATAGCATATCCAGCAGATGGCCTCAGCAGCAGTCAGGCCATCTCAGGCCCCATCTGGCGCCATGAGCGCGGTGCTGCAGCGGATAGCGCATTATGGCATGATGCCCCTATGCACCGACACGACCCTGACGTCGACAGCCGGGTCTTGATTGGGCAGGCCGTGCCACTGGACAAGCATGCTGCTGCTACATGACCCCGCTTTCTTGGGCGAATTGGCCTGGGGAAGGGGCCTTGACTGCCCAGTGCACACACCCACACACAGCTGCCAGCATCCTGGGGGCTGTGAGTTGAGAGGGAGAGACACAGAGACAGAGACGAGACGGGACGGGCACCAGCAACGAGTCTTGTTGTTGGAGTTGTTGGAGAGTGATGGATGCTTGCCTGGGCCGTGTCCAGCTGACCACCCCAGCTGCCAGGGGAGGTAAACGCAATAAGAAGACCAATATCCTGCATTCATCGTTCATGATCGTTTCTTGCTCTTGTCACACGAGAATCAATTCATCCTACAATTCACACATTCGTCCGTCGCCATCATAGACGTTAGATCATAGACAAGATATAGAGATCGCTGTTGTCGAAAGCTCAAGGCAAGTCACTCACTCCCCTCCTCGTTCTCCAGCATCCGTCACAGCCGTCCGTTCCCATTCCCCAGCCATTTCCCCTCATGTTCGTTCGCTCCAGCTCCTCTCTCCTCATAGCTACGAGGTCATCAAGAACATTCGCCAATCAAGCCCCTTGAGACCAGATACTGGGCTTCATAACTCCTCAACCCCTTTCCTGATACCAGACACTCCTCCATAAGCCGTCAACATATCTCACAATCACCTCGAAACACGATCAGGACTACTCTACCCGATCCTAATCTAACACTAAACAACAGTTCTTCTAACTGGTACCGTGAATCCAAAGCCAGACATCACTAGCATCACCCATCAACCAATCAACACCCACCACCCACCACCAACAAAAAACCAACATGCCCGTCCGCATCCCCGCCGCCCGCTCAACAGAGCTCCTCACCTTCGCCGGTGCGGGCGCCTTCGTCCTGACCCCGCTGTACATGCTGATGCCGGGCGCGACGGAGCGCATGGCGACGCAGACGGCCCGGTGGGCGCCCCGCTGGGAGCGCAACATCGGCTACTTTGCCGCCCCCGTCGAGCGCACCACCCAGAGGATCGCCCAGCCCGTCGAGCGCACCGTCAAGCGCATCGACAACCGCCTGCCCCTCGACAGGGTCGCCCGCGGCGTCGACAGCCGCATCAAGAGGGGCATCGACCGCGCCGAGGGCATGGTCGGGTGGATGCCGGCCCGGAGGTCGTGAGGTGTTTTTGTTTGTGGGGTGGGTGACAGCAATCAAATGATATGAAATGAAATGTATTGAATCAATCGGTTTGTGACGGATGATAGTTGGGACCTGCATAGGTTGTATGTTGTGACGAGTCTCATGGTGGAGTTGGATGGAGGCTCGAGAAAGAAATATTCGTCTCGTCGCCTGACCTTTGTCAAATGGTATGGGGGCTCACCCCACGGTAGTTCCAGCATTGGATTGGACTACCCTCACTGTCTTGAACATACGCTCCGGACAGGGCCATAGCTGACTCAAATAAATCATCGTCAAATCATCCCCTTTACTGTTTGCCTTGCTCAAGTGCCAATAACCTAGCGCTTGCCCGGCCCGCGCTCTGAGACGTGCCCTCCTTTGATACAAACATTCTATTCTTTGGTCATGAACCTTGATATACTCTGTTCACACACACACAACTATAGTTCCTCTCCTATGGCCTGAGTCAGCAACTCAACGTGAGAACAACGAACTCGTTGTTACCGTCATCGCCGTCATGTCCTGACCCACCACACGCGCCCAAGAATCACACAAAACTTCACAGCAGATGGGGACATAGGACATATACATGAGCGAGGAGGCCATAGGTAGCCAGGTGATTTCATTCAATTACAACCCCATCAACAAGCCACTATGGCTGGTGGCCCGGACCTGTAAAGTTCAATCACGTTCCATCATCCATACAGGTTCCGCCGAACACAAGCTTGCTTGCTTTCGGTCTCCTTCCCTGCAGAGCATACTCGTACAAGATTCATGCCTCCTGATAAGCCTGTCGTAGAGGCAGCAATAGATGTTGGAGATAGAAAATTCGCACAAACACCGAAAGACCAAATAGGCCGACGCCTTGATCGCCGTCAGACAAAGTTCCCAGTCGAGTCTCACCATCGACGACGAGAGATAGCACAGCCCAGGCCGAACCAAGCAAGAAGCATTCACTTGCCAGTGACCAAATACCCCAGCACAACGCCTGGTGACGGGAGAGAATACCGCGGTGTACAAAGCACTACGGGTAGACACCAAGCATCGAAAATGACTCCAACACGTACGAATTTTGAACACAACGGCCGTGTCTCCTTTCCATCCCTCGTGTGTCCGTTGCCAACAGATGCCTTTGCCGATACGAGAAGCCTCCCGACAACGCCAGAGCGGGAACGCCAGTCAATAACACCATGAGGTCTCTTCCGAGCGAGCCCTCTACTTATATGTTTGCGTGAAGAAAACGCCAAAATCAAGAGAATCGCTTATTTGGGGGCAGGAGCCCTACGACCGTCAGAAAAATTAAGGTTCTCCCCACAGGGTCGCAATCGAAAGGTGAGGGACGAACTCACACTCCGCCTCCCATGAACGCGGCAAGATCGTCCAGCTCGAGTAGTTGACGCTCGAAAGCCGCACAGAGTTCTACCGGCGTCATGTCGACTCCAGAGCCACCGCTCTCCTTGGCAGGCGGAGGGGCTGATCCCGAGCCTCCAGCGTTGGACCCATTAGACGCGGGAACTGGGGAGTCAGGCTTGTATTCCGGCTTGACGTCCTGAGGAGCTGCTGGTGGAGAACCCAGAGCGGCGGGAGTAGAGCCACCGGCAGAACCTCCATTAATAGTGGTCACGCCGGCTGGTCGAGGTCTCGGAGGCTCGCTGTCGCGGCTATCCATAGGTGCCGGGGGTGCAGCTTGTGGTAGATCCCCTGGGGAGGAGACACGTGGAGCACTGCCCTGGGGTGCGGACTGAGAGGTACCTGAGGCTGGCGCCTGCTCGTAGTCCATTTGTTCGTGGTGGGCATCAGCACGGCTCACTCTCTCGTCCTTAACGGATGGCGATCGTTGAATTTGCATGCGACTGTCCTCGCTCACTCTCTCCTGATCGTCTCCAATATTAATGTCGTTCAGGACTCGGCTCATAACGCTCAAATGCCGGTGCCATGGGAGGACCAGGTTCCATGACTCTGCGCCGTCCTTCATGAGATGGAGGCACTTATCTACCATGAGATGAATGGAGTCATGCGTGTGAGGGGGTGACAGCCCTTTAAGGGCAAGATATGCCACGGTTGAGCCAGCTGTAAAGCCGGAGAACAGCATGAAGATTGGTAGGCAGCACACTGCCGTAGGCTCGGTGGCCCTCTCGAGAGCCGTGAGCATGGATATGATACTGTGAGAAGACTCCAGAATGCGCTCCACATATTGCATCTGACTCTGGCTCGACATGCGCCACGCGTCCATGCTGAAGTTCTCCGAGGTAACGATCTGAAGTATACGACGGCGGTTGATGAAAATGGATGCGCAATGCAAAAGGAGGTGTATCATGGCATAGGTGACGCCACTACCCATAGTAATATGAAGTTCCATCTGGCCTGGTCTGTCGGCAAAAGGATGAGGGAGGTTAGCCCGGACCTGAGCGACCTTGACTTCCAGCATTTGGCACTGCTCCTCGCTGAAAGTTTCGAGTGTGGTGGTAGTCATCATCTCCACAACCATGCGCCACGCCTCGGTAGCTAGGACGATGTGCCCAAACTCGCCGACCGGGGCCATAATGGCGGAATTGGTAGCCGCGGGAGGCGCACTTCCGTCCAAAGTTCGCACGAAAACAGGGTTGCCGAAGTTGAAGTTCATGTCTTCGCATGGAAGTGCCACATCCTTGACGTCGAGTGCTGACAGGGCGGGAAAGCGGCCCGGGCTGCTCGTCAGGAAGCAGTCAAGGATGTAGATGAGCCACAGTGTCCGACGGAAGGACTCCTCCTGGAGGAAACGGTCTGGATCGGTTGAATGACCGTTGGAATGGACAACACGGTACATCTGGGCCATGCGAGCAGCTTGGCCGAGGTAGATGTACGCGCGGACAGCGCTTCTAGAGCCCCACTCGTGGATGACCATCAAGCAGAGAGCCTGAATATCTGCCAGGGTAGGATGATCGAGCGACAACCAGATGAAGTTGCTGGCCTTGAGACCAAAGTGCTCGGCTGCCTGAGAAGAGCCCTGGCCCCTTCCAAAGCGCTGGATAAGGGTCGGCGAGTGTCTGTCAGAGTGGTTCTTGGTCAGCGAAACGGAGTGGATTCCGGCCGAGTAGGGTAAGTCCGTACCGAGCAGCAGTGCACAGGAGTGCATTGACCATGACGCTGTCAACGCCATTGTTCCTGAGGGACTGGATGAAGGATGGCCGGTGGAAGGCCACACATGCTGGCAGGACCTTATTGATGACCCTCTCACACTGTTCAAGCATGTCCGGGCCGAGCCTGTTTGAATTTGAGGTTAGTGGTCATGGTTGCCAATATGATGAGGACACCCGAGTGAGAACGAATGAGTCTGCTTGGTCTGTGATGCTCGACCTGTCTGTCTCGACTGCGAGACATGCAAACCCATGGGAGGAATCACGATGTGGTCGCAGTCTGGTAACTGAGGCTATGCACATGGACGCTTCCAGCTCTTAGCCGCGGCCGATGGCCACCGGGCCTTGTCCGGCAGGGGAATGGCGCGGAAAAGTGGAGATGGGCCGTGCACAGAGGCAGGCTGCTCCCGCGCCAGGGAGGGTGGTGTTGTGGGATGCTGCCCCGGAGCATCAAGTGTCGGAGCTATGACCTCCCAGGATGAGGGTGGGTTCGAATATTGGATGCTGCGTACCGGAACTAGCGGCAGCTCCTCAGGCTCAGTGCAGAGCAGGGAAGCAGGGAAATGAGATTGAGATTGGGGCTAGGCCGGAGAGAAGACACGGGTGCAAGAGTCCACCTTGATACGATCCATCATCTCGGATCCCTTGGACCACGCGAGATGCTGTCAAATTGTAAAGGAAAGATGAACATGATTTGCAAGTTGAGTGAGAGCGTTTTTTGTGCGTCTTGAAATTCTCAAGAAGGGGGCCAGCCAACGCGACGGAGAGGTGCCGAGCTGGGGTAAGGTAGACCCAGCAGCAGTCATGGGCGTAGCCCGGCGGCGACGGCGAATGCGACGCAAGGGATGCAAAGTGGTAGACAGGACACACGCAGTGCGCAGTAGATGATAGGAGATAGAGGGAACAGGAGAACAAGATGCATGAGCAAGAACATTGAAAAAAAGGTAGACGTACTTTTCTGTTGCAGGTGCCGAGTTACGCGAGGCGACTGCAGTCGGGTGTGCAGAGCCGTGGCGGTCGCCGGTGGCAGCTCCGGATGCTCGCTCGCTGGGCAGAGTCTCGCGTGCGCGAGCTGCACGCGCAGGAGAAACGCCGTGTCCACCATGGCTCATGGACTCAGATGGTAGGTAGCATTCGTGCATTCCCTTGGAGCAGTTCTTGCAGGGCGCGCGGCCATTTTCGTAGACGCATTTGGTCTTGCCTTTGCGACAGCGCACGCAGGCGCCGCCGGCTCTGAGGGCCGTCGCGCGGACAGCCGACATGCTGACTTGAGGCCGGTTGGGCGGGGTGATGCGACGCGAAGTACTTGCTGCTGGTTGACAATGTGTCTGCAGGTGGTTTGCAGCTTTGGTCGAGGAGCCAGCTGCTCGTCAGTCGAAGTTGTGGTGTTGGTGGTGGTGTCTCGATGCCAACAAAGTTTGGTTCGGAGATCCGGGGAACAAGAGGCGCCAGAGTCCGGGTGTTTGAGCCCGACGGCAAGGGATGCGACTGGAGGTTTCTGACGCCGCAGATGAGGGAGTGGGCCGACCAAATTCAAGCAAGAGAAGGGAGAGGAGGAAGGAGACAAGACCAGATCAGGTCAGGAGGGAAGAGAAGGGGAAGAAGGGACGGCAGCCGAGGAGGATGGGTGGATGGATGACAATGGGCAGGATTTTTGCCTTCGCACGGAACGGCGAGACAAGATGGTGGCTTTTTCGGGGCGGTCGGTGAATGGGGGAGGGGAGGGAGGACGGAAGGCAGGGCAGGGCAGGGCAGGGCAGGGCAGGGGCAGCTGGGCAGGGCAGCTGAACAGGGCTGGGCTTGCTGCTGGCTGCCCAGGTGGACTGGACTGGACGGGACTGGGGAATGTAGAAGATGCAGGCGGCAGGTGGGCTGAGAGGGAGAGAGAGAGAGAGGGAGAGAGGGAGGAGGGTGGTAGTCGTGGTGGTAGTGGTAGTGGTAGCGGTATTGGTGGTGGTGGCCGACACAAAAAGAGAGAAGCGGCAGCTCTCGGGGTGGGTGGGAGCTGGACGGTGGTCGTGGCGCTCCACAGGCATCCGAGATTCATGGATTTCAAGGATCTCATGGATGGGCTGACTGGGCTCGAATGGGGGGACATGGCAGGGAGCCCAGAGCGCGCTACGGTGTCCGTGGTCCCGAGAGCTGCTTCCTGATGGCTGCCACTCTGGGGGAAGGGGAAGGTCCCGCGCGGGTGTGGCAGGCTGCCTGAAGCCTGAGGCACGTCGGGGGCGCTCATTTCCCGGCCGGAGCACCGAACGCTGGCCTCTCTTTCTCCCTTGGTCTTGCAGCGGGCCAAATCCATCAAAGAGCCATCGAATAAAGACACTCGCTCTTCCATAGACTCTTTGCACCAGTCCTTGGTCCGTCTCATTTCAAAACCAAGCCTTGTCTGCCACTGCAAGAACGGAAACGGCAGCAGGAGGGGGGTGGTTGCCCCCAGATCGAGGACAGCAGGCACGGCAACCGGGCTGGGAAGGGACACGACCGGGAGATCGGGGCAGGGGCGTGGGCGTGGGCGTGGGCGTGGCCAAGGGCTGGCCTAGACTGGGCTTGGGCTGCGACTGCTTTTGCTCCTTTTCTGTGGGGCCACCCGCCATTCCAGTCCGTCTCCGTCCCACGTCCACGTCGCTGCCGTCTAGTCTGATCTGTCTTTCAGTCTGTCTCTCTGCCGCTCGCTCGACCTGCTCTTTTCCTACGGTATGCATTTCTGATGTTATTGTACCTCTAGAGTACACAATACTTAGACTACCCAGGTAACTGCCTGGGTAGGCAGAGAGATGGGGCAATGACTGGATCAGAATGGAAAATGCAAAACGGAAGACCGTCCGTCAGTCCTGTCGTGAGCATGACGGAGCTGACAAAAACAGCCACAGCCCACTGCCGTCCAGCCCGTTCCAGTCCGTCCGTCCAGTCCCTTCCGCCCCTCCTGTATGCGGCCATGCTGCTGCTGCTGCTGCGTACTGCTCTTTTTTTAGACCCCGGCAGCTCGACTGCTCTTTCTCTGCCATAGGTGCATGGGCAGTGCCGCGTCTCATGTCAGGTCAGGTCCTCGCAGATGCAAACGAGAACAGCCTCGCACCTCGGGCCGCAGCGCAATATGTTATGGTGTCATGGTGTGCAGTGCAGATGATGGGGTGGCCACTGGCCAGCACCCAGGTCCGGGGGATTTCCCTCCTCGCCTCCCTCTCTCTCTCTCCCTGGCCACGCACCTCGACATCATCCTGCATGTCACGTCCGGTCAACCCAGAAGCTGCAAAGACTTTACAAAGCAATCCCATCACCCCATCACGTGTTGTGTCTTTCCTTCCGTGAGTACTGAGGGCTTTGAACAGGTACTCAAAACGTTGTGGTTGTGGTTGTGAGCGGACACGAGACCACGGTGGCTCGAAATTTGTGCCTTGGGCGATGGCACCTGGCTGCTCCCTGGCGAGATGACATTGGTCCGTACACGACATGATGATCGCTGGCGAGTCGGGTCGGCCCAGCCGGTGCGGTGCCAGTCATCGGGTTTCAAGCTTTGCTCCTCCTGCCTGGCCCACCCCGTCTCTGTCCCCGTCCACTGTCGCGACTGTCTCCCCCTCCCGTCGCCACGCAGCCACGCGACATTGCCAGCTCCATTCGCTTCTGTAGATTCCATACTTTACGGGGGATACGGACCCAGTCAGCCATATCTCAGGTTTCAACTCTTTCTCGTACTTTCCGGCGTGGCGTGCTGTCCCAGTCGGTTCGGGTCTTGTCGAGGCTTGCCAAGCACGGAGCCCACACGACGCGCCAACGACCAACAGCCAGCCAGACTGCCAGTCGGCGGACAATCAGTCTACCCATCGCCCATCGCCTCACCCACACCCACACCACGTTACATGCACAGGCTCTGATAATTACAGTACCAAGCTCATTGCCGCCGGAGCGATGGTGCCGCTCCAGATTCACACCGGCCACAGATCCGTTTCTTCAAGTGTCTCACATCCCCCAATCTGCTCCGATTTGCTCGCTCACCGGCCCAACAACCAGACGATGAGACGTCACCGCACTGGCACCGCACTGTACGTAGAACTGCAGCGGCGCCCCTCGGAAGCTAGTGGAACCGCCGAATGAGAGCGCTCTCGACGCGCGACTCGCTCTCTTTCCCTGGCCAGCCTGTTCATGCGCATGCGCCGCCGCGCCCACTTTTTGCGACCGCCTCCTTTCCTTTTCCTTCCGGCTGCCCGCCGACCGAGCCGGCTTGTCGCTGGCCCCCAGCAGATGGAAGCTGGGCCTCATGTACGACAGAACCGCTGATGACGACTATTGCAAGCTCCAGAACCAATGACTCGCTGGGGTAGTAGCAATGGTTCCGGTGAGATCCCACAGTGAACCTTGAGGCGCAATGCAATGCGAGGCACTGCCGAAGGCAGTCCGCGCCGAGTCTCCCGGAGCTGAGCTTCTTGTGCTCCGACACACGAGACAGCGTTAAGGGGCTGATCTGCCGTCAAATTCAATCCTGCAACGTCCAGCCTCCAATTTCTAAATTAGAACACCTGTCTGCACGTACCGTCTGTACATATAGGATGTCCTCTCGCTCATGCAAGACAAGATCGGCCTTTCTTCGAGCCCTGAGTGCGGCTTGAACCATTGAGCAGGCAACATCGTGATTTCGCTGCCCTCGTTACAAGGGCCCAGAACATCGGAAGCCGCGCTAGCCCGACACCGCTCGATCAAGCTGTTTCCCAGTCGCCAAGGTCTGATGATCCCGGGGAAAGCTCCGGCTCGCCCAGTCCACCACCCCATTCGAGCACTCGGATGACCTCGGGGGAACGCAAATGCCCCCGCCCCCCTTCATCATGGAACGAACAAACAATGGACGAAGCTAGCGGGTGCGCACGGATGGTTACACAAATGCTGGATCTCAAGTCGTTCACTTCCGGTGAATGACCAACCGACGTCCAGCGCGGAACCAAGCTGCCCCGTAGGCACGCGACAGACACTTTCGGCAGGGCAGGGATGACTGGGAGGAATCACTCCCGACATTCCACCGCTGAGTCTTCGGCACCCTGCATCAAATCCGTTTCTTCTGGCCGGCGGCGAGCTCCGGCACGGCTTTTGCTTTTGCTGCACGCCTTTCCCAGTTTTGAGGCGTGATAACGTCATAGTCAGCCTTGGATCTCACCTTTGCGTCTTAATCCGGCGCAGGTGTGTTGGGGGGATCGCTCGCTACAGCGATAATCGAGACGCCACCGTCTGCAATCTCATGTTTAAGTGTTTGGTGAGATGAGTCCGTTGGCCCAATCCTACAGTAATCAGGGGGCTACATCAATAGGCGCCAACCGTGAAAATTGCTGTCAATAAGTTGTAGCTGAGGAGGGTGGACGAAAACTTGGTTCCCGAATTATCCGGGCCGAGCTTCGCGGCACCATCAGTGCGTGCATGCCCGATGGGAAACATCCAGCCTGGCCGGCGTTTACATGAAGTGTGCTCAGCTGGAGCAGGGAATCCCAACAACCAGCGCTTGAGTCCCAGGACTTGCAGGCCCCTAATGCGTTCCTGGCACATGCAGGTACTGATCACGCTTCCCTGCGCGACAGGCGCGTGTTCGAGCCTCTGGAAACGTGGGTTATGCGCCTAAGCGCTCATTGTCGACCACAGATGTCCAAGAAGTCTTGGCCACGCAACGCCTCCTTCCTTTGATATCACTTGAATCTCTCTGCCTGAAAAGCCAGCCAGCTGACTTGTAGTATTTCACATGCTCTTCTAGAGTCACATGAAGGAATGTGGTAATGACAGCGATTTCAGCCGATGTCCAAAAAAGACAACACGCAAGTCTAATAATTTCTTGTGTGGCCAGTGCCAGTATAGTCTACCAAGACGTGATGAATCATGTCGTAACGAATTTGAAAGGGGAGTCACCCAGACCCTCTGAACGCATGTTGGTCACGTAACTTTGGAGGCTCAGTCCAGGCAACCTGTGCACAATAATAGCGGTTCATTCCCAACGGGACTTAGAGTCTCGCGCCGTCCTGGCTCACTGGTACGAGCCGACTAGTGTTCGCCAGTGTGGGCTAAATAGGGCCGGCACGATAGGGACATTCAGCCCTAATCAATCCCTCTTCAGCATAATGCTCTGGGAGTGGCCAACCACATGGCGATGTTCTTGTAGAGCAGATCCCCAAGGAGAACCTGACATGACCACTTGTGTTTGCTTCACTCGGAAAGGGGCGTAGCACCAAGACATGTGTGCCGCTGGCCCTGTTTGCTCCGGACTAGACTTGAAATAGATTTGGGGATCTGCACGCGTAAAGGCCCAAAAGAGGTGACTTGTTCCGGAACAATAGTGTTTCTAGGATGGTAACATCTTATTCGGGAAATGCTTCGGAGGATCGAGGTCCCTGACAAGAACGTATTGCTTGTTTGTATTACTTCTTTGCATCAGCGTTGCTGAAGCATCTCAAAGTCAAAAGGTTGTGCTCACTGATCTCGTAGAGTTACGCATTGAAACTTGGCAACTACCTTGGGAACAGTTCAAAACAGGACTTGGCTTACGTACCGCTAGCCAAAACTCTACGATGCATCGGTGCATTTGAAATTCCGCTTATGAGTCGAGATCGTTCGACTGCCTCATGAAAAAGATGCTCCCCCCAAGTCAATCCCCAAATATAAAATATACAAGCTTCAGTAGAAATCCAAAGACTGAGTACCCATTCAAACAAACCTCCGTTGTGTAAGGAATCTACCCCACAGGCCGCTCCGGATCTAAAAGCCACGCCAACTCCAAAAACAACCTATACAAATATAGCCCCTGGTGCACCGGCGTGAGCGCGCGGTGGTACCACTTCCTGCCCTCCTCCGCGATACGGAAGGCGATCTCCTGGCCCTCGTCGGTGGTGGCAAGGAAGCGCATCAGCTCGGGCAGCTCCTCCATGCTCTGGCTGACGGGCACGTAGTGCAGCCAGGGGATGAGGCGCTCGTCGTGCCACTCCTTGAAGATGCTCATCTTGAGCGGCGTCGTGTGGCCCGCCAGGTGCTTGTGGAAGCGCCCGCTGTAGCTGTTGCCGTCGATGTCGAACGCGAACCGGTACTCGTACGGCTGCGTCGGCCCCTGGTCGCTGTGCTCGTTGATCCGGAAGAACTTGGTCTGCTGGTCGCATTCGTCGTCGTCACACTGCATCGCCGCTGAGATGTGCACGTCATACAGCGTGCGGTTGATCTCGGGCGTGCTGAACGCCCGCCAGGGGTCGCTGGCTGGCCCTGTTTTGTTCGTCGGCTGCAGGTACGTGTAGTTTTGGCCCCTGGTGTGCATGTTGACCAGGATCGCGAGCCGCTGGCGGTGACCCTGCCGCCATTGGGTGTCTTTGTGCCAGTGGCCACCGGTCGTCGACCCGTGCCAGAAGACGGCATTTTTCTTTTCGTGCCATGGTTTGTCAAGTATCCCGTTGTAAAGATTGTAAGGGAAGGCGTAATAAGGGGATGGCATGAGGACGTCGGCAAAGGGATAGGGAGCTGCTCTTGATAATAGAGGTATGGCCGTGCCGAGTTGTCGGAAATTGGTGGGAGAGTTCAAGAATCCGTGGTAGTCCTTGTATTCCGGGTGGAGACACAGATCCTTCTCCTCCTCGACACTTTGGACGAAAGGCAAACCGAATGTGTTGACACTGTCGACCAAGAGCCTGTCTACCGTGGTTTCTCCTCGGACCATACAGGCTTCTGCGACTTGCTCCACGATTCTCTGATGAGCTAGGTTCGGCCACACAGAAGCCATGTCATCATTCGCATCATTCATCAGCAGCACGGATGGCTCGTCTAGAACATTGACCGGGACTTTGACATCTGGAAGGCGCTTTTTCGCGTCTCCAAATATCCAGTCCAGGGTGTAACCAAAGTAGTCGCAGCCCTGAAATCCGTCGGCCTTGGTGTATGAACACAGCGTTGCGGCCACATTATCGCCTTTGGTTGCCTCCTCCATCAGGTGCTCCAACCTCTCTGGAGTATACTGGTGAAAAAGCTCCACATTGTCGAAGATGGTATCGAATTCATCGATTATCGGTGAGCGCTGCCGCAAGGCGTACTTGACCCATTCCTTGAAGCCTGGTGGTGGCGGCTTGCCATACCGTTCTTCATACTCGGCGGCGGCCTCATCTGGACTCTGTGATTGTTGAGATAGAAGTGCCTCGAAATCACTAATGGCCTCTTGATGCAGCAGCTGGATCGGATGGAGCTCCTCCTTCGACGTCTCCAGGAGTGGTTGGCTGAGGATTCGTTGCCTTGGGAGCAGGAAGAAGACCACCAAGGTGAAGACAACACTAAAGGCAACTGCTTCTTTGCGAAACCTGGCCTTCCTGGCCATATATGCAGGGTGGCAACATGAGAACAGAGGCATCTGTATGAGAGAAATCATACACAGGCCCCAATGTTTACTGTTTCAAGGGTCATCCAGGGCGGGCGGTCATGGCATTTTGAGCATGCCGCTACTCTCTCTCCCTTGGGACGGGCAGGACTTCTCCCTTCCTCTGGCCGCCATATCCGCCATTTCTACAATCCAGACGGACATGTGGCTGCCTATCTTCTTAGTTACCGTGCCACGCTTGCCACATGCCTACCTCCTCAGTTCAGTAGCACAAGCGCGTTCAAAGTAACCTGGGATTGCTGCCGTCGCGACGCTAAGCCTTGTGGCGGGGGAGCCATTCAATTACCGCCAGCACGCTCAACAACACCATCGCTTGATGGTCCCGAATATACCAGTCCATGGCCGGCTTGAATGCTCAAACCAGGTCTTGTTGCTTCGGCTCTTCCTTGCTGGGTACTAGGTGATACCTAGCCCTCGACACTTATCAGAAGCTGTACCACAGCGGGGCGAGCATCTTGCTTGTGTTCGCCTGCAGCAATGAAGATGGTTATCAGGAACCCTAGTCCCAATGCTCTGCGGAAATTTTCCACACCTCACCCTGACAACCGATTCATGTCTCAGAGGAAGTGCGAAGCGCATCAAATCGCGTCATGCAAACAAGAATGGGGAGCGTGCCCCGGGTTATCAGAACTGAACATGAGAATGCATGGCGGCATGACATCAAGAGAAGACTGTGCCCATGAAGTGTGTCAAACTGACCATTGAAGACGGTCACTGTCTGAGCGACGTGGTGCGCGCTCCTCCTCGCGCTCAAGCTCTCGCCTGGCGATGCCAATGACTTGAAGAGCGATGCAGGGATGGTAGCCCGTCCGTCCTCCTTTCTCGGGTCTTTAGCTCTGATAATCGTCTCGTGGCGTAGATGTATCCATGGCCGCCAGCGGGCAGTAGATGGTCATATCGTCTATGTTATCTTGAAGGTCGCAGAGTCCTGTGGAACCTAGATGTTGACAATGAGAGTAAGGAGCCGAAGTTGCAGTGGATCCTTAGGGCCAGCTCAACTTGAATGAGCTGGTCAAATGCCAAGGTGGTGGTGGGGCCGAAGCGGACATCCGGTCGGCACCGTACAGGCGGGATTGCGGCATCGGCTTTTTGGCTGTCGCAAGTCTGGAAACGGCATTTCTCTTTTGTTTGACTGTCGCTGACTCTTGCTAGCCCCTGACACAACCGCCCCAAACGATGTTGCCCAACACATAGTCACACATTCACAGACTCAACCGGGGCATGGCAGCGGCCCCTTTTTACTACCGCGCCTTTCTGCGCCAGCAGCTTCACTCGCTCAGGCCCAGCAGCCGCCCGCGACACCAGCAGCGGCGATGGAAGCACAGCAAGCCCGAGGCCGACGCCTCGGAGAAGGAAATTCCTATCCCAAACACGGTCCCGACTGCTGATATACCCTTCTGGATGCGCCTCGGCCCCTTGACCCGTACGGTACAGGCCTACGGTCGATCCCAGAGGAAGAGACCGTGGATCACCCAACTCGCGACTTCTCTGACAATATATTTCTTTGCCGACTTGTCAGCCCAGCGCATTAATGGAAAGGAGTACGATGTGGAGAGGACTGGCCGGTCGCTGATCATAGGAGGCATCTCCTCCATTCCCAGCTTTGAATGGTACGCTACCGCGTTGCTCCCCTTAGTGTGTTGATGCGCTATGTACAGAAAGGGCTGACTGTGTGCGTGCTGCGCAGGTTTATGTGGCTGTCGCGCAACTTCAACTACTCGTCGCGAGTCCTGTCCATCGGCACCAAGATCGTTATCAACCAGTCGATATTCACGCCCTTGTTCAATACCTACTTCTTCGGCATGCAAGCATTCCTGGCCGGCGATAACTTCATAGAGATCTGGGAGCGCGTCAAGAGGACCGTCCCGGTTAGCATCATGAACTCCATCAAGCTGTGGCCCATCGTCACAGCCATCAACTTCCACTATGTTCCTTTGGAATACCGCAGCGTCTTCGCGGGTGTCATGGCCGTTGGGTGGCAGACATATCTCGCATTCCTTAACCGGGTAGCCGAGGAGGAAGAGGCAGTCTCCAGGCCTGGCGGAAGGATACCGCCATCGGGGTTAAAGATGGTGGATTCTTAGGCTGGACTGTGGCTCTGGCGCAGATATGATACCATATTACTATATGATGTACACAGAGGGAACGGACATAAACAGATAGAAAGGCATTAGACGGCGTCTGGCGTTCGCACGCAGTAGAATTAGACCGGGAATAAATAACCAGACCTCGTTTGGTTCTCGAGATGTGCGGCAGTTCGCACTGTGTATTGACTCGTGATGGTGCCATGTCGTACGGTGCTGCGGTCCAGATCGCACGGTAAACAAACCACATGTCAGGAGAGGCTCGTGCTGCTTCAAATTCCCGCCTGCGACAGTCGCTTTCTTCTACGCAACGTCATTTGTACTTCAACCTTCGTTTGCTCAACACCAGCGAGCCATTGAGCACTGGCGCCGCCCAGGTTCTCTCCTTGACCATGGCTCGACTGACACCCTACGGTCTGCGCACCCCTCTGACGGCTCTGCGCGTCTCCAGGCCAGCCCCTCGGCCTCGATTCTCTCTGCACCAGGCCGCGCTACGCTCTGCGTCCTCCGCCCCGACGACCGAAGCGACCTCGATCTCCTCGTCTTCCTCTTCCACATCCTCGAGCTCCCAGCAGCAGAACGAGAGCAAAGCGCCTCCCAGGCAATCTGCAGTCGGCTTCGGCACGGTCGCCCTCTCCACCTCGCTCCTGGCCTCAGCCTATCTTCTCTATCTCTACGCAACCGACACCCGCGCCTCATACCAACAATGGCTCATTCCACCTGTTCTGCGAGCTGTCTACCCCGACGCTGAGGAAGCCCACCACGTCGGCACCAAGGCCCTGAAGTTTCTCTACGAGCTGGGCTTGCACCCACGGGAACGGCCTACACGAGCTCCTGGGATCGTCCCCGAGCCCAGCGACCTCGCCACTCAGGTGTTCGACGTCACGCTCGCGAACCCGATAGGCATATCCGCAGGCCTGGACAAGGATGCCGAGATCCCTGACGTGCTGTTCGAGCTCGGCGCTGGCGTTGTGGAGGTTGGCGGCTGCACCCCGCGGCCACAGGAGGGGAACCCCAAGCCTCGCGTCTGGAGGGTGCCAAGCGTGGAGGGCATGGTCAACCGGTACGGCCTGAACAGCAGGGGCGCGGACGCCATGGCCGCGAGACTACGAGAACGCGTACGCAAGTTCGCCTTGTCCCTCGGTCTGACCGAGCGGGAGGTCCTCAACGGGGAGGGAACGGATGTCCCTCCAGGCAGTCTGCTCCCTGGCAGGCTACTGTGCGTGCAGGTTGCGAAGCAGAAGGACACGGACGAGCGGGACGTTGATGCCGTGGCGAGGGACTACGTCTACTGCGTGAATCGGGTGGCTCCCTACGCTGATGTACTGGTCGTCAACGTCTCCAGCCCCAACACCCCTGGGCTGAGGGACCTACAGGCTGCAGAACCTTTGGGAAGGATATTGAGCGCTGTTGTCCAGGAGGCCAGGAAGACAAACCGCAAGACCAAGCCGAAGGTCATGGTCAAGGTCTCACCCGACGAGGATGAAAGTGCGCAAATGGCTGGCATCGTGCAGGCTGTGTACATGAGTGATGTGGACGGTGTGATCGTGGGCAACACGACCAAGCGGAGAACCGGGCTCGTTCCAGAGGGTGTCAGACTCACATCCAGGGAGCAGCAGGCATTGACAGAGACGGGTGGGTTCTCTGGCCCATCCATGTTTGATCGCACGCTTGACTTGGTCGGAAAGTATCGCAAGATGTTGGACGCACAGTCTCTGCAGGCTGGTGAGGCGCAGAATGCTGTCGCCGTCCCAGCTGTAGAGGGCACCGTGTCCGGCAAGGCAGAGAACTCAAAGCAGCCTTCGCAAAAGGTCATCTTTGCTACAGGTGGCATCAAGAACGGCGAGCAGGCACTCAAGGTCTTGAACGCAGGCGCCAGCGTGGCTATGGTCTACACGGGCATGGTATACGGCGGAGCTGGTACAGTGACACGGATGAAAGGGGAGATGAGGTCGGCGTTGACAAATGGTAAAGCGTGAAGCGAAGGACTGCATTGTTTGGGAAATACCGATAGACAAAATGATGTCCCCGAAAGCATGAATATATAGAGCTCAAGTTCGAGATTCGATTCAATAACGTGCATTTCGTAGACAGATACCTTGCAACACTGAAGAGGCCGCACATCTCGTCGACTTCAACGTGCTCCATAGTATTGACAACACCACATACAATTCGCTGCACCATGTTGACTCAAATATGCAGTATTGGAAACCATATCATGTCTATCCTTATAACTTGTATTATATTCTAGAAGTGAACGGGCCCCTCGATCAGTCCTCTCTTAAGGGGATTCAAGAAAAGTGTGTCCCCACGCAGTGCAGAGTGCTTGGACACTTTGACTACAGAAGTTTTTCCAGTCTACTGCGTATGCCAGCCTTTTCCGGGACACCAGCCTCCAGTTCCCCGCTTCCACTCCCATCTCCATTGTTGGAACCTTGCGCGTTGATGTACTCTGCGTGCGTCGCGTAGATCTCATCTGGCCTCACAGCCCTGTCTATGAAGGTCTCACGAGCCGGCAGTAGCAATGACAGGCTGGTGTAGACTACAGCAGTCCCAAAGAATCCAATCATCCAACCAATTTGATAAGGATGTACGCCCACACCGACGTCGATATTGGGGTTGATGCCGTTGATAAATCCAGGCAAGCTCGGCGCGACACCGACGAGGAACGCGACCATGGCTCTCCAGTTCACCCCGCCGCTGTATCTGTATATGCTGTGCGGGTCGTATAGTGCCAGTGTGTCGTATTTCCGCTTGTGCACGACCCAGAAATCAAACAGCATGATCGCTGCGATTGGGCCGAGGAAGATGGCGTAGGCAGACATAAAGTTGAGAAATGAGCCCGCTGACGCGAGGATCTTCCACGGCACCAGAGCCCAGCATAAAAGAGCGCAGAGAAGTTGTCCGCGACGCAGGTTCACATAGCGCGGGAACAGAGCCATGAAGTCATTCGCGGCGGAGAGAGAATTGGCGGAGATATTGACGCCGAGCGCCGCGAGGGAGAACGAGGCCGCAGCGAAGAAACGGGCGGGTCTGTTGGACCAGTGGGAGATGAGCGCCATGGGGTCCCATTCTATCACGCCGTAGTGCACACCACCGGCTGAAGCGGAGGCAATTCCGATGAAGGCGATGAACGTGAAGAAGGCGGGCAACAGAGGCACATACATGCACTGATATTTGACGGAGACCCGGCTGTACCTCGAAAAATCGGCCTGATTGACCGACAGTGTCGCGTAGTTTCCGATGACCGAGTTCATCGACGCCAGGAAGGCCCAGCTGTAGCTTGACCCAGACACCGTCGCCTTCTGGTCAAAGATGTCGGACCCGCGGGTGCTAGCAAGGGCCCAAATGAGAATTGCAATCCAGGCTATCGGCACGATGATCGACTTGGCCATGAAGAGCCACCGGAGCTGGTTTGGGTGCATGAGCAGGAAGGGGATCTGGGCAAACCAGAAAATCACAAAGCAACCCAGTGTGGCATCGTCAATCCCTTGCCATGGTGGAATGTTTGATGGGAGTGCGAGGAACGAGGGCCATATCGCACCGATCATGGTCCGGACAGTGTACGCGCCGTTCATGGTCTGAATCGCAAACCAGAAGGTGGCCAAGATGGCTCGTGAGATGATGGCGACGTACGATCCCCAGAAACCCCATGCTGCGCGAGCAATGACGGGAAATGGGGTGTGGTGGATTACGCCCGTCGCTCCGTTGAACGCGATCTAAGATGTGCATGAGTCTTTAAGGTTCAGGGACGATCTGCGGACCGGGCCGACTTACAACAATGGAAATGATGAAGAAGCTCACGGCCACGACGGCGATGCTCTCACGCCACGTCAGCCCGACTGCAATGACGCTGGCTCCGAATTGCCAGGTCGCTGCGTTGAAGGCATCTGAAATCCAATACGCGATGAAGCTGGTCACGCCCCATTTTCTTGCGTGTGGTGGGACCGGATCGAGGTCCTTGTTCGTCCTGATGATATGTTAGTTCATGCGGGTTTGGTCGTGTGCAAGAGAGAAATCGCTTTCTCCATACTGACCATCTGGCATTGCCTTCTGCAAAAGATGACTTGGGCTGCTCGACATGCAGTCGAGGCCTCTCGAACCGAGGCAATCGCAACCTGAGTCTCGCCATATTCCGCCCTCGTCTGAGCCTTCAAATATGGAGTAGCCGGACCTCAAAACGCTCTTGCAGCAAACGGTACCGTAACAATCTAGACGGAAGAGGGAGGGCCCAAGTATTTCAGGCAAGTCTTTGCGGCCGAACATCCCACGCATGCCTATCAGCGCCACCGTGTGCCGGTGATGTTGCTTATCGTAGCACAAGGGTGACGGTATTGGCCCATAGATATGTAGCCGTGACACTATGCCCCAGGTAGCTCTGTGGGTCTTGGCGGCGGGCAGGATCGTCTGACCGATAACAGCGACCTAACTAACTATACTTGGGGAGTACTAGGGTGCGTGGATAGTAACTAGCGGCTGTCGGTCCACTAGGCGAGACAAAGTTGGGGCTACGATGTAAGATGAGAGTCTCTCACTAATAGATTTAAAATCTTGGTCACTGGTCTGTCGTGTGTTGCTCTAAGTGGTCAATTGAATCCCAGCATTCACCACTATCCGAAACTTTATTCAAACAGTCTGTTTATATCACCTTCGAATTATGAACATTGGCTTCACTAGCATGACACGGGCAGAAGTGCGAAGCAATTGACTTGGAGCTGGTATTCATGTATACATTTGTTCGTGATGTATAATTACCCACATGTCACAGCAGCTCTTCAAGAGCTTGTAGTCCGTCCCTCAGGACACCAGGATCGCCCAGTCTGAACCGTAAATAACCCTTGAAATCCCCAGCACCGTCCTCGCTAAAGCAGAGACCTCCAGGAACAACACACACGCTCTTCTCTACAGCTAACCCATGGGCCAAATGAACATCGTCTACAGCCCGGCCGTCATTCCCTTCCACGATCTGCACAAACGCCGTTCCAGCACCCTGTGGCTTGACCCACCGGCACCGGTCTCGATGTCTCCCTACAAACTCCTCTACTATTGCAATGCTCTTCGCATAATTCGTCAAGTTGTTAGACAGCAACTGCGGGAGGACTTCAGGATCCAGCGCATGGCACGCAACGCCATCATCGATCTGAGAAACAGACAGTGTCGTGTAGTCGCGTAGGTTGATAACCCGCTGTATCAGGTCCAGGTCTTGCGACACGACCCAGCCGATTCTGATTCCTGGTAAGCCGTGCACTTTCGATAAAGAACCCGTCGACACGGTGCTGGCGTAAGGAAGAGAAACCATCGGAGGTGGAGGGACGGTGGGGGCGTGAAAAAGAGGAGCGAAGACCTCGTCTGAGAAGATAGTGATGTTTGAGCTTCGGGCCACAGCGACGAGCTGCCCCAGGGCGGCCTTTGAAAGGGTGTAACCCGTTGGGTTGTTGGGGTTGCTTTGTCGTGTCAGCTCAAGTCAGTCTGTCACAGTAACGGCATGGTCACAGACTTGATGATGATCGCCTTGGTGTTAGGCTTGATCATGTTCCGAAGCCCTTCAATATCTGGGGCCCAGTCATTTTCGGGTTTCATCGTCCAGAGATCCACATCGACACCATGATGCTTTGGCAGGAGGTAAAGCTGCCCGTATGTAGGAAATTGGCATATAACGTGGTCTCCGGGCCCGCAGATTGAAGCTAGAACAAGATAGTTCGCCATGATAGAACCTGGAGTAATCACGACGTGATCCTCTGTCAAGTTGACATCGCTGGAAGAATGGAGACTTGCGATGCGCTTGCGGAGCTCCGCACTGCCTTTGACTTGGCCATATGTGAGCTTGAGTTCCGGGTCAATCGGGTCTTTCCGGGCTGGATGAAGTTGCTGCAGGTCCCTGAGAGAGAGTGCTGTAGAGTATGATCCTAATATGAGGTGAGCCTTCTTCTCAAATACATTCAGGTGGTCTAGACGCTAACCTTGTAGTTGAATCTTGGCCACAGGCTGCCACAATTTTGATGTTACTTATCGATGTCCTCATGAACAACGCCCTAACCTCGGAACCGAACTTACGCCGTATTCTCTCACTAAGGAAATATGTCAGCCTCCCTATCAATTGCAAAGATCATCCACACGAATAACATACCCCAACCATCGATCTTGAATTCCGCGATGTTTTGCACCGGCATATTGACTGTTACGACCTGAGCAATGAGCTCTACGTAGGATAAGACGAGAATTAAAAATCCTCTGCGCTAGATGTCGATGATGAGAAATATCTGCATCCAATATTGCGTTGATCAAAGTTGGCGATGAAGGCTTACAAAAGAGGGGCATCGCATATCCTCACTACGACTAGTAGACATCGAAGGGCGCGTGGTATTCCCGGTCTCGGTCTGAAAACAGGATGCTAAATTCTCACCCAAGTTAGAGCGCCGATCCCTCCCCCGCGTTGCAAATCAAAAACTTGAAGTTCAGTCTCTTTTGACACGTGATATAAATTGTGTCATTGTAGTGGCTTGGATTTGTAAGCTTTCTCGTATAGTCTCATAGTCTGTCTTGCAAGTGATTAAACCATGAATGCTTGCTCTTCCATATAGATGCTCGCAGAGCTGCATAGCGAACTGCCTAACTAGTTACATGATTTCGAAAATTTGTCAGTAATTCTTGACCTGTATCCATTTCTATCCAAAATGTCCTTCCAGAATTCGAGAGATCCAGCATGAGTGATGAGAAGTTGAACCAGACCCAACTTCTCAGTCAGCATGCCCACGCGTTGAGATCCAGAAACAAGAGTCACCGTGAGAAACCCAGAATGAGAATTTCTTTCGTGGGTTGACCCCTTCACTAACTAGGGACATGGTGCAACTGCCAGATGTCCAGTCCAATGGCTCGTCTTCCCCGAAGGCCTGACTTGTTTCAGACCTGTTTGCCAGTTTCCGGAAAAAGTCCGTATCCGTTTTATTATGGTCGTTAGATGTGAGGAATGCGCCAGGACTGTTATGACAAAACCTTTCCTGCACATTACAGTAGGTACGTTGTTCTTTGGGTATCAATCGCTTCTATGCTATATCAACGGCTCCTCCGACATGACAAGGCGTCGGCTTGACAGCCCATCCATCTTGTCGGCTCCTGCCTATTGGTTTGATTTGCTCCACGACAATCACGCGCCAATGATGCCCCAAGATCTCATCAACTCTCTGAAGCCTCCGCAGTAACCTCTTAGTGCCAGAATGTCGCCCGTACGCGTATCGCCGAAACAATATGATAACACATCCATTTCCTCAGACTCATACGTTGGAATATCCCAGAAGCTAGCCAGCCGGTCTCCAACGTCGGGAATGTTCATGTCCGGGGGCAGCTTCACGGGGAAGAACAGGTGGAGCTCGATTTTGACGGCCTTTCCGGTGTGATAATCCATGACGACAGTGAGATAGTATGAGGAATCCAGCAGCACGCCGACAATATCAGTGTACACAGCTTCTGAAGGAGGTGGCGCGCCAGTCAAGGCCACCATCTTGTCGAGGGTCTCCTTGGATAGAGGACCCTGGCCCAGGAAATAGAAAGATATCAGTTCTTGGGGGTAGTCAAAATGGACGACAACGACCTGGCTGAGATCGATATCCAGGAACTTTTGTCTGTTGGCCTTGATGCCTTCGGGCATCCCTGGCGTCGCAAGAATGTAGTCGAGTTCTCTCAGGCCATTCAGGTACATCAACAGGCCGTCGCATCCTTTGTCGGCTCTGAATTCGGGCTGCTCAATGGCACCTTTGCACTGAGTCCGGACGGCCCTGGCGAGTCCAAGTATCGGGTTGTCGGGATGTAACCATCCTTGATCTTCGGCAATTTGCAACGTGTCTGCGGGTGTGGCCATAAAGAGTCGGAATGAGATGGGATGTCCCGGGGTACTTGTGCCGCGTATTTGTATAGCGGCATCATCAATGAGCTCGCGGTGGGCGTTGATGACCTCCTTCATCGTTTTCTCGTCCCATGGCGCCTCCAATAGTTCTGAGCCCTTCTCGAGGTCCTCAAGGAACCGGGCCTCCACGAAAGGCTCTCGCTCCGATGATGTTGACATTTTGCCCTCAAAAAACACTCAGTACTCGTATGGTCAGGCTAACGATCCTGATCTATGCTGCTGTACTGGACTGGTGTGAACTGAGCCGGGCTGGAGGAAAGTGTCGCAAGCACACCGGTCTCGGCTGTTTCACGTCGACGAGGGAGGTGTTGATCACTTGACCGGCTGGGGATGCAGAACGTTGGTTGTCACGCAAGGTGAGCGGCAGATTCTTATTTGTTCACTTCGCGGGCACGGCAGAGCGTCCCCATCACCGCCGTAAACGAGCCAAAAACGGGGTTCGAAGGGCGGTCGTTGCTGGTTTCGGACAGAGCCCCGCTGACAGAAAATCAAGGGGACGGTGTCCGCGAGTAATTGCCAACCCCCACTGACAGAGTTCAGGACCAGTCACGTCCACCCAGCATGAGATGTCGGAAAGCATCCGCCTCATGCCGCGACCACCGGCTGGTGTCATGTCGTTGCCCGGGGTCCACTGTCGCCCGTTGTACACTCCATTCGACGCCTGAAGAAGAAAGCGATGTTGCATTTTGCAGGCGGAGTATGGAGCCTATTTTCTTGGAGTAGACCCATCTCAGGGGGAGAGCTCGCCTTCATCGACTCGGCTCGGCACTGGACCTGCAAGCGCGCCCAGGATAACCCCCAGGATCCGACCTGCTGGGACCAGTCTTTAATGCGGGACTGCCTACATGCTGCCGGAGAGGCATGCGTATCCCTCGGCACCTCCTGGGAGCAAGGTCAAGTACACGGATAGAGAAGGTTTGCGGCGATCAATTGGGTTGCAGCGACGGCCGGGCTAGGACGTGTGGGAGACTGTGTAGGGCGTGACCGTTGGACGATCTGGACGATCCTGGCTGGATGGCCCATCGCCAGGGGAGACCCCATCGCCGATGGAAGCTTCCGAAGAACATCCAGCCCCATCAGCCGCACAACCGCGCGAACTCTGACAGGCCATCGGTACCTAAATTTGAACACACGACACGGGACGGGACGGGCGTGGCGTGTCGTTGAGACCGTTGAGATATTGGTGGACCGCATGCGTGTACAGGCAGGACAGTACAGCACACAGACGCGCTTGTTTCGGTATCCAGAATGGGCTTGATCGCCAGATGCCCATGTCCGCGAAAACGGCGGCGAAATCTGGAAAAATATGGCCCTCGCTTGCTAGAACCGAGCTCGATCAGCACATTTCGCGGTCTGCAGCCCACACGTGCACTCGTCCCGCAATGTCGGCACTCCCCATCACAATTACAATTAATCTCATATTTTGCTAGGTAATGGCAGGCTCTTGCTGTGGTCTCTACCGAAATGCTCAAGGTCTTAGAGTAGTTGATCATCACTAGACGCATTTGATTGTGTAGTACTGGCCATGTTCTGCGACACGCGGTCTTCAAGTGGGGGCGCAATGACTCTTCCAGCCGTGGACCCTGCAACCAGGACCTCACCGCGCGATGCACGGCGCACGAACTCCTCACTGCCCACTGGACGAAAGACAGGGGCGACCAATGGGGCAAGGCAGCTTATCCAAAAGGGACGAAACGCCGGCAAAAGGTGGCCCAGTGTAGTTCGTTGCAACAAACCGAATCCACCAAATTATCATCCATCTTTCATTTTGTTTGATAGGAGAAGCAGCATTCAAGTACTTGGACGACCAGCTACTCAACAAGTCATAGATTAATAGATCCCGGGAAACAGTGCACACAATGGCAGCGAGGCATGTGAAACGCTTTCATCACACAATGACTCGCCCCCTACAGAGCGCCGGAAATCAACGACTGATCTGAGTTGTTTCCGGGTGTGAGCAAGGGGCGGAAACGAGGTCTCAATCTTGTTTCGAATTCAGTAAAGCACTTCAAATTTCCAACAATCGCAGGTAAACTGCACTGACATGTATACTGCGGCCCCAGAAACCGACGGCTCATTGTCCCATTCAATCACGCGCCCCACACAGGTCGTGAAATGACATTCTGGTCCAATTACAAAGTCGAAAGGCAACTGCACCACGTCACCCGAATTGGGACTAATTAACTTCATGACCCTCCAGCCTTCTGTTGCGCGTAATCTTCCTCTTCCAGTCAGGTGGACGTCTCCCGCGGTCACGTGTCTCGATATGACAGGCGATAGCAAACTGAAACCAAAAAAATGATTCTATGAACCGAAGTATTCTTTGTCGCAGAGTAGCGTGTGTCTCTCTGCCGCCTGATCAATGCCAGACTGAATGTCCGGCCTGAAGGAGGCTCCTAGGGATAGTACCGAGACACATGGACTCGACCTTCAGGAAGCTCGATGTAGAGCCCTGGAGGCAAGGACTTTGTCATCGGCTTCCTTTTGTTCGGGACATTGTTCAACCACAGTAGATCTGGTCCTCGAGACCAGGAATCCTTATCTGTGGGATCAATCTCCCTTTCCTTGATCTCCGATGCGGACATTTCTTGAGCTAGCGAGGTGCTGTCCGATGATTTGGCAGGTTGGGTGAGGGATTGGACGTGGGTCATCATCCATGGCTTGCCGGACAAGACTCGGCGGAGAAAGAGTTTTGCGAATTGCATTGTGAAGGGGACCTGGTGATGATGGTGTCTCTGTCTTCGAAATAAAAAGGGCTCGAATGTAAATATGCCAAGGGATGACTTCTAGTTATAAGGTTGGTGACAAAGATTAATATGAAAGAGTATCATTCTGAAGTGAAAAGATATGTGGTTCAAAATATGCACTTCCACCAATAATATTATTACCGGCGATTAATTCGCTTCTCAAGCAATAAATATTTTCCATGCTTTCTAAATCCAGAAGTCTTTGGAAATGGTACTACAAGCACGCGGCCAAGAATCTTGCTGTTGGCTAGGCTACTAAAATCCACTAGCATGCCCTACGAGGTCAGTTGATCTCAACGGAGAATCGCACTAATAATTAAAGACAAGACACACAAATGATAGTGTAGCCATCGCCTTTCCAGTCATTACAGACCAGCGTAAGAGATAGACACAACTAGAATCGGAGAATTTCTAATAATCGAGACGAATGATGATCAGCTGCGAAGTAGTACCTAAGTGATTGAAAGACAACGGGAAAATCAATTTAATTTCAAGCTTCTGCCAGTCATCTTGCTAATATCGTGATGTAAGTTTGATACATGCCTTTATCTCCTGCAGGTGGGATACTTAAGTAACCTCCTCCTATAGGACAGCCTTCTATACGGAGAAAATAAATAAGTCACACGGAACTCTGCAATGACACGTTAAGATTTTGGAGAGGGTGACGGTGTTGGTCCAAGAGTATATATGCTAAAACCAGCGACTTCTGAGACGTGTGAGTACAGCCAGGTCTTTTGTTGGAATCCAGGAAGACTCATATACGGCGTAGCCATATGAACGCATGCAGGTCCTGCTTTGTAGTTCAACTTCTTTCGTCGCAATAGCTCCAGTTGCATGACAGCGAATCAATACACGTAAAACGTGGTGGTCTCGTTGTTTGACTGGCGAAGTTTAGTATTCCTTCGCATCAGCAAATACTTGGCCAACCATGCTAGCAGGGCGGTGGCCAGACTGAAGCCTGCGCTAGCTCCCATCGCACTGCATCATTTTGAGTTAGCCATCAAAGCACTGATGAAGGAGCTTTATTCGCAAACAGGTCGAATGAGGCCACCATATGCCCAGTGCGTGTCTCGAGAACTGCAGCTCAACAAAGAGCTTTGGTTCAAGTAGCGAAACAGAACACGCATATGGTAGTTCCTTCTCCCCGAAGGAGCTAAAATTGTATCCGAAAGCTGCTTACATAGCATAACGGGGCTCGTCGCTCTTTGGCCACAGGTAGGGCGTCCAGATGAAGCTCGCATTCATGATTGTCGTCACAATCGCGATAGATGCGCTCTTCTTCTCTTTGGTCTCTATCAAGGAAGTCAGCAAATATTCAATGCGACAGGTTTGCAAACTAGCGGGAATACTAGTGGACCTCTTAAGTAACAAAAGAAAATAGGAGCTGTAAGGGAAATTGGCTATATCCGGACACCACTCACGTCCACAGACACTGCCACACCAGCCGAGGATGAGACTGTTAACCCCGTAAGTCCCAATCGTAAATATGACCATTGCCACATATCGTCCCGCCATATTAAGCGTGGCAGCTGCTGCAACAAAGCCAATTACAGCGACAGTCTTCGACACAGTGATGTGCCAGGTCCGCTCGTTATAGCGGCCAGAAGACCAGGAGAGCAGAATTGTAACTGCGCCAGCAATCAGGTAAGGAGGGCAGGTGAGAACAAGAGTGACAGTCTCCCCAAGCCCAAGAGTCTCGACAACGGTCGGGAACTATACAACAAAAGGGTCAGCCTAGGAACAAAACTCTTGTCCCACACAAAAGATTAAAGAAAAGAACAAGAAAAGAGTGACTGACAAAATTCTTGAACCCGTTAGCCGCCAAATGCATGTGTGCCATTGCTGCGAACACCCAAACCAGCGGATCTCGAGCCGCCTGTTTGAGACCAGCTAATGTGCCGGTTTCACCCTTATTCTGAACCGTGTCCAATTCCATGCGACTATAAGCCAATTGGCGTTCATCAGGGGTCAGCCACTTCGTCGTGAGTGGGAAATCTGGCAGGACAAAGTAGCCGACAAGTGCACTAACAAGGGAGGATCATTAGTATATAAAAGTAAAAGGTAGTTTGCAGGATGATCAGAGATAGAAAGATCGGGAACCAACATCACGAAGGTTACGGCACCCTGAAGAATGAACAACCACTGCCACCCAGCAAGGCCCATCGCGTCGTCCATACCGTGGAACACGCCAGCGGCGATTAAACCAGCAAACGCGGTCGCCAGGACATTACCGGTGTAAAGGATGGCGATGCGAGTAGCAATTTCTTTCCTGTTGTAAAACACTGAAAGAATGTATACGGCACCGGGATAATAAGGAGCTTCAGTCACACCTAGGAAGAAGCGGGTGAGAAGGAGGCCAACGAAGTCTTTGGACAGAGCAGTAAGTGCGCTGACGGTCGCCCACAACATCTGCAGCATCTGGAGTTAGCTCAGAACACCAAAGATGAAGCTCCTATGTAGACTGGGAGGAAGGGCACTATATGCCCGTAACCTATCTCAGAATCTCCAGTCTAACAAAATGCTTTGAGTCAAGTAATCCAACAGACTACAAATGGCAGATGTTTCTTCTTGAATGAGCTGAAATTGTATCCAGAAACTGCTTACCATCATGATCCCCTGAAGAGGCAGTCAGCCAATGCTCTACAGAGCTGAGATGATTCGACTCACCATATAACGACTTGGTCGGGTTCGGTTTATGAACATGTTGGACGGAATTTGACCCAAGATGTAGCCAACAAACAATATGCTGACACAAGTTTGATATTCTATATATGATAATCAGATCATGCACGGGTATCTTCGAGATTATGCGGAGACTGACGGGTGCTCGACAGGTTAAGGTCTTCCTCGAGGTCGTTCAAACGAGCCAAGGCGATGGCGTTCCGGTCGAGATAGTTGAGCCAGTACATTGCTGAGAATTTTCAGTCAGTACGACCTTGGGTCAAAACCAACGATTTATTCAAATACTCACACCAGAGCATCGGCATGATCCATCTATCCAGTTTCTTCACCAGAGCGATCTCTTTCGGGTCAGTCTTCTCGTATGCCCCCGAATAATCTACCTTGCCTATGCGAGGAAGCGGCTTTTCCGGGCCAGCTTCACTAGCCGTGCGGAAAAGGGCATCATCTTGATGGACAACTTCCGACTTTTCGTGGATCGCCTCATCTTTGTTCACGGGTGTAGACATGTCTGCTGAAAAGTCGTAGTCTCCAATGAAGGGGTAGAAGATAGGGATGAGGTAGGAGAATGATAACCCGAACGCCTGGAAGTGACAAGAATATCGCTCAGCTTTATACCATTCTCCAGCTATATGCATCCACCAACGGCCTTGTCCAGGTGGTCAGCGGCCTTGTGAATCTTTGTGTCATTTACGAGCGTCTTCCGCCATCTGGGCGTTCTACATCATGAGAATCCAACCCCTCAAGCCAAGGACCCGGGGGCCCAGCCACTATGATCTAGGTCGAGTCTATTCGACAAGGACGTTGGCTCATCTGGGGTGCCACGACGCTAAAGTGCAAGGGCTGATGTTTGAAATCCGGGGAAAGTCAGGTTCTGGAGATGCCCTTTCCGATCCCCCCCATTAGCTTCCGCTCGCGTCGTTCAAGAGTCTGGGGGGAATATTTTAATGCTCTTGGCTCCTGCACACCATAAATCACTAAGGATAGGTCAAACAGGCTAGAGACCTTGTCCTAGTGCAAAATGATCGATTAGGCCAGGAACGCCAAGTTGACAGAGTAAATCTCTTGACGTGAAGCCCTGATCGCTGCGCATCGCAAAATACTCAGCTCAACAAATAGCCACGATGGACTTTTCAGGACAAGAACACCTAAGAAAGCTTCATCACTAGAGTAAAATAATTAGAAGCTTCTCCAAGTTCAGAAATGCTTCGTCGGAGAACCTTAATAAAGCGTCATGAGTCGGGAAACGTTTGCAGGATTTTGTTCCAAGAGCCAAGGCCCCCTTGGCGACTTGTCCCTCACGATAGTGGCCTTGGAACAACATGATCCCTTCGACCGCACCCTCATCCACCTCGCCCAGGAGCGCCACCCACCTCGTGATACGTTGATTAGATGAATACCAAGAGCCGGCAGATATCACAAGCTCGTTGGGATTTTACCAGCTTCGATAGCCAAGTCAACGGCCCGATGTCTTGGGGCGTAAGATACCTACTTTTACTGTGGCACTTAAGTGATACCATAGTTAATCCCTCATTTGTGCGCTCCGAGGATTTAGTAAGAGAGCCCGTTTATAGCGCCGAAAAGCAAAATACATCGATGACCTTTGACTACGTCTTATCCACAGATGAGATATCGATTTCCAGCCACTTTTCGGCAAGGCGATTTTCTTCCAGGAATTGCGTGTGTTGTTTAGTAACAAGTACCATAGCCAGGTATTTGCAAAAGTTTACTACATCCTGGCTAGTTGTGGCGAGCGCCTGAATGCCGGCAGGTTTGCTAAACTAGTCACAGGAGAGCTGTGAACGGGAAATTATGGCACAAAGCATTGGCTTGAGTATCAGTTCTTCATCGCTGTGTATTTTCGCAAGCATAAGTCGCCGTGTTGTAGTCTTTCTTGGTGCGGTCAAAGTTGCTGTCAATTCTCACCCCGATGTCTAAGAGGTATCGAGACTTGATATCTGAGTTCGTATATATGTATATATAAACAAACCCCTTAATCCTGCCATATCCACACTTCCTATCCACACACATATGCGTCAAGTAAGAGCAATACCGCGACCCGTGGAGGGATGTTGGAACGATAAGCATGAGACGCCGTAGCGCCACTTCACAAACACATCTTAGCCACTCATATCTGTACCTCAGGAACCAGTATCCAGTGTGCGAAGTGCCTCCTGATTCTGACTGACCCACACCACTGTGTAAGCTGCTTAAGAAAACTTATCTCATGCGTATTTACCGAGATCTTATCGTCTTCCATGGCTTCAAATGACCTAGGGACATTACTCCTGAACAGTGGCACTAATAAGTTCACCTAAGCTATGGCATATAAGTGTCTACATACACTTTTGAGCATCTAAACATGCTCAACTGTCGCACACAGCCCATCTCCTTGGAAAGATCCTTCCTTCGCACCCGTCAGGGAAGCTTCCTGAGACTCAGAAGGGATCTCGGAAGGGGAAAAGACATGAGTTTTCCACTGCCGCACCGGAATTCCTTGCCCGAAAAAAAGGGAGATTTCGAGCGTGGATCGCTCTGTGGTCTCGCCAACGCAAAACCAAACCCAGGCTAGCGAGGTCAGGGTCGTGCCTGCGTAGAAGAAACCCAGCATAGGCCCCCAACCGGCCGAGTAGTACATGTACGGCGCGGTGAAGGATACCGCCCATGTGGTGAAATAGAAGAATACAATAGAAAACGACATGATCTTGTTCTGGTTCGGCCCCACTGCCATTTCGCGGGCCACGGTGTACGCAAGTGGTCCTAGTCCATAGTTGAAGGCAATTATGATAACGTAGGAGAAAACCACAATGACGTACTGGGACGCCGTGGTCAATGTCCTCTGGGTCCCGATTCCACCGATGACGACGAAGGCCAGGAACATCATCCCTGTGGTTACAAGGAGATTGTGTCGCCTTTGAACTTTGTTGCCGGTCAGGACAGCGGCGCCAACGGCGAAGATCTGGAGGATGTTGGTGATGAGCTGTATGATAAAGGGCTGAGAGATGCCGATGGCTTGGGCAAAGACAATCCCGTACACGTAGAAGAAGAGGATACCGCAGATTTGTTGCGAGTACAGAGCCCCAGCCGAGAAGATGACTTTCTTCCTCTCCACAGGGTCAAGCAACAAAGATTTCCAGGAGGAACCGGCCAAACTTTCTAGCTCGCGATCGCGTGCTTCCGTGAGGGTTGCCAAATCTTGTGACGGTTCATAGGTATCATCTCCCTTGTGGATTCTTTCGAAAGCCCTCTTTGCCTCCTCGTTTCTTCCTTTGCTAACATACCAGACGGGGCTTTCCGGGATGAAGGGCAAACCGAGCATCAGCATGATAGGAAGGACGACCAGCCCACCCATCGGGACCTTATAAGATGCCTTACTGGTGAGACCTTCGGTTCCCTGGGTGATGCCGGCTGCAATCAGTTGCGAGATTGACTGGAGGAACTGGAACATCATGAGAGCAGGGCCTCGGATGTGCACAGGAGCGACTTCACCAATGTACAGTAAAGATGTGACCGTACACTGGCCCATGCCAACACCAATCAGTACACGGCCGACAGCCAAGACGGCCTCGTAACTGGTGTCGGCAACCTGGACGATGCCACCGGCCAGGATGCAGAATGCGGCGCACCAAAAAGTTGTTTTCCGGCCGAACTTGTCGTTGACCGGGGCGGAGACAAGGGCACCAATGATGTCTCCGATATAGATTGAAGATGCCGTGACGGATGTGAACGAGACGTTTAATGCTTTGCGCCCATTCGAGTCGAAGTGATCCCCGTAGTCGTTCTTGAAGCGATCCATGGCGAGGCAGCCATTGTAGTAGGTGTTGTCGTAGCCGTAGACTAATGCCCCGATGGCAGAGACAGAGCAAAAGAAGTATGCCCAGCGATTCTGCTTCAGATTGAGTTGAAACATCGTTTGTCCCAGTGAGATAGTAATAAGTGGTTTTAATTCGTGACTGAAGACAAAGTTGACCAGGAGCATAAATCCAGGCGGTGCCCGGCGGTTTATATTAGTACCTATGTAAGGACGTGTGACGGTCCCATGATATTACCTAAGTATGTAGCCAGGGCCGTCTCCTGGGCATGTTACCCCGTGGGTTACCCCGTGGGGAAAGCCCCCACATGAAAAAGGAAGGCTCTGTTAAAGTTGTCGATCGCTGACGCGGACCTCGTCCAAGTGGTAGTCTTGCGACGCCGGAGCGTTCCAAGGACTATCCCGGGCCAGTGCGGACTTTCCTGATCGGTTCTTCACCGTGTACTGACCGCACTGAGAAACCGACGGGGAGAGCCAAGCTAGCGGAACAGCTAGACTAGTGCACCTATTCTCCAGGTTTGAAGATGCGGACTTCCCTAGTCGGTTCTTCGCCGTACTGACGATCCGGCGATGAAAGCCAAGCTTGCGGTACAGCTAGGTTAGTGAACTCCTCAGGCCTGGAGCCGCGGACGTCCATAATCAGGTAACCCGCATCCAGATGTCCAGTTGGATTCACAGACATCAGTCGCCTCATTTGGGATGTCCGACTCCCTTCAGCAACTGCGCAAAGAATTCCTCAATCTCACTGACATGTCAATGGCTCAGTGAGAAATCGAGGTCACAGATGATGTCACGCTTCTTGCAGGCTGCTGATGCCCGATGTGCATATTTAAAGCTTGTTCGCGATGAGATTGCGAGCGCGCGATGCCTTGACGATCAATGTGTCGACTTACCCGAAAATTATTCTGATCAGAACCTGGCGCCAGCGCGATATCCTCGTTCGCATGCTTTAGAAGTGCTTACAAGACTTGTTTGAGACTCCAACCTCAAGATGCTTACTCTTTGTGCGTCAACCCCTGCTTTGTTGCTGATAGCCAACCTGCTGACTAGTTCTAGTTTTGATCGTCGTCCTCATCTGGGCAATACTCGTGCAGCCATTGATCTCTTATTTCATGGACCGTAAGAGCCTCCGGAAATTTCCGGCGCCGTCTCTCGCTGGCTTTACATCCCTATGGCGCATCTGGCACAATCTTCAGAACAGGCACTATCTCGCCATCCACCATGCTCACAAGCAACTCGGTAGCCATGTCCGCATCGCGCCAAACCACATTTCCGTTTTGGGCGCAGACGCCGTGATCGACATTTACGGACACGGTGCAGGGATGCTCAAAGATGCTTGGTACGACGGTGGGGCGGGCGACTTCAGGCACATGGCCGATGTACGGGTCAAGACCGAGCATCAAGCCAAGAGAAAGCTCCTTGCACACGTTTTTGCACAAAAGACCATCGCCAACCTTGAGCCCGTCGTGGCGGACACCATCTCCACGCTGATGGCACAAGTCGACCGGCATATCAGCGCTGGCAAGACGATCAATATGAGGCGATTTATGAACTATTTCACCATCGATCTATTCGGCAAGCTGCTTTACTCGCGTCACCTGGGTTGCCTAGAACGAGGCGACGATATCGTGACCGCTGAGACGCCTGATGGTAGAACCTACACGGCTCCATTCATCCAGTCCCTGCTCGACGCCACGGTCATCAACACTGCTCTGGGCATGGAAGCAGGGCTCTTGCCAGTGACTCGGTTCTTACTGGCGTGGCACCCGTACAAGAAAGCCGGCGCCGATTTCGAAAACATCATCCGCCATAATACGCAGTGTCGCTTGCGAGACCAGACGGCCCAGGACGACATCTTCTCCAAACTAGTGAAAGATAACAAAGGATGTGACCTTAATCTCCCAGTTGGCGAGATTCTTGCAGAGTGTTCTGTCATGATGAACGCTGGGACGGAGACCACGACTGCTACATTCACCAATGCGCTCTTCCTCCTGTACAAACACCCGTCCGTTCTCGCGAAGTTGCGCAAGGAACTCGACGGCGCGTGCGGGGACGCGGAGGTACTGAGCTACGAGACCGTCAGTAAATTGACATATCTCCGTGCTTGCGTCGAGGAATCTCTACGGGTAAGACCAGCATCATCCTTTGGCCTCCCTCGAGTGATACCCGATGGTGGACGAATGGTGGGAGGCATATGGATAGATGAGGGCGTGACCGTTTCGGTGCCGACTTACAGCATGTTGAAGGATGAAGAGGCATTCGAACAAGCTGATACTTTCATCCCGGAGCGTTGGATCACAGAAGATAAGGAGAAAAAGGAAAGGATGATGAGGAACCACCTGCCGTTTAGTTTCGGTCCTCGAGCTTGCATCGGGCGCAATATTGCTTATTTCGAGCAGCTCCTGGTCCTCGCGAGCCTGGTGAGGGCTTTCGATTTCGAGATACCTGAGGGTTTCGAAATGCAGACTATCGAGCGGTTCAACTCGAATCCAGGGGACTTAGTTGTCAAGGCAAGACGGAGAGCCAGATTGTAGATCTTGTCTTACCAAGCGAGCTTTCTTACTTATGGATAGGCGCCCACAGAATGCCACAGTCATAACCGTGAGGACAAGCACACACACGCTTCGAGTTGCCATAACCCCGAGTTCACCGTATCAATGTTTGTTTGTAGCTCCAGAATGCTAGATTACCACCCTTTCCAACCCGAGTCGTACGATGCTGGCACGCTAGGGTCTAAGCTATCAGCAATAAAGCAGTCCACGCGATCGAGGTCCCATTCCGACCCCAACACCGCAGACAGGTCGGAAGAGGGATGGAAGTCCCCAAGCACACTCTGGCTGTTTGGGAGAGCCTCGAAGCTTCCCACAGTACTATCAGTCACGGACGTCTCGGTCCCCGGCCGCGTTGGCATCCCTGGCGCCGACAAGAGACTTCCACGTAACGGCCGAAGCATTGATTGATTTGATCCAAGGAACGGCGCGGCTGTCAGATCTTCGGTACTAGTGCTCGTCTGCACGAGGATACCCTGAGCCAGCTCAGCCATGAAAGCCGCAGACCAGAAAAAGTGACCTAGTCGTGAGAGTATCTCGAAACTTTGCCACATTGCTTTCCTTGCCTCACGCTGGTGTCTTGACAACTTGCAGCAGCGAAGCCTGCGGTAAAAGATGGAAAGGGACAGAGATATACAATAAGGGACGAATGGCAGCAAGGGCAGCTTGGACAAGTCTGCCTCCATCATGATGGATGATATCTGGGAGGCCGCGTCGTGTTGACGGGGGTGGGGCAGGGTGCTTGTTCCGTCTGCTTCCGCCTTTTGGCGACAGGACAATATGACGACGCCGTGATAGAAAAGTTCTAGAGTAGCTGATGCCATGTTAGCAAACTCCAACCCGAAACTATTGGAGGCGTAGAGAGCAGAGACCAGCCTAAATGATGAGCTGGGAGCTCGAGTGCATCGGTGCGCTCAAGTATAGTCTCGTAGGACGGGATGGCTTCTCTTGGAATCTGCGTGACCGTGGCATTCGGCCGATACAGCGATATGACGTCTTGGAGTACGTGAGCAATGTGAACGAGGACCTTGAACCCTGGGGGTTGTCCGTCCAGGCACCGTAATGGGCTCAGCTCTAAATCACGTTCATGCATCATCGTAGGCCGTCCATGGACAGCAGCTAGGAATTTATCGATTGCCCAGAGGTAGCAGAATAAGCTGGACTGGCTGGACTGTGCCCCATCTCGTCCTCTCTGTAAGTGGAGGCCAATGTTCCATGATATCTGTACTGCACGGACGAAGTACTGCGAGGATGCCTCGATGCTCTGTCGACCGAATCCGAACAGTGACATGGTCGTCAAGGCTCGTATCAGTATCATCTTGTCGTGCACCATTGCCATGTCAACATTCAATCTCATGGCACTAAGTAGCTCCTGGCCGAATTCCGCAGACGTGAGCTGACCTTCCCGCGTGGGCAGCCGCAAATGATGGGCAAGCGATGGCTCTGTGGATGCCAGGAGGCAAATGGTCTGGTACTGTAACACGCGGGACGGGGCATGTGATAAAGAGGACGTAAAGGTCTGCTCATCAATGCTCGGCAGCAGACCGTGTATGTTGTTGAAATAAAACACCTCGAGCGCGGCAAGGTCTGTCGGTGGCGGCAATACTTCGAGGCATTGCTCCCGTATCAAAGGGAGGAGCAGCCCCCGGATGAGTCGGGGCACATAATGGAATATGCTCGCCGGCGAGCTGGTCGCGCAGTCGCTTTCTTGTCTGCTGATCAGTGCCGAGGGCTCGGGCTGCCACACGCCGACCGCATTTGGCGATAGCCCGCTCTCTGCTCGGGTGCCCGAGAGCAATACAACCTCTGGGTTGAGATCGCCGATGAATCGAAGATTACCCGGAGAGGAAGAGACATTGGCTGGGTGTCGAGATGCACTGGTTACCCTCGGTGTTGGCTCACTCTGGTACGCTGTTGAGGCTCTTCCCGTCTGCCTTGGCTGCTCGTTAGGTAAGGCACTGACAACCTGAATACTGGGCTCCTCTGCGGCTCGAGGGAAACCTGCCGCTGTCCGAGGCGCGGCACTCAGGGGCACAATTCCTGTTCTGGCAGCATCAGAAGGGGATGATGACAAGCCATTTGATTCCGCCGATGGGCTCACCCCTTGCCTTGCTGGGCCCCCGGTGGAGCTGATTGTATGAACGCAGCGTCTCTTCTGCCGGCGACAATTCTCGCACGCCTGGACGCGTTTCCTCGATCGAGACTTGTATCCGACGGGATTGGTGTGGACAAACTTCAGGGATGACATGACAGGTTTCCGTAGTACTGTTCAAGCGCCAGCCTGCGTGGTCGGTTGTGTTCTAAATTGGCAAAGGATGATTGATCGCCTGGAGCACTGGGGGATTTGGGGTAAATACTTTGTAAGAGCGACCGCCCCCTAATGGCTTCCCCTCTAAGCTGGCATTATGGACCCTCTAATAAATTCCAAATGCACCTAGGCACGTGGCAAAACGCGGGGTACTTGGTGGCACACACTGGCACGTTACGACACTTCTCACTACAGCACCGCCTGCAGGTACGAACGCTTCCCTGGTTTACGATTACAGAACAGACAAGAGCGCCTAGCCTTTTCTATTACAGCGTAAGGTTTCGTTCCCATCGCAACGCAAGGAAGAACGGGTACCTTACAGCCCTGGGAGAGCAATTTTTTGCCTTTATTCAAGTTACATACATTCGAATTTTAATCCATTTGCGTGCGGAACGGCAGCTACTACGTGCCCATTAATGGTGCCACAGGGGCTGGCGTATACATCGCAATAGCCATCAAGAGGAGGTTTGTTGAAAAAGCAGCGCCACTACTAATCGTTCGTCGCCGTGTCGTGGACACACTTTGGCACCACTGTGCACCTCAGCAGGATGGCCGGCGAAGTGAGCATCTGCGGTCTGCCCCGTGAGAAAAGTGGGAAGGGGAGACCGATAAAGCTTCACAATCGATATGTTCTGCAGAAAAGAAACACAGAAAAGAACCATGATAACCTTGTCGGTCAACTACTAGTAGGAGCTAAAATACGCGGAGGACTGTATCCAAATCCTGCCTATGGACCGGAACGAAGAAACCTGGTGTTTCCTGTATGATTCTGGCCTCCCCTTTTCTCCACAGGGTACGCATCCATCATCATTCTGGAGAGTTTCAAGTCTTCCACGGCGTCGAGAGCTGTAGTTTTGATCGCTCGTCCACCAGCGATGCAATCATGTAGTTCTAACAGCTCTGAGGTGTAGGCATCCTCGTAGCTCGTCTGGACAGAGCGGTGGACCTTGTCTCCCTGCTCATTCATCTCGTCAATCTCCACCGTGATGCCCAGACCTTTTACGAAAGGAGTATCGTAGCAAATTGACACCGTCTTGTTTTGCCCGTACACGGTAACACTTGAGTCGAATCGGGGGACCTCATCGATGCCTGTCTCATACAGACAGGTGAAAGGCTCGTGGGGCGCATTGCGGTTTCTATATGCGAACATGGTCGTATACCATCGCGCATTGTCGGTCGAGGCGAGGACCTTTTCCGGTAGTCCACCGAGCACTTCTCGCATAACGCCCAGGCCGTGGCTCCCAAGGTTGGCCAGCAGACAGCAATAGTCAAGTTGCGCAGGGCTTAGGTTGCCAAGGGAGTCTCCCCAGGCCTCTTCAAGCAGAGCAGACAGACGTGACTGTCGGTCTTGGCGTGCAGACTCAGACACGTCGTCCATATATTTCTCCGGGTAGGAACCTGATTGTCCGATGAAGTACGAATTAGGACCGATGATGTCGCGGACACGAGCATACTTGATGCTGCCGATTGTGGCCATTTCCCTCAGGAAGGCCTTGAGGCTCGGTGCGAAACGGCGCATGTAGCCAACGAACACCCTAGCGCCCTCAGGGGCTGCCTGCTCTGCATCGAGAATCGCCTGCGCGCTTTGGATGGTCAGTGTGAGTGGTTTCTCAACCAGGACCGACTTCCCGGCTTGAAGGGCCGCAATCGTGTATGGCGCATGGTATTCATCAGATGTTAGGACAAAGATCAAGTCAATCTCCTTGTCCTGGAAGAGAACCTCTGGGTCCGTGGTCGCGATTGGGATGGAGAACTTGGACGCGCAGTGCTGGCTTGTCTTTGCCGACACATCGCAAATTGCCCTCGTGATATATAGGTGGGAAAGGAGCTGCAGGATTGGGAGATGCACAACCTGTAGATGGGTAGTCCTGACGTGTTATTGAGCACTCGGACCGCAGTTCACTTGCAAAGACGCGAGAATTCGTACCTGTGCCACGTCTCCACCGCCAATGACACCTACTTGGAGTTTTCTAGCGGCCATTTTCTGGGTCTTTAAGAAATTAAGAGCGGTGAAACGAGCTTGTGAATCATAATTTGACAATAGCCAGTCCAGAATTCCGGCTCTCATTAAATAATAGGTAGTCGGCCGGACTGCCAAGGCAGGACATTCCGGGCTGCGCACCAGTCTAGTAAGGAAATTCCGGGGACAAGTGGGCGACCGGTCTAGCTTTTTTAGGAAACCCCGCAAAGACAATTCTACGACGGCTGCTCTCATTAGTAGGTAGTCAGTCGGAATACCCAAGCTGGATACTCCAAGCCGTGCATATGTCTAGTAGTAAGGAGGCTCCGGGGAGAGGATTCCGACCGGTCCAGCCTTTTTAAGAAAACCGCGCAGGCAATTCTGAGACGGTTTGCTCTCATATATATCGGTCACGACTTAAGCATATAGTGGCAATTATGTCCGATACGATACTTCGGTAAGGCCGGAGAAGCTAACGTATTTTCAATAAATCAAATATGACTCAAATTGGTGTCGGGCTAGTGGGAGGAGGTAAGGCATTCGTCATCCTCATCTGCAGATAGGGTCACTGACACATGCGCAGGAATTTGGGCGAGGGAAGAACATTTTGTATGTGCTGCGACCTGGAGCGCTGAGCGATCGATACTGAGAAATTATAGCCCGCAATTCAAGCCTCCCCGCACCTCTCCCTCAAGGCTGTGTATTCGCGATCTCTAGCCTCTGCCAGAAGTGTTGCGCCTGAGCTCGTCGGCGTCGATTACTACGCAGACGACAGCGACGTCAGCTACAACGATATGTTAAAGCGCACAGACATATCTGCAGTTATCATAGCGTATGCCAATCCACTACCATGTCCAGCTCCTCGAGTGCGATAGACCTAATTGTTGTTATAGCCTGCCAATTGCAAATCAAAAGCAGTACATTCAAAGTGCCTTGCGAGCTGGCAAGCACGTTCTCTCCGAGAAACCTGTGGCAGAGAATGTCGGGGATGCGCTTGAGTTGATTGAATGGTACAGGAAAAGTCAAGAAACGGCCGCCTCGTGGCACGTGGCCGAAAACTGGCGGTTCATTGAAAGCGTCGCGGTTGCTCAGAAGCAGGCGCGCGCCCTGGGCAGAACACTTGGGTTTCGCGTTCAGGTCTACGACAACATCCAAAAAGGATGGAAATTCTACGGTTAGTGACAGCACGTTACGGAGAGGATAGAGTTGTCATTCTGTCGAGTCCCAGCTCATACTTCATCGCAGAGACCGATTGGCGCAAGGCTCCCACTCATCAGGGCGGGTTCCTGCTCGATGGGGGCGTCCACTATACAGCTGGACTAAGGCGCCTGCTCAACATCCATGAGGGCAACGAGATTTGCTCAATCTCTGCCTTCACCGCTCTGTTACAGGATCACCTGCCACCTGTGGATACCATCAATGCCACAATGCGCTTGGCATCGGGCATTAGTGGAACATATCAACACTCTGTCGGTACCACTTTGAAGGGTTCAGAGTGGACCATTGCCTGTGAGCGTGGCACAGTCAGTTTTGGGGACTCGAAAGTGATTGTCACGATCGGTGACAGCGAGACACGTGTATTCGTAGCGGATGAGAGGACTGGTGTGCCACCAACCGTGCGTGCCTGGGCGGAAGCTTTATACGCAGCAGTTCCATGTAAGGACCTCCAGCCAGAGGAGGCACTTGCTGACTTGGAATTGGTAAGACTTGACCTTCTATGCAGCGGATGAATGGCGAACAAAGGCTAACAGCAAGTACAGCTGGAGCTTATGCTTCGGAGTGGCGAATGTGGAGGCACGCCGCTTGAGTGCCAATATCAAGATACCGATAACCCATTCAAGTCTGCTTGAAGGCATCAAGCATTGAGCGTTTGACTGGGCCTTGTGCGGTCTGAAATGTCAAAGTAGAGGTGAAAAAGGCCTTGCCTTTACTGTTATTCAACGACAGTCGACCTATTTTAGTCAAGATAGATATCATGAAAAAAAGAAAAAAAAAGGGGGGGGGGGGTTTCCTCGCTATAAGAGTGGCAACTCATTATACCGAATTCGCTCATTCTATCTTCCCAATCGAGATTAGTGAAGGTGGAGCCGCTTCCACAAATCCTGAGAGAAGACCTGGGGGGATTATCTTGGAGGAGGAGAGATCTTGGGTCACGAAATAGGTCTTACATTCAATCGCCAAAATAGCGGCATGTCTGCAAGTTGGAAGATCTGAACGAAGGTGTCTAGAGAACGCCAGGCTCCTCCCTCAACTTCGGTACAAGGGAACGAATTTTCATTTCTCTGTTTGACTCCAAAGGTGGATGTTTCTTGCAGCGCACTGCGACGTCGGTGAAGGTCAATCTGGATGAAGAATTCCCGAGCAGGCACTGAGCAGACTTGAGCAGATCCTGATCTTACGCGTAATTGAAGCGGTGTCCATGGCCTCAAAGGGTGCCCACCGCTGAGCGCAACTTTCGCAATGCAGAAGAGGTTGATTCTTCCTCAACTCATCCCTTCCTCAGTCCAGCACTGGCTTTATTGTACATAATTAGCCTAGTAACAAGTAGGTTCAATTAATTATTATTGATATATCAGCCAAAGCGTCAGTATATTAGCAATCTATTTATCCACGTAGGTGGCCTAGGTGCTCTGCGTCAATGTAGATTTTGAAATTTGCCACCAGTGGCCTTTCCATCGAGCAAGCAATAGCGAATAGCTTCGATATATTTGCCATGGATCCTCGCGGCGTGAGCATGAGGACCCCGTCAAGGTGCGACACGATGATTGGGAATGAGCCGAGCGAGATAGCCTCATTCCAAGGCTTCACTAGTTTGGTGTGATGCTTAGCTTGTCAAGAAATATATGCTAAGGAGACGAACTTTCTGAAGCCACTAATAGTCTTACACTGTTGATTGTTCCCCACAATGCACCTAATACTGTTTAATGGATTGCTGGGTCATTGTCGATTCCGCATATACCAATATCCTGGATTGTACAACAGCTTTCCCGCTGTTCCAGGTCTTCAGAGGCATTGAATTGTGTCGCTCAGCCACTGCTCCCTTAGATGGCAGTGAGGGAGTAAGAAATCGAATGTATATGGATACAAATCACACACACTATTATAACAACACCGCCACACTCTCAAAAATTAAAATACGTTATTAGTGAGCCCTCTATGATTTATGCATATCCAACGGCGACTTCTCCCACATCTTCCACAAGAATGCTCCCACAGGCGGTTCTCGTACAAACGGTTATCCCGCAGACTATAGATGGTTTTTTTCACAAGCGATTATCCCGCAGGTAGTTATCCCACAGATGGTTATCCTATAGACAATTATCTTATAGGATGTCATTTTATACGTACTTATTCTCTGAACAGTTCTCTTATAATCCGCAGATAGTCATCTTATAGATGATCATCCCATAGATGATTATCCTATCGAGAGTGATTTATCATAGGAGATTCCTCTGTAAAAGGACTTTTCAGAGTTGGTCGCCCTTAAAAGATTGGTTCTTTGTTTTATCTCCTAGTTGTAGCTCTGTTTATTCTATGTTAATACTGTGGCTGCTAAGCGAATACCCGGGGAGGCTATAGCTTATATAATCCCAAGTAGATCCAGCCTTCATCTATGTAAACAACCGGCAAGAGACAGAGTCATAATATGACTTGGCTACACAATGTATCAACTTCGGTTCTGTCTGGCTATCTTTGACTCTATTAGGCTTGTTACAAAGCCCGCGTGAAAATAGGCCATGATGAATGGCGGTAGATCCTTGTTTCAGATCCACAATGTTTATGAAGTTGGCTAAGCATGACAGAGTGATTAAGGAGCTTTGCATGTGCCCGAAAGAAGCGAGCTGTATTTGCGTGGAGGTATTTTCGAACCTTGAAAGAATCCGAAGGCGATAGAAAGTGTCCAGTCATGCAAATATCATGGACTGAGGCCGGTCAAAGGACACCTTTTCAAGCTGTGCAGCTAAAATAAACCCGAGTGCTCGTGATTCAAATCAAGAAGCCCGCCCACAAAATCATCTTGTCGCTCCCGAATGGTTGGGGCGGTACATCCGTCACCTTGGAATAAACGGATGCCTGTCCGATTCCCATATTCTCTGCGATCCATTGCAAACAGTCTTGCAAGTAGCAACGTACCTGTGACACCACACTTTCAAGCTGCAAGGTGATGTGCAGAACTTTCATAAGGAGCAGGCCACCTACTAACCTGCCTCGACCTCGTGCCTCGATGCTGGTCGCACCTCGTGCGGCTTCTTGAATAAATAGATGCATGTTTTCAACCAGGTGGTAAGGTATCGATGCTAGAATCTCCGACAAGAGAAGGTGAATTTCATCTTCCCATTCGTTGTCCCTCGTGCCATTGGTGGTCGGGGTGAGTCTCACGAGGAGGTCCAAGAGAAGGAGACGTGCCACACGATAGGTATTCCATACATTAGCTGTGCAGTGGTCGCAGTAGAAGTCCACTCTACCAGGCCAGAAGCCTGGTTGAGGGTATGACGACACCCCATTGATCTGACCGACCATAGTAGGCTTGCATTCCGACGTGCGAGTGTTCTGCCACAGAACAAAGCTTTGGTCTAGCGCGCGCGCCTGTCGCAGAATTATGTCCCAGTCGACGGTGCCAGGTGAATCAGATGCCAAAACAAGGCTTGAGTTTAAGAACAGCGTGTCGAGCTGTATTAACAATGCATCCAAACCGAATGATGTTCGTGTGTCTGCAGAAGGGAGTGAAAATATGCCCTGCGCTTATGTGTGAGTTGAGTGCATAACGCTCGTTCGTAAATGACAGGCTACTATAGGAGAACAAGTCATCTTACACTCCTTGGCTTCTTAGCTATGAACGAATAATTATGCGTTGTAAGCCGTAGAAGATTCATCGGAGAATTGTCGATACGCAAGATGGCAGCTATTCCTTGTGCATGTGCAGAATGATGTTCCCTCCCTTCTACCGCCACGATAATCTACGAGGGGACGAGGTCAGAACAACTTTGAAAGAACTGTCAACGATGAGCCTGAAGAGTTGCGCACCTCATATAAACCAAGAAGCATAGCTATCGCCAGAAGCTCAGCCTCAGCCGGAATAGCCACACCAGCAACCGCATTTGCAAGCTCCCCCAACAGGTCGTTATAAAGGGTCTCAGCCTTTTTGGTGAGGACAGGCCGGCCCAGGCATATTCCACCGCTCGCGAAAGCTACGGCTTGGCAGGCTTTGGCAATATTTGAATGTATGCCGTGGTAAAGAATCATGTTTTGGAGACCAGCGAGAAACCCGGGCTGGGTTTCATCGTGCAATGGAGCGATGCAGAATTCAAACAAGAATGATTGGAGACAGTAAATAGTTTCTTGCTCGTCGGTGACCTCCTTGGGCAAGTCATCAGCTGGAAAGCTATCCGTGCCCGGGAATGGTTCCCGCACGGGTAGAGTACACTTGCGCGGCACTAGGTCGGAAGCTACTGCGACGACGGATCGACTTTGATGACCTTGAAAGTTGATATCTGTGCTGTCTTCATACCCACTACAGGTACGTCTTGCTTCAAGGCATCTCGTGCAGGACTAATCCAGAGGTCAGCCTTGACAAATCTCTAGGACTTTGGAGGGAACTACGGGGCCGCGCGACCACATACTGGTCGAGTTTCATCGCACTGTTTGAAAGGATGGTCGTGTCAGCAGCACATACAACGATGCAAGGCGCGCAAGACTAACCTTCTTTCTCCTATGCTTACAGGTCAGACAGGCCCGAGAAGGCCCGAAGTAAACCATTCTTGACGGTGACCGGGGAGCGCTGAATGGGTTGCAGGTTTTGGCGTCTTTAGTCGTGGGAAGTATGAATCAGTATCTTCAGTGTTTGTGAAGAAAGTCGTAGCGTCTGATTATTACGGCGTTTTCTCTGGGATTACGGATGAACTGCTGAGTGGGCCCGTCGTATCCGATCGGGAGACGCTCAACGCTAACTCGAACAGTATCAGCTCTTCTGCATCCTGCAGGAACATCTACATTTTGAGTTAGCGTTGCGCCGCCCCGGATGTCTAATTCAGTACACACGGGTACCGCTATCTCAGCACTTCAAATTCAGTCAAACATACCGAAGCCGAGTGGCTTCATTGGCAAGTCGCTCGCTATCCGCAATGCCAGATCAGTCATCAATTTCGTCAAGAAGTTTTCAGGTTAGTCTTGCGCGACTGCGCCGCGTTGGGATGGCGGTGGCCAAATACTTACGAATGGTGAGTGCATAACGATGAAATATAAATACAGATCATGACTTACATCGACTTCATCACTATCGATGCACCGCAGATACACGGTCCTCTCTCATACATTTATTCATTGCATCAAAGAAGCGCAGCTTCATCATGGAAGACAATAGAGCTGCGTGGCTCGTCGGCAAGAAAGTTGTTCCTTTAGAGGTCAAGCCGGCTCCACTAGAAGACCCCGACGACAACCAGGTGCTTGTGAAGAATCACGCCATTGCTGTCAACCCGATTGATGTTAATGTGCAGTACAATGCTCCAAGTTGGATGGAAACCACTTACCCGCGCGTCCTTGGTGTCGATGTCGCTGGGGAAGTCGTAGCTATTGGGCCCAACGTTACACGATTCAAGAAGGGCGATCGCGTACTCGGCAATGCAGTTGGGCAGTATACGAAGCGTGCCACCGCCAATGGCTTTATGTCCTACACCATCTTGCAAACAAACATGGCAAGCCCAATCCCAAGTCACATCCCGTTCGAGGAAGCTGCAGTCATCCCACTGTGCCTTTCGACCGCCGCCGCTGGCCTCTTCCAGAAGGACTTCATGAGCCTGAATCTGCCTACCGAGCCTCCTCGGCAGCCAAACGGGGAGACACTGCTCATCTGGGGCGGTGCAACAAGCGTCGGCTGTAATGCGATTCAGCTCGCCATCGCCGCCGGGTATGAGGTAATTACCACGGCGTCCCCGAAGAATTTTGAGCTCATGAAAAGACTGGGCGCGACTCAAGCCTTTGACTACAACAGCTCTACCGTCATACCCGACCTCATAGCGGCTTTCGAAGGTAGACACAGCGCTGGTACTCTGGATTGTATCGGTCCCGCTGAGAACGGCGCTGGAGCAGCTGTGTTGGAGGTCGTCAGCAAAGTCTCGGCGGGGTCCAAGTTCGTGGCGACTGTGAAGCCGCACCTTCAGATCCCTGATGGAGTTAGCACCAAGCATGTTTACGCTCTATCAATCTACAATAATTTTGTGAGCAAGGGTGTTTACGAGGACTTTCTGCCTCGTGCCTTGGAAGTTGGCACCTTTGTTCCTGCACCGCCACCCCTGATTGCTGGCAGAGGTTTGGAAAGCGTTCAGGTGGGCATTGATATTCTGCGGAAAGGCGTGTCGGCTCAGAAGGTTGTGGTATCCTTGTGAAGTAGAGGTCCTGGGCGTTCAATTGAGTTATTGATATCCAGTATTTTCGACGTCTATATACATATTCAAGTTGGCGGTCCCCCCCCCCCCCCCTTCAAAAAAAAAGGTGTATGTGGAAATGCATCACAGTACGGTCCAGGTGATGGCGTGCACTCATGCTATCAGATGACTCAATGATTTCATGGTCTGTGATATTCTCAAGCAGCTCATAATTTGTCCTTCGACAAACAATGTGTATATATCCATATATCGCCCGGAACGATGGAAAGGGGTTCAGCAGCCATTATGGACACCTCTCAAAGTATCTGACGATCGCCGCACCAGAATTTGCCTAGCTAGAAACTTCACCCTTTGTCTTTTTGTTTCGGTAGAGCCCAAAAATCCGTGCAATCTCAACCCAGAATCCCACAACCTCTTCCTCGTAGCTGGCTTCGTAGACATCGATGGCTGGCGCAACCCAGACGAGGTCCGCCTCCTCAGGCTTGATGAACTTGGTGCGGTGTGTCAACTTCCATCCAAAGTACAGGATAGGTGCAATAAAGACCATCGTATAGTAGGTGAAGAAGGACTTCACATCCCAGTGGCCGGGTAGAAACACGCTGTAGCCGTATACGCACACGATCGTGGTCATAAAGACCAGACCAATCCATCCACAGTAAGGCTGAAATTTCCCATAGTAAGGAAGCTGCCTGCGATCGAGCCCTTGAGCCTGGCAGGCTCTGTAAAAGAAGATGTATGTGGTACAAATGATTATGTAGTTAATCACCTGTGCACCTGTGACGAGATTGACAAACCAGCTCAGCACCTGAGATGTACTGCTAGAAAGGTTGAGGAAGGCCAGGCAAGGGAAGATCATGGTGCAGGCCAATGCATAGACAGGTGCTCCGGCCTTGGTACATTTGCGAAGGAATTTGGGGGCGTGTCCATCAAGGGCCAGTCCGTAGAGGCTACGTGCGCCACAGTACGTGTAAGCATTGCCAGCCGAAAAGATACTGGTAACCAGCAGGGCGTTGGTGATGTGAGGCAGGACGCCAATCCTAAGGTTGTTCATCGCGATAACGTAGGGCGAGGCCGCAGCAGTTCCGGCACCTTCGCCCGCACCATTCAGAATATTCGCCAGGGTTTTGTCGTTATAAGGTATGACGATGCCAACACACAGGGCGCTCCCGATAAAGAACAAACCAAACCGAAAGTACGCTGTCTTGAAGGCCGTCTTCAGGTGTCGTCGAGGCAATTTGGTTTCACCAGCCACCATAGCAACATATTCGGGTCCCACGATTGTGAATACAGCGCTCCACAAAGAAGCCAAGAAGCCTTGGAAGCGGCCTAAGTCACCGGTCGTGATATGCTCGGCAAATGCGCCAGGATCTTTCCAGTATCTGAAGCCATATGCGTCGTGCTTTGGGTTGCCACCGACCATAGTGATAAAGGTAAAACAGAAGACCATGGCAAGCAAAAGGATTTTGCCAGTCGCAAGCCAGAACTCGCATTCACCATACCATTCAACAGCAAATACATTTATACAGCTAAGTGCGATTAGTAAAGCCTTGGGCGAGGCCTCGAGTTGTGGAACAGACTAACAAATAGAGCACGATGGTGACAGCAACCACGGCGGCCACTGGTATATCATCACGCCAGAACGAAAGGACGAGGGTCAATGCCGATATCTCGAAAGGGATCAGGAGCGCTTCATAGATGAAGAAGTTCCAGCCGGCTAAGAATCCAAAAGATTCATCGACCCACTTTCCAGCCATGCGGATAAAAGCACCCGTGACTGGCTGGAAGGAGGCCATTTCAGCCATGCAATTGTTCACGAGGCCCATGATACAGGCATAGAAAGTGTAGGCAAGGAAGAGGCTGCCCGGCCCACCGGCCGCGAGACCTGTGGAGATGCTGACGAAGGTAGCCGTTCCGATGGAACCACCAATGGCAATCAGTTGGATCTGTCGGTTTCCGAGATGGCGCTTGAGCTGGTCTGGATCGGCATTGACAATGTCGCCCACGTGGACACTTCCGTGAGTCTGGGTCGGACCGAGGCTCTTCCCTTTGTCGTCGTTTTTTTCGTAGGTATCCATATCCGTTCCGATGTCTGTGCTGTTCTTGGAGGTAGACATTGACGCGGTGTAACGAGAGTTGCAGACTCTTTTCGACTGTGGAGGTCAGAAGACTGAACTGAAAGTCAATTTGGAACCTGCAGGTACAGTAGGAATGCGTAACAAAAAAAACACCGAAAAAGGGAAAAAAACAAAGAGATAAGGAACAGAATGCTACGTGGCTCGGCCAATCTATAGGCATCCGGAGACGGATCAGAGCCCGATGTTGTGTATCGGCTAAGCCGCAGCTGTCGTCCTGATCTACACTAGACCCCCTGCCATGAATCTGGGGTAGACCGGGCTGGTCCGCGATACGCCTAAGTCCCCGTCGGCTGTGGTATTCTTCTCATATCTACCTGAATAGACTGTGATCGGCTTTACCTCCGTTCATTACTCATATGATCAACTTATCGCCATTGGGCTGCAGTGTCGCTGATAACAAGAGGAGGCGAGGAGGAGTTGAGACAGTGGATAGGTGCAACGTGGACCAACGGAACTAACCTAGACTAGTATTCCAAGTACGATATCGACCAAGCGAGGAGCATGTATTCAGGGCCGTGAACGGGCTCACGCACGTGTTTGTGCTGCCGGAAGTTGTTCAAAGGATAGTTACAATCGCTTCTTGCTCCGATTGCTTGACGATATCGGCGTCATCGACCGGAGGTGTGGGAGCACAAGACGCATGACCACGGCCGTCTCCCACCCGAAACGAAAGCGTATCGCACGCTACCAAGTATTAATCTGTGTTGGCCGTCCCCGCGTTGTTCTCAACAATCGCAAGACTATGAGAGACATCTCCTTCACTGTGATTCCATCTGCTTTGCGTAGAAGCTGAGCATTCACCTCCAATCTCGACCCCGACATTGCTATGAAAAAAATCAACCGCGTCTTTGGATCTTTACGATCTGTGTCAAACCTGGTTGCTGTGCCTCCTCCGGTCTCTGCTCGCCCACCTTTAGCGGCTTTGTCCAATGGTAACCTGCTGAGATCCTTGCTCATCGCTGGAGTCTCGTCCAAGAGGGTTCTGCTTATACCTTGCCTCAAAATCTTATCTTTTCTCTCACAACCGGAACGAGGCTACCTCTTTAACGCCGAAAAGAATCCTATACTTCATGCAATACTCAAGAAGACATTCTACAATCAGTTTTGCGCTGGCGAGACACCATGGGAGACCAAACAATGTGTCCGCCGTCTTAAGGACCTCGGGTTTAGTGGTGTCATTCTTACATATGCTCGCGAGACAGTCTTTGACCATCGTTCCGACAAAGTAGGCATACAAGGTGTTTCAAAGCCTCATAATGCGCGTCTGCCTCATCCTGTCTTTTGCAAGCATATTGAAGAGTGGCGGAATGGAACGCTTGAAACCATGAAGCTGGTTGAGAAGGGAGACTATCTCGCCCTGAAGTAAGTTGGACTGGTAATTCTAAATTCATAATACACATCTAACCACTTGGATATACTCTTATCTCCATTTCATCTACGCACACATGGATCGGATTCTCTTTGACTGACTTTATGTTATAGATTGAGCGGGGCGGGCCCGAGTGTCACTGAAGCCTTCGCCATGGGGCGGCCAGCGCCAGAACAATTCACCGATGCTCTGGAAGAGATCTGCGCTAAGAGCAAGACAAGTTCGATCAGAGTCATTGTTGATGCTGAGTCTCAGCACTTCCAGAAGGGCATCGCTGCAGCCACACTTGAGGCTATGCGCAAGTTCAACCGCGACGGTTCCGCCGTCGTCTACAACACATATCAAGCATACTTGAAGCGCACGCCGGACGTGCTCGCACAGCACCTCGAGGCAGCCAGTAAGGACGGCTTCACTCTCGGCCTCAAGCTGGTCCGCGGCGCCTATATACTCTCTGATGACCGTTCCTTGATTCACGACACCAAGCAGGAAACAGACAATGCATACAACCGCATCGCCAGGGGAGCCCTCCAGCAGCACATTGGTGATTTTGGAGCCGAAGGCCGCAAGCCGTTCCCCTCGGTGAACCTCTTTCTGGCCAGCCACAATAGGGAGAGTGTCCTCGGTGCTCACAGACTGCACCAGGAACGGACAAAGAAGGGCTTGCCTACCGTGCCCGTCGGCTTCGGCCAGCTACACGGAATGTCAGACGAGGTGAGCTTCTCGCTGCTTGCAGAGAGGTCTGGGCCCGAGACAGGCCCAGAGGTCTTCAAGTGCTCTACCTGGGGCAGCATGGGCGAGTGCCTGGGCTACCTGCTTCGGAGAGCGGTTGAGAACCGCGATGCGGTGATACGGACGACCGATGAGTACACAGCACTTAAGTCTGAGGCATGGAGGAGACTCAGATCTGGATCCTCATCTTCGATCTAAGCTAGTCATTCTGTAGCACTCATAAACCCAACGCAGGTTTTCACAACTAGTTCAACACCCTGCGAATGCGATATGTCGCGGAGACAAGTATCATCTGCATGAACAAGATCTCATGTGCAGCTTTGATCACTGCGCCGTCATTTCCATGTCACTAGGATATGTTCTAAGCAAACGCCGACCATGCGTTATCTCTTGGACATGACCGGTTGCGTACCCGAGAATCATGAACTAAAAGTGGGGCACAGCATCGGCTGTGCTTCCGATGCGGCACACGGATGGGCCGATGAAACGCGGATCTCCCGTCGAGATAAGGCTCCCCAGAATAGAGTGATACCGGAAGCGCCCCTTTCTGGTCATTTGCATCTGGGGAAAGGGTTGCATGTGACGTTTCTGCAAGCACCAAGCCCGGGATTATCTGAGATTTACGTCTTGCAGTGCCAAGGCCGGCAAAGTAGTCGTCAAGGTGCAGACAGCAGCGTGCAAGGACGTGTTCTAGGTCAGCCGTGATCAGTCTTTCCGCATACTTCCTCTCTTACAATTCCTCACTTGCGTCACTCAAACCGGATATTGCTCTCCTACGACTCGAAAATGTCATCACTGTGCATATTGGGTTGTGGTATGTTGCTGGTGGCAACCCTCTTTGGCTGGTCACGGACGCTGAGAGTTGCTAATACATGTGCTACCTAGGAAACCTTGGAACAGCTATCCTGACAAGCCTACTTGAGGCCTCTGAGAAGGACAAATCTTCTCTCAAGATCAGCCGATTCACTGCTTGTGTCCGCAGTGAGCAATCCGCGAAACGATTGCGTGACAAGTTCGCTGGGGTTGCCGAGGACCGTCTGAGAATCTTGAGAAATGATAATGCGAATGCGGTCAAGGACTCTGATGTGGTCCTGGTGGGAGCCGATCCAGCCGACGTCCGCGAGCTTCTGACGCAATCTCGCCTTGAGAGCATCTCTCTCAAGGGAAAACTGTTCATAAGCATCGTCGCAGGCTGGACCACACAGGAACTTGAGGCGGCCCTCCCTGATGGTGCTACCACCGGGCCAGAGAGGGCTCACGTTGTACGCACATTACCTAACATCGCGGCCACTGTTGGCCAGTCTATAACTGCAATTGAGGCGCCCGATCCGAGTCTGCCTCCAGAGTTCCTTGAGGTCACGCACTCGATCTTCAATCACATAGGCAAGGCAGTACAACTGCCTCCGAGGCTCCTGGATGCATTCACCGCGGTTGGAGGATCCACGCCTGCGTTCTTCGCCGTCATTGTCGACGCGTTGATAGACTCCTCAGTTGCTGTAGGCGTACCGAGGAAAGAGGCTACAGACATTATTGTGCAGTCAATGCTTGGAACAGCGACTCTCTTGCAAAGTGGGATCCACCCAAGTATCCTCAGAGATCAAGGTACCTCCCCCGAGGGATGTACAATAGGTGGGCTTATGGTGCTTGAGGAGGCCGGAGTACGAGGTCACATTGGTCGGGGTCTTCGTGAAGCTGTCACTATTGCTCGACTAATGGGCAAGGATCCCCATGTGAATGATACTAGGCACTAGAAATGAATAGGAACTGGTGCCGCAGGACCAAAACAATCACTTCATATCAACTGCGCTGAATGCTTAAATGGTAACTTTATATCGCGAAGAATAGCCCTGTTGCCTAAAGAAGATTGGCTTGGCGTCATGATAATTCTCCATCAAACGAGGCTCTATTTTACATTCGACTCCCAATGCGTCTCGAATCACGGAGAGGTAAGCTTTCTTCGATCCGCGCACACGCCTCCGTGCCTTTGCGAACCGCATCCTTGGTCGACTCCCCTGGTGGGACATACGGTGTCCTAGGTCGCAATTTTCTCTCCGCATCCTTGATGCCGGCGTAAGCAGCACTGCGGATGGCGGCAGCATACTTGGTCGCGCCAATTCCCTCCTTGATCTGTTGCTCCGCCAGCGCAGCCGTCTGGTGGATTCTCAATGCCTCGTCGTATTTGCCCTCACGGTAGAGGTCGTAGATCCTAGCGATCGTCTTGGGAAAGACGTTCGCGAAGGCCGCGATGCAACCGACGGAGCCGGAGCTCAGTCCGCCTATGATGAAGTCGGACTGACCACCAAAAGTTGCGAATTTAGGGAGGGCAGCCGCGAGCCGGGTGGTCTTGGCCACGGATCCACAAGTGAGTTTGACCCCGACGATGTTGTTGTGTTTCTTGGCAAGCTTGGTGATGAGTTCTGACGAAAGGTCAACGCCATTGCAAACTCCCGGGAAGTTATAAATGATAACAGGCAATTTGCTGCCCTTGGATATGTCGGCGTAGAATTTCTCAATGACTACTTGTGTTGTGGCCTTCCCAAAATAGCCGGGAGGTAGTACCAGGACGCAGTCGGCACCCGCCTGTGCTGCATCGTCGATGTGTTCAAGCACCTGCTTGGTCGAATGTGCTCCAGTGCCAGCCATGATCGGGAAATCGGGGCCAATTGCCTTGCGGGCAGTAGCAATAAGCGTTTTACGCTCTTCACGAGTTAAGAGGAAGGCCTCAGCATTTGTGCCGAGGATGACCAGGCCGGCCAGCCCAGTCTTGGAAAGATAGGCATAATATTTGGCCTGTGCTTCCAGGTCTAGCTCGTCTGTATCTGGGTCAAAGAAGGTGACGGCCGGGCACCACACGCCTCCCGGAGGAACACTGGCGACCATGGTTTCGTCTTTCACTGGCCTTTGCCTTGATGATAATAGATTATACAACAAATAGGCGGATTGGAATTTTTGAATTGCTTTGAAAAACGATCAATTCGTAGTGCCCAGAAACATATCACTTGACATTCCGCAAGTATTTCAACTAATTAAATCATTCCCTCCTCGGCATTCGCGACTCAGAATGTTACCATCCGTAATTCTGCCATCCTATATCACCACTGCAGTTGAGCACTCCGATATCTTTCCGAGTATCTCAAACCTAGAAGAAAATAGTGCATTGAGCATCGGATGGGCCGTCCTTGCGCTAATGCGTGTCAGTGCATGACCGGAAGCCCCACGGCGTACACGACATGCCGGTAAATGGGCCGGTGCAGACGACTTGATAATTGCATATTCTACTCATTATAACGGGGCTGCACACGGCTCGGGCCTAGATCCGGGGACCTGCCACTCCGTTTTTCAAAATTTGGTACTATCACAAGACCGCCTCTCTCATGGTATCACATAGGTCTCAATCTGCCGGCCCCGGTCTCCGACAGCGGGACATGATACTTGAGCAAGGGCGAGTTTCCGATGGATGCGACTCGCTCTGCGGGCCAACTCTTTACATCCGTTACATACTTTAACATTCTTCCCCAAGCCTCCTGATCAGGCGAGGTAGTAATAACATTGACAACTTGAGTTTTGGCACGCACAGAAGAGTATGAACAGACTAGCAGCACCAAGCCGGTTGGCGAGACACTCAGTCCGCAACGCCCTCCAGAGTGCAGCTGCAAGCCGAGGGAAGACAACTGTCCCGTTCAGACTGCCAGCTGCGCGAAATGAGCCAAATGTAGGTTCTTTAATCATCCGGCACGACAATGTTGGAATGAATTGCTGATGCTGTTGATTAGCCCGAGTACAGAAGAGGCTCACCTGAGCGTAAGCAGCTCGAGGAGACGCTGGCAAAGCTCAAGTCTCAAATCCCGCTGAAAAGCGAAATCTTCATCAATGGCAAGGTCCAGGCAGAGTCTGCATCAGAAGATCAGCCCCTCCCTAGCGAGCATGCCACCACATTCACCAACTTCCCCTTGGCGACCAAGGGGCAGGTCTCCAACGCTATTGAGTCAGCGTTGAAGGCCAAGAAGTCGTGGGAGCAGACGCCCTTCGTCGATCGTGCCGCCATCTTTCTGAAAGCCGCCGAGCTCGTTTCCAAAAAGTACCGGTATGAGCTCATCGCGGCGACTATGCTCGGCCAGGGCAAGAACATCTGGCAGGGTGAGGTCGACGCCGCTGCTGAGCTGGCTGACTTCTTTCGGCTCAACTGTAACTATGCTGCTGAGCTGCTCGAGAGGCAGCATGACCGTGGGAGCGACGGCATGTGGACCCGGTTAGATTACCGGCCACTTGAGGGGTTCGTCTATGCCATCTCGCCCTTCAACTTCACGGCCATCGGTGGCAACCTGATTTCTGGGCCTGCGTTGATGGGCAATGTTGTGCTCTGGAAGCCTTCAGCGTCCAATATTTACGCCAGCACAATTGTCTATAAGATCCTCTTGGAGGCCGGTCTGCCTCCAGATGTGATCCAATTTGTCCCCGGCGATGCTGAGGAAATCACATCGACTGTTCTATCTCATCGGGAGTTTGCTGGGTTGAACTTCGTCGGCTCCTCTGACGTCTTCCGTTCCATTTACGCCAAGATCGGCGAGGGCATTGGCAAGAGGCAGTATCGGGACTTCCCCCGGGTTGTCGGTGAGACCAGCGGCAAAAACTTTACTCTCATCCACCCCTCAGCCGACATCACCAGCGCCGTCAACCACACAATCCGTGGTTCCTTTGAATACCAGGGCCAGAAGTGCTCAGCAACCTCTCGTCTCTATCTTCCTGAGTCAAGATCCAAAGAGTTCCTCAGTGGTCTCCAGTCCAAGATCGCCGAGATTACTATCGGCAGCCCAGACAAGGACCTATCAGCCTTCATGGGCCCTGTCATTCATCGTCGGTCGTTCGATAAGATCAAGTCCATCATCGACGCCAGCAACAAGGACCCTTCACTCAAGCTCCTGGCCGGTGGCAAGTATGATGACTCGGTGGGCTACTACGTCGAGCCCACCGTCTACCTCGCAGACTCGCCAACACATCGGCTGTTTGACGAGGAGATTTTTGGCCCTGTGCTGGCCATCCACACCTACCCAGACAACCAGTGGAGCTCCGTCCTGGAGCAAGTCGACAAGAGTGGCGGTGGCTTTGCTCTGACTGGTGCCGTGTTTGCCAATGACCGTGCCGCCCTGAGAGAGGCGGAGGATACCCTGCGGTACTCGGCCGGTAACCTGTATCTCAGTAAGTCCAGTTCTTCAACATAATTCTTCCCCCTTGTAAAACGCCCGATTTGATTGCTAACAATGAATCTCTCCCAGACTGCAAGACCACTGCAGCTCTCATCGGCCAGCAGTCTTTCGGTGGCAGCAGGGCAAGTGGGACCAACGACAAGGCAGGCAGCTCAAATGTGTTGTTGCGTTTCACCAGCCCCCGTCTGATCAAGGAGGAGTTCTTTGGGCAGACAGGTTTCAAGTACCCCAGCAACGAGTAGATATGTGCTTGGTTGATACATGATTCTGTACCATTAATCAATCTCATGAAATGAACATAAGCGCATGTCCTTTGAAAACGGCGAGTATGTGTAAGCCAGCGGCGAAGACAGGTAGATTTGGTCAATGAACCATGACGGGGCATTAAGCCTGCTTAAGCCTATTGGCTCTTGAGTCCGAATAACTTTTAGACGGTCCTTCTGAAAGCTTTTAGTGTGGTCAAATTGACATAAATGCCTATGTGACTAGAAGTGAATTTGCCATTCGCTATGAGTCTGTGTGTAGAAATTCCGTACCTATCCAGCATCCCTAGCCCCTCGGGCTGTACTTGCCTATTCGTGTAGTAAATTTTCGAGCTAATTGCATGGACCCCTGTGAAGCTCATCTTGAGGATGCGGTAAGCGATACTATCTATCCATTGAGCCCCTCACTGAAGCAGTGAAGTGAGTAGAATCATCAAAGTAGATGGCAAATGAGTGACGGCCTGGCCTTATGCACCGATGAATCTATTGTCAGCGGCAGAATCTGAATCATCATTCTTCTGTCACCATATTTGGCGCTGTAGCCATCTTGGACGGTCTATAATCTATGAACCTTGCCAAGCCCGAAATTTAAAAGACTCACCACCTGTGCTCCATCATGCTTTTACGAACATTTCGGAGGGGAGACCACATATGAGTGTATGGGACCAAACTAGTCTTACGCCTACTAATGGTATCACGAAGCACCATGGCTCTGAAAACCCAGCTTATCCCCAGCTATGATTGACATTCCCTGAGAAAGTCATTCAGCTGTTAATTGCGCCCGCCCGTCATGGTGCTTGCTCATCCCAAGCACCGCCGGCTTTCAGAGAGGAACGCAAATGATTGTTGAAGATGACTCCGAATCCAAATGCCGGGACCAGTCGGAAAGCACGCATGACCGTGGTCGAAGCCAATTTCTCCCGCGTCTTCGCGGCTCGACCCGCGAACCCGAGGCGCCCCGGCCGGTTGTATATGTCCAAGGCGAGGAGGTGCACAGGTGTGGCCACGACCTGCGTCAGGGCAGGGACGATCAACTGGGCGGCCGACGCCTTGGCTTTCTCGGTGCGGGCCAGGGCGTCGGGGATGATAGCCGACACCTGGGGCGCGAGGGCAAAGGAGCCAAAGACAGTAATAATATCGCGCAGGAGGAAAGCCCCCGTCGCCGAGAGGGGCACCTTCCGAGCTCCACCGATCTGGGGCGAGGCAGCTTTGGGGCTCCCGGCTCCTGTTTGCGCTGATGCTGCGACGCGTGATGTTTTGGTCGTCGTTGTCTGCGCCGCGGGCTCCTGGAGCGTGCTAAAGAACTGCGAGAAGCGGACGTCCTTCCAGACGCCGAGGGGTGTGTTGACTATGAACACGGCCGAGGAGACGATAGTCCCGGTCAGCGCCTTCTCGATTGCGAAATACTTTTCAGACACCGTCTCTGTCACGTTGGCCGTGAAATAAGTTGCTGCGTACAGAGTCCACACTACAAAGACGGGCTTAGTCGCGAAGAAGCGGCGTGGATTGATGAACGGGCAGAGGAGATGCTTTGCCAGCGTTTTAAGCAACGGGCTTGATGTTGACACACTCTCAACCACAGACCTATAAAGCCGGTCAGCCTATGTCTTGTTCGAATTCCAGGCCTTGGTACTGGACCGACGTACGGGAATTTTAGGCTCACCTGTCTGTAGCTGTAATGATGGGGGCAATAATAGCGGCTGATGTTATTGCGGCTATAGTATCCGCCACCATATGACGCTGAAAGCAGATGTCTTCATGGCCGTTTGAGGGGCTGATGTTCCTCGACTCTTTTTCCATGTTACTGGAGGACGAAGCTGCTCACGATCAGCAGCGGCTTCTTTATGCTAGCCGCAGAGGACTGAGACGAATAAGACCGTCCACGGCCAGCGCTGCTCACTACCAAAGGGGAAAAGACTAACATCACATGCTCAATATTTGTGCTCAGTCTCCAACGGGGTCCTCTGCTTCTCTGCACTAGACATAATGCGGACATTTACTCTGCTTGTGTTGTGATGGGCCGACGTTGGCCGCTCGGTTTATCGCATCTCGGAATGGCTTCCGAGACACCAGCATGGCCCACATGCAAGCCCCGTCGGCCGGAGTGTGGGTGGGTCCTGACTCGGACACCGGAACCCAGGCACGGGAGAGCGGCCCGCGATCATGTGTTGGCGATAGCGGAAGACGACATGCACGAAGTTGTTATCTAGAACAAATCGGCACAAATGCTGCTTCTGAGGGCGTCGTCACACCACTCACTGTACTGCTTTTCTTCTGGATAAACCAAGGTCCAGCTTTTGGCATGAACTGCACATTCTCCCAGCCTTTACTTGTACGGCCAGCACCAGGGCAATACCGCATTTGAATTTCTAGTTGAATAGGAAGCCTGCATAATCGTTGCCATATATTAAGACTGAATATAGTTTAGACGCTCGAAAACATCAATATTCAAGCATGGGCATTTCGAAGGAGGACCACATACTCATCGTCGGTGCCGGAGCCTTCGGCCTGTCAACCGCTCTCCACCTCACACAGAATGGCTACACCAACATCACAGTGCTCGAGCAGGATGACGAGGTGCCGTCGAGATATTCGGCCGCCAATGATCTGAACAAAATCATGCGAGCTGAGTATGAGGACCCGTGGTATACTGACCTCACCATGGTCAGTGACTTGCTTTCTCTTCCACATCACAAGCCAAAATACCCATCTGCCTTGGACTCCTACCAGACCTGATCTATGCTCACGATACCATGACATCTAGGAAGCTGCAGCGGCCTGGAAAACACCTCTCTTTGCTCCCTACTACCACAGAGTCGGGTTCCTGCATTGCGCCTCGGGCAAGGCGGAGAAGAGGGCAGTCGACACGCTGAACCGTTTCCGCGCGGCCGCGGAGAGGCACCCGAAACTTTCCCGTTTCGTCGTGCCTCTCGACTCGCAGGCCGACATTCAGGACCAGGCATGGCAGCTCGTGGGGCCGCTGCCCGGGTGGAAGGGCTATCTGAACCGGTACGACGGTTACACGCACTCGGCGGACGCACTACGGGCGGTGCACCGGGCCACGCAGGCGAAGGGCGTACGCTTCGTGCTGGGGCGCACCACGGGCGCGGCGCAGGAGATCTTGTACGACGGGCAGGGACGTGCCACCGGCGTGCGGACCAGGGACGGCCGGGTGCACGCCGCCGCGCTGGTGATCGTGGCCGCCGGCGCTGTGGCGTCTAGGCTGGTGCCGGGCGCGGGGGGCTTCGTGCACGCCAAGTCGTGGGCCGTCGCGCACATCCAGCTGACGCCCGAGGAGTCGGCGGCCCTGCGCGGCATCCCCGTCGTCTACGCGCGCGACCTGGGCTTCTTCTTCGAGCCGGATCCTGCCACCAACCTGCTCAAGCTCTGCCCCATGGGCGCCGGCATCGTCAACACTGACCGCGCCACCGGCGTGTCGCTACCGCCAGCGGCGCGCGAAGCCAGCTTGGGCTTCCTGCCCGCCGGGGACGTTGTCAAGCTGCGCGAGCTGCTGCGCCAGACCCTGCCTGCGCTGGCCGATCGGCCGTTTGTCCAGACATCACTGTGCTGGTTCGCCGACACCGCGGACTCGGACTTTGTCGTCGACTACGTGCCCGGCTCGTCGCGCTCCGTTGTCCTGCTCTCTGGCGACTCGGGCCATGGCTTCAAGATGTTCCCCATAGTCGGCAAGTGGATTACAGAGCTTCTGGCGTCGCCTGGCGGTCAGACCAATGCTCGATGGCGGTGGAAGGAGACGCCTAAGGCCGGGCAGGACTGGGGAAGCGCTGTGAGCTGGCGGGTGGGGACGACAACCGAGTATGCGGACATCAAGAGGGCAGGCAAAGAGAGTAGGCTGTGATGGCACAGATCTCCTTGTAACATACCTGGGGACTTCGTAACTGGGGAGGCACCGCTGTGGATAGTGCGTGAATGTCTAGATCCTACCAGATACTATTGTCCACTATAGCGCGATCTATCCATTCCGCATCCTCGTCCTGGATAGAACTAGCAATGGCCAGTATGTGATCCGCCCATAGGTCATCACCGCCTCCGATAGTGGTAGTAGGCACATCGAGTGGACCCGGTTGAGGCATAGGATACAGACCCGGATTGTTAAGAGTATTACTGGCTGCCTCTGGATGGAATATGCTGCCATGAAATGAGGGACCCCCAACATTCCCGGCGGGAGCGGAACCAACCGAAGAACGCGCGGGCTTGATGCTTGTGTCATCCGAGATTGCTGCCAACATCTTGTCCAGCTGTTGGATCTCTGACTTACGCCAGCTGGAAATCAGGTTGCCGCTTGATTCGATGTCCTCCAGCAATGCCAGGCATCTCCGCACCCATGGGTCGCGGTCTACAAGGAGGCTCTTGTCGACAGCTGCCCCGACGAGTAAAACTGTAGACGAGACGTATAGGGGGTCAAGGTCTAGTGAGAGAAATGTTTCTGCGGCTTAATGAGTACATTGGTTTCCAGACGCAATTTGGGGGGTCAACGTGACGCTTCACTTACCGAGAAGACCCTGTGCCTGCAGGCTCTCTAGGATTATAATGATCTGTTGAGCGGCCTCCATACAAACTTGCAGCACGGTGCTGAAGCGGTCTGGTATGGAAGGCTTTGAGCCCATCGGCGACTCAAGCCTTATTTTCAGGCAACAAAAGGCTAGGGGTCGCGTTGCCAGTACAATACACTACATGGGCGCAGGTGTGTTGGTCAGTGATATTATACGGGCGATAAGGCCTGAGCATATCTCCTACCTGGTGATAAAGAAGATGAAGCGATGCCGACATCCTCGATACTCCGTCGCCAGACTGATCTAGCCTTAACGGTAGAGCCTGTGTGAGCTCACTCGCCAAGACTGCTGTATTTTCCAGTGCCGCCTTGGTGCTGATTAGGAAATTCTTATTTGGCCTGCCATTCACGCCATACACAGCTGGAGCAGGGAGTCCCGTCAGTTAGTCAACCAGTCAATCAATTACGCAGGTAAATACAGTGAGGAACAAAACAGAATGTCGTGTACTAGAACGGGAAGGCTTACTGTTGTTGACTTCGGCAATCAAACGGGCCAGCTTAATGTGCAGGTCAAGAGAGGCTGTCCGTTGGGCAGAGCCTTGAAATGCTGGTAGGCAGCAGTGGACATCACCGTCTTGGATGGACTGGGGCAGTCCCATCAAACTGGTCATTTGCCGATCTAAAATATACACAGTCCACCAGATTTTGCGACACCTTTGTACGTGAGCTTCTCCAAGGTGAGCTACCGGCATATCCGTATGCATCCCATAGGCAAGAGCGGTACGCATGGCTTGGCCAATCTGAGATACTTGTCAGCTTTGAGATGGGTAGCTGAAAGACTTGCGAGCAGAGACGTACAAAAAGATGTGCGGCATTGCGATGGTCAACAGACTGAAGATAAAGCGCTACGCAGCACAACATTTCGGTCGCGACAACTGGATCCTGGCAGAGCATGTGTGGAGGCGGGAGGATCTGCATGGCTTTGAGAAAGAAGTCTGCACCACATGGTCTTTTCCCAAGGGGCTTTTTCATGACGAATATTTTCCCGAAAGCCAGGACGAGTAGGAAATGAATGTACCACAGACCCGCCTTTTCGCGCGCGACACGGCGGTTGGGTTCGGCATAGAATTGCTGGAGGCGCCGATGGAAATCGTCATCGTCAAACAGGTGAAATATCTGACCACAGTGGAATTTGACTGCGTTGATGAGATATTCGGAGTAGTCGAGACTCGGCAAGGCTAGGGGCGGTGTGTCCTTGTCCACCGACTCTAAACTCGAGCCAAGCTGACCATCACTTTTCCATCCCAGGTCGTAGGCACTACCATCGAAAAGCAGCATACTGGGTGGCAGGGGAGCTTGGTGTAGATACTCGTACGCCATCTGGAGTAGTTTGCCGGAGAAGGACCAATTTGACGTTGTGCCAAGGTAAACTATTGCGGGAACGTCAGCATGGCAGGACAGGAAGACGACTTGATAGAGCAGAAACAGACATGTCCTTCCATCCGTTGCGGACATAAACGTAGACGGTGAGGCAGCAAGTGGGTTTGTGATGCTTGTCTGATTCGGCCCTTGGTCCTCGGAGGAGGTCACCTGGCCGACTTCATTCAGGTTGGCCTGGGAATCACCTACATAGCCGGCAGTGGAACAAGTTAGTCTCTGGATCGGATCACTCGCTGAACGTGTCTTGGTCAACAAACCATCTTCAAAGACAGCATCATCCCCTTGAGCTGAGACAGACAGAGCCGACACGCTGCCCTCGGCCGCGGGATAGGCGGAAGTACCGAGGGGCACACTGCCTTCGGCTGGGGGCGGCGAGGGTGGGTGGTGCTCAAGGCGGCCACTCCTCCGTTGTAGGTCCAGGAGGTACCTGGAAGACCTCATTCAGCACGCCCAAGGTTGCAAGAGACTGGCATTCTGGAGGGGGCGTATATACGCTCTAGATACGACGACTTTGGTGTCGCTGTCATCGAAATTACACGCAACCTTGCGTTTCCTGCAGCCTTCGCAGGGCTGTAGCCCCGAGCATTTTATCTTTTGCTTGCGGCAGCGAGAGCATCTATATTATGACAGATATCGTGTTAGGTGAAAAAGCCGTTCTGTATAGCAATTATGGGGGGAATAAGACAGGCCGGGAGGGAGGGAGGGACTCACGCGTTGGATGATCGTTTGGCAGCCCTTTTCGCAGCAGTGGCTGTCTCCATGACAACACGGCCAACATCAACAACAACAACAATTCACTCGAGAGCTGGCCTATCGTGAGTCTTCTCGGATCCGCGAGGTCGAATTGGCTTTGGAATCAGTCTGCTGGATGGACAACGGACGGGATTGCCGGCCATATCTGTCGACGAGGTGCTATGCTCTCCGCATTGGTTTTAGGTCGTCTACCAAGGCGGCTGTTATCTGTGGAGGGGGCTGGAGATAGGGGAGTAGGCTGCTGTGTACGTCCGTAGATAGGCGGTGTTATTCTTAGAAGCCCCTATCAGGCGTATCTAGCGTATCTCTCCAGCTCCAGGGGCGGCTTGTTATCAGCCGCTTGCTCCCAGCTCCCAGGCTCCCCCGCACATTTCCCCAGATTTTCAGTGTCATGATCTGTCCGATGACATCCCCACCCAGAGGAGGCCAAGGCCCTTCCTCCCTCCTGGCCTGGTCCTTGCTAAGGGCCATCAGCTCTCCCCTACCCATTTTTTGCAACATGACCATGATTTAGCGCAACGTCGTGAAACCTTGACAAGATCTGCCTGCCAACACCACAACAGCTGCATCCGAACATCGGCCAAGGGCAACCTTCATTCATACAGCTACCATCAGGACAAATGTCGGCATTGTTGTCAGATACTGCTGCTCGCTCAGGTGGATCAAACCACGTGAGCCTGCCTAATTGCATAATAAATAACACCCACATGATGCAATACGCCGAGCACACCGAGAATACTTACTCGTCGGCTCTTCCGATGGTCATCGGTCCCTGTCCCGGTCTCCGCTTGCACATAGCCTGTGAACCTCTGGATACCTACACCCATACAATTTTCTTCATGCGAATGAAGTGGCGGCTATTCCGTCACTGAGCATATGCCTTCCCGATGCCCAAGCGATGACGGGGTTGAGATATCTCCGTCAACCTGAAGCACCGCAAGTTCATGGCCGATCACGGATAGGATGGTTGGTAGTTTTTGACATGGCGAGGTGACGCCAGCAGCGGGCACGATGCCGGAGATACCTCAGCTTTCTAAGAGACACACCATGGAGGTGATGATTTTTGAGTATATAGACGGTCCAGTGTGCATGTAGACAGATTCAGTTGAAGGGGCTGAAGTCATTAGCAGCAGCTCTACTGCATCATATCAAATCCATTCGAGCTAAATTTCCACCCATTATCTTAGACAAGATGGCAGAGAATCAGGTCCGGATCCTGGGGCCAACCACTGCGGCTCACGACAAAATCTTGACGCCACAAGCAATTCGCTTTGTCTCTCTCCTGCACCGATGTTTTAATGCACGGCGCCTGGAGCTCCTCCGCGCTAGAGAGGCTCGCCAGGCCGAGTTCGACCGCGGCACGCTCCCTACCTTCCTCCCTGAGACTGTCAAAATTCGGGAAGATCAGACATGGAGGGCTGTTGGGCCTGCTCCGGGGCTGGTCGACCGTCGCGTCGAGATCACAGGGCCGACAGACCGAAAGATGGTCATTAACGCACTAAACTCCAGCGTACAGACATTTATGTGTGACTTCGAAGGTCAGTGTAGCCCACCTCTTAATAATGTAGACTAGCTATGGGGCCTATATTTTGTGGAGACTAATCATCAAAAAATAACAGACTCACTCTCGCCGACATGGGAGAATCTTATCAATGGCCAGGTGAACCTCTTCGACGCAGTGCGACGCGACATTCGCTTCAATCAGAACGGCAAAGAATATTCCCTCAACCTCCAAAATGGCCGTACACCCCCGACCATCATCGTCCGCCCGCGAGGCTGGCACTTGAACGAGGCTCACTTTCTAGTCGGCAACGAGCCCGTCTCGGGCGCTATATTCGACTTTGCACTCTACTTTTTCCACAATGCCACCGAGTCTGTGAGACAAGGCTTTGGGCCATACTTTTATCTCCCAAAACTGGAATCTCACCTTGAAGCGCGGCTGTGGAATGATATCTTCAACTTCTCGCAGGATTACATAGGAATGCGCCGCGGTACGATCCGGGGCACGGTGCTGATTGAAACAATCACCGCTGCGTTTGAAATGGATGAGATCATATATGAACTGCGCGAGCACAGCTCGGGGCTGAACTGTGGGAGGTGGGACTATCTTTTCTCGATGATTAAGTGCCTCAGGCAACACAGGAATTTCGTGCTGCCCGACCGCAGCGCTGTCACAATGACAGTACCCTTCATGGACGCATATGTCAAGCTACTGATCAACACCTGCCACAAGCGGGGTGTGCATGCTATGGGCGGTATGGCTGCTTTGATCCCGATAAAAGGGGACGATGCTGCAAACGCGGATGCCATGGCCAAGGTGAGCGCGGACAAGCTGCGTGAGGTAAAGGCTGGACATGATGGGTTTGTATCCTCCCCCTTCATCAAGAGCTGAAAATTAACTCAGATACTGACCCCAACGCAACAGCACTTGGGTGGCCCATCCGGCCCTGGCCCCGATTGCCGCCGACGCCTTCGACTCGTACATGCCAGGCCCAAACCAACTCTTCCAGTTACGCGAGGAGTGGGCTGGCCTTAGCTCCCATGACCTGCTCAACACGCACGTAGAAGCCGCCTCGGTGACCGAGGCTGGCATCCGAAAGAACATCTCCGTGAGCCTACAATACATGGAAGCCTGGCTTCGGGGCAATGGCTGCGTCGCGGTTGACCACTTGATGTGAGGGACATGCATTCCATTAACACGCGCAGACGATCTTGAAGTGCGCAGTTGCTGACAGGCATACACACACAAACAGGGAGGACGCCGCTACAGCAGAGGTTTCTCGCTCACAGGTCTGGCAGTGGGTCAAGCACGGCGTCACAACTTCAGACGGAAGAAGAGTTGATAAGGAGTATGTTCTGTCTGTTCTGAAGGCGGAGACCGTCGCATTACTCCAAGCGTCCAAGAACTCGAACAACAAATTCGAGCTCGCGTCCAAGTATCTCGCTCCTGAGATCACAGGGGAACAGTACTCGGATTTCCTGACAAAGTAAGCAGTACTAGACCGCTCAGGTGGCTGGCCATGATTGAAGCAATCACAGCCACTGATGAGAATCTCGGAGAAATTTCTCGGCTAACCTGTGGCCCTGCTCTTACAGCCTTTTATACCACGAGATAATATCTCCTGACGCCCTTACGCGGCCAAATGGTGCCAAGGGAGCAAGTAACTTGTAATTGGACGAGTGCCTCCGTTGGAGCTGACCGGAAAAGCTGTATATTTCTCGGCTTGGGTGTCGTGAAAACGGACTGGACATCTGAACTCCTTCCAAGTTGATCGATAGCTCTCTATTGTTACATCAGATGGATGTCTTGATTGCTCCGCATAAAATTGGGATCGAAATAAAATTTGAAGTCTGCTGCCCCAAAGGTAGTGCCAAGTTTATCATCATATTTGCAGCAAGAGAGAAAAGGGGTGGCCGTTCTTTCGCATAATCCTTGCGTCATTCCAACATTCATGGATAGGCTCTGAAAAGGCTTTAGGTATGACTGATTGGATTCCAGCCGTCGTACTCTCGCAACTGTAGAGAAAAACTCTCTCTCAACAATTATTATATAGGGTAAATGCACAAGCATTTTATAAAACGCTGCCTTTACCTTATTAGTCAAAGAACGTGCAGCTTACGAGAATCTTAAAACATTTACCTGTTACTCAAGTGTATAGAAAAAGGGATTAAAAAGACAGACAAAACCTACCTAAATAAATGTTATTCAAGAAGAGGTTATCCTATAACAAGTTATCCCATAGAGTTTTATCGCAGAGGAGGTTATCCCACAGGAGGCTATCCCACAGGAGGTTATCCCAACGGAGGTTATCCCACAGGAGGTCACGCTGTGATGGACCAGGGGCAATAGCTCGTGGTTCATGATGACGGCAAGATCACATCGGCTGCGAGATTTCGATGACTGCGGGACTGTGGTGATTGCGAGACCGCAGTGGCTATAGGGAATCACATTGGCTACAGCCAACAGCACCACTAGTATTCGGAGAAGAACAAAAACATCATGGAAGTGTGGAAGTTAATTGTACTGTTCAACATAAGTTGTGACCGTGAAATGCTCGCTTTGCCCTTCGTTCTTGTATGGCTGTTTTACGCGCGCCGCGTTCATCTCCAAGTTTTACAAGCCATGCAAAAGAAGGTCTCATCGAAGATCGAGTCCGGCTCATCGCGAAGCTGCCGCTTATTTCTTGCAAGATGAAAGTTTCGCCTCGTCTCTGCATCAGAATCAACCATGCTGAAAAGCTCGCGTCTTTTAGGCTTGAGAAAATGGTGTCTTCTTTCATAGCCATTCACTTCTCATTGTCAGTCCAGACTAGTTGGGCTTGTGGTCTGATTTCGGCTCTGAATCTCAGTAGCTTCAGGTACGAGCTTTATTCTAATCCCAGATGACGACCGCATGTACCGGATCCCCATTACCAGGAAGTGCGTATGCGCTTGAACAACATCGCTTGATTTCCTGGCCTCTGGTTTTTCGTGGTCTTGATCACGGTTGCCAACAAGTAGACCATGGAACTTGCATGTGGGTTCGTACCAAATTACCACCGCAAACTGCTTCAGTAGTCGAGACAAACAACCTTCAAATGTTAGTAGTGTTGATGAAAACATTAAACCTTATTCTTCGTCTGAAGATATGCACTCTGAGCTTCATGCCAAACTTATTCTCACTCCTATTCAGGTATATACAACTTCATTCGCTGACTGCAGCTTGTGATTGCTCTGACCCAAGCCGAGCGGCCGAAAGTACCTGACTGAAGGTGATTCCTTATCGAATAAAGTGGTCTACAACGCACTTTTCCTCTGGTTCAGCACACTATTTATGGCCTTGGCAGTATAGCCAATATTCCTCTTGTTCAGCCCCGCAACGTTGATCCGGCCAGTCTCGGGCAGGTGCACATGGTAAACATCTCGTAGTTCCACGCATTGTTGTTGGGTCAACGGCAGGTAGCTTGCACAAGGTTAGTTGACTTGGTACCCGAGCGATTAAACTTTTCGTGAAGCGGCGGGCAAGGGGGCACTGCCTACCAGAACAAGCCGCGTGTCGAGGTGATGACTGTCCAATCACTGGGAGTCTACGGATCATCAGAATGTCAGTTTCACATGTGTTCTGCGAGAGAATTTGTGTTGAACTCACCCGCTGCTCATTTACGACAGCATCGTAAAGTGCTCGCCTGTTGGATAGTAGCCTCTCCCTCATGACGTCCAGTTCATCGCGCCTGCAAAAAAACGTTCTCGTCATCAGCATGTATCAGTCAGTGACAGTCAACTTCTAAATCGGCAACACACCATATCTTAGCCAACTGTTCGTCCTCCAGAATTATCGTCACCAATCGCGAGCCGTACGCAGGTGAGGACGAAAACTCTGCTCGGATAAGCGAGCGTAACTGTTCACGAACATTATCGGCGGACTCCTTTGTCCTGCCGACGACGTGCAGCGCTCCGCAGCGCTCGCCGTACAGGCCAAAGTTCTTGGCGAAGGACTGTGCCACTACGACCTCGAGGCCAAGCGCTACAAACCGCCGGATGCCGTAGGCGTCGTTCTCCAGGCCCTCACCGAGCCCTTGGTACGCAATATCAAAGAATGGGAGCACCTCGTGCCGTCTAAAAGACTCGGCTAGCTGGTCCCATTGTGCCGCTGTCAGGTCTGCACCCGTCGGATTGTGGCAGCAGCTCTGCAGGATGAATATACTCTTCACGGGTGCCGTCTCGATAGCCTGAAGCATTCCTTCGAAGTCGATGCCGTTCTGAATATCATAGTACTTGTACTTGGCCACCTGCACACCAACGAGCCGGAATATTGTCTCGTAGTTGCCCCATGCTGGGGTCCCAATGTAGACGGCCTTATTCGCAAAGTCGCGAGAGCGGCTCAGAAACAGTGCTGCCAGGTGGTTGGCTCCTGTACCTGATATGGTTTGCACAGTCGCCACCTGCGGAGGCCAAGCGACTTCTGTCAGCGGCCGTCTTACTCTTTTCCTCCGACCTGGATAGTTTTTCATTACCTTGCCGTCCTTAATGAATGGACTATATGGACCGAATATCAATTCAGCAGCATGCTTCAAGAAGTTTGCCTGCCCAATCGTGCTTTCGTACTAATCACCGCGGCCTATTAATTCACGGTTGTCTATAACCCGTTTCAACAGAACGAGCTGGACGTACGTCATGACCTGGATTTCTCTCATTTAGGATTCTTTTGGCCTGTTTGGTTACATGTACCAGGTCAGTTACCATACACGGTGGATGGAAAAGGACGAAGCTCGGTCACGGCCTACCCTTTTGACGGCCTCCAACTCATGGTAACCGCCCTGCTCGTTTCGATATACCCCAACACCCAGGTCGACCTTGTTTGGCGACAAATCGCCGTCAGCTAGTTTTTTCAGGGTGAATATAGGATCTGGCGGACCCGGGAGCACATTCTCAAACATTTTCAATGATGTGTATGTTCAGGCTGATAGGACGTTCACTTCCCCAAGATATTGACAAGCTTGGCTACGTTTCTTGGAAAAGATTTTGAATGGTATACTCCATCCACACACACCTTCAAATTATAATACAAAGTTACTTACCAAACAAAAATAAGTCACGCACCTTGACAAATACCTGCATCGCTACTACGTACGGGCAAGGCGCGACAACTGGTCTCGGGAGTGCCTCCGATCCCCACTCGGGACCACACCCGAGTTATGGCTAGACGTGGACTGCATGCGGACAACGTGGCTGTGCTCGAATCACCAAGACCGGGACGTTAGTCACACTCTATTCCATATTGTGAAGAAAAGTAAAAGGCATAGATTCTATACACATATAACTCGGGTTGATAAGAGAATACGACGTTGTAGGAGAAATGTCATGAAGCATTCCCATCGCTCCAAGAGCACTTCTCCGCGAGCTCTTCGTGTCCGATCTTGCTAGTTAGAAGCTTCTTGGTCTTGTTCCAGACTTACACAGCTACTGAAGACAAGTTTCGAGTCTTTCTCCCTCACGCATTTTCCCGCCTTCCAGCCAAGCTCTTCAGACACAAAGGTAGCGCCTCTATAGACCCAGGAGTCGGGATGCGGCAGGGGAGTATCCGTGTCGGAATCTTTTTGCCTTGACACGGTCTGCTTTAGGTCGAGCTGTGTCGCCATTTAGATTTGCCTGCTTTCTAAATTGTCAAGACACCATTTGAACCGAGTTGCAGAGAAAGGTAGCGAGTGGCAGACAACGCTTGCCTAAGTATCAGCTCGAGCTAGGTATGGGCATTTCGACAATAGCACTGTTTGATGCACGCGACAAGAATTTGATGAGTGTGAGTGGCCTCATACGAACTCAAAACTCAGGGAGCTTAAGAGCTTTGATGAATCAATGTACTCTTTCCCAGTATTTCGATATGGGTGGTTCAATAAAAGCGGAAATTGGCATCATGTTCCGCTATCACAATGACGTCAAAAGCATCTACACAATTGAGAAAATCAAGGAACTCCACAAGATGATACAATTACCGGTGGCGCTGCACCACCGTCTGTCATAGTCCCTCAATTCCCTTCATCAAATCTTACTGCGGCCTCAAGATCTTCCCACGTCACTTAACCATTGCTGTCGATTTCCCACACGCCTTTCTTTCATAATGAGTGCCGTCACACAATTCTTTAAACGCGTCCTCTATGGCCTCATCCTAGGCGCCACCTCAGGTGCTCTAGCAGGCATCCTCTTAGGTATTGTCCTAGGCCTCATCATTGGTGTTATCCTGGGCGTGGTCCTGGCAATCCCTCTAGCACTCCTCGCCGCCATCGTCTTAGGTCTGATTGCAGGGGCCAGTGAGGGCGCTGTCGAGACTGTGGCCAATTTGCTTAAGCAGGCGAGGGATTCTGTGTTAAACCTTATTAATTTTGGACTGGGTCTCTTGGAGGGGCCCCAGAAGAGGGAATGATGGAGCCGTCCAGAGTGTCGCCCGTCAGAGCATCTCGAGAGCTCATCACCGTGCGGGTGATTATATGGTGCGGCTGAATGGAAAGCCATAGAAGATCGAAATATCATGGTGCCAAACGCAGGGAACAGTCACAGGCGAGCTATTCATGCGAGAGCCAAAATTCTTCCGTGGAACCGCGACAACATTCACCTCGACTTCTGTCAACACTCAGCTCTTGTCAATGAACAACATGAAAAGCAGCTGGGCTCCAAGTGTGAACAGTTCTGTGAAAACTGGGAATGCCTGCACCAAACTCGTGTGGGAAAGAAAGCTTGCAGGAAAGCTCGGATTCTAAACAAAATGCACACACTGAGTCACCAGATCCATTCTCGTTTAACAGTATAGAGGTTATGGGGCCAAGATGGTGTTTTCAATCGAAGTCTGTGTCTAGGTCAATGCACAGTACACGTTAGATAAAGTGCAATTCGATTCAGCTCATATTGTGCGCAGAGGGACGAACATCCGTTCCCCCGTGGTGTAGATCAGAACCAACCCAAATAGGAGACCTGCTTTACCATCAAGACGCACCGCGCTGTGACCAGCTCTCTCCTTGCTCTCTCCCCCGTCCCCTATCAGACTCCAACTCACGCTGCCCACGTAAGGATATTTTTGGACTGACTAGTGCCTTGCGAATCCACCCGCGTCGTCATCGCCGCAGGCGGCGTTGTGTCCGGATATATTTTCCAGCGATGGGCTTCCGACCATTAACCATAGCCTGTGGCAGCGGGACGCGGGCGTCATCGCGCTTCAGGGACTAGATCGATACCTGAGACTGTAGACATAGAAGGTATTCTCGACTCTTTAGAGACCAAGCAAGTTCAATATAAAATTTTTCTCGGGGGGGGGGGGGAGGCTGGATCAAGATATGGGTATTTCGGCTGAACCAGCCCCTGGATCCGGAGAAGATCCCTACGATCAGGAAGCACAAACTCTGTCCGAAACTATGGTTGAGTCAAGATAGATCGGGGGAAAAGTCTCATAGGCGTGCTAAAAGATTGTAACAGTGAGCTAGATTAGTGATGATGTTTGAGCTGCTTAGTACACACTGAAAGCAGCAAATGTGGTACTTGAGTAGGTATTCCTATGCAAATGTATGATGTTCGATCAACGCCCGACTCCTCGAAATGCAAATCCACCAAATCGCACTCAGTCCTCCATGGCTGACTTGGCCTTCTTCTTCGCATTACGAAGCTTGGATTTGCGCTCGGAAATCTGCTTGTCGAGCTTATCGTCATTGCTCTCAGGCACGGCTTCCTTCTTGGCCTTCTTGGTCTTGGGCTCGTCGTCTGAGGCCGCATCCAGTGACTTTCGTTTCTTTCCAACGTTAGCCTGCTCCTTTCTTGCCTCGATCGCCTTTGCCTTTTCGGATCCATTCGCGACGACATCGGTCTCTGCGTCCACCCAAAGCTCCTCGTCCTGCCAGATCGGCAGTGCCACAGTTTCAGGGCCCTTGACAAACATGCTCTTTATGCCATTCTTCTTCTTCGGCACGAACTTGTTCGCCATTTCATTGGCTACTTTGACAATGTTTTCGGACAGTGCCTTCGGTTGCATGCCCGCGTAGCCGACTTTGACAGCAGTGTTGGTCGACGCAGACAGGTTCACAAGGGCAGCGCCAATCGCCTTCTGAATCTCAGCAGCGATCTCCGTTACTGGGCGGCAGTTGATCTCGTTGGGGTCTCTCTTTACTCGCTTGCCCTGTTCCTTGGGCTTTTTACTCTGGAAAACCACTGGTATCGGCCGCTTGGTTGTGGACTTGTAGAAGACACTGATGGCTTTTGGTAGCCGGTTGATGATGCGGTCATCGGCGAGGAAGATGTCGTGCTCGGCGAGGAGCTTGCGCTGTGCCTCATACTGCTTCACCTTGGCAGTCAAGTGTTTGTAGTCGATGACCCTGGTCACGCGCTTTCGGAGTTCCTCGGGGAACTCTTCTGACGCAACCACATTCTTGTAGTGCCTCTGAGGATCTGCCACTATCAGGCAAATGCTAGACTCGGTGTCGGTATGCAGAGGGTGGGGGAGGTAGATCTTGTTGGGCTTCAGGGCCTTGGAATCGTGGATGTGTCGCTTGGTGGTGACAGTCAGCCAGACTGGCGTCTCTGCCACAGACAGGCTCTGGCCGTCATCCGCAGAATCGAGGAGATTCTTCTTGTTTGAGTTGGATGCTGTCTCCTCGGCAGTTTTCTTAATGTGCGCCAGGAGCGCTTTCGACGCTTTCAATGCCTGCGACAGGAATGGTCAGTACGTTGGGAAAGACGCGCTGGCGTGTATCTGTTGGATAGTACCTGGTCAGGATCAATCGCAAAGTCGCCTTTCTTGGCAACAGCGGTAGTGGAGGCGGCCATGATGTATCTGGAGCCCTTGGAATATGGAGTGAAGAGGAACAAACTTGGTGGATATGTCGGTCGCTGGCGGAAGAAACCTAGCAGGGAGCAACATTTTTTTCGACGGATCTTATCGATAAGAGATTGATAAGCCATCGGCTGGCCGGCTGGCCGCAGCTGGCCCGGCTTCCTGCCCCTACCAAGACTCCATCCGCGTCGACCAGTTCACTTGTGCTCAGACTTGATGCAGCGTGTTCATTAACTAAAAAAATAGAAAATCTAGATTGATGTATAACTCTATCTAGTGTAATCTTCAGGTCTAACTCTAATGTATCGTTGCTCGCAATGAGAGTAAGGTGATCAAAACCAATACTGCAGCCCACTGGCCATGATTCATACCCGACCGCCCGCAGTGTCCTTGACGCTCACCTTTCCAGAGACGACGTCCTTCACAACTGACAGGATATCAGAGAAGTTCGTAAAGGTGGTGAAAGGAACATGCTCCTTCTCGCAGTACACGACGAGATCTGCAGCCAAGTCAGCTTCGTTTCCAGCGATTTCGTTAGCGGCAAGATAGGCTCACCTCGCCCGGCCTTTGCGAACATCAAATCTGTCTCTTTCGCGGCGGACAGATCTGATACACCATCACCGGCGTAGAAGAGATACGGCCGCTCACTCTGCGGCAAGCTGGAATACTTCCGGATCTCCAGGGACTTGTCGTGGCCGAAGCCGGAATCATCGTGGAAAACAATCTCCCAGCCCCTCTCCTCGTTAATGTCCTTGCCCGGCCGGGCCTTCACGTCATTGCTCACAATCTGCAGCTCACTGGCGGCCTCCTCGCCCAGGAGATGTCCAAGCAGCCCTCTGATAACGGGCGTCATTCCACCGCTTAGGACAACAATAGGGATGTTGTTCGCCCTGGCGTACGCATGGAACTTCTTGAAGCCCGGGTCCAACTGGATGTTCTTCAGCAGCAGGTCAATGCACTCGTTGTACGGTGCGCTAATGCTATCCATCATCTCCTGGAAGCTGTCCCTAAAGTCGCGGCGGCCTTGAAGCACATCCTCATTGCCCTTCTTGCGCAGGGCGGTGCCAAATCCGATGTTGTCGGTCATAAAGTCATTGCTATCTTGCAGAGTGATTGTGCCATCGAAATCCGTGAAAAAGATGTACTTGGGGCTGTTCTTCAGCGCCGGCAGATCGGACAGCGGTGCAGATCCCATTTTGTCGGTGGATCCTTTGAGGTCAAACGGGGGGCCAGAGCAATGTGTGAAGTCTATAGAACGACCTTGGAAGCGATGAGACTGCAAAGCTGAGAAGGAACAAGGGCCACCAGACAGTTGCTATGAGTTGGAGGATGAGGTTGTCAGAGTCAGATTGATATTCCCCACCGAAGATGAGACCCGCAACAAACACGTTCCGGCGGCGAGCTCCGCCGTTGGAGGGGCCAGGGACCCTGAGAGGACGTCACTTTCAGGGCCGGGGTCGGGCCTCGCAAAATTTCTCGCCGCTAATCTACGGGCATTGACGACCTCGGATCTCTTTCAACCGGCCTTCGGAGGACACGGACGCGGTCTTGACCCGACCAGAACCACACTGCATGCTCCGCCCAAACCCTCACCATGACTGCTGACCGGTTCATCATCCAAGGCCCGGGTGCAAGCAGGTGATGTTCCAATGGAAACAAAAATATTTTCGCACGTTGTCGCTACCCTGGCCTGTGAAATTGCCCAAAAGCTGGAGCGTAAGAGTCCCCATCCCGAACCACCTCTCCTTTTCGGCCACCGTCTCCCTTAATCTATCACATACACTATTAGAATAACACCACCATACTCTCAAAAATAACAACACGTTATTGCCGAGCCCCCTGTGGCTTACATCCCTATACAGATTTATCCTATAAAAAGCATCCTGTAGCTAATTACCCCAAAGGATATTAAACTCTAGAAGGTTATTCCATAGGAGGTTATCATAGGAGGTTATCCCACACTTCCCCTGTTTCCTTTGAATTATTCTAGAGATACTGTGGCCGCGAAGCGGACACCCGACTTTAAGCTCGCCATTGTGAATCGCACAAGTGAACATGAGTTCCAAAATCATCCTTGCCGACAATTTGTCCATATGTCTTCCACAAATCACGAGAAAGTCTGAAGATTCCCGCATCGGACCGCTGGGTCCTCATCGGTTCCCGCGTTGCAACAGATCACGCCGTTGGTCTGGTTGACCCCGATGAAAGTGGCTGTTGAAATTTTAAATCAGCCACCGTGTCCTGGGGCGAGTATATTCATCGGCACAAAGTCTGAATGGATCAAATTACTCAGATCAACACCAGCCCAAGACCAGACACCGGAGGCAGAGCAGTAGCAAGTGTAGTTGTATACGCCGCCGGAGCCTGTGGTGCAGTTTGAGCACCTCGAGGTTGAGACGTAGCCACCACTGCAATGGGCAACATCAGCGTGTTTTTGTTCTTTGGTGTCGCAGTTCGTCAAGATTCTCACCGTCGGTGACCGACCAGGTCGGGGGACTCATAGGAGAGACAGAGGTCAAGATTCAACCAGGACGTGTGGGGAATATTGTTTTCACTGATGCAGTTCATCCCGATGACCGTCGTGTAATCCCCATTAAATCCTATCCCCTGGCAATCATGGGCAAAGTTGGAAAATGCCTGAGAAGCGGATAGGGTAGCTCCCACCAGGCCTAGCGCAAGGGCAAATGCAAGACGTGCCATGATGGGGTGTGTTAAAAAAAATGTATGTAAGTGCAGTCTTGGTTGTGTTGATGGTCACGATGTTGTTCTCGGCTTCGACTGCTGAAGGGCGAGGACGAGAATTGGTCTTCTTTTAAGATACCCCTGGGCCTTCAAATAGGAACTGAGAGCCCGCGGCCTTGTGATTCACAAACATGATTTTACGCCGAAATTGGACTGGCCACCCGAGAAACGCGTGTCACGATTCGACGGGTGTCACAAAACAAGCGAGGTTGAAAGAGGTCTTGCACGGAGTCGTTAATGTTGGGAACACACCTGCATCAGCATTTAGGACGAACGAATCATAAGTTGGGACACACCAGACGACTGACGAGAACCTGTTGACGCTAATTCGTGATCTAGAGTGATGATATTAGAGACCTAAGTGCCCTCCAAAACCCAAGCAGGAAAATGCTCATTTGTTTGTCATATTCTCAGGGATGTCCGGTCCATGCACCTTCGCGTTTTCCCCACTAGTCGCAGCCCTTGCAAAAGGCTTGGCCCTGGCACGCTGCCTCGCAGATAAGGAAAGGGATAATGAAGAAGATGATGCCAGAGACACAAGCTGCCTCGCAAACCTGGCATCTCTTGCAGCATTCAGGATACCTGTGGTGGAATGTGAGTTGCATGCTTGAGCCGCTGGAGGAAAGTTACTCACGGCGCGCAGACGTCAGCGATGGCCATGCTGGTGATGTTCTTGCTCTTGTCATCGATGAAACCGAGGTTGACCAGGCTGTTGATGTCAAGGCCAGATTCCTCGAACTTCTCCTTCTCGAGGGTCGCATTGAAGCTCTGGTCAAACATGGGCTCAAGGCCGTCGAGGCCGGCGGGGCTAGGAGTCCATAGGCCGTGGGCTTGAAGGGTGTCAAGCGCGTTGGGGGCAAAGGTGATACTGAGGTGCTGAAGGGCAACAGAAGCGGCTTGTATGCTCATCAGTAAACCATTCTTTGTCTCAAAGGTGGCAGAAGAGAAGGAAATGCCTGCGGAGGATGGCGGAAACTTTGCTGCGAGGCTACTCACACTGGGGGTCGATGTCCAGACCAACAGCGACTGTGGCCACCAAGAAGACGAGGATTGACACCATGTTGCTCGGATTCATGGCTGCTTTGTTCATTGCGATGGAGATTGAATGGGGTCCGTTTGTGTGAGGAACGAATTCGATCTGTCAGTACTTCGCAGTTGAGGAAGAAGATGTCACAGGACCTAGAGATGCAAATTTACAATTTGCGTAGTACCGATAGCTGGCAAGGTCGAGTGGTTCTTTCCGTCCCTTCCCAATCGATAAGTTTGTGACATTGCTGAGCTCCACATGTTCAAACATCAGATTAGGTAGGCTTCCAACTTGCCCGTCTGATGCATACAAAATATGTGATTCTCTTCATTTTGGAGTGAAAGAAACAATTACAAAAGATTTTGGGGAGGCCAGCTTCGTCCAAAGACAAGCTTCCTTTCTGGGGACACTGCATTGTTGGAGACGGGCTCAGCAAACGCAAATTATTGAAAGAAAGACGCTCCCGACAGGTGACTTTTCGAATCATTCACCTATACCGCTTGGATTTGACCACTATCTAAAAGTCATAAGCTAGGAACAAGATACAAAGTGCAAAGTGGACGGACACCTGTATCGAGTTTTTATTCATCAACGGGAAGTCTCCTAGCAAAGGCTTCCTCCAACTACCAAGGATAAGAGCTTGAGCGTCCCCCATGTGTGTGGCCCCGGGAAATCCTGAGCCCACTCAGGTCGAAACTACCGAACGACCCATACAGATGGATTACGAGACAACCCAAGACCATCGGCAAGAAATCACTACTTGTCTCAGCACCGAGGGTCAAATGACACCTCACACCGTCGCAACCGCTCCATTGGACGACCGGACCGTCGATACAGGTTCCCTCTTCCATTCCTACAGCTGTTCCAAGCTTTCCTTCCTCATAAAATTGGCCTTTTTGCAGAGTATCAAAGATCTGGGATACTCTTTGCCCAGGGAAGACCTGAAGCGGGAAGAGGAGTCCATGGAAGCTGCTCGCATCCAGGCTTTGGAGACGTGGGAGCAGATCCACGACCAGGGGTTCTCTCATGATCTCGATGGCTCAGCGTACTTGAGATCGTATCAATTGCGCTAGGAAAAGTGGTTTAATGGAACAAAGAGGTAATCACAGTTCAAATTTAAATCCAAAGGCATTGTACTGACATGGCGTCTAGACGAGACAAGGCAATTCCCACGATCAGGCCCTTCCAGGACTCGTGCAGAGGATTGTTCCTATCTGAAACCGTTTGCAGCCACAGCTTATAGAAGTTAGTCTTCTCAGAAGAAACCTCGGAGTGTTGTAAAGGCAGATGTTGGGACAGAAGAACAAACATTTGACCAACATTGGGACAGCGTTGCTTGGGCTGAAGGAAGCACACAGTGCAAATGAACACTACGAATATACAAGACCAATGAGCAGCGTTTTTCTGACGGAGCATTCTCGACCAACTGATACGATAGAATCTTGAGAGACGAAATCAGTGCATGATTACAATACAATTTGATTTGTTGCCCTGATGCTGATAGGATCATAGAATCTCGACGAGCTTGAGCTCGGGTGTCCGCTTCGCAGCCACAGTATCTCTGGAATAAATGTGTACAAGAAATACAAGGAGGTATTTAAAAAGCAGCTATAGAAGTAATCTCTTATAAAACAAACTCTCTTGGAATAACCTCCCTTGGGATAACCTTCTATGGGATAACCTCCTATGGGATGACCTTCCACTTCTTCTGGGAAAAGCCTTTACTGTGCTTAATAAATAGCAACCACATCTCCATATCAAGAGGAGATTTCGGAAGCAAAAGATGTCCATCACTTCCTCGTTCAGATATCGGTGCAATTAAACCATGAGACAGGGAATTTCTGGAATTCAACATTAAATCCGATAAGTCCACCTACATGGTAAGACTTTTCTGGTCTTAGTGTTCGAAAATTAGTAGAAGAAGACGGGAAGTCGAAACGCCTCATCATCATCATTTGTTCTTCAAGAAGACTCGTTCCAAATCCATTTTACATTTTTCGGTTGCTGACCGTCCAATTCTGAATTCACTTTAGTATTTAGTCCGATACTCTCTTGCTAAAAGCTATCAAGCAAACTTTACAAGTTTATACCTTAGAACGTGAGTAAAGATCGTTCCCTACAAGATCCCCCACCAGTTCTTCGAACTTGGAATGTGCATGTGGATAGCTTCTTCCACGTACAATTTTCTTAGTATTAGCATCTAGATTTTATGGAAATACCCAATTTCTATCATAGCAGCCGGATTCAAGTCTCAATATTCTAAAGAGATATTTCAGTCCGAATTAAGCAAGCCCTTGAAAGACCAAGCATCCACAGTGAACGTGTTTTTAGACATAGAACTTAGAAACATGTTACTTTGATAGGCCATCTGGCGGTGTCGAAAGTTGAAATTCTCGAGGCGAACCTGACCACTGGCGTGGTGGTCGGCCAAGGAAATCAAAAGACCAAGAGCATTTCAACTGCTTGTGGATCGGAAGGCAGGCTCGTAACACAGCTATGGACCTTGTTCACTGAGCTGACCTACGAAGCACTGCCAGTCGCACCAAGCTTCGGTCCTGATGGCGAAACATATTACCCTGAAGCAATCACCTGGTTCTGAATGTGCCCAATCAGAATGTATGCTGGTCAACAAGAGGAAGGCAAATGAAATTATCGATCAATAGGAAAGATCTTAAACCTTTCTTGCTCGTGCTATTCAAGCTCTTTTGTCCTCAAGATGAAGAAGCACATCGATCCGCCGGCGAGACTCGACCGATCATATCTAATTGCAACTTGTCTGTAGTATGCGGCATGAACTTACATGACGCAATCACGATTTCTATGAACCAAGAAGTAATTGGTGTTGACAATGAAACCAGATTGAGCCGTGTGTCAAAAGATGATGGGCACTTTTGCATCGGTTGTCGTACCGGACGACACAGGCTGGGCATCCAGTCTCAGTTCGAAAACAGTTTCATGATGCCTTCCACTCCAGGCGCAAGGATCCTTCAGTACATGTACTCGAAACGTACTATTGGTAGGAAGGCCATTTGAGAATGGTTGCATCTGTGCAGCTTGCTGCGACAGTCTGCGGCCTCTTAGTCTGCTTCTGGTAATCATCTGTTCCTTTGATGCTCATCTCTGCTCTATGTCCTCCTGCTGCGTCTCGACGACAGCACTATCACCAGTCCTCTTCTGATGAGGCAACCTTGTTGGAGATCATCTTTGGGCTACTGTGCCTTGGAACAGTAAAACTTGGCAGATCGACGCATTGGGGGTGGAAGATCATTAACGGTGAGATTCTGCAGTGGTAGATCATGAAATCATTGTCGCGTCTTCGTGCGTAATAAATAAAGTTCACCTCGCCTGAACAAAACCGGCCTTCTTTGTAAATGCTGCGAAGGGATCTCTTGCAACATTGACTAGGCTCCACTGTTTATCTTGGTGTCCTAGTATAGTTCCAGGGTCCTCAAACAATTCTCCTCGCGCCAAGTGAATTTTCGCACAGATCTGAGACCAGCGAGAACGCGCCCACGGCTGCGCTGCAACGCCAAGATACTCGGCAGTATAGATAGCGCAGCCTTCGTCCCATCTTGCTCTCCAACGAGACAAGATATGCTTGTTGCGTGGGTCTGATGGAAGTAAGAGTGCCGTTCTTTTGATAGAATATTTGTGGAGCCCAAATTGCCTCCCCAAACGTGCTAGATGGCCCAAACTGTCCCGAATGTTTGGAGCGCCCCAGATCGACTATTGCCAAGGGAGTTGCAGAAGTTCAGTCAACTATGCAGCGGTGCACTTCTTTGTAGATACTTAGGAATGTTGATCCCTCCGATAGTCTTGCCGGTTGTAGCTTGATGTGGAAGCGACACTTTGACTGCACGATAGTACGCAGTCTTTCTTTCAATTCTTAATTATTGAGCTGCGCTCATTTTCCTACGACATTCATTCTTAATTTCCGCCGTTGACCGGCCTTCTCTGCGTCCAGTCTAATCACAATGCGATTCGGAACTACAGCGCTCCTGGCTGTCTTAGCCTTTAGCGATGCAGGACTCGGCTTCACGGTATGATGAGATCACCACACCAACTAGTTCAAACCTTGCAATGCTTACACATTTTGACACAGGGAGGCTTGACAGCCCGAGCTTCGGACCGCAGCAAGACCCTCAAAGAGCGTCAAATTACGATCGGGAATGGAGGAATCACTCTTGGAGGCCCAGGGGGTCTGACTGTCGGCGGAGGTGGCCAGCAGCCTGCTGCGCAACCCGGTGCGCAGCCAGGTGCACAGCCAGGTGCACAGCCAGGTGCGGAGGGACAGGCCCCGGCTGCTGCCCCGGCTGCTGCCCCTGGCGCTGAGGGACAGGCTGCCGCCGCACCGGCTGAAGGGCAGAGGCAAGGTGCTGGACAGAACGGAGGAGGCAACGCTCTTGTTCTCCCCGGCGGCCTTACTCTCGGTGGAGGTGGTGGAAACGCCAATCCTGCTGCGCAACCAGGCCAGGGACAGGGCCAAGGTCAAGGCACTTCGCTCGGAGATTTCATCGCAGCTGCTCAAGGAGCGGCCAGAAATCAAACTGGCGCCGGTAAGGGACAAGGCCAGGCCCAAGAAGGAGCCGCTGGAAAAGCAGGCGAGGCTGCCAAAGCAGGGGAAGCTGCCCAAGCCGGAGGTGCTGCCCAAGGAGAGGCCGCCAAGGCAGGTGAAGCCGCCAAAGCAGGACAGGCCGCAGCACCAGCTGCCGGTTGTGCGGCAGCCGCTCCAGCAGCTCAGCCAGCTGGTGAGGCAGCAGCCAAACCAGCCGGTGAGGGAGCCGCCAAACAGGGTGAGGGAGCCGCCAAACAGGGTGAGGGAGCCGCCCAGCAAGCCGGAGAGGCCGCCGCAAAGCCAGCCGGTGAAGCCGCTGCTCAGCCAGCAGGTGAAGCCGCCGCAAAGCCAGCCGAGGGAGCCCAAGGCGAGGCGAAAGCAGGCGAACCGAAAGCCACCAAGGAGAGCGAGCAGTTCAGCGAGAACGCCGGTATCACAATCGGGGCCGATGGCCAGGCTCAGAACCTCGGAGGAAACCTGGGTATCACCAAGGGATCCGATGGTAGCACATCTGTCGGCGGCGAGAACGGAATCAACGTGACACCCGCCGCACCGGCACAAGCACAGCCGGCTGCCCCGGCTGCCCCGGCGGCGGCCCCCGCGGAGAATCCCGCTGCCGCACCCGTAAGTTCTGATCCAAGACATGGCTCATCCTGAGGTCTAGATGCTAATCAGAGACATCCCCTTCCAGGCCGCTGCTGCTCCTCCAGCCGAAGCTCCGGCTCAAGCCCCAGCCGCCCCAGCCGCCCCAGCCGAAGGTTGAGCTGCTCGTCCCTTGATGGATTGCAGACAGATAAGGCCTGCCTTAGCGTGAATGCTCGATAGGATCACTTGACGACTACCATGATGTAATGAGACTTTCCATAGCCAACGCACGCCTGAAGTGTACGCTCAGCTCATTCCCTTCGCTTAAAAGATCTGGCAGCGAGACGTCTTGCAGAGAATACACAAGGTTTCAAGACAGTCAAAATGCCTATTGTGATGTGTAAAGAAAATGGCCTTCAGCTTTGGTAATGTTGAGACCAAGGCGTAAGTAGACGGTTTAGGAGTTGCGTTAGCTATGGTTGTACAGCTCGGAATGCTGTCAAACATAGGTGCCACAATTTGTGTGAGTAGGCTGTATTCCTGCGCGGTAGCCATAGTTGTGGAGATCTACAAGTGTCATTTGCGTGTAGAAATTATGATTGTAAACTTTTATAAGTTCTAAGAAGAGTGGAGAGGTACATACGAAGTGAATACATCAATTTATGTGTTTCCTAACAAGGTCACACTCCAGGACTAGATGCTCACACTTGCACAATAGTTGGGATACTCTCGAAAAGCAATTTGGGATGACCACTTGTAGAATGTGGGAAGTGCACCTGATTCGTAGCGATCACATACACTATTGGAACAACACCGCCACAGTTTCAAGAATCGCAACAACCCTTTGTAACTTCTTTAATTTCCCGTATAGAAGTATATTCAACAGCAATGTATTATACAAGAGGTTATCCCAAAGGAGGTTATCCCAAAGGAGGTTATCCCAATGGAGGTTATCCCAAGGAAGGTTATCCCAAGGAAAAGTTGTCCCGAGGGAGGTTTTCTCAGGGGAGGAAAGGTTTCTGAACAGCGCACATATTTTCCCACTCGAATCAAGCAGAACGATGCTCGTGATTGTATAAGACACGCAATCTCAAACTACATATCCATCATCTGTCTTGTCCCCATCTCGACTTTTGCGGTTTTTTGAGATTGTTTGGCCGCTGACACTACACTGATTCATGTATCGCAGTCAACGGATTGGAACAACATATCGAAGTTCGTCGATCGCGGCGTCTCGAGTATGAAATGATCCTATTGCTTGTTTCCCCAGTCCACCTAGGTGCTGCAAGTACTTTACGTATGACTGGCAAATCCTGTATGACTGGTCCGTGGTCTGTTTGGCAGACAATCTTGCCTTGAGTAGTCTCCGACATTCTACGTCATAAAGAGGTTTCCAAAAGACAAAAGCGCCATTGCAGTATTGTCAATATTGCTATTGAATAGTGTGCTTGTGGCCTCATTCAATACTTGAGGGGCGCGGCCATGTCCGCCCCGGTTGTATTCGGCGGCTCATGGTTGAGACATTATGTCCTTGAGGATCAAGCCCACACATATAGTCTGTTCATAACCCGCTGCCCGTTCTAGACTGTGCATCCTATGTAGCCAACCTGCGCACCTCGCACTGTCCCAAGGCAAAAGGTTGCCAAGTCCTTGTCTCGTCCTCTTTGTCAACACATTCCATGATGACTGACAATCATCGGGAATCCAATGAGAAGAAAGGGCTATGGATTATAATCTGGCATTTGGAAGCTCGAAATTAGGCGCCTGCAGCCCAAAGTTAGAATATGGTCCGTTTGTTGCGGTGCGAGACTGGGAAGGTCCCTGTCTAAGTGCAAGGCAGGGGTGCGGCCGTTCCCGGCCGTTTCCAGCCGCCAGCCCCTCGACCCCAGCGAGCACCAACGAAGGAGGTGACCCCTTACCCATTTCTTACATGCGGCTGCAGATGACGTGCATACAGAGAACCGCGGCGCTGGGAATATGATGAATCCAGCGAATGATCTTCAAAGTCTAGAATCGGCTTGCCACCTCCCTCGCCTGCTTAGCGAGAGCCTCATCACGCTCGCGCCCGAGCAGGCGGACGTGGCTGTTGCAGACAATCATCCGACCTCTTCAATCGAGATCACATGGAAAAACACGAAAGATTGTGACGTGGGAGCTTTGTAATATTTGAGCAATTCCCAAATCTGTTGCTTTGTTTTATGCGCCACTGTTTTTCTTTTCAGCCCGCCTTCGCAGCACTTGAGCATTGTTTCTCCGCCACAACCAGCTTTCCAAATTGCAGGCACCCGCTGCTGAGAGCCTCCTCAAATCCTGAATACTCCTGAGGTTGGCTGAGAATGGCCGTCATGGACGCCATTTGCAACAAGTTTTGGCCCACAATTGCTCTCTCTCTTTGGGTACTCGTTTCAGTCACGCAGGCTGCTCATGTGCTGATTCGCCTCATTGGCTGGGCCGCAGGTGGGTCACCCGGAAGGAGGGCGCTATTCCCAAGGCTCCCTTCCGTCCCTTTAAACACTCTATAAAGGTACCGGGCCGACGACGTCAAAGGAAACAGACCATTTCGAGTCCATCATTCCAGCATAATAGCCTTGAGATGGATTCGTGACAGTGTTGCTCCCAGAACTAAAGTTTCCCCATCTTAATCATGTTTCTCTTATCATTTTTAGAATTGCTATTAGCTGCTTCATTTGTTCAGGCACTGCTAATAAAACGTTACGATTCCAAATCGACACCACGAATTACGGAACGGCAAGATGCTACAACCAATAGCTCCACTGGCAAGCTGGTCTTCTGCCATTTCATGATGGGCATTGTCGCAGGCCGCAAGAGCTCGGCCGACTACGACGCGGATATGCAGCAAGCAAAAGATCTGGGCATCGATGCTTTCGCTCTCAATATCGGAACAGACGAGTTCACAGGAACTCAGCTTGGCTACGCGTATGAAAGCGCGGCCAAGAATGATATGAAACTCTTCATATCTTTCGACTTCAACTGGTTTTCCCCAGCCAACGATGCTGCCAAAGTGGGGCAGATGATCGCGACTTACAGCAAACAGCCGGCTCAGCTGAAAGTGGACGGCAAGGTCTTCGCATCGTCATTTGCCGGCGATGGTCTCGACGTTTCTGCTGTCAAGAGCGCCGCTGGTGTCGATGTCTTTTTCGCACCGAACTTCACTCCAGGCGGGACCCCGGATGCCGCAAAAATCGAGGGTGCTCTCAACTGGATAGCCTGGCCGAACAATGGTAATAACAAGGCGCCTACACCCAATGTGCGAGTTTCGGTGGCGGATGGAGATAACAATTACCACAACTGGCTGGCTGGACTGAAACCTTACATTGCTCCTATTTCTCCATGGTTCTCTACTCATTACGGATCTGAAGTTTCGTACAGCAAAAACTTTGTGTTCCCTTCGGACCTCCTGTGGTACGACCGCTGGAAGGAGGTCCTGAATAGCAGTCCTCCTTTCGTGGAAATTATCACTTGGAACGACTATGGGGAGTCTCACTATATTGGTCCCTTATCTTCAAATCACGAAGATGATGGGGCTTCAAAATGGGTCAATGATATGCCCCATGACGGATGGCGGGACTTGGCCAAGCCTTTCATTGCCGCATACAAGGCAGGGTCAAAGTCAGTCAATGAGTATATCAAGGAAGACAAGATCGTATACTGGTATCGCCCGAGCCCTAGGACTGTGAACTGCGACTCAACAGATAACACCATGAAAGCTGGAAACAACGCCAGCGGAAACTACTTCAACGGCAAGCCCAATGGCTGGGAAGACATGCAGGACTCAGTTTTTGTCGTCAGCCTGCTGAAATCCGCCGGATCCATCGAGGTGACTTCTGGGACCAACACCAAGACGTTCAACGCCCCGGCCGGGGCCAGCTCTTTTACAGTAGACATGGGAACCGGGCAGCAGAAATTCTCCTTGACTCGGGATTCGAAGCAAGTCTTGAGTGGAACTTCTCGTAAGGATATCATTGAGACCTGCCCCTGTGGGCTCTACAACTTCAACGCTTATGTCGGGACCTTGCCAGAGGGTAAATCGGATCCCTTGGATGCAGCCGGACTTGCCTCATTCACTGTCGGCTTGTCCGTCAAGACCTGCTCCGCCGCGCCATCTTTGGGCTCGGGATCTGCTGTTCCAGCTACAACCACACCAACAGGGAGTGGTGCTGCCCCAATTGGTAGCGGAAAACCGACCGGCGCAAGCGGAGGGGGCGCATCGACGCTCACCGCGACGACGATGGAGACGACTCCAACAAGCGAACCTCAACCCAGCCCCAGCGGCAAACCAAGTGGTAGCAGCAGCAGCCCTGGTTCAGCACCAGCCTCGGCGTCGCGGACTGGATCGGCTTCGCGGACTGGGTCAGCTTCGCAGACTGGATCAGCTTCGCGGACTGGATCCGCGGCTGTTCCAAGCTCGACCGGTGGAGGTCAGAGCTGTAATGGTGGTACCAGTGCCCCCGACCAGTCTACCAACCTCGCAGGTCTCTGTTCATTCTCCTGCAGCAGAGGCTACTGCCCTTCAGACGTGTGTCAATGCACGTCGAATGGGACTCCGGAAACTGCCCCCGACACTTTTCCCATTGGATGCCCGCTGGATGCGGAGAATGAGAGTTACAAAGGGCTTTGCAAGTTCAGTTGCATGCGTGGATATTGCCCCCCTGCGGCATGTACCACAGATTGTGGTTGATTTGGATGCATAATATTTTTGTTTGTTTTTTGAGATTTACTTTTTCAATTCGTGTACAGTCAAGTTAGACACCTTGCTACCAACAGTGGTAGGCATTTTGTGCATATACTATAGATGAATATACCCCCCAATGTTAAGCCGTATGCAGAGCGATTCTGTCTTCAAATGACTCAGAATTGTGTGGAGGGCTTCAATTTGACATGCGAATGAGACTTTTCGTGGAAGCACTACATACAACGGCACTGAGTGCCTTCTTTATGCAGTTGTGTGCTTGAGGGCACCATGACCGGAGCAACTCAGCTAACCCTCATGGCACCCCATCATCTTCAAATACGTATCGATTCAAGTGCGTAGTGATATATTGGAGCGCTATATTATTTTTCATTCTAGGTCCGCCCCCACTTAGGAGTGGAAATATTCGTGTTGTCAGGCCACAAAACATCTGCAAGACCAGACTGAGATGATCCTTGTTCATATGATTGCTACGGGCAATATATTACATATATTCTACGAGCCATACGCCAGTCTTTTCAATTCATAGAGTCTATTCAGCTAGGCGACGAGTTACCTTGCGGCCTCGTCAATGAGCAGCTGCGCCGCGGCACAGTGGCTAATCACCAAACCGGAACCCCCAACCTCACCATCAACATTACAGCTGAGAAGCAAAGTGACATTGCTGAGAGATTTCCCATGGCAGCCAAGCAGCGATTGAGAGGCCAAGCAGTGAGTGTTGAACTCGTCAGACGCCGTTCAAGCCTAGAAACGCTTTGGAACTAACCAAGGCGTCCAGAAGGTGAGGTCGCGTGGTAATTAATCTTCCCATGTTTCTTGACTCCCAAGCGGGCCGAGTCGGGCCGCGTGACTAACGACAGACGAGATGAAGACCTCAAAATGCTCGACCCCTGAGGCTGACGTCATGTACCACATCGCAAGGGTCTTCGGAGATGAAAGACATTATCTTTCGAGCTGTCACCCGATGTAAAAGGTTCAGGCCCGCCTGGCTTGGCTCTGGGTTTCCCCGCGCTCTGCCCCAGATACCCACTTCTTCGGTTGACCTCCCCCGATACCGAGCAAGCGTCGCCCGTCGCGTGGTCCACCCATCAGGGTAGCCAAGTCCGCACCAATCTCTCAAGCGCGCGAAGGTTGCTAGCGGGAGAAGCGGAGAGGGCAAGGTTGAGAGCCAGCTCGAGCCAGCAATATGTAGCGTGCATTTATATAAAGGCGGACGCGCCGGAGTCGTTAAAGCGCGCTGTTGTTCAACCCACGCCTAGACACGCACGCCGGCGGCCCTGTTTTTGATAATCTGGTTCAGTATGAAGGTCACTGGGACGACGCTGCTGCCGCTCCTGCTGGCGACAGCTACAGCTCAGCATGTCAAGCTGCCTGGCTCTGCAGTCGAGCCGCGATGGGCAACGACCGATCACCATGTCTCGCCAAGGGCAGGCAACTCGTCTGCCTGGCCATACGGACCCTTCAGCACCAAGGGCAGGGACATCGTCAATGCCAGAGGTGATGTTATCACCTGGGCGGGAGTCAATTGGCCCATGAGTGGAGAGACAATGGTGCCCGAAGGTCTGGAATGGGCTTCCGTGGAGGAAATTCTCGACGATGTGGCCAGCGTTGGGTTCAACTTTTTGCGAATGGGTTACGCCATCGAGATGATAGACCAAATCTACGACCGGGAAGGAGACGATGTTCCTCTGGAGGTTGCTATGATTCAAGCCCTCGGATACGTCAACGGTACCAAGGTCACAAATGAGATCATCAAGAGGAACCCATCTTGGACACGAGAGACGACGAGGTTCGAGATCTGGGGCGACATCGCCAAAGCCGCCGCTACGAAGGGACTCTTTGTCCACCCGGATGTGCACGTTGGCAAGGCACAATGGTGCTGTTCACACATCGACGGGAATGCATGGTTTGACGATGTGAACTTCAACACCACCAACTGGCTACGCGGCCTTTCGTATGTCGCAAACTGGGCCAAGGACCACCCGAATATTGTCTCCATGTCCCTCCGCAACGAGCTGCGCGAGTCTTGGAACGTTACGGATCTCTACTACAACTGGCAGACCCTCGTCGGCAACATGAGCGCGGGTAGCGACGCCATCCACGAGTCAAACCCAGACCTGCTGATCACATGGTCAGGTTTACAGTATGATGAAGACTTAAGTGCTTTAGTCAGTAAAAAAAACATCCTTACTGCACCATGCTACAAGTGCACGGCGATCGTGGATGCTTACCGCCGCGACCCGGTCTACTTCGACCTGGACAGCTATCCCTGGGCCGACAAGCTGGTCTGGGAGCTTCACCTGTACGGTTCTAGCGAGGACGTCGATACAGGCACGTGCGCTATCATCGAAGCAGGGCTGTACCGCAACGGCTTCAACGCGCTCGGCATAGACCCTCCCGCGGCATGTAACATCACCAACGATTGCCCACCCGCCCAACGCATCACCCCAGTTGTCCTGACCGAGTTTGGGCACGGTCAGGACCCCACCATGTATAATGCCACATTGCAGAGCTGCCTTCAGGACTATACCAAGAAGCACGGCATATCTTGGGCGATGTGGAGCCTTGCTGGCAGTTACCGGATCAGATCTGGCACGCAGGGGCTTATTGACACTTGTAAGTGACGCTCTGGCGAAACCCTTACCTGTTTTGTTTGTATCTTAATTCCGAGGTTCCAATTGCTAACCAGTGGTGCGAAACCAAATAGGGGGCCTGACGAACTTCAACTGGACAGGATGGAGCTTTCCTGAGGGCATCGAGGAGTACTGGAAACCTTGGGTTGCCGCAATGAATGTCACCAGATTAAATTGAGTTGAAATCACATACACTGTTATTGGGACAACAGCACCAGACTCTCAAAAATAAAACCGCAACATGTCGTTGCAGAGCCCCCTATGACTTAGTAGGCACTTCCTTATCCAGGAGGTTATCCCATGAAAGGTTATCCCACAGAAGGTTATCCCACAGTAGGTTATCCTACAAAAGGTTATCCCACAGAAAGTTATCTCATAGTAGGTTATTCTATAGGAGGTTATCCTATAGGAGGTTATCCTATAGGAGGTTACCCTTGTGGGAGGTTGTCCTATAAGAGAATGTTTCAGAGAGGTTGGTTACCTTTAAGAGATCATTTTCATTTCCATGACCCTTTGGCCCCTTCCCCCTACTCATTCTACTTGTGGTCACAAAGCGGATACCCGAGCTGAAGCACGTCTAGGCCTAAGCGATTAAAGTTTTAATGTTTCCGAGTTCAGCTGGTCTTCACGAGTGCTTATACTTGCGAGTGAGATTCCACTTAGCATTCTCTGACACGTGTTCTGCGTTTTGTTTTCATCATGGTAAGGAAGTGAGAACTCGCATATTGACTGGTACCAAGTAGAGTCATTGTGTCTCCAGTCCCTACGTACATCGCACACAAGGCTGGTTTACCAGGCATCAAGAGACATCGACATCACGTAAACGCGAACCGAGTCCGAGCCTATAAGCTGGCCGCACCCCTATCTAATGGCCCGAAAGCCAGATACAACGGATCCAACACGCGGTCAACGACCCAGACGCAACCGTTCAACCCGCACACCTGCTCCTGGATCCCAGCGTTGTTGATAAATGTCGCGCCGCCCGTGACCTGGCTCGCGGTGACGTTGATACCAGTGAACGTGCTGGCGACGCTAATCGGACCGCCTGAGAAGTCCAGATCCGCAAACCTGACGTCGGTGTCGAGGAGGCCGAAGCTGTAGAGCTGTAGTGAGAGGGGCTGGTTGGATGGCGCGATGGACGACTCGATTGTATCGTTTGGGAGGCCAGCAAAGGCATCATTCGATGGTATGGCGAGAATCTGCGATATGCCGCCTGCCTCGGCCAAAGCGAGGCGGCGGCTGATGAAGTCCGGGCTCAGCACCTGGAATATGTCGCGTACTATGGTCAGACGTTCATCCTTGAGCAGGATATCAGCGACGGTACCGTCCGTCTCAGAGGTTGTCGGTGAATTGGTGGTGTTGCTAATTCCGAAGTATGGTGTGTAAGGGTTCAGGACTTGGTCAATTTGATGGATTACTCCATTCGAGGCAAACGTGTCCACAGCGACGACCTGCGCTTGGTCATTGACGAAGATGGCTTCCTCGCCGCCAATGACTGCGGCAGAGATGGGAAATCCTTCAATGGCCTCGAAAGGTGAGGCGCCCACAACGTCTGCGGACGTGACTAAGCCTTCAGCAACATGAGTCCGAATTATCGATTCAAAAAGCGGGTAAGCAGGCGCTGCAGTCAACGCCTCTACTAAAGCCGGCGCTATCTTGTTAATTGCCTAGGGAGGGTCAGTCACTCATCCCCAGTGGAGCAGCAGATTCACTATGGGATGGCCTGCGGCTGGTACTCACTCCATTGGTTGGAGCCAAAGCTGTATAATTCCTCCTATCGAGAACAGAGTTGAACCTTTCTTCAAACGCTGGGTTGGGTTTACTGCCTCCGCTAGCAAGGATGACGGCAGAAAAAGATGATAGCTCTGGGACTGTTGCAATAGTGGATAATAGCGGCTGGTCTTGAGCATTGGTAACGACGATCAGCGATGAGACCATCGCTGTCAACAGGTATTGAGGAGCCATTTCACAATGATTTTTGGAACTTTAAGTGCCCAGAATGTGTGTAGAAATGGGTCTGTACGGCAATTGATATGCTTCCATTGCTGGCCATTTTATACTCATCACCACGACAAGCCCCCATAAATTGCAAGTGTAGCCTTCCCAGAGATGTGCAATATGGCTCGTGGGATAAGGTTGACACTTTCAAAAAGCTGTCTTTGAATGGGACTGCACATTGAGTTCAAGGTGGACAGCGATCGTTGGGGATTGGCTCTGCATAAAGTCTAATCTCTGAATGGAGTATTGAAGTAACAGTCGGCATCTTGGCCGAGATCTGCTCCAAGCATTATCGACGGGTCGATAGTGAGGGGTGAGGCGGCTGGGTTCCGAAGCCACCTCCAGTTGAGAGAGAAATGGCAACGATGCAGACTAGCATCGTGTAATTGCGCGACAACGAGGGGCGACAGAGTTCGATCGTGTGCTTGCCTCGGGGTTCTCCTGGTGACTCTGTAACGAAAGGTCGAGATCCCAGCGTTCTCGCAACATCGATAGTAGGCTTGGCGGCTTGAATGAGGAGATTATCAGCCAGAGTTCGGGAACGGGCAACTCTCTGCTAAGGTTTCACACCACGCGACTCATTCACAGGCTCACAGTTCAGAGGCACGACAGCAACGCATGTCCGGTCGAAGAGGTGACGGAGCATCGCGGTCATCGATTGTCCGCAGAGCGTTACAACGCAACTGCGGCGGACTCCAGTGGTTCCCGTTGTGCCTCCCACATCAGCCAGTCTGATCTTGTTGTCCTGTGTATCTGGTCAGCCAATCACACAGTCGTAACGGGCTGGGAGCGACGTACGGTAATAGCCCCATCGCGTTCACCTTCCATATCCCTACAGCCAGGGCGACTAGTTGCATGGCAACATAGGCAAGCTTGACCTGCAACATCTTGGTCTTGTTTGTGTCTGTCTCGAATCTCTCCAAGGCCTGGTTTGTGCCCAGCAGACCGGCGATAGGGTTCTTAAAAGCCATGAACACCATCATAATGCTGAAAATCTGGAGCGAGTTGCCAGTCATGTACATCATGATCGCCGTCATGGGCAGGTTCTTGACGGGTGCCAGGGCCACCTCCCAGGCTTTCTTGAGCTTCAACGTGTCCATCTCTTCTGGTGTGGCTTGCTTTCGCGGTTGGATCTTGGTGTCTTTCGAGGCATCGCGTTGCTTCTATTGGTCTTGTCAGCAATGGGCAGATGGCCAGGACGTGACTGCAGAGTCGCGGCAGAGGCGCACATACCTTGGAGGTAGGAGCTTGCGACGGGAAGCCTGGAGGATCCGGAATGCCGCTCGCCTTGGATCTATATGGAGGCGGCGACTTCAGGTCCAACACCCACCGGGGGGGTTTCGACTGTGTCTTGAGCTCAGACATGGTTCAATCGTCTGGCGGTATTATGCGAGGATGAGGACGAGGGTGCGGTTGTCGGTGGCGTAGGTGGGTAATAGAAGCAGTGATAGTAGGGTTTATAGAGGAAGAGCTGACGTTGTGACAATCCAGAGCTCTACCTCAAAATACCTTGTCAGCCTAATCTGTAAGCAGGTAGCTCCACAGAGGCTGCAGGCACATGCACCAGGCTGTTAGTACATGTCAGTCTAGAGCTGAGCAAGCTGTCGAGTTGGGAAGGACGTGCGTCAACGCTGATCAAGCACCCGGGAGGCCCCACCAGCCGCGGCACAGGGGGCCTCAGTCAGGGGCGAGTCCAAGTCCGTCTTTATTACCTTGCGAATCCGATCTGGAGACGACAGCTCGCGAATGTTTCTCAACCCCGGTGCTGCCGGATCGACGAATTGACGACAGCAAAGCCAGACAGACCTACGAGACGATCCTGCGAGACCACAACAACGAACGAGTGACGAGCGCCCAAAAAAGACGTTGCGATCCGAACCACCTTGGCCACGAGAGCGAGACTGTTTAAGACACTGCGCAACACCAGGACAGCGGAACTCGACCAGCAATTCAACGCCCTGCCCGCATTCCGATCACGCCGCATAGCATAGCATTGTATTGCATCGCATCGCATCTCCGGAAGCAGGCAGAGGGCCAAAGGCGCAGGGATCAGAACAGTGCACCCGCGTGGACTACTGCAGCCCAAAGCATTGGACACACTGGAGAACCAGCCAAGAGACGAGACACGGCCGGGATAGCATCTTGGAGGCGGACGAGTGTCACTCAGCCAGTGAGGGGTTTCGCTATCTGTCCAGCCATCCTTCGCACTGGCTTGGCCTGCGCCTCTTTGGGGTCTTGCATGTCCGCTATCAGCGTGCCGCCATCGCCAATCGCAGCCCTGATCTTGCCATCGGGGGCCTGGTCCGTTGTAGAACCCATAGTCTATCTCGTCAGGTAGCAGGGCCACCGCCGACCACGCGACATCACCACGACCTGCAGCCACACCTCCCACCCCGTACCATCTACAGTTAGAGGGCCCGCTGTTGACCATGGCGAGCGCCCAAGGAGGAGGTGACTCCAAGCTGTTCGCTCGGGTAAGCAGAAGCTTCCTTTCGCTGTTTCTCTTGCACCACATCCCATCCCACTCCTCTTCTCTAGTTGTGCTCCTTGCTTCCATCTCCGCTGTGATGAGCATGTCTCGGAACTTCAGTCTTCATATCAAGCTATCCTTGTGCCCACCTGCGCAGAGTCTTGACCCTCCGCCTTATCACCCTTCCCCCGTCTTCACTCGGACTGTCAGACTGCCGGCGACAGGCAGCTCTCCTTGTGGCAGGGCTTCCACCTTTGCTCCCCTTGATGTCTAGAAACCCTACTCTCGCCGCTGCCCCTTTCCCCGACACTCCCACCGCATCCCATCAGTCTTCCCAGCGCGAGCATGAAAGGCCGCGCCCATCCAGAGCGTCCGAGATGTATCTGGCATATCTGCCCCCTACGGCTTCGGCCTCGCATCTGTACAGCAACTCACGCATAAGACAACAGGGCAAGGTCGCTGAGCTACGCCTCGAGCTGAACAGCGGCGGGAAAAAGGACAAGAACTACACGGTCAAGAAGGTTGCCCTGAAGAAGATCGTTGCGAACATGACCATGAGCAATAACGACATGGTCGCCCTCTTCCCTGACATAATCAGCTGCATGAACATACCGAGCCTCGAGATCAAGAAGATGTAAGAGTTGGCCTTCCAGTGTTCATGAAACTGGCACGAGGAAGCTGATTTGCGTTTCGCTAGGTGCTTTTTATTCCTTGTGAACTATGCTAGGATGCGAACAGAAATTGCTGTCAAAGCAATACCTGTGCTCGAGCATGTGCGTACAAGTCTAGAGACCCTTGTGACCTTTGAGCATCGACGTACAGTGACTGACCTCGTCGCAGGACATGGAAGATGCCAATCCACTCGTCAGAGCCCTCGCGCTTCGCACGATGTCATACATCCATGTACGTGAGTACGTCGAGGCTACAGTGCCACTTGTGAAGCGACTTCTGCAAGACTTGGATCCATACGTACGCAAGACTGCCGCATACTGTGTTGCAAAGCTTTACGACCACGACAGACACATGGTGGAGCGGTCCGATCTTATCGACAGGCTCAACGGACTGCTGAGGGACGATAACCCCACAGTTGTTGCCAGCGCTTTGGCAAGTTTGATGGATATTTGGGAAAGAAGCGATGCTATTAAGCTTACCATCGACTATTCCAATGCTTCCAAAATGGTTGCCATCCTTCCGGACTGCTCCGAGTAAGAACATGTCCGGCCCTTCAGTAGCTATTGGGGATCTTGTCTAACTTTCCACAGATGGGGTCAAACATACATATTAGAAGCTCTCATGTCTTACGTGCCTCAGGAGTCCGGAGAAGCCCTATTGCTTGCCGAGCGTATTGCACCACGGCTTTCTCACTCCAACTCAGCCGTGGTTTTAACATGCATAAGAGTCATTCTTTACCTCATGAACTACATCGCCGATGAGAGGCAAATTTCGGCGCTCTGCCGGAAGCTTTCGCCGCCTTTGGTAACATTGCTAGCCAAGGGTCCAGAAGTGCAATATCTTGCTTTGCGAAACGCGTTACTCATGCTTCAGAGGCGCCCGGACGTCTTAAGGAACGACATCCGAGTCTTTTTCTGCAAATACAACGACCCTATCTACGTGAAGGTCACAAAGCTTGAGCTGATCTTTATGCTCGCAACTGAAAAGAATATCGATGAGGTATTGACAGAATTGCGGGAATATGCAACTGAAATCGATGTTCACTTTGTGCGCAAGGCTGTTCGCGCGATCGGCAAGCTCGCAATCAAAATCGAGCCCGCTGCAAGACGCTGCATCAACCTCCTCTTGGAACTTGTCGCCACGAAGATCACCTATATCGTGCAGGAGGCGACAGTGGTGATTCGAAATATCTTCAGGAAATACCCCAACCAGTACGAGAGCATCATTGGAACACTCTGCGAACATTTGGACAGCCTGGATGAGCCTGAGGCCAAGGCAGCTATGGTCTGGGTTATTGGGCAGTACGCAAGCCGCATCGAAAACAGCGACGTCCTCCTAGAGGACTTCCTCTTCTCCTTCGCAGAGGAACCAGTCGAAGTGCAACTGGCCCTGCTCACCGCTACGGTCAAGCTGTTCATTCAAAGACCTACAAAGGGCCAGGAGCTCGTTCCCAAAGTCCTGAAGTGGGCAACAGAAGAAACAGACAATCCAGACCTTCGCGAGCGGGCGTACATGTACTGGCGCCTTCTCTCCACCGACATGAACCTTGCCAAACAGGTTGTCATGGGCGAGAAACCACCAGTCACCGCTGAATCCGAGCGCCTCGATCCGCAGACACTAGAGGAGATGTGCCTCAACGTTGGCACTCTCGCGACGGTGTATCTGAAGCCCGTACAGACCGTCTTCCGTAACGCGCGCCCGCGACGGCTGATAGACTCGCCGGCTCTCCAAAAACATAACCTCCCAGTCGGTTCAGGACCTATGGCTGGCTTCGACACCAACAAGTCACTGTCTCAGTTCGGCTACGGAGGACAACCGTCAGACGTAGACCCAAGGGACCGCGCCGCCGCCGCACCAGATGGCGATGGGAACCTCGCGCAGGCGGTCAATGACGCGGATGCGTACTTTGCCGGAATCGGTAGCCAGCAGATGCAGGCCATGCGCATCCAGGATGTAGACGGCGACAACACCTTCGGCGGCGGAAGTGGCCACGAGGCCGGTTACGTGGTAAATCAGTATGCTCCGCAGCAGGTTTTCCAGCCAGCACAGGGAGTGGGCTCGAATGGGGACTTGTTGATGTTTTAGAAAGGACAAAAGAACTTCGAGTGGGAGCCAACGATATTATGGGCACGAATTGTCCGCATTGCCTTGGGTTGGGATATGTATATATTTATGCAGTAATTGTGTAAGACTATTGATTGACAGTGCTCATGCTCACCTTGCAGAGCCCACGAATCACGTCATGACCGCGTTGAGTCCGCAGAGTTCCTAGAACTTGTGTTCTTCAATCAAGCACTCCTCCCTCAGATTGAACTCGCTTAGAGGGCGGCGGCAAGACATAAGACACCACGTATGCGGTCAAAACTATTGGCCTAAGACTAAAGCGAAACTCATTTGATTTGATTGTCAAAGAATGTATGTTATGGAGCTGGCCGTACTTTAACAATATCAATTGAAGGAGAGGAAATATAGCATTAGAAGGGCTGATCCCATATTCACAGAATTGATAATTGAATGTGTGAAGGTCAGTGGTTTTGAATGCTAAGCAAAACACGAAACTCTTCGGCCGTATAATAACTGGGCAGCCAACTTGTATATCTCGAGCTGGCCCAGCCAGTCCCTACTCGGTCTTCATCATGGACTCAGCGCCCAGGTCCATAGAAAGACTATGTCATATTGCAAGTCGCAGTGTTAATAATTTGCATGTCCCTTTCAGAGGTCTCCCCAATACCTATGGGGAGCATCCCCCCCTCGCTGTTGTCTGTACTCTTCATCTTTGTTTTGACTAGCATCGCTGCAAGCTGGGCCGTGGAACTGGAGATGAAACCGATGTTGACGATGTCGTCCCTGACTCAAGATAGAACTACAGGAGCCATCTGACGGCGCGATAGACTTTCGTGTCGGGCTGTGCCTGCGCTTTTCAAAGAAGTACAAGACGAGAACAATCAGCGCAAGACCTACAGCACCTCCAATAGGTCCGCCAATCACGCTTCCTAAATATTGACCGGTATGACCGATTTCTGGACCTTGGTCGACATTCGAAGTGTTGGCAACTATAATGGTAGAGCGTCAGTCAGAACTCCAGGCTAGGAGTATGCTCGACTACACACCACTGCTATTGTAGCCGGGAAAAGTAACATTCCCAGGCAAAGGTGAATCTAGGTTGCTCATCCTTGCGTAACTCGGCTGTTGGACTTCACTTTGATGCCGACCGTCCTCTGGGAGCCTTCAAGGTAAAGCGAACTGTCAGGAGTAAATCTTCAGATTGGCTGCTTGTTGAATGATGCTCGAGGAGTCAAAATTGGAGAAGACATCGGTCACTTATGGAAATTGGACATGAGCCACTCGGTTAAAACAGATGAGCGCTCAGCCATTTCTGATGGAGCAGAGGCTGTAGTCTCGGACTTGTGGCTCTCATCAGTGCTAGCCGTGGAAGTAACACGCCCTCGGAGGCGTGTAAAGTCTTAGACAGTATGGATGTAACGAGGCGAAATTCGCCTAGCATGTCCGGGAAATTCCACGTAGAGGGTCATTTTGGTGAAGTCGCTCATCGGACGAAATGAACGACATCTGGTCCCCAAATGTCCGACAAGCAAGACCCGATGAGGGAGGCCTGGGGCAATGTGGTCGTGGCATACAATTCATTTGTCACAATTTTGCCATCAAGCTGTTCCTAGTACGCTTCTGAACGGGGCACGATAATGGAGGACTAAAGTAAAACCTATGATGGCCGATGTCCATGGTATAATCTCCCTGGGATAACCTTCCCCTGTTAACACCGAGCTGAAGCCATTTGCGCACAACATCGCAGATTGGATCTGTCTTTCGTGCGTTCCTCCTATTTTAAACTTGGGGGGGGGGGGGAGGCTCATTACATCCTAGTATAGCAAGGGGCCGGGCGCCATGGAGCCCACATTCCGTTGATACACAGTAGACGTTAGACATGTAATGAGAGAGAGTCCCAGACGCGCAGTCTCAGCCACTCAGCTGCGGTTTTGCAGGCTGTTACCGTAGATCCAGACCTGAGCTGAGGGCCAGCCACCGCCATATTCATGCGCGGTGACGAATGGAAACGGCTTACATATGGGAGAGGTCGAGCACTCAGAAGATAGGGGCATAAAAGGCTCAAAAATGTACAAGCGGGTTGGCGTATTACGCTTCCATCCCTCGAGCGTCCTAGTCGGCCGGTTATCGAACGGCGTATCCGCTGGGCACCCTAGCTTGAGGTAGTTGGGCCGGTCCTGAGTCTGCGCACCATCTAGACTCCTCGAGTCCTCCCTCTACGGTCACGTACGTGGAACGTGGAATCAAATGTATACACATGAGCCACTGAGAAACCGGTGGTGTATTCGTTAGCAATCTCACAATTGGAAGTCTTGACAGCGCAGGATGTCAAGCAGACATGTGCCTTGCAAAGGTCGGGCCAGAACGAAGCTGTCTCAGCTCGCTGAGGGACAGAGCAGAAACGAAACGCCAAACACCCAAAATGATAATCCGCTTGGTGAGTGGGAGCGATCTCAACTTGTGAATACCACGTCGAGGAAGGGTGACCTTGTCCATGTTGCATGTTTCCCGCAGGCCTGCATTTGGCTCAAACGGGGTCAGAGCACTTGCAGATAGCTCCTACCACAGTAGACGATTTGATCCCCAAGCAAAGACGCCGATTTGTTCACCAGCGTCTACTGCCTGAAACATATGCGGCTATGGGTCCGTAAGTGACAAGCAGAAAAACAATTCGAGGTGCGCGGCAGTGCTGAGAGGCTGGCCGAGCAGCAATATTGCCCGTCATGGGCGTATGAAACCGGTGGGTGATTGATTGATTGCCTGCATTGCATGGCGTTGCCTTGCTGGTCGACAATGCTCAACAGGTACCACCGTACCTCATAGACAGATTGTTGACCGAGCGAGTGGCAAGTACAAGGTAGTTATGAAGGTGTTGTGGATTCAAGATGAAGAGGTCGTGCCCATACAAAACACGAGATAGCTTGGCCAGGTAAGCTCTGTACGTGCAGGACTGAGAGTAGGCGAGGTAGGTACGTACAAGCAAGCGGTGGAGATGACTGCTGTAACTGTGCAGGAGAATTGGCCCAGAGGCACATCGGAAAACAGGGGTAAAGAGGAAGGAACGAGCCGCGCAGAACCACTTGGCATCCACTTGGGCGCCCACCTAATTAACCCACCAGGGCAGTACGATCCCAGCGCAAGGGCCTTCCCCATTTGCAAACAAGACTTCCTTCCTAGTCTACCTCGTCTCCTCACCCTCCTCCTCCTCCTCCTCTCCCAGATCTCCTCTCCCCCAAACCCCCCCCCCCGTCTGAGGGTCCCCAGTTCGTGTTTGTTTGCTTTCATGACACAGTCCAGAGCCCCAACACGGTCAGTCAGACGGCCAGTGTAGCATCTTCTCATTTGGCTGGGTCAACACTTAGATCGATACGATAGCTCTCCTCTCCTCTCTGTTCCGGGTTGCCTTGCCCTGCCTTGCTTTGGTCCATACTGAAGCCCAAAGCATCGGACGAGCCAACCATCCACGACCTAGACTATCTGCCTAGTCAGTCTGGGTAGTCTCTCTAGTACCCTTACTGTACAGTTACCCGAGTGGCAAACATCCCCCTATCCCGGCCAGCAGCTAGCCCTCCAGTCCGTTCGTACCGTCACCACTTCGCGACCTTGGTCACCACCTCGAACCAGACCTGCACATGGGGGCTTGATCGGTCATATTCTCCTACTATACCAAGGCCCACGGCACGCCATCTCTGCAGCCGTTGCTGCTTGCAAGCCCGATTCCCGCTACCCAGCACCCCAGGTAGCCTTCTTCGACCTCATCAACATTGGAAAGGCCTTGGAAGGGAGCTGCGGTCTTTGCTCTTAGCTGCAGCCAGGCCTCTACTGTGCTGCGTCTGTCTCTGCCTCTGCCTCTGCCTCTGCCTGTGACCGTCTGCACTTTGCACATTGCTCTCGTGCAGTGCAGGCCCAAAGTACCAACCCTACCGTGCTGTACCAGTCAGGGACCCCGGGTGGCAGCCAAGTTCCACTCTCCACACGCGATTGCCGGACATCCATCCTGTCATCAAACCGCCTAACCGCTTCCAACACCGGCCAATCTGGTGGTTTCGTCTCTCAATTACAACACCACAGACACTGACCAATTCCTCCTCTCGACATACTCTGCTCAGGCACTGATCGATAACCGACGACACGCACATTTCAACCGCCCAATACCTGCCCGGCTCGCATTGATCCATCCGCTCTCCCTTCAATTACGGTGGCTTACCAGTGCTACCCTCATCCCTGTTTCCACGTCCCCCCGTTCCCCCGTGCTGCCGACTCCGACGACATCCATTCATCGGAAATCGCCCCCCAACCTCGATTTTGTTGCAACGACCTGGTCCTCTTGAGCCTCAAATCACCACACATGAATTAGCCCAGCGCCGAGCCCGTCCTTTCGCTTCCCGTCAATTTCCTCCATTTTGCCTCGGGCCTCACACTCCGTCAACAATTCCACGATGGCCGAGCCTCAGCCTCAGATGACCGGCGGCCAAGGCGGCTCGACGGAGCCCAAGGAGCCCCTTCAGCAGCCTCAAGGCGCTGTCGAGATGAAGAAGATAGACTCCGCTGTGCCTGAGGTCCCGGCCAAAGACGACGAACCCGCTACCGCAGACGGCGCGGCATCATCCACATCGGTGAAGGGCAAGGAGAAGGAGGTGCCACCAACGTCAAATCGTCAGGATAGGGCAGACTCCCTCTCAATAGGAGCCGCAGACGACCCCGATGGGTCACCCTCCAATCCTGCGGATGGCCCCGTGTGCAACATCACATTGCTGCTCCCTACAGGGGCTCGACACCCATATAAAATCGACGACAAGTACTTGGCCAAGCGGAACGTGGAAGTACCTGAGGTCACCGAGAGTGGCAAGAAGGACCCCTTCAGTGTCAGTGTCTACAAATTGAAGGAGCTCATACTACGGGAGTGGCGCGACGAATGGGAGGGCAAGCCAGCCAGCCCCAGCAGCATACGTCTGATTCACTTCGGGAAACTACTAGACGATAAGGAGCAACTGAAAAGTAAGCTGCTCTCCAGAATTCTGCTGCACGGCCCCTGTTGGTGTTCGTTTCCAGGACTGACTTGACTTTCCCATCATAGAATACCAGTTCAGTCGCGAGATACCCAATGTTGTACACATGTCCGTTAAACCGGCCGAAATGTTGGAGGAAGACGAAGCCGGGAAGGGAAAGAGTGGCAGCAGTGGCGGCCGGAACTCTGAAGGAGGCTCGGGCTGCTGCGTCATATTATAATGAGCACGGTATTATGGGCCAGACTGTCTTGTCTGACCGATCATGATTGCTGTCAGCTGCTGAAGTGATTCTGGTCAAGTGATACGCGAGCATGTTCGACTTGGGGCGCTGCGGGCTACCCTGCCCGCCGGCGGAAAGCACGCGGCAAGGACTCTGGCTTGGTGGTTGAGTTGAAATGCCGTCGGCTGCTTTCCCATCATCACACTTGACGTTATTATACGCTCTCGAACTGCATCTTTCTTATCTTGGGGGGCATCACACCACTGAAACAGATCTGTTCGCTGCGGCATTCGGATTTCTTCATGTCTTTTCTAATCAAGAGGATTTAGCTGGTATGGGTATCGTTGGCGCAACACACGGGTAATGTTTTGGTTTTGTTATCGCAGCGGAATTTTCCACCAACCTGGCATCATCACCATCATGTACTTCAACATGAACACACAAAAGATGAGCGGAGCAAACATGTCCATAGCTTGGATAGAAATCAGTCATTAGAAACATCCCGCTGTCCTGCTCGCCTGTGATTTGGGATGGAGCGAATGCTGTGTTGTGTCATTCGCGATGTCTAACCCAGCTCCGGCGGTCTCTCTATTTGTTGTTGGTATCTGTACAGAGCCTCCCTTATGTCAAGTGGGCTTGCCTTCATCTAGAGGCGTGTGTCCTTGTTGGTCAACATCAACACCCATGACTACCCGCTTGCCCCTGCTCACATCTTCAGCTTCCTCTCCATCTCCTCGTGCACGCCAACGGCAGCCCTCTGCTCCTCCCCGGTGTACACGTCCTCCCAGCTAATGCTGGCGTCCCGCCCTCGCAGGATGTCCTCGTGCACGCTCGCCGAGCTGCCACCGCCCAGCGCCATCGGCCGCCACTCGCCCTGCTGCGTGATCTTGAGCTCCATGCCGCGGCGGATGGGCTCGGCGACGCCGTAGGTCTTGCGCAGCATCTCCATGCGCAGGTTCTCCTGCGTCGACTCCCACTGCTTCAGGCGCGACTCGAGCGGGTGCGCCGAGGCCGGCGTGGTTGATTCCTTGGTCGAGGTGAAGGGGTCCGGGCCCACGCCCGCGCGGAGGGTGTCGTGCAGGCCCGGTGCCGAGGGGGCGCCGTGTGCGCTGGGCCGGATGTGGCTGAAGGTGGACGAGTGGGCGTCGGCGGGGACGATGCGCATGGACTGTGGACGGGGACGTTCTGTCAGTAAGGCGTGTGTCCCATGGAGCTGTACTGTCACCTGGGTGGGCTAGGTTGGGCTTACCATCTTGGCGGTTTGCTGGCGGGTTAAGGGGTTGGGGGATAGGTAGAGAGACTGGTGTAGATCTGGTAAAGGACCTGTATTGGTGAGAAGACTGCGAGGATTTGTGGTGATGTAGTTCGTGAGGTCGTGGAAGTTGAAGTCGAGATGCTGGGCTGCTTCTGGGGGTTGCCGGCCAGTGAAGCTTAGGCACTGGCAGGCTGCCGAACAGCTTCGCGTAATGGACGTGCACGGGCCAGGCCACTTGGTAAGGTACGTGGGTACATGTGCGGGTAGCGAGCTGATGGGCGTGGCATTATCCCCGGTACCGCCGCATCAATATCAACAACCCGTATGACACAGAGCTGCTGCACATAGGGACTGAGTTGAACTACTCACCAGAACATGGCTCGCTCGCATCCCAATAGCCATCAACCCACATCATGAGACCTATTCCGGTGCGGTCTCCTATTGTCCGAATAGCCAATGGCACTTTCTACCGCCATCACCCGAGCGCTCATGTAGCTCATCCGAATCCGCCTCTGTTCTCGGAGCTGTCTTTTGAGCTGCCTTCTGATCCAAGCTCACAACACCGCTGGGCTATTCTGGGTCCTTCATTATCCGGGAAAACTACGTTTCTACAGATCTTGAGAGGCCAGCATCTATGCATTCCCGCAATAGGACGAACATTCCCCTACTTGGCCACTGATGCAGTCCCTCATCGGCTAAGATCCGCCAACAAGGCGATCCAATATGTTGGCTTCGATGCAGAGAAGTCCGGCGGAGGGTTGGGCCCAGCTACCTCGGCGTATTTGTCCGCGCGGTACGAGTCTCGGCGGGAAATAACCGACTTCTCGCTCAAGGACTACCTGACAGGGAATACGGAACTCAACCCGTACTCCCTCCCCGATGATGAGGCTGGCATCAGTCCGGAACTCCTGGAGAAGGTCACAATAGACCTGAAGCTCAAGCCGCTACTGGAACTCCCTGTGTCATTCCTGTCGAACGGCCAGGGTAGAAGGGCGCGGATCGCGAGGGCCCTGCTCACAAGCCCTGAAGTCTTGCTGCTCGATGAGCCATTCATGGGGCTCGATCCGCCGACGGTAGCATCGTTGAGCCCATTGTTAAAGTCAATGGCTACCAAAGCTTCTCCGAGGCTGGTTTTGAGTGCGCGGCCGCAGGACCCGTTACCGGACTGGATCACACATCTAGTTTACTTGAGAAGTGACTGCCAGGTTGGAGTCATGGGCGACAAAGAGACTGTGATAGAAGGTCTACGGAGGTATGTTCGAGGCGTCCGAAAGGGCGGCTTGGTCGAGGATGAGAAGATGCCGGTGAAATCACTTAGAGAGATGGGCCATACCTTAACCGAGAATGGTATCACAGGGACCGGCTTGGGTGAAGAAGGCGAGTCTGTTGCTAGTGCGGCTACGCCCCAGCGAACCCAAAAAGAAGAGCAGAAATCACAAGGGGAGCCACTGGTCGAGATGGAAAGCTGCCAGGTGAAATACGGAAACAAGATTGCACTTGGCAACTGGGAAGTGGAAGAGAACGGTGAATCCGTCAAGGGACTGTCATGGACAGTCAGGCGAGGTGAGAGATGGGGTGTCTTCGGTCCCAACGGTTCTGGAAAGACGACGATTGTATCTCTCCTCTGCTCAGACCACCCTCAGACCTATTCATTGCCGATAAAGCTTTTCGGTCGCAGCCGCTTACCGGAGCCTGGGTCGGGACAGCTGCCACTCACCTTCTGGGATATACAGCGACGAGTGGGCCATTCCAGCCCTGAGGTCCACCAACACATCCCGAGAAGACTGACGATTCGACAAATCATAGAAAACGCCTGGGCTGACACGTTTGTAATGACACCAAAGCTTGACGAGGAAGCCCGTGCGAAGGTTGATGCGAGCTTGCGGTGGTTTGAGCCCGAGTTAAACCCTGCATATCAAAAGACGGCGGCTGACAGCGCATATGACATTTCATGGGCAAGCGACTACATCTTCGGCGAGATATCGTTCAGCGCGCAGCGAGTCCTGCTCTTCTTGAGGTCGATGGTCAAGAACCCAGACATTGTTGTCCTCGACGAAGCGTTCAGTGGCATGGACGAGGGCGTCAGAGACAAGTGCATGCTGTTCCTTGCGCATGGCGAAGCGAAGACGTACGCGCAGGGCACCAGACAGATCACCAGCCGAGAGGGCTCTGGCTCTGCCACGGAGACTGAAGTGGTCGACAGCGAGCAAGCAAAAGCCGGCAAAGTGAAGGTTCTTGGCCTGTCGGACCAGCAGGCCTTGATCTGCATCAGCCACATAAAGGAGGAGGTGCCCGACGCCGTGCGGGAGTGGTTGTGTCTGCCTGAGGCTAACTCTGAACTGCCGGCGAGGTTCGGGCGGCTGGACGGCCCGCTGAGAACCAATGCGAGGAGGTGGAGTGAAATTTGGAATATCGGGAGAATTTGAGCACCAGGCCCACTCGAAGACCTCCCTTGGTGTTCCACGTGGTCTGGGCAGCAGTGGTCCAGCCCAACGGGCCCCAGACACGGCTGAGGCTTGATGCCTCTGGACAACGACCAAATGCAGACGCAATGAGACGAATTCAGCGAGCACAAAAGTTTCTCGTCGGGTTTATTCTCATTTCCTTCAACCCCGTCTACGGGAGCACCAAAATCGCAAACAGCCGAGTGGCAGTGATGAAGATAGAGCATTGAGCACAGCCTTGAACCTGCCCATGAACCAAGACGGTGTGGTCCATACTCTCTAACTCTCAAATGGCAATCTCATCTACTATCAAGTGGTGCCTGTCTTCCCACATCGTGCAGGTCGGTCTGAGGTGGACACTCGCTCAAGGTCTGTGTATGCATTGTGTGTGTGTACGCGTACGGATGCTGCTGTTGTTTGTCTCCGCCGTGTGGGAATCGCGTTTTCTGGATCGGACTCCTGCCTACATTCCCAGCCATTCAATTTCTATTTTCGAGCAGCAGAAGTCTGTGTCATGCTTGCAGGCCCGTCGTATAGAGTTATCGATTGTTGTGAATCCACTGATTCCCCTGCTGGTGGAGTCGTCGGTTGGGGCACTTTTAGCCCAGGCAGGCTAGGGTGGGCTGTATGACGTGCCACCGAGCGATCGCTCCCAGCCCACCTCCACTCCCAGCCTCCAAAAAAGGCGGCTGCAGACAAGCGCCCGCCTGGTTGCTGTGGATACAGCTTACATCCTATACGGCATCCGTGGGCATCAACAAGACCTGCATGCTCCTAATGTTATTATCGTGCCTGGCTCTCTGCCTGCTTCCCTGTCTCTTCTTCTTAGAGGCCAATTGGCGATTTTATCTACCAACCTCCTCCATTATTACCGACCCGGGATCCAAGCATTCCCTGGACAGACATCTCAAGCTGCTGCATAGCTACCACAGTCGCTCCCTCGTGCGTTCGTTTATCGCACTGCATTGCATTGCGTTTCGCCATTCAGGTGGCTGGGGTCGAAGCTCACAAACTCTCATTCCTGCACCTTCTCTCACCTGAAGCCACTCGCTCTGAGCTCTAGTCTAGTCAAATCATTTCTTGTGACTTTCTTGATCTATCAGAGCCAGTATGGACCGCTCAGGTTCACCGTCACACCCCCCAGACTACGGTCGACGTCTTTACGGCGACGATGACCCCGACGACACCCCCCTTGGTCAAGGAAGCACCGCTGCCGCCGTGAGACTGCTAACATCTATGGAGGAGCCAATGCCAGAGGGCCGTCCGTACGTATCGCCTGATATCCTTCGTCCATCTCCTTTGTGTCTGCCAGCTAGAAAAACTACTGGGTCGCCGCATGCAACTTCGACCCCAGAGCACATCTCGTCGCTCAAGAAGCAGGAGGAGGGCACTAGTCCGTCCAAGAAGAACTCTTCTCCTGCAGTCCACTTTGTGTCTGAGACTTCCACTGCGGGGACATCACCGCGGCGTAAGCCAGTCGCAAGCGACGACGGCCCGGGCAAGCTACCGTCAAGAAACCCAACGGTCAAGCTACAGAAGAAGATGAAGCCGGCGTATGTCACGCAGGCCGAGATTGCGTCGACATTGCCGGTCATCCCAGAGGGACTCTCTCCTCGTCGAGCATCGTTGAGGAAGTCCCTCAGCGAGCCCCCCAGTACTACTCAACATTCATCAACAGCAGGCACCAGAAGCTCACCAACATGTGAATATAGTAGCCATCACACTCGCCACTCATACCAACCATCCGTCTTTTCCACACATTCTCACCGCTCATCCATCCTCGATCCGCCCAACATGCCGCCACCAGACTCCACGTACATCCCCTTCCGACCCTTTGATGAGGATTCACCACCACGGTCATGGAGCCCATCGCGCACGTCCGACTATGAGAGAATGCCTCCAGCCCCTGCCCAATACGAGCCGGCGGATCTGAACGGCAGCCCACGACCAGGGACCCCATCTTCAAGATATGGCGGAAGCCCTAGAAGGCCTCTGCCCCCAGCACCACTTTTCTCCGGCGGTAGTGCCCGACCTTCATCTTTTGGAGACGACGCCACTGTCTCCATCCCGCTGGAGCACGACGACGACGATGTTTTCGGCCCTGAGTCATCTGACATGGGCGACAAAATGAGACGCGAGTCTTACCTGTCTCGCCAGGATACGCTGAGCGACGAGCTTGAGTCTCCTATGGACGAGAAGCTTGGTCACTACGGTCCTGCACCACAAGGGCGACAGCAGCGGCGAGGTGTGCGTGACCCGCAGATGACCAGGAAGGAGGTCCAGCTTATCAATGGCGAATTGGTGCTGGAATGCAAGATTCCGACGATCCTGTACAGTTTCTTGCCGCGCCGAGATGAGATCGAGTTCACGCACATGCGATACACGGCTGTAACCTGCGACCCGGATGACTTCCTATCGAGGGGTTACAAGCTGCGCCAAAACATCGGAAGAACTGTCCGTGAGACGGAACTTTTCATCTGCGTGACCATGTACAATGAGGACGAGATCGGGTTCACAAGGACAATGCACGCCGTCATGAAGAATATCGCCCACTTTTGCAGTCGCAGCAAATCGAGGACTTGGGGCGAGAACGGTTGGCAAAAGATTGTCGTGGCTATCGTCTCGGATGGTCGTGAGAAAATCCATCCCCGAACACTGGACGCCCTGGCTGCCATGGGCGTTTACCAGCACGGTATCGCGAAGAACTTCGTCAACCAAAAGGCTGTGCAGGCACATGTGTACGAGTACACGACCCAAGTCTCACTCGATTCCGATCTCAAGTTCAAGGGAGCAGAGAAGGGTATTGTTCCTTGCCAAATGATCTTCTGCCTCAAGGAAAAGAATGCGAAGAAGCTCAACTCGCATCGTTGGTGCTTCAATGCTTTTGGAAGAGCATTGAATCCCAATGTCTGCATCCTGCTCGATGTCGGAACAAAGCCTGGCAGTACTTCGCTGTATCATCTGTGGAAGGCATTCGATACCGACTCCAACGTCGCAGGTGCTTGTGGCGAAATCAAAGCGATGAAAGGAAAGTGGGGAAGCAATCTGTTGAACCCGCTCGTTGCCTCGCAGAACTTTGAGTACAAGATGTCCAACATCTTGGACAAACCTCTGGAGAGTGTTTTCGGCTACATCACGGTGTTGCCTGGCGCTCTAAGTGCGTATCGGTACCACGCACTCCAGAACGACGAGACTGGCCATGGACCTCTCAGTCAGTATTTCAAGGGAGAGGTTCTGCACGGCCAGCATGCCGATGTTTTCACTGCCAACATGTATCTGGCTGAGGATCGTATTTTGTGCTGGGAGTTGGTGGCCAAGCGTGGGGAGAGATGGGTACTGAAATATGTCAAGAACTGCACCGGTGAAACTGATGTGCCAGGTAAGTCGTCCAGAACACGAAACTTCCGTTCCTTCAAGGAAGAACACAGACTGACAATGCACTAGATTCGTTACCAGAGTTTATCTCCCAGCGGCGACGATGGTTGAATGGAGCCTTCTTCGCAGCGGTGTACTCCCTCATCCACTTCAAGCAGCTTCTAGCAACAGATCACACGATTCCCCGGAAAGCACTGCTACTCATCGAGTCCTTCTACCAGTTCATACAGCTCGTCTTTACATATTTCTCGCTCGCCAATTTCTACCTGACGTTCTACTTCGTCGCAGGTGGTATCGGCGACCCGAAGGTCGACCCATTTCCGCACAACCTTGGAAAGTACATCTTTGTCATATTGCGCTACGTGTGCGCCCTCCTGATCGCCGCTCAATTCATTCTGTCCCTCGGAAATCGACCGCAAGGCGCCAAAAAGCTGTACCTGGCCTCCGTCATCATCTTCAGCATCATCATGGTCTACACCCTTTTCGCGTCCATCTACATTGTCGTGTACCAGATTACAAAGGGCAGCGGGTTCGATATGCATAGCACCATCATGACCAACATGATCCTTTCGGTCTTGTCGACAATCGGCCTCTACTTCGTCATGTCCTTCATCTACCTCGAGCCATGGCACATGTTTACATCGTTCATACAATACTTTGTCTTGTTGCCGTCGTACATTTGCACTCTGCAGGTGTATGCCTTCTGCAACACGCACGACGTCACGTGGGGAACCAAGGGTGACAACGTGATGAAGACAGACCTGGGTGGTGCTATCGGCAAGGGCTCGACTGTCGAGCTGGAGATGCCGTCGGAGCAGCTCGATATCGACTCAGGGTACGACGAGGCGCTGCGGAATCTGCGCGACCGCATCGAGGTGCCCGAGAGCCCCATCAGCGAGTCCCAGATGCAGGAGGACTACTACAAGTCCGTGCGGACGTACATGGTCAGCTCGTGGATGATCGCCAACGCGGTGCTCGCGATGGCCGTCAGCGAGGCGTACGGCACAAAGCAGGTTGGGGAGAACTGGTACCTTGCCTTCCTGCTGTGGAGCGTCGCGGCGCTGGCGGCGTTCCGCGCTCTGGGGTCTGGGACGTTCGCGTTCATCAACCTCATCAACACAATTGTGGAGGGACGGGTCAAGATGAGCCTCAAAGTCCCCAAGTGGCTAGGTGGTATGGGCAGCAAGATCTCAGACACGCTGAGCAGTGTCGGGAGCAGTGTGAGAAGGTGAAAAGAACCACACAAGGTGGAAAGATGGTTCTCTTGTTAATGTGTTTATTTTTCTGAAAAGGAGTTTCTTTGATGGGTTGCAGGTCATTAATTTGATACCGTAAGTAGGATTGGCGTTTCTTCCCTTGGCATTCGGATTCATGAGGGTTGATGAAGGGAGACGACTGGACGGATCAGTTGAGTTGCTTCTGGCAAAGGGTCGGACGGAACATGATATCAAACAGGCTTGGATTGTAATGGGATTAGGGATCACTTGCATGAGGTTATGTATATGGTACGAATTGTGTATGCTCGATGGGGAGCTGCACGTGCATGGATTAAGGAACCAAGAAGTGCGTTGTTGAGGCTAGATAAAAACAATGCATCACTTAAATAATCAGTCTTGCCGTCTTTCCCATGAGATCCCACAAGTCTCCCGGTTCGAGTTCAAGTCCTGCACACACGGGTGACACTCGCAAAGAAATGAATGAAAGCCACAACGGCTTGAAAGTTTGATCATTATCGTATCTAGAGCCTGGAAATATCGAAGTCCTTGTGTCCCCACTTCTCGGTGAACTTGACCTTGGCCTGCTTCCGGAAGGGAATCTTTCTCCTGGCCTCCAGCCGCCCTCTCACCAGTAGACTCCTGTACCGGTCCTTGAGCAGATTGCCCTCGGGTTTCAACAGCCTCAATGAGTCCTGAAGCTCGTCCGGTAGCACCAGCTCAAGGTCCTTCTCAGGAAGCTTGAACTTGCCCAGCTGTCTCCTGCGTAGCTCGATATCATCGCCCTCGCTCTCATCCTCACTCATCTCGACCTTGGACAGAGCTAGCTGCCGCTGCTTCTCCTCCACAGCCTCGGCGATCTCCTTGATATGCTTGGCCTGCTCCTCCTTCCTCTTCGCCGCTGCCTGGTGCTTCTTGAGACCCTCTGAGAGCTTCCTCCTCTTAGCCTTGTTCCTCTGAGCTGGGGTCTTCCGCTTCGGCCGTTTTGTGATCACGCCTTCGGCGTCGCTTTCGATACCCTCCCATGCCGAGTCCTCGTCCCACTCCGACAGCTCGGCGCGCGCCTCTGCTGCCTCTGCTTCGGCGGCGGAGCGGGCAGCGGCCTCCTGTCGCTTGCGGTCCGCCTCGAGCTCCTCCAAGCGCTTGCGCTCAGCCTCGAGAGCCTTCTCGCCTTCTAGCTCTAGCCTGTTGACATAGTCCGTCACGGCGGGATTGTAGCTGAACCCACCAGCCGGCTTGGCAATTGCGGGCACATTCTTTCCGCTGGCGGAGAGGGATATGGGCTTCTTCGCCAACGTGGACGGGGCTTTAGGCCTTGTCGGCTCTGGCAGCCATTCTTTCTCCTCCTGATACGCCACAGAGCTCGAGGCGGGGTTTGTACCCACGGCCCAAGGGTCGTAACTGGCGTCAACGACATCCACCGTCGATTCATGGTGTCCGTCGGCCACCTTCTTGATCCGAGTGAGCTCCTTGTGGGTGACATAGTTTGTGCGCTGGCGTTTGACAGGTAATATGCCATCGGTGGTCTTGTCGGCGGGTCTCTTCTTGCTGGAAACGGCCGGGATCACAGACCGGGCGGCGATGATTTCGTCGGCCTTGAGACCCTTGACTTTGGGGACTCTCTTGGTGTTGCGGGAGTCACCGCCGGTATCGAGGACGAAGAGCTCGCTGGAGTCCTTCTCGGCGACGACGCCGCCTTGAATGATCTCGTCGTTTAGGTCCTCGAGTCCCTTTTTCACCTCGGTCACGTCGACGTTCTTCCTCCATGCCTTCTTGCCCTTTCGTGACGGTTGGCTGTGCTGTTGAGGGGCGTCCGGGTTGCCTGTGCGACCCCTAAGGACAGCCATCTTGGCGGCTTGATTTTGTGTGTTGATAGTATGTGATAGGCTTGGGCGCGAAAGGTAGTTGATTGATGTGAGGGCGAAGTCTGGATGGGTTCAATTGCTAATGAGCGAGCGGCCAAACGATCAAATTGACTGATTGACAAACTGGACTGGGAGAGGGACTTGCTGGACCCGGCCCATCTCTCCAAATACCCTGGGAACTGAAAAAAAATCAGAGATGGGGAGGTCTATCGATAAGCAGCCCGCTAACAGACTGGGCCCAGGCTCGCAGGCCTGCAGAGAGCCCTGCAGAGCTGCATGGTGGCGGGCGTTGCGTCGCCAATCACTGGCTGGCTGCTGGCCCCACAGCGCGGGCGCCGAGACGCTGGCCAACGCGGTGAAAGGGGATCCAGATGTCGTGGAGAAAGATAGACTGCGCAGTTCTCCGTATCTACTGTACAACTGGTCGTTGAGAAGAGGGGACCCGTTTCTACACCGTTTGTTTCTCGCTGCTGGCGTCCCGCATTTGGCCAAGGCAAGCTGTCAAGAGCTCCAAATAAGATTTCAACCACCGAGAGCCCGGCTACCCAGGATCAGAACAAAGACAGTCCAACTCGATCCAACCCTCAATCCATCCTGTTTGATCTATAACGAACGACACCACCCTCAAGCGGCGAGATATTCCAAACACGTATCTGCCCACCTACATAGACGGCTTCTCGAAGAGTGTCTTTCCTTTCCCTGCTCCACCCAACTGACGACATCCACTCGCCGGATTCTTACACTCACAACCACCCGATTCTACGGCAAATCCAACAAGATGGCGCAAGCAGGAGGATCCTACAACAACCCCCTGAAGAAGTTCAAGTAAACAGTCCTCAAACTTGACCGGTATCACTCTTCTCCAGGCGCTTGAGGCTAATCATCTATATGTCTGCAGGCTGGTCTTCTTAGGCGAACAGAGTGGTACGTCCAGTCTAGTCAGGACCCCCGAAGCCACGTACAGCGCATGCTAACGTCGTCCCGTCGTCTGTTTATAGTGGGCAAGACATCTCTCATCACCCGGTTCATGTATGACTCGTTCGACAACATGTACCAAGCCACAATCGGCATCGATTTCCTCTCCAAGGTGATTTACGGCCCATCCGCAGAAGCAACCGACCATGGACCCCGAGGCTGACGCGATTCCCAGACGATGTACCTCGAAGACAGGACAGTACGGCTGCAGCTCTGGGATACAGCCGGCCAGGAAAGATTCAGATCTTTGATCCCCTCCTACATCCGAGATTCCAGTGTTGCCGTGGTGGTCTACGATATTTCAAGTGAGCTGAGACGGGATCCACCAGAAGCTTCCAAGGTGGGGACAATAGCTGATACATAGGGAAACCAGACGCAAAATCGTTCCAGAACACGAGGAAGTGGATCGACGATGTCCGGGCCGAGCGAGGGAACGACGTGATCATCGTGCTTGTGGGCAACAAGACCGATCTTAACGACAAGCGAGAAGTCACCACACAACAGGGCGAGGAGGAGGCCAAGAAAAACAACCTCATGTTTGTCGAGACAAGCGCCAAGCTGGGCCACAATGTGAAGACACTGTTTAAGAGAATAGCCCAGGCCCTGCCAGGCATGGAGGGTAGCGATGCTGCCGCACAAGCGACCAACCAGAGTAAGTTTGGGTCCTTGCTGTCCCGGAGGAAGAAACTTGTGACGTGCTAACATTTCGGAAGTGATTGACGTGAAAACGAACAACTCGCCAACGAGCCAGGAGGGCTGCGCCTGTTAAACGAACGCAGCATTGTTAGACCCCACGGATCGGCGGCCTCGGTACCCAGTACCGAGAGGAGGCATCCAGAGCTGCATCTTGTAGAAAGCAACAATCAGCCAGGCCGGTATATCATTGGCCACGGGCTCTCAGCATGAGCGATTGTATAATAAACAACGATTAATGGGTCATGAATGACGACCCATGATTTCTTCCGACTGATAAGAACTTTTAGTATACTATCTAATTCATCTTCAGACCTCTTGTCTAATGTCTCGGCTGCCGGCGGCGAGACTGCTGTTGGCTGCGATCGTAACTGCTGCGTATCGCTCTTGTCCCGGCCGTTGAAACCTTCCAACTTCTATCTGGGATGACGTCCGCCTCGTAAGCTCTCCACTGGGCGATGTCTCAGAGTGAACGTGTCCCTGGAGTAATTTAATACAAGGGCGTATTTCCCATTCATTTCCGAGACTGCACCGAACCATCTGCCATGCCAAAGTACGCCGCGACTGGCTTCTGGGCGCTGCTCTGGACCTGGAAGCCGTTCGCGCCTGCGAACAGCCCAACCTCGACGACGCCCACAATCTTGATGATCTTGTCGGCCAGGCCGTCGACGGTCCAGACGCCATTCTCGCCGTCCTTGCCCTTGAGGTCTTTCGCCAGGGCAAGCGGCGGGAAGGGCGCATCGATGAGCGAGTTGCCGTTGTCAGTCACTATCGAGCCCGCTTTGCCTGGCAGCCCCGAGCGCAGCACGGGGTTGATAGAGCCCAGCTTCTTCAGCTCTGCCAGCACGTGCCCTGTAGCCTGGTAGACGACCTCTATCGGGATGCCCTTCTTCCAGCTTGTCCCCAGCCTCGCGGACATTTTCCTGAAATCTGCAACACATAATGTCAAATTTTCCCTTTTTACAATTTCAAGAGAGGGGGGGGGGGGCAAAGAGAGATATGGCGAGCCAAGTAGGCCGTCCTATCACTCACCAGCGACACAGACAAACTTCTTGGCCTTGGTGACGATCAGCTTCTCCTGGAACAGGCAGGCGCCGCCGCCCTTGATGAGGTTGAGCTCCTCGTCGACCTCGTCGGCGCCGTCGAAGCAGACGTCGAGCTGCTGGCCCTCGGGCAGGTCCTGGACGTACTGCAGGCGCAGGCCGGCGCCGCGGATCAGCTCGCGCGACTGCTCGCCGGTGGGGAAGAAGGCCATCCTGGCGGTGGCGTCGGGCCCCAGGGCGGCGATGGCCTCGACGACGTAGACGACGGTGCTGCCGGAGCCGATGCCCACGTGCGTGTACTTCAGGTCCATGTGCTCCTTGACGGCCTCGTAGGCGGCCGCGCGCTTGGACTCCTCGACCAGGGCGGCCTGCTCGGTCGCGCTGAGCGCCGAGGTGGATGTTGTCGCCATTGCTCTGGGGGCTGTGGGTTGCCTGTGGTTGTGGTTGTGAGCCCTGAGGTGGTCGCTCCTGGGCCTTTGCAGTTGTCCTGCTCGCAGAGGAGTCCGGGGCGCAGGGCAAGTGTAGCGTCTCCGGCTTATATGAACCGCTGCAGGTCTCACAGGAGGTGCGGCAATAAACTTGGGGGATGGGCTGGCGAGTCGTAAACGCATCAAATGGGACGAACTTGTGAATCTTGTGGGAAAGTCAAAAAACTAGTCATCAACACGGTCGAGCTCGCCGTTCGGAGTAATGCCTCGCGTTCTTCTAATAGGCGCATGGCCGATTGTCGCCTACACGGCCCCCCAGAACCCAACTCACGATGAGAAGCGCCGTTCGCGGGGGGAAACAATGGCTGAGTCATCACGAAAATTGGTCTTCATCATGGCATCAAATCCGACCACTTGACCATTAGAACTACGTAGCAGCAATGAAGGTTTTGACAGACTGACAGACTGCTCTGGATTTGCAGCAGTGGCCTCTCTGCATATAAGATTTTGCATCGAGTCGTGAAAGATCTTGTCGATTCAGTGAGGCTGATAGCGACAGATTCAAGGCCGAGTGCGTAGGCCGAGTAGGTGAGCCGCACGGGTGTACTGTATGCGGTAGACCCGCGTATCTCAAAATACAACGCCTAAATCCTACAGGGGGGGTGGGTGCCTGCCTCGGACCGGGTGTGACGCTGCACCCCGACGCATCCGTATTTCCTCCAGGGCTGATTGATTCGGTTCGGATACTTTCCAGCTCTTGCCACATCCAACCCTGACTGTCTTCCGCATTAACGAGACCCCCTAAAAGCCGACCAAGACCACCAGTACCTTGCATCCAGGACCATCATCTAGCTAGAACTCCAGATTTCTGCATTCGAGGTGGCAGCAAGAAAGCATTATGGCGACTTCAAGAGGCCTGCGCCTGTGGCTGCCGAAGCCCAAGGTGCGCTCACGCCATCCAAAAGCCCGTCATCACCGCCAGCCAGCTAACCACCATCTGCAGACCTTCCTCGGCCTCATGTCCCTCCAGACCGGCACCGAGATGATCTCGATAGCCCTCCTCATCAACAAAGTCACGGGCCTGTACGGGCTGCTCGCCATCCTAACGGGCTTCTCCCTCGACGCGGTCCAGCTCTCGATGTACATATACTCGGTAGCGGTCCTCGCCACCCTCGCGGTCCTGATCCCGCACATCCGGAGGCAGTCGCCCTTCCAGAACCTGGCGCTGGCGTGGCTCTACATCGCCGACACGGCCGCCAATGCCGCCTACACGGCGACGTTCGCCGTGCAGTGGTACCTCAGGTCGGGCGGCAACCCGCAGGGCGACGCGGCCGAGCAGACCACGGACACGGCGGCCAGCATGGTCCTCATCGTGGCGTTCACGCTCATCCGTGTGTATCTCATGTTCGTGGTCATGAGCTTCACCAGACAGGCCCTGCAGAGGTACATGGCCGGGCTGGCGGGCGACAAGGGCGCCACGGTCCTGCCATTTACTCCTGGGTCGCCCGACGGCGAGGGCTGGAAGGGCAGCCTGGGCCGGCTGATGCTCTTTGTTGGCCGGGACTACTGGGTGGGTGCCAGGGAGGACGAGGAGTGGGCGTCTAGCCAGCGGGTGCCGCTGGCAGCTGGTGCAGCAGACGACGACGAGTAGATGTGGTCTAGGCTTGAAGCATTTGCAGGCATATCGGTCAGGTGTTCGTTCGTGTACTATAGCATTCTATAGCATTGGGCGGCGTTTCTGTTTGAATCTTGGATCATAAACACTACAGTTAATGGCTAATGGGACAAGGATATGCTCGAGCGGGAGTGCCAGGTGCTGGTGTCGAATGTTGCGACAATGATAGTGAGCGCATCCTCGTTCTACCTGGCATGTCATGTGTCAACTGATCTGCAACAACATTCCGAGATGCGCAACCAGGTGTGGGCTGCGACTCTAGCTCTACAGAGACCAAGCATGAGCACGGCAAGGCGGAACCATCCCCAAGGCACACAATGCATGAGCGTCCCGACCGACTGGTCTAGCCTGCGCCGAGTCCGCCGAGCCTCAGGTGAAGTCCAACAAACCGGGCCCAGGGCATTGGACTGTTGCATTGGTGATGCACTCTCTATAAATATGAACATGTAGCGTGATATCGCCGTCCAATGAGTGCACTGAAGTGTACACCGAGGTGTGCGAGAAGGTTTGGGGCTTCTGAAGCATGCAAAAAGGCTCCTCAACCGCGGGACATGTTAGAAGTAGCCCGTGCAGGCGCGTGTGTGCGCGTTAGTGCGGATGTGTGAGAGATTTGTGTATGAAACAAGCATCTTGTGGTATGGCCTCCTGCAGAATAGCCTCTTGAGAATATGTCCCCCTCTTATGATTAAGCAGTTGGTCTGATTTCTTAGCATACTATAATACGTTCTGAGAAGTCAGGCTTCGCGCTTGGTTGATTATATTAATTCTGACGGAGCCCAAGAGTCTTATGTAGCTTTCACTGAGACATGACGAGCAGCCTGGAGGGTTGGCACACCCAAGGCGAGTCTAGGCAAAGAAGATCTAGAAAAGATCTCGAAGGTTGTGGGGGGTTTGTGTGAGAGAGTGAGAGAGAGAAGCACAGTAGAGGACAAGAGGGAAGATACGAGTGTGGGCCAAGAGAAGGTTTGACCACATGTTTCTGTGGCCTGCCTGCGGGTCTTGGCGATGGCTCATGGCCAAGCGGTTCTGCGCAGACTGCCATAGCGGGGGACGTGCGTGAAATGCTCCTCAGTCAGACGACCGTCTGACTCTATTCCCCGGACCCAGACAGCCCAGACTGGGGGTTGCAGCGAAGGAAAAGACAAGAGGGCGATCACAGCGTCGAGGGGCGTTCACTGGTTCACTGCTGGTTGACAAGACCTGTAGGAGGGTGGGACGGAATGAGATGGCATCGGTCTTGACCTCTCAGCTGTCACTCTGTGACTCTGCCAGGGCTGTCAGAGCTGTCAGGGCTGCAGATGTTGTTCCGTGCTGTGCAGTGCTGAGATGTAGTATTTATAATCTTGTCGGGTGGATGTACGGATGGAATGGATGAAGTGGATGATTAGATGGCTGGATGGATGGCTCGAGGTTGGTCGAGATGCAGATGCGGCTCGCTTGCAGCCGCCCTACTGTACACTATGTCGCATGTCGCAGTGGGAGCGGCTACAGGTACGGATAAAGCTACCGATACCCTTGACCATCGCCGTCGGCACATGCGGGAGTCGGTGGGGGGGCCCTGCCAGAAGGGACTCGAGACCCGTTTTACCGTGTTAATGCCCACTCTGTGATTGGCTGCAGGGCAGTCTGCCAGGGTCTGCTCCCCAGATTCTGGAGCTGGGACGCCGGTGCGGCCACCCCTCGCCCCCCTGCTCCCTGGTCGGCAGGGCGGAATGGGTTGTTTCGACAGCTGGTCGGCCGGTTGTGTTGAATCATGGGCCCGGCTTGCCCAGGCGTGCAGAGGGCAGAAAGAGGGGACCTGGGACCGGCTGGGACCTGCTGGGACCTAGGTATTAGTCCCAAAGGGTTCGTTCCAGCCAGTCTCGAGCCAGTCTGCAGCCAGTCCGGCCACTGGGCCATGCTCCCATCAAAGCGCTAGAGCGATCACGCAATCGCACCCTGACGATGAGAAGCTGCCCGGCCATCACCACACCGGCCTCTGAGCGGCGACCGAAAAGCTTTGCATGGCGAATCTCGAATCTTTTCCTGCTCCCCCAATGGTCCTCTGCCCATTTCTGGCGGGGCAATATCGGCTTCTGCACGCTGTCTATGCCGTGATGCTGTGATCACTGGGCCACTCCCTCGTCAAAGAAATCACAAGTTATCCACATTTCTTCGCCCCGTCCTGCCCTCGCTCCGGCGACAGCTTCTGGATAAAGACTGCCTCGTCGTCCTCGTTCGGTCCCTTGATCGGGGCCCTCCTCTTCCCTCGCCATGTCATTCCTCTTCAACAGGCTCCCCAAGCTCGACACCTCCACCTCCCTCTCCCGCGGCAAGAATAACACCCTGTCGCCCTTGCAGCAGAGGAAGATGCAGGAAATGGCCACAACCCCCATTGCCACTGGCTGTCGGACGCCTGCAGAGGCCGGTACGTTCGTTGTTGTTTACTGTTACCTGGATGACTTGATTCACTGCACTGCACTGCACTGCACTGCTCCTTGTCTCTTCCAAGCGTCCGAGTATCAAATATCCATGATAGAATTCGCCGTATCATGCGCCCCACCCAATGCGCCGTCCTACAACAGCCAGCCAGCCAGCCTGCGCCCATTGATCATGGTTCTTGCTTTTGCTGTCGCTGGTCTGTCTGGCACCCTGGGCCATTGGGGGGATGCATGGAACCGCGGCTCGAGTGTTCGACTTTGCGCAAAGAAGGCACACTGTCTTGCTGTGTATTTGTGTGCATATAGTTGAAAAAGATCGTCACTTTGCTAACATCATTTCCCCCGTCCCACAGTCTCACGAATCGCATACCAGGCCAGTGATGTAATTGTTAGCGTACAGCCATCCCTCGCTGTCGACTCCGAGTTCTCGGTCCACCTCAAGAGGTATCATGGCAGGAGAGACAAGAGCTTGGTCGCAAAGAACGTCGACAGTGTGCCAGAGGTGCGCAAGCCCCCCACCTACCCCCCAGTCAATAGACAAATTTACCCTACCACAACTCATGACCGCGAGACTTACATCATGACCACAGGTTATCTCCATAAGACACAATGCCGACCCCTTACTGTCTGTCTTCGAGCCTGCCCGGAATGGCCTCCTGGTCTCCGTCACTACGAGTTCCAGGATCCTTCTTCCCTCAGTTGGTCACTTGTACAAGCTTGCCAGCTACCCAGTCGTCATCCACGTGGCGCTGCACCCGGACCAATTCCCAGACTACTCCGCCATAACGTCGATAAGGAATACAGGATGGTCCTTCCTCCAGTCCGAGTCGCTTCAGGAGGCGCAAGACATGGCCCTGACTGCCCACGCTCTCGCCATCCGGTCAGGAAAGGGTGTCATCCACTTCTTCAGCCCTGCCAGTTCCGTGAACGACAAGCCAATTGACTTCGAGACGCGGAATGTGCTGCGTGAGATCCTCAACCAGGACTACGTGCGGCGGATACAGAACTCCAACATCCCTGGAGCCGGTATCTACGCTGACGATGGAAGGGTGGCACTGGCCGAAGACCTTATCGACCTAGGCCAGGAGGTCAGCTCTCCCAGGTCGCCACCCCCCAATGGGCTCAGCGTACCCGAGTTGGATGGCAAGATTTCCTCAGTAACGTCAGAAAAATCAAGCCAACAGAGCGTCACCAGCAGCCCGCCAAGCGTGTCTTCAGCCACCACCGTTGAAGCTCAACCTCCAGCGGTTACATCCGAGCACATCTACAATTACGTTACCCTCATCTGGGCTCAGATCAAGAAACTACTTGGCCGAGAATACCACGTTTTCGAGTACTCCGGTTCTCCTACTGCCGAGACGTGCCTTTTTATTTTTGGACTTGATGCTGGGTTGCTGGGCGACACGATTGACCGAGCACCCCCATCTGAGGGCTTCGCAAACTGCGCCATCATCACGCCACGTTTATACAGGCCTTGGCTTGGGGTTAAACTGATCGACATCCTGCCAAAGTCCGTAAAAAAGGTTGCTGTCCTGGAGCAGATCACCAGGAAGACAACTAAGTGGGGCCCGATCCTCATCGATGTCCTGACTTCTCTCAGAAGTGGCATGGGAGGCGTCGACACCATCGTCGGCTATCACCTGGGATATATCAACCGCGAGACCGTCCAACAGGCCTTGCGAGGAATTTACCAAAATTTGATCGCCGACAAGCCCATCCAGAATCTGGACGTCGGCTCTGCGCAGGCTCCGGAGGAGACCTCAGCTTATGAGCTGGAGTCGCCCAAGCTCGAGACGGCTTATACCAAGATCTTAGACCAACTCTTTGGCTCAAGGGTATTCCTCGCAAACTCGCTCAAGTCTGAGAATGCTGGAGTTTCGGCAACAATATCAGCTAGCCCCGAGTATGGTTTTGGTTCTTTGTTAGCGCGTAAGGAGAAGAGGCAGACCTTCATCGCAGACGTCAAGGAGACTGCGGTGTCGGGCACATTCCTAACGGAAACGCCAAAGCGCTCGCTGGCCCAGTGGGCTGCGCACGTCGAAGACCCGTCAAAGATCGATCAGTTCGCCGAAGACGCCATTTCCGCCCTTCAGACCGACAACTCGACCCTGTCTCGCAAACTACTCACCAGCAAGGTCTTCTTCCGCAAAGAGTCCCTCTGGCTTGTTGGCTCTGACGCGTGGTCGTACGACCTCGGCAACTCTGGTGTACACCACGTCCTGGCATCTGGCGAGAACGTCAATATGCTCATCATCGACTCGACACCCTACTCCGAGCGGGTGGCCACGGACGCCGCACGGAGAAAGAAGGACATTGGTCTTTACGCCATGAATTTTGGCAACGCATACGTCGCATCGACAGCAGTCTACAGTTCTTACACGCAGGTGCTGCAGGCGATGGACGAGGCCGACAAGTTCGATGGTCCGTCCATCGTTCTGGCGTATCTGCCGTACAATGATGAGCATGACTCCTCCCTCACCGTCCTCCAGGAGACGAAGAACGCCGTCGATATTGGCTACTGGCCTCTGTATCGCTGGAACCCGAAGAACGAGCTCAAAGGCCAGCCAAATTTCATCCTAGATTCTGAGCGCATCAAGAAGGAGCTGAAGGATTTCTTGGACCGGGACAACCACCTGACTCAGCTCATGGCGAAGGAGCCCAAGTTTGCTCCTGTCCTTTCCGAGGATTTCGGCACTGAGATCCGTGCTCAGCAAAAGCGTAATGCAAAGGACGCGTACAACAAGCTCCTTGAGGGTCTACAGGGTGCGCCTTTGATGGTACTTTTTGCTTCTGATGGTGGTAACGCCCAGTCCGTCGCGAAGCGGATTGGGAGCCGAGGCAAGGCACGGGGTCTCAAGACAACGGTCATGGCAATGGAGGACTACCCTGTTGAGGACTTGCCAACGGAGGACAACGTTGTTTTCATCACCTCAACCGCCGGTCAAGGAGAGTTCCCACAAAACGGTCGTGCTTTCTGGGAGGGTATCAAGGACAGTACCGATCTGGACCTGGCTACCGTCAACTACTCTGTCTTCTCTCTTGGCGATAGCCACTACTGGCCGCGAAAAGAGGACAAGATTTATTACAACAAGCCTGGAAAGGACCTGGACAGGAAGCTGGCTGAATTCGGTGGCAAGCGCTTGGCTGATATTGGTCTTGGCGATGATCAGGATCCCGATGGGTATCAGACCGGATACAACGACTGGGAGCCACTTATATGGCAGGCTCTCGGTGTTGCCAACGTCGAGGGTCTCCCCGAGGAACCACCACCAATCACCAACGAGGACATCAAGCTGGCCTCCAACTACCTTCGTGGTACCATCGTGGAGGGTCTGAACGACCCCACTACCGCTGCCATTTCCGCAGCGGACCAGCAACTTACGAAGTTCCACGGTACTTACATGCAAGACGACAGAGACATCCGGGATGAGAGAAAGGCGCAAGGCTTGGAGCCAGCGTACTCTTTCATGATCCGCTGTCGGCTGCCGGGTGGTGTGTCCACGCCAAAGCAGTGGGTCCAGATGGACGATATCGCCACCGAACTCGGAAATGAGACTATGAAGTTGACTACACGGCAAACGTTCCAATTCCACGGTGTTGTGAAGGGGAAGCTCAAGCCCGCTATGCAGGCTATCAACCGGGCTCTCATGACCACGATCGCCGCTTGCGGTGATGTGAACAGAAACGTCATGTGCAGCTCCCTTCCCACACAGTCCAAGTACCACAAGGAGGTCCATGAGTGCTCTCAGCGCATCAGTGACCACCTCCTTCCATCCACATCCGCCTATCACGAGATCTGGTTGACCAACGATGACGACAAGAAGACGCAGGTTGCGGGCGACGCAGTGCAGGACTTTGAGCCTCTGTACGGCCCCACGTACCTGCCCCGCAAGTTCAAGATCACTATCGCCGTTCCTCCCCACAACGACACTGACGTGTACGCCCACGACGTCGGCCTTATCGCCATCAAGGGTGACGATGGTCACCTGCTTGGCTTCAACTTGCTCGCCGGTGGTGGCATGGGTGCCACGCACAACAACAAGAAGACCTATCCACAGACAGGACGCATGCTAGGCTTTGTGACGCGCGCAGATGTTCACATCGCTTGCGAGAAGGTCATGTTGGTGCAGCGCGACCACGGTGACCGCAAGAACCGCAAGCACGCCCGTCTCAAGTACACCATCGACGACATGGGCGTCGATGTGTTCAAGGGCAAGGTCGAGGAGCTGTGGGGCAAGAAGTTTGGCCCGCCCAAGCAATTCAAGTTCGAGTCAAACGTCGACACGTTCGGCTGGCAGAAGGACGAGATGGGCATGAACCACTTCACTTTCTTCATTGAGAACGGGCGTATCGAGGACACAGCCGACTTCCAGATGAAGACGGGCCTGCGCGAGGTGGCGAAGGTGCACAAGGGCGAGTTCCGCCTGACAGGAAACCAGCACCTTATCCTTTCCAATGTAGCCGACGAGGACCTGGACTCCATCAAGGCCCTTATGAAGAAGTACAAGCTCGACAATGTTAAGTTCTCGGCCCTGCGGTTGTCGTCATCCGCTTGTGTCGCCTTCCCGACGTGCGGTCTGGCCATGGCCGAGTCGGAGCGATATCTTCCCGTCCTCATCTCTAAATTGGAGGACACACTCGAGGAGAACGGTCTGCGCCAGGACTCGATCGTGATGAGGATGACGGGATGCCCCAACGGTTGCGCACGACCCTGGCTAGCTGAGGTGGCCTTCGTCGGCAAGGCCTACGGCGCGTACAACATGTACCTGGGCGGTGGCTACCACGGCCAGCGGCTCAACAAGCTGTACCGCTCCAGCATTAAGGAGGAAGAGATTCTGGCCATCATGAAGCCGCTGCTCAAGGAATATGCCCTCGAGAGGGAGGAGGGCGAGAGGTTCGGCGACTTCTGTATTCGTAAGGGAGTGATCAAGGCGACGACTGACGGCACGAACTTCCACAACGATGTAAGTTGACTACTTCTTGCTCGAAAATTTACAAGTTACTGACTAGCCAATCTATAGGTTGCCGAACTGGAAGAGGATGACGAGTAGACTCGTGAATGAAAATCTCCAAACTTTGACGTTGGGAAAGGGAACAAATAGGTCCGGCGGGCAAAAGACAACTTGCATTTGGGCACAAAAAATTAAGACGGATCTTGATTCCCCGAATATTTATTCATACTTGCATGCTAGGCGTAAGGATTTCGATAATAGTCGACGGTTATGTATATAGTGCGAAAAATATCAGTATTGTTGCGTTTCGACCAAACATTTAAATTGCGTGCAAGCGACCACCTGAATACTTTACTCCTGCCTGTATTGACTGTGCAGCATCTACGGCCACTGGCATGATTCCTATTCCCAGGCACGTGTTCGTGAGAAAAGCATCTAATCACCGAGGCAGTCGGTACGAGAGGCTTGTTTGAAGTCATTATATATTCATTCAAGTTTTTGACAAAAGGAAGTTATAACGCTGGAAATCGAGGACGCTCCCTAAAAGTACATCTTTCAGACACAGCAGCGCAGAACAGTCACCCTTTTCCCTCACCCACCCGTACGCCGTTCTCTATGCCTCTGGTATACCCTCCTCGCTTCTATTCCAAATGTCTTTCTAATAGCTCATCAGATCTGTGGTTACATTGTTAGTCACTTTGTCCCCCAAACAAACCACACAAGAGCTGGGAAACTTACCTCGTCCGAAAAGGCCACGCTTCGTCCAGTCCATCATCATCAGCATCCTCGTCCTGAAGCTCACGGACTGCGCAAAGTAGGCGCCTCGCCACGTATACACGGCCCATAGCCCACCACTCAGGTTCCATCCTCCACCCAGGTCGAAGACGGCCGAGTTGCCGATGTAGGCGAGACTGCCGAGGTGGTGGTACTCGAAGGCCTTGTAGACGGCGTCGTCCAGGTCCCCGTCGCGGATGTCGTTGGCCATGAGGCCCGCGGCGGCGTGCGCCATCTTGTTGAACTTGAAGGCGAGGTACTGGCCCTGCTGGTTGGCCCGCTGGGCGGTCGCGGGCAGCGAGGTGAGCTTGCTGTCGATCTGCTTGAGCAGCTCCCTCAGCTCGCCAAAGTCGAGCGTGCCGCTCTGGTCCTTGTCGAACTCGGCGAACAGGCGGTCCAGCCGCTTTAGGTGGCCGACGGCCTGCGGGAACTTGCGCTTCACCTCGGCCGCCACATTGCGCCACTCGGTGAAGTGCAGGTCCAGGTTCTCCGGGTCCTTGCCATGCTTCCACGCCATCCCGCGCAGGAAGGTCACAATGTTGTCGGCCACGTTGTTCTGTACCGTCGAGCAGTCGCCGATGGCGTAGACATCGCCCAGAGGGGCGCCGTTCAGGCGGAGGTGCGTATCCGTCTCGAGCGCGTGCCGGTTGGTCTGGAAGTCCCCGAGCTTCTTGGCCAGCGTCTGGCTGAAGTCTGTCTGAGAGACGCCCGTGGACCACAGGCAGAAGCCCATTGGAAGCTCTTTGGTGATAGTCTCGCCGTTCTTGCCCTTTTGTGTGAACACGATAGTGTCCTTCTTCACCTCAGAGACTCTGGAGTTAGTGAGAACATTAATCCCGTCTCTACCGAAGCGCTCCTCGGCGTATCTTGACACGGCCTCATCGTAGGTGTTGAGGATGTGACCACGGCTCTGAATCAGGTGTACCGAGATTTCGTTGCGCAGTAGTTTTGGAAAATGCTTCGTCAGATCCTCATTCAGGAGGTCGTAAAGTTCCGCGGCGAACTCTACGCCCGTCGGACCACCGCCGCTGACAACAAAAGAGAGCAGCCGTCTCCTTTCCTCATCCGGAGTGGTGGGCAAGCAGGCCAACTCAAGGTTCTGTATGACTTGATTTCGGATTATCCGCGCGTCCCTTATGTCCTTGAGGAAGAAGCAGTTTTCAAGCCCCTTTACGCCGTGGGGATTGGTCTGCGAGCCTACGGCAACCACCAACTTATCATAGGGAACATAGAACCTGACCTCCTTGCCTTGCGAGTCAGTCTGGGAGACTTCGACAAGTCGGCCTGAGAAGTCGACATCTTCGGCCTTGGCGCGGATGAAGTGGCCTTTCACCCTTGAGAGTATCCTCCTTATCGGCTCGACCAGTGACTTTAGCTCAAGGGTCCCGACCGTCGCGGACGGCAGCATCGGTGTGAAGAGGAAATAATTGGCGGGTGAAATGACGGTAACGTGATAGTCCTCCGGGTTCAGATCCTTCAGTAAGGCAACACCGCCCCAGCCGCCGCCGAGGATGACCAACTTTGGCTTATCCTTCCTCTTCTTGTGATCTTCGGTGTCCTCGTCGTCTATGAGGACATCTGCGATTGGTAGGTTCTTCGGGCCGCCTCTTCGAGGGTTCAATGCGAGGTGCGAGACATCACATTCTGCGGCGACCGCGTGCTCGTTGTAGGTCGAAGCGTCGTAGACAAAGAAAGCACCGAAGACCAGGCCAACGAAGACTATTCCACTGCCCACCCAGGCCATGCTCCGGTAAGCGAAGTTGAGTGCCCATGATTCCCGTTGTGGAAGAGGCCTCCCGGACAGCAATCTGGTATGGGTCTTGGATGCGAAGGTGGCCACGGGCTGGCGTCGATGCAGGTCTTGTGCGAGGGATGGCTGGGCCGGGGATCGAGGGGGCTCTGATCTCGACTTTTTGGTGAGGTTACGGACTTGTATCACTCTGGGCTGGATCCGCAACATTGAGGGGGCATTTCGGAATCCAGCCAGGCCTCGTTGGCGCCCGGCGCGGGCAGCCAGCGCGCTGAGTGATGCTTGTGAAGGCATCCCAAGTGAAGGTCGATAACGATCGGAGGCGTGTTGACTGGTCGCTACTGGAAAGGTCGAGAAACACTCCTAGGCATGAGCATGCCGGTGAGAAATTGAAACTATACCAGAGGCCACAGAAATATCAAAGAGGAGCGGTCTTCTGAGCAGATGTAGTGTGGAAAGCAACAAAATAACGAAGGCTGTTGTTGGCCTCTGGATTTCCAGGTCTTCTTCTTGATTCAATGGAGGGCCGATTGAGAAGCTTACAGCAGAGCTAAGCTAGGTACGTCGGTGCTGTCCCCTGTAGGATCTGCGTCATAATCCCCTGCATTTACAGCACACGGCATCTTGGCGTCATCGGGACGCGGTGCTTAATTCGACATCCGCGACCGCTGCGACTCATTCATCCCCAATCGGCCTGCCTAGGCTGTCGTCAACGTGGTCTGCCGTAGTACATAGTACATCTGCAGTGTAAACTAAGTTGCGATTCCGGTACCGCTTCAGCTGGGAATATCTCCAATTTTTTCAAGGGCGTGCTGGGCTTCGTGATCAACTTCCTAGGCCACATGGGATCATCTCAAATCTGCGCAAATTTTCTGTTCACGGAGGTGGGCAAGAACAGTTGTACCGGGTCCTCCGGGGACAATTGGCCGAGCATCGCTCTCTCGCGCGATCGGTGTTAGAGTCGGCCCCATGGGTTGGTTGTCTGTAAGAGCGATTTTCGGTCCTGGCCACGCCATCCTCAAGACACAGGCAGCAAGTAAACGTCCAGACCACCTCACTCAGCAAAATGATTGCCTCATGAAGTTGGGGGCCGCTGATGTGAAGCTTGGTGGCATCTTCGGTATCTCAGAGACTTCACAACTGTTGGTTTCTCCTTAATCATCGTCTCGATATGTTGCCAAATGGGACTATGCTAGTGCTTTATCCCAGCCTCGCTATGCAGTATGCTCGCTTCTTGAACGCTTCGCTTCGAGTCAACCCTCACCAGTTATGTCTCTCAGCATCTGAAATACCTCTTCTCCACCCATCTATCTTCGATGTCGGGAATCATGTTACAGACGACAACTGTAATGTCGGGAAACACCGACGTCAGTCGGTGTAGTCCCATGCGGCCTGCTGAATACGTAGCAAACACGATCCTGTCTTGAGCTACGCCATGGTCAACGAGGACCTGGACCGCCATCAGAGCGGACCCGCCAGACGACATTTGCGCGTCGAGCAAGAGCACGCTCTCATGTGTCCTGATGTCCTTGGGCAGCTGACTGTAGTGCAGCTCTGGCTCGCCTGTCCGTATGCTCGATTGTATGAGGATCCGGCCCGATTTGCAGTCTGGGATCACGCGCTTGAGGCCTGTTTCTAAAGCTGCGCCGCCTCGGAGCAGCACCACTGCTGATACCTCTCCTTCTGGGGCGAGACCCCGATAGTGGTACCCTTGCGGCGTTTCCACGGTCGTGGATGCGAAACGCACATTGTTCATTGCTCTGTTCGTATCGTGAGAAATTGCGCGGCCGGGCTGCATTGCGGTACTTACTGCTCAACTACGAGGGTGGCTAATCGGTCAAAGTAGAATATGAAGTCCTCTGGGGATGTGTCAATGTCCCTTATAATCGTGTTCATGCCTTTCAGCTGAGCTGTCGCCTTCAGGATCACCACCTTCTTGCTAAGGGGTTCCGACTGAGCTTGAAGCTCGAGCTGCTGAAGCGCGGCTCGATGGTGTCTGGACTTTTCAACGAGCTTTTGTTGGATGGACTGGACGACCATGTCTGCAGAAGTTGTCAATTTGAGGCTTCTCCGAATGTTCAATCCAACATACCGATGGCGACCATGTTCTCAACCCGCGTTGGCACAATAACGTCTGCATTCTTCCGCTGCGGGTCGACGTACTGGGCGGAGGATTAGCTAGGACTCGGACGGCGGAGCTCGAAAGGGCGCACTTACATTCTCAAAGTTTGGCTTCACCCACATGAACCACTGCTTGATCACACCTTCGACGGTTCTGCCTCGGCACTCGACATCACGTAGTATTCTCCTTGAGAGACAGGTGTCCGCATCCGCCTCGCAGTATATCTGGGCTTTTGTCAGCACAATAAAATCTTCGCGGGACGATTCTGTGGTCTCCTGACCTTCATATCTAGTAGATCTAGGACCCTCGGGTCATGTAATGCGAATATCCCCTCCACTACCAGAACGTGCGGCGAGTAAATGGCGGTCGTCTTGTCTACTCGCGCGTGCTTCTCAAATGAGTAAATGGGGATCTCGGCGCGTTTTCTGTCATGATCCATAAGTCTTAGTGACCAGTTCTCAAGATTTCTGGGACGCTGATGAGACCCACCCAGCTTTGAGATCTCGCAGACATTCCACTAGTTTGTCGAAATCAATAGCCTGGGGACCCAAGTAAGCCTACGACCAGTAACTCCATACGGCACTGCAAAGCACTGACATCTGGAGAGTCGAAGTCATACTCATTCAAGAAGGCCCTCCTGGATGAGTCCGCATCCAAGCTCTTATAGAAAGAGTCCTATGTTGCGCATTAGCAACTGCACCTTATAGATTGTTAACCTTGCTCTCACGCACCATGGACAATATCACAACCCATGGCAGGTTCAGCTTGTTGACGATGGCCCTGGACAAGGTCGACTTTCCCGAGCCGGAGCTACCAGCTATGCCGACAAGAGAGACATCAGCCCAGGGAGGGGAGTAGTGAGCCCTCTTGGCGATGGCATTCGCTGCAGTCGCCGAGTCCATGATGAGGTTCGCTTGAAGCTTCTGATCGAGGCCCCACCAAGTTGCCGTGATACGGCACAAGAGACGGATATGCCCTTGGGTGAGCTACGAAAAGTCAGTATGGCCCCCCGAGTCTATCATTAGAGGTGTGCACCCACTTCTTTTTTTAGGATCAGATGCAAGGATGTGGTCTTCACTTAGAGCATGTCAGGTGGTGATTGAGCTTTAGCTATGTCTGTGTAACCAGGTATAGAATGAGGAAAGGAGAGAATGAGAGCATGTATATACAGAGTAAGAAAGACGATGCTCTTGAAGGGGCTTGGATGTTGAGGGCAGGCGATATGATTTGCTACTTATCACTTCCAAGGTTGCACTTATCAACAGCGCGTGCCCGAGTACAAGGACGGTAGCCTCAAAAGGTTCGAGAACCGGTCTGCGTGCAGGGGAGGGGAGTTCCTTCCGTGGCGCAAACGAGACAGCACCCGCCGTGCCCAGTGCCCCGTGCCCAGAGCCTAGGTGGCCAGAGCTGTGCCTAGCTGCGCCTAGCGGCACAGGTACTCAGGTACCCAGGTACTGTGGCATGTACTTAGGTAGCTTCGTCCTCAGGGCGGAAAGACCAGGCAGAATTCATTGCCATGAGTGGGCCGACCTGGAGTTTTCTGCACTACAAGGCTCTGTCGCCAAAACCTCCAACCTTGAGAGCTTCCGTCATCTCTTTTCGACTTTCCTTCACACCCGCACCCCATTCCAGACCATCATCAACACACGAGCCCACCTCCCGTCGCACACAAACACAAACAGCGACAGGCTGCAAGTAGCGCCGACACATCAGATCTCATCACCTCATATGAGCTTCTGTGGTGTCGCCTCATTCCAAGCTATGAATGTCTTCTAGTGGGCCTCCCACGATCCAGTTCCAACCTCCCGGTTCAGATGACCTGGCCTTTTGGGAGAGGGTTGCTGCCGAGTTTCGAAACAGATTTGGCAACATGGTACGGACTTGACCGTTCTCATTCGCCCAGTCATGGATTGAGCAGAATGGCATTGTTGACTTGATTGCCCTGCAGACGTCCACAACGTCTACTGCCACGCCGTTTCGGCATGCTTTCGAGCAACGCGTCGTGGACATGTCCATGCCCAAGAGGTTAGTCCTTCTCTGTTTGCACCCCCAATGCCTGTCCCTTTCATGGCGCAAGCCCTGCACCCTGGGTCAAATGATGTTATACATATATCAATGGGAATCTCTCCTAGACAAGAATGCGGAAGAAGATATATCAAAAATTAACTCTGATCGACCACCCAATCCCAATCTCTTCAAATCTCATCCTCGTCACACAGCAGCGAGCGTGCCACTGACAGAGATGGATAGTGATATCAATGCCTTGATACTAGACTACCTCACCATGGAGGGGTACCCTCAAGCGGCTGCCAACTTTTCTAAGGAGGCCAATCTGCAGCCCATGCAAGAGGATCCTGCCATAAGTGCCCGTCAAGATATCAGGAACTTGATTCACCAAGGACACATCCAGGATGCCATTGAGGCTCTTAATGAACTAGACCCAGAGGTATGTCGATGAGTCCCACTGTCTTTTTTTTTTTTGATTTGAGCCCAGCACTATGATTAGAACACGAGTTTTACATGCACCACGCATATGACCTTCGGGTCATTGATGATAAACAACCACTTTTTTAATGAGCACTCTCCCCATCCTACATCTTTGTACGCACCGTAAACTGGCAAGCGACCGTTGCTAACCGGTCTCAGATTCTGGACCAAGATGCTCACTTGCATTTTGCCCTGCTTAGGCTCCAGCTCGTCGAGCTGATTCGCAACAGCAGCGACGGTGACAAGAATGTGATGACTGCTATACAGTTTGCGCGTGACCAGCTTGGTCCTAGGGCATCGCGACAACCCGCCTTCCTTAAGCCGCTTGAGAACACCATGGCCATCTTGCTGTACCCCAGAGATAGCTTGAAGCCAGAACAGGCGGCTATCATGCATCCAAATCTGCGAAGGGAGGTATCTGACATGGTCAACAAGGCTATCCTGCACCGTCAGACCCAGCGACGTGAGGCTGCCATTCGGCATCTTGTGAAGATCCGTGCTTGGGCTGAGGAGTCGGCCCGTAATTCCAGGAAGAACCTGCCCGACCGGATCGAGCTCGGGCTGAACGGTGAAGACAGCTCCCATGAGAATGGGTCTGAACCTATGGTTACGAATTAGCCTGAACCATTGTACTTGCTGCAGTCTCGCGCGGCTGGGTCATTCCTCGCCATTTCTTTTAATATCGGCTGGTAGGAGTAAAGGTCTGGTATCACTTTTGCTTTGGTTATTAGGATTCTTGGTAGGTTGGGAAGCGAGTAGGGCAAAACCCTCGGCGTTGCGGAACACAGGTCTTGCAAAGTGAGCTCCGACCAGCGGGACAACTGTATGATTATGAAACCCCGAAGTCTAGCAGCGGGCCTATGGTCTGGACTTATCCAATCTTGGGCAGTTGCCCAGCATTGCGAATTGATTTGGTCATTGAAAAAAAAAGAATTCCATTCGTCTTACTGGTCTCGGCTCTTTCTGCCTGTATTCTCTGCGTACCTCATGGTGAATCAAGGCAGACTACTGGCTACATGTGATAGCAAATTCTTCCTAACCAGGACGTATATCGTACCTGGAGCATTAGGCACAGCAAAAGATACTGGTTACAACGTGTAGACACCCCCGGAAACGTGTTACCAGTTGCTCATTGGAAAGCCCATTGCTCGGGCACCATCATCTATCAATTATGTACAATTGCTCCCCTCCCTCCAAACTGCAACAATTCTCCCCAGCCTTACTTCGTCCTGATGTGCTTCAGCTTGCCTGGCGAGTACAGGAAGTTATTCGCATAAGCCTTGGGCGTGAACTTCCTCTCGTTGGGCTCCTGGACAAAGTACTCGTAGCCCTGCTTCTCGGCGAAGTGCACAGCATCCTCCTTGCTCTTGAAGCTGAGGTGCGTGCCCTGCATGTAGTCGCCCGAGGACTGCCATCCCATCAACGGGTTCTCCCACCTGTGACCCTTGGGCAGCACGTCCCAGTCCATCCGCCACTTCTTGCTCTGCCAGTCGCCGGACTGCGTGGCGGGCTTGGCCTGCTTGTAGATGCGCACAGTACGGGCCTGCAGCTCCATGGGAGCGCCGGACGTGATGGCCGCGGGCAGTATCTCGCTCGGCTCGGAGCCGTCGAGGACACGCTTGGGGACGGGAGTGAATGTGCTGTTTTTTTGTGCGTCGAGTGTCAGTAGGGTCGCCTCTCTCATGATGAGCACTCAACTGAGCAAGAGGGCACGGCTCGAGGGACGTTCACGCACGAAGTAGCATTGTCGATGCGAGCGGCATAGTCGGGCTGATTGTTCTTGCCTCCCTGCGACGGCGCCGGAGGGGCAGGCTCATGGACGGGTGCCCTGGCCTTGACTATGGAGTCGGACTGCTGGGTGCTCTCGAAGCGCCGGGCGGTGAGCCGTGGGGTCTGTGAAATGGCCCGCAGCATCCGAGCTGCCTGTGGTGTCCGTAGCGAAGCCATGAGGGGCGGATTGGGTCGATTTCAGGTCGCCAGGTCGATCTTGTCGCCGTGGGGGGAGATACCGAATTGGTGTACTGCTGCTGCGGCAGTCGTCGAGCTTCGCCCGGGAGCGAGGTCGTGACGTTTGATGAGCTAAGCTGGATTGGCGGGCCGTGATTGGGCAAAAATCGGCGCAGCTTTGGTCTGCAGCCCTCTCTCCGGCTTCAACCGTCCAACCTTGAACGTCAACCCGCATCTCGCAAGAACGTCAATTGAAGCGACCAAGCCAGCGCCCAATTGACTCGTCGACAATCTCTCCTCCTTCCTTTAAAGGGCGACCCGAAAACCACAGCCACCATGAGCTTCGTTACACGCCGAGCGCTCTCGACGCTCATCCCTCCCAAGGTAAACCGAGACGCCGCGATTTCCAGTTGCGAAAGAGTATGCTAACCCCGCCGTCCATAGGTTGCTTCGCCCAAGGTACGTTCGAATTGCTCGATTACCCAACGATTCTCGCGATAGCTGCATTGATGGAAAACGAAAGAGCTGGGAGCCAGCAGGGTCGGCAGAGGCTTGGATGTAGGCCGAGAGTGCCTGACAGCTTATGACGCCTCGTTGTCTACACGAATGCATGGACTTGGAACCTTCAAATGGAGATGACTTCAATCGCACGCAAATATCTACTAAGGACTGGGAATTTGGAAGCTGACATGGATTTTACTGCACAGGCGATCGGGTCCAACCCCAACGCCATCGCGATGAAGCGCGTTGTCAACTTCTACGAGAAGCTGCCCCAGGGGCCCGCCCCCGAGGTCAAGGCTACCGGAATTCTCGGCCGTTACCAGGCCAAGCACTTCGGCAAGAACCCATCGGCCAAGCGTAAGTGCTTCCGGGACGCGTCTCCGGATGAACGGATTGAATATTGTTGTGCTGACGAGGTCGGAATACACAGCTATCATCCACGCTCTGGTCTTCCTCGTTGCCATTGGATACGCCCAGAACTACTACTTCCACCTGCGTGAGTTCCATCTAAGAGGAATCGGATGATAATATCATTGGCTCTGACATCCTTCTCCAGGTCACCACAAGAACAATGCTCACTAGAGTGACTGAACGCTGTGCTGAGGATCAGGAACTGCGGTCGGAACTGCGGTCGGAATTTGATGTGTAGATATCGCAAATAGACGAAGTGAGGACGACTCATCAGACAACACGTTTCCTTGGGTGATTCAATATCTCTAGGATCCAGCTCATCGATCGCTGCTGAAAAGGAGCTCTCCGAAATGTCATGCACGATCACTATATCGTTTACCCACTTGCCCGCTTGTTCGCACGTGGTAATGACAGCAGAACAATTTACTTAGAGAGTGGACCTGCTACCACGACATTGTACAATGACACCATCTATGGCTCCAGTGACTTGATGCGCAGCTGAGGCCAATGCACAGTAATGTCATTGCTAAGAAAGGATACGGTGAGGCCGTTGTGATGCCGTGATGCTTGCTTTCTTGGTTCCTCCGAGGCCTAAAGCTCTAGGGACCTGCAGCATCAATTGACACATACTTGTACTTATGCCTTTGATATCTCTGATAGCCATTTATACAATGGCATATGCATCCTGTGAGTAGATGGTATCCCGGAGTGAGGGTGAGAATGGCATTGAGCTGGACCACCAAGCCCAGCATGCTTCCGAAGCGCGCATCAAGTCTGGACGTCTGGCAGTCGTTGGCTCTTCCAGGCCGGCTGCATTCTCTGTCCAACACAATGTGGTTTCAAAACGAAAAGTAGGGCTGAATGATGTGCATTGGGATCGAGGTTGAAATGCCCTGGGGTACTTGCCAATGGCCAACGGGTGTGGGGCCACAGCACGAGGCAGATGGATATGTAGAAGCTGGGATGCGAGGCCAGATCCAGCCTAGCGGCCCCCAAGGCCTGGGCTTGGATCAGCTTAGCTTTCCTTCCTCCTGATGAGACCCCGTCAAGCCAAGTGCAGCAGAAAGTAGCAGCCGCAGCCGCAGCCATTTTACCACGGCAAAAAGCCAACAACGCCCTCGTCTTTGCCGACGACATTTCCTTTTCTCCAAGGGGAAAGGACAATACAGCATCTCTTTTGTGCGATTGTTGGCACTCTCATTGAGAGCTGAGCCTGTTCGCTCCTAATTTTTTCGAATCTCCCTGGCGTTTGAGACCGCGCCCGTCTTGTCGGTGCTCTTTTGCGTCACCCCGAACTCGACACTCTAGTACCTACCGCAGCGGCCGACCGACCGACTGACTAGTCCGCTCAGCCTGCGCACCCTCGTCACTCGTCACTCGACTCCAGTCTTCAGCCTCCACCCGACCGCGTCTCCTCCCCCGACCACTCGAGCCAGTCTTTGCGAAAACCATCGTATCACCTCCAAAAGTGACTCGACGACGCAGCTGGTGCCTCTGTTCCTCTGAGGAATTGACAACCCGCTCATTTGTCGGATGATGGCGGCAGAACCCACGCCAAACCAGTCCGTCGAAGCTACTGCGACTCCTGCTGCTCTACCTGCAAGTACCTCCTCTCTTGTTCGCATCCCCCGCGCCGCGTCGCAAAGCGCGAGGCCTCCTCTTCTCCTGCAGAGATGCTGACTGTCTCCAAGGCACAGCCAGAAGATGCCAGTCACGACGTTGACGCCGTCTCGCGAGACGCCCGTCCCGCGCCCGAGCCCGAGTTAAACGGCGAGTCCCCCGCTAACGTCGTCGTGGACAAGCTGGTCAACGACATCGTCGATGAGGTGGTCAACTCGGCCGAGGTCAGCGTCAGTGGGGGATCCGACACCGAAGCCTCCAAGTCCAGATCCGACGACAAGGGCCATGTCAGATCGTCTTCGGTCAAAAAGCCAACATCTTTCAAGTCGGTGCCCATCAACAAGAGTTTTCAGGCCAAGCTCGCCTCCAGCAGTGCTGCAGCCAAAGTCCCCGAGAAGACTGCTTCGACTGCATCGTCGACCGCAGGCCCTCCAAGCACATCATCTACACCAAAACCTCGATTGGTTGCCAAGACCACAGGAACACTGCGAGATGCCTCCAAGTCATCTCTCGCCCAAAATGGACGACCCGCACCAGATGGAAACGCTGTATGGAACAAGAATCGACGTAAGCTTTGACCGTGTTATCCTTTCACTCGCCCCGTACCCAAGCCTTGCAAAAGCTAACATGCACGTCCCCGTAGCGCCTCCGACTCCCGACCTTAAGAAGATGACGGACGAGGAGCTGTTGAAGCTTGGTATACACGTAGCTAACAGACTACAACCTGACGTTGCAAAGGGCCAGGCAGCATGGGCTGATATTGACGAAAGCGACGACGAATGGGATGCACCAGAGACGATCACTTGGACCGATGGCACCAAGACCACAATTCCGCATGCCGACGAACCTGTAAACGTACCTGAGCCGCCTCCGCCTGCGCCTGCGATTGCGCCTGTACCTGTGCTTGCGCCTGCAGCCAAGGAAAGCAAGCCCCTCGACAAACCACGGTCGCCAGCCCCGCCCGCGGGCTCTCCCTCCGTGAAGCCTAGTCTACCATCCGGCAAGGGGCTCATTCTCAAAGGCGCGCCAGAAAAGCCCACACTAGTCGCAAAGCCTCCTGCGCCCCCGACCCCAGTCAAGAGTCCGTGGGCCGCACTGCCACCTGTCCAAAAAGCTTCTCCCATGGAAGTCGCGGGCGAACAGCCGCAGCGAGGCTTCCCGCCGCCAGGACCAGCCTATGGTGTGAAAGGCGTGACTCCGCCTGCCGCAAGAGAAATCGCTGCCGATGATTTCAGTCGATCACCGCGTCGGGACCACCGGGAACTGTACAACTCTCATTCAGGTCGATATGAGCCCGTTGCTGACCGTCGAGGAATGCCAGTAAGGCCCGAGTACCAGCCGCGACAACCAGCCCTACTTCAGCGACCGTCCCATGGAGAGACGCAGGGCCCAGCGGAGCCCTCGGCGGCATTCCAAACATCCCACACCAGCGGCGGCTACGGTAGGAGGCGCGGCTCGTCCAATGTTAGTGGCGGAAGTGGCAGCTTCCAGAGACTGGGCAGGCCTTACGAGCAAGGTCTTCCCCCTTCAGAAATGCTTGACCCTCGGCGAGGCTCATTCACCGGGGCCAGCGATCATCCCACGTCCCCACGGAACTTTTCGCCCTCCGATCATCATGGAGGACCGCGACAGCCCAGTGCTTCACCATGGCAACACCGAGCATCACCGGCAATCTCGCATGCCGCACCCTCAGTCCCAGGTAGCAGTGAGATGCAAACGGTGCCCCCAGCAAATCCCGTGGTAGATGATGTCGAATTCCAGAAGAAACTGATGAAGGAACGTCGCGAGGAAGCAATCAGAAGGCGTCAGGAGGAAGAGGCTAGGGAAGAGGCCGCAAAGCAAGAGCGTCTGCGCAAGAAGCTGGAAGCTTTGGGCCCAGCTCCCGAGAGAAAGAGCGAGAAGAAGGAAGTCCATAAAGAGACAGCAGGAGCGGATCAGTTGAGCGAGACACCACAGCAGGCTCCAGCGTCCCAAGAGGCGAAGGAAACCAAGCCGACCGCAACACCGCCAAACCCATTGGCCGAGAGCAGCCAGGACACACTTCCCAACGGTGTTGGTCCGGACGCCCAATCCCACGCGAAAGCTCCAGCTACTGCCGAGCAGCCTCCGGCGCCGGAGAACAAGCATGCGCACCCTTGGAATCCTCGAGTGCAGACTCAAAACCCAACCGATCGACTCACGTGGAACGCAGGCAGTCAGGCACCCAAGAACGTCTGGGGCCCTCCAACCAACGACCGCTCTCTTGGAAATGGAACTTTCAACTCGGTGCCAACCCAGCCCTCGCAGTTGGCCCCCGTACGGAGTGGCCGTCCTGGACCCGGTCCCATCGCGCCACCAAGCGCGACATCCAAGCCGCCTGGGCCGCACTCACAGCCGGCCCCGATTGGGCCCCCACAACGGAGCGGATCACGGGCACAACCACAAGATGATAATGCCCAGAGAAGGAACAAATGGACGTCTGCTGTACTGGCATCGGACGAAGACACTCGGCTGCAACGCCAGAAGCAGCAACGTGACCTAGAGCAGGACATGAAAGCTCGCGGACTGGACTATTCTGACCTAGCAGCCCCCATCAACGAGGCTTGGACGTCTACGAAGGAGGATGAACAAGGACAACGAGTGCGTGATTCGATGCAGTGGGTCTTGCGCGGCAATAATGCACAAAACTCTGCCTCACGGACCGCCGGCGCTGGTGACTTGGGCCAACAAGATGCTGCGGCACGCTTTGTGCCTCCACCCGTTAGCCAGAACGGTTCAACAACATCTGGGTCCCAGCGATCAAGGTTCTTCCCACCTACCCGAGAAGTAGACCAGACAGCACCGATCGCCCCTGAGACTGGCAGATCTCAGTCTCCTTCTCCCCCGCCTCCTGATATGGCTGGACACCCTGCTTTTGACGGCGACATGGCACACCCCCATGTGTCGCTGCCGCCTACAAAGCCCATTGTGAAGTTGCCACCTGCTGCGCCCTCCTCGTTCCCGGCGTCACAGCGCTCTGGCCAGCCCAGCTCTGCAAGGTCCGCATCTAGTCCCCAATCTCTTTCTTCCCGACCGTTCAGCTCTTCGGGCCCAGGTTCCAATCACACAGCACCAAACTTCTGGCAAGACCGGATCAAGAATCTCTTGGCAGACAATTCATCGAATCCGCCGAGCGTGGACTCATCCAGCAGGACTAGTTTGTTGCAGCCCACCCACCGTGCTGCGGCCACTGTCTCGTTGCCGACTATCTTCGCCCCAAGCTCAACGGTTGATGACGGCTCCTTCGCCACCAAGACAATGGCTGAAGATTGCTTCGAAGAGCAGGAGATGGGATCTCTCCCGCCTGTACATCTTCCGACGCAGATTCCAGAGGCAGCTTGGGAGCCTGCCAAGGCGCCACCTCGGCAAGATCGGAGGCTCAAGGAAGCAATTACTACCAGCGCTGAGGCGTTGATGTTCCACCCTGAGGGCAGAAACTATGTCATTTTCTTGCCTAGCATGTCGGGGCGTAGAACAGTGGCCATGGCAGCGTCATCTGTCAGCAGCCCTCAAGGCCGGCGCCCTCAACGCGCATCGCGTTACTCCTCTTCGTATCGTGGTGGCAACCGAAACCGAGACTCATCAGAGCAGGGTGGCCCTTCTGGATCAAATTTTAGCCGAGGTGGCCGTGGTTCATACCGTGGCAGATCCGAATGGAATCGTGCCGCGGCAACACCCATCCAAACCCAGTAAACCCACAACGCTATGCGTCGAGAACAACCGCTTGAGGATAGATACCTCAGGTGGTCTCATCTATTCGTTTCATTCGGAGTGGATCTGTAATGGAATGAAACACTCCTGGCGGATTATCCTGTTCGCTTCTGGGCTAGGATTGAAAACTGTTCTGTTGCAGAGCTAGTTTTTGTACAATTTCTATAATGTCTTTCGGACCACAAAATCGTTCTTGGCATTTTCCATGCATGCAATTGCGAGCGGGTTTCACGTTGCTGGCCACGGACGCGACGAATCGACGATACTGTGGATGAGTTCACAAAATTCGCCCATCACACGTTGAAGGCGAAGAAGGGTGGTCGGATTCTGTCGCCAACCGCCCAAAAAATTACGTCTCAATGAAGCTGGGAAAAGTCATTCCGGCAAAGGGCTTGGTTGATGGACCACTTGTGAGCTTCTCGTATCAGACCACAACCGGTTGTCTCCTGTGCCAACCTGGGCACAAGCAGCACAGAGTAAGGCTGCTATTCTGTCATCGAGAGGAGAGCAACAAGACCAGACATGTTTTGTGAATCAACGGACAGAAAGACAGGGAGTGTGAGGCAAAGGAAAATTGGTTTTCGTGTGAACCGGGGGTTTTTGAGTGCAGACAGAGCCCCCTCCCCTCGTTGCTGATTCTACGGTCTCGACGAAGACGTTGAGACCGAACTGTTCCAGGCAACACAGGGGAAAAGAAAGCGGCCATGACACATGGCCCTAAGATAACCTCTACCGCGCAGAGCGACATGATCGATATTGTTCCTTAAGGACCGGTTTAATCCTAGGCAGGAACACAATACAAGTGACTCAAAAATGCTATATTTGCCATTGACTGTTTTTAATCGGTGATCACGGTGAAGATATTTGTCCCACTAATAAATTGCAAAGCATTTGCCTCATTCCAATTTCCCTTTCTGTATCGCACCGCTCTCTCTTTGGTCTGATAGATTGCTTCGGTGCTCACACCCGGATACCCACGACTTCATTCCATGACGCTTGGCAGCGCGGGGAGAAAGAAGGCTACGCTGAGTCGTAGACACATTCATAGCCACATAATTAGCAGTGTATCATGGTAAACCCGGTATGGGCAAGCGACGCGGCAAATATCATCACTCGATTCACACAGTGAAATTATGTAAACACCGATCCAGGTACAGTGTTGTCCTCTAACCAAAAATACTAACGTTTAATCAGTATACACACATTATCATGGCTTGCCCTCCCTCCGTTATGACATGTCTCGTTCATGAACCTTACTCCAAAACTCCACACCAGTGTAATACCAACAAGTAGCCAACGCCTCACACTGAAAGGACATCACTAGCTGATCTCTTCAAGCGCACAGTTGGGGTGAAGCACGTAGACGATGTCCTGCGCCTGCGACTGAGGTGCCGCAGACCCATCGCCGGCGTCTTCGCCGCCGGCGGCCATGCCTTCACCACGGATACCCATGAGGATGTTGTCCTGACAGAGGCATGATTGTTAGCTGATATAGCTCCGTAAAAGCAAGTTGAAGGTGCCGTCACTTACCTTGACCATCTTCTTCAGCACCATCTTCGCCAACGCGTGCTCCCGGTTGTAGTCGTCCTCGCCCTGGAGCTCATCCTCCTTTTGCTCCAGATACCACTGGATCAAGGCCTCGCCCTCAACACCCTCGCCGCTGCCGGCCTCGTCGTCGGCGATACGCTGGACGATCATATTGACCATGCTGATGTATTTCTCGTACGAGATTGTCTGCTTGCGCCTCTCTGGCTGGGCGGACCCTTCGCCAGCATCCGCCATTTCCTCGTCCGCATGCCCCTCGCCCATCTCAGCATCACCATCCTGGTCTGCGAGAACACCAGCAGCCTCCGAAGCAGCGCGGCGAAGTGTCTCACCATCCTCGACAGGCTCGTCATCCTCATCGACCTCGACATCGTCGTGTTCGACGGAGATGATGCTCTGCCTAAGGAGGTTGAATGCCTCATTCACCATGTCCGGAGTGATTTCCTCCACACAATTTGCCTTGGCAATAGCCTCGGACAGCCGGATCATACTTTCCAACTGACGCACCGTGATCCGGTAGCTGTTCTTGCCCATGCCTCCCTGCGCATCATCGGCTCGGAGCTCACGATACCGCTCAACGAGGACTTCTTTCGACTCCTCAGTAAATTCAGGGCGGAAAGTGCGTGCAAACCGGATGTACCGCTGCAGCTGCTCCGTGCTGAACTCGGGCTCAACAGCGGCGTCACGCAGCTGGTGGATGCCGACTATGTGCTCAGCCAAGTGGCGGTCGACTTTCTCGTTGCACTCGTCAAGAATGACAAAGAAAAGATCGAAACGGGACATGATGGGTGCCGACATGTTGATGTTTGCGCGCAGAGTGGTCTTGCGATTGTATCGGCCACCGACGGGGTTGGCGGCAGCAAGAATCGACGTTCGGGCGTTCAGGGTGGCTTGGATACCGGCTTTGGCAATAGAAATGGTTTGCTGTTCCATGGCTTCGTGGATAGCAACCTGGTCAGCTATATCCATCTTGTCGAACTCGTCGATACAGCAGACGCCATTGTCAGCAAGCATAAGTGCGCCAGCTTCGATGGTGAATTCGCCGGTCTCCTCGTCCTTCACAACAGCTGCTGTCAGACCAGCAGCTGAGGACGCTTTCCCGCTCGTGTAGACGGCGCGAGGTGCGAATGAGCAGACGTATTTCAAGAACTGTGACTTGGATGTAGACGGGTCACCAACAATACAGATGTTGATGTCGCCTCTCAGCTGCATGCCCTCAGCAGTGGACTTGTGAACACCAGACATGAGTTGCAGCAGTAGACCTTTCTTCACCACCTCGTGGCCATAGACCATGGGCGCCAGAGAGTTGACCAATCTCGAGTAAATATGGTCGCTGTGCACCATTTTACGGAGGTCCTCGATCTCTGATGGCCCAAATGAAGCAAGGACCGCTTCTTGAGCCTGTTGTGCATTTTCGTTATTTGACGAGTTGAGAGACGCAATGATGTCCGTCACCCCACCACCCAAATTTGTGGTGTCCGGGGCCACCATGCAAGCGAGAAAAGCAAGACGATAGGTCAAATCGCGAACACCAAGAGCCTTCAAGCCACTGACACCGCTGCCGCCGGCATCACCACCACGAGGGTTGTTGCGATCGTCACGAGAAGCTTGGGCATGGTTGCCGGGGAGGCCGAGTTGACTGACATCCGGCACAACGATCAAAGCGCCAGTGAAAATGCACTTCTCGCCAGCCTTGGCCCGATCAACAATCTCGCCTCGCAGGATAACATCCATAGTCCGAGGCATGCTGCCAGTAGGAATCTCAGAGCTGTTCTCTTGGATTCGGACCTTCTGCCAATCGATGAAGGTGCTCTGGCGGATGTCGAGCTGCCACGCCTGACGGTTGTTGCAAGTGGCGTTGGGACATTGAGTTGGCTCGGTATAGCGGAAGGTCTGCTCGACGTTGGGCACGACAACACGGCATCCCTCGCACACAAACGTGGCGACTGAAAGCTCGGGTCGCACCTCAGAGGTCCTTGTGACAGTTCCTGAGATGGAGAGAAGTTGGCCGATGTTTCCGGCGCGAAGGCTACGGACTCTAGAGACCAAAGGCAGATTGTAAAATGCGATGGAAAAGACCTTGTCGGTCTGCTGGTTCGTAGTCTTGCTGCCTGGGCCCGACTGGCTGCCAGAACCAACGTTGCTGGCTCCAGAAGTGGTCATGGTGCTCGACGCAGTGGGTTGACGATGCTCGCGGAAGTATGCCGGCTCGTGCTTCGCGATCATGTTGTGTAGAGCGGCGGTAAGGTAGGGCAAGAACCGATAGTACTGATCTACTATACCGTCCGCAAGCGTGCCGTCTGTCCATGTTTGAAGATGTTTAAAGTCGACGTAAAAGGTTGACAGTGCGTATGCGCGCATGCCATGGATCTGAGCGACGTAATATTTGTCTGTGGTGATGGCGCTGGATGTCGGAGCCCCTGAAGAGGTAGGATCCTCTATGAATCTGTTCATCGAGTTGTCAGCGCGGGTCGGAGCAGCCATGCAAGAGCCGAAGAACTCGCATACCCTTCAATGAAGTCTTCGAAATGCTTCTGGACCAATACGCCGAGTTTGTCCTCGACTTTGGGAATGTTCTGGGTATCTGCTGGGCGCCGGTTGGGGATCTGGTCATCTTCGAACCCTTCGTTGCCCTCATCATCACTCGGTGCGCCGTTGCTCTCAGAGGGGGGGCCGCGGGGTCGACCTCCTAGTGAAGAACTCGACGGATTGCCGCGCCGTTGTCTTGGTGTCCTCGAGGGGCCATCGGACATGGGAAAGCCAGCATCGCTGGACATTGCTGCTGCCGTAGCCATCTTTGATACCAGTTGCCTATGGAGAAGAGGAAGATCAAAGTGTATGAGTCGTGAGGTGAGCAGAAGACTGGAGTGTCAAAAGTCTGGATATGCAAGAGTTTGGCGCGCGCAAATGCAATCAATTCCCCTGCACGATTAATTGTGGAACGCGTGGAAAGCGCGTCGCGCGTCAGGGACGCGGCGAGTTAAAGTGGCTGCATGAAGGCTAGGCCGTATGTGGAAGTATGTTTTTCATTTATCATGGCTTGGCCAACCAATGCGTTGCATTCAATCCTAACGTCTTTTCAGAACAATTGGACTATGTAACTGGCTTGGTCTAAAGCAATATGTTTGGAGTAATTCATGCCGCCCCTCGCCCAGGGAAAATTCCAAGCATTGAGAGACCTGCCTCTCTCAAGCATTTGAGCAGCAGCACGACAAAGACACTAGGACGGCACTGGGGTCTTTCTCAATCTCTCCTGGCATAGGCTCATTGCCCCTTTTCCTCGTAAGAGTGTATCTAGAAATGTCAGTACATGTTTAGAGATTGTATATCACAGACCACACGCACCTGCTCGGCGACTGCGATCCATTCTTCGAATCCTCGGGCATACGGATCAGAGGATGCGTCCGCCACAGACTCATGGCCCCAAATCACCACCTCGTCAAATTCTGCCTTTGCCTCTAATATACCCAGTGGCATTTCTTCCTCGGCATCTAGGTCGACAACTTCAGGCTCGTCTGGCCTGGGTGCTTGAGGCTTAGGAGGATCTGTCTTTTCGATCACGACGCCTCGATAACCCTCTGGGACTTTCAGAGCCTTGCCATGCAGCTTTCGGCCTCTGAAGTACGCAACCCGCTTGCCATCTATGTCATGGTCAGCAAAGAGCCTCTGCCACAACAGTCCACATGCACATACCTGGCTCTTGTGATGGGCTCCAGTACGAGTCTGCTGAGCCGATGGGGCCGTCGTGCTGGATCCGGCAGGGTAGGACATTGGGGGTCGCCTTATCACAAGAGGAGCCCCTGGGCTGGCTGAGAGAAAGCATCGGCTGTTCCATATCGTTGTGTGGTTTCCAATTGTGTGCTCTACTACTTAGTTCCAAAGTTACGCAGAGTCGAACGGGCGCGAGTCCACATGAGGCGCGTCTGCTTCAACGCGTAAATTGAAGAGCGATAAGGGTTCCTTATCTTGTTTTGAGGTCAGGGTTTTACGAGTGCAGCCGGGGAACCACCCCGGTCTGTCGACCCTTGGAGGCATCCCATCTTAATCCATCGCATCCCTGGACCTGTCGTGGTCTGTCTCCGGACGCTGGAGTGCGCGGGGCTATTAGTCTCACCACGCACTCCCAAACCATTCAAACACAACGGATGGCTCTGGACGCAAAGCCGGACATTTGTGCCAGTCTTTCTATCCGAGGCGGCTGAACAACGAGGCCGAAGAGGATTCTTCAACATCGTCGCATCCCGCGGCGCAAAGTCTTGACGTCATTGATGTTGTGGCTGGTCCAGCTCGAACCACCACAAGGTGGGCCCCGCCGTTCCTTCGGTTTTGTTTGGATTCTCTGTGATGAGTGAAGTTTATGTATCGTGGACTCGCCCTGTGACAGACCGGACCGGGTTGTGGAGCGGTGTGCGCAAAGGCACTCGGATGTCGTGGCTACCTGGGTACTGGGAGCATTAAACCCCCCCGTGTTGCCAGGACCGCCACCATTGCAACCACACGACCACACCCCAGAGGGGCAGAGGGGCAGAATTTGGCTCTGATCCTCGCGAGATCTCCAATGCTTGACAGCTCCGCACTCGGCAATCAGAATATCTGCGTGCCTTGTGATACTACAGTCTCTTCCCGGCTACCTTTATTGTAGCTTGGCAGTCTTAATATCACTTGTCAAGTATCAGTAGGCTAGCTACCTTGCTGTTGCCATGTGGCTGACCGCTTGCTTTTCTGGAGAATATATACATGTACTACGAGAGCAGTTTCTTGTTGATGAACCGTCCTCAACGCTTGGGGCAAGTGGCCACAGCTTGCTACTCGTCGCGGCGTGTGCCGTTCGCGCTCAGGTCTGAGGAATGTCGATCGTCCGCACGGAAGCGTGGGAGGTACCAACCTCTGCCCCTCAGGCCCCTCGACCAACTGGATGAGACACTCCCATGCGAGAGTCTTGACAAGGTGACAAGCTGCTGCGGGTTGCAGCTCTGACCAGCCCCACTACACCATCTCTATCCGGTTCTCGAAACCCTTGCTACCTGAGGTCCCAGGGGTCCCTGCGATTGGGATTTGCGGCATGTCTTGCTCGACTGGAATCCAGGTACAAGGTACCGGGGTCGTGATGCGTAGACTTCCGGAGTGTGCTGAGTAGATTCCGCATATGTGGCGCCTCTTGGTACTCAGCACGCAAAGTATTCTCATTGCGCAATAATTTCTCGATATTGAGCTCACCAACTAGTTTTTCAATGGAGGAAGAAATTTAAACGAGAACATAGTATGGAGTATTTTGTGTGCGCGGTCTCGAAGAAACACCAAACATCCAGGCATGCGCAGCTCGAACGACGTGGCTTGGCATCGCAAGTCGACTACCGGCCCTGGCCTTCCCGAGCTTCAAGTCCACCGGAATTTGGTCGTGACCTTCCAGCACCTTGCCGAATGCAGAAACAGCCGAAGTACCGCGGTGTCTTCGGAACTGACCATATCCTTGTCACAAGAGCTTGCAACGGACGCGCACAGTCACAGCGGAGCGATGAGGTCAACGAGGCCGATGGTACCTCCCCCTGCTTTGCGACAGAGTATTATGGGCACTCCTTCCTCTTCCATGCGGCTATGCGACTTTGTCGCAAGCCTTGCATCCAACCTGCGACTTGGCCCCTCCTACGTCTCTTGTTTCCTTCCTCGCTGCTTGTGATAATGTGCTTCGTCGCCGACACTTGAACTGTACCGCCTCTGATACCGAGCTCCCCAATCTCGCCGCGCGAACTCCTAGACAGTTAATTTGGCACTTCCTCCAGGCCAACCATGCCACTGTTGCCGAGCTTCATCACGCGACCACCCAGCCAATGGGTCCAGTCCGCCCGCGGCACAATAGGAGGCATCACCTGGGGTCCAAGTGTGTCTGCCGCCAAGTGGGCAGTTCACTCTCTATTCAGCAATATTCAAGTTGGAACCCTGGTGCTAGTTGACGAGGTAGACGGCACCAATCATGTGTATGGCGAGAAGCTAGGCACTTCCAAGTTGCCGGGGAGGGTCGTCGTGAACGGCGCGATCAGCGTTCCTAGGGTGGAACTGGTTGTCAAGAAGAGCGCTTTCTGGATGCGACTCGTCCTGTTCGCCGACATGGGTTTTTCAGAAGCATACATGTTGGGCGAGGTGGACTGCACCGACTTGACGGCCTTCTTCCAGGTACTGTCGTCACTACTGCTGCTGCAAAGAAAGGCGCCATGGCATGCTAACAGTTCCGCGCGGTGTAGCTCTTCCTGGCAAATCGAGAACAGCTAGGTAACGGAACGACCCTGCTGTCGACTTTCTCGAGCTACGCCTCTGCGCTGGCTCGAAGAACGAACACGATGTCGAACTCCTTGCTCAACATCTCAGCCCACTATGACATTAGCAATGAAATGTTCGCAGCCTTCTTGTCACCAGATATGACATACTCCTGTCCGATCTGGGACAAGTCCGGTTCTTCCAATGAGACATTGGAAGAGGCGCAGATCAGGAAATTACAGGTATTTATTGACGAGGCGCACATCAAGTCGACAGACCACGTGTTGGAAATCGGAACTGGCTGGGGATCCTTTGCGATTCTGGCCGTGCAGCAGACAAGATGCCGGGTCACTAGTCTCACGCTCTCGCAAGAACAGAAGGCGCTTGCAGAGGACAGAATTGCCAAAGCTGGCCTCTCAGACCGAATAGAGGTGCTGTTGATGGATTATCGAGCCTTGCCCGTGCCCCAGCGACCTTACGACAAGGTCGTCTCGATCGAGATGTTGGAGGCAGTGGGGCAGGAGTTCCTGGGGACCTACTTTGCCTGTATCAACCGGCTGTTAAAAAAGGACGGTGGAATTGCGGTCTTCCAATGCATCACCATGCCCGAGGCACGACATGACGCGTACTCGAAAAGCGAGGAGTGAGTGGTTACCGGGCCGTGAGGTGCAGGCTGAGGTGCTAACCAGGTTCTAGTTTCATCAACCATTACATCTTCCCTGGCGGCTACCTTCCCTCGATCACACAGCTGATCGACCATATCAGCAGAGAATCCCATGGAACACTTGTTGTTGAGAAGGTGGATAATATTGGTGGCCATTATGCGAAGACTTTGAGGCTGTGGCGTGAGAGTTTTATGAACAACTTCGAAGCCAAGATCAAGCCTGCCCTTCTCGATAAGCACGGAGATATGACAGATGAAGGTATCGCCGTTTTCAGGAGAAAATGGGAGGTGAGTCACAACTCGGGATAGTATCCACTGGTCGCCGCTGACGAAGAGACCAGTACTATTTCAGATATTGCGAAGCCGGCTTTCTCGCCAAGACCCTTGGGGACGTAATAATTTCCGTTGGACGCGACGGAGCCATGGAGCTGATGGAGGGGATTCCCAAGTGAACCATCCTCTTGCGGTGCGGGTGCCTGGATTCGACGGGATTTAACAAGCGTGCTCACGCACTTTTCGGTTAATCTTCCGCAGCAGCATTACACTGTCGCGGTTTCGAATGCCGCGGGGTAGACTAGACGAGGTCGAATATTTAATGAGCATAATTATTGCGCAGGATTGTTCAATTCCGTCGCTTCTTCTTTGTCTTTTTCGGCTTTGCCTTGGGCTTGGATTCGATTGTCTTCGGGACAAACTCGGGGTACCGGCTGGCATGCTCCACGTCGAAAGCCGGCTTGTATCTCCTGAACAACAACATGGCGACTCTAGCATCTTCGATACTGGAATGCTGACCTGTCTGGATTTCGACACCCAATATCTCCCTGGCCAGGACTCGCAAAGCTGGCTTGGGTCCGTGACCATACTTCTTGAACCCGGAGAATTTGGCCGTGTCTCGGATGTCTTTCCGTGGGTGATCAAGTATCAAGACGTCTAGATCGTGCTTGAGATCATGGCCAACGAGAATCCGGCCATGAAGAAGGTGCCCTACTTGGGCCTGGACATCTGCGAAGTCTCTAGCTGTCGCCATGTGCTTTGGGGCTATGCCACTGATCCTTGTCCTCCAGTCCACCACTCGTTCCTGAGGGCGAACGTACGAGTCGTAAACTTGACGTCCGTGGAAGTCAACGATACTGACTCTGGCCAAAGCATGTCCGTAGCCTCCTTCTCCAATGCCGACCATCTCACAGTCGATGGCAATGTACTTGCCAACCTCTATGTCGCAGGTGAGGCCCTCGTTCGGCCGGACAGCTGACGCGGTAAGTAACGAGTTGTCCTTGGCACCCAGGCCGTACGCGTCTGAGACGGCCTCTGGCGATATGTCGTTGTCTTCGGCCCAAAGTGCGAGGGATGCGGATATTCCAGGCTGAGACTGCGAGGCACCCATGCTTGACCTCTTAGATTCTTTTGAGTTGCTAGCCCTGGAAGTGACGGGCTTTGTTTTCGGCTTGGGCCCTGAATCACTGCCTTTGAGCTTCTTCGAGGATTGTTGTGAGGCTCCGGCTACCGCTCCGTCATCAGCCTTCCTTTTCTGGCCTGTAGACTTGGTCGATTGTTGCTTGATCTTGGCCTGCAGCTGTTTCCAGTTCGACGAGAGTTCAGGCGCCATCCTACAGACTTGAGGTACTAGGCCACCGAATGATTTCGAATGTGCCACGTCAATCACAGGCCCATGACAAATGGCCGGAAAATGACCATTGGGGGGCTGTCAGGCCCTCAGTTTTCAAAGTGAGGTTGAGGTCTAGACACATGCAGTCTCACTGAAAAAGAGTGTTCAAGGTTGCCGGCCGAGAAAGGCCCAAGCGTCACGGCAGTGGGGCGGATTGCTGCTTATCAGATGTCAGCCCCCAATCCGTAGAAATCTGTTACTGACTTATGCAGTCGGAAGAACCACCCAACCTACCTTCTGAAAGAGCTGCTGTAGTGGCTCTGGAACAGCGCTGAAGACGACGCGGTCGCGAAGCACGACTTTGCATCAGTCAATCAATCCACCACTCCATCAATCCATCCACAACCACGTTCCGCATCGACAGACGCATCATGAGTCCGGGCGCTCTTAATGGAGAGGCTGTCGTTGGCAGCGATGGGTCGCGAAAAAAGGGCAAGGCGACACCCGACACAATCGTGTAGGCAATCATGCTTCCCCGTTGCGAGTTCCTGGCGCAAATGTTCACCCCACTAACGAGCGCCGTTGCAGGGTCGGGTGCATTGCTATGGTGCAGAAGAACGGCCACCCACGCCGCGCAGAAATCCTAGGCATCAAGGACACAAAGAGCGGCCGCCAGTATTACTGCAACTTCGACAACTTCAACAAGCGACTTGATGAATGGGTGCCACTCTCCAGGATCGACTTTGAACAAGACGTCGAGTGGCCAAACCCGGACAAAGACAAGCCCAAGGACGGTAAGACTAAGAAGGGGGCAGTAGCACCGTCCAAGAAAACACAGCCCGGGAAGAGACCGCAGAAACGACCTCCACCAGGAAAGCGAGAGCAGTCCATCACTTCCGAGGCTCAGACGCCGCACCCATGGCCAGACTTTGTGGACTCCCAGTCGCAAACGCAGAAGGGCACTCCCACTGGGGACGAAGGCCCCGATGTGGCTACGCCGACCCAAGATGCCGCACCTACGCCTGCGGCCGCAGACGAGATGGATGTGGACGGTGACGAGACACCAAAAGTTGACTCGTTCAGCAGAGAGGATGAGATCGAAAAGCTGCGAACATCAGGGTCCATGACCCAGAATCCCACCGAGATTGCCCGCATCAGAAACATATCGACAGTTCAGTTTGGTCAACATGACCTTTTCCCTTGGTACTTCTCGCCGTATCCAGAGGCTTTCACTCAGGAGGACGTTATTTACATCTGCGAGTTCTGCCTCAGCTATTATGGCGATTTTACTAGCTTCAAACGCCACCGTCACAAGTGCACGTTGCAACACCCGCCAGGAAACGAGATCTACAGAGACGATTGGGTCTCATTCTGGGAGATTGACGGGCGGAGGCAGCGGACATGGTGTAGGAATCTTTGTCTATTATCGAAGATGTTCCTCGACCACAAAACCCTTTACTACGACGTGGACCCATTCTTATTCTACGTCATGACCAGGCGGACGGAGAAGGGCTGCCACCTCGTCGGATATTTTTCTAAAGAAAAGGAGAGTGCCGACGGCTACAATGTGGCATGTATTCTAACCCTGCCTCAGTACCAACGCAAAGGCTATGGCCGGTTGTTGATCCAATTCTCTTACGAGCTGTCGAAGATCGAAGGCAAGCTCGGGTCGCCCGAAAAACCTCTCTCTGATCTGGGTCTCCTAAGTTACCGGCAATACTGGATTGAAAACATTGTTGACATGCTTCTCGAGTACCACGATAAAGACGATAGGTGCAGCATTGAACAAATTTCCTCAGCCTTGGCCATGACTACGCAGGACGTCGAGCACACTCTCCAGGCGTACAAGATGCAGGTTTACCACAAGAGTGAGCACAAGATTGTTGTGCCCAACAGCCAGATGGAGGCGCACAACAAACGAATGGAGAAAAAGAAGAAGCTGGTATGGAGAGAGATCAAACCTGATTTGATTCAGTGGAAGCCGCCTGTTTTCACTGCTTCGAACAGGACATGGGGCTGGTAAGGACCGCGGACTGCAGTCCAGTCATCAGTTGCATGCATCAAATGTAAACTCTAGCCATCAATAGCGTTAATTCAAGATACCCCTTTCGAGCAATGAATTTGAGGACATGAATTGAAACACGAAGTTATGTTGATGAAGCCTAAAGAGGGCCATTAACCTCGCCGTTCCCTCAGGGTCGCCGCCATCGACTACTGTCATGGACACACTGGCCACTGTATGTCAAGACAATTTGACTCCAAGTCAAGTCAAAACCTGAGGAAATCAATCTATGTGCACATTGGAGCTTCGTCTATTCGACTTCCTTGCGCCAGTGTCATCGTCATTCTAGCCTGTATTCCTACTTAACACGAAAGCCTGTTGTCCTGAACTCCCCTAAATATGCGAGTTACCGCCAGTGCATGTTGTCCAGCTCTGCAGCCCTGCAACTGCTCCCAATCACAAGACCGTTCTCAAAAGAATGTTTTGCGCGCGCATATGTATATGGGGCGTTGTGATGGGATCAGTAGAAAGCGTCTAGCTTGCTACCGCCAGAGTCGCCTGGTAGCTCTTGCTCCCCTTGGTCCCAAAGGGACTGTACAGTGCGGCCGAGGCGTGCGACTCCCTCGACGAGGTCTTGTTCTTCTTCCCACGCAAAACACAGTCGGATGCTGTTGGGGAACTGCACTGCCTTCTCATCGCCGGTGACCTGAAACATCTGGCCTGGTGGCACGATCAGATTCTCGTCCTCCAACGCTCGTTTCGCGATAGACTGGGCCGTAGGCCCCTTTCGAAATGTAATCCACACGAAATAGCCTCCGTAGGCCCTCTGTCCACCATCCGTGGGATTTGAGTCCAGCACCTCGATGTCGAACTGGTCCAAGTGTTCATGCACAGCCTGCATCATCAGCGCGTGCCTCCTCTGCAGACTTGGCCTGCAGGCCTCGTCGATGTGCCGCGCCAGCTGGCCACTCTTCATCATCTCGCAGACGATCGTCGCGCACAGCTGGCTGGGTGCGCCGCCAGACTTGGTCGAGCCGGTCTGCGCAAGACCAAAGGCGAAGTCCCGCGTGCCCTCAACCCAGCTGGTTCTTATGCCTGGCCCGACAATCTTGCTGAAGGAGCCGTTGCTGATAGCATGGCCGAACCACTTGCCGTCTGGCTGAGATTGATCATGTGTGCTGGGCCCCAGCGCAAAGTCGATGTCCGAGAGTCTCGGAAGTATCTTGACCTTGGCCGGCGGTGCACCTGAGGGAGGATTCGAAGAGGATCCGACGACAGGCCATTGCAAAAAGTCATAAACATCGTCGCAGATGATGAGGCAGTCGTACTTGCGTGCCAGACGAACGAGCGCCTCCCTCCTCCTGAGCGTCATAGTCTTCCCTGATGGGTTCGCGGCAGAAGGGACCGCGTAGATGACATGCCTGTAGACCTTCCTGAGATTCGGGTTCTTGTACACAGGCGCCTCATCCGGGTCGATCTTGTCCTCGATTTTCTTCAGGCCCCTCTCGAGCCAATCTAGATCGATACCCTCATCGTCCTCAGGAACTGCTTTCAGCCGTCCCTTGAATCCGGAGTCCTCGAAGATAGCACATGCCAGGTAATAGCAAGGCGCAATCGCCCATACGGCCTTGGTATATACTGGCTCGGTGAAAGACTGTAGTATGCAAGCCAGTGCCTGGCTCGCGCCGCCTGAGATGCAGATCCTCTCGGCGTCTGCCTCTGTGCCATATTCTTTGCTTAGGAACTTGGACAGCTCTTCACGCAGAGGCTGATAGCCTGGATCAGGGCCGTATTGAAGACCTGATTAAAAGTGAGCTTGTGTGGTCAAATAAATTAGAAGACGAGTGAGATAGCCCTCTCTCCTTAAGAGATTTCACTAACCTGGAACAAAGATGTCGGGATTGGACAGAACGACATTTGCGGCCGCCTTGAGTGCCTCTGCTGGTAATACATTAGGCGATGGCCACCCACGAAGAAGGTTGATGGATCGTTTTGGGGGCTCATTTGGGGGTGCTTCTGCGGGCGTCATTGTGAGAGAAGAGAAGGGACGTTGGTGGTAAGAAGGACTCGGGAAAACGAGCGGTCGGCCAATGTATCTCAGATATCTGGCAGATTTGCAGGAGGCAAGCATTGGAAAAGGCAGCAGTCAAAGCTACGCAGTCAGTACACCTGATCAACGATAGCGGAGGGCCTTTGCATCGAGCGTGTAAGCTCGACGATGGTAGTGGTCGGGCGAAGCGATAGTGCAGGTGAAGTGGAGAGGGGCCATTGTCCGGCTTTCGGCGTTGGCTTTGACGGCCGATCGAAAGTTTACCAAGGGCTCTTGTCCATTTATTACGAGCAATACAAGATTTACAATCAATCAAAATTGCTACACTGCTGAGACTTCAATTATTTTCATACGCAGTGAGAAGGCAGGACAAGGAGAAACGGGTTCTAACATTGACCGTCACTATGGGCAGCCTATTCCGGGCGCCATCGAGGCTTCAACCAGCGCGTCTTCCGGCGAGCCTCAGCCAGCTTCTTCAGCCCTATAGGCCGAAATCTCAATCTCGCGCCGGTCCGTCAGGCAACTTGACCGGCCCGCACCCGGAGGGCCCACTCCGTTCTGTTCGTTCAACCCGATCCCAGGTCACTTTGCTTGGCAAGCTATTCTTCAAGACAGGACTGCACGCTCTTTCTTTCGTTCTGATGGCCGAGGTACACGCTTTGCGCCAGATGACTACCAGATCTCTTTTGCTTCCGTTGCGGTCGACTTCGGTTTGAGAAAAGCCCACGAGGCAGAGGGCTGAGCTGCAACAGATGGCTTAAAAGTATTGTTCCGGGTGTGAGCTTCTTTTAAATCTTTAACAAAGCTATCTTCCGGTGTAAAAGAGATCGCATTGCTTAGCACGTTGATCCAAGAAGCAGAGATCTGTCTATGGTCCGTGAGGACCTCCAGGACCCCCGAAGCCACCACCACCACCGCCGCCAGGACCTCCGAATTCAGGGCCACCGCCAGGAGGGCCACCGCCATGAGGGCCCTCGTGCTCGTCTGATCCGCAGCAGCTGCAAGACTCCTCACACCCACAGCAGCCGCATTCCTCTTCAAAGCCACCGCGAAGACCCATCTCCATCTGAGGCTCAGACGTCTTATGTGAATCAGTCAGCCAGATGTTCGCTGCAAATCCTGCCAAGCGAGTCTTGTCTTACTGGATAGGATGACTTACGGGCTGACGGGTAATCACCACACCCTCGAGGGCGGGGACCTCCATAGGTTGTTGTTGTTGAGGTGGGTCGACTTCAGGCATCTTGCGCAACTGGGTGGCAGAAAATATAATGGTTGTGAAAGTCTGTTTCACCAGACCATATCTAAGCTCAAAGCCATGAGGATCATTCTGTTTATATCTTGAATTGTTTGACACATTTTATGGGTCAGAACATGTCAGGTCGTGGCCGCGCCATCCTGTGGAGTTGTGGATACTTCCAGCTTGACCATCATTTGCAATGAGTGGAGCGCCATCTGGGTATGCATAGTAACACTCATGATATTTACCGCTAAGCCCCAATGCACGCGTCTCTGTGGCCCCCTACAGAAGTCTGAATGCTGTGTTTGGTCCCCTTAGGCGAAGACCCTGTCGTCGTACCTTATGGTTAAATTTGATCCTGGCGCTCATTGCAGCCTGTACTCTGGCTGGAGATTACAGACACGCAGACAATCCCTTGTGCCCTTCTTTCTTAGCAATTCATACTCTACATCTTTTTAACCAAGGGCAGATGTTGCTTCCATAATCTCCTCCTCGCTAGGTCGATTGACAATCATGAGATACAGCACATCCTGCGAATATGTCAGCGAGACGTCAAAAGGCAAGTTTTGAATAGTTGCGGGGCAATTCACCTTCTGCAACAGCTTCTTAACTCCGCCGATCAAAGATAATGGGCCAAGACCATCAGCTGGCGATTCGCGTCCACCTAGGGGAGCACGAGGTACGCCATCAATAGATCGGCCAACTTGTCTGAAGTCGCGGGCAGTACCTCTACCTCCCACACCTAGAGCAGGCCCTCGACCGAGCCCTCCACGACCGAGTCCTCCACGACCGAGTCCTCCACCAGCATTATCTTGAACCCAATTCCGAATCTTGCCGGTAGAGGCCTTCCCTCCCGTGACGAAAGCCAGGAGATCGCCACTGGACGCAGGGTGACTGGGGTCTGCGTATCGGGAGCGGAAATCAGGCTTGGGAGCTAGGTTCGCCATGTTACTCTCCGGGTTGTCGCCGGACCACTTCGCGACGGCCCGCCGGTCGAAATAATCGGTAAGAAAGGTGCCGCTGCGCTTGATGGCGTTCTGCTTCTTGGCCTCTGCCTCTGGGTTCTCGGGTGTCGAGGAAGCCAGAGCGTCAAGCCTCGGGAAGACCAGTGGCGCCGTCTCCGGGAACTCGAAGCTACTGGTCGCGGAAGAGGACTTCATACGGCCCTGGATCTTCCCAAACATCCCTCCACTTCCTGTCGAAGTATTCGCGATGGTTGAACCCAGATCAAAATCAACAGTCGTGACAATTGAAGGATCTTGTGGCTTCCACGTCATTAGTAACGCGACCACTCCTTTCGGCTTGAAGTACTCTTCGTTAATCTTGTCAAGGAAACTGTTTGTCTTGGTGCGACTGTGTATCTCGGACGCAGCATCTGCCGCCATCTTCGTCGCGATCGAGACCGCGATTGTAACAGGCTCGGGCACGTGCTGTGCTGCCAGTGAAGCCAGGTTGATCGCCTGGAGCCATGGGTTAGGTTGGACGGCCTTGTTCAGCTTGTCTAGGAAGTCAAGGAACGCTGGCTGATCGATCCCAACGTTGTCAAAGAGCGGTGCGTAGGCTTGGATAAACCCACGCGTTCGCGCCTTCGGCCGGCGTTGGGTGATTACCACAGGCAAGTCGAGGCGCCCAGTAGGAGGGACTGGTAGCTCTATAAGTTGGTGAGTGCGTATGAAGTCATCTGCCAATGCTGAGACCTCGCCTGGAGTGCTCGGGGTGCTCGATATTCGGTTTGCTTCTCCAGCAAGATCCTCCTGTGCTTCATCGAGCTGCCAATCGGTCTCATCATCCCCCCTGGTAAAAGTCTCGCCACGCTCTCCCTCGTCCTGTGAGTTGGCATGCGCAGTCGTACTAGGCAATTCTTCCTGCTGCTTCTGAGCTCTCTTCTTTTCTTTGTGGTGTTGTATGCTTTCTGAGGCGAGACCGACACCGGCAGCAGCGCCCTGGACAAGTATACCCAAGGGCCCACCGCTCTCATTGCGCCGATTGCGTGCACTGCCAAGCATCTCCTATGCTCGAGACGGTCGCTCGTGATTAGATAGTGACTGATGATGGAAATTCAAGGGGCTTTCAACTTGGATGAGACTGGTCTGCACCAATGAGCCTTGAGACAATGGCCGTCTTTTTCTTGCCAAGAGGCAAAGTAGTGCTCTTATATACTCCTGAACTGGTTCAATGTAAACAACGGGAATCCTTCCACTTCCATCGGTGTAAGCGATAACGAGAAGGACTCCCGCTCGTATCCCAAGCCCACCATTGTGTGTATCACTCCAGGCAGATACACACCAAATTCGGCTGAGCACTGCCGCGTGGATGCTTTTGAGTGCTTAAATGTCAACGGTTTTAAGCCGGAAATGCCTCCTTCGCGATGGGGTTGAGGTCGACTCAATTTCAAGCAGCTGCAGTTACGCAACCCCCGTAAGCACTAAGTCGTGAGGCTGAGCTGGAAGAAGGATTGTACCCAGCAATTTAGGCTCGATATCGTTCTCGTTCTCGTCCTCGTCCTCGCGTTTGACATCAGCTGGCTTAATTCAAGTGTGGGGTATCGTCGTCACGTACTAAGCTCCTCCTATGCGCTGCCAAGCTATCAACACCTTGCAAATTAGTGGTGGGATGGCCTAACGTGTGCCACACAGATAGAACCAGCTGTTCCCCGTACTTTGCTTGTAGATGACCATAATACTTGGAAGCCTCGAGTTCTCAAGGCTCTCAAGAATTTGAGGCAGCAATGTAATGCTTGTGTTGGGGGGTTTCTGCAGTGCTTGGGAAAGAAACCCGGTGATAGATCTGCCAAGATGAGTGGTTGATCCATCGACTATTTTGAGAGATTCAGACAATAAAAATGCTTAATAGGGTATCCTGAGGTCTGCTTGGGCCTATGCGATGTCACTAGCGTGTATCTACAGGTTCCGGGATCCACCTCCCTATGGTTTATCCTCCCATATATCGTATGGCATAGCGTCCTTGAATATCAAGTGTGGTTTGCGGTTGGCTAGGTCCAATATCGTTTCAGCGAATACACCGTTTGCCCCTAAAATAATTTCGTCAGCTCTAAGTAGCAGCAGAGTGAATGCTTGGGCATTAAGAGGTAATTAGGTCTTACAAGCGAACCAGCTCCCTTAAACGAACAATATGTTAGCTCACTTCAATCTTGCATGTATGAGTCTTGCGGAAAACTCACTGGTATATGCGTATCCCGAGTTCACGTCGATGCTTTCGTGGATGAGTCCAAGCTTGGCACTTTTCAGCACAAAATCAAGGCAACCCATGATCTCAGCATCATTGTCAGTCGTTTGTGCTTGAATCAACAAGCTCATTGGCCAGGCATTGCGGAGGCCAATGTGAGGCCCTGCGAGCGTCAGCAAACATGCACTCGAATTTGTACGCAGGTATGAGAACCCACCTCCGATACCTCGAAACTCTTGCCCCTCGAGGTAGTATGGATTCGACGCTCGACTCAGTAGCATTTTGCGGGTGTTCTGGTAAACTTCGTCGTCCGGCGGGACGAATCCCATCAAAGGCAGAGCCAGTAAACTAGGATAGTTGGCGTCATCCATCAAGATGTGAGAGCCATAGCCGTCGACTTCGTACGCAAATACGCGACCGAACTTGGCGTGCTGGACCACACCGTGTTCCCAGATACCGTCGGTAATCTGCTGACTCCAATATGCGAACTTCTCCGCAGTTTGGGTTTCACCAGCAGCCTTGAGGACTTTGGCCGTCCTCTTCAATTCAACCGCCATCATGGCATTCGCTGGGATGAAGAAGCCAAGGATGGTAGCGTCGTCACTGGGCCTAAAAGCGCTGCGGATAAGACCAGTACCATTGTTCAGAGGATTTCCCACGCCGTCTAGATTCAGGGTCTCGGTCCCAACGAAGGTCTGACGCTTGAAGGTGTATGTATTCCTGCGATACTGTCCTGTGGCAGGATCGAATGTAGACTGGCTCTGTTGACTCAACACTTCGAGCACACCCTCCAGAGCCAGCAACCAGCGCAAGTTCACGAAATCGAGAGAGCCAGTGGTCTCGTAGAAGTCGTTTGCCAAAGTCAAGAAATGGCCGAGGCTGTCCAGCTCGTACTTGCACTCGAAGACGAAAGAGGGCTCGTAAGTCGGATGAACAAAGTCGTCTTGCCCATTGTACGAGTTCTTGAGGCCAGAGATAGGTGGGGGCTGAAACGCATTACAGTACGGTGACTCGATAACGTACTCAGACTGCGTGTTGATCGCTCCTAGGATCAGGTTGAACACGGCCTTGTCCTTCTTCGCAAGCGGCATGTACGGAGACAGCTGATTACAGCTATCCCGGAGCCATTCAGCTATGATGTCCCCAGTGATAATGAATGACTGTGGCCCCGTCCACGCGCCGTCGTCCAGAGCGCTCCTCCCAAACTCTTTCTTCTTGAACTTCCTAGTCCCGTCGGTGTGGAATTTGACTGTCGTATCTGTGGTCGATGGAAAGGCATTCTCGAAGAGGCGGGCCAGGTCAGGGTTCTTCATCCGCGAGGTAACATCTTTAATAACATTCTCGATTGAATCAGAGTGGAACGTGCGACACTTCGGATGTGGCCGCTGGAACGGCAGCTGTAGGGGCCCTTCGCTGTTAGGGGGGCTACGTCGCGTTAGCCGTTCGTCTGCTCGATGCGCAAGTGGGCGCGGACATACTGAGGACTTGTCGAGTATTTCGCATAGTCTGGACATGCCTCGGCATAGTCAAAATTGGCATCGCCCACCAACGGTTTCTCTTGCGCATAGCCAAGCGGTCCATGTGCGAGCGCACCCAGCGGTAGGAGGGCCGCGGCCAGAGAAGATCGCAGCAATCCCATCGTCTTGGGCGTTCGTCGATGCCGGCGGGCAGAACCAAACGAGAGGACAGCGCGAGGGGTATGGGGAGGTTCTGCGAACGGAGTGCTCGCTCCGGTGCGAGCAGGATACAGCGACTGTCGCTCTTATCAGCAGAGAAAGCGGCTTTTGAGGTGCCCTACAGCATTCATTGGCGCGTGCGAATTAGGGACCGACGAATGCTGCGCTGAACGGACGGCCCCAGCGAGTGAAGAGCACACGTTGCAACGAACAGGAACCAGGAGCAAGAGGTTGAGGACGGTGGGAGGTGGTCGAGGAGATGCCAATGCTCGGATGTTGATGTTCCCATGCATAGGAAGCTTGTTACCCCACAAAGATCGTCGCACTTCCAGGGATCCTGCGCCTAATTTTCAGGGGTCATACAAGGGGGCGGCTCTAAGATGGGTTCAAACGCGCAAGACGCTTGCGAGGTCATCTGTGACCCACTCGATCTCGCCTGCTATTTCTATCTCCAGACAGACTAACCACTTGTCGTGCGTCTCCAGTATGTGCCTACAGCACTCTTGCTACTGCCCGGGCCTAAACTCCCCTGTCCTTCAACGAGTCCTAACTGAGGGATACATCATTCTTTTCACAATCATTTCTTGCTGAAAAATGACATGATATTGCCCTGACCCTTCGCAGCTGGTTTCTTGGGCTTGGAGGGTTGTGAGCTGGCCTCTGCTTTCTTCGCAGCTGGTGGCGCTGGTTCATCCTCTGAGAAAGATTCCCAACCAGATTCCTGAACAGTGACTATCTCAAGTGTTAGAATGTGCACGAGATCCCAGTAGTGGGTAATTGTTGGTTGCGACTCACCCAAGTAACCTTGATCATCCATGACTGTCTTCTTTTTCATCACACGCCTCCTTCCCCGGCGTCGTCCATTGCTGGCGCTTGAAATGACCTCGGCTGGCTCTGGTTTCTCGTCTATCTCCGGCTCTGGTTCTGGGACATCCTCAGGCTCTTCCATTGGCGTGTCTTCATTGTCTGGCTCTTCGTCTTCACTGTCCTCCTCCATCATGCGCTTCAACTCCTCCTGGCGGTCTTTCCTTGTCTTCCGTGCCGTGTCATCTTCACTCTTGGGCTCGACCACAGTATCGTCCTCTCCATCATCAGAAAGTTCCTGCATAGGTGAATCCTCTGCGGCACTTGCTGCTGTTGACCGGGGAGTACTAGCATTCTTCGGTTTGGAAGCAGCTTTGGCGAAGGACTGCATGATACCTCCAGAAGCTCCGCGCTTGAGAGCAGGCGGTGGTTGCTTCGACCCTGACAGCACTGGAGTGGACTCCTTGGAAGCTGGTTTCTGTTCTGGCTTGGCTTCCTCCTTGACTTGCGTAGCCGGTGTGTGCCTCGGGGCAGGCGGTTTCGCGTCAGCTGTCTTGGGAACTGCCGCAGCAGGCCTGGGGCCCTGGCCCTGGCGCTCTCTTCGCCATACGTATGGATTGCGAACAGGTCCAAGGGAATGTTGTATGTTGGCTGAACCGTCCTCGGCTGCCGCGTCGTTGATTGGCTTTGACACATCGGCAAGTAAATGGAGGTCCTGCAGGGAGGCTTAACATCATACAAGTCGCACGCGGATAGATGAGTCTTACCTTTACAGGGTGCGTTCCTAGACTATATACGTGAATGGAGCTGATGCTTTCATACTGAGATAGCACATCTGTGAGGCGAGTCAATCAAGGATCCGGGGTAAAGGGGCCACGGCAGTATGTTTTACCCTCGAGACTTTCCTCGGCCACAAGAGATAGCGTTGTCACGGGGCCGTCATCCACCGCAGGCTCAAGTTCTGGGGGGGAGCTGGCCATTTCCACGTCGCCGTCTTGCTGGGAGTGGCCATTGGTGTGGGTGACCTTCCTAGTACCATACAACATGTAGGTTGCGTGGACTGATCCTGAGCGTTTGCCATTTTGCCAGGAGTGGAACTCGTAAAGCATCCTAAAAGTTGATGAGCATGAGACTCTTTGGTGCACAAAGACATGCTCACTGTTTGGCAACATTGACGTTGACTTTTAATGCCCGACTCAAAATCCGGTATGTGACCTAAGGAAATATCAGTTTGCGGATTGGAATCGGTGCAGCCGTGGATGAGAACATCTCACAATTTTGCCCTCTGATAGGACCTGTTCAGCGAGGTAAGTCTTGTAATCGTCCATGGTGAAAGCGATTGCGACTTGGCGCAAGGTTTCTGCTCTGATCAAAAAGTTGAGGCACGAAAAGCCATAGAATCGAGTTCGACCCGAAGACTTTCAAGACCGGGAGGAAGTGTAGACGGGGAGTAGCAGCTGAGCACTTTCACAGGAAGTTGGACGCGTTTCTGTACCTGCAGGGGTGGGGGCTGTCTCTTTACGCGCTTTCAGGTCGCGCCTCCCCAAAAGCGGACCCAGTGACGGCCCTTCCTCGAAAGCCGACCTTCCTAGCGACTTTGCAAAAGTCAACTCCCAAGTCTTTTGATGCTGCGTACTCAAGTCCTTTCGCCTGTTGGGACCACACTTAGAATTACACCAATCAGTGCGACGAATAATCCTGCGGACCATACGAGAGGCGCGATCAAGAATGGACGCCCGGATCGCGGGCAACGCCACGAAGGACGATGGCTTCGACGTTTCTGACCCGACAGACTGGCTGGGAACGCCTTTGGCAAGCCTGATGCCTGTCGAACAGTCCCTACGATGTCATGTCTGCAAAGACTTTTACAATTCCCCTATGGTCACGTCTTGCTGCCACACCTTCTGCTCCCTTTGTATACGAAGAGCCCTCGCCAGTGACGGGAAGTGCCCACTGTGTCGCGCTACGGACCAGGAGTCAAGATTAAGGGGAAATTGGGCAATAAGAGAAGCAGTTGAGAGTTTCAGCAGAGGAAGAGAGGCGATGCTCAGGCTTGCACGGGAACCGCAAGCGCTTGCGACTGATGCGCCAACCCGGACTCCAAAGAGGAAAGCGGGTGACGGAACGAACGAGGGTGCAAAAAGAACGAGGATGTCTACCAGGTCGAGCAGCGCGAGGGCCACGGAGACTACATCGGCCATGATGAAAGAGATGGGAGTACCAGACGTGGAGGAGATTGAGGCAGAGGAGTACACACCGGGTAGGCGCTTACCTTAACACTGCACGGACAACCGAGTGTGCTCGAGACTAACGCAACATACAGATGATGGTCTCGTTGCTTGTCCAATTTGTTCATGGAGAATGAAGCCTGAAAAAGTTGATAGGCACCTCGATACCGACTGTCCTGGAGAGCCACGACCACAGCCGAGCGAGTCAAAGCCAAAGAACATTGGTTTTGGCAATATCCGCCATGCAGTCAATACCTCGACCAAACCCCAAGAGAGGCTGTCGTCACTGAACTACTCACTGATGAAGGACGCTGCTTTGAGGAAGAGGCTTTTAGAGATAGGGATCTCGAGTTGGGGTTCTAGACAACTACTTGAGAAGAGACACAAGGAATGGGTTATGATATGGAATGCCAATTGTGACTCGGCGCGACCAAAGGCCAAGTCCGAGCTTTTGAGAGACCTTGACACCTGGGAACGGACACAGGGCGGCAGCGCTCCTTCCAATTCTCATTCGGCGAACCTGGGTGCCCAGATAAAAGACAAGGAGTTCGATGGTGTGGGATGGTCCGCAAAACACAGCGACTCTTTCAAAGATTTGATCGCCAATGCTCGCAAGACTCGGCGAAAGGCGGAAGAGACTACCCGGGAGTCATCACATGAATCTCGGGGCCAGTCTCTGACCGTCAGCGACATCAACTCGGAACAGCAGCCTGATGCCATGGGCAACAGTCAGAGTCATGCCGAGGAACATACAATACGAAGTTCCGACACAGTCATGGACCAAAGCATTACGTCAAGCCAGATAGCAGCAGACCAGTCGCCTCGAAAAATACCCGAGGACAGAGTCACAAGACTTCTGTCAGAGGATCAACCGTTGCCCTCTGAGATAGATGCCGTATCTAGCTCTGGAACTGCTAGGACAATAGCTCAATAATGTAATGTCTACTACAGGGCGCCGAGTGCTGCTTGTTGGGTAGAAACTAACTAAATGATACCCAAGCACCTTCATGCAAACAACGCACTCCATGGAACTCAACGCATTCATTTGCTCCCAATGCACGCTGACCATTCGGTATTTCATGGGCGTCCCCTCTCTACCGTTTTTCTTGACACCACTGTCGACTTCGTTTCACTTTGGCCCCTCCGAACCAATATACATATTCGACCCACGGCAGGCTCACATTGCTATGCAGTCATTAGAGGCACGTAAATATGGTCACATTCTGCGCCAGTCATCTGTAAATCCTTCGTCAAACGACCCGTGAGAGTCGCCCGGTTTGAGAACCTCGAGGATAATGCTGCTAAATAGCTTCTCTGTGCAACTCAAATGTCGAAACATGTTTAGGTCGACCTGGTTGCCGGCAGTGTCCCATGTTCGGGCTGTATCTGAACGCAGACGATTTCATCCACTTTAGAAGCTCGAAATGGCTGTTGACGGTGGATAGGGGGTTTGTTGACGTGGTTGCTCATCCAGGGCACGACCCAGATGAGCTAGGAACAAAGAAGCAATCTATCTTCGGCGGCAGTCTTCCAGCAATGCACTAGATCCACACGTGCTCGCCTGCCTGAAACAGATCTTGGGGACGCTCCTTTGAGCCCAGCGAGCCACTAGACAGTCTTGTGGTCGGGCTTCACGGTCTTGGAAGCTGTTAGCTGCGACAGTGACCTGGATATCTACAGGCGGGGTATCTTTCGTCGCTTAGGGCAGCCTTTGCTAAGACACGGACCGAGCGAACTGAAGTCCAACTGACAAGGTAGATAGGTGTGAAAGCAACAACCTTCAGAAAGGGCTTCATGGACTGTTGTTGTTGCGCCGCCTCGTTGCGAGCCTCAGGCTTGAATTCGGATATGCTGAAGTGAGGTGGCGCAAATAAGTTGAAGCCGTTCAGTCAAGCACCAAAGGCTTCTTTAGTCACCAGGTGTCTTCGGTGGAATGTGGCTTGGGTGCTTCCAGCCATTCCGATCATGAGCTGCCACGTTCAAAGATACAGTCACATTGACTGGAACGACAAGGGAGACGACCATCGAGGTCATTCTCGCATTCTGCGGAATTTGGTTTTGTGTCAGCCAGGTCGCAATAGCCCTTCGCACTCCCCACCAGTGATACGAGAGGCGTGAGCGCTCTCTGGACATATACCATGATAACGCATGAACGCATAAAGAGATCATTCGCCGAACAGTGTAGATTACTCACTCTGAGAACATGATTCTGTACACATCATGAAGTGATATCTTGGTCAAGATTGCTTCCACTCAATACAATCATGATGCTCTGTGGTCCGCATTAGCTCGCCTCCTGTTTCTGGGGCTCGTCCTTTAGCGACATTTTACTCATCTCCCCTGAGAGTCTGTCAGCCTCCTGGCCCTCGTTCGTGATTGCTTGCGGAGCATCCAGGCTTGCAAGCCTCCTCGCAATGTTCTCCGCTTCTTTCTGCTCCGCGGCCTCCTTCCTTGACCGCTCAAGCTCGTCTTCCTTGTTCGTCTGCTCCTGCAACATAGCCTCGAGCTCGTCGTCAATCTCCTCCTCGTCGACCACCGGTCCTTGTTCTGCAAGTATGTTGTTCAGCTCATCAGCCTGGCCCATTTGCTCGCGCATGCGGTCCACCACCTCTTCCACTCTTTCAGCACCTCCGACTTGTGCATTCAAGGTTTTCAGGACTTCCGTGCTCGCGCCCATGACCTTCACCAATTGCACGTTATCCGATGCCTGCTCGATCTTGGCCGAAACCTCCTCGATCTGGCTGAGCGTGGCGAACCGCTGCTGCAGAGATGATTCTGCCAGCTTCTTCGACTTCAAAGCTGCCATGGCCGAGACGCGATTCTTCTTAGCCACCGCATCTCTTGCCGCCACCGTGAGCTCCTCGATCTTGTTGTTCAATACTGTCGTCTGATGGTTCAGGTACTCCGCAAGCTCCCTGAGCGATGCTATCGTCTCGTCCTCTGTGGTGATCGCCGACTCTTGGTCGTCAGGGTTCCTGATCTTGACCGTCTTCCCATCGTAGAGTAGCACACCCTGATCCCTTGACATAAACCGTAGCAGGACCTCCATATCCGTCTCAGACAACTGCTGGCCCTTCAATATTGAATCCTTGAATTCCATCTGGAATTGCACTTTCGAAAATGTCCTTTCAAACCGCGAGGTCAGCCCCGACGTCTGCTCAAGTACGGCCTTAGAGGCAGCCTCCACGTTCGCGACGACCACGAACTGCCCACCCGGTAGCCTCTCATCTCCACCAAAAGTGAACGCGCTAGTCAGGCCCAAATGTCTGAAGCCCCATGAGGCGATACTCCAAGGTATTGAGCTCCAGGGTTTGTGGTATATGCTCTCGTTCGCCTTCAAGAAATCCTGTATCGGTATGAGATCTCTCTCTTGTGTCGCCTCGCGAATGACAGCGCCGAGGGCTAGTGGTCGACCGTACTGCTTGCTTTCTAGGGCTCGTAGCAACGACTCGTCGGCTTTCAAGACAACGTGGTTGGGGTTGGGCGACGAGCCGGACCCGCTGGGTGCCAGGCCAGCGCGAACGAGGCCGGCGAGGCCACGCCTCCAGGCGGAGATGTTGGCTTGGTATCCATCCGGGTTGGTAGAGCGAAGGCCACGAAAGTCGGAGTAGAGGGCTGGTATGCGTGCTCTGTTTGGCGTGGGTCAGCTTGGCATGGTGTCTCCTGGCCGATGTGAGGCTACGACTGACTTTCGAAACCCCTGCTCATGCTCAATGAGCCACTCGAGGGCATCAGACATTCTGAGGCGTGGGCTCGCCTTAGCGGTTTTGTAGGTTGGTTTCTTTGGCAACGGGAGACGGAAGGGCGAGATGACGTCGTGCCGGTGACGAGACCGCCAGGGTGCTGCCCGGTTCACAGCGATTAGTGAGTCTAAGTAAAATCAAGGGCTACGTAGCAACGCTCGAAAATGGGAACGAGAGCTGCGGCAACGGAAACGACGATACGTTAGACGAGGTTCGTGAGCAAGCTGCAAGGTCCAGTCTGGGGTACTTGGGCTCCCAGACTGGGGGAACAAGCCTTATCGCTTATCTGCCCATGCAGGTCGACCGCCAAACCCCAAACAACCCCACAGTACCTCCAACCAAGACAACATCGAATCCACCATAGCAAACTCACGATTCCACATGGTCTATATATACAGCCTACATAGATAGGCTCTTCATACGGGTTCAGAAGGCATCGATTATGTGAAAATTTTCCTTATGCAGATTTTATTTGCTTGCCCAGATCATGCAGCACGTCGCTCTCGGCCGCTAATAAGATAGACCCCGGCTCGGACTGCCAACAAGGGGTCGGCAGATGCTTCAAGCCCAGGAACATCCCTTGGGACAGGATCAAAGATAATGTGCTTCTGTTCCGCAGCATCATTCTCTTCCAGACCCTTGAGAGAAATCGTACCTAGATCTACCACCTGTCTCTCATCTGGCCAGTGCTCACAGGCATCATCAGTGATGTCTCCGTTTTCAGCGACCTGCGCTTTCAAAGTGAACACCACGGGCCCAGTTTCGACCAACTTCGGTATCTCGTCGAACAAGTAGTTCTCACTCCTCTCCTTGACCTCCTCATCACCCAAAGTTCTCAGTCCAGCGGCCGGAACGATCCTGTATCGCACGTACGTTTCGTTCCCACCCGAATCGATTAGCTTGAAGGCATTGACGCCGAAGAACTGCTCGTTGGCAAAGCTTGCGGGGGCCGGTTTGGGCGCCTGTACGAAGGCTAGTGCCTTAGGGTGAGTGTTGAGGAACGATTCGACCGTGCCATCTTTCAGTGCCTTGAAGAAAGCAAGCGCCTCGTCGCCATTGGAGCCTGGAAAGGCATCCACACTGTGCGCGATGATATCTGTGTGGACGCGTCGGGGCTGAGTAGCAAGCTGGAATCGCAGCGCGAAGCCACGGGGTTCGGCGTTGGAGTTGTTGTCCGGAACGTTTGGCAGCCCAGTGGCTGTTCGATGCTAGTTGAGTTTCGAAAACGTCCACGTTTTAGGGCGGGAACACTCACAATTCGAGAACCGGGCGATTACAGGGGTGGATGGTTGGTTGAAGTGCGGTGCTATAGACAGTTTGCCTGCCTCCAGGCTCGGTGTGAACGTTCCTTGGAGCAAAATCCCCTTTGCATGGGCTACAGACAAGACAGTTAATTAATATTTATCGTTGCCATGGAGCTGCTTCTGAAGTGGAATCAATCTGATAATTGTTCTCACCTGGTCGGAAGCCTGGATGAGGTCCAAAAATATCGTGAAGTGTCTCGACCAGCCCCTGACTGGTCTCCAAAATGTGTTTATCAGTAGGAAGAGGCATATTTACGCAGCTTTTGATTCTGCGAGAGACCCAAGCTCACTGGTTCAAGAAATTATGCAATGCTTCTTCACCGTTCATGAGACAGCCTCTCGTAGACAGGTAGTGGAAGTTAAGTATTCTGCGGTTCATGCCCCGAGACGCAAAAGAGCCGTCGAGACCCGTCGACCATGCCTACATCAACGAATGTGATGCCATCGGAATTCCAAATCGCAACATTAAACCCTCTCTCATTGGATAAAGTGAAGGCAATATTGGTGATGCACCATGTTGCTGACTGAGGGACTGCATACTGGCGTAGTTGCTAGCTTGACTTTTGGCCAAGATCTCCACAAAAGACACCAACTATCCGTGATAACATGTGCTTAGGCGACCGGCCACGCCAAAATTGACACTGGCGTCCTGTTACTAGGCTAGTTTGAGTCCCGTGGAGGAATATGGTCTTGCAAGGCCTAGCCGGATATGTGATTGCGCAATGCTGAAGACGATGCTTGGATTAGGACAAACAGTGCGGCCTTGATGATTAATACAGATGCAGTGCCTCTCGCTGAAGTATTTGAGGCTTGCTGATATTAAAGTTGCAATCCCCCGGTGCCAGTCGGGCACGACCATGAGTTCAGGGTCCGGAGCCGAGCTTTCACGATGCACAGGACCCACCGGACGGGCCGGCCCAAGAAGTCGGCCGGGTTCCAGGTGGGCCCGCTGTTGCACCGGGTTCCGACATGAAGCAGCCCAACCCGATGGGACAACTGTACTGCACAAAGCAGTTATTTTACATGGCTATAAAACAATCTCAGCGGCACTTCATGAAGCTGCTGTGGAGTTGCTGTGGCTTGAAATGTTGCACCAGGGCCTAGACTTGTTAAGATGAACTGGTCTAGAATATTGTCTTGATGATTTAGTATGCCCAGACCGGATTTTCGAGTGTACCACGACACAGCCTTGACCAACTTGGTGATGCCGCAGGTCTAGTCCTGACACCAGACCATCCATGTCGATAACTCGGGGCCATACCCAATCACCGCGAAGAGTCTTTTGCCGTGATTATCACGAGACTGGGGTCTTGCAGCACGAGTGTGTAAGGCGTTGTGAGAAAGTCCAGACAATCATGTTTTGATTTTCACTTCCACGTGGAATAGCGCCCGTTTGAAGGAGCTACATTGATCAGCGGGAACGCCAAACTCGTGGCGACCCAAAGTTATCTCTGGACGACTGCGCGTTCTGAAGGAGCTTGAGATGCTTGAGCCTGCGTTGGGATGATGCTGGGAGGACACTCTTGCCAGCTCACACTGCCTGCCCACACACAAGCACAAAGCTAATCTGTGCCTAGGTGGTTCAGATGATCTAGAACGGTTGATCGGACACCCTGACACATCGTCCAACAGCCGCCAGCGCCGGTGGGACGGCTGGCAAACCTTAAGGACCAGGGAGGAACCCCGCTGTTTCCCCAGGAACGCAAATTGTACGACACGTTCATGGCCTCCGACATATGTGCTTGTGAATGCTATGTTCAGAAAGCTGCCGACTCGTGCATAGCAGATGAATTATTTCATTCTTCGTCCCGTCTCAAGGCCTGGTCGTATGCACGGCAGAAGCTGCAGCTTGACGTCGAAAGAGCGGTGGGGGAGAAGTGAGGTGCCCCGGATTCCTGGGCACAAGTTCTGTCTGATATCGATTCCTTCGATCGGATACGACTTGACTACTGCGCAGTCAGTACGCAGTTCAGTCGAGAAAGGATGCAGAGTTAAAGATATACTCTAAAACATTCACTTATTCTCTGCTTTATAGGAAGGTGTTTATTGCCTGTAAAGCAATAATAGTTGTAGCTTTATAATTAAAACCTTTTTTTTCTTTAAAAGGAATTAGGAATTTTAATAGCTAAGTAAACTAATTAAGGTTTTTTTTTATTTAGTTATAAGCTCCTTTTTTTTTTACTAAGTATTTTATAATTAAGCTAATTTTTAATTTTTAATTATTTTATTTACTATACTAAATATTTTTTATTAATAAGTAAATTTTAAAACTTACTATAGCAAATATTATTATAAATAATAGTATTACTGCTTTTTTACTTAATTAATAATTTTAAAGTAAAAGTAACTATATAATTTAATATTTTAAATTTAAATAAAAAGCCTAAGATATAAATATATTTAATATTTTCTTTTTTAAAGAAAACGTTATTTTTAAAAAACTTATTTTAGCTAATTATATAGTTTATATTAATAAAATAAATATAATAGCTAGCACTTTAAATTTATACTTTAAAATTATTAACTTAGTACAAAGCTTATTAAAGTAATAAGCTAAATATAAGAAATAAAAAAACTTTAAATAAAAAGTTTATTAAATAAAGCAATTTTTAAAAAAATAAGTTTTTTCTATTATTTTATTAAAAATTAAAAATATAAATTTACTAATTAACGCTTATAATTATATTACCTTTACTTATAATATATTAAATAAATTTACTTAAGAGCAAATTTTATATAATATAAAAAAATTATACTTAAATAAATACTTATTTATAATAATATTTTTTAATAAGTATTATATTTTAAAAGCTAAGCTAGTTTTAATTAGTTATATAGCTTATTTAAATAAATAAATAGTAATTAATATTTTACTTAATTTACTTATAACCTATTATAATTTTAAAAAATAGTATAATTAAATTTATATTAAAAATAGTAATAAAAAATATAACTTAGAATTCTTATTTAATTATTTTTTACTAAAAAAAGTATTAGTAAATAAAGAAAAAGCATATATATAAGTAAAAGCTAAAATATATAAGTAAATAGTAATTAAAAAATAAAAATTAAATTGCTTTAATATAGGAAATAATAAAAATAAATTAAATAAGCTTAATTGCTTTTATTTATAATGCTTAATATATAAAAAAAGTAAATATAATAAGCTAACCTATTAAGTAACTTACTTTAATAGAATTTCTAAAAAACTTTAAAATATTTAAAAATTTTTGTTTTTAAAAAAAAAGGAATTCTTTTTTATAATAGTTATTATAAAAAAATAAACTTCCTTTTTATCTTTTAAAAGTATTAAATTAAATAGTTTTATTACGCTATATTTATTATTTACTACTTTTACCTAAGTATTATATAATTTAAAAAACTTATTACTAATAATATCTTTATTTATTTTCTTTATTAAAGGAGTATATTTTAATTTCTTTATTTTTAATTTTAATATAAAATTTAAAAAAATTCTATATATTTTCTTTTGTATAATTAATCTTTATATTACTTAAGCTTTACCTTTTATTATTATTTTAACTAATAGCTATAATATTAATAATTAAATCCTGCCTTAAAATTTATTCCTTTATATTATTACTTAGTGTATTTAAATTATAATTAATAAAGGAATTATATTCCTTTAGTTAATTAATACTAATATTTTTATTACTAATATTATTATTAATATTTAAAATTCTAACCTATTTTTAATATAATTAATAAAAATTAAAACTTTTTATAATAATGTTAATAAATATATTATATCTATTAATAATAAGCTTAAGTAAAGCTAGCTATATATTAAATATATTATTTAGGATCTTTTAGCTTTTTTATTTTTTAGTATTAATAATATTACTCTTAATCCTAAATTTACTAAGGTTTTCTTAGCTAATATTTGCAAAATTATTAAAATATAGAAATTTATAATTATTAATTAAAATATTAATAATAAAATTTATATAGTTATTTTTACTATTATTAATAATAACTATAATTAGCTGTATATTAGTTATAAAATTATTAAAGCAGTTAAAAACTTTATTTTTATTTACCTTTATTTAAACTTTCATTATTAAAAGCTTAATTAGGTTTTTAGTACTTATTATAGTTTTACTTATTACTTTATTTATAAGTTTAATGGAATTATTATCTACAAGGATAATATTAATATAGCTTATTTTTTTACTACTTTTTTTTAGTAAGCTATTAAAAATATTAGTAGCCTTAATATTATTACTTTTTAATATTTATTTTATTTACTATTTTCTGTTAAAATTAGTAATATTATTAATCTTTTAAGTAAAGGTAATATTGCTTATATTAATAATAACTATATTATTATTTATAGCTTATATAGTAAATAAAAGATTAAATTAAAAAAGCTAATTTACTGTTTTTATATTTATTTTATAAATGTTTTTAATATATTTATTTAAGCTAAAATTAATCCTGCTGTTAATATATTAGGCGTATAGCTTTTATTTTTAAACTATTATAATAATATATAAAACTTAAGTATACTTATTTCTATTTTTTCTTTTTTCTTATTTATTTTTACTAACTTTTATTAATAAAATAGCTATATTATTAAGGTTATTATTAAGTTAAAAAAATAAGATAAACTGTTAGGGCTAGTAGTAGTAATTAGTAAGGAAAGGATGTTATAAAATAAGGATATTATTTTTTTGGATTTTAGGGCTAATATTTATATTTTTAATAATTAAAAGTAGTTTATAAATCTTACTTTTTTATAAGTTTTTATTAGCTTTATTAGCTAAAATATATAACTTTTAATTATTAATAGTAGTAATATATTACTTATATTAATAAATAAATTTAGTAATTAAAAGTTATTTATTATTATAAATATAGCGCTTTTACTTAATATTAAATATAATATTATTTTCTTTTTTTAGCTAAGTATAAAAAAAAAGCTTATTAAATATTAGAATATAAATAAAATTATTATTAATTATAATAGCTAGTAAATTAGGTTTACTATATAGTATAATAACCTTTTTTAGCTAAAGCTTTATAAGCTAATAAATCTTATTTTTTCTATAAATTGTTTTATTAGTTTAGTTGAATATAATAGTTTTGTTTAATAGTATTATTACGCTATAAGGCATTTTTTTTTTCCTAATATAATTATTCTGCTTAATGTTAGTAAGAGCTTTTCTATTACTAAAGTATAAATCTAAAAAGTTATTGCCTTAAGGGAAATATATCCTATTTATATAGTTGCTAAGGTGTTAAATAAGGTTTTAAAGAAACCTATTTATTAATAAAAAACTAAGCTTAGTATGCTAATATATACTAATATATAAAAACTTTATTTAATTAAGTTTTATAATAAACTTTGCTATTTTATATTTTTTATAAATAATATTATTTAGTTAATTTAAGAAAAAGGTTTTTATATAAAGGATTAAATTCTAGCAGTTTTTTATTTTTTATACTAAAGGATTAAAACTTAATTTAAAATTACTATTAAAGTATACTAGTTTAATAAAGAATTTTATTAAGGTTTAATTAATAGGTATTTAAACCGCTACTATATTTAGTTTAAGGTTACTATTGTTTATAGCTATTATATAAGAGGAACTTATAAATGCATTAATTAAATGCTGCGGGATAAAGCTGTTTTTATAATTTAAAAATATGCTATTACTAGCTAATTAATAAAATTAATTATAAAACTAGCGCTTTATATAATCTAAAATATTACAAACGTAATAAGAATAGAACTAGGGGAGCACTATTAATCCCCTAAAAACGCAAATAAACCCTACAAACTAGTAAGGCAAGCTTAAAAGGATTTACTATATAACAGAAGCAAGTTATATAATAGAGCAAAAGGATAACTAAAATAACTAAAGCAACGCTTTACTCTAAATAATTTAAATAATTTAATACTTCTACTGCTCTAGGTAAGTAATACTCTAAATAAGCCGCTAAAAGCAATACTCCTATTACTCTAATTAAAGAAATAAATTATATAAATTATACTTATTATTAGTAAATAGTATTAACTTAAAACAGCTCTTTAATAGTTAATTTAAATATTTATCTAAAATAGCTATAAAGCTTTTAATTTACTATTATTATATATTACTTAAAATATTACTACTTTAAATATTTTCTAAATATAAACCTGCTTATTAAGTTTATTAGCTAAAAACTAGCTATAATTATTATATTTTAACTATTCTTATTTAAACGTTTTATATAAACCCTAAGTAATAACTTATATAATTACTACCCTTATTTTAATATATTTTTTAGCTATATTTAGAAAAACCTTTAATAAAAGCTAAATAATAATAACTTTAAACTTTTATAAGCTTAATACTTTAAAATAGTTAAAAAAATTAAAAAACTTTATACCTATATTTAAAAATAAACCAGCTAAAACAATAAAATAAAAAAACTTAAAGCTAAAATTAAAATACTTTAAAGTACTACTAATATTATTAATACCCTAATTAAACTTAAAGAATTTATTAAGCTTACTAACCCAACCCTTTATAATAGTTCCTTAAAATAGTTATAAGCCTACCTTACCCAGGTTAAAGCTTACTAGCGTTTTTATAGCCTTAATAATTAGTTCAATAAAAAATAAGTTATATATATAGCCTCCTTTTTAAAAAAATAGGCTTTAGCATAATTTAAACCTTACCTTATAAACTTCCTTAAAAAAAATAAGTTTAAACAATATAAATAAAAAACCTAAAATATTTTTAGCAACTTTAAAAACTATAAGCTTGCTTTTAAGTTACTCTTTTAAAACCTAGATAAAGAACAGCAAGTAAAAAGGAAACTTATAAAACTATACTAAAAAAAACCCGCTATAACTTATACTGCAGAGTTCC